GAGCAGAAACGGAATAGAAAGTTGTCTCGCGGGGGGGGGGGGGGATTATGGAGACTCACACGGCGATCAAGTCAGAGCAACGTGTGAGGAGCTGAAGAGAAAGTTGCCGGGATTCGCAAAGTCGACGTGTGGCAGGCAGCCTGTGTCATCTGTAGGCGATTGGCTAGGCAACTGGACGGTGGGGTCCGAGACATTTCTGATTGGACCTTCCAAGATCGGCTTAAATCCACCCGGTGACCCGGGTATCCTTCGGTAGTAACTATAGTGTGCTCGCCAAGAAGCTGCAGCATAGCCACAAGGCTGTGCGTGAAGGCTGCCACAAACCAGGTAGCTCGCATCTCCGATGGAGCTGCTCCGTGGCGGTCAAGTTTGTGTCACATGTCTGGCCCCCACGTAAACTCCGCCCTTGACAAGTATTCAGATGTATATATTGCATGATAGTACCCGAACTGTCCTCAGCCTTGTCTTAAGCGCCAGATTATGCCAATATCAGCTTCGATGGAGTCTATTCCTCTCCCACGCAACTCTATTTACGCACGCCCACGTATTCCGTATCTCTGCACTACAGAGTATGACCGTGGAGATTTCCTGTCTTATCCCGTTCGAGCCGGTTGGTCTAATGAGGAGATCAATAATCCGTTCACGTGGGCACATCTCGACAAGGAAGGATACAAGACATGTGGTGAAGCCAGCAGTTTCTTACAGAACTGGATTTTCTTCGGGGTCCTCGACGTTTTGTTCGGCAGCGTCGCATCCTGGGATGAATTCATCGACATCGATCCCCTCGGCGCCAAATTCGTGCACACAAGAAATTTAGCCGAAGTGGCTCAGAGAGCTTCAAACGGCCCATCTCGGGATGAGAATTTGGTGTTCAAGTGCATTTCCAGCGCTTGCAACGTGCATAGGGCTCTTATGGTGAGCTCACCGCTCGATCCAGACTTCGTGGTCTCACTTGGACTTTTCCTTCATGTCTTGCCCCAATTCTATTTACCGCTAGTCAATCTATCGATGAGTACCCGCATACTTTGGCCTAGGGTTCCCGCACAGCCACGGACAGAGATCATTGCCAACAATCGACAAACAGTGTCGTATTTCGAGTCTGTGTTGATGCACCATGGGTGGTGCCCATGTCATGTGGCTCGCCTCGAGACCATGTTATTGCAGTATGTCTGCATGTTCTTGGAACCTCCTCATGCGGACAAAGACCATTCCGAATGCACCGTCGCGAAGTGCGTTGCTTTGCATGTGGAGAAGAGCACATATCTCCACAAACACACAACCGAAGGCTGCGAATGCAACCACCTCACCGCCAATGCTGACGCCGTGAAAGCTATTCTCAAAGATGGTGGGATCCCAGTTGTCGAGGCATCTGCACAAGGGACGGATGACATGGGCCGTTCGACCTTTCAGCATCTGACTGTAAAAAGCACAAACGACATTGGTCATAGATACGTGGCTATCTCGCATGTGTGGTCTGATGGCCTGGGAAATCCAGCCGAAAACTCGATGGCTTCCTGCCAGGTGCGAAGAATTTCGCAATTGGTATCTCAACTGCCCGGATGGGATACCGGGCCTACTTACTTCTGGATCGATACCCTTTGTTGCCCCGTTGAACCGAGGGACATGAGGCATTTGGCGATCATTAGAATGAGGCAAACGTACCAAGAAGCATCAAGCGTGCTCGTTCTCGACAGATCGTTGCAGAAGCTCTCACACAGAAACATGGGCCTCTTGGAACTTGCCGCCCACATATCCTGCTCAACCTGGATGAGTCGTCTCTGGACGTGGCAAGAGGGCTCATCGCCACCAGTATGCTACATCCAATTTGCTGATAGGGTAATAACTTTCGAAGAGCTTGTCGATCGTGCGAGGGACGCCCAGAAATCAGCACACGAGCTCGGCTTTTTTGCGTTCCGAGAAATCATCGCTCTTCACTGGAACGCGAGACGGTGGTCCATCATGAGTGGACAAGCAGGCACAACCCAAATCCAACTGTCACAAATCCCAGATGCTCTGAAAGGGCGATCGACCAGTGTGCCCGAGGATGAAGCCGTCTGCATTGGTGCCTTGATGAACTGTGATTTATCAAGGATTCTCTCCGCCGACGGAGCCGAAAACCGCATGCGGGCCTTGTGGGAGACTTGCCCTTCGATCCCCCAGCGGATACTTTTCTGGTCTCTCTCGCGTCTTCCTCAGCCGGGGTTCCGCTGGGCACCGGCTACATTCTTGCATCGTGACGCAGGCGTCCCCATCAATCAGACCGATATGGTGCATACGGCAATGGTCACGCCTTGCGGTCTGCAAGCACAGTCATCAGGATTCTTATTCCAGGGCGGACTAGACCATCCAGTGGGCTCCTCCTTCTGGGTATCTGATTCATCAGGGCACTGGCTTTGGGCCGTCGTAGGAAAGCCAGAAACGCCTGACGGTGCATATGAGCGACCCGCGCTCGACGACGACACATCGCATTACATGCAATTGGCGCTTCTTGTGGATAGAAAAGTTGATGAGCAGTTGGTCGAAAAGTCGGCACACGTTACGCTCGTTTACGTTTATGCACAGAAGAACGGAGTGATTTACGGGAGAAGAAGCAATACGGCATCCATGTACTGTAATGATCATACCCACAAAGACAGGTGGCCTGCAATGGAATACTGGAGGAATACTCTGAGAGACCCCGAGAACACGGCAGTAAAGCGTGATGGGATGAATGTTTCGTTGAACGGGACATATCATGTACTCGAGGGTCATTTAGTTGGGGAAGATCAGCAGTGGTGCATTGACTAAGAAGGAAGGTTCTCTAAGAATTGATCACAAGGTTTGTTTCGGGCAGTCTTTATATATGCGTTGCTTCCAGTTGTTCTTTTCTTCCAGCTTCCACTCATTCAGCCCAATCGGCTTCTTCCCTGCAAAGCCGATCTGCAACCGGCGGCGGGACGTGGCGCTTCAGCCGCAGTAGATCAGCGCTCAAGTCTGGCTAGGGGCAAATGCAGTTCTAGAATCCCATAAAGAATTTTTTGCAAAAAGAAGAATTATTGTCGTCAGGCCTACTTTCACCTTTACCAGTTGGTCGCCGAACACTTGTCGTCTCCACGAAGGCACGTGCTAGCCAATCGGGGACTAGCCCGTTATCGATCGCCGTCCTCCGCCCATTCGCCGCACGGCGATACGGATGCTCTGGGCGTTGCGGAGTCATCCCCAGCCAAGCTAAGCCCCAGAAAAACACATTCCCCTTTCACCGTTGCGAAACCTTCATCTGCGTTGCCACTGGATGCAGAACTCCTGAGCGTAGTTCGTCGTGGCGATCAAAATAGCGAGAGAGAACGACGTCATTAGCCGAGGCCATGGGAGCGCAAGAACAGGACCCGGAGACGAGCTCGCGGACGTCGAGCCGGCGCCGCATCCCGCAGATCAAGGACTACAAGCTCCGCGAACAACAACAGGAGAAACAAGACCAGGAAATTCAACTGCAAAAATCGCGTTCGCAGCGTCAGAACGATGATCAACCACAATATGGCGACAACAACCCAGCATGTGTTCCACCGGCATCGATGAGCATGCGTCCACCTCCCAGGCCCGTTCGGACCATCTCCGTCTCGACTCCGAGTGGAGAATCGAAAAATGTCAAGGAAAATGAGGGCAACGATGACAGATTCTCCCGTCGGGACAAGTACAATGTCGGATGGCGACGAGTAGTGCGCAACTTTAGCCCTTCGTGAGTCTTGACTCTTTTTCCATATCCAAACACCATCCTTTCTCTTAAATGAACCTCCCTTACATCCAGTACCAAACTGCAACTAACAAACCTTTAGCTGGTTCTCCGTAACCATGGGCACAGGCATCGTCGCCAACCTCCTGGAAGGCATGCCATACAACGGCGTCTGGCTCTACTGGCTCTCGATCGTCTTCTTCGTTCTCAACACCATCCTCTTCACGCTCGCCTTCGCCACCTCCATTGTGCGGTACACGCTGTACCCGGAGATCTGGGGCGTCATGATCCGCGACCCGATCAACTCACTCTTCCTCGGCACCATCCCCATGGGCTTCGCCACGCTGATCGAGATGTGGGTGCTCGTCTGCGTGCCGGCCTGGGGCCCGTGGGCGGCGACGTTCGCCTGGGTGCTCTGGATGATCGACACCGTCGTCGCGGCGGCCGTGACGCTGTCGTTGTCCGTGCTGCTGTGAGTTTGCCCTTTCTCCCGCCCCTCAAAAAAAGCGAACTGATGTCACTGACAACGGCAGGATGATGCAAACCCACGAACTCAAATCCCTCGAGCGCTTCACAGCCGCACAGCTTCTCCCCATCGCGGCCACCATCGTCGCGGCGGGGACGGGCGCGCGCGTGGCGGAGATCCTGCCGGACCCGCAGTGGGCGCTCGGCACCATCATGACCAGCTACGTGCTGTGGGCCATGGGCACGCCGCTGGCCTTCGTCGTCATCGCCATGTACTACCAGCGGCTGGCGGTGCACAAGATGCCGCCGCGCGAGGTCATCGTGAGCTGTTTCCTGCCGCTGGGGCCGTTGGGGTTCGGCGGGTTTGGGTGAGTCTGCCTCGATATGCACACTTCAATCCTGTTTTCTACAATGTCCCCTCATATCTTACTGCCTTGGTTGAAGACGAGATACTAACACCCCACCAGCATAATGTACCTCGGCAAAGTCTCCCGCGACATCTTCCCACTCACTGACACACTCGACCCGACAGCCGGCTCCGTCTTCTACGTGCTCGGCTTCCTCATCGCGCTGATCATGTGGGGCTTTGGGTTGGTGTGGTTCTTCATCGCGCTGGTCTCCATCTGGGAGGCGCGGCCGTTCCCGTTCAACATGGGCTGGTGGGGTTTCACCTTCCCGCTCGGCGTCTTCGCCACGTCGACCATCCAGATCGGCGTCGAGATGCCGTCGCGCTTCTTCAAGGTACTGGGCCAGGTCTTCAGCGTCGCCGTGATATTGCTATGGTGCCTGGTCGCGGCGCGCACGGCAAAGGGCGCGTGGACGGGGAAGCTGTTTTTCGCGCCATGCTTGGCGAATCTGAAAAAGGATGGGGAGGATGGGGGGAATGCTGGTGGTGGCCGGGAGGAGGAGGAGAGGGCGTGATGATCGCGATATATTTTTAGATGTAGTTGTTGCGGAACGTGTTTCGTCAATGAACATCACGCAATAGATCTACCCGGCGCGCGCCAAGTCCAGAACAAAGCGCATTGCAAGTGGCCGGGGTGATGCCTGCCTCGGCGAGATTAGCATTAATGATGAGCCCCAGGCCCAGAAACCCCAGTCGTCATCTGGCCAAGCCCCCCGGCGCTTCCTGCCTCTCTCCCTCAGCTCTCACAACCAGTCGTCCAAACCGCAACCGTTCTCCTTCCTCTCTCCCGTGGTACATCCTCCTCCGTCAAATCCCCCGCCGACGCAACCCTACGCCTGCGAAACCGACGACTGCCCGCACACCTGCACGAGCAGCAGCAGCCACCTCCGCCAGACCCACCCCCGACGCGAACGAACGACCCTCTCTCAGCAACCATGTCGGAAGCCTACGAGCGCGAAAGGTACGTCCGCAGCCGCCCTCGCTCCACTCCAGCCCGCACCACACCGCGCAACCACATCCCACAGCTCCGCTCTCGCACACATACACGCACTGCAATCCCGCCTCGGCTGGTGAGGCGCATAGCGCCGCATCGCAGCGCATCGCATCGGCGCCTCATTCCCCAACGCCGCCCAGCGCCCCCGCCGGCGCCGCCAATCACACACACACATTCTGCAGAGCGCAAAGATATGAAGGGCTTGCAAGCTATGCGAACCAGACGCTAACACGCGCGCGCGCGCAACAGGCAGAACAACTCGCGCCTGGACGAGCTGGCCTCCAAAGTCTCGGCCCTGCGCGGCGTGACGATCGACATTTACGACAACGCGCGCGACCAGCGGGTGCTGGACAACACGGTATGCCTGCAATCCCTCCGCAATCTCCCCCGCGGCGTACAGACCACAAAGCAGAACTGAGGACTGAGGACTGACGCGACGATGCTGTAGAACGAAACCTTCTCCTCCTTCTCCGCCTCACTCAAGGGCAGCGCGACGCGCCTGACGCGCATGGCCCAGTCGGGCAACAAGGTCGCCATCCTCAAGCTCGCCGGCATCATTGCTGGCACTGTCATCGTGCTGTACTGGATCTGGGGTTTGGTCTTCGGGCATGGGAGCTCCAAGTAAAATGCAGGGTTCACAGCTCGCTCATGGTCTCGTGAGGAGATTCTGCTGAATGGACAATATTATGGGGTTTTTGAGGGTATGGGGTGGAGGGCTGTAGGAATCGTTTGGAAGAATGGAGTGGAGAGAATGACTGCCCGTGGGGAGGCTGATTGGCTGGGTGGATGGCTGGCTGGAAATATCAGGTTGAGAGCGCAGGCGGGAGGAGCGTTCGAGAGGAAGAAGCAGGAAAAGTTGAATATGGCCAGGAGGGAATCGCGCGCTCTTTCTCCCCCAGTCAAGAACAGTTGCGGACACTCTGGCGCTGGTATCGCTTGTTTCTGGAAGAGGACAGACAACCGGGACTTCTGGAGCAGATCCCCGGTCATGCTCCGGAATGGCGCACCATCGACGTCAGCGTGGACATTAGCAGCGGCAGACTGAGCTCCAAGGCCGGGGAGACGGCTCGCAAAGTTTACGTCCGCCCGCTCCCCTCCCCCAAACCCAACCTAGCACAAGCGCCAACTTTTTTTTTTTTTCGAGTATTCTTCAGAGTCCATTGCGGGTCAAAGGGCGCTAATACGGAGTTTATTATTCTATTTCCTGTCTTTCAATTCGCTGTTCAATTTGCGTCATTCCTGCATCCAGAACGCCAAGATGGCAACAAGAAAGAATACGGAAGAGAGCGAGCGTAGGGAGCGCAGGCACGAGGAGTGCCTCCGAAATGTCAGGACACAAGCATTCGGCGTTTGGGTTTCCTCAAGTTCAATCGTGTACAAAAAGAACAAGACAAAATTTCCTAGTATACCTCGCGAGACCCCTCGATTGCAATTCCAATCCATCATCATATTCATCAAAACTTTTTCCATTTTTTGATAATTAAGTCGTCCGCACGTACCATCTCCAGTCTACAATCATACACGACCGTTTAGTTCAGTTTGAAGAAAACAAAACGTAAGAAGAGAGGAAAAGAAAAGGAAGAACGGGGCGCTGCCAAGAAAATATATATATAATCATCTCATTAACCGCCATCCGTCCATCAATCCATCCATCCTCGTCCTCTTTATATAAAACTCCGTAAACTCCGACCTAATGCTCCAACCATCCGCCCCGCGCGCGCAAGAATGCTTTCCTCCCCATACACTCGCAACAAGTCAACGAAAGAAGGCCCCTTTACCACGGGTTGCCGAAGAGATCGTCACCGCTGCTCACCCCAGTGACGGGCTTCGACGCAGACGGGTTGGATGCGGCCGGCGCGGGGGCCGGAGCGCTGCTCCAGCCGCCAAAGTCGTCGTCCTGCGCCACCGCCGGCGTTGAAGCGCTGCCCCAGCCACCAGTGGATGACGACATGGCGGCAGGCGCCGGTGCGCTGGCCGTGGTGGTGGTCGCAGCGGGAGCGGCGGCGGGACCGGGGTTGGAGGCCCAAACGTCGTTCGAGCCCCACGGGTCGCCCATGCCGCCCAAACCGGAGGCGTAGTTGACGGACTGCGCGGTGGGCTGGGGTGCTGCTGGGGAAGGCTGGCTGGGTGCCATGGGGGAGGAGAGGTTGAAGGCGGAGTTGGTGGCGGCGGGGGAAATGGCCGCGGGCTTGGACGGCGCTGCGGCAGGGGCGCCGAAGTCGAGGCTAAACAGGTCGCCCGAGGTGCTGGCAGCGGGCTTGGAGGCAGCGGGAGAAGAGGACGCGAAGCCGCCAAAGTTGCTGCCGCTGCCGATACTGGAGGTGCGCTGGGCCTGGGGAGCGGCGGGCTTGGAGAGAGGGGCGTCGAAGAAGCTGCCGCCACTGCCGAACGATCCGAGGCCGGACTTGGAGCCGGACGGGGTGTGGCCTGCAGAGGTAGGCTTGGGGGTGGCACTCATCAGGTCGGCGAATGGTGAGGGCTTGGCGGCCGGCTGGGTGGTGTTGGAGAAGCTCAGGCTGCTGAAGGCATCCGTCATACCACCAAATCCACCACCTGCAGGCTGACCGGCAGTGGGTGACTGCTGAAACCCAGGAGATCCGAGACCAGGGGATCCAAGTCCTCCAAAAGAGCCAGAGCCAGAGCCGGTGTGTTGGTGCCTAACGGGTTGAGCGGCCGGCTTGGCGGCGTAGAGGGAGAGAATGGACTGCTTCAGGTCGGGGCGAGATTGGGCAGCCGGAGCTGAACCAGTGGTGCTCGCAGGACGGGCGGGCGTGCTCGAAGGCGAAGAGCCAAAGAAATCCAATCCCAAAAGCGAATCGCCGGGCTTGCTTTGTTTGGGCGGGGCGGCGTCTGTCTTCGGCGGAGGTGCCCTTGCGGAGGGCGGGCCAGTGCTCGGGCGCGAGGGCGGCGGGTCGTCACCGAAGATGTCCATGGTCGGCTGCTTTCTGACGGGAGCAGGAGCAGCATGGCTGGCGGAGGCAGCAGCGCGCTGGGAAGTGGAACGCTCCAACTTGGCTTTCTCCTGCACGACGTTCAATGGCTGACGGCCGGATCAGCACCGTGCCAGCTTCGCACTAGGTTGTAACTTACCACGTCGTCGTCGCCTTCAGCATCCAGAGTCGCGGGATCAGGCATCGGCCCGTCCATGACCCAGCGCTTGGAATCGTACTTGGTGCGGATGAAGTTCTCAATCTTCCTGTCGCAGGGTCAATCGTGGTGTTTCAGGATACGCGGCGTTGTGTAGCTTACGATTCCGAAGGGATGTGGCCAGGCGCCAGCTTTGCCTCCCAGTACCTACTGTGGTCAGCCACTGCTTCTGATCTCCTTGTCATACCGCCACTCACTTGTTCGCCCTGGCATTGCCCCACCGCAGCATGCTCTGCAGCTGCTCGTCCGTCCACGAGTCCAGGTCGACGGACTTGACTCTGCTGATATGGGTGCCCATGCCTCTGTGGATTCCGGAGCATCTATCGCCATCGTCAGCCGCCGTCCGGCAATGTCGCGCGAGTTCGTTGTCAGGGGTTGATATACCGGATGCAGATGAAAACTCCCAGGTTCCAGCTGGCCCATCGCGGGTCTGTAGAGGTGGCCGTCAGCTTCTGCGCTCACACATGCGGCTGAGATTGAGGGGAGAGCGTACGCTTGTTCCTCTTGCAGTCGGCGCAGCTCTTGTTCGCCTCGAGCTTTACCAGGCTCTTGAGCGTCTGCGTGTTCTGGGCCGCACGCTCGGCAGCGGGGTTGGGGGCGCGCCGCGACATTGCTGGGGATTTCTCGAATTGCGCTGACGGATGGGGTGCGGGGAGCGAAGGGCAGGACTCGGGCGGCCAGCGGGATCCGGTTTGGTCAGGCGCAGGCAGATGTCTGAAGTTTGGGTCGGGTTCCAGCTGGCGCCCGGCGGGACGGTGTATGAGGCCTTGGCGCGCGGGCCCAGTCCGTCACCGCCTTCTGCGGCCCGGCCGTTCGGCACAGCTAGGTACTAGCACGTAGCACCAACCAGAGCGTCACCATGTCAATAAGGTGGACAGATAATAAAAAAGAGCTTATCATTCACGTCTAGCACACTCTGTTTCACTTTGAGATGAACGCACGAGGACAAAGAACCTGCTGTTAGAAGCCCAAGCGACAGGAAAGAAAGATTAACCCACCGTGCTGCACATGTGTCGTCACAGGAACGTTGCCACGGTGCTCATTAGACGTCACAAGATGTCCGGACAGGCTTGGTAGTCCATCCTGCTTGCAATTGGTTAACCACAATCACCAGAGGCGGCGGGAGATGCGTACTCGGTGCAGTTGTTGGGCATTGGACCAAAGATTTCCGATCTACTTTTCCCATACCGTCCAGAACGCCTTGACCTGTCAGTTGAAAATGCAACAAGGTTCCATACCTCACCACCGCCCTCCGTAACCGCGGCCGCCCCTGTAACCACCACCTCCACCGCGGCCGCCGTATCCGCCGCCTCCTCGGTATCCTCCTCTTCCGCCGTAGCCTCTGTCTCCGAATCCTCCATCAGGATCGCCTCGTCCGCCGCGGGGTCCGTCATCGGGGTCGTGGCGGGCTGGCGGCGGCTTGCCCTTGAGCTCCTTCTGCAGAGCCTCGTACGTTTTCCGCATCTGCGCATATCCGAGGTGCATCTTGCCGTAAAAGTGGTCGGCCAGACGGCGATCGTTGTCGAGCCTGCTGAGGTAGGCGCCGCAGACGTCGCAGACCTGCAGCTTCTGGTGGCCCGACGGGCCGGAGGTGTCGGACAGAGCCTTGAGCTCGCGCTCGCGGTCCTCCTTGGTCTGCTTCGCCTGCTTGACCTTGAAGAACTCGGTGACAGCCTGGTTGACGGCGCCCTCCTCGCCAAGTATCTGAATCTCCAGCAGGCCGTTCTCGACCGTCTTGGAGAGGTCGCGGATCTGGGTGAGCAGCAGGTTGGTCTGGCGGATCTCGTCGGGTGTTTTCTCGAGGCGGCGCTGGGCGCTGTCGATACGCCGGTTGCACTCGTCGACGTACTTTTGCATGTCGCGCAGGTAGTCGTACTCGAAGCCCCAGCGCCGCTTCTGGTCGGTGTCGGCGGCCTCATACTCGTTCTTGAGCGCCTCGCTGTGCACCTTGGGGCACGGGCCGAAGTCTTGCTTGGTGTTGGTGAAGAGGTCGTGCGGGCAGGTGCCGACCAGATACGAGCGGCAGACCTTGGGGTCGGTCATGGACAGCTGCGGGGCGCGCGTGCCGGGGCCCGACATGAGCTGCTCGCCCATGAGCTGCTCTGCGCCCGTCAGTACTTGGATCGTCGGTCAGGGACTGGATGCGGCTACTCACCGAGCAGCTTCCTCTGTTCGGCGGCCATGGCGACGGCAAAGCAGTCGGTGGCGCGGATGTGGATGCAGCAATGGGGGTTGTTGTGAGAGGTGGTGTTGATAGAGAGGTGATAAAGCTGGGACGCGCGCGACGGATTTCTCGTTTCCCGACCGCGGCTGCGTCGATCGACCGGGGTGCGGCGCGTCACTCATCAGACAGCTGCGCCCCGAAACTCCCCCACGCAGCTCTCTACGGCTGGAGAGCCGCAATGTTCCTCCTACGCGCCCTCTTCGGCCTCTTGTCGCTCCTTTTGCTGTCGTCGAATGTCAATGCCGACGCTGCCGACTATCACGAGCGTCTCTTGCTACGCCCGCTCCCGCAGAACCAGCTCCTAGCCTCCTTCAACTTCCGCAGCAACGCCTCCGCTTCATCTTTCGAGCACCAGAACTTCCGCTACTTCCCTCGCTCGCTGGGCCAGATCCTGCAGCATGCTCACACCAAGGAACTGCACCTCCGCTTCAGCTTAGGCCGCTGGGATGCCGAACAGTGGGGAGCTCGGCCGTGGAATGGAGCGCGCGAGGGCGGAACGGGCGTTGAACTGTGGGCTTGGGTAGATGCCGAGACTGAAGAACAGTGAGTCGCATGCTGGTCTCAATCTTGCGTGCTGGTTGCTCACTTATCTTCTAGAGCGAATGCGCGCTGGCTGACGCTGGCCAACGCTCTGTCCGGCCTCTTCTGCGCCTCTGTAAACTTCATAGACGCCACCAAGACTATTCGTCCTGTCAAGTCTTTCCCTCCGGAGCGCTATCCACCGGCTGAATCTCTCGAAAACCTTCACCTACTCCACGGCACCCTCCCGCACGAGGTAGTCTGCACCGAGAACTTGACACCTTTCCTGAAACTGCTGCCGTGCAAGGGAAAGTCTGGAGTCTCCAGTCTTTTGGATGGCCACAAGCTCTTTGATGCGTCCTGGCAGACCATGTCTATCGATGTGCGTCCTGTCTGCCCCGACGATGGCAGTGAGTGCGTCCTGCAAATGGAGCAGGTCGTGGACATGGTTTTGGACATTGATAGGTCGAAACGCCCGAGAGGTACGTGTGAAGCATTCGACTCTATGCTTCGTTTTCTCACATATTCTAGACAACCCCATCCCGAGGCCTAAGCCCATTGAGGAGATTCCATGTGACCAATCCAAGCCCTATCCTCAGCATGACTCTTGCTTTCCGATGGAGGCCACTTCTGAGCCAGCATGGAGCTTGAACGAGGTTTTTGGACGGCCGATAAAAGGCGCATGTCCTTTGACCGCTGAGGGGCCTGCTTCCGAGACTGTCTGCATCAACGTTCAGCCGGAGCGTGAGATCAAGATTGAGACATCTGCAAAGTACCGAGAAGCCAAGTATGAAGACGGCCTATTGAGGTGCTACGAGCTTCCCAGTAAGTTTACGCAGCAAAATTTCCTTATCGCTAGCTAACAAGAACAGCCGGTGCGGACTTCGACTTGGTGCTTCCTGAACAAACCGTGGAATCCACCATTCCTCTCGCTCAGCCTCCCTTGTATGCGGCTCGCTCAATCACGGGTTACGGCCAGGAGCGTGGTGGTCTCCAATCTGTCTTGACGAACCCCTCCGAGACTTCATCCGTCGATCTGATCTATCTCGAATCACTGCCATGGTTCATGAGAACCTATGTGCACACTCTTCGCGCGTTCGTTACTTCTGGAGACTCCAAGGTGGAGTGCCCGGAGTGCATTAAAGAGATCTTCTACAGACCAGCCGTGGACCGAAGTCGAGGAACGCACCTTGAGCTGATGCTCACGGTTCCCGCGAACTCGACATTGACTTTGACGTATGATTTTGAAAAAGCAATTCTACGCTACACAGAATACCCGCCCGATGCGAACCGTGGGTTTGACGTGGCGCCAGCCGTCATCCGCCTCCTCGATCATGCAGCAGATTCAAATTCGAGGGGTGTTTACCTTCGCACAACGAGTCTACTGCTTCCGCTGCCGACTCCAGATTTCAGTATGCCATACAACGTCATCATTCTCACTAGTACGGTTATGGCTTTAGGTTTCGGTAGCGTGTTCAACATCCTTGTCAGGAGATTCGTCGGAGCGCACGAGGTAGCCGCTTGGCAAGGCGGTGGGCTGAAGAGTGTTATCGCTGGTAAAGTCCAGCGTCTAAAGGCAAAGTTCCAACCAAAGGGCTCCAAGGCAGAGTAGATTTTTCACCATCAAACCATTCACCGCCAGCTTGCATCTATTCCGAAACGCGACAGTGTTCAGGGGCTCTCCTCCTGCGCGGAGACGATTGCGGAATATGGTCAGATTGGGGGCGGAAATGTGTCTCAAGTGCCTCATTGGCCAGCCTTGTAGACAATCGCAGGTTTTCCGCCCCAGCCAAGACCTGCCAAGGACCTTATAATGCTCTAAAGTGCGTTAATCCAGCGGCTATTCCGCGTTAACCCAGCTTTCCAGCTGTCTGACAGGAATGTCTCGGGCCATGTTCGCTGGCGGGAAAGACTGTAATACTACTTTAGCTCCGAATATCCATCAAAGTTCCGTCCATCAGTCTTGCTCTCGCTTTGTCTGTCCTTACTTGTGTGTGCGATCATGTTTTCAGCGCCGCACAGCATGTTGCGCATTCTTTCTTGTTTGTGTTTGCTTCATGCATACGTATTAGCTGAGACGATGAAACCCATCCAGACGGAAATCACCGACATGGTGTTTCCGGAAGAACCTGACGAACCATTCGGCGTATTTGTGCCTTCTAATGGTAGGTTTTCATCCAACGCATGTTGCTCGGATTGCTCACAGGTGATCAGCATACTATTTTATGAACACAACGACTGCGAGTCCGCCAACAGCAACAATCGTTCCGGATCCGACATGCTTGGCGAATTGCTCTTTCGCGGTGCGCAAAGCCCTGCCTTGGGTATGGAAGAAAGTAGTACCAACTGCTACAATCACACATGCCATCGAATACCATGTCGTCAACAATCGTACCAATGCTACGTCCATATCGACTTCGTATTTCTCGCTAAACGGCACAAACACTTACGTACCGCCCATGACGAACTCAGCCGGAACAAAGGTGGCCGAGATTACGATGGTTCTGGGCACTCGAGCAGATGGTTCCAACGTCACATCTGTAGCGACTGTCACATATCCTAGTATATACCTGCAGTACAACTCTGGCTACAGATGGTGGGGCGTCTTGCCAACTACGACTGCGGGAGGCCAGTCGGTTTGTTCCTGGGCGCCTTGGTGGGTGACCGCATCTATACCGACGTCGACCACTACAGCAAACAGTACAAGAACAAGAACGGTCGTAACGGATTTCGGCCCAAGCTCATGGGCTACAATGGCAGTTGGGGACTTTGTCACCTACACATCCATCGACCACTACAACGAGATTCCAGAGCCCGACCCTGAGGACCCCGAGGGAATCTGGTACATGCCTCAACGGCGGCAGGAGCTCGAGGAGGATGGCATCCCTCCGAACATTGAAGATGCAGCGATCAAGGAGTGCTTTCACGACTCATACCATGACGCTGGCGAGTTTGGAGGGCTTGGGCCGAAGGCACAGAGCTCGGCCATGTACCTCACCCTTACCGAGACTATACATGGGGATGACGACGATACTCCTGAGGCGTCTATCCCAATTGTAGTGAGCGTCACACTGGATCCCGTCACTTCCGACGTCCAGACCACGGCCGTAGGTACAGTCCGCCCCGGAAGTACCATCGAGCCTGGTCAACAACCCACGCAGGCCCCTCCAACCGCTGCACCAGTGTCAGACGTACCAAAGACTGTAGACAACACCGCGCTCCCCGTAAACGAGGGCCAGCCACCACCATCCACGGCGCCGGCACAAGAAGCACCGCCAGCCACTATCGTCGTCGGCGACGCGACCATCACACGCAACTCCAACTCCGACCTCGTCATCGGCACTCAGACTCTCCGCCCTGACACGCCAGTCACTCTGCAACCACCAAACGAAGGCCCTGACAACAACAACAACAACAACAACGACGACGACGACGACGAAAACAACAACAATGACAACAACAACAACAACGAAAACAACAACAACAACAACCCCTCCCCAACCACCGTCGTCCTCCAAACCAACCCCAGCGGCGAAACCCTCCTCGTCGCCGGCGACACTACGACCACCCTCCCCGCCGCTGCCGCTCCACCTCCACAGGACGAACAGCCCACTCCTGCCCCGGTCGTCGTCACCGCTGGTGGCCAAACCCTTACTCTCAACCCTACCACCGCCAACGATGGCAACGTTGTTCTTCCCGACGGCCAGACGCTATCCCCCGGCTCAACCATCACCCTCCCTGGCGCCGGCCCGGACGGAGAGCCCGCCACCATCGCGCTGCTGCCTGGCACCACCGCTGCCGGCGATGGCGAGGGCGATGGCAGTCAGGGGGCTTCGACCGGCGCGCCACTCCTCGTCGTCAACGGCGTCACGACCGCTCTTCCCACCGCCGCCACTACAGCCGGCTCGGCAGACGGGGCAGGGGGCGCCGCGTCGGTCACCGTGGTCGGCGGCGCGACGTTCACCCTCGTCCCGACCACTGTTACCGGCGGTGATGGCGCTGCTGCTACTGTCGGCACCGCTGTCGTCCTGCCCGATGGCCGCACCTTGGCCCCTGGTGCCTCCGCGACCCTTCTCGCCCCGACTGGCAGCGGCGCCGCTGCCGGCCCGACGCCCGTCGCGGTCGTCGTAGAGACGGACGAAGCCGGGACGGTGCACACGCAGTTGGTCGTCGGGAGCGTGACGGCGGAGCTTGGCGGCGGTGCTGCCGGCACTGGCACAGCTGCTGGTTCTGGTGGTAGTGCTGGTTCAGCAACCCCGACCGTCCTCCCCGTCACCCCGCTCGCAGACGGCGACGGCGTCGTCGTCGCAGGCCGCACGATTGGCGTGGGGGAGAGCGTCACGTTGGCTGGTGGCACGGTTGTAGCGGTGAAGACGGAGGGCGAAGGGGGTTCGGCAAAGACGGTGGTAGTTGTGGGGGGGAAGAGCGTGACGCTCAGCGGCAGTGCGAGCAAGACGGCCACGGCGGCAGCGACGACGACGACGGGGGATGGGCTTGGGGGCGATGTGTGGGAGGGTGTTGGGGGGACGAGGACGACGGCGGCGGGGACGGCTGCTGCAGCGACGAGTACGGGGGGTGGGGCGGGGAGGATTGGGGTCGGGGGCAAGGCTGTGGTGGTGGCGGTGGCGGGTTTGGGGTGGGCGGCGGCCTCAGGGTGCGGGTGGATGTAAGGGTTGCGGGTTTCTTCGAGAGTTCCTTATGCGTAATGCTCTTTAATATTTTAAAATTGATCTTTTCTTCGTTAATGCCCAGAGCTGGATCTCTGGGGGTATGACTTTTCCAGTTTAATCGCTTAAACCGCGGGTTAGGTTCATTTTAACATGTCGAATCACGCGAAGACTCATGAAGCCTACTTGTACGCGTGATAGAGGTAAACTTTCCAAGTCGTCAATATTCTATGTGGGTAGATGGTATATTTTTAATAAAAAAAGAAAATTGATCAGGAAGTAATCAACGTCTTTGCAATGACGTACAGAGGGATATCGCACCTGACAGCCAGACCTATTTTCTTTTCCCCGCTAAGTCTTACTTTCAGTTAATCTCACACGATTCTAGGTATCCTAGAAGGGAGCGTATAGTATAGATATATGTTTGGCATGCAAGCGGACAAAAGCACGGCCCAATATCTACTAGTCATATCAGGCTCCCCATAGCCATCCCCCTCCCCCCACCCAAAACGTCGACCACGATAAAGTCTATCCACCCTCCTAGAAGCCATCATCGACTGATGGATCCTCAAGGACGACGATTTGCTGGCCGTCGGTCGAAAAGCCGGTCGCGACCCACGCACCGGCTCTGAGGAGGAACTTTCTGACGACGCTACGGCCGAAACGGGCAACAACGTTGATAGGATCATCCACGCTAGGAACACCTTGGAACTGCAAGTTGACGATGCCATTGACGACCTTGTAGGCGATGGTACAGATGACGCCTTCGATCTTAATCTTCTCAGCATGGAGCCTGTTCTCCGGCTTGATGGTCGCGTACGGCCCGATGGCGCGGGCCTCGAGGATTCCACGCTCGTCAAGGTCTTGACCAGTGGTGCGTGCATTCAAATCCGCGCCAGCAGGGCCGTCGGCTTGAAGTTTTTGCGCGAAGCTGTCGGTGGAGACTATCAAGCACCGAGCATGCCCGCATGTAGGCTCGGGAGTTAGCCTAGCTCCAAGACCGGCATGGGTTCCACCTCGATGTACTGTACTACTTACGTTCTCCGCGAGACTCGATAGCCATGAGCTCGCCGGGGTTGACGGGCATGCCGTAGGCAAGGAAGGACGCCGGTAGCTGCGCCGAGCAGAATAGGAGTTCAACGAGAACTTGGCCACGCATTTTGGGAGAGAGAGGATCGTGGAGGAAGGAAGTGCCGATGAAGTGGGTAAGGTGGATTGAGTAGAGGACGAAGGCTTATGTATGACAGATACCGAAGCTGGATCTGAAGCAACCAGAATCCAGCTGCCACTACGCCGCCTTTTATAAGCACACGGCTCTTTAGGTCTGCCCGTCTTCGATAACCCTCACGTGGTGTGCTCCCACCATGGCATGATATGAATTTTTAGCTTTTATCGCGGGCCTTTACCTCGCATGCTGAGATCCACATCAAATTTCCCAGGCCACGATGGAAAGCCCCTCTATCATGCGAACTGACCATGCAGAGAGGCTGTGGGCTGATACAAACTCTCCCACTTCTCCTTTTATGGTACTCTAGTAAGAAATCGCAGAAGACTTTGATTAATGCGAGTAGACACGCGAGGTAGCCGACGATACAGTGGGGACTTGAATAATTCGGAGCCGATTCAAACCGGCCGTGGACACTGCGCGGGAGAGAGATCTAAGAGGTTGAGGATTCTAAAACTCTCTCTGTATGGCCTACTCGTCGATATCCATACGTTACGTCCACCAGAAACGATAAACAATCTACGAGTAAGATGTCTCGTATACTCTCGTATACTACTAGAGAAGAGCCTCGCCCGTAGGTCAGATGTGTTCTGAGTGATGTAAGTTAGGGGTGGGGCTTATCTATATTAAGCATACTGGGGTAGTAGATCTTATAATATTATACCATTATCGTCCGAAGTGGGTTAAGTGGTCTAAGTACCGATGACTAGTATAAGCTTTACAACTAAACTTAATTCTAGAGAACTAGCAATCGCTGCCGTAACGGTCGGCTCCTTCCGAAAAGCTTTCGGGTCGCTTAGCAGGCCGAGTAAAGCTTAAAGTAAACTTTAAAGTAATAAGAGGTAGGTCTTTCGACATCACGTTTCTATCTACGCCGAACGACTGCGATGTTAACCTGTATCTTACCGATTTTCTTCGTATGTCTACTTTCTAGCGTTCTATTTTCTAGTGCTGACTCTGCTGGTCAGCCCGTTCGCGCCGCCTTCCCGTAAGGCTTCTTTTCCCTCGAGGCTCTCTCACCCCTATAGGGCTTTCTCCTATACGGGCTTTCGGCCCTTAAAGACACCTTAAAGCCAAACGGCCCTTTTTTTCAGCGTTCTTAACAGATGGGTTAACTCGGTGTTAACAAACGGTGCTTCCCCTGGCATGCCCTCGTGTTGAATACGATTTATCTTGAATCGTCATTGGCGTCTGTCCGCGTGGACCCAGTATCAAGTGTCGTATTTTGACGGTCTAGACAGTACTGTGGTACTTGTCATGCCATGTTATGTCATGCTTAACTAGCGTCTCTATGTCAGGTGTATGTCAGAAGTAAGAAGGAGCTAGATAGGAGTATGTACTCTCTATATGAGAACTCGCGCTGTACTATATTCTAATAAAATCGATCGGTGCTTTCTATGCCATGTCTATGGTATGGAAAGAAATATACAAAGATAGATAGATAAGTGTCGGCGTCAGCGTGAATCAATACAGGTTGCAGATAGTAAGCGGAATAGGTTTACCATCGTTCATTATTCGGGGTCGTACGACTGATGCCTTTAAGTTATCATCGAGTCATACAGCCGCTCAGAACGTACGATGGAAACCGAGGCGTTAAACCGGAGGGTTATCTAGAGCTTGGGTATAAATTAGTACGGACGGCCGTCCTCGTTCTTCTCTCCATCGAACAGACAGCAACTCGTTCTATCTTACCAATCTTTCCTTCCAGACCAAGTCTACGCAAGCTTCCAGCTCCTCAAAGACATACCAATTCCGTCAAAATGCAGCTCACCAACATCGTTCTGGTTGCTCTGACCGTGTTCTCGAGGTATGCTCTACCCCAAACCCTACAGTCATATCTACCTCTCATGTTTATCGTAACGTTGCTAACTCTTACAAACGTACTTTTCTAGTTCCGCCTTTGCCGACCCTCATCGCAATCTTAGCTGCAACTACTTGGGCAAGTACGACTGGCAGCTGACCAAGGCTACGTGCGAAGAAAACTTCAAGAGCATGGTACGTGCTTCCTAGCAGCTTAAGACGACGTCGACCTCAGGCATCTAACGATCAATTTAGGCCAACTACGATCAGGCGTCTGGCTGGGTACGTGGCGAGACTCTCTCAATAACGCCCCCTCCTAAAAGAGCAAACCCTAACTCCTCCCCCCCTTATAGCAAAAGAAAAGCATGGACACTAATAATTTCTACTACACAGTGTGTTACCAACAGCCACCAGCGCATCGACGGCGACCGTTGGGAGAACGACTGTGCATCCATTGCTTGCCGTGGCTGGAGCCAGTACTACGATAGGGACACGGGCGATAGCAAGTATCGTTACCAGGACTGCAACCGTAAGAGTATCAAGGGGATTGCTCATGACTAGTGTTGCGGCACAGCGTTCACGGGGCTAGGAAACTACAGGATGAGGGAAGCAGTGGGGTGAAGCCGCTCGGCGTGAAAAGGACCCACGGAAGTTTTGTGACTTCCGTGACGCTGAGACTTTTGCTCTGCTCGAAGATTATTAATCTGCCTCAGCATGGCCCCCACCTCAGATTGTATGCACTCTCCTACATGTATATGAACCACACTCGTTAGATAGCGTTGACCATCGTGGCCAACTTCCCTGGTTTACTCCAGCAATAGAATTTGTACTCTATTGGTAACACGGCCTTCGCACACACAGTGCTGGAACTGCAGGGTAATCGTCAGCCATCATTTCCTCGGCAACTGGTTCCGGCGATTGTCCAGCGTCTGCCGACTCTGCGGGTTGTGCATCTGTATTGCATGGGTCCGGCTCTAGACTGTTGTCTGTTATTGCTTTATGAGAACGGGATCTGCAAGGGCTACCAAAGAAATGCCAGAGCCGGATCTCTGGATGTACAACTTTTCAGATGTGGGACTGCGCGGACCGCAGGTGAATGCATGATTTTGAACAAAGCACGTTCCCTAAATGCTGAATCACTTCAACTACCTAAATCATCGAGGAAAGCGCCAGCAAGGCAATGCGGGTTCATGTGTTTACATCCAAATCGAGGTCTTGGTGAGCTTTGGGGTGTTATATTTTCGGCGAGATTTAGCGGCCCAGTACGAACATCGCGGTCTAGGATTGTCGCTGTGTTGCCTCATTGGTAGTATAAGAATAGAATCCCCGTAGCACCGAATAGTGTTTCAGATGTATTCTTTTCACCGGTGGCTTTCACTTCTTGGGAGATATGTTGCGAATAGAATTTGGGGGCGGTTCTGCGTGAAACTATCGATGTTTTCGATTCCAGGGTGCCCTGTCGGCTTACCTGCAGCTACACGAATTTGACCTATAGGGCCCCTGCAAATTTTGAGGCTGAGAATCTTCAAAGACTTATTATAGGTAAGTTCGTATTAAGCGCCAGTGGATACCCCGTGCTGCCTGCGCTCGTATCTCACAAGTGTCGTGTCTGCCGCACTTGCCGCCTTGATTGAATGTAAGCGATAACATATGCATGGGGGCCAAAGAATTTGATGCATGATTCTTCTCAGCCTTACCCCAAAATTTTCCCGTAGTAATGGCTGAAGAAAAGTCACTATCTGTTGTTTCTAAAATCAGGGAGGCTGCATGGATAAGAACAGTGGGGCTTTACAGATTGCTCGCAAATAAAAAGTAGCCATTCTCGAAGACTCCAAAGTCTCACCTGTTAGCAAGTAGCCCACGATTTGATCGTCACACCTCCTGGGTCACCATGAACTCAGTTATTGCGCAGCAAGCAGTGGATCCCACGTCGGCTTTTGACGTGTACTGCGGAGTCTGGACAAACTGGTCTCGTGGAATAGTCCTTGGTGCGACGCTCACTTTGAGTCGCAACGATGGAAATCTCCTCATCGCGTTCCTTGCATTCTTCGTAACTGTCGTCGGCACCCAACTATGGAGGATTTTCTGCTTCGCATTTCACTCCCTATTTTCATCCGAGAGTCCAAAAGACGGGCTCCATCACCAACGGCAAGCCCTTCTCCGAAACTCAGGAACAGCCGCAGCAGGTCTATTTACAATGGTTCAGCTTCTGTGGGCGTGGCGCCAGACTGCTAAAGACTTATACCGGCGCATCCTACCGATCTTGACTGGCACGGCCTTGTTCGCATGTGCATTTGCAGTTGCAAGCGGCTTTTCTTCCCGAGTCTCCACATCCGCCGGCAATGAAGTTCTGCTTTCGGGCACCAGTTGCAGAGCACTAAACGATTCGAGCGGGTTGACGACCATGGAAAGAGAGACACTGAAGTTTCCATTCTACTCGAAAACCATTGCTGCGGCCTCGAACTATGCGCAGCAATGCTACTCTACCAACGCCACTACTGGATCACTGGAATGCAGCGTTTACATAAAAAAACACCTGGGTACCTCCTCGATACGAAACGCCAGTTGCCCCTTCCAACCAGGCGCCTGTCGTAGCGAAAATTCCTCTCTTCTTCTCGATACTGGCCTGCTGGACAGCAACGATGATTTCGGACTGAACGCTCCTCCTGACCAACGTTTTCAATACCGGCGCCGGTTACATTGCGCGCCGTTGGCCACTGAGGGTCTGACAAGCCAGCACAACATCTCATCAGACAGGTCTTACACCCGATACCACTTCGGCCGCATGACATCCCGCGAAATCACTGGCAACTACACATACGAGTACTCCAACGACGCAATCTGGGAGTCCAAGCAACTCCAGGACACCCACCGCGTAAAAGATTACAGCATCGGGTACGCGACCTCCCCCCCTCTCCCCCTCCCCTTCATCCCCACAAACCCCCAGCTTACACTCCCAACCACTAGCATCCTCGCTTCCTCCTTCAGCAACAGCAGCCTCGAACCCAAATCCGACTTCATCCCCACCCCCTCCATCGCCCAGGCCAACGCCGAACTCATCCTCTTCTTCCTCTCCGCCAACTCCATCATCTTCGCGGAAAACACGACAGACGAATGGTACCGCGCCACCCACGTCGCCGGCCGCAAGTACCTCAACGCCAACCCCAACGCCACCGTCCCCGTCTACGCTCAGGACGAACCCGCCTCCCCGCTCGCCTGCGTCCAGCAGGAGCAGCTGTGCTTCCCGAGCTTACCTGCGGACCAGCGCTGCACGCCGCTCGCGGCGCGGAACGCTGTGTACGAGAGTGCGGGAGCGCTCTTGCTCGGGGATGGTAGCAGCAGCACGTCGGCGGCGAAGGCGGAGGCGGCAGACCGCCTGCAATGGGTCATCGCGACGGCGTTCACGGCGCTGCAGCTGGAGTCAATCGTGCACACGCTCGGCACCCGCTCGCTGCTGTCGCGGTTCAGCCTGTATTCGAACGTCCAGGCGCCGCTGCCGGACGACCAGTGGCAGCGCGAGGTCGAGCTGTGGCACGACACCGTCCTCGCGTTCATGCAGGAGAGCTTCGTCGCGGCGGCAAGGGGGCAGTCGGATGATCCGAGGATGGATAAGCTGTTTATGGAGCCGGATAGCGCGGAGGCGAAGAGTATCTGCAGGAATCAGGTCAGTATTCTATCTATCTATCCCCCATTCCCTTTTCCCTTAACTCACAAGGGGGAAAAAAAAAGAAAATCCGCAGCACAGCCTACGTCTCCTTCTCCCTCCTCGGCCTCGCCCTCATCCTCGCCCTCGGCGCGCTCATCATCGTCGTCGCCGCGACACTCGAGCCGCTCGTCGGCTGTGTTCAGCGGCGGTGGGGGAAAGCAAGGGGTCAATACGCCCGCCTCGAATGGACCGCCACCGAGACGCTGCAGCTGCAGCGGCTGGCGCACGAAGAGCTCGGCTTCGGCGGTGCTTGGACGGGCGCGGCGGAGACGGTGCCCGTCACGGCTCCGGGGGAGCTGTTGGCGATGCTGGATGTGAGGGACTTGGAGCATCCGAGATTGCTGGGGAAGGAGGGGGCGGGGCTTTGTGAGGAGTCTGAGAAGGTGGGGGATCAGCAGGGAGGTGGGGAGGTGGTGAGCGGGGCGAAGCAGGGGGTTGATGGTGAGGCGGAATTGCGGGTTACCGTGCAGCATACGCAGGGCTCCTCGTTTTCGGGGGGGTCTGAGGAGACGTTGGGGAGGGATGAGAGTGTTTCGCCGACTGAAGTCGTGACGAGAGAGGCGTAGCCGCCTCATCAAGATTCAAATTTGAGAATATTGGACATTAGCTTTAAATGCATGGTTTTGTCTTGAAAGGTTATACGTGGTACAAGAGGAAATAGGCATTCAATCTACTAATATAACGTCCGCCGTGCTAAAGCACGCTAGACTAGAACTACGCAGAAGCGTGTGGAATCTCATTTCCCCTTCCAGCATTGGTCCAGCATCTCCCTGATCTTCAACGTCTTGACTTCTGGAAACTTATCGTTTAGCGCACCTTCACGGTCCAGCGCCATGAACCCCTGGACCGTCCACTGCCCAAATGCAGACATTGTCTCCTGCAGCTCACTCTTTGGGAAGTAAATATAGAGACTCTCCATCCCCGGCAGCTCAGTAACTTCGCCACGTTGTAGCTTCTCCATATCATCGTACTTGACGTCGAACTTCTTGCCTGCGGAAAGCAATCATTGTTAGTGTGTATTTAACTTCCACATGCCTCTCGTCCTTGCCTCGTAATCTGCTTTAGTTGTCATAGAAATAGTTCGGAACTTACCCCTCGCCTCCTCTGCCATCTTCAAAAAGTCATTGAGCTTGACTGTATCGCCAACGATCCTCATCTCCTCATCCCATCTTGGTAGATCCAGCGACTTCACGACGAATTGCGCAACGTCGAAGCTGTAAGTGAATGTCATTTGAGCTTCCCCATCTCCCGGCAGCGCAGCCGCCGCGTTGATCATGTCAATTGGCCACGAGTTTGGAGGCAGATACGTCTTGATGTGTGGTGCGCCAAAGTAATCCATGAATGTGCCTATAGTGAAGCGTGTCCACTCAAGTGAAGTCGTTGTCCTCAGGAGCTCGACAGATTCGACTCGATTCTTGATGACTGGAAGATGCAGCCAGTTCCTGAAGTTTGGAAATTTGTTAGACCTATTGGGGGTAGGAAACAGAGACAGAGATTCTACCGATCAAGCTGCGAAATGGCAAAGTCACTAGTGACGAACCGTTTCGGCGATTCGGCTGCATCAGCAGCACGGATAAGGTTCAGCTGGGATGTACACTCGGACGCATCGTTGAGAGACAGTGCTGAGATGACGGTATGGATGCTGTGTTCCTCAAGGGCGTCGCGCATGCTCTCGACGTTATTATAGTCGACCTGCACCGCGATAGCATTTCCAACAGACTTGAAATCTGAGGGTGCCTGGGTATCTATTCGTTAGACTCGTTTCTGCTATCCGTCATCCGGGGAGAGACCTGCCTTTCGAGAGAGCACAAAGATCTTATGTGGTGAATCTTGGAAGGCCTCGACGATGGCACGGCCCAAGGCGCCGGTGCCTCCTGCAATAGCAACATTGACCATCTTGAGATATTGAAATGATGAAAGCCAAGGGGATGTGTAGAATATGTGGTGCCGATACTTTCTGCTGGAAGACTTCGCCTGTACTCAAGTAAGGTAATCTCGTCGAAGCTTGAATTTATATTTGAAGCATAGGAACACGATATTTATATTCGATTCCTCGTCATTAACTCGGGTGCTACATTTATCCGCAATAATTGTTAAGCAGGACACGGGAATATTCGGATTCCGACCGGAAAGGAATATTTGCCGAAGAAGGCTCCGTAACACGGACGCTTCCACGCTCCCGCCCAATGAGATGCACCAAAAAGAGGCACCTCGAATGAGTCTAATACCGTGTCCACGCATCAAGGGAGCACGGAAAACAAAGTATCCGAACTCCACCGATAAAACTCGTCCGGCGAACAGTCTTAACTACAATCTTCGGCTAGTTTTGAAAAGGTTCCGGAACCCGCCCACCGCTGAAGCTTGCTCAATGAAAAAAAAAGACAGCTTTTTCTTTATCAGAAAGATCCTCAAAGGGGGGACTGACTGTCTTCAAACAATCCTTCACCCCTGTTTCTTCAAAGCTGGACAGGGCTGTAAGACGTCCCTCCAATCGATTGATGAACTTCTTTTATGGGTATGGAATATCGAGATCCTCTAAAAGTGGTGGTGTTTGTCGCTGTACAAGCTCAGACTTGGCCTTTGAGTCTGTTGAACCAAGATATCCAGATTTCTTCTTGGTAGAAAGGCGGGCATTCTCAAGGAAAGAGATACCTTCCAGGCAGGGCTAGAACATTCGAAGATTTGAGGAGCCGCAAGCAATGCCTAGCTGGCCAGCACCGTTATCCACGAAATCTTTCACCGACTGATGTATGAAGTTCACTGTTTTCGGGTTGCCGTGCGATACTTGTGCAAGCCCCCGGGTGAGATCCAACACCACGTTCACCAATAGCTCGTCATCAGCGTAAGCTCAGGTGGTGATCCCCTGACTTTTCGTCGAACGTGGGCAAAAAGCTATCGTCCGGACGAGAATGTGAAATTAAAAATTCTACATACACGTCCGGACGATGGCTTCAGCTACCCATGACGTGAGAAAGAAAAAAAAAGGTCCACGCGGGCCATCACCTGCGAGAGGGGACTGTACAGCTTTTGGTGTTGCTGCCTTCAAATTCAAACAACAGTATGCCTGTCCAAGCTACGTAGCGCGAGTCTGCGCCCTATTTAAAGACATGACTTCTTTCCGTGGTGTTGCCCACTCTTTCCTTCCGAGTTTCCAAGCTACTACTAATCGTTTTCACGAGGCCCCCATCCTTCCAACTATGCATGATGGATCAAATAAGTCCTGAACACCGCTGAAGCGTCAGCAGTGGAAGAACCAGCTCTGCATACTTGGATTGGCGGTTGCCCTTGCGTCGGAATGAATCCGGCGAAGCCAGCAGCTTCATGGAATTCAACTTCGACGATGACACAACGCACGGCTTTCCGCGGAACAGCCTCGCGCTTACTTCTTTGCGTCCAGCATCGAGATCACTGTCCTCCTACCATGCTCTCGAGCAAGAATCTGATTCTAGCACTACCACCCCGCAGCCACACTTTGGAGAAGTCCACGATATCACATCCCAAGACCCGCTCGTCGGCAATACAAACAAGAAGTCTGAGCAAGATGGTGCACATGCGCCGCGTCCCAAGCGTTTTTTCCAAGACTAGTGGTTCTGGGAGATGCTCGGTGCTCTGCTAAGCATTGGCTGCATGGGTGCTGTCGTTATACTAGGGTTGTAAATCGACGGTTTGTCACTCGCAGACTGGACCTTCGTCATGGCACCAAGTACTGTTATTTCAACGTTAATTACAGTCACCAAGACGTCGATGTTGCTATCAGTAGCCGAGGGACTCAGCCAGCTCAAGTGCATTTATTTTTTGACCAAGAAAAGACCTCTCAGTGAGCTCGAGGCATTTGATGAGGCTAGCCGCGGTCCTTGGGGATCAATTATAATCTTCTGGAAGATCAAAACAAGATCACTACTTGCACTATCCGGCGCTTTTCTGACCGTTACAGCTGTGGCAACGAGGCCATTTGCACAGCAGATAATCTCGATTGAAACCCGTACAGTTCCACGTGCTGGGGCCAATGCCTCAACTCTAATCACCAATAGATTAGAAGGTCCTGAGCATGCCCGCTACCCCATTTTCAGTCGTAAGTAAAAATGTTCAGGGGGAACTTAGGCCAATGGCACAGTTCAACTAACTATGTCCTTCCTTGTGACAGACACAGATCCAGATGTACAGACCGCAGTATACAGTGGCCTGCTCAAGCCTGGCCACCCGTTCGAATACAATTGTGTCTCAGGACATTTCGCCTGGCCCGAAGTTTATTCCCTCGGTTTCTGCAGCATATGCATCGAAATTCACGTTCTTATGCAATCATTGCTGGAAATAAGGGTGAGACGAAGTTTGTGAGAGATTGAGACAGGCCTCAGTGGTGCCATTCACCGGTGGTATCTTGTTGTATTGTGTGCTCCCAATCAGCTTACGTCCGTGTCTTGCTTTCTAAGGATATTTCCTTGTCTCTTTTGGTTTTTGTATCTGTACCATAATCTTCTCAATTAACATCATTTCAAATGGTGCATCGGTTCTTTCGTAACTCGGTGACGACTACCGGAAGTATTTAATGACTTTCCCTTCCAAGACTACCTGAGTGCCTTCACATGCGCTTCACAGACGCCCTTCACTGCCCGCGTAGTCGGCGGCTTGTCAGCTCGCTCGTTTCCGCAAGAGATTCGATATCGGCTCTCACGTTTTGCGCGTATTCGCCCAATCCCCAGAGATGGATCTCGTTGATCCAGTTCACACATTCCTCAACACCTTCGACAAGGTCAAGATTGCCGCGATCAACCTTTTTAATATCCGTTCCCATCCATTCGCCGTGTGTTGCAACTCGAGGCGCCGCGAGGTATACCTCCCATTTGTGGCCACAAATGATCATTCCGTAGTGTCGAATAGCCGCATCGTCAGCCGTAGACCACTTGACACCTCCAATTTCAGTCTCCTTTTTCATCCTTTCGCGAAGGTGGTACCGGTTAAACTGGCTGATTGTAGCTGCGGAAGCCATCCGATTGACAGCTTTCTGCACGGCCGAGCTATCCCAGGGGTCCTGTTCGAATGCTACACTCAAGTACGGAAGAATGGCGCGGTCTCGATAGAGACATGTATAGTAGCTGGCAACTGACTTCCAAGTACCCTTGAAAGCTTGTAGTGATAGCCAATAGGCGATGTCAGTAAACAGTTTGAAGTCGCAGGGTTTTGTATCGTCGTCTTCCGCCAGGATGGGCGGGGTGAACCAATCTAAAAACGACTCGATAAGCTCCTCGTCCTTCCGCTCCGCCATGAATAGGCCAGTCTTCTTCCGGTCACGGTTCATTACGTCTTGTCGAAACAAGAACGTGATGGCTATGTTTATCCAGCGCCGTTTGCTGTACCGCCACAATCGCCCTGTTTTATACTCCGCCTCAAGTCTCTCATTGAATGCAGGGCCTCCGTCAAAAAATTGGTCGATCTCGGGGCTGAGCAACTTCTGGTAATGCGCTACCTTTCCAGACTCGGGGGCGATTTTTGTTTGGAAATGATAGAATGGGTTTTCGTTTATTTCGCCAGGGATGCACCAAATCATCTTCACTCCACGCGGGCGAAGGGCCGTAATCTCGTAGTCTTCGTCATCGCAATCTGCGGACTTAATGGTGGTGCTGACATAATCCGTCGTCGCACCGTCCTGGGTGTCGGATCTCGAGGCAGTTCTGACTGCAGACCAAAGCCGGTCTGTTTGTGAGGGTGCGGAGTCGGGAATCGCAGAGTCGACGTTGGTGGCGGTGCTGCTTTGCGCCTGCTGTTCTTGCTGCTCCATGGCTGCTGCGATGGATCTTTCGCAAGCCGCACCTGTGCGAACACAGAATTATGTGGCGTTGCAGCTTTGCCTGTGCTGAAATTCAACGGAACGAAGGATGGGCCGCGTAGCCGAATTGATACAGCTACGTGGACTAAGCAGATTTATGTTTTCAACAGGGTCCACAGTAGTCCCTTGGTCTCGGAAGATAGGGATAATCAATACATATGGGCAGTAGAAGCCATCATCCGGACGTGAGCGTGTAATTATTAATTGTACATTCGCGTCCAGATAATTTCTTCAACTACCCATGACATGAGCCAATGTAAAATTATGTGCGTATGATATGCAAGAAGAATTCGTGTTAGCATTCGGTTTTACTTAGTCAATAAACACAGTGTCGAAGCGAGACCCTTTTCCCTCTAGACAACTTAAAACCTGACACAGAAAATTGTCTTTACAAAAATAAAATGAATATAGTGTAAAGGAATTCTTCTCTGCAAGTAAAGAAGACTTATATTATCTCACAGGTGCGCTCCTCAATATCTTCTCCGCGCTCCCACATGTCAATAACTTCACCATTCATGATACCATCAACATAACACTCCCCAACAAGCTTCCAACTTTTCCTGAACTGCCTCAGTACAAAAGGGACAGTAGAGCCAAAAGGAATAAAAATCGCGTCGCCTTCTCGCGAAGCTGCTGGGCCGAGTCCAAAACCTCCCCTGCGGGTAACGAAAAAGCACCTCGACTGGCAAACAGATGCAGCCTGTTCCAAAAAGAATAAGGACGCCTTCTCTTCGCTTTTATACTTGTTGGTAGCCACCTTCTTTGCGTCCTGTCCTCTGACAAAAATTCCATGTACTCCTCTTTCATTAACGCGTCTCTGAAGGCATCTGAGTGACGCCTCCAAGTCACCGTTCCACACCAAGGGGCTTGACTGGCCGCGTGAGAACCACAGATAGTTATCTGCAGTCAGGGTTCTCTGGTACGCTTCCCAGAAATACAGTGTCGAGGAAGCCTTTCGCGAAAGCCCGGCGAGCTCGGAGATATCATCCCAGATGGATGCAACCGGATTAACGCTGAACGTATTGTGATAGTCGTCAGGGTCGTCGGAATCTTCGTCGTCGTGGAATACTTTCGGGATCGTCTTCGGTAAACTTTTCAGGCGACTGAATGTTGTACTGGTAGGTAGTAGAAAGTGCCTCATCCTCATTGCGTCAGACCGATAGTGGATTTCGTCGAACAGTAGCCCGCGAATGGTCAAAGTCCGGCCATGGAGTTGCATTTCCGGTCGGGTCGTCCCACCAGATCCGTAGCGATTGTCCAATCCAAGGATGGTTTGTGTCATGTAGTCATGCGAATCCCATCGTGGTACCCATGTGGGGAAGGCTTTCAGCTTTTCAGAACCTGGAACTGGGTGTTGAACCGCAGAGAGCAGTTTGAGAGGCTCAGATCCCAGTATCAGCTTAGTCGCGATCTCGAAAGCAACTTCTTTGCTTGATTTGGTGTAGTCTGGCTGCACTATTGTGTCTGGGGGTTTGTATTGGCGTGCAGATGGATGACTCAAGAGCGCAAACACCTTATCGCGAGCATCTGTGGCTTTGCTTTTTCGTGCTCGGATAAGCACCTCCAGGAAGTCAAGCGCAGAGCCTTCATGCCAGAAGTCTCGAGTCATCAGGTCGATCCTGCTGGGGTACATTTTGATGCTGTTTCTGATCGTAGGGCCTTGCGCTTTGAGGAATGCGGAAGTGAAGACAACCATCTCCCACGGTATTATCAGCTTGAAATAATACACCTTCACCCTGGAAGCCAGGCCAACTTCTTGCAAGACCCAAACGCGGCCATGCCACTGGTTCGACAGGAGGTCTGCAAGGCCCTGTCCTGGCAGACCAACGAGGCGTTTCCGGATGCCCTTGAGTGGCACGGGACTGTTGGCGAAAAACGATGGCGGGGGATTTGGATACAGCGGGATCTTTTCAATCGGCTCATACGCACTTTGTATGTCGTTCATGAGTTGCGCACCGAATTGAGCTCTTATGTTGGCATCCTGGTACTTCTTTCTGCGTAGCCGGAAGTCGGCAGGACTCATGCATACGATGACTTGATCGGCCTTCGCATATATTGAGCCCATGATAGCCACCTGTTGACCGCGCTCCACTCTGTCTTTCTGGTTGATGCAGATTGCATCAATCCACACCCGGCTAAGTTCGTGATCATCCAGGAGCGAGCGAATCCTTGCAGTCCAGAGAGCCTCGAACGTTTTCGTTGTCGTCTTGAAGTGCCGACCGTTCAGTTGAATTTTTATCGATCTCATTTGGCTGCCTCCCCAGGCATAGGAAATTGCTTTATACGGAGGTAAATCATCAAGATCAACGTGTATCAGCTGTGCAGAGAGGTTTGAGTGCCACCGTCCCCTCTCTAGCTCCAGAAGCCTCATTTGGTTTTTCTTCAGCGGTGTGTATACGAACCTGTCCTCCATTACGTTTTGCAGAGATATTTTGCCTGTGGGCTCTCTGGTTTCATTTTAAAGATAGTTCCAGCAAAGGAAAACTCATTTAACAACCCTTTTCCATATTTCAGCATGCTCTTGCGCCAGGCAGCAATATGCAAATGTTGAATGCGGAGATAAGCAGCGTAAGCGAAGCTCAATCTGGGTTCGCCGACATGCATAGCTGCGGGGCGAAGACGTGTCACCATAAGTACATCATACAGTCTGCATGCATATCACGCCATGCATCTTTCCCCCACTTCATTCGCTTCTCAATTTGTTGAGACGGGGCAAACTCATCGTGGATGGACAGGATACCATGCATCGCCGCAAAATCGGGAACGGATCCTCCTCCGTGCAGATCAGTCAGCAAACCACTCATTCGATCGCATGTCAGACCATGCTCTCGATCACATACATCAATTCACCATCACATGAAGACCAGTGGCTAGATGTATGTTCATTGAATTTCAATGGGCTTTTCTTCATTTAGTCTTTTCAAAACAGGAACAAGACAGAGACAGAGGCGCGAAAAAAGCACAAAAGCTTTTTCACATGGAAATCCCGGACTAAGTTCCGAATACTTTTTGCAAGTAACGATAAACGGCCGTATGTAACAAGCGGATGCAGGCTGCTGTAGGGAGCATAGAGACAACTTAGTTATACAAGTATCATAGACACATGTCTTATGTATGTACACCCGCTTACGGCTTCACAACTCAACCACAAACCTCGAGAGACTACTACATTAAATCCAACAACCCCATCCTTATCTTACCTAGAGCATCCCAAACCCCATCCACAATCGTACTACTCCTCCTCGCTGTCCCATTCACCGTCTGCAACGCACCAGTCACACGCGCAACCACGCCGCCATCCGCAACGACAAAGTCGCTTTGCAACACCTTCTGGCGCCGCGAGCTGCTGGCCGAGACCCCACAATTCGCCGTAGCTATTGGTATCAACCTCCTCGTCATCCTCCTGTCTGTTTGGTGGCTTTAGTCTTTGGGCTTTTATCTCAGGGAGTGTGTGTGAATGGGGGCGGCCAGCTTACGATGTGGCCAGCACCGCGCTACCGTACGCGAAGGACGTGACGGTGGAAGACGCTGCAGTTGTTGTAGCAGAAGGACTCGATTCCATCGTACACGGCGCGATGCAGATGCGGGCGTGCTTGATGTCATGCACGTTGACGACCTGCTGCTGGGCACCGTTCGCATCCTGCGCAGCCTCCTCCGTCTTTCTGACATTACGGTCAATCGCTCGCGCGCCGTCTCCGCTGAGCATTGGAAGTGCGGATCCCGTCGCGCCGGGTCTGTAGGGAGGCGGCGGAGCTGTTGACTTGTAGGAGATCTCGTCTTGCTGGGGTTAGACGGACGCGTGTGCGGCGGGGCGTACGGGGCGATATTATTCTCCGCACTAAACATTCTGTTGCAGTATATCCACTCCCAGCCGACACCGGCTACCGCCCGGAGGTCAAGTGTGGTGAGGGTGGTAATATAACCCCCTCCAGCAACGCGGACTCAAGGGCAGACGTTAGTCCTTTTTGTTCCGTGAGACACATTCTCGTTCAAGCTAGCAATATCGTCGTTCTTACTGGCGATCTTCTTGCTCGTGTCGTCGAAAACAGCAGGCGAGGAGGTTCCCGTGCCATTCGCAGCAGGATTTCCGCGCGTTACATAGCAGCCGTCGGTGTTAATGCTTGGTGATATCGATGCCGTCGATAACAATGAGCCGGTCGATCAGACCGCGAACCGCATTGGCGGCCTCCAGGCACGTCAGCTGTGGGATCGACCTTGACGGGCAGTGAATTGTCCGAGGACCTCTGGAGCAGGTACACATCGTTCTTGGACACTTCCGGGGCAGGCGCCTTGCATCTCAAATCAATACAATCAATTACCCCTATCAAATCTCCACCACATAAAGCCCATGGCTAGATACAAGGCTGGCATTCAATCCATCTTCCCCATCCAAGCCTCACACTCGCTATACACATTCGCAAACCCGTGAAACTCGACAATCCTCCTGTAAACCCCCTCATCCACCAACCTCGCCGCCTGCATCGCGCCCGCGATCCAAAAATCCATCTGGCTCGGCCGCCACTCGCGCATCGGCCCAAACAGCCCCTCGTTCTCCCTCGCCATCAACACCTTCGCCACCTCCCTCATCTCCTCCTCCGCCCCCTTCCACACCTCCTCCTCCTTCTCCAGCAATTCCTCCAGCCGCTGCCCCCCGAGCGCCGCTTCCCGCGTCCGCCGGAAGTACTCCTGCGAGCGTGGCGAGAGGATAGACAGCTCGCGCGGCGGGATGGAGATGCGGATGGCGGGGCCGACGGCGGCGCGGGCGCGGGATTGGATTGATGGGTCGTAGGGGAGGAGGGGTGGGGTTGGGTAGGTGGAGTCGAGGAAGGAGGCGATGGGGGTCGAGTCCATGAGGTGTGTTTTGGTTGGTATGTGGTAGATGGCCGGGACGGTGTATGCGGGGCCGGAGGGGTTGGGGGGAATGCCGCTGAGGAAGCGTGACAGGTTAGGAGAGGGGAGGCGCGTGGAGGCGAAGGGACGAAAAAAAGCGGAAGAAGGCAAAAAGTGACTTACAGTTCTTTTAGCGTGGGCTCGATGTCTGGGAATTCGAGGAAGATGGTTTTGTAAGGGACTTTTTTGTAGTTGAGCAGGAGGCGGATGCGCCAGACAGTGGGAGAGATGCAGATATTTTTGGTAGAGGCTAAGTCATATAAAACGATCTTGGGTTTGCGTTGGGCGGGCATGATGTACTATACTCTGATGGGGTCTTTATTGAGAAGGTAAGGTGCGATTATAGTTTCTGACCGGCCCCCGCAGGGTCACAGAGAAACACCACGCTTTAACTCTTCGGGTATAGCTTATGATATGACGTCAGCATTCTAAATTCTTAAATTAAGTCCTGTCGTTCTTTTACTTCCCCTTCTTCCCCAGCTAACTTCAAAATGCTAGTAAGTGTCGTCCCAACTTGGAGCGATACTCGTTCCTGGTGATCGTTGGTACCATGGCTCAAAAGTTCGAAGAACTTCTAATATCAATGATGCCAGTAGCAGGAAGTTCTTCTAGGTATGATACCAACCAGAAAGACCGCCGCATTTCTCTCCTCGTAACCAAGAAACTTATGGAGAAGTGGCTGAAAGCAATGAGGCATTATTTGGCCCCTTCTTTATCTCTTTTTTTTCTCTTTCTATTTATTCTCCATGTATTAGCCGTTTGCATGTATCAACCCTCCATTCTATTCCATCCCAATTCCTTTTATCGCAAATCAACAAACAACAAATGTGCCCACCGCAATGATCTCAAAGCAGCCCAATGCACCAACGCCAAATCCAACCACACCCCTCCCTACTCAACAACCCTGACAACCACACCCCCCAACATCTCCAAAAACCTCTCCATATCCCTCTCCCCCAGCCTGACCAACACCTCCCAATCCTCCTCCCCACCCCTCGTGCCCCCCCTCCGCGGCATCACATTGACGCCCCCCTCCCCCTCACACCACGGCTTCCGCACACACGCCGCCTTCACTCCCTGCTGCTGTTCCGCACCAGCCACCCCGGGAATGCTCCACTCCACATCCGCCCCGAACCCAACCCAGCTCGTCACAAACACCCCCGTCTCCCGCAAATCCATCTTCGCCCCCAGCGTCGCAAGCAGCTGCCGCGGATCATCCAAGCCGCTCCACGCCTCGACCCTGTGCTGCACGAAATCCCCGTCGACGGCGCTGATGGCCCGGCGGATGGCTAGCGCGGCGCGCGCGAGCGCGGTGACGGACGTCGTCGTGCTCGCTTTCGCGACGCGCGTACGGGAGGTGGTTGAGTCGATGTGCTCGCCGATGGTGGTGGTGGTGGTCGTTGTGGTGCGCGTTAGCGTGATGGTGGTGGTTTCCGTGGCAGCGTTGGCGTCGGCGGCATCGTCGCCGAGCAGGAGTAGCTCGGCCATGGGCATGGTGGCGAAGGCGAAGACGACGGCGTTGCCGGGGTAGGTGGGCGCGATGAGTGGGGAGGCTTTCGGCTTGGCGCGGGCGTCGACGGGGGTGCAGAAGCGGGTGAGGAGGTCGTGCGGGTTGGAGTCCTCGTTCTGGGTGTTGTCTTGTTGGTGTAGCAGACGTGGCGCCCGGGCGCGCATGGTGGCGGTCCAGATGAGTGCGCTGAGCACGTCGTGCGTCGAGACGAAGGCGCCTGGTGCCGCGGTGGCTTGCAGTTCCGCCATGACGGCAGCCTTGAGGGAAGTGATGGTCGCAGCGCGGATGGTCAGGATGCGGGCGCTGGGGTTGCCGGCGCTGATACTGGCATCCTTGCTGCTGGTTACTGGAGGTTCGGGGTCCGGGAGCTCGAATTCGGGGACGGTCGGCGTCGACTGTAGGCCGGCCGCAGCGTTTGCGCCTTGGCTTCCGCGAGCGTTGTTGCTAACCATGTAGTTGTTGTCATCGCGGGCGCCAGCAGCGGCACCAACCCGCCTCCCCTCCTCCGCCGCCATCGTCTCCGCACCAGGCCGCAAACACCTCGCCAGCTCCTCCACAACCAACTGGCCCCCAACCCCATCAACAGCCGGATGCGCATCCATAACCGCAAGCAGCAACCCGCCCGGAATGAAGTTCGCCTGCACGCGCAGCGCCGGCAACCCCGTATCGACCACCACCCCCTCATCCCTCATCATCAACTGCCTGCAATCCAGGACCTTCGGCGGCATCCCCCTCGCCGCCAGCCTCGCATACGGCGTGAAATCGCTCCAAACCTTCGCCGAGAAGACGCCACAGCCACCGCCCTCGACCATGACGGCGTCGAGCGGCGGCACCGTGTAGCGGATCTCGAGCCTCTTCTTGTCCTCCTCCTTCATCGCCGGCCCCCATCCGTCATATCCCACGGGCACCACGGTCCCGCCCAGCCACGGCCAGCGCGCCAACGTCTTCTGCACGGCGAGGCGGAGCGCGATCGTCGCGGCGGAGACGGTCGACTGGCGTTGGTCGGGCATGGGGAAGCAGAAGATGCGCGGCGTGTTCTTGCGGACTTGGACTTGGTCGAGCGGGCCGAGCGGGAGGATGCGGCGCTGCAGGTACGCGTCGTGGCAGAGCGGGGTGAGTGCGGTTTCGAGGGTGACGGCGCCGAGGTCGTTGTCGTTGCGCGGTGGGGAGGAGGATTCCGCCGCGCTGCTAGTGGTGTTGCGGTTGTCTTCTTCTGCGTGTTTGCGCATGGATTTGAGGACGTCGATGACGGTGGTCATCGTGGCTTTGCTTCGGGTCGGCTTGGTCGGGCTTGTGGGTGAAGTGTTGCTCGGGCTGGTCGGGGTCCGCGACGGCTTGGTCGCAGTGGTAGATTGTTTTCGACAACTTCTTTTGGCCGGGGTGGTAGGCAGTCGAAGATGGTGCGGTGGTTAGGAGGAGAAGCTGCGAAAAGGGTGGTTTATGTACATACGACGGGGAAGTGAATGAGAGTGCAGTGATGTCGCGCACGCGCGAGGGTGTCGCCCAGGCGACTAACACGTGCACTCTCGGAATATCAATAACACACTGTCCGGCCCCGTACACTCACAAGTTAACACTTTAGAGACAATGAGGACACTCGCTGTCACTCGAGGCACGTTCTGACAGCTGACCGCGCGAATCAGGCATGGGGCTGACAGAGGCAAAGAGGCAGAGAAGCCAACGATTGCAGTTACCACCGTGATTCCCAACCCAGCTGAGTATGTCGAACTCCACCTTCCTGAATATAATTGACTCACCTTATCTATTACTTGTGAATGCTCATAGAGTCTATTGATATTACTTGTCCTTTACACCACTATCTCCAAGGTGTGAGAAGTCTGTTCAGAATTCTCGGATTCTCCATTAAACAGCTTGAAAAGCATGATGAATCCAAGCCTCTCGGCAAGCAATCATGAAGTATGGTGCATGTAGAACTACGGTTGCTTGGGAGATACCGACCGTGGGATTTTTACTGATGCAATATAATCTTTAAAATTACTCTAAATGGCAAGAACTATGAACGGGAGCATTGCTTGATGAAAGTTAAATAGTCACTCAGTCAATATTATCTCAACACCTTCTGCTGAGATGTTGAGTTTGCTGCGCTAAGAGGAACACCTACCCACCCAAGGAAAAAAGCAAACTGAATACCTGAGATAGTCCTATGAGAAAGAAAAAAAATAGGAAACGCTAATGGCTTTGGACAAAGCATTTGAATACCTGTCAATACCACAATACAAAGAGCCAACAGCGCGGGAGCTTGACATTCTCATTTTCAGCCGCTTCTACGTATCACGTATCGAAACAAGCTTAAATTTATTATTCTGTACCCAATCGCGGAACGCGATGTCCACGTCAGTTACCTGAAGTGTTCATTTCATATACTACTTAAACGTGACCGACATTTCCACCACCCGGCCGATATGTTCTTCCATGATGGCCGGAATGCTTTCACCACTTTGTTCGGGCTCAAAAGAAGCAAGAGCAAGGGCAGTCTGAAACGCTGGGTTATCTGAACATGAGTTAGCACATCAGATTCACTCGAAAGATGAAACCTGCTCCCCTCGACTCACCGTTGCGGATTTCTCGCCCGTTCCACCCGAGTTGTTAATGGGTCTTGAAACTCTGGACCAATTCCCATTCGAGCTGCAAGAAGCCACAAGCGCGAGCATGGCAGCTCTCGGCGTCATTCGAACCTTAGCCCTGGCAGACGCCCCTTTCATCTCATACATCCCCAGCCGGACAGCTGCAGTGTGTATGACACGATCGCCACCGCGAGAGGAAACCGGCCTTCTATCCGTGGTGTACTGTCTCATACGTCAGGTTCTCCGCTTCCGGCCAAGCGATGACTCGTTCCGGGCCGATACCGATACTCTGGAACACTTGGACGGGGGTATGGGCAGTTGGGAGACAGGGTTGAGTTTACTTCGGGATCTGCTCCAGCATACAGCTAGCCTGCGTTATTGCGTCATTCATGGTTTGAACGAGTTTGAGAGTGAAACGTCGGAAGGGTTGTGCAGGGAACTTGTCGCGCTGCTTGTTGATCACTCACGTCAGGCGTTGCATCCGCTAAGTCTTCTTTTCTCGACGAGCGGACAGTCACGGGTTCTGCATGAGTTCATTGGGTGGGAAGAGAGGGTGTACACGGATTCCTCAACGCGTATGGTGCGGAAGAGAGGAGAGAACATGGATCTCCTGGCGTTGCAGTAGCATCTGTCCCTCAAGATGGAAGGATAGCTATATCTCCTAAATAACCTGTTAGTTTAGTCTACTGATTTATCTATTATGATTAGTCACTTCATTCATTAGTGCATCATTAGCAGCCTCATGATTAGATAGCAGCCAAGTCGTGACCTCCAACCCAGCTGACTAAGTCAGGCCCCCGCCCTCCTTCCGAAAAAGCTTAGCCTACCTTACCTATTCCCCACCTCTATAAAACAATTCAAGCCACTCCTAAACAGAGACCTTCAACAGTTTAATCGACGCGTTAAATTATATATTATTACAAGTGGTATCATACAATCAATCAGTCCCAACCCAATCCAATCCCAAACACCCACGCCGACCGCCGACCACCAACCACATCCACCCCATTCCAAACCCCTACCAGCCTACCCTGCCACCACCAACCCATCTATATTCACTGCTTCCGGTGCAAATGGAACTCCGTCCCCGTCTCACTCCGATGCAACCGAACCTCAGACTTATTCGCCCAAGAATTCAAATCACCCAACCTCCCACTCCCCCATTCCCTTAGCCCCCCGCCGCGAGCGGCACCCTGACTCTCGTCATCAACCAACCTGATCTGCAGCAGGGCGAGCGTCGAGCTCTTCCAAATCGCAACACCGCTCGCCGCGCTCATCAGGATAGTACCGATGAGGAAGACGAGGGTGAGGGCGAGCAGGACGGCCGGGAGAATCAGCCACATCCAGCGCACGTGGACGTACGTCATCGAGGACCAGGCAAGGCCCTTTGCGGTGCTGGTGCCGTTGGCGAGCGTCTTCTGGGTGCGGATGAGGTGCGTCATGCTCATGGCGAGGGCCTGCATGGTGATGTTCTCGCCGCCGTTGGTGTTGTCGCCGAGCTGGTAGATGGCGTCGAGGACGTCCGAGGTGGCGGATGCTTCGCCCGTCGAGCCCGTCACGTTGCCGTCCCACATGGACCAGAAGTACTGCGAGATGGCGTTCCAGGCGTAGCTCTGGATGACGAAGGGCTGGCCCGTGTTGTCGGGGGTGATGGTGATGTTGTCGCTGGAGCCGGGCGTGGTGCTGTTGCTGTAGCTGGCGATGACCGTCTCGGTAAAGGTGCCGTTGTTGACGGAGGCCTGGTACTCGTTTACGCAGCTGGCGAGGAATTAGCTTGTCTGCAGGGTCTGTGCAGAGGGGCGGGGGTTGACTTACGCATACAAAACGCACTCCATGGCTATAGCGCCGTAAGCTTTTGTTGAGGAGGCGTCGTGGAGAGAGCGAATCGTCGTGAGGGTGGTAAGGGTTGCTTGTGTGTGATTAAAGTTGATAGAATCTACCGTGCCAGTGGCGTTGAGATACACCATGGGCAAGTATCCCGTCTGCAGTCTGAAGCCATTGGGTAAGGTGTGGTTGCAGATATGCCACATGGTACCAAAATCTTCACATTTGGTCTCAAGACTCTCGGTGACGTTGGCGCACTTGGCGCAAACAGCCAACGACTGATAGGGCTGCGTCCAGGTGCAATTGCCAGTTGGGCAGTAGGGAGAGATTTCGAAATCAGCGAGAGGATCTTCGTTGGTGTTCATGATGCCGGAAGAGATGGCTGCCTTCATGGAAAGGGTGGGATTTTTCACTGCGAGATGGTCAGTGTGGTCGCTTCTGGGAGATGTTGACAGTACTCACGGGCCATGATTGCGCCAGGGGCATAGTCATTGTAAAGGTGAGCAATAGGGATGGTCGAATTAACATCAGATATGACCATCCTGACCGGGTAAGCGACGATTTGTTGAATAAAAGGGTCCACGGCCAAGCTGAAGATGGTAAGAAAGGCTCCAAGCTTCGCAAGGTGTCTGTGCGTGGTCAGCATCCGCCGTGGAGGTCATTACAAAGCTGCAACATACACGCCTCTGGTGCCCATGAGCAGCTTCAGACTCCCCCACATTCCTCGACTGGCCTCGTCAAACGTTTGGATGTCTTTGAGGACGCCGGCCTTCTTGAACCATAGCCATTTCAACTGACTGATGCCCTCGGCAATGGGCACAACCATGGCCGCTTTCACGACGGTTCCCAGGATAGAAATGAACGAGTTCAGGGTGATGCTCAAGGGCCAGTGGGGTAGCGGATGGTCGTCGGTGAGGATAAAAGTAACAACGAGAACGCCCATGGCAATAGCGCTGATAACCCAGGCCAGAAGCTCAAAGAGCCACCAGCTGTTGACAACATCGGTAAGGCCGTCTGAGGGAGGACCGGGGCGCGGCGGCAACTCTGGAGTGAGAGGGGTTTGAGGCTCTTGGCCCGCACCGGAAGCGTATCCACGGCTCTCGTCCCGCTTCATGTCGCCCAATTCGACGTAGTTCCCGCCGTTCGGATTCAACGGCGACGGCGACCGCGGCGACGGACTTGTGGGCGACAGTGCCGACGACTTCATCACGGTTAGCGTATTCTGCGTATTCTGGCGGTTAGAAGTGGCACGGCCTCACCTTTGGGGGGATTCCAATGTGCATTCTGGAAGCAGCGCCACAAGTGCGGAGGCTTGGAACTTCGTGAAAGAGAGTGGCGCTTGGTCGGGTTTTGTCAAATAGCGGGCGATCAGCATACGCTAACTCTGAACTTCGGTGTAGCAACGGCGGGTACGACTGTCTTCGGATCGCAGCCGGGCCTGTTTCATTTGCAACGTGCGCTATACGAGGTAGCGCCGGGGCTTTGCCGATAGGGCTATGGTGGATTTGGGGCGTTGAGCGCGCTTGGATGTGACGTTTAGATCAGGATGTTCATCTGCTCGTGCTCTAGGGCTGCCCAAAGGCCAAGTGCAGCGCCAACGAAGCCGGTGATGGTGCGATAGGCGTTGTGCACGCCCCAGAGGCGCACCAGCTCGTCGGTCGAGTACTTCTCCTCAGTGCGCAGCGTCGCGGGCTCGTCCTTTCCCAAGCGTTCAGCATTAGTGCCGTGACCGGGGCCGGCCAGCTTTTCGGCGCGTAGACAGAGGGCGCCAATGTAGGGGCGCATGATGGTGAAAGTGTGCACGGGCAAGATCGCCGGAACCATCACAGCGGCAACGGCATAGAGAGCACACAGCGTGCGACTCGACCTGGCCGAATAGGCAAGGTAGCTGAACGACACGCACGAAAGGAAGAGCGGTGGGGGCGTCAGGTAGAAGCCAGCGACATAGGCAGTGCGCCAGTGGGCGGCCAGGCGGCCTTCATCGTCGCTCGGTCTGCGCAGTGACGGGACGACAGCTGTCGAGAAGGTGGCATTTTGGCCTGGACAAGGCAGGATCAGCGTGGTGTCGGGGGACCTGCGGGGCGGAATGCTCACCCGCCGCAAACATTGAGGCGGTGATGCCGACGAACTGGGCAACCCGCACACCGGAGACCATGATTATTGTGTATAATACGAGCGGACGCGTGTGCGACAGGGGCGCGAAGGTGGTGAAGAGGCCGATCGTGGGCGAGCGCAAGTGGAAGGTGCGCCTGCCGTGTGTGAGAGCGGGAGGGAATAAGCTCCGGCACCGCAGGCGCGACCCCGCACCTTCCGCCGTCCCTCTGTGGTTCCTCCGTCTGACTGCGTCCGCGTCACGCTTTCGCGCCGGCCAAGACCTGCATTCTCCACCCCCGGCGCCAACGGCTCAGAGGCCCGCCGAGCGCGGATTTGGCCGACTTCGCAACCGCCCAGGATCCCTCGCTCGTGTCCGTCTCGGACATGGTCTAATCACCTCGTCCAAGCCTGCCCCTGAGTCTACGCCTACAAGCAGCCTTCAGCACCTTCGCCGGGTGGAGCCCAAGAAGATGATCTCTCGTATTTCAATAGAGCAATCTATTCTATCCGGAGCAAGCTGACGACGAGCTCCAGACAGCAACAACCACGTCTACCACTGTTGAGCTGAAGCCTGCATGTATAGATGAACGCCCTCTGCGTTGGCAGCAACACACTGCATGGCCGCATGAGAATTTGCAGAGCGCTGAGAAATCCAGGCCCGTTTTAAAACGCCTCTTTCGCCTATCACACGGACGCCCTGCGCACAGACTGCTGAGCCGCACATCCGCGCCGCTTTCTCGAAGCCACCAACACACCATCTCGGCGTAGGGCAGAAGGTTAATCTTCCTTGTGCCGTCTATCCGCTTTTCTCAATTGGCCACATCTCCAGCTGCGACACGTCCAGTGACAGAAGAAAAAACTCAGATCCAGCTCGCCAACAATTGGCCAAATTCGAAATTGAGGATCGACATCGCCACCAATGGGATCATGAGTGGGGCCCGAGGCAAGGGAACTGTGGCTTCGAAATCGCCCGCTTTCCCCGTGGAGGAATCAGGCCGGCACCCACGGTAAGCGCCCTTGTCAGGAATACGACCAATCAAAATCCCTCACAACAGAGAACTGCCCTGGTGAAACACCGTCCGCCGATACGGTCCGGTCCGCCGCATGCTGGACGCTCGTAAACCACCCCAAGACCCAGAGACTAAGGCTGTCTTGCTCCTCAACACCATAGAGCCCGCTATATAAACACCTGGCTTTTTGTTTCAGCTCGCAGATCATCCAAAGGCAGCGCCACGGAGGAGATCACCGGCAGCAGGCGCTTATCATGACGGCGGCACGGGCCCCTGTCCTTGTGGCGCGGCACGCGTTTCGGGGAGCGATTCACGCTTCGAAACGCCCAACTAAGGGCACTCCGGCTTAGGGCTCCTCCTTCATCAAACACCAAGCCCTTCCTTTATTGGCGTGCGCAGCCGCCCTATGGGGCCATTTCTGGGCGCTGCCTTTATAACCGATTTCAGCCCCGAACGCCTCTTTCTAGTCACCTTTCGGCTGGTACCTCTATCTAACTCCTCGTCACTGGCTTGACGCGGTGTTCTCCGCTCCTTTGCGAAAACTATTGCTCTTTAAGAGCTGTCCACTCCTTCCTGTATCTGATACAGTAGTCACTCCTTGTTGCCAATATGCGTTTCACTGCTAGCTACTTCGGTGCTCTCGCCAGCGTCGCGCTGAGCCTGATCTCCGCCGTCAATGCCGAGGACAAGGCCGTCTTCGCCCACTACATGGTATGCACCCGACACCCATCCAGCTGGATCCGAAGCTGACCCAAGACAGGTGTGCGGTCTTTCGTCAGTCGAGCAGGCTCAGACCGACGTCCGTGACGCCAAGGCCCTGGGTGTTGATGCCTTCGCTCTCAACATCCAGAATGTTGTCGACTCTTGGGCTCTCAGCGCCATCGACTGCCTCTTCCAGGCCGCTGCTGAGAATGACTTCAAGCTGTTGTTCTCTTTCGACATGGCCGTCTTGAACGAGCAGGACCCCAGCTCGTTCCTGCCCATCTTCGAGCAGTACGCTGGCAACGACACGTACTACAAGCACGATGGCAAGCCCTTTGTCACCACCTTCAACGGCGGTATCATGTCCAACGGCGGCGAGTGGACCCGCAACCTCCGCTCGAGCATCGAGGCCGACGGCTTCACCCCCTACTTCGTCTCCGACTTTGGCCTGTACAGCAGCTCCGACTCGTCGGCCGCCGAGAGCCTCATGGGCTCTCTGAAGACCTACTCGGCCGTCGATGGTGTTTTCTCCTGGGAGACTGCCTGGCCCGCCGAGCAGGATGGCATCGTCAGCATCCTCAGCTCCGTCACTGACAAGATCGGCCTCGACTCTGCCCACGCCACTGGCAAGTCCTACCTGATGCGTAAGTTTTACCCCCTCCTAACTCCCGTGAACCACTACTCACGTGATTTTCTTCAGCCCTCTCCTCCCACCAGTTCAAGCACATTGACGGTCTCGGCAACTGGTACCGCCGCGGTGAGCTCACCCTGCCCAACCGCATGACGCAGATCCTCGACCTTGAGCCCGAATTCGTCATGCTCCTGACGTGGAACGATGCGGGTGAGTCGCACTACATCGGCAACGTGTGGTCCGAGTCCATCTCGACCAGCGAGGCCACCCAGAAGTACGTCGACGATTTCGACCACTCGGCCTGGCAGGACGTCATCGCCCCCTTCATCTCGGCCTACAAGAACGGTGCTAAGACTGCCGCCGACATCGTCCCCACCAACGGCAACTTCACCGGCGCCATGTGGTACCGCCCGCTGCTCAAGGACGCCAGCTGCGCCGGTGACTACCTCGGCAAGCCCATTGGCTGGGAGAACGCGCAGGATACCGTCAACTTCGCTGTCATGCTCCCCGCTGACACCGAGGAGGGTTCCGTCAAGATTAACGTCTACTCGGGCGACAACCTGCTCGAGTCGTTCGACGGCAAGGCGGGTCTGAACGCTCAGGCTGTTCTGGGCATGACGACGGGCAAGCAGAGGGTTGAGTTGGTCAACACTGACGGCACCGTTCTGGGCGCCGGTCTCAGCGCGGCGGACGTCCAGGCTGATGCGGATTTCTGCAACTTCAACTACCACGTCGTTCACGTCGCATAAGGCGCTTTCCCTATACCCATTTGAGGTGTTCTTGTCTACATTTTTTACCTACTACTTTCTTGAGATACCTTCTTCACGTTCGCTTCGTTGCCGTTGGTTTCTTCCAACGGCCCCTCGTTCTTTCTATCAGCCAGAGACTTATAGACCTTTTACTCTTTTTCATTCGTTTGCCAAACAAAAAGCATCTTGATGAAAGGTCCATGATGAAATCCATAAACGAATTCCTCCTTAACCAAATGGCCCCCTCATGCATTGTGTCGCGAATTGATTAACTCTCTTCCAGCGGAAGGACCCGGAAATTGCCCCAGCTTCGTATTGCGCATATACTATCACGACAACGCCGCGCTCGCGCGTCCCTGCCCAGCCTCTGCCCAGTCCAGCTCGCGTTCAGCTCAGCCCCGTCCCTTCGTCAGAGAGTTTATGCGTATAGTACTATGTAGCTCGGCTCGGCGGTGCCGGCGGGATCCATGGCCGCCGCACCGCACTACACTACGGCTATCGCCGCGCGCGCCCGCGCGCACGCATGATTTTTTGAGTCTGGTCGCGTCTGGATCGCGAGTCTGGATCATCGCGTTGTTTGATGCGGCTGAGAAGTGCGGCTGAAGTGTTAGTTCGACTAGTAGGTACTGACTCTTATCTGCTTCGCGTTTTTGCGCAAACGTGCACGGCATGTGGCGTTTGCCGGTGTGTGTAAGTGTTGTGGCGGTGGCGCGCCTGGCGCGTGGCTGTGGCGCGGCGCGGCGCGGCGCGATGCGCTCGGTCCCCTGCAGGAGGCGGTGGGAGTTGGTGGGGGCCGGGCGGGCGGTGTGGTGTTGGTGTTTGCGGCGGATGGGCGGTGGAGGCGTCGTTTTAAGGGTGGCTTTGTGTTTTTGCTTTTCTCTTCGCGTGGGTAGGGAAGGAAGAAGGGGTTGAGGAAGGGGTTTGTGTGTCAATGGTTTGCAGTAGTAAGGAGGAAAATGGTGACAATGGCGATTTGTAGAAGCAACTGTTCAGAAGCAGATGTGGAATTATTAAATATATGTCGACATCCGGATGGTAGCTTCAACTACCTAAGTTGAGTGCCATCTCTTGAAGATCATTGCGGAGGTCGATCATCGTTCGCTACGTTGAGTCCACCGCAGTTTGAAGAGTAGAATTCCGGGCATGTTTAGCAATAAGACGAATGCTTGCCGATTAGTTGCTCCATCCGCTTCGTTTGTTCCTTTATTGCTACCAACCCATTGTTTATTCCTAATCGGGTTTAGCTTAACTCGCTTGGCAGTAGTATCACCACCACTCGCCGCATTTACTAATCAGCATCCTGATGCATCCCGTAGCTTCTGCTTATTCGCGCGTCATATCTCCTTCTTACTGCCTGGGTTAGGGCCGAAGAGTCTCACGTGAAAGACCATCAGTGGACTTTCTATAGTCTTGACCTTTCCTTATGAGAACTCTATTTGCATTCTCAGTCAAGTATTCGTCCTTATTAATCCTAAACACGGCTTGCTGCAAAAGCTGTGGTGTTACCCACGTGATCGCGAGAAAGAGAGTCTCCGGTCGCTGAAACGCGAGAACAGAATCAGAAACTGTCCTTCAAAACACCACCCTGATTGTCGAACTGCGGCTCATTCCACTGTCGATCATTCATATTCTCCACCGTACCTTCCATTCACTATACAGTAAGCTTGGGCTCGGCTCGCCTTCCTAACCAGTCCTGGCGCCTGGCCTTGCCCGCCGGACCGATCCACGAATCCTGAGTGAGTGTCTGGCACGTCCATGCACAATCAAACTATATGTCAGTCAGCTAATTGGTATATTTCAGTCAAGGTACAATTTCCACGTCGTTACATGCTGCAACAGCACCTATCCCACCTCCCACGTTGATTGGCGCGAAGCGTTTGATTGCCATGGGTATCCGCGACACCTTCGCAAAGAAACCCGAGAAACTGGTTCTCAGGTTTCGCAGAGAACTCGAAAAACTTGCTTATTGGACAAGTGAGGGCATCAACAAGGAAGAGAGGGAAATATTTCATCCTGATGATGTCAAGAAATTCTGGACAGAGGCATATGATGACGGGGACTCCAGGTTGAAGATACTCTGCAAGACGCTTTTCGAGAAGGACTACGAGACAGCCATGGCAGATATACGAGACCGAAGGCTACGCGTTCTGTCCGTGATGGTATACTGCGATTGGAGGGATTGGGATAAGTTCAAGAGCATGGTCCAGTATCCTCTTTTGCGTACCGGAACCGTGACCAATGAAGCCTTACCACTCAAGCGGGCGAACATCCCAGTTTACCTCGGATGCGACGAGATCACGTCCCGACATTTCGAGCGCAACCAATGGGCCTTCATCCCTATCATCATTGGGCCAAACAACACCCTCGACAGCGAGAGATACCGGCCGCCGTTCTTGGCTAGTCACATGGAGGAGATTGGCTCTGGTGCATTCTCCACGGTCATGAAGGTTACAATACCAGGAAAGTTTCTGGCACCTGGTGTTAGAGGCTCTACCCAGGAGGTAAAGTAAGGGAGCGCTATACTTGTACCACTCACTAATTACATTTGGCTTGGTAGGATGCCCTCTTCAGGTTTGCGTGGAAGAAGTTTACGAGCGGACGGCCCGGGGACTTTGTGAGAGAGCTCCAAAACCTGAAGAAACTCGAAAATTCGCGGCACGACAACATCATGGACAGTGTTGCGGACTTGACCTACGGACAAGAAGCTGGCATCCTTTTCCCGCTTGCGGTCTGTAGTCTACACGAACTCCTTCTGAGTGACTCGGAGCGAGGCAGAACAATTCGGGAAAAGATCCTCGGAGCACCAAATGCCCTTCAAGACATTCTCTGCGAAATGAGCAAGCTGGCAGAAGCTATCTATCATCTTCATCAGAACATCAAAGGCGAGTCTCGACGACACCACGAGGGCGTTCACGGAGATCTCCATCTGAAAAACATCGTCATTGCAACTGAACCCACGGAAAAGGCGCCGGCAGGGGAATGGAAGGTCATCGACTTTGGCCTCTCGATCATTCGGGAAGAAGCTGTGCCAAGGGCCGGATACATGTCGATCATGCCTCAGGAAACAATCTACGTAAGTGGTTTGTATCCACCTCCCGAGATCGTGATGAGCACTGGAAAGAAGGCGATTAGTCCAAAAAATGACGTCTATTCCTTTGGCTGCATCCTCGCCTCGACTCTTGCTTTCTTATTGGGCGGGCAGCCTGGAGCTTTGGAATTTGAAAACATGAAGGAAGGACCGTTCTTCGACATCAAAGGAGGAAAAGCAGTGCGGAAAATTGAGGTTGATCGCTGGCTGGAAGACATGACATCTCGATTCGGAAAAGAACACCCCTGGATCTCCCAGACAGTCGATATCATCAATAAATGCACCAAAAGCAAACCTGAGAGAAGGCTGCATTCAAAGGAACTTTCCGACAGACTAGACAGTACTGTCTACGCTTTGCCCCGCAATGCTCAACCGCCCGTCTGGGATCCAAAGCAACCTCGAATCGTCTCGCCTACACGTGGCCTTCCAGTTCTCATTGCTCGTCCTTCCTTCCACATCTCGAGACCCGAACTGCGACGGCAATCAGGTTCTAAGGAGTCAGGCAGCTCAAAACCGCAGACGTTTGAATCTTTCTCATCTACTGCGTAAGTCTTTTATTTCTCAACTCATTCGTTTAAGATTCGTCTTCCGACTGAACCTGTCAAATGAAAGGTCCACTCTCAGAGTAAATTTCAAAGGGATGTTCTCTCCTTCAGATTCAATTGAGGGCTCACAACCAGAAAGCGATCAGAGCACTGAAAATTCTGGCAAGGTTTGAAGTAGAAATAGGGAACAGCAAGGTTCATTTCTCTTTAACATCACGTTCCTGTACACACTCGCCCCCTTCGCACTCTGGCAAACAAATGGGTGTTCGATTTGCCGCAATTCACTGTTTTTTGTACGGAACAGAGGCTTCCAGATCCGCAGCTCTACCATTCTCAACCCGCCTCTTGCGCATCACATAAATCCACCAACCAACAGTTGCTGTAGTCAGGCAGATGGACATGATAATGAAAATCCATACCTGTGGCGACATCAGGAGAGAATGATCATCGCCATTGAATTCAAAAAAGTTGGAGCCAAAGACCGTCTGCTAAATTGTCAGTGTGGTCACCCGTACTTTTCGAGTCTGTAGAGGAGCTTACGGCAATAAAAGTTGTCGGCAGATATAGCAAGGTCACGAAAGTTATCATACGGACAGCAGCACTGTCGTCGGCCGAGTTCTTTGCCAAAGACAACATGTCTTCACTGATGGTTTCTCCAACAGCGTGATTTTGTATGGCCAAGGTATCAACGAGCTGGCGTCATGGCGCATGTTAGTATGCATGAGCATATAGCTAAAGATCAGATACATACCAAGCCTAATGCACCAGAGATCTTTCGCAGCAGAATCTCGATACTCTCCGCTTGTCCGCGTGCTGTATCGGCGTGGAATCGCAGGGTGCGGGAAGTCAATATTGCCGTTTCTTCATCAACGTACAAGCCCTCGAATAACTGAGTATTCAGCTCTTCAAGAGACTGAATAATGTTTTGAGAACATCGAAGTAATGAAGGAAGCGGTAGCAACCTTTCTTCCAGGCGGCGCAGCTGTTGCATGCAATGAAGTTCGGTGTTGGCGCGTAGCCCTGCGTGTTTCTCTTTGTCCATCATGAAAACTTTGTCGGCCTGGTCAAGAGACTCGTTAAGGTATGCCTCATTATCTGGGTGAAACGATCCGGAAACTTACTAAAACAGAGAACTCTTGACCTTGTGCATCCAAGTAAGCTTTCCATTGGCCAAAAACATGGCCAAAGAGCATACAGTGGATACCCAGAGGTTTCTCGATGCAACATTCCAGAAGTCTCAGCTCTCCCCCTGATTCTTCAAGTTTGTCCTGGAACTCTGACTGCATGACAGGGTGGAGAAAGATAATGTGGCCTATTCTGGTTTTTGGAGAGAACTTGTGGTGTACGCCGATTTGTCGAACGGACCATGGAGATGCCCCTGGGCTGCGACGACCATTTTCCTCGGCATAACGCAATCGGTATTGTACCGCTAAGAGTTGTAGCATGCAATTAGCGGTCTGCTGTTTGTGCGAGGAAGCATACTTACTGAAAGTGCCTTCGGGAGACATTCCAGCAGAGAGGCCATCTACTGCTTCCCAAGCAAGGTTTGAGGAAGAAGAACATTGCGTCAAGATTGGAGTGAACTCGGGTTGTACTTCATAATGCTCAAAAATGCGTTGGACAACCTCTCCCGTTGCTGTTATTGGAAACATTTGGTTTTCCCTGTCCATCGACCTTTGTCCTTTACCGTTAGCACCTTCTCCAGTGGGCTCATGGGTCTTCATTGGTTGAGGCACATACAAAATTGTGAAGGAAGGCCTATCATCTTCCTGCAAACATTTCTCCAGTTCCGAGATGTCCTCTACCGTCGCTCTCTTGATGGATTTAAGGCAAAGGTCATGGCTCGATACTGGGTCGTCATGTTTCATGGCCAAGACTGCCTGTTCGCTCCTGATTTTGATGAAAGAGCAGAATGTCTCGTCGGAAAACAAGCCATCATGGCTGCTATTCTTCAGGTACTTCCATTCAGGTGTATTGCTCCTTCTTGGTAGCCGACGGGAGAGGGCTGCTTTTGCTGCCCATGAAGTCATCGGAAAACGTCAAGGTCAAGATGACAGTGTAGAATTAAACAATATACTAGCTGGCTCTCAAAGTATTTGCGAAGGATGAAAGATAAGGACAGCTGTCATGATAACTCGAGTGTCTTATACCCCGCTCAGCCCCCCGTCGCACGTAATGTGTATGACGCGTAGAAGTCTGTCAGCCTCGAAGGCTACCGCCTCCTAATTTGCCTCTTCACCCAAGACCTATTCAATAGCATTAGTTAGCTGATCGATCAGCCGTCGGGGTGCATGAATCCGTACCGCACCGTAATCTGTTCATACGATTAACGCCCTTGGCCAAAGCCAACAGAGATATGGCTGCAATACAGGGGCGCTTACCTCGTCAACCGGTTCTGGCACAGTGAACTCCCAGCGATCGGCGGCCATGTTGTGCTACCACAAGATCCAAGATTGTCAGTAAGTTGAAATCAGCCTTGTCCAGGGGCTGTGGCAAACCTTCACAGCAAAATCAGTAATGCTTGAGTTTGGAAACTTGGTTTTGAGGCCTTTGAGTAAGCTTTCCTTCGAGAAATAACCAGACTGCGATTCAGTGATTGTCTGCAAGTGGGACATGTTGGCAAGGTCTTGATGAAAAGCCTTGGAGAACGAAGATAAGGCATTACAGCTCCAAAATATGTAGTCCATGCGGCTGTGTTCGGCTGTGTTTTTCGACCCCGCGGTTGCCTTCTCTCAACGTCGCATCTCAACGTCGCACATATTATCGCAGGCAGCTTATCCTGCATTTCAGCTATATTCGTCGTGCAGTCTATTCTGCCTTACATCGAGCGCCGGGTTCGTCGGCCAATGGGGACGTACATGAAACTGCAACTTTTGACGCTCCCGTACGATATGGGTTGCAATGCCGAACACCGGGAAGTGGGGGACAGACTGTAGTCGCACAAGGGAGTACAGCGCACCCGATCTCATACACATGTCTGATTCAATGAATCATTATCGACTTATCTGGTCAGACTTGCGTCTGGTGCTTCATCCATCGGTTAATTAACCTGAGGGCCATCCAAGGTTGAGTTGATGGGGGAAACGCGGCTCGAAGGACCATCAGATCCCAACCGGATTCCAAAAGAAAGTGTTTAACCAGCTGTCAATCTCACTTAAGCGGTAGGCTCTGCATGACCCGCGCTACAGGGTTACTGAGTTTTGCGGCTGACCGTACGCCCGCGCCTCATCAGCACAACATAATTGATTAGCTATGAATAGATGAGTTCTTGAAGAACTTGAGGCGGCTGTCTAGAGATAATGGGGCTTTGTGTGACAGCAAGGAAGGTCATGTGAATCACACGTGACTTGCACACTCTTTGCATGCTTGTTGCATGGTGCTCAGTCCTCAACCTAATCCTCGGAAATGGCCTCTGGTAAAAGAGCTCATCGCTAGTAAGCTTTGAATGACAACTTCATTCCTCACAAGACATCAGGAGCCAAAGTAAACCCGCAAATAGCCCATTCGACCGTCAAAAACCCTACGATTTCACGTGTTAAAGGCCTCAAACAAATAGACGTGGTGTGTGCTCATTTACTGGTTTCGTCGCCCGCATAGCGCAAGGCTGACTAACAAGGCTGGAAAGGTTGATGGTGCAACGCACAAACGGAATAGCCGCTGCGGTTGCTTCGTATTCCAATAATAACATCTATCGAGAGGACAGAAGATTGTACTTGAAGTACGGATGAAAACCCCACGTATTGCATCGTAGCCTATATTGAGAACTGCTTCGGGACTGACTAAGGCTCTCTAAGAACCACTTGGATGATATCCGGTGTCTCTTGGGATTTCTTTCCGTTCTGAGAAGGCCAGAAAAAATAGCAGGCGCATTTTATAAGCCAAGCTCTCTGTCATCTACTGAGAGTTACCGTCGTTGACTCATATGTAAGATATGCATTTCAGTAACGAGCACGGCTAATTATTGTAGTAATTTCTGTGAATATAAGCGCTCAGATTCGAAGAATGCCTACTAAGCAATGAGGACGCAAGACTTGAGAAGACGGACTCGCCCGTCTCTAAATCGACCCGTTTTTGCATCACCTCTCACCAGCCCACCAAAGACAACTCGGTCAATGGTGTAGTCCTCACCTTTGTCCAGGTCTGGACCTAAGCTTCCAAGAATATCCACGTCCTTACTGTTGTAATGAGAGGCAAAAGCTTGTAATTTCTGTTCCCACTCGAATTCTGTCTTGGTTGACCTCAGGAGTATCGCGAGATCCAAGGCAGATGCGCAGAGTCCTTCAAGTCCTTTGACGGCAGGCGCTGCTTCACCTTGTTGATAGCGGCAGAGAGCTTCAACATGGGGCCAAATCTTGTCTACTGCCTGTTTGACGCCGTCGTGTTTGCCAGCTATCTTCAACTTCTGACACATATGAACTGTGCGAGCTCGCCATTCGAATACTTCATCCAGCTCCTCTATTCCAAAAATTAGCTAAGTCAAAATTATGGCTAATTTCAACGTTACCTGCGCCATTCCCGTTGTGCAACATATCTCTTTCAAAGCATGCCAAGCCGTCCTCCAGTTCTGGCCTAATGCCGAGCACATAGCTGTGATTGTCAAAAAAGCATTCGTATAGCTTGGTCGCACCTGCCGCACGGTTGATCAACTCCGGAGCATCAGATGAAGCCGTGGGCGAGAACGTCTCGTGTTTCACAGTAAAATGCCTTTTCACAAGTTGATATACCTCATCTTTAAGCTTCTCGAAACTAGCCTGGATTTGAGGATCATTCGGTGCAGCAGTCGCATGCCCGACGGATTTGATCATCATCTTGTGGAGATCTTGTGTCTTGCAGCTCTCGCTTTGAAGCGTCTCCACGAGAGATGCAACCGTTCCTCTCAATAGCCTGCTCTCTTCTTCCAATGATTTCAACTTGTCCTGTGGCGGGGAGCTATCGGCCGTACGTTGTTGTGTCTTCTGACCCTCGGCGTGCTTCGACTCTTCGAGAAATTGTGTCAAGACCCGTATAGTACCGGCGATATCTGTAATATTCTCCATGACCTACTCTCAGTTTGATTAAGGGAGCTCAAAGAGAGTAGGGCAGTCATTCATAGATATACATTCGTCAGGATATTACGGATCTTGCTGAAATAACATTTGCATAGGGTTTCCATAATAGTGCTCATCCATGAGGCAGCACTAAGTTCTCCGCTACGTTTTGCGGAAAGAATAGCTACCGCGGAAAGAAGATAAAGTTGTGTGGGAGCGCGACGACAATGACAAAGACTCTCTCATACTCTGAAACCGTCCTCTTTGTTTGTCACACCCGAGGAGCACCTTGGCATAGGCGAAAAAAAAAACTCCCATGAGCGTTAAGACTAGTCGGCAGCTTTGTTACTCGTTGCATGCATGTCCCCGCGGCTGAAAGCCGCCGCGCCATTTCATTCCCAGAACAAGGGCATCAGATTGAGCACTTTCCACGACACTGTGATTCAACTTACCTGTTGTGCAAATTATGGAGAGCTTTGTCGAAAGTGCGCATTATCTCCATCAAGTCGAATTTACATTCCATATACCCAGAACAATAATTCACGAGAGTGAGCTGCTGAGTCAAAACTCGAAGTCTGATATTCTCAAATAATTCTAGGAGCTAAATTCACCACTGTCCGTCCCGTCACCCCCTAAAGTCTCCCAATCAAGCGCTGCAAACCCTCCCGGGTGATTCGCCACGTTCGAAACCTCCATGATTTCAGCCTCACCAGCGCTTTCATACTCCCCAAACACATTCCACAAAGAAACCGTCGAAATAGGCGCGGTCATGAGAAGCTTATACGTAGGCCCGTCCTCCCTCGACCCCAGCTCCAGCAGCACTCTCGTCGCATCCTTCATCTCCCCGCGATGCGCATCATCCTCAAAGCAGCTCACCGCATCCACGATGACGCACAGCACGTAGTCCTCCGGCACCTGCTCCTCCACCCTCGCGAGCAGCCGCCCGATGCTCCCGACGTCCGCAACGTCCAGCTCCTCGATCTCGCGCTGCATGCTGGCCGAGTCGATCCGCACGCCGTGGTCCTTGAGCTGCTGGATCAACTGCAGCAGCAGCGCCAGCATCATGCCGGGCGGGTGCGCGCTCGGGTCCTTGGCCTCGTTCGTATGCAGCCCGCAGAAGAACGAGAGCAGGATGATCTTCGCCGACGCGTTCTGGAACGCCGTCGCGAGCTTTGCGCTTGCGAAGCTGATGGGAGATGTGCAGCTGTCCGATGTCCCGTTGCCGTGGGCCAGCAGCCGGCACGGGTCTTGGGAGGTGGCGAAGTGTTGGATCTGCTCGTCCTGCATGAAGGCGACGGCGCGGTTTTGGTCTTTGATTGGCAGCGTGTACCGCAGTTGGAGCAGGCTGTGGTAGTCGTGCCGGGCGGAGCCGGAGGCGTCGATGCTGTATTTCTTCATGAGGCTTTCGGCCTTGTGGCGGGTCATCTGTTTCCGCTTCAGTCGCTTGGGTTGCTTGGCCTTTGATATTCCCATCACTGCCTCATACCCTTTTCTACACCGTCAGTCGTGTTTTATTTTCTTGTGGAATAAGGGCAGCTTCCGGATTCTTACAGTTGATGGCATCCTGCTCATTGCAGAAGACGACGTACACGTTCTGCAGCGCGTCTTTCGTCTTGACAATCTTGTGTTCTGTGATGGTACTCCGGCGCTCAGGGCTATCAAGCTTGTCCTTGACTGTGAACGCTTAGCAATAGTGAAAAGCTTGGAATTGGCATAAGTACTCACGGAAGCTCTTCATATCGGAGATATCTTCCGCTATGTGAGCTATGCTCGTGTTGAGACAGGCGTTGACTTGGTCCTTGAACTCAGCTTCGCGGTCGTCCATGTCCTTGATTTTGTCCAGTATCGTGTCTCCATAACTTCCAGGCTTGCCGGCCGCGCCAAGAAGCTTTTCTACGGAATGTCAATGACTTGTTGGTTGTTTCCTGTGGTTTTACGTTGAGCTCACTCAGTGGGTTTCTGTTGAACCATTCGATGGCTGCCTCGATAACGTCCAATATGGACAGGCAAAGCGCCGCGTTACGCTTGTGCAGGATCGCGCTGTCTTGGTACGCATTGACGAATTGTTGATTGGTCTCGATGAGAACGGACAGCTTCCCCAGAAAGTTCGCGATGGTGCTCCGCACGTTTCCGATATTTTCAGCCATCTATAGTTGTGTTACATGTACATACAATGAGAAAAAGTGTAAAGATAGTAGATGCCGTGCTTACCTTGCAGATGAAAGTGAGACCGCCGCATAATACAGACGTGTATATGCTATCGGCGGGGACAAGGCTGATGAATGCCTTCGCATTGCCGGCGTGCTCGCTAAACCAGCGCCCCCCTCGGCGAACATGGCCCCAGAATCCCCTCGTCACTTTGTCCGCATATTTGCTCTCCTCCTTGGCCACGCATCTCGCAAAGGCCGTTAGGGGGTCATCGACAGATGTCCAGTCATACGTGTGGATTTGCTCAGTTTTTACGAGTTCTGTCTTGTTGGCGACTTGATACTGCTCAATGCATTTGATTATGCGGGCTCCAGCGTCGCGGCATGGGTCGTACAACTTCTCAACTGCGTCGGGACTGCGAAAATGATCAGCGACACTGCACATGTCTGTAACAAATTAGACGCGCACATCTCTCGGACCGCGATTTCTTGATTTGAAACGCTGTTTTGCGCGTTGTGTGGTAGTGCTTGGGTTGCTTCAGATTCACTTGGTGTCGGTTTTTCGATGATAATGAGCTTGTCCGATTTCGCCTCAACGCCTTGAATGGTCACCGGCGCCTTCACCGTCTGATCTAAAGCAGGATGTGTGGAGCCATCTAGCCTTTTCTTCATGTAACTCAGTATCCTGCCCCCGTGTTTGCCGCTGGTAGGCGGTAACACCGCGTCGTGACTTGCCGACATCTTCAGCCTGCGCTGACAGTGTTAAAAAAAGATAAAACACGAAATCAGAGTAAAATGTTCTTCGGGAGGAAGCTGGAGTATGGCAACAGAGAGCGGGGTGTGAGAGCAGCGAATTCACCTTGCATAGGGACACCCGCCGAGGCTCAACACACGGGAGGCTGCGGCACATACCTGCAACAGAACCCAAGACATTGCTTATTGAGCAAGCCACACACGGCCGAACTACAATGGTGGGGCCTAGATTCACCACTCTGCATCCAAAGACTGGCGAAGGCAGGCAGTTGCCTAAAATAAGCGCCCCAAACGATCGCTGATTTGGAGGGTCACTTGCATCGCGCATGTAAGCAAGGCTAGCCTGTCCTATTCGGGCGATGTGCAGATTAGGCGTCATCCGGAGATAAGGGTCAAGGCTGAGAACACCAACCAAGAAAGCCACTTCCGGGTATTGAGAAACAGAAAGGAGGGGACTAGCGAGCTTATATGACCCATGTTGAACCAGCCAATTGGTTCATCAAGGAGGCTGAGATGTACGCACATAAAAAGTATGCGACGCGTAAGTTCCTGCGTCTTTCGGCTGATACCGTATCAGAGAGTTGCGTATAAAGAGTATGAGATGTTCACAGGGAAGTGTAGGAAGACCACGTCTTTCGGAAGCCTAGCCTTGCCATAAAAGTACCCAATTGTTGTTTGGTACCTTCAGCTCTCATACACACCCAGAATGACCGAACCAGCGACTACCACCATCGGAAGCGGCCTGCTTCACGATGTACATGAGAATCAAGACTGTTCTCAGACAACCCAAAAGAATGCCACAACGGATGATTTCAGTGGCTTGGAGGATCAGCCAAACCTGCGGAACGGATCCAGTCGATCGACCCTCGACGAACTGGAGGATCTGAAGGCCAAAGTGGCTGCGCTGACTGCGAGGCTGGACGAGATGACTGGAAACAACCAATGGTATGTAAGCAGGCATACATTTAGCATCCATGACGAACTGACGACAATTTAGTGGAACGCAACCACGTATTGACGAGGGTGCGAAATCTGGGAAGAACACTGAAGATAGCTCCGAGGAAGATGAATCTGAGGACGACGACTCTGAGGACATCGACTATGAGGACGTCGACTATGAGGAAGACGACTCTGAGGAAGAAGACTCCGGGAAAGGAAACTCTGAGGGAGAAGGCATACCCGAGCAACTCTGCCTCGAAATCAAGCGGCTGTCGCTAGACACTTGGAGTACTTACAAAGATCTAAAACGCAAAGAAGTTTCCGAGAACGTCCTTGTTGTGTACCAGAAGCCAGTGGCTATACGAAACCCGGGCAAAGAAGAGGTTTTGGACACCGGCTCCCAAGACGGGTGGCCTGAGGAACGGATCCAGCACATACCGTATCGGCTTCAGATTAACTCGCGTCCCCTTCTTCAAGCGCTGAAAGCTATCACTAACACACGGATGCCTTCTGCGCCCTGTGTTATGGTCCCACCATTCAAAGCCATCATCGGTAGCCATGATAAGATACAGAAGGTACTTGAGAGGAAGGAAACTGCAATCAGCCAATACCAGCAGCAGAAAGATGAAAATTCTACATCAATCGGACTTGCAACGTTAGAGAAACCCAGGATGGAGGAGGAGTTGAAGAATCAAAGGATTGTCGCAGACCATCTAAAATGCCTTCTTCAGTTTATTGAAGTAGACTTGAAGGAGACCTTGGAGTTACGGAGCAAGATTAAGGATGGAACCCTGAAGAGTATCTCTTTCAGCAACTTGTGGCATCTTTTCACGCACGGAGATGTCATTTTTCCCAACCCCGAGATCATTGGACGCTCTAGGAGGGAGTGTTCATACCATCACGCATTCATTCTTTGGTCCGTATCAGACGGACGCCCTACAATGCCAAAGAAGCAGTTCAAGATGGAGTCAAATCCCTTCGCCTTAATAGGCATGGAGGACGGTCCCAGAGCTACTAATGAGTTGTCAGAGGGGCTCTGCAAGCCGTTCAGATTGGACCTTTACTATGCAGCCTATGATGGCGAGTGTCTGACACCTGACGGGTACAATTACAGCATCGAAGAATACCGGGGAGAGAAGCAAATCACTAATCTTCCATTTTACCCAGCCAGATTTTGCCCTCACTACAGCCAGACGTATCAGGAGCTGATCAGACGTGGGAAACATTATATTCAGCTTCTGAAAGATTCCTACAACCAGTATCAAGGGCTGACTATGGGTGACGATCCGGAAGAGGTAGATGGAGAAGTAGTCACGGATTCAAAAACTGGGTACTCGATGGACAGCAAAGACGCCAAGCTCAGAAGATACGACTTTAACAGTGCACGATTGAAAGGTGATGAGGATGAGTGGAAGGAGTACGCTATCGTTGGGGGCACCAGCTACGATGACGAACGTTTCGAAGATGAAACATTTGATCAATCTGAGGCCTTGCAGCCAATAGACCCCGGAGAACCGACGCAGATGAAGAATATCACGGACAATCACTACCTTCTCTTGGGCAAAGATATACTCGGATTTGTGTTGCGGATCCGCAAGTGGAGTAAGCCTCACGCATCGCTATAAGACACCTAATAGGCAGTCTACTAACTAATTGCCAGAGTACTTAGACGTTGATCTTGTTCGAAAGCCTGTAGAAACCATGGAAGGAGACAAAACGTCTTTTGATGAACTCGCCATCAAGGAGAGCTACAAGAAAACAATTCTCGCCCTCGTTCAAAGTCATTTCGCCGGCCCAGACTCGCTCAAACAACGCATCCAGCAGGGCGAGTCCGTATCTATGGACCTAGTGAAAGGGAAGGGGAGAGGTCTTGTGATCCTTCTTCACGGTGCTCCGGGAGTGGGCAAGACTTCTACTGCGGAAACCGTCGCTGCTCACACAAAGCGCCCACTCTACCCAATTACCTGCGGAGATCTAGGTGTGACAGCCAGGGGAGTTGAGAAGGCTCTGGACATGCATTTTCAGCTGGCCCACAAATGGGGATGCGTCTTGTTGCTCGATGAGGCAGATGTTTTCCTGGCAAGGAGACAAGCAGGCGATGTTAAGAGGAATGCACTTGTATCTGGTACGTGTTTCCTCCGCCTGAAGGTTTGTGTTTTGTTAACGGTATTCTGCAGTATTCCTGAGAACGCTCGAGTACTATTCTGGAATCCTGATTCTCACAACTAACCGCGTCGGCGAAATTGACGAGGCGTTCCATTCCCGCATCAAAATGTCGTTCTATTACCAGCCTCTGAATGAAAAGCGTACGATACAAATATGGAAAAATTCTCTGGACAAGATCAAGGAAGCCGCCAAGCGAAACAAGGAAAAGGGCACCATCATCAAGATTGACAACGATGAGAGGGACGAGATCCTCAAGTTCGCCAAAGACCACTTCAATGAGAATTCCAAAAACAAGAAGAAGCAGCCATGGAACGGCCGCCAGATCCGTAACGCGTTTCAGACGTCCCTCGCGCTCGCAGATTACGACCGACTGGAGGAACTAGAGAGCAAGATTGAGAAAGGAAAAATCACATTATCCGACATCGAAGCGAAACCTAAATACCGGACTGTGAAGCTCAAAGTCAAGCATTTCAGGCAGGTTGCAAAAGTCACGGCAGACTATCACAAATACGTCACTACGGTACAGAAAGGAAAGACAAATGAGACCTTGGCGGCCATGCATCAACTCCGAGCGAATGACTCGGAACTCGATGCACCGGCAAACCAGCGAGCTATCCAACAGGCTGAAGGATCTTCGAGGGGAAAGCAAAGGACAAATAAGGCCAAGGAGGCCCGTGTGCCGACGCCTGTTTTGAGATCGGATACAGATAGTGAGAAGGCCGATACCGACAACGATGGCGGGGATGACGATGACGATGGCAATGATGATAGTGAGAGCAGTGATGAGAGCGATGATTGAGCCAATTGCCTACTTCGGTTTAGTTCATTCCTATGTCAATGAATGTTTTTGCGGGAACCGGTTTTTGGAGAACTTTAGACTCATTTTGGTGTTAGACAGTGACAACCTTGAGTAAAAGGTAATAATAGTTTCTGTGAGTAGATCACTAAGTGGGGTTCATACCGTTGCGAGAAGTCAGGGTCATCAAAAATTGACTCTCTTACTTGAATCTGCCCGCCTGCTAGTCGAGGAGAAGGCTCTCTACTCTTTTGGGATCAGGCAGCTTTTTTTTTCAGTTGAGGTATTTTCTTGTTCTTGCAGGGATTTTAGACCTTGTCCAGTAAAGGCAAGTAAGCTGCATAATGGTGTGTCATGTTACAATTTGTCACTTTTCAACACATGAAGGTTTGCTTTGACCCCGCAATATCACATGTCAACAATGACTCGCTCGCTGCTCTTTATAGTCTCTAGTTTGCAGAATAAAGTTACCGTAACAAATTCGTTCAATTTTTGTGTTCGGAAACTTCAAATGGACCTCACAGCTCCACAGAATGCAAAACGCATCAAATGAACGGCCTTCTGGGCCCTCCTTGGAACCCTCTTCGAACTCCATTGTTGTGCGTCGTCGTAGGCCTGTTGCAAGGCTACAACCTACCCACCACCTATTTCCAGGAATCAATACCGATTTTGAAACAGATGCTCCGCTACTTGTGAGGTGGGAATGCGTACGAATAGCGCTTGATGCCGACGTTTCACCCTCACGCATGCTGCCAATTCCCAGTGGTGTTTGGGATGACTATCGTGGCCTAAGCGAACACATCGCTGAGAAAATACCTGAAAGAGCAACTCGATTCCAACACTCCGTCAGCTTGGATGCTTGGAAGGAATGTATCACGTCGCCTGGAGCCGTATCTTTGAAAGGATCTCTTGTCCTTAGATTCCACGAAACAACGCCTCGCCCGACCGCTCGGCTCAACCCGGTGACCGAGCAACGAGACGGAAGCTCTTTCCGACTTGGCAGGGCCTTCGGAGGTGACAGATTTCTGGCGATAGATGTTTCTTGCGCCGATAAGACCTCGTTTCAACAAAAAGACAGACTTCGTGACTGGCTTCAAGGATGGCTTATGGAGGAAAAGACTTTTCTCGGCCGCACATGGCGCGCATTGTTCGTTCGCGAAAAGAAGAAGTCTCCGAATTGCTACGAGGTTAAGCTCTTCGCTACGAAGGGAAAAGACCTGTCTGAGCCTATGTGTACAGCAAGACCATCAGCTTCTCTCGAAGACGTCATTCACTGGCTTATTCCTCTAAGCCTTGAAGGGAACAAAGCCATGCCTGCAAGCAAGATCTACTCCCGCCTCGAGCTTGGCTTTTCAAAAACCTACCCAGCTATCGAATTTCGCCCCAGTCAAATCCATGAAGTAGATGACGAGCATGGCGACGAAGCCGAAGAGGACACCAAATTCAACGATCCAAGTCTCGACTGGTCTCGGTTCTTGGATTCGGCGCACACTTCAAGTAGGATCATGAGCGACGGATGTGCCCGAATTTCCGTCGCAGCTGCAACTTTGATATCAAAGTATATTGGCACAACAGAATCTGTGCCTAGCGCCTTCCAAGGGAGGATAGGCAACGCCAAGGGGCTTTGGCTCAAATCCGTTGATCCTGAGAGAGATGAAAAAGACCCAATCTGGATTGAGACAACCGCGTCGCAGAGGAAATTTGTGCGTCACGAGGAGGACCAGGATGATGCTCATTACGATAGCCACCGTACCACATTCGACCTTCTGACTTGGTCAGATCAACTCGCCTCTTCGCAAATGAGCGTTTCACTCCTCGGGATTCTTCACGACAGAGGTGTCTCCAAGTCGTCTATCGCGCAGCTTGTCCGCGCTCAAATGGACTTTGAGAAAAATCTGTTTTTCGATGCGCTTGAAGACCCAGCTTCCCTCCTGAAATGGATATCAGCAAAGCTTCCTGGAGCATCACCAGATGGCGATCCTTCCTCGTTACAAGCAAGCATGCCTAAACTGCGCTCTGAGCGAATCGCTCGCCTCGTCAGAGCTGGATTTCAGCCTTATACATGTTACTACCTCTCTGATCTCATCAACAAAGGCTTTTCCGACTGGCTAAACCGCCTAGGCAACAAACTGGAGATCCGAATACCTCATTCGACATCTGCATTCGGCGTAGCTGATTTCCAACACGTCCTCAAGCCAGGGGAGATATTTCTGTCATTTTCACGCGTCCTACCCGACGTAGAACTCCCATACTTGTATGAGAGAGATGTACTCGTTGCTCGATACCCTATGCACCGACCATCCGATGTCCAAAAGGTTCGCGCTGTCTACCGTCCTGAGCTCGCCTCGATTCAAGACGTTGTCGTTTTTTCGGCTCGTGGTGGCTTTCCACTTGCCGAAAAGCTCTCCAACGGAGACTACGATGGTGACAGGTACTGGATTTGCTGGGAACCTTTGCTTGTACGGGATTTCAAGAACGCGCCCCCTCCGGATACGGTTAAACCAGAACTCCTGGGCATTCACATCGAATCAGAGCCTGTTTCGGGCGTTGGGGGGGCCGACGGCCTTCTCAGAAAATCCTTTGATTTACGAATCTCTGAGAATATGCTTGGTCTTTGTTCAAATTATCAGGAGAGGTATGCGTACGGGACAAACAATCTCAGAACGCCCGAGATGGCCCTGCTATCAGACCTGCGGGACTGTCTAGTTGATGGGCCAAAGAATGGGTACCGTTTCACCAAGAAAGACTGGTACAGCTTCTTGAATCGCAGAGAATACCCCTGGAAGTTGAACGAGCCAGCGTACAAGCAGCCGATTGAGAAAGCGATTTGGTATAAAGAAGGGAACATCATCGACTACGTGAAGTTCGCAGTCATGAGGGAATCCTTGCGGGATTTCAAGACTGAGGTGGATGAACGCCTTCAACACGTGCCAAGTGAGGATGAGAACCTATCCGGTCTTTATACAGCCAGGTACCGCAGCTCGTGCAACGAGGAGGATGATGAAGTCAGAGAAGAGCTCGGGAAACTCGCCGAAAATCTGATCACACTTGTTTCTGGTTGGAAAGAGAGGCGTTTTAGAAAGGGCGGCCGGACCGAAGGCTACGATGACGACATTGAGCAAGCGTATCTCGAGTATCGGCAAATCACTCCGAGGAACACGACTCACCCAGTCGTGGCCAGTTGGATGGACCGAGCTGTGTCGAACGGATTCACGACCTGGGATCTCCTCAAAGCCTCAGCGCTACATGTTAAGATTGTTGACCAGAAAATGTCGCACTTTGTTTTTTCTTTGGCTGGCCGTGAATTACTCTTCATGAAAGCGCTTGCAGTCGATCCAAATACGCAATTTGTCACGTCGAACATCATGACCACGCTGAAGGTCAAGAGGCCGCGAAATACTGGGAACAAGCCATAATGACTTTCGGATACATGCACAAGACTGACTTTCGGTGTCTCTTCAGTTATACTACCTTTATTATTTTTCCCGTCTTCTTCAACGATGTTAGATCCATGAAAAAAAAAATAAGTGATATCGGCTATTTATGCGTATTCCCTTTTCTATTCTTTCGCGACGTCTCCTTAAGAAAAGCAGTATTATTTTGAATATCACGACTATTAGCGCCTATTCATATACACCACTTGCGAAAGTCTGCGAAATCAATACGTGGATGAATGGAGCCACTGCATTGAAATTACTCATCGCATGAAGCTCATCAAACTGTACTGCTGCTAAAAAATAGTCGCAAAGTTTGAGGGTTAATGTTGATATATTTGAGCGCAGGACGGGTTAGTCATGTGTGAGAAAGTCACATGGCTTTCCTTCTGCTCACCCGCATGTCATCTTTCCCTCTTCACAGGGTCATCCGGAAGCTAGCTGCAGTGCCATGTATGACTGCAGTAAGCCCACTATAGCTTGCGTGGTCATGATTGGTCAATAGCCCTTACAGCCCCCAAAGCTTGAGGCTTAGCCGATTCCTTCGCTCCAGTGGGGGTTTTAATATAGATCCAAGCCCACTTCAAAAATCAACGTCGCCATTACTTCCTCCATGGTTCATCAACTTTTATTCGTGTCTTTTATGCAGGCAAATTCTTGAAGATATTTCGCGAGGTATCTTTCATAACTGCCGCGCCTTTATTCGTCGGAAATACAGGGTACTTATAGCGAAACCATCGCATGGATTCACCTATTTCCTTATCGCCGCTTAGTCCCCGAGATGGAACATCACGAGAAGACGAGATAGTTTTCAGCCCCATGTCTCCATTAATTCAAGACCACGCATTTAACAGGACTCGAGACGATACTACTAGATACGAGAGCCATCAAGACTTTGACAAAGGGGCGCTGGATTTGCCTACCGGCCCAAACGATGACGGTCGCAGTTGGGTTCCAAAACCTCTACGCAAAAGCTTCACCAAGATATCCCAGCGGCTCCCAACGGGCTGGAGGCTCGGTACTTCTGGTGCAGCCCTATTAACATTCCTCATACTAATAGCCAACATTTCAATAACGGCCGTGTGCTACTCCAAGATCCGCAGCCAAGGCTACAACACCAGCATTGCCCCGATAAGCACGGGCGACTGCGGCAGCATCAAGAAGCTCGGTGTTGGTATCCATCTCGTCATCAACATCATCAGTACCCTACTCCTTGGCGCGAGCAGTTACTGCATGCAGAGCATCAGCGCTCCTACACGTGTTGATGTCGATAAAGCCCACGCAAAGGGGTCCTGGGTTGACATCGGCATACCGAGCTTCCGGAACCTTCGGTTCATCCAACGGAGAAGGCTTTTAGCTTGGGTGTGTCTTGGCCTGACATCTATTCCTCTTCACTTGGTGTAATGAGTTCCACAGCCCTTTGCCGGCTCTTTTTCTGACTCAATGCAGATACAACTCCACCTTTTTCGTGTCAACCAACAACAACATGTATCAGATATATTACGCCGACGAGTCCTTTGCACACGGCGCTCCCTTCAACGAGACATTCTTCCGAGACAAGCACGGCTATTACTCAGTCGTCGACCCATGGAAAATCCAGGACCAGCTCCTGCACACTGAAATTTACCAAAACCTCACAAACGACGAGTGCATCGAGAGCTACGCGAAGACGCTCATAGAAGACAGAGGCACCTTAATCCTGGTCGTAGACCGGCCAGATAATTGCAGCATCTTCCGGGACCCCAACATCCACACCTTCCACTACGAAGACTGCGGAAACACCTCGGCCACATCTCTATACGACATGACCGTCTACAGCGTCGGCATCGAGCCAGCCAGTGAGCCGTACGTCAGCAACTGGTACTACTGGATTTGCTCGCAAGAAGCCGCCTACCGCCGCGACGGCGGCGACCCGGCCTACAACAAGCCGCCAGCGGAGCTCTGCAGCGACGGCGCCTGGAAGAAGCAGCTCGGCGCCGACCCGTGGCTCGTGAGCGGCGGGCGCGTCCGGTACTGCCTCAGCGAGACGGTCAGCAACCAGTGCCACCTCAACGTCGCCGTCAACCTCCTTTGGGTCGTCGTCGCCTTCAACGCCGCGAAGCTCGTCATCACCATCGTCATGGCCGCCAGCAGCCTGATCAACCAGAACCCGCTCGTCACGACGGGCGATGCGGCGGCGTCGTTCATCGAGTCGCCTGACCAGAGCACCAGGGGCATGTGCCTGTACTCGGCGCGCGAAATCATCGCCGCCACCCGCACCAGGAAGGACCAGCCAGCGGCCGCCGTCATCGCCCGCGCGTACCACCCGCAACAGCAGCAACGATGGTCCGCCGCCGTCAGCAAGCGCCGATGGATCCTCGCATCCGCCCTGTAAGGCAACCTCCCCTCTCCCCCCGGGGTCCCTCCCACACCACTAACCACCCCCCACAGCACCCTCCTCGCCCTCACCACCATCCTCTCCCTCCTCGCCTACGCCTCTTCCATGCTCTCCAGCCACTACTCCCGCGGCACCCTCTCCTCGCTCTGGTCCTTCGGCCTCGGCGCCATCACGCCGTACACGCTGATCATGACCTGGGCCATCCCGTCCACCGGCGCCACCGCCGCCGCCGTCGTCGGCGCCGTGCTCGTCGCCAATTTACCACAGCTGCTCTTCTCCTTCCTCTACCTCGTGCTGAACGGCGTCGTGACGAGCATGGCTGGGGCGGGGGAGTGGGCGGGGTACTATGGTCCCGGTGGTGGAGCAAAAGGCGAGGCAAAAGGGTTGCGCGTCTCGTTCCCGCAAGGCAGCCAGCGCTCGACGTATTTCCTGGCGCTGCCGTACCGGGTGGGCGTGCCGCTGATGGCCGGGTCGGCGGTGCTGCATTGGCTTGTGTCGCAGAGTATTTTTGTGGCGCAGGTGAGGACGGTGTGGACGTATGAGACAGACGTGAAGCCAGAGGAGGAGGATGAGGGGGAGGATACGCTGACGACGTGTGCGTATTCGCCGATGGCGATGATTCTGACGTGCGTGGTTGTTGTGGTGTTGTTTGCGGCGGTGGTTGGGCTGGGGAGGAGGAGGTTGAGGGGGGCGATGCCGTTGGCCGGGAGTTGCAGTTTGGCGATTGCGGCGGCGTGTCATGGGCCGGAGGGGACGTCGAGTTTGGGGGTGGTGGGGTGGGGGGTTGTGGTTGGGGAAGGGGATGGTGATGGGGATGGGGATGGGGAGGAGGTGGGGCATTGTGGGTTTTCGAATGAGGAGGTTGAGGCGCCGGTTGTGGGGAGGCCGTACGCGTGATACTTGTTTGCTTGTCTCAGCCTGAGCGGGGGGTGAATGGATTCATTCTACTTCAGCAGAGAGCAAACTGACGGAATCGTTCACTACTAGAGTTGAAACAAAAACACCTCGGCCGCCAGATTTTCTTCAAGTCCGTCCCCCACGCTATTCTTGAAGTCATTCAGCACAGCCAGCTTCATTGTTCGTATAGTCTCACTTTCAATCGAAGTCGCTGTGAGGATGGCCTTATCATTGGGCCCTGAAATGACGCTGCTGTGCCACTAGCTTCTCGCTAATTCGCTGCGGCAGAGGCCTGCAGATCCTAACCAATCGGAATCACTGCGCCTCGCTGCTGCCTACAGTGGGCCCAACGTGACCCCAGCATTCAAGAATGACCGCTGAGTGATATACTCAATAGACTCGGATAAATCTTGTATATTATAGAGCTAAATTCTCTCTATATTCTTTAAGTGCGCCCGTGCACACACGGAATCAAGATTTTCCTATTAAAAACGACGCTCATCTGCGAAATCACGTTGGGCCCCGCAGTCAAACCGATCCTCGCGCTGGCTGTACCATTACCGCCTTTACACCTAACGCCAACGCATCGCATAGCTCACCAACCCATGGCCACACTCATAGATTTGCCACAGGAGCTCCGTCAAAGGATCCTTCTCACAGCCGTACAGCAAGAAGACCGGCTAGCCGGGAGCAAATGGCCCAAAACCATCATCGCGCTCCTCCACGTGTGCAAAACGCTGCGGCGCGACATGCCGTGGGTGCTCGACCAATGGACCCCGCTCCGGCACCTGCAGCGGCCATCCGACCTGACGACGGCGCCGTCGCTGTCCATCGACGGCGTCGCGTGCGGGCCGTTTCTGACAAAGCCCGCGGAGATGCTGTACATCGACCTCTTTCACGACACGTTGGCCGCAAACATCCGCAAGGCTACCTGGAACCCGCTTGACGATGGCGTCGAAATGCACCAGGCGCTCGTCGACGCGTGGCGTGACGCCGTGCCGCAGCTGCCCATGGACAAAGGCCTCGTGGTGCTCGACGCTACGCCGGCGCCGGGCTGGGCGCGCGAGGGCCACGAATACACTCTGCAATGGCTGATGTTGCGCGGGGCACAGGCTTTCCTGGCTTATCACATCGATGGCATCGTGGACCTCGTGCGGCGCATATACCAGCACTATGCGGGGAACGTCGAGGTTATGCTGGCCGGTAGATATGATACGTTCCACATTCAGTCCTTGCTACGCATCTGTTTTCTATTGCGCGACTTCGGTATTAAGCTTCCAGAGGGGAGACAAGTAAAGTTTTCGAACAGTTTGCGGGTGAGGCGGAAGACGATCCTTTACGCCGTGCATAACCTGGCGCCAAGGAAGGGGACGCCAGAGGTGGAGGACTGGTCGCAGGCGATGAGGCTGGCACCGCTAAGGAAGGTCAAGTGGTCGGAAAAGGCGGCCTGGCTCTTCCAAGACCTCAGCACCGTGGGGGGCAGCTTGGACAAATTGACGGATGACATGCGAAAATTGGCTGAAGTAATGGTCGATGAGCACGGGACCACTGTTACAATTACGGAATGGACACAGCTTCACCTTTCGCGTCGCAGGCTAATACGCCATATGGCAAGAGATATGGGACTGCGGGTGAAGTCGGAAGGCGAGGGCGAGAATAGGTACGTCGTCATCTCCAAGGAGTCCGTTTAAGGTTGATGAATTCAGGCGATATTGGAGTTCTGGGATGAACTAGTCATTTTTCAACAATGCGCATGTAACATAACAAATATGCCCGAAAGCCAGCCTCCGGAATGAAATGGTTTAGGTATAGGAATTAGTCGGTATTGTGGTTGAGACAAACCCAAACTCCATACAACCGATATCATTTAGTGCGAAGACAGGGAGAGAAAAGAGGGTTAGAGAACTGGTTTGGGAGTTAAGATGTAACGGGAGTATAGCCCTCACTTCTACTACCCCAGCCTGAAGACCTTGAATAGGCCTCCCCTGTCGAGTTCCCTTCGTTCTCTTGTAAAGCCGATAAATGTATCGAAAAGCTTCTGCTACACTGAGGTAAATTGTGATGAAGAAAAGGAAGCCGGCCCCAGCGAGGATACTTGGAAGATGTTTTTTTTTTTTTTGCAGGCTAACGGCGAAGGAGAAGAGTGGTACGATCTCGGTGAGATCCACTGTCTCATCTAACAGAGCATTCTGACCAAAGAAAGCCTTTACAAGATCCGACGCCATTTTCTAGAGGAATAAGTACACTGCAGGTCTCCCGGGATACCTGCACATACTCCTATCAACTGGTTAGTAGGGAACCTCATGTTATTTTCTCAGGGATAAGTACCAAAGTAGCCAACTTGGACAGCAAAGCCATCGTCTACCGCGGCTCCTTGTGAGGTGAGTTGCAAAAGGTATATGTTGGGTACTCCTGGAAAGTTAAAACGCTTCCAGTTAGTGCGAGAGCTGTACACGGCTTAGTTATATTGTTGTAAAACAAAACAGTAGAGTTACGCACCGTAGAAAACGAGTAATGGTATAAAAAGAAAGTAAATCACCGAAACAAGGATGTATCTCGCTGTCTAGTAGTTAGCCTCCGTCTAATGAAACGCTAAGCCTATTCATACTAGGTTTTTACATCATTTCCAGTGCTTTCTATTCGAGTTTCGAAAGGTAGCTCGAAGAGATTAAATTTAGAGATAATAACAAAGCCAAGGATAGCTCGATTAAATAGTTCTTAATCACATCTTTTACATAGACCTCGACTTACCTTATTGTCTTAGATCTACGATCCGGAGGCGCGCGAATTCAGCCACTAAAGAGCTTTCTTTTTTTTCTCGTAAGTTTAATCTACTAGCTATTACTATCGTCTTCTTCCTAATTATTGGGACCGACTATTGCTTTACTCTTCCTCCCCATAGTTATGCGCGCGGTAAGTCTTACAGTCATTTACTCCGCGTTGGTATTGTACTACTCTGTAAGCATGAATCTAGATTCTAAATCTATTATACCGCCAAGACATCTACTGTATAGAGCGGCGTAGTAAATGCGCTAAGGTGCCGGGGTCCGTGTCGTCGGTGCCGAAGTCGGTTTCACCCGGAGCCAGCCGCATATGTTCTAGAAGCCATCACCGTGGCGCGGGAGGCGGTGAATTAGTCCGAAGTTGGTGTGTTGTGTTGGCGGCACGTTTGCGATCGCTTAATAGCTTTACGCCTAACCAATGAATGTTCGCGGAGTACTTGTTCCATGGATGCGGCGGGGAATTCAAGCCTAACTTGTGACATCCAGAATTGTCTCCAGCGAATATTCCTTCGTCTTCAGACTTATAATTGTCAGCTTTTGAGATAAATTCCCTTGCTTTAAAGACTGCAAACGTATCAGTATAGATCGGTTACTGCGAACTGTACGTAAAAGGAATGCAAGTCTCTTTTCAGCATTCGCTGCGCCGTACGCTAAACGAGATCTCACTGTTGGACTCCACCACTTGTGGATTGTTCCTCCGATAATCAGTCAATGGACACACGACAACCCCCAGTGGGACTTACAGTCCGTCCTCAGCTTCTGATTCCTGAGCCGCGCGCATCGCGAGCTCCACCATTTTCCCATTGTTGCAGGCGGCGAGAATCCAACTGAGTTGGTATAGATCTTTAACCCAGCATATGGCATGTTACTTGAGACGATGAAACTCGGATCAGCCTCAGTATAGAGATGAGGGCGGCTAAGAATCTGGCACAGGTTACGGCGGTGACAGTGGTGGAGGGGCGGCGTAGACGGGGTTGCAGACGTACACGAGATCCTTTGACACCGAGATTACCAATCGCATGAGAGCTCTAGGTCTCAGTAGACGCCAGAAGTGATCTCTGTAGGATCTGTAACTACTGTGCCTTTTTTTATAAGCGCCGAATTCAACATATAAAGGTCGTCCTTATCCGCGCACTTTTTATACATCACACTCGAACAACACAGCCCTGCAAAGCATTCGAATCTTACCAATCTTTTCGCAAACGCATTTGTCAACCACTCACTATCGATTCTTACTGCTATCACTGTCAAGATGGACCCGTCTCGCGAAGATGTTTACGAGGCTGCTCAAGTCCTTCAAGAAAACCTTGACAAAATTGGTTGTACATTTTCTTTCATGGGAGGGCTTGGACTACTCCTCCACGGCTTAAAGGTAGACCGTGACATCAAGGACATTCAAGTCGTATTTGAGGAATATACGGTGCTTGACGATGTTTTCGCAGAGCTGAAAGCAGAAGCAGACGACCGGTGCGCGGATAACCGTCTTTCACTTTCTGAATGGGGTTAAACTAATTAATACTTGTACAGACTTGTTTTCAGCGCACCGCAAGATGTCTACACGTGGATGATCACTATACGCCCATATGGAGACGAGAGCGATATTATTGTTGACGCACATGTCACTCTTACAGGTAGGCTCTTATTTCATTTCTAATGCGCTTACACATACTATAACTAATATAATACTAACGAGCCATATCAGGTCGCAAGGGGATAGAGGGAGGGATAGGGGTACTCGAGCTGTCCGTTTCAGGAGAAATTACTTATGAAGACGACAAAGGCAAACAGATTAGCTTGACAGGTAATGTCCTTAACATTGAGCCTATGGTTAGGACGCTGTTGTGGTCGTGGGATCAAGAGGATGATGTTACTCATCGACAAGCCTTCATGGATCTCCACCTTCTTATGCGACACGAAGACTATAGCGAAGTGATCCGGAAGGTCCCTAACGACATGAACTTGGTTCCGAGGTGGAATTTTGTCAGAGAGGTGTATGACAGAAAAGACCGGAGCTGGAAGGACTTCGGGGAGTTGTTTAACGTCAACCCAAAATCAGAACCACCATCAGACGAGTCATCCGGACAGGAAGCCGTATTCTCGGAGGGTGAGGAACATGGTTCCCTGGATGGAACTGTCTAATTCGCAGTCGCTAGCCCCTCCATGTGTGGCTAAGAGGATTTTTTCCTCTTTCTTTTTTTTTTTGTTAACAACTGACCTTTCACTCGTTTACTTGTCCTTTTACTCGCTTCCCTATTATGTCATTCGTTTACTTGCTGTATCCATATCGTAGCTATACAATTAAGTCTTATAAACGCTTATATTTATTACTACTATATATATCGTGTTTTATTACTTTGACTTTAACTCTAAGGTAAGCCTCTAACTAAAAGATTCGAATCGACCGCGACCGTAGTCGATATAATACAATCTAGTTACCGAATTTGTGAAGCACTTTTCCATCAGAAAAATATCTCTATAACGGTTCGGCAAAACAATCTATAAAAAGCTCTACTCTCTAATCTACAAATCTAAGTTCTCCTTGTGTGTGAAACCATCCAGGATCGTCGATCGTATTTAGCATTCATTACCATCCCCTACAGTGGTAACGACACTTTTCTTGCATCCTTCAACAGCCACAACGATGAGTGGCGCGACGAACACGAATCTCAAACCCATATTGGGCCTTGCTGTATCGCTCAGCCTTGTGAGAAAAAAAAAAAGCACAATGTTCCAGTTGAGTATAAAATGACCAAGCTTGCCGCTCCAATACCATGTTGTGAAAGGATAAAACTATTATATCCAGCCATCACGCATATTTATTTAGAACAAATGCCTTCTATATAGCTTCCTTCGCTGCAAAGATGAGTTATCAGCAACCGCCAGATCAACCCCGGAGACCCCTCCTAGCCATGATGACCCAAGGCAAGTAAATTTCAAAACTGAAATGAAATATGATAGTAATCTACTTCCGCTTCAAGGTCGTTCTGATGAGAACCTCGCTCAACAGGCTCCAGAAACTCTCAATGATTCCAGGGCTTCTACGGTCAAACGCCTGATTCCGCAGTTCCTCATACTCGTTATCCCAGCCTGTTTCATCGGTCTGGAGCTTTAATACCCTCTGGCATTGTCCCATTGCTGATATACTTTCCAGTTTTGGGAGCTTGCATCGCCATGATAAATGGAAAGGCTGAGTCCAAGGCTGGGGAGGCCATTGTGCAAGCGACAACAGTGTCGGCCACCTTGTGGCCAATTGCCTTCGCTACCGTTGTTGGGCCAATGGCCAAGGCCATTGCCTTGCATTCAGCGGAGAGAGGAACCACCCCAGGTGTAAGGCGTTCCATGTAGGCACGCTTGCCGTAGTCCTCAGGCTTACCTTTCTTTTAGACACTCGAGGTAGTTTCCACAAGCCAAACGCTGGTCAGCACTTTTCGCGTATGCCTTAATTTCCGCATCTTTAGTCTATGGACTCCTGGTCTTGCTGCTGTTTGGACATTAAGCCCGGCAGGCGGCTAAGGTGTCTCTAGAGCTATGCAGTTGCAGAAGAACCGTACTTCATTCCGCATCAACATTCAATCATTCCCCCTAAACGACCTCTCACAAAGTGGTAATGCCTTCAACGCGGGGACATCCGGCGGGGTATCGCTGTACAACCGGTGGAGCAGAGTATCAGAAGCAGCGTTTTTAGCATCGGATGTCGGACTTATACATTCAAACGGACCCAATAATAATTTCCACCTCGCTGTACAACAAGCTGGGAGTGACGCACTAGCCATCCAGTCCACCAGCACGGATCTATAGGGAAATGTACGAGTACCAATGCTGCATCTACTTCCGGACTACCAACTAAGTCAACCGTTTAAATGGGTCAATATATCGTCGGGTACAATTCCGCCCTCCGACTCCTTGATAGGACTTCCCATGCGAGGAATGAAATCAGACGTTGAAGGCAACGGAACGACTATTATCAGCTTATATTACCATTACTTCTCTATAAGTGTAACTATAGAGACAGAGAGTGCAAACCTCTATGTTGGCTAACGAACTTTTCTAGTATGGCTCATGGGTCGATGAGAAAGAATGGCTACTCCAGAATCCCATTGATATCTCTTACGCTTCCATTATAGATGAAACGATCGAGCCAAAAAAAAAAAGTGCTAGGCGGAGATCCCGGGACTCTGACCATATACATGTCTATTTTGGATTCGTTCAAGCTAAATGAACAGACAAAAAGCAAGAAAGTGTTGTTGTTCGCTACCAGCAGATCGAGCGAGCCAGGTAATATCACCTTATGTGAGATTACAGCTTCGCACATCGACAGCAGTGTAGATTGCACCAGGTCGTCCGAGGGCGGAGAACTTTCATGTGCTGCTAAAGCGGCCCGGCATACAAAAGGCTTTCCTGTACCAGGGAACTCCACCACCTTTGACTTCGGATTAACGTGGACATGTCTTCGCAAATTCCCTTCATTTTAGCAAACGTCCACCTAAAAAGCATTGGGATGCTCGAAATATTTCTCCAAGACCCCCCTCCGACCCTTGACAACATAATCGAAACGCATTCTAACCACACACATCTATCGCCCAAAGTTTTTTCAGCTCGCCTCAGCATGCTCGTCAACACATTCCTTCGCTCATCAATGGACATGCAAAGCCTGGTTGGAATGAAAAGTCTGAGCGTGGAAGAGAATTCTGATTGGAACAACTCGACAGGTACTTGGCAGAGGTTCACAGCTGATGTATACGTCGTCAAAAAGCCTTGGTTCACGTTGTACATGGCTTCGACCCTTGTTATGACTCTCTGCGCGCTAGCCAACATCGTTATTCGTAGCATGACACGAGCCCCGGATTTCCTTTGGAGCGTTTCGGCTCTAACACGAGATTCGCCTTTCGTCGATGCTCCTGCAGGCGGCAGCGTTATGGAAGGAACGGAGCGCGCAAGGCTGCTCAAGGGCAAGTGGGTCAGAATTCAAGATGTGAAGCCCGATGAAGATGTTGGCAGGATTGCTTTCAGTGACGCAAAGGGTCCAGGATGTTTGCGGATAGACAGACTATATGAGCGAAACGTCTCAGGGTCGGCATGGATGTGATGAAGTGATACATTCTGTCTTTACCGGTGAGTTCGACCTTCCAATCGGTGCATTTGAATCTCCTTGTATGTAGGAGAAGGGATATTGCAGGCTAACGCTGGCCAGGATTTAATTTCTTGAGTAGTACAGGCTCGTCGTCTGTCAGGAACAGTAGATGCCACTGTGTTCTACCTATCACATCACTCGTACCGGCAGAGCAATTTCATAGTCTGAGCTATTCTTTGCGCTAGTGTTCGGCTGTAATATTCTTTTGTAGACAACATGAAAGCAAACTTCACCGATTTTCTTGGCATATCTCAGCTGCAAACAAAAACAACCCGTGACATGCTGCCTACCTGGGCGATTCTGCACTTCATGTGATTGATTGCTTATTCTGATCTAGCCTCAAAGTACAATCGCTTCCGTCACTGATTGGCTAGCCATGGACGCCGTCAGCTCTAGGCACCCATATGCCTATTCAAGAAGCCATACCATCATAAGCGTAAGTTTGGCCGCAAACGGCAGCCTCTGACGCCCTTTACTGACAAGTCCGCAGCGGCTGCACTGTGATGTGGCTTGCAACGTGAGATGGCTTGCCAAAATGAGTGCACAACTTGCATCGCATGCATATGCGCCAAGTTGTTGGTCGGGAGCAGGCTCGAATCATGATCCTCGTACGAAGTCGCATCACGGGACCACATCACCCCAGCCGCCCCAACTACAGCCAGGGCGAAAAGCAGGGAAGCCGAGAGCATCTGGGCCGGTCTGCGCAGATCGCGTGAGGAGATGCAAGGGGCTTAACAAGCACGATACTCGCCACAAGGACCTGCGCCTCAGATTGGTACCACGGTTGGTGGGGGCTGTTGGACGCGTGAAAGCTGTGGTCATACATATGCAGTCAGCAAGAAAAACTGTGGCGCAATCCCGCGGGCTGCTGATGATGATGAGCAAAAAAACCTTGTTCCTTGCTTTTTGGTGTTCTTGGGGCCAAGAGTCCACACCCACATTTAACCTTCGATGTAAGGTTGCGGCCTAGCGGCGTAATCCGAAAAGGGCCCCCACGTGGCGTTTCTTACGGGATTGCTTGGAGGGAGAGAGATCAGCCGGGCCAAACAAAAGCAAAGTGGCTGGAAAGGGAATATTGGATGCTGCTGGAAGAGGAGCAACGAGAAACGTCCCGACGTTGTCATTGGGCATCACGAATAATGAGGCTTTATTTTTGGAGTAATTGGCTGACGGCCGCTCAGGCGACGTCATAAGCCTATGAGTGAGCCGCCCACATGCAGGGTTCAGCGCTTAAGCACGACCGAGGCATGGCAGCACATACAGATGCAGCCGCCGTCATCGGCCGAAGTCCGATGGGATGTAAGGCTTGGAGAGCCGGGCGCTGTGGCTGAGCTGGGCAAGCACGGCTGAGCTGGTGGGCAGCGGGATTACTCCGGTGATCCTTTCATGGGTACCATATCCGGCAAACCGGCATCCCATTAGCCTGGCTCTCTCCCAAGCTTAGCACAGGGCTTAGTTTTCGCAGATCACGCAGAGGCGCCAGCTCTTAACGTCCTACTTACCTTGTACGGACTGGCTCCAACAACCGCTACGTGTCAGTGCTTCGACGATGGATCATCTGGTGGAGATTAGGCAGCCGGTAGAGCATTGCCGGACGTCATTAATAAGCGACGAGGTGATGATGGTGCTGCGGATCAACAACTGTTCGGAACTTCCAAAAGCGGCTCACGATAGGAAGACGTAGTGCGTGTAGTGTTGCTAAGTGTCTGAGCCAATGCAGGCTCTGACGGTGTGGCTCATCCCCAGATCCAGATCCTTCGTATGAGGTTCACCCAACCACGTGCTAGAGCCAACCGTTGTCCCGTTTTTGGTACCAAGCATGAATCGCTACTGATACCCCACGCATCCGAAGCTTGGAGTCTGAAACATGGCGGCGTTATTTCCACACGGCATCAACTCCAGAGAGATAGACTCTAAGATATGACATGCATCCAGTCACATGTTTATGGCTTGCTTTCTGTACACAACTGCTAAGGGTCTCTAAGGTCACCCGCGTTTTAGCAGATTAGATTCTGCATGAGCACCTCTGATCTGCCGTCTTCAGACCCTTGCAGTAGCTCCATTTTGACCGAACGGCGGTGACGATCGTGAAATTGAGGGTGGTTCGCTGCAGTCAGCGTGGCCCTGCATGAGTGTGGCTAAATTGATCCAAACACCATTGTCTGGTGCCTTTCACACGGCTTGACCGGACTTCTGATCCGAAATCAAAGAAGGGTGCTTTACGGAGAGGCATTTGATGGTGGAGGGTAGATATATAACTCAGATGTGAACCTGCACGAGTGTCGATCATCATTCCCAAACCAGGGCTTTCCCAGATCTTTTTTGATCCCGCAGTGATCTTCTCGTCCAGGATGATCGATTTCGTTGTTCTGGCTGCGGCCCTGCTGTCGACAGCGTCCCTTGCATCCCCCACGGCGGACAGGAACGCCCGAGACACAGATGGATGTGCGCAGATGAACCAATGGAGCAAGGCCAATCCGAACAAGGATGTTCCCCCGACCCTTGCATACGGTTGTCTCAAGGCGGTGCCGGTGGATGTTGATGGCGATGCCCAGCTGGTGTCGGAAATGTCCAACATCGTGAGATGGCAGTCCACCATCGCGTATCTGAAGAACCCACCACAGGGGTATCCCGCACCGCCCCTGGACCTCCTCGGGGGTTTGAATGATATCAAGAATAAAATCTCCAGCAACGGCTACCAGAGTGAGTACGATGTGCAGATGGATATCGTCAATTTGTTTAATCTTGCATGTAAGTTGATTATAAAAATGTTCCCAGCATGTTTAAAAAAAAAACTAAACATGTATATAGATGATGGCCATCTTGGATACACACCCGACATCGCAACTACTATCGGCTTTGGTAGGGTCCCAGAGGATTCTAACCTTGTGTCGGTTTCCTCGGACGGAAAGTCACCACCCAAGGTTTATTTGAAGAGTGCGTTTTCCCACAACCACGAAACGTTTTAAACTGACACAAAATAGCGGATATCGACAAACAGCACAACGATGGCAGCTTCATCCCTTCAGCAATCCAATCAATCAGCAACCAGCCCGTCAGTGATTATCTCAAGTGGCTCTCCGACACTGACGGCTCAAGCCCGGACCCTGACACACGGTACCAAAACCTGTTCTACAATCCCGCCGGTGCATCTCAGTCTCAGAACAACGGCACTTACTTCACCGCATCCGGCATCTACGAAGGTGATTCGATAACCCTCACTCACGAAGACAAAACAACAACGCAACTCCAGAACGTAGCCAACATCCAAGTCGACCTCTCCAACATCAACAGCGGCTCCACCTTCTTCAACACCTTCCTAACCGGCAAGCAATCCTCCAGCTCCTCCAAGCCCCGTTCTTCATCTTCAAAGCCTCACCCACCCTACGGCTACCCCGCCCCGGTCTGGTACACCAGCGACAACACGCTCGCCGGCTACTTCCTCACGGACGCCAACTACAAAGACGTCGCCGTCATCTCCAACCCGGACTTCCAACCCAACGACGACGACGAATTCCGCAACACCGTCTCCTCCTTCCTCGCCGATGCCGTCACCGCAAAGAAAACGCACCTAATAATCGACCTCCGCCACAACAGCGGCGGCAGCGTCGAGCTGGGCTACGACCTCTTCAAGCAGCTCTTCCCGCAACTCGAACCCTACGGCGGCACGCGGCTGCGCGGCCTGGACACCATCAACGCCATGGGGCAAGTCGCGTCCGCGCTCACCGAACCCTCCGCCGGGGACCAAAAAACCCTCAACACCGCCCTCACCCTCAAGCTCCCCGGCGCCAGCCACTCCACCTCCATCGCCGAGTTCTCCTACCACGCCTCCCTCACCTCCGCCCACACCGACTTCGCCTCGTGGTCCGCCCTCTTCGGCCCGGACACCTACGCCGGCGACACCTTCACGCGGCTCCTCCGCGCCAACCTCTCCGCCCCCGCGCTCTCCAACCTCGTCGTCAGCGGCTACGGCTCGCTCGCCAACGTCCCGCCGCAGCCGTTCGCGGCGGACAACATCGTCCTCCTGCTCGACGGCGCGTGCGCGAGCACCTGCGCCGTCTTCGCGGAAATGATGCGCACGCAGGCGGGCGTGCGCAGCGTCGTCGTCGGCGGGCGGCCGGCCAACACCGGTCCCGCGGTGGGAGTCGGCGGGACGAAAGGCGCGGAGACGCTGCACTTCGACCAAGTCGCTGACAAGGCGGGCGCGGTGCGGGCGCTGCTGGACAACTCGGACGCGGATGATAGCACGTGGCAGCGGTGGAGCGACGTGCTGGGCAGCGCGGGGGTGGATGGGTTGGCGAATTCGTCGACCGTTAGGCGGAGGACGGCGAAGGATGGAGGGTCGTTGAACGCGCAGATTAACTACAGGAATAACTATAGGCAGGGAGACGACAGTGGGGTGCCGCTGCAGTTTGTGAGGGATTATGCGGATTGCAGGCTATGGTATACGGTGCCGATGATTTACAGCCCCGTGCCGCTGTGGGAGAAGGTGGTGGATGCGATGTGGTTGGATGGGGATCAGGCTGGGTGTGTGGCGGGCTCGACGGGGCATGCGCAGGCGTCGGAGGCGGTTGGGAAGGGGTATACTGCTGATGCTGTCAAGACCAGCGCGGCGGCGGCGTCAGACCGGGGCTGGTCTGGGGTTGCGGCGGTTGTGGCTTGCGGGGTTGCGGTTGTGATGGGGGTGTTGTAGATGGCATTGTGTATTCTTTATTTCCTTTTTTGGTTTCTGGCAGCTTTGAGCGCTGATGTTGGACAAGGGAATTCACCACGCTCAGTTGTTCTATACCTAAAGACCCTCTATCGCACTTCATGAGACACTGAGATGAGGAAATGAGCGAGGTAGCAGTGTCTCTCTCCCAATACAAAATCGTCCATGAATCCAATAGTCTCGTTTTCCGCAAGCAGTGAAGTCCCGTAGGGCTGTCCACGCGGGAAGGCACGTGCTGGCTTACTCACTCATCACTACTGCTACAACCATCGGACACCACCTCAGCCCAGGCCAGCCTCTGCCGACGGACCGCCGGTAGTACTGCGTAGTACAGGAGACCGGTGCGAGTACAAGCCACGGCGGCGCCGATGACCGTGGTGAGTCGCACACGATCCAAGCGTTGTTTTTTGATCCTTAGGGCTGAAATTAAATGTAGACACAGACCTCAACGCACGCACGCACGCACTCACTAGTCAAAGCGTTGAGGCTGAGAATAGCCCGGCAAGGAAACAGTCGCGCGGTGAAGGCCGTTGTAGGCTGGCGCGTAAGGTTGAGTAAGAGCGTAGGGGATAGAGTAGGTGGCGAGTCAAGGGCGTGCAATGTCGGTCTGGCCGAGAAGGGTGCGGTCTGCCGAGTAGACGGTCAGGTAGGGCATTGCCTGAGACCCTGCAGATGATGATGATGCTTGTTTCTGTGTAGAGGTTACGTAGGAAAACGGCGGTGGGCCAGAACACTGGCATTGACGGAGCTGCTGTACAATAGTGGAAGTGCCAGGCGCCTGTCTATTGGTGCGTGTCTCGGGTCATGCCGAGTTTCGGTTTGAGCTTCGCTACTCTTGTTTCAATAGGCATTATCCTTCGCCTCCGTAGTAGCAGCACTCTACACCGCATAGACGGTACTACAATAGCAGTAGTAGGCGGTGTTGTCCTCAGAGTCCTACAGGGGTTCGGACGAGGGCGAGACAGGGCGATTTCGTCCGAGTCAGGCGTACGCGCCAGCGCAGAGAGCTTGTTGGGCGGCGCAGGAGCTCATCGTCATGCTTCCGTCCTCCTCCTCCGGCTCTTCTCTCACATCCCACGAGTTTAGCACTGTAACCGCCCACCGGGCCCTCTCTTCGGCCCGTGTGAGCACGGCTCGGCCGACAGACGACACAAAACAGCGAGCTGGTAAAAAAGAGGGAGAGTCGCGTGCTCCGAGCAGAGGCCACGATGCCGTCCCCGTGCGCCGCGGCCGGCCATTTGGTCGCATCATCGTCCTGCCCTACGGGATATTTTTACACCCCCTACTACTGGCACGAGGGCCCCGCCGCCGCGCTTTTGCCAGCGCAGACCGCCCACAGGCACGCCGGGTCTAGGTCGGGTCGGCATGTCAATCGCTTGCCCATTACGTCGACGGCGAAGCCTTCTAGAAGCACGGGGCTCCTGGGGGCGACCTGGCTCTCGCCTCGTTGCCTTGCCCCCCCGTGGTGGGCCTGCCTGCGGCTCTCGCTGGCCACGCATCATGCAACCACGTACCCGAGCTCCCTGGGGGAACAGGAGCAGGGCTCGCGCGAGCCACGCCTCACGGCCGTTGTTGCGGTCGCTTAGCCGCTCCTCCAGACGCCCGGTGCCTTCCTGTCGCGTGGTGAAGCAGCGGAAGGAAAAAAAAAGGCGTGGCAAACCGACGATGCGTGGACGTGTGAGATGAGATCAGGGACGAAAGCCAAGCAAGGGGGGTGCGGCGCGGGCAGAGCAGCAGCACCTCGTACAGGAACCCGAACCGGGGCCCCACCTTCCCTACTCGCGCGGGACGGGCGACGGTTCCGGTCGAATGCTTCTCTGCTTTCTGTTGACTCGGTGTTTCATCGCTTCCGGGCGTCGCGCCTCGTGTTGCGAGAGCAGCAGCAAGCACCTAATCACATGTCCCCTGCGCCCGCCCTGCCTATCACCAATAACACGATAATGAACACGGGCAGTGTGTTGAGACATGATCGCACACCTCCTGACTTAGATACTAGCACCGTGTTCCCACGAAAATTTTTTCTCTTGTTGTCAGTTGCCGACCGAAGGACCCGTCGCCGCGCACATGGCCGAGTCTTGGGACCTAGCGCACGTTATTTGTAACTGCTCGGCAGTGTGTGGTGCCGATGTGCATGGCATGGCATGGCATGGCCGTCGTTCGGCGGTGCCTGCGGAATGGAGCCACGGGCCAGCAAGCCGGGCGACACTGGTGACTAGCAGCTGAGCTAACGCACGAGGGTCGAGGGAACGTGCTCGGCCCTAGGGTTTGACCGGGGGGTGCTGTGTATTGTATTGTAACTAGACCCGTTCGTCGGCAAAGGCACATGCTAGAATAACCGGCAACCGGCAACGTTTATTGTTGTGCGCGCCTAAACGCTAGTCTCACCACCAATTTCCACCGAGCGACAACGCCACCGCCGTCAAGTTCGTTGCAAGCACGTCGTTGGTCTCGTGCTACGGTTCCTGCAGTCAGCAGCCTAAGCGGGCCGGCGCCACCGCGGCCGAGCGAAAAAAAAAAGACTTCTGACTGCTGAGATCAGATCAGCCCCCAAAAAACTCGCTATCGGATCTTCGGAATATTATTTTTCTGTGTCGCACCGCAGTATGCAGGTGCTCAGGGGTACGTGCAGCAATGCTGTGGGACCACCACCCCCGCCCTATGTTCCTTGTGGGCTTTCATGAGACAACCGTCGTACGGGGAGGGTCCCGCCGCTGCATAACACAAGCACCGCACACCGCACACTCGGGTTTCGTCCAACAAAACATTCTGAATCAATTCCCCTCCTCCGCCAGTCTAGAACGCAGGGACAGCAAAGGCATATACACACGACGATAAGGGCCAATAAGCGATTGACAGGGGTGCGAGGCAGTGAGATAACGAAAGAAGAAAAGCGCAATTTCTATATCCGTGCTACGAAGAGCCCATAGTCGTTCTATATGCATACCCAGAAAAATGATGTGATGTGACCGCGTGCGTGAAAGGACATGAAGAGGAGGGAAACTGATTGGGGTAAGAACACAGCACCCATTAGATTTGTTGGAAACACATTATTCGCCCGCCCAAACTCAGCCCCCTCAAAACGAGGAAATGCGATACCAGGATGTACCCCGATAAGGAAAACCACCGTCCAATGAAAAACCGTCAGCCCGGCGCAACGCCGCACACGCTTAGGGGAGGCGTTCGCAGTTAATTAAACATCAGAAAGCTTGAACTGATAACGTTCAGCTCACTGCGTCCAACCTTCCACAAGTAGCCACAAGCCCCCAAATGAACACGGCGCACGCCGCGCGTCCTGCTTTCCGATTTTTTTACTTGCTGTTGATAGGCGAGAGCGCTTAGAAGAGCGCGGCCAGGAGACCGGCGCCCATGAGCAGGGAGTCGACGCCGAAAACACCTGCGGCGTTGTTACCGTCAGCGGAGGCCGAAGCAGAGGCGCTGGGAGTGCTGCCGGGGGTGCTAGCACCGGCGGCCGAGCTGGCAGCCGACGAAGCGGAGCCCGAAGCGGAAGCCGAGGCAGCGGCGGAGCTGGAACCCGAGCGAGAGGCGGAAGCAGAAGCCGAGGACGAACCTGCAGCGCCGGTGGACGAGGCACCGGCCGGGGTGGAGGCCGAGGAGCCGGTGGAGGCGGCGGCGGCAGAAGAGCCGGAGCCGGAGCCGGACGAGGCAGAGGAAGAGCTCTCAGCGGTGGCGGAGGCGGACGAGGAAGCGGCGGCGGTCGAGGTGGCCTCGGCGGAGGTGGAGGCGGGCTTGTCCGACTTGCTGCTGCTGGTCTCGGAGGGGAGGTTGGCACCGCAGTTGGCCGAGAAGTAGTCGTTCTGGTAGACCCAGGTGGGGCAGTAGTTCTCCTTGTAGCTGGAGTAGCAACTGTATTGGTGGTGACGTCAGTGGTTGTTCTTTGGGAGAGAGATGGGGCCATTGAAGGGTCAATGGCAGGTGGCACCTACGCAGACTGGTGGGACAGGACGGAGCAGGAGCACGAAGTGACGGCACCGGTGGTGCAGACGTTCATGGAACCCTGGACCTGACCGCAGGACTCGAAGAGGCTGTTCGAGATGGGTGGTCAGTGAGGAGGCACAATATTGAATCGATGCACGGGGCAGTGTATAACTCACGAGATGGCGGCGGCATTGCCCTGGTTGCAGTCGGCAGCAACGACGCTGGTGAGGGCCGTGATGGCAAGAGCCTGGACGAGAGTCTTGGAGAACATTGTGGATAGATGTTGTGAACAACGAAAGTGCTGTATAGCGGTGGGTGGCGTAGAGTGAACGAGCGACTACGCTTGATGATACCACGAAATGGAGGAAATTGCTTTGACGGCCGGAAGAGCGAGCGTTGGGGCCATGGCTTTAAAGCTGGAGATTGTGCAGTGCTCGTATTGTTGCCGGAGCCTACCGTAGGGCTGGCTGCCGCCTCTCGCGCTGCGCCTTCCGCCCACTCTGTAAAGTTGCTCGTATTATGTCATTGTCGCCCGTACCGGCGCGGAATACCATACGAACGAGGGCGGATGGTCAAGCAGTTGGCTGGTGCGTAGGGCGCCAACGGCCAAGACCGGCCAAGGCCAGAAAAGGGGCAGCTCGCTCCGCCGAGGAGCTTAAAAATAGCCGCAGATTGGCGGCGACGCAGGTACATCACCCCATGACTGCCGGCCCTCGTGAAAGCTTCATTACCAGAACGCCGCAGATCTCGAGCGGCCACAGTCCGGCCCGATGTAGCCTAGCACGTACCAGATTGGGGTGCAATTAATTGCAATGCAAGTGAGCCACTGCTGCGGCGCGCCCGAGGGGGGGCTTCACTGCGAAACAGCACCCTACAATAAAAAGAATGTTTCTCCCCCGCGCTGAGTTCTGCACCGCAAGATCCCGGCCAGTCATTCGTTACGTGTCACTCCTTTGACCACCAACACACGCTCGTTCCCTCGTTTTTTCACGCTAGTAAATCCTTCTCACAGTCCTTATCGCAAAAATGAAGTACTCCGCGCCCATCATCGCTCTTTTCGGCCTCCTTGGCGGCGTCTCCGCCACCATGAGCCCTGCCAACATGCAGGATACGGGAAACTCGCTCGCCCGCCAGGCTTTCGACATCAAAGATCTAGTCGTGCAGATCAACTCCACCATGAACACCGGCCCGATGCAGGTAAGTGCCCTCCGCTCTCTCTCTCGTCAGCGCCCAAGTGAGGCTGAAGGAGCATGTTTGCCCGACGTGCCGACGTATCACTGGTCCAACCCATGCTGACCATGTGGGTCGCTCCCTCGTCTAGGATGTTTTCGAGGAGATGGATGATCTGTACGATACCGTCCTGGCCAACATCCAGCTCATCATTGGCTCCGCTGCTCTTACCGAGGAGAGCGAGGACACCCAGCTCGTGTACGAGGCATACTCCTACGTAAGTTATCTCCCACCGCCATCCGCCCGCATCCGCCACGCCGGCCCACCAAAACCAAGGCCACCGCCTCCCGTGTTCCCCGTGAATTTTTAATCTCTTTGCCGTGACGGTCGAAATATTACAATTGCCGAACGTCGTGACTTCATAATAAAGATGTGCAATGGTCGCTGACACACTCTCCCACAGCTCGTCCAGGGCATGTTCGAGCTGATGGACGCGCTCGCGGGCTCGGCCGACAACTTCGTGGCCATGGACGACCAGAACGAGTTCCGCGTGCCGGCGTCGATCCGCGAGGTCGGCGGCGTCGTCGACGCCTGGATGTTCAACATGATCGGCCTCTTCCCGTCCAACAGCTCCTACTCGGACCAGGCGGCGAACCAGAAGAACCAGGTCGACTCGCACTTCCGCCGCTCCATCGCCGCCTACCACCTCGCCACGGCCAAGACCGCCGCCCCCTACGGCAACATCACCAGCATCGTCTCGCTCGACGCCCTCGATCTCACCAAGAAGGATGTCGAGTCATCCACCTAAGCCGCCCCGCTGTATCTCATCTAGATGAGGATCTGGCTGCTGCGTTGTTCCGTCGCTGCCTGATTCTTTTTTGAATGCTGACGTGAGATCTGTGTGATGTGGAGAGGTGGAGATGGTGTGGATGTGTGGATGTGTTGTTGGTGGTGGCTGCGAGTGGCGGTGTGAGATTAGGCTGTGGCAGCAATGAAGGAAAGTAATAGCTATTTTCTCTTCGATTGAAAATATTATTTTTGACCTTCTACGTTGTGTAATACACTTGTAACTTTCTCGGCCAAATGCGTTGGCCCTTTTTTTCCAATTCGTCGGTGAGAAGAGAGACAACACCACAGGCAGCAATTCAACAAGTCCTTCCGACTCGTGCGTGCATCTCTCGTGTTTTGCCTGCAACCGCATTTCGCGCGCGCGTGCGAGTGCGAGCGCTGTGACTGACAATCCCCGTGTGAGAACACATCACTGCCTCTTCTCGTTTTTGCCGAATCTCCTCGCTCGGGCTGCCGATTCGGGTGATGAGCGGCGCGCGAATCAACCGACACGGGGGAGGGCCCGCGGCAAATCGCCATGCAGGACCCATGGGGAATCTTTCGAGCCGTCCCACGGCCCCGTCCCCCCTGCAAAAATGCTAATGTGTCGACAATTTTGTTTTGCGTGAAAGTATCGAAATTGTGGGTATATCTCTGAACGAAGTAGATGATCGCGGAAGTAATGAAGTTCTCGACCGAACGCTCGCGTGACTCAGGTTATGTTGATCTTGGACGGAAAACCCAAAAGACAAAAATGCAAAATGCTGCCTTCCCCAATATGCGTGCGTATGTTCTGATATATCCCCCCTTGAACGCCATTTCTCCCAATGCCTGACTAGCGCTGTCCACTAGATGCTCTCATTACTTGATAAAGTTTTTACAGAATTAAGATTACCAGGAAGACGGCGCTGAGTAGCGCCAGGCTGCTGGACTTGGCCGTGGCGGGCGCAAGCGACGACGACGACGAGCTCGAACTGTCCTCCTCGGAGCCGGATCCGCCCGTCGAGGGGTTTCCGTCGTTGTCGTCGGCCTTGATCGAAACGTCGGGGCAAATGTCAGCGAGGGTGCCGTTGAAGTACTGCGTCGGAACCCAAATCTAAACTCCGAGTTAGCGGTTTCTCGTACTCCCCCTATTCTCCACTGTTTTTCTCCGAAATTTCTTACCTGCGGCTCGCCGCCGGTCAAAGTGGTGGAGAAGACGCCGGCGTCGCCTGTGGTCTTAGTCTTGCACGTGGTAACGTCGACGATCTGCGCGCCCGCGTGGAAGTTCGTATCGCCGATCTCGAAGGGACCAATGTCGTCGGCGTTGCTGCCCTTGTTGGTGATGACCGTGACCAAGCTCTTGTCGTAGCCCTTGCGCATCACTAGCACGTCGTCGTGGGCGACGATGGCCTTGGTCTTGTGGGTCCAGTACGGGCTCCAGTAGTCGTAGGTGGCGTTGCCGACAATGGCGTTGCGCGCCCAATTGATTTGCTTGACCAGCTGGTACAGCGGCGCCGACGTGTTGTAGCCCGACAGCCACAGCGCCTCACGGTTGCCCGGATCCTCGCCGCCGTGGAAACGCTGCTCGGTGCCATAGTACAAAATGGGAATGCCGTCGCCAAGCAGGCCAAAGACCAGGGCGTTCTTCAGGTGCGAGAGGTCGTCCGTCATGTTGGCCAGGCGAGCAACATCGTGGTTCTCAGTGAAGATACCCATGATGGTGGGGTCGTGGCAGGTTGTGTCCAGGTTGTTAATGGCGTACGTGAGGGCCTGGACGGGGGAGGTCGAGTTCTTGAAGGTGTTCATGATCGAGTACCACATGGGGTAGTTGAGGACGGCGGACACGGCGTTGATCATGTAGTTGCAGATGTACTCGGTCTGCGAGGTGAAATCCTCGCCGATGGTGTAGGTGTTGACCTTGGACTCGAACTCGCTCCAGAAGGCCTTGGGCACGTGCTTGACGGCATCGACACGGAAGCCATCGACTGCAGGGCGGTTAGCTGAGGTTGCACAGCATCTCGGCAAAAGCTTACCTTGATAGTCGGTCGTCACCTTGACGCCCCAGTTCTCGAAGTACTCGATGATGTCCGGGTCTTCGGTGTTGATGTCGGGCAGAGAGAGTGTATCCCTTCCGAGCCAGCACTGGGCGGCGGTTAGCTTGTGCGCAGACGAGAAGGCGGTTGATACGCACGTTCTGGTAGTTGGTGGGGTTGCTGTAGTCGGTGATGTAGCAGAACTTGTGGAAGGCCGACTGGGTGTTGAAGGGCGCCGAGAAGTTGGAGTAGACGACGTCGGCGCCAGGGCCGGGCCATGCCAGGTTGTTGGCGACGAAATCAATCATCAGGTACTGCGGGGAGTCAGTCGAGGTTGGAATGCGGCGGGAGCGGGGTCTGGCGCACCATGCCGCGGTCGTGGACGGCCTTGGACAAGCTCTTGAGGTCATCTTCGGTCCCAAAGTACTCGTTCAACTGGCTCGGGTCCTGCTGCCAGAAGCCGTGGTAGTTTTCGCCAGCTGAGGGCCAATTGCCCTCGATACCTTTGGTGATGGGCGAGATCCAGATCTGGTTGTTGCGAAGTCTGGGTCAGCCGTTTTTCTGAGACACTGGTCGCGTAATGCGACAAACTCACAGCGGTGAATCCCATGCCCTGGATGTAGTCCAACTTGTTCTCCAGGCCCTTCCATGTGCCGCCGCAGTGAATCTGTTCCTCGACATCGCATGCGGCGGTGGTCGAGCCGTCAGTGCGGGCGTAGCGGTCGACGATGACCTGGTAGATGGAGCGCGACCGCCATTGTTCGGTGGTGGCAGCGAGGGCGGGCTGCAGCAGCGAGAGTGCGCCGAGGGCGGCGATAGCGAGCGACTTGGGTTGGAGCGTCATGACTGCGTCGAGTGCAGCAACATCAATTGCAGCACCTATTCAAACACCGCGCCGGGGAAGTTTAACGGGCTGTAGAGGATCAAAAGCAGAGGGCCAGTCGGCAGACCGCGGGCCGACTGGCATTTGGGTGGTGGCACGGGGGGGTCCAGGAGGCTTATCCGGGCGGCGGCTTAGCTTCATGCGACGTGCTGGGATGGTTGCTCGTATAGGTTTGATTGATGGGCGCATTACTCAGGCGAGCCGCAGGCCCGGACCGGGGGGTGCCCGATCGGGCCTGGCGCTATCGCCCAAGCGAGCGGCCTTTTTCGAACGTCGCCCACATCGCCCGCGTCCATCGCCCGCAGTCGAGGCCCATGCTCGCAGCGCACTCCGCCCTTCTCGCCGCCCGCCGTGAACGCTCCCGCCCGTCGCGCACGCCGTCGCCGCACCGCTCAGATGGCCCCTGTTCCGTCATCGCGCTGGCGCTGTTGGCACCCACCGCCCCGCGCCCGCGGTGCCTCCGTCGGCCGCAGTCCCGCCTCTCGTGTCATTCGTATCCCGGCAGCCCTGCAACATGGCATGGGGGCGTGCGCAGCGATCCACCGGCGTGGGGCGGCGCTCGCTTGGCGCTCGTGTCGAATTCTCGAGAAACGGCCGTGTTCTGTAACGAATCCTAATACGACGCCCGAAACGGACTCCCGTGCGCCCGCCTGAGGAATTCTGCGGCGCAACGCCCCCGTCACCACGCCTGCAGGAGCCAAGCCACTGCTCCTTCCACCGGCCTCCCGCGTTTCATTGGTGCCGCCGGCTTATTTGCCTTTGACATGAGCCTCGATCAGCCCGTGCCGGTCTGCTAGGGCTCCGACTGTGTCTATCAATAGTACTAGCCCACGGACGCTCTCCGCCGCGTGGATCCCAGCCGAGCTCCAGTCGGCTTATCTGCTTGCTAGCAAAAGTCGCCCGTTTCTTTCTCCAGCAACGTTGATTCAACAACCCAACCAGATCCATCCCCTAACCTCTCCCCCCCTGTTCGTATTGCGGTTATGCCTTTGCCGCAGAGCAGCTACATCAGGAGCAACTAATTTGAGCGAACAAAGGCTAAAGACCGGCACGGTACTAACCGTACCTGTCAAGCTCTCCACGAAGCAGAGAGAAGTCTCCCCTCTCTTCTGCTCCCTGCAGCCCTACACTCGCTTTCTCGTTTTTTCTTTGCATTATGGCGCGGTTGGGTCTTTCGTTCGCTACTCTCGCTCTCTGCTTAATCCAGGTTTACGCTCTGCCGTACCTCGACGAGTACGCAGACTGGAACCTTAATACCAAGCAGGGCGAAACCGACCCGACCAAATACTGGGGACAATGGGAAGACCACGACTTCCAGCCGTCGCCAGACAACTGGCGCTTCCCCTTCTACACGCTCTTCCTCGACCGCTTCGTCAACGGCGACCCCTCCAACGATAACATCAATGGCACCCTTTTCGAGGTCGACATCACCTCCAACCAGTTGCGCTATGGCGGCGACATCGAGGGCCTCATCGACACGTTGGACTACATTCAGGGCATGGGCATCAAGGTTCGTCTCCGCCCACGCGCGCTCTCCCGCAGCGCTGTGACTGACGCGCCGACAGGGCATCTACATCGCCGGCAGCCCCTTCATGAACTTGCCGTGGGCCGCAGACTCGTACTCGCCCACCGACCTGACCCTGCTCGACTGGCATTTTGGTAACATCACGATATGGCGCAACGCCATCAGCGAGATCCACGAGCGTGGCATGTACGGTACGCAATGATCTTCAACGATGCGCACGGCGATCGGTGCTGACGCGCAAGCAGTGATCCTCGACAACACGATCGCCACCATGAGCGACCTCATCGGTTTCGAAGGCTATCTCAACGGCACCGCGCCCTTCAAGTGGGATGAACACAACGCCGTCTACAAGACTGGAAGGCGCTACTGGGATTTCGACGTGTCCAATGACCAGAATGACGACTGCAACGTGCCCAAGTTTTGGAACAAGGATGCGACCATGGTTGGATCCAACGTCACGGACAACTTCAAGACCTGCAAGAAGTCCGAGTTTGATCTGGTGAGTGATGCTTTGAGCCGCTAGCGCCTCCTGTCCGCTGACCCTTCCCAGTTCGGAGACGTCGAGTCGTTCGGAACCTACCCCGAATACCAGAAGCAACTGTCCAAGTTCTCGTTCGTCCAGGACCGTTTGAAGGAATGGGACCCGACCGTGCTGAAGAAGCTGAAGCTCTATTCGTGCATTGCCATCAACATGCTGGATTTTGACGGCTTCCGTATCGACAAGCAGCTGACCATCACCCTGGAAGCCCAGGCCGAGTGGTCGCAGTCTATCCGCGAGTGCGCCGCCAAGGTCGGCAAGAAGAACTTCTTGATTTCCGGCGAAATCGTGTCGGACAACACGCTTGGATCCATCTACATTGGCAGGGGCAAGGAGCCGCAGATGAAATGGGCTACCAATGAGGAGTCTTACACGGCCAACCTCACCTGGCCGGAAGCGCCCGCCATCTACCAGCGCAACACCAGCGCTGTCGATGCCTGGGCCTTCCACTACACCGTCTACAGAAGTCTTTTGCGTTTCTTGGGCATTGACGGTATCTACGAGGCCGAGCGCGATCTCCCCATCGACTGGGTTGACGCGTGGAACGAGATGGTCAAGACCAACGACATGATCAACGCCAACACGGGCAAGTTTGACCCGCGCCATCTTTACGGAGCCACCAACCAGGACGTTTTCCGCTGGCCGGGTATCACGAACGGAACTGACAGGAATTTGGCTGGCCTTTTCGTTACGACCATGATTATGCCCGGTATCCCGCTCCTTTTCTTCGGTGAGGAGCAAGCTTACTACGTCCTGGAGAGTACTGCCGACAACTACATTTTCGGCAGACAGCCCCTGTCCTCGTCTCTCGCCTGGCAAGACCACGGCTGCTACAGCATTCCCTTCACCAAGTACACCAACTTCCCGCTCAACACGTCCCTGACAGGATGCAAGGACGACACCGTGAGCTACGATCACCGTGATCCCTCGCATCCCGTCAGGAACATCATCAAGCGCATGTACGAGCTGAGAGCCGCTTTCCCGACGCTCAACGATGGTTTTGAGCTGCAGAAGCTCTCAAACATGACGTACTGGAACTATCTGCCCGGCTCGAAGGGTACTGGCACGGAAATGGGTCTTCGAAGCGTTGTGAGAATGCGCCACGAGGCCACCCAGGACTTGTCCGGTTCCGGTGCAGGTAACCTGCCCGTCTGGCTTGTGTACAGCAACGATAACACCACGACCACCTACACTTTCGACTGTTCGGACAACAACAGGTCTTTGATCGCGCCCTACGATTCTGGAACCACGGTCAAGAACCTGTTCTATCCCTACGAAGAGTACACGCTCAAGTCGTCGCCCCTGAAGCTTGGCCTGGAAGACCAGACTGGCTCCAACGGCTGCTTGGATGAGCTCGAGATGAAGCAGTGGGGTTTCAAGGCTTTCGTGCCCGTTGACGATTTCGTCGATCCCAACCCGGTCATTACCAAGTTTGTGCCTGGTCATGACTCCCGCATCAAGGCGACGAAGGAGAAGGAGTCGGTTGACATCGAGATCCACTTCTCCCACGAGATGAGCTGCGACTCGCTCACGAAGGCCATTTCCTTTACCTCGGATTCCGCCGACGGCTCGTCTCCAACCATTTCCAACGCCCAATGTACCACTATGAGCAACACCACTGAACATGACTACAATGGCGCTATTCCCAGCGCTTGGAAGTACGCGGCAACGCTGACGGACGTGGCTCACGGTGTCCACCGCATTACCATCACCAACGCGACCACCACGGCCGGACTGAAGACCGGAACCAAGGATCACTTCATGATCCGCGTGGGTGACGAGAAGAACCCCATCACTTTCCCCAGGACTGCCAAGTTCTCGTCCACTCTTGTGGGCGGATCGAGCGACAATCTGATTGTTTCCCACAACGCGGCCGGTGCCACCAAGTTCCGCGCGTCGAGAGATTGGGGTTCGACCTGGACCGAGTGGCTTGAATACACGGGCGAGAACTACACGATGCCCGCGTTGAAGTGGACCGGTACCAACGATCAGAAGTGGGATGGCGAGCACGTCATTGTGCAGTACTGGGGCCGTCTTGTTTCCAGCAGTGCCCACCAGCAGGAGGGTGATCTGAACAGCGAGACGACGCGTGCCTTCCCGCACATCTTCGTCAACGGTCCTTACAACCAGTACGGTTACGACGGTGGTCTGCACAACACGGCGACCTTGAACACGACTGGCGGTGGCGGTTACCACTTCGATCTTGCTACTGAATGGCCGGCCAAGATTCAGTTCAACATCTGGGGCATGAATCCAGATGGCAAGCCTGACCAGTCTTTTATCTACGGCGACATCGACGGTGACGGTGTCCTTGACCGCCTTCCCCCGTCGTCGCTGACGTCCAACACGGTGAACATCTCGAGCCTTCCGTCCAGCCCCTACACGGCGTACAGGCTTGCCGTCTCTTACGATGGCAAGTCTCTGACTCTCCAGCCTACCGGCCACATGGGTTACCAGCTTACGCTGTTCATTCTGCTCTGGGTCATTCCCGTCCTGACTGCCGCGGCCGTCATTTGGCTCTACATGAAGTCGTTCTACCAGGTCAAGTTCAACACCAACGGTGTTGCGCAAGCAGCCAAGGCATCTATTCCTCTTGCTCTTCGTCGCAGGATGAAGCGCAAGGCCGAGTACGAGAAGGCGGCTATGGAGTCTACTCCCAACCTTCAAGTCACCACTGCGCCCGGCTCTCCTGGCGATGTCTCTGCTCTCGCTGCCGCAGCTGGTCATGGAAAACGCCGCGCTGTTCTCATTGCCACCATGGAGTACGATATTGAGGATTGGAACATCAAGATTAAGATTGGTGGTCTCGGTGTCATGGCGCAGCTCATGGGCAAGTCCCTTGGTCACCAGGATCTGATCTGGGTCGTTCCCTGCGTTGGTGGTGTCGACTACCCCGTCGACGAGGTCGCCGAGCCCATGTTCATCACCATCATGGACAAGGTCTACCAGATCAACGTCGGTATCCACAAGCTTCGCAACATCACCTACGTTCTCCTCGACGCCCCCGTCTTCCGCCAGCAGACCAAGTCTGAGCCTTACCCGCCTCGTATGGACGACCTCGACAGTGGTATCTACTACTCTGCATGGAACCAGTGTATCGCCGAGACGGTCAAGCGTTTCCCCCAGATCGACCTGTACCACATCAACGATTACCACGGAGCCCTGGCGCCGCTGTACCTCCTGCCTAACCTCATTCCTTGCGCTCTCTCGCTCCACAACGCCGAGTTCCAGGGTCTCTGGCCCATGAGGACGCACGCTCAGGTCAAGGAAGTTTGCTCGGTCTTCAACTTGGATGAGGAAATCGCCAAGCGCTACGTCCAGTTCGGTGAAGTGTTCAACTTGCTCCACGCCGCCGCCAGTTATCTGCGTATTCACCAGAAGGGTTTCGGTGCCGTCGGTGTCTCTAGGAAGTACGGTAAGCGTTCGTTTGCTCGTTACCCCATTTTCTGGGGTCTGCCGAACATTGGTTCTCTCCCCAACCCCGATCCTACCGATACCGGCGAGTGGGACAGGAATGAGAAGATTGATGGCGATGTTCCCGTTGATCCGGCCTACGAGGCCAGCCGTGGCGAATTGAAGAGGCAAGCGCAAGAATGGGCCGGCCTGAACCAGGATCCCGAGGCTGAGCTTTTTGTGTTCGTCGGTCGTTGGTCTATGCAAAAGGGTGTCGATCTCATCGCCGACGTGTTCCCCTCGGTTCTCAAGAATTACCCCAAGGTTCAGCTCATCGCCATCGGTCCCGTCATCGATCTGTACGGCCGTTTTGCGGCCATCAAGCTGCAGAAGATCATGGAACTGTTCCCCGGCCGCGTCTACTCCAAGCCCGAGTTCACTGCTCTCCCGCCTTTCATCTTCTCCGGTGCTGAGTTCGCTCTGATTCCGTCCCGTGACGAGCCCTTCGGTCTGGTCGCTGTCGAGTTCGGTCGTAAGGGTGCTCTTGGTGTCGGTGCGCGTGTCGGTGGTCTGGGTCAGATGCCTGGTTGGTGGTTCACTGTCGAATCGATGACTCCCAAGCATTTGATCCGCCAGTTCAAGTCTGCCATTCACGACGCTCTCGCCTCCGACACCGCGACCAGGGCCCAGATGCGTGCTCGTTCGGCCAAGCAGCGTTTCCCCGTCGCCCAGTGGGTCGAGGATTTGGAGACTCTCCAGTCGACGTGTATCAAGATCAACCACGAGAACGCTGGCAAGCACAGGGGCCTTGGTCTCTCCTCGCCTTCTATGCTCAGTCTCTTCGGCAAGTCTCCCAAGCTCTCGCCCAATGCCTCGCAAGTTTCGTTCGGCATGGGCACGCCAACTGGCTCCCGTCCCGTCTCGGCCGCTCACCTGTCCGTTCCTCCGCACTCGCCTGGCCAAGCTTCTCCTCGTCCCGACGACATCTACTCGCCCGCACTCAACTCTCCCGCCTCGTCTCCCGGCCAGAACGACGTTCTGCTGCCCCCTCCCCCGCTTTTGGGCGCCAACCTCGTTGGTGGTGGTTACGACAGAGGAAGTGTGGCAAGTTTCAACACCACCTTCAGCAACTCGTCGGTTCTCAGTTTGGACACGGTTGTGGGTTCGCGGCACGACATGGCTCTTCAAAAGGTTGACCCGTCTTTCACCGACGCCAATGGCTACTTCTCGAGGGAATTCGAGCAAAAGCTGGAGAAGCTCAACCCGAGCACATCGGAGAATCAGCTGTGCATTGAGGACATCCTGATCAAGAGCGAGAAGAAGTGGCACAACACTTACCGCGATGCCAAGCTGGGCAAGACGCTGGACGATAGCTCTATGCTCTCGCTCGGCCTTCCCAACACGCGCCCTTCGAGTCCCGCTCCTTCTGCTCTCAGATCGGCCAGTGGCAGAGACAGCCCCTTCGGCGGCCGCGATACCATGACCGAGATGGACGACGCCAGCGGCAGCTACTCTTCGTACGACGACATGCACCCGCTGGGCAATGGCTACGACACGCCGACGGGAATCAAGAAGTTCATGATGATCAAGCTTGGCGATTGGCCCATCTACTCGCTCTTCCTGGCCCTTGGTCAGACCATCGCGGCAAACTCGTACCAGGTGTCTCTGCTTTCCGGTGAAATTGGTCAGTCGGCCACTACTCTGTACATCATCGCGACCATTTTCGCCGTCTCTTCGCTGGTGTGGTGGTACCTGTTCAGAAGGATCAAGTCTTACTACGTCCTCTCTCTGCCCTTTGTTTTGTACGGCGCGGCTTTCTTCTGCGTTGGCGTTGCTCCTTTCGCCACTTCGACGATTGGAAAGACGTGGGCGCAGCGTGTGGGCTCGGGTCTCTACTCGGTCGCATCTGCCAGTGGTTCCATCTACTTTGCCCAGAACTTTGGTGACGAAGGTAAGCAATACATGCACTCTAACCTTTCAGACAGGACTAACCGTTTCTATAGGTGGTGCTCCCATCAAGACCTGGATTCTCCGCGCCTGTCTCGTTCAGGGTACCCAGCAGATCTACATCAGTGCCCTCTGGTACTGGGGATCTGCCCTCACTCAGCTTTCGGACTCGGGTGTCGAGACGCGAACATCTACCCCCACGGCCGTCATTGCCGGTGTCTGTCTTCCGCTGGCCGTTATCTTGTGGGCTATCGCTGCCATCGTCTACCTTGGACTTCCCAACTACTACCGCCAGATCCCCGGTGATGTGCCTGACTTCTACCGCTCCCTGTACCGCCGTAAGATCATCATGTGGTTCTTTATCACCGTCTTCGTCCAGAACTACTGGCTCGCTGCGCCTTACGGCCGCAACTGGCGCTTCCTCTGGACGACCAACCACGCCAGCGCTTGGCAGATCGCCATCCTCGTCATCTTCTTCTTCATCATCCTCTGGGCCGCCGCCTTCTGGTACCTCGGCCGCCTCTCCAAGTCGCACTCGTGGATCCTCCCCATGTTTGCCATCGGTGTCGGCGCCCCCCGCTGGGCGCAGATGCTCTGGGGTGTTTCGGGCATCGCCAACTACATGCCCTGGATCGGCAACCAGACGGCCTCGGCCCTCGTCGCGCGCGCCCTGTGGCTGTGGCTCGGCGTTCTGGACGCCCTTCAGGGTGTCGGCTTCGGTATGATGCTGCTGCAGACGATGACGCGTTTCCACAACACCTTCTCCCTCATCGCCGCCCAGTTCATCGGTTCGGTAGCGACTATCCTCGGCCGCGCGACGGCGCCGGATCGTCTCGGCCCTGGACCCGTTTTCCCCAACTTCGCCGTTGTCGGTGCCTCGGGTTTGGCGAACGCCAGCTTTTGGATTTGCTTGTTGATGCAGCTCGGCATCTGCGTCGGCTTCGCGACCTTCTTCAGAAAGGAGCAGCTCATGAAGCCGTAAAAAAAGATCATCACCTTATACCACCATATTATGCGACGCAACGCACGCGATTTTGTCACGGCCATGGCACAAGATTTTTTCCTTATTTTTGTCGAGTTTTTGAGCATCTCTCAAAGAAGCATTGCGGTTTTTGGAATTTTTGTTTTTTGTTTTTTTCTAACGGTTCGAAACAACATCCGATACCTTGTACATAGACCTCTCTACATCCGAGAGCGACCGATTCGACCATCCATCAATCAGTCGACAGCCTACCATCTAGAACAAAAAAGGTTTATATATAATGAGGGCGGAACTAACTATTTACGGAGAGGGTTTTGTCACACACATATATCATCCGGCTTGGTGTTTGTTTTTTTGTGAAGAGAGATAATCGTTTTTTGTTTTTTGTTTAGCATTTGGGTTTTTTATTGACGAGGAACAACAACAACCACAAGAGTTTTATACATATCTGTATAGACAACTTTGTTTTTTAGCAAGCATTGCTGTCTATAAAAATCGAGATACCCTCTATTCTTCTCTTCGCTTTTGAATTTCTTTCTGTCTGCTTTGCCCTTTTGAAGTGATGTTCTGCTTCTTGCTTTCAGTTGATGTGGTTGTTGATGAAGCGCGTGAGGGACTTTGAGCGTTTTTGTTGAAATGTATTGATGTTGGGGGTGTTGGGGTTCGCCTACGTCACGTGATGTGATGTGACTTTTCTGCAGTTGAAGCGCGTCGTCACCTCGCAGCGCAGGGGGGTGGCCCCTTGGGCGCTTGCTGCTGTTTTTCATTCTGAATTAAGAAAAAAAAAACTCTTTTCAAAACACATTATTCAATGCCGTCGACTGCTCGATCTGAAGACTACTTCCTATCGTGAACGTGTGTGGCGCGTGCGTCGTCATCGCCGTCGCCAGCGTCGTCGTCATCGTTATCGCCGTATCTTTGGTCCAGACCTGCCCATTATGGATAGCGTGGATGGCTGCATGCGGCTGTCGTGGTACCGTCAAGGTTGTTCCTCGCTCGATTTAAGACATGCATGGTGGATGGGCTGGTGATAGTGAGTGGAGTGAGGTGAATGTGGGATAAATATAGTGATGGTGGATTGTTCAATTTTTTTTTCTGCACGCTAACAAAGCGGGTTGCGTAGTTGAAGAGGGATCTGGGCTGGGGTGGGGAGGGCGAGGAAGGGTGGATTGGCCAGACAAGCATCCCAGTTCGGCACCTTGCATGTCTTCTCTCATGATCGATCATGGTATCTTTTTTTAGCCAAGCGCCGGGTGCGAAGGGTTGAGACATTGATGCTGTATTTGTGCGCAGCCGCGTGTTCGGTGGGCGGCAGAGAGAATGCCATCGAATTGGCTGTTTGCTGGCTGCTGTGAGGCTTTTTGGAGGATTATGTATTCTACCAGGAAGAGGCCGCCTTTCAGGGTCGTCACGGGTACCTTTGTTCGCCTCCATCTACGAGGGTCAACGTTATCGATTCCAGAATGCTCCTATTGGGCGCTGGGAAGACCACGGACGTGCAATGGCTTCCAGGCCCGCGCAGCGATGGGAAAGCTTTTATTATGCTGGTGGGAAGGTCGGAGTACATTGCGCTAGATGGTACGCCTTCTCTTGACTAGAGTTTTAAAGTAGTGGCGTAAAGCGTTGCGAATTGACACGAATATGATGATGAGATCTGCTCTGGAGCCATTGTTAGTGGTAGATCGAAGTGTCTGCAGAAATGTCGTACCTCTATATTAGTTTTCAGTACGCATTGAGTGCTTGGTATAATGTTCGAGTTATTTACGCCCACGACAATCGTCGGAGCTCCGCGTTCAAATGATGTTGGCTTGTTTGGTGGCCGTTTCAAATAACATATACTTCTACTGCCCATATACATATGTCGTGCCTAACGAAGAATCTGATTAAGACATTGTTAGCTTTGTTGTAGGGTCCGCTATTCTTTGTATTACCCTCCCGCTGAGACATCCCTGTATGCTCGGCCCAAGACAGTAATTTCTTCCCGAAATGTCCGAGGTTACTGTGCATCTACATGCATACCTCAATATTCAGCATTTCAGTCCTAATTGGTATGATTCGGATGGTGAACTCCAATGACTTTTACAATAGCCAACCATCAGCACCCACGTTTCTACAAAAGGAAACCGGGATGTCATCGTCGGACACACAGTTATGCTAATAAGCCAGAGCAGGAATGTCATGATGACTATCTTGCCGCAAGTTTGAAGTGGCTGTGGGGAACGGCGGGGCGGCCATTCTGTGTACCCTGTAATTCTTCGTCGGTTGCCTCAAATGCACGACATATGTTCCGTGTTTCGATAATGACGAATGCTAAGAATGCCAATGTAGGCCTTTACGCTAGGCATCAATTTCTAATCTATTTGTAACGCTGTGATCAGGAGATCCTCTAAGAATTGAGCTCAACATTGGGCCGTTTCTACCTTCGCCGTCCCGTAAGGGTGGCCTCCACGCGAGGGTCTCTGTACGGGGTCCCTGTAAGACCCACGGGAGCGAGCCGCTTTCCACACATGCTCGGATGTTTCAAGCAGCTGGTCAGAGCTGCCGCTCAATTACCAAAGTAGAATGTGTTAAGAGAGTCTACCTATCATATCGTCCGTATATCAGTAATTCTCTATCCTACAACCCTGCTATTCTCCGCGCCAAGCAGTAAGCCAAGCAGCTCTCGTCTGTAAGCCCTTTATATCTCACGAACATGAAAAGTGCTAGTTCCAAGACGCCACGACGATACCCTGGTGCTGCGCCGCAATATCATCTGATTATGCCTAAAAATGAGGATTAGGCAGCACACGGGGACCCAAGCACCCCAATGCGGCTCAAGCATCATTCGTTGGATGTCGGTGCAACTGTGTACTATATTAACGGATGAACAGAACGGGTTCATCCATTTTGTTCAAGCAACAGACCAGTTGATGCCACCAGCCGACCAAAAGCATGGTTTCTACAATCGAACCTTTGCTCTTTGAGCTGAATACCGCAGTTGGCCAGGCGAAGGATGGCACCCTTCCGGAACAAGCCAGAATGGAAGCGTTGCAGGCCGCAACCAAGCTTGCCGCCGTGCTCGAGACGCCGGAGGATGCTCTGCTGAAGATTGCGTACAGTGTAGATTTCTCCCCTCTCAATTACGGAGCCATATCTGACAAAATGTCCAGCCGGCGATATGCATGGCCATCCGATGCGGTTTTCAGATGGGCATTGTCTCCGTGCTCTCCGAGAAAGAAGAGACGTCGGCAGAGGAACTTGCGAGCAGGTCTGGCGCCAATGAGGTGTTGATCAGTATGTCCATCGGCCTCACTCTTCAAGCAGATGCTATAGCTGATACATCTTAAAGGACGACTTCTGCGCCCGCTCACAGCTGCGGGCCACGTCGCTAAGAAAGGCCCCAGCATTTACGGTCCCACCGCCATCTACAGGCAGCTGCACCAGCTGGTGACAGAGGGAATGGTGAAGTTCATGTAAGCCACACGCAAAGGTATCCCACCCAAGCATTTTTCAAGACTAACGAACATGCTCGGGAATAAGTTGGGACCTCGGCATGTCCTCCATCACCGCCGCACCCCACTGGCACCTCAATCCCACCGACGCGACCAACGGGCCCTTCCAAGCCGGCCACAAGACGGACCTGGACATGTTCGGCTTCGCCCTCGCCAACAAGGAGAGGTTCTGGGATGACATAAATACCTTTTTCGAGGGCGACCGCGGCAGCCGGCCCCATTGGGGTGAGTGGTTTCCGGTTGAAGACAAACTACTCGATAATAATCTTCTGAGGCCTGATGCTCCGATAATCGTCGATGTTGGTGGGGGCCGCGGCCACGATATCGCTGGATTCAGGAAGCACTTCTCAGACCTGCCAGGGCGGCTTGTGTTGCAGGATCAGCAGCCGGTGCTGGATAGCATCGTGGAGCTGAATACGAAGATTGAGAAGCGTGCGTTGGATTTCTTCAACGAGGCGCCTGTGCCAGGTATGGCTTCTGTCTTTCCGTCGTGAAGTGAGTTGACTTACTCACGTTTTTGCTTTTAGGCACGCGGATATACTTCCTCAAGTTCATCATGCATGATTGGTCATCGAGGAGTTCATCCTCCCGGACGAAGGATGTTCTCTGCTGCCGGCTGAATGGGATTTGATGATGATGATTTATCTGTGCGGAATGGAGAGAACAAATACGCATTGGGAGATTTTGCTTGAGAAGGCCGACCTGGTCATCGAAGGGCTCTACCATCCGCCAGGAAGTGGCCAGGGCATCATTGTTGCTAAGCTGAAGCAGAGTCACCTGAATTTGTAGCATACGAGAAAGGATTGCGTTGAACATAACATTGATTTCTCAAAGAGGTAAATATGAAACAGTCTAAAGCTTTCTTCATCGAAAGTGTCGCTGAATGCCTATACATCATACGACTGACCGCAAGCCTATGTGTCTCGAAGGGACCATATCCACTTGCTCAGTCTCCACAAGACCTGTTCGACCAAGAAGCTCTATGCATGTCTCTAAAAGTTCCTGTCTTGCACATGTCCTCGATTGCTCCCAAGACCGCGCAACCTCGTAGGCAAACTGTAAAGTCTCTGTAGTACAATATCCACTGTCGACAAATAGCTTCACGGCATTCCACTTGCTTTGAATGATCGCTCGCAATAGTGGAGTGTCCCCGAAGATGTCTTTGAAGTTGACTGCAGCCTTAGCTGCGTGGATGTTCATCTGTAACACTTTTAAATCAACCCCATCAACCGCGTTGAAAAGTGCTGTCTTGCCGAGGCGGTCCTGCAATGTTGCATCTGTCTTTGGATGCTGTAAAAGGCTTTTCACGATTTGCTCTTGGCAGATATGAGAGCTATTGGCTTTGTGAAGTGGTGTGTTGCCAACCAGATCCTGCACATTTGGATTGATGACGGGGGATTGCAACAACTCGTGGACGACAGAGGCGTGTCCTGCAAAGATTGCGCGATCCAGTGCTGAACCTGATGCATATTGCAGATTGACGTTGAAGTATCCATCGATGAATACGTTTTGACCTCTCCATATCCTGGTATTAAGTGGCAGGATATAGCCTGGCGTATGGGATAGGAATTGATGTTGGCCGAAGTTACTTTGAACTACCGACTTGACTATACCAGCAATACCCTTTTCAGAAGCCCAGTGGAGAATGTCGTGGTAGACAAGAGCCCTAGGAGGATGGGTATTTATACCAAAAAATGTCTCCATGAAAGGCTGTCTTCGCAAGGCGATGGCCAAGTTCTTAAGGCTGGATTTATTGTACGGCCAACCAATAAAGCCAACGAAGTCCAGTTGATCCATGCCTCCAGCATCAAGTTCGAGAAGATGGTTTTCCAGGAACTCGGCAACATAAGGGTGAAGAGCATTGCTGGCCGTGGCTGTGGCCGTGGCCATGATCGCTCCCTGATTAAATATGCTCGGAAGTTTGGCCTGATCACCGAAATCATCCATCATCACGTAACGAAGACATGACCGCGTGATGAAGTAATTCGACTTTCCTCTGGAGAATTCGTGTCTGTCTCCTTCCAGGGTTTGCAGCCCAGTCTGCAAAAGGTATTCTCGGACTGTTTGGTGTATCAACTGCACTTTCGAGGTCCATGTGGTCTTCCCTGAAACAGGAAATTCGGTAAGCCCCCGAGACACATCAGTGATGGTGTTCACCATATCGCTCAGCTCTTCTCTGAAGTCTGCCCGGCGACGTATGTCTCTGATAGACCTCTCTTTGGTGTCGGGAGATAGCATGATGATATACTGTAGTTCGTGGATGGTAAGAGGTCGTTCAGCGAAGCATACCCAATGGAAAAGTCGGCACGCCAATCGCATATCCTCGGGGTCTGCATCCTTGAACAAGCCATCATAAAGCTCATGAATATCTTTTGGTAGCCGACGAATTGTGTTTTGTATGTCAGCAGCTGTGCGGCCCTTCCGATGGAGACTGATTGACTGCTGAGTGACAATTTGAGCCCACTGGAAGTTCCCTCTGGCGTTGTCAATGATTGTCTTGGCTAACAACCGCCGTTTCTCCTCTCGAAGAACACGGAGCGTTGATTCTACGAAGATCGCAATATCATTCGCGTTGTTGATCTCAGTCGGGATTCTGAATCCTTCAGAGAAGAGGTTTGGGTAGTGCCTGCAGGAGACAAAAATCTTCAGAGTGGCTGCCACAGGGCCTCTAGCGGTATCTGTGAGGAATTCTCCCAAGTAGTCTCTTTCCTGGTCGTCGCATTCGTCGAGGGCATCAATAAATATGATGATGGGCCGTACGGCGGATGCTCCGCGAAGGCCTATCTTCAGGAACGAATAAAGCCATCCTAATTCCCACGTAGGATGACGACCCATTTCTTCGCATTTTTTCCAAAAGCTCAGCCAACACATGGAGAAATTTTCAAGTAGCTGGTAAGCGAGGGATCGTACCAAACCGAGGGCAGACTTTTGGATTTCGGAACCTCGACCGTGGAAGAAATGCGTGAATACAACATGTCTCGACGTGCTTTTATTCATCTTTTCGACGGCGTAGTTTGTGAGCGTGGATTTGCCAGATCCTGGATGACCTTCCAACCAAAGCAATCCATTGCTTCCCATGAGCCATGCCCTATAAAATTGATGTCGCAAGAGCCATTCGCAAGTGTGGTCTTGAGCGGGCATGATTTGGTCTTGTCTAGAAGTCCTTCCAGGAAAATCTAAGGATGACAAACGAACTGGAGAAAGTCAGCGAAAATTGTCATCCTAGGCCGCATTGAAGAATTATGTAGAAAGCACTCACATTTCTGCTCATCAGTTAGATACATGTGACGTTTCCCTGGTTTTAAGATGTTATCAAAATGATTCTATCTCAAATGGTTTGAAGACTAACCGTCCAGGAAAGACTGAAGACGCGGCAGAACGTGGTCTATGTATACAGGGTCACTACGGCTGCGGAACTTCACAAGTTCCGAGTGATCTCGATTAATCGGTTGAACGAAGTGGTCATCCTTCTCCCAGGGGCGCCCGTTGGTTGCTGAGAATCTGTCTACCAATTTGGTAGCTGGCCCAGACATCTCCCATTTGCCATCAGCTCTTTTGACAGCAGTCTTAGATGTACATGTCTCATAATAGGAGATTATCTCCAAATCATGGAAGATGAATCCTGATCGGGCGCTGTTGAATGCTTCCGACCATTGCTTGGCTTGCCGTCGGAGGTCCGTAGTGTCGGGACCAAGTGAGCGGAGGAAGCTTTCGTTTGCTTGTCCCTCGACCATGGGAACTAGGGATTTGATGTCCATTCCATTATTGGGTGTCCCAAAGAAAAGTATAGCTTTTATCGATTTCAAGAGAGCTTTGTCATCCTCCTTTGGATTGGTAGACATTTGACACAAGGCCTGGAAGAAGTCAGTATTCGAAAAGACTAGCTCATGCATAATTAATCACACCTCTTTAACGATTAAGCCACCAAGGCTGTGGGCTAAAAGTATGAGGGGCCTCATCAAGCCGCTCTGCGCTCAGTTAGCCAAATAAAAGCCGGTATACGTCAACCATATGGATGTAGGTACCTTTAAATTCTCCCTCAACAATGACTTGAGGGCATCCTTGAAAGCCATCCCAAGATCTTCGAGGCTCTGAAAAGAAGTACTGGCTTGCAGCCCTGTGTCGTATCCGTAGATGAACACTCGGGAATCTGGTACGGAAACGGGAAGATCATCACGAAGCCACATGAAGTCCCCGCCTCTGCGCTTGAATGACCCGAAAGCATGGCCACCCAGCCCAGACAAGGCGATAAAGCTGAAATTGTTAACAGTTTTCCGATCAAACCACAGGAGTTCATACCTGCAGATATACTCCGGGCTCGTCCCGGAGTGCAGAGGCGTAAATCCGTGGAAATGAGTATCGAGATACAAGGAGAGTCCCTCAGCCGTATCGTCAAACTCTTGAAGCGATGGGCTGATTTGAGAGATCTTTGCCGGTATCCGTGAGAAATTCAACGTTGCGACAAGTGCCTGCCTCACAGGGTGATCGGTGAGCGACTTGACGATTATCGTCGCATCGGGCGTTACGCCGAACGCCTTCCGGACGAGATGCTCAACCCTTGTTTCGTCGATCTGTGACTTGTCCCAGTCGCGCTTTCCCAGTATGTGTAGCCTAAATACCGTCTCGCTGGAGAGGTTGTGTCTACCTCTCAGCTGGTCGGCTGCACGAGGCTGGGAGTCAGCTGAAGACGGTGGCAACTCGGAGCCGAAATAGCCATAGCCAGTACTGCTGCTGGCCATGCCTATCAGGAGTTGGTCGGGCCCCAGAAGCAACAAGAGGTGCGCGTATCCGGCGTGAAGAGGGTTAGGCGGTGATGGAAAAGATGATGGAGGCTGACGCTGAACTCGTTCGGCTGCCAGTGTCGGCGAGGTCAGCTGATGCAGCCACCCCTGTAGGCACTCACGAATGAGGCTGCTCCTCAGATCTTTCTTGTACTACAGCTGCATACATTTGTTTCATTGGCCAATCCGCACGTGACAATGGGGCCCTTTTGCTTCCGGACCGATCTAGTCGCGTAGTAGAGATATTGGCCTACAGAAGCAAATTTGTCCATCGAGGATAGAAACGGCCTATATGATTACAAAACCACGTTTCTCAATCTCATTTTGCGCTCCCATATGCCAATAGCTTCACCGTTCATGATGCAATCGACATAGCATTCCCCGACAAGTGTGCATATCTCTCCGAACTGTTGCAAATCGGAAAATTAAATCAAAGGTATGAAGATATCATTTCATTTCCGCGAAGCAGCTGGGCCATATTCAAATTACCGCCCACGGGAAACGAAAAGCACAGGCAAGCCTTTACTCCTGTGAAATTCTTTGTAGCTACTTGCTTTTCATTTTGTCCGTGACGAAGAATTGCAATCATTCGTCTTTTCTAGACGATTTTCGAGAGGAAATGAAGTGGGAAAAAGAGGATTTTTATCCTGTATCAAACAGATTGAATACTCACGCAAATACCATAGGTAGTTGTCTGTAGTGAAGGTCCTTCGATATCCACCCTAGTAGTATAGCTACGAGGAAATATTTCATCGAAACCCATCTCAGTTTGAAAATATCCTTTCAAATCGATGTTACTGGATTTGTGCTGAAGATGTTGCGATTATTATCTTGGCTATCTACGTCATCGAAATTGTCTTAGTCGTGTGAGTCGTCTGAGTCGTCACTCCCGTGGAAAATATCCATATCACCGCCCGGCCAGAATTTCCAGCCTTAAATCTCATAAGATGCAGTATTGAATCAGGGACACGAAATTTATATTGTATAAGTAGAGTGTATTAATAATAAAAAGTAGTTTTGAGTACGGAGATAGCTCTTGTGGCTACTATTGCCGAGCGGACCCTGTTGACTTATCGAAATTACAACTTTAAGCAGCGTCGTCCTGTGCTATAGGCTGTTCCTCATCCAATTGAACATGACGGCTCTACACGAGAAGTTTGTTTTAGATATAAAGTCTGCATCTGCATGTGCAAGATTCCTTAGTTAAGTGACGTCATGTGTATTTGCTCTTCTATAGCGCCGTTAAACGGTAGAAGGGCAGAATTAGCCACCATGCTCAGCTCCACCACATCTCTTCTTAAGGGTAAGAGTTAGGGAGAGTAATCTGCTAGCACGACACATTGTTGGTCAGTCAATATTACGAAGTTGGAGTGGCGTCGGATAGTTTGGAGCTAATGTAGTGTGTTTGAATTTCTTCTAGACTAATCGCCCGTTTGCACTAAGCTTCTCACATGCTAGCGACTCCACGACTCGCCCCAGATATCTCTACTTTGTATTATTTGGTATAGTGTCGTAGATATTAGAAGACTGAATATGTAGGTGGAATAAGGATTATACACACATGCCTTTATCTATTCTTATTTTTCAATTGTTTCTCGGAACATGGGTCTATCGGCTGTGAGAAGCTTTGTAATAGAGCTTAACCTTTGTTAGTGTACCAGCTCCTCCTTTGCAAAAACTTGATTTAAGGCATACACGGAAACTCGTAATTCGTTTTCATTCGCGTACCTACCCCCCTTCTCGTAACGCCACCTGCGGCTACATTAGAAGAGTGATAGTGGTGATGTGGAGAAGAGGTCGCCGGCCTGATATAACGAAGCGCCAGACAATATATCACGGCACTTACTGCTCAAGATGATTAGTTCAGCCTTTGCTGTAAGCCTACGTCGACCTGCGCTCTCGCAAACAAGTAATCTACTTCCTGAACCATGCATACAGCCCTCCTCATCGCTTCGCTTCTGTTCCAAGCAACGTTCACCACCTCCGCAGCCCGCGGACCCCGCCTAAACCCCCTCCAAGGCGCCGGCTCCATCGCCAACTTCGGGAGCAAGCTAAGCAACAACCGCAAACCCACATCCATCTCAGCGCCATCTCTCAGCATCCCCTCCGGCTCGTCACCCATCACACCGCCGCCCCAAACCGCAGCCTCCTCCATCCTCGCCGCACCATCCTCGGCCTGGGATCCCGCAGGCAAGGACCTCGCGGAAGAGCTGTCCGATCTTTTCCTCGGCAGCGACTCCTCCTCCTCCTCCTCATCCTCTTCCGCGGCCGCATCATCAGGCGCCAACACGGCATCCTGCGACGACCTCTGCACCACCTGCGCCTCCGCCCTCGAAACCTTCTCCCTCTGCGCCAGCGTCAGCGGCGACGCGTTCGTCTCCGGCGACGCTGACGAGGTCGCGACGTGCCTGTGCAACGACTGGATCGCCGACGTGCAGACGTATTCGTGGGTCGGCCCGCAGTTCGACGCGCCGTATGCGTCGTGCGTGCAGCACGTGCGGACGGAGGCGGGGGTGGCTAGTGATGTCGTGAGTTCCTGGTCGGCGATGGATGGGTTTTGTTCGAAGGTGTCGGCGTCGTGGTGGGCGCAGCGCGCGATGATGCAGACGACGATGCCGGTGGAGACGGCGGGGTCGACGACGATGGCGCCGACGAGTAAGGGGAGTGGGGGGTTGGAGGTTGAGGGTGCGCTTGTAAGTGGAGTCTTTGAAACGTTGGAATAACGTCGCGGGCTAATGGAGCAAAGCTTTGGGCGGCGGTCTCGATCGCCCTGATCTGGCCAGTCTTATACAATTTCTAGCATTCCCTACAATATGATGGCTACGAAAGTGAATACGACCTATCGCTTGCAGGTCGGGTGGCAAGTTCCACCTGATTTACAGGCCCTACAATGCCATCCGTTGTCCCAACACGGTCAGGGGCAAGTGACGTCCATTCCTCCTATGAAGTCTGCAGCGCAGACAGCACTACTCCCTAGAACCTGATAGCAGTCTTGGAAGTAAAGTATTTGTATGGAAGGGTGTCTGCTGAGGCAATGTCACGTGATTTAAATACACTGCCGTTTATAATCATGCTCTATCTTGTATGTTAGTATAATCAAGCAACTTACCTATTCTAAACTCTCACTTCCGCCCAATCCTCAGCAGTTTCTTAGTCTACAATGGCTTTAGCCTCTCTGGACCCACTTGCTGTCGGTTAATATTTCCCGCAATCACAGCATTACTGACGTATTATCATTGGCCCCCACGAATATAGCGGTGAAAACTTGTTTCGATCCTAGCTATATTATCTTCTGCGCTCGCTCACGTCAACTTGCTCCCCCAGCCCCCATACAACTCGAACTTCTTCATTATTATTTATTCATCGCCTTTCGTGATTCTTGCTAATCTGGTCGAGAACCTCGGCCAGGGCTACCTTTTACTTCAAGAACACAAAACAAGGGAGACATCAACTGCGCCAATCAGCCCATGGTGACGAAGCCATATCAGAGGAAATGAGAAACACACTCGAAGAGGACCAGATCCTTTGCCCAACTTCCAATGAGCTCAAGCTGGCTGAGAACAGCACCCAACGTCAAAACTCCGTCCCACATGCGGCACCAGCAGCGGTTCCAGAGTGGTTGATTCCTATTTCTCCAACTGCGAATCTCAATGCTGCTTGCAACGAGTGCCAAGATCGAATGCTACGTGTAGCTTCAGCCGGCATAATCGATTTCTTTACCATCGAGGAAGAGTCCAACTGCACCATTTGTTGTATGCTCCGTGCCAAAGCGGATGGTACGGCAATATGGAGCTGTATCGACATGCGTCAAACGCCAGAGGAGGACGCGATTCGCGTGAAGAAATTCGCTGTAGTCGTACAGAACAGACCACGCGGCATGAGGAGTCATTATGCCATTCGCCCTCTTCAGGACGAAGTCGCGCACCTCAGTATCCATTCCAAAGATCAAGAAGCCGTGCACCCACGGGAAATTAACTTTGGAAATTTGAAGGCCAAACTGTCTTGCTGCTTGGCAGATCATGGGACGCATTGCAACACCAGGGAGAAATCGTCCATTCAAGGCTTGCACGTAATCAACTGCAAGACCCGGATGATTGAACTGGCCGAGGATCAAACGGAATATGTCGCTCTAAGTTATGTCTGGGGGAAGTATGGCGTATCCGAGAACGCTGCCATTCTCAACGAAGCCGACGCATTCGCCCAACCCCAGCCTGCCAACAAGAAAACATTCCCGAGAGAGCTACCCCGCAAACTGGACCTCACCATCGAAGATGCAATTCAAGTAACTTTGGAAATGGGATTTTCCTTCCTCTGGGTCGACAAATATTGCATCGATGAAAACAACCCCGCGGAGAAAAAACGGCACATCCGCAATATGGACTCCATTTACCAGGATGCCGCCTTCACAATCATCGCCGCAGCCGGAGACGACGCCGACTACGGCCTTCCGGGCGTGAGCACGCGCCCTCGGACCTCGCGGACGAGCTGCAGGGTCGAAAACTTCCTCGTTCTCAGCGGCGGCCTCCACAACAACAACGGCGGCACGGAGACGACGGAGTACCGGCCCAACCAGACCGACGTCCTATCGCAGTCCAAGTGGAACTCCAGAGCGTGGACGTACCAAGAAGGCTTGCTCTCGCGGAGGTGCCTCGTTTTCACCGACGAACAGGCATCCTTCGCGTGCCGGCTGATGATGGTCGCGGACGGATCGGAGACGCGGCCGACCCCGGGCTTCTCATTGGAGAAGCAGCTGCACTCGGGCTTCCTGTGGCAGGAAATCGCTGCTGTTGGAATCGGGGGTCGTCCTGCGGAGATCGCGTCCCGGATCTATGAGTATAGCCAGAGGCAGTTGACGCGGCCTGAAGACATCCTCAATGCTTTTTCGGGGATCTTGAGAGCTTTTGAGAAGATGGATCCGCCGACGTATCATTTATGGGGTGTGCCCATTCTTTCTTCAGCTCGAGGTTCCGACGACGAGGGAAGTCGCCGTACCGATGTCAACAGACCATTGTGCGATGGATTTCTTCGCGGCCTGTTGTGGAAAGCGGACAGCCCTTGCGTGCGTCGTGCCGGGTTCCCGAGCTGGTCTTGGGCTGGATTCAGTGCGACCAAGGTCGTTCTTCTGGGCCTGAATCTGGAAGTGAATGTGGAAGACAAAGGGACCGACGGCGAACCCGTCCGCCTCTACGTGGAATTGATGGATGAAACCATACGATCCTGGGCTGAGACCGAAAAACGGAGATACTTGAGATATGCTCCTTGCTCACCCTCTCGATTCCTGTGGTTGGACGCATGGACAATACAAATAAAGATAAGAGTACAGAAGGCCAAATATCCCTCTTTGGGAGGGGTAGATCGACTATTCGCTTCCTATGTGGATGACTCAAGTCGAGGGGTAGAAGTTGAGGGCTACGACGGGAACTTTCTAGACTTTGTTAAAAGTCAAGTTCGTAAACAACGTATCTTCACAAGTGTCATTTTAGGATCTCTTAGTTGGAGCGTCCTATATGCCATAGTAATCTGGAAGGTCGAAGGGATTGCCGAACGCGCGGGAATTTTCCGCGTTGACAAACTATGGGAAAGTAAGAAGATACCGATGGAGAGATTGGAGCGGCAGTTGACCAGACTGGGTTAATTTACTCGCTGGCAAAGAGTAGCCAATCTCAATTTTGTTGGATTCAAACCGAGTAAACAAGTTGATGTCGATCCAATGATACGCCGAATAAGTATATACCAATTCTGTGAAATCAAGGAAAGTGGACGAAGTTGTTCTATGTTGTTTACTACGTCCAGGTTTTAGCTTTAACTGCCCGAAAATGAAAATATCAAGTTTTGTATCAAATCTGAGATGAGACAATATTCGAAAAGTGAAAAAAAAAGGTCTCGTGGGTAGCTGAAGCGGACGTCCGGACGGGGATGTAGATTGCGTATGTGATATTTTGTATATAGCAATGAACTCGCGTTGTGCCTCGGAGGTGAGCAAAAGCAATGAAAAATGAAAATTGAACGCGTAATGAAGAGAAGCAGTAGTAAGGTTGTACAAAGAGCAACTATTAATACAAACGAAAGACCTGAGGAAAAGTTTTCTGGGACGCCAATGCCTCTCCATGCATGATCCCCGTGATGTGGCACTGTCCAACTAGTCGGTAGGAATCAGTATGCATTCCGCTCCTTCTCAAAAGAAATGGTACGTCTCCGCCATTGAAAATGCAAACTGAATCTCCAATTTTCGCTGTGCTCGGCACCATACCGCGGAGACCTTTTTCAGTAGTCACCCACAGCCTTGCGTTACCAACCACAACGTAGCACCCCAAGCCACAGGCAGCTAGCGGCTGCCTAAAGCCGACTTGGGCGAACGACACTTTCCCTCCATTCGGATGGGTAGTGGAGGAGGATCATATCACGTGTTTCACTCACGTGATCTACGCAACAACTGCTGCGGTGGGCCTTAGCTGGGCGTGGCAGCTGTCACTACTCATATCCCCGGCCCTCAGTGATAGCTACTCACCATCAATGACGTCACAAGACTTACTGCTCATAGATAGTCCGCCTGTACATTTTACTTCGTCCCCGGCAGTCGGCAGTCGGCAATTGATGGCGACGTTCGTGCTCCATGGATATTGCGGGTCTGTATTATGCCGGCCTCCGGAACACCAATTTTATTTACTTAGTTTAACTTCCCTCTGGACTCCGACCGGAACATCAATGAGATGAGCATCAAGCATTTAAAACAGCTTCAGCTCCCAACTCTAGCTGTCCCTTCAACCCACCTTACCAGACACCTTCCACCATGGCGCCCCCCACCACCACCACCAAAACAACCGTCACCTTCCTCACCACCGGCACCGTCCGCATAAAACAAACCATGTACACCCAACCCGCCACGCGCTCCGTCCTCCTCCGCCGCCTCAACAACTTCCTCTCCAACACCTGGACGCACCCGCTCCCCATCGGCGTCTTCCTCATCCACCACCCGTCCGGCCCCTTCCTCTTCGACACGGGCGAATCCCCCTGCTGCAACGACCCGGGCTACTTCCCCGCGTGGAACATCCCGACGCGCACGTGGACGCAGACGGACATCACGCCCGCCGACGGCATCGTCTCGCAGCTGCGCAAGCACGGCGTCGAGCCGAGTGAGCTGCAGGGAGTGGTGCTGAGCCACCTGCATCGCGACCATGCGGGCGGCTTGGAAGAGTTGGCAAGGGTGGCGCCGGATGTGCCGATCTATGTGAGCGAGGAGCACTGGAAGGCGTTTGGGATGTACCCGTTTCACGCGAGCATGGAGGGCTGCGCGCCGGAGCATTGGCCGGAGGGGTTTGCGCCAAGGCTGCTGGAGGTGAAGGAGCACCGTGTGGGCCCGTGGGAGAGGTCGTGTCCGCTGACGGAGGATGGGAAGGTCGTGGTGGTTGATACGCCGGGGCATGTGCCGGGGCATGTGTCGATGGTGGTGCGGGGGGATAATGAGGATGGGAGCACGACGGCGTATTTTTTGACGGGCGACGCGACGTATGGGATTGAGTTGCTGGAGGCGGAGGAGGTTGATGGGGTGAATGATGATCCTCTTCGTGCTCTGGCGAGTGTGAGGTTGATCAAGGAGTTTGCAAGGCAGGAAGATGTTGTGGTGTTGCCGAGTCATGATGTCGAGACGCCGCGGCTGCTGGCGGAAAGGGTATTGTATAAGCCAAAAAACAGAGAAGGAGAAGCGAAAATGTAGAGTGGAAATCAACACTGTCAGACATCATCATTACTCATGTTCATTGCCGCGTGTATTTGCCGTGTTTTATGCTTTTTCTCAACACCAAGTATTATGTACTGTTTTATCTCACCACAGTAACATCACTCACTCATGATACTTGGTGAGATCATTCAAAACAAGTCGTGTATATAAACAGGTAGTTTTACTGCTGCACCATGAGAATAGCAGTGTTCAATTCAATTCATTTGCACTGTTCATCAAACACGTAAACGATTTATTGTTTGCAATCTTGGCCTTTCTCCTCCTATGTGTCACATTTGTGTTCAGCATGATCTACAACTTCGCCACTTCTCCCCACTTCTCCCACACCACGATCGCTTTCGTCGGCGTGCCGTCCTATTGTCGACCTCATTAGCCATCCAGTCACTTTATTATGGATTCTGAATGCGTACCGGAAGCAGAAATTCCTGCACTGGCCTCAAGACCAACAGAGTCTTTCCACCGCTCTGCTTCACCTCCCACTGCCGCACCTGCGGCTTCCCGACCCAGCTAGGATCGAGGGCAATTTCCACGTCCGTGCTGAGAAGACTCTTCCCGTTCTCTTCGTATACGCGGTACGGGCCGCAGTACGTTGTCATCGGCCGCGCGACGCCGGCGATGTCTTGTTCGGACGCTAGAAACCAGGTCGGAGAAGCCCAGCCTTCGAACGCTTCCGGGTTGGTCAGTGTGCAGCTCATGTAGCCGTCGGATTTAAACATGATGCGGCCGAGCGGCGAGGTTCCAAGGGGATGGAAGATGGGCTGGCTGCTGGCATCGCTGGTGAGGTGGAGAGCGAAGGACTTGAGCGTCCAGGTGCCGATCAGTTGGCTGTTGTCAGACATGGTTAATATTGTAGTGGAGGATCAGTTTGAGTGTGCAAAGCAACTTTCTCATGATGTTCTTTGAAGCTTTTGTATACCCAAAAGAGTAGCTGTCCTCGGTAAATCATTTTTCGGCAGTCGGCATTACTCCACCTCAATGCTCGGCAAACGGGAAATGAAGGTTGCGCAATCGGAGGTTTGAATCGTCCCGAGCCTCCACAAATGGCATTGCATCGACGCCGACCGGATAGACTTTCGACCGTGGTGTAGTCTACTCAAAGGGGTATCACGGTGCAATTGATGCGGCCGGTCTTGAACTTTAAAGAATATAGATTGCACTATAATCCAAGTTGAGACTCACAAAGTCAAACATTCGTCTTGTGATCATTGAAGTTTAAGCTAAAATCCCTCCGTCGAACATGTCCAAGCTCGTCGTCGTCGTTGGAGCCACCGGTGGTCAAGGCGGAGGAGTGGTGTCGGCATTCCTCGAGGACCCCACGTTCAAAGTCCGCGGCATCACCAGAAATGTCGACAGCAGCAAGGCCAAAGGACTCACTGCAAGGGGGGTTGAGATGGTCCAAGCAGACATCAACGACCAAGCCAGCCTCGACCGAGCTTTCCAAGGCGCCCACATCATCTTCGCCGTCACCGATTACTACGAACATTTCTTCAAGCACGGCAAGGATGTTGCCATGGAGACCGAAACACAATACGGCACGAACCTGGCCAAAGCTGCGGCCAAGGTCCCAACGCTCGAGCGGTACATCTGGAGCACGCTGCCCCTGACTAGCGCCCTCTCGCAGGGCAAGGCCGTCGTGCCGCACTTCGAAGGAAAAGGCCGCGTCGACGCTTTCATCAAGCACAACCTGCCCGAGCTCTACAAGAAAACAGTGTTCTGCATCTTCACCATCTTTGCGGAAAACCTGACCGCGTACCCGATTTTCAAGCCTGTGTGGCTGGTAGGTGTTCTCTGATGTCCTCTACCTCTTGCCGAGAAGAAACTTACTAAGAACATACAACAGGAGTCGGCGCAGAAATGGATCCAGTTCTACCCAACAAGCCCCGACGCTCCGTACGCGTCCGTGGGCGACCACCGCACGAACACAGGCGTCTTCGTCCGATCGATTGTCCGCAACCCTCCTCCCCAGCTGGGAACATACGTAAAGTGTGGTGTTGAAGAGTTGACTCTCGAGTCGATGCTGGCGCTCTGGGGTCGTGCCAGTGGAAAGGCGCCCACCCCTGGATCCACGAAGGTCGTGCAGGTCTCGGTCAAACAGTATGTGGAGTTGTTCGGGGCGATGGGAGAAGAGCAGGCCAGCCAGTGGGTTTTCTTCGAGTGGATGAAGGAGGCTGGGGTTAGCACGATTCCTGGAGTGACGATGATGGACGTGCAGGAGCTGATGTCGGATGAGGAGAAGCGGAAGCTGGTTGGCACGGAGCAGGCGTTGCGGGGGATGGATTGGACGGATTTTTAGTTGGGCTAAGGTTTCGGCGACTGGACTTACTATACAAATGCGAATGAATCAGTGATCCAGGTTTAAGCACACATGGTGCCGGGAGATCTGCACGGGGGTAATGAGCCGTCGGCGTTCGGCAATGGGCCGCCTTCGGCACTCGGCACTCCCTCGGCTGCGGACCTCTGCGGAAAGTCTCTTTGGCCGTGCTCGTCATCTTCGACGACCATCTGAGAGTGCCTTCGCCGAAATAGCCCCCAAGACGCATCGGCGACGAGACCCACATCAACCTGAGTGTACTACCGAGGATGCCTGTCAGCCACACAGACAACAGGAACAGAGCTCGAGTGGTCTGCACCATCTGTCATGAGCGCAAGGTAAGCTTATTGAGCATGCTACTGCCACGGTCTCACATCGATAGGTCCGGTGCGACCTGCAGCAACAGCCCAGCGGAAGTTGTAGAAACTGCCAGAAAACGGGAGCACAATGCCGGTATGTGAAGACTAGCTTGTAGACCCTGCAGATTAGCGCTCACGATCCACGTGGAGGCTCCACATCGGCTCCCGGCGACGAAGAGTGGATGCAAGACGATCAAGCACGGGGATCCAAGCCGAAGTGGCACATGATCCCGTTGAGCCCTTACCAGCCAGCGCCCAAGCCTTGGTGTCACCCGAGGAATCTCTTCCTCCCAGTGAAATCCAGAGTGGCTACATCGGGGATCGCTCGGTCCTAGCCTACCCTCCTACTCCCACACAAATCCATCCAAATGATGGCCTCATACCCGGCGAGGCGGATCTGTCTCTCAGCTCCACCAAAGCGCGGGAGCCCCCACCAAGAGTCGTCGCAGAAGCACTAGTCGATTTCTTCTTCCACGAACTTAGCCCCTTCATGCCGGTAGTAGACCGCGGAGAGCTAGAGCTCCGCGACGCACCACTGCTGCTTCGGCAATCGGTCTACTTCGCCGGCAGCATGATGCGGAGATCAACAGCAGGCCACCACTCAGCCCCCTCGACGCAGGCTCTGTACATCAAGGTCAAGACTTTACTTTTTCTAGATATGGAAAAGGATCCGCTAGTGGTTCTCCGCGCCGTGGCCCTGCTCGGCAGCTGGAGCTCGCACCCACCGCAGGCCATCAGCCTCGAGTGCCCGTGGCAGTGGAACGGCACGGCCATCCGGCTCGCGCTGCAGCTGGGGCTGCACCGGGAAGCCACCTACACCGACAGCGAGAGGCACAAGCGGAGCCGCCGCGTTATGTGGTTTCTTTTCGTAAGTGCTTTCCTCGCCGACAACCATCCGGCTAGCCAATCAACTGAAACCTCCCCCTTTCCAGAACAACGAGACGTTGCAATCAATCTGCTATGCCCGCCCGTCCATGCTGCGGCTGCAAGACCTAGACATCCGGCATCTTGAACCCAATGACTTCCCCGAAGGGGACAGCATCTCGGCTATGGTGTTTTGCGCCATGACACGTCTCTGCACCGAACTCAGCCACATCGAGGCCCTCAGCGCCCAGCGCCGCCCGGCCGCCCCCGCCGATATCCTGGCCCGTGTCTCGGCACTGCGCGCCTGGATCGCCGCGCTACCGCCAGCCCTCCGCCTGTTCGACGAGCATGACAACCGGCGGCGTCGCCCGTGGAGCCGTCTCGTTGCCGAATGCCACATCTTCTACTTCGTCGCCGTCATCCTAGTCTGCCTGCTACCCGGGCCACACCGGCAATCACTGACCTTCTGCACGGCGTCGATAGTTGCGTCGTCCTGCATCGCGCGGCTGTACGAGGAGATTCTGTGCCACGAGGAAGTGCATTGTCTGTTGCCTATCCACGGCTGGACCACGCTCCTCGCCGCAGTGCCGCAAATCTACTGCGGCGTCAAATACCCAAACCTGGCCTCCGTATGCGCCGAGGAGCTAGACATCAGCGCTGCTGTGCTGGAACAGATGCGGGATAAGTACGAGTCCGCGGCCGTCGTGCTGACGAAGGTCGATGCTCTGCGGCGGACGGACGCGGCAGCGGCAGCGGGGTGGCTGAATCAGCCGCTGTCGTCTTCATCCTCGTCGCCGCCGAGGGCCAATGGTAGCAGCAGCAGCAACCAAACAGGGGGGGACCAATCCTGGCGTGAAACGGAAGGGCTTGCGGATGCTGTAGCCGGACTCTTCCCGTTCCCCAGCCATCTGTCGCCGAAGATGGGGCTGCTGCCGCTGCCTTTCGGCTCCTCGGCTGCGTCGGCTGTTGCGGTCGACATCACGATGATGGGGGCGGCGGAATTGCCTTCTCCTGTAGCCATGCCGTTTGACCCAGGCGAGATCACTTGGCCGCTGGACTTGTCGGCTTTCTCACTGGCTAATTTGGACAGTCTATTCCCGTCTGAGATGGCGGTGGAAAGCGGAGACGCGGGGTTGAGTGGAGTAGACGGTGCTCTGCACACGGCTATCTGAAGGTTCGGCAGTCGGCAATTCCCCAGACTCGACCAACATCACAAACGTCCATGTACACTATATCATCCTGTGAAATTCTTCTCACAAGCTAGGGAGAAATGAAAAACGACTCATGCCGATGTTGGAACAGGGAACCATGGCACAAGCACGACTGATCCAGCTATCCCAGCACCTGCAGCCGCCGCACCCCGCGGGAGGCCCCTACACCGTCAACGACTCCCCCCTCGGCACTCCCCGTCCCGTCCGCATCGTCGTCATCGGCGCCGGCGCGAGCGGCATCAACGTGCTGCGGACGCTGCGCCTGCAGCTCCCCGCCGGCTCGTGGACGGCTGTGGCGTACGAGAAGAACCCGCGCGTCGGCGGCACGTGGTTCGAGAATCGGTATCCGGGCTGTCGGTACGTAACTAATATTTGTTTTTACTAAAGCAAAGCCTTTTGCGAAAATATACAGAAAGGCTCTTCTCATTTCCCGACCCCCCTTAGATGCGATATCCCCGCCCATAACTACCAGTTCTCGTGGAAGCCGAACCCCAGCTGGAGCGCCTTCTTCGCGCCTGCCGAGGAGATTGAGGAGTATCTCGAAGAGGCGTGGAAGGAGGAGGCGGCGAGGAATGAAGCCGCGGCTATGCGGACGGAGTGCCAGGTCACGCGCGCGGAGTGGAGGGAGCGGGAGGCGAAGTGGGTTGTTACGGTGCGGGACATGAAGACGGGTGAGGTCTTTGATGATTGCGCTGATTTTCTGCTCAATGCGTCTGGGATCCTGAAGTAAGGCTTGCTTTCTATTCTTTTCCAGTCCGTGCTGACAGGGGTTCTCTGCAGCAATTGGAAGTGGCCAGACATTCCAGGCCTTCAGGATTTTCAGGGAGAAGTTGTGCACAGTGCAAACTGGCCGGCAGACTTCTCCTGTTCTGGAAAGACGGTGGCTGTCATCGGAAACGGGTCGTCGGGGGTGCAGATTGTGGGTGCTATTCTTCCGCGTAAGTCTTTGCCCTACTTCCAGATCTTATTGGGTCCAGAACGTCACTGAACTTCTTTGGCACGGAAGAGGTCAAAAGCCTTGTCCATGTCGCGCGGTCGCCCGTCTGGATAGCTCCTCCCCGCTTACAAGTGTTGGCAACAACCAAGGCTGCCGGGATCCTGAACCAAATCGAGCTGGATGAGCACGCGAACTTCACTCCCCGACAGATCCAGAAATTCAAGTCCGACCCCGCCTTCTACCAAAAATTCGTCAACGCCATCGAGCAAGAAATAAACACCAACTTCCCAATCGTACGTCCATCCAAGCCACCCCCCTCCCCTCCCTTCATCCCCACACCATCTCACCAAACACCCCCCCAGTACCTCAAAGACACCCCCATCCAAGCCCTCGCCTTCGACAAACTCAAATCCTACATAACCACCTCCCTCAACCACGACGCCCGCCTGTGCGCCGCCCTCATCCCCTCCTTCCCCGTCGGCTGCCGCCGCATGGTGCCCGACTCCGGCTACCTCGCCGCCCTGACGCACGCAAAGACGCGCGTCGTGACGGACGACCCCATCGCCCGCGTCGTGCCCGCCGGCATCCAGCTCGCATCGGGCGAGACGGTCCCGCTCGACGCCATCGTCTGCGCTACGGGGTTCGACGTCTCGTTCCGCCCGCGCTTCCCGCTCGTCGGCCGCGGCGGCGTCAATCTGCAGGATGTCTGGGGCGGAGGAGGAGGAGAAGGCAGCAGGAGGCCCCGCGCGTACATGTCGTGCGGCGTGGAGGGGATGCCGAATTATTTCAGTGAGTGAGCGCCGGGCGCCCCCCGTCGAGAGAGGAGGAGACAGACGCTGACCACCACGCGCCCGCGATCAACAAAAACAGCCTTCCTCGGCCCCAACGCCCCCATCGGCCACGGCAGCGTCTTCACGCTGACCGAACACATCGCGGCGTACATCACGCGCATCATCCAGAAGTGCCAAACCGAAGGCATCGCGGCGATCGAGCCGTCTGCCCGCGCCGTAGCCGAGCTGGGCGCGCACATCGACGCCTTCATGCCGCGGACGGCGTGGGCGGGGTCGTGTCGGTCGTGGTATAAAGGAGGGACGGCGGATGGGCCGGTCACCGCGCTGCATCCCGGTAGTAGGCTGCACTTTTTCCGGATGCTAAGGGGGTTTAGGGGGGAGGATTGGGTGTATACGTATGAGGGGTGGATGAAGGGGAATCGGTTTGGGTATTTGGGGAATGGGTTTGCGGTGGAGGAGGTGGAGGAGGTGGAGGGGTGATGAGATGCGGTGGTTGGGTGGGTGGTGCTACATGCTGGGGCTGGATGATCATGAGAGCCCGTAGCAATGGTGTTGTTACATAAGTCCGCCTGATTACTGATTCTCCAACCATCAAACCTCCTCTTTCCTCCCTTCTGGCTAAGTTTCGGGTCGCGTAGAGGCGGGTTGATCAGGTGGCAGGTCGATCTACGGACCCACCCACCGCAACGTCGGCCCGGGAAGAGCGAATTGCTTGATTCAGGAACACTGCCAATCGCGCACTGCATGTTGTATGTACATCGGGTGTGATAGCAGATCAGCGCGGGGATTTATTTCTCCAGCGGCGGGTACACTTCGGTCTATGCGCGTCAAGATGGGGAGTAATGACCCGAGTTCGTATTTTGGGATCTCTGGTTGGACGGACATGCTTCTTACATGTTGCGCATTGCTAGAGATTAAACAAGGTCTATGCATCAGTACCGCCTCTCCGCCAAGCCCCAAGAAAGGTCGGGGTTGGCACAGAGATAAGCTTAGCCAACTCATGAGCTTAAAACCCCACAGCATGGTCTCGATACCCAAATGGGTAGATTCCGTTTGGGGAATCCGCGGTAATACATCCCATTCCATTTTAACCAGATGACGATCCAATCTCTCTTCAAACGCTCATTGGTGTAATGCAAGTTATGGAAGCGGTAAGGTGAACGACGTGCAGGTGTACACCGAGAAATAACCGGCATGGTTGGGACTCCTACTCTTTTGGGCAATTCAGTAAGGTGATGTGAGTCGGCCACCGCCTCATCGCGAGGCAAAATTCAGTGACAATGTTGCACTCCCGAAGTTACTGCGATATGCAACCTTGTTGTCACTCGTAAATCATGCTTTGAGGCATCCGGTAGTCTGGAACCGCGGTTGATGGACTGTGTTTGTTTCCTGCTTGGATGAGGGGTCTTCCGACCGCTTGACTCGATCATCAATATTGACAGCCTGAGATGGGAAAGTAGAGGATAAATGACGGAACTGTAGCTGCGGGGTGATTCCACAGCAGTTGCCGAACAGGTTCCAGGTCTCACGACGGCTGTCGACATGATGATGCAATTGATGTGAAGGCAGAGGATAAAACGACACCGAGCCCCGAGGAGTTTGTTCCATCGTCGCCAAAGGTCGCCCTTATTCAAGCCACGAAACCAAGTTGCAGATAGGACGGGGTCCAATCACAAACATGCACTCGCTCGCGCTGTTTCTTGGCGTTGGTGCACTCTTGGCAGGCCCAACGCAAGTAAATCTCTCTCCCCTGACCCTCTCAGCTGTTCGGCTCTCGGTCGACCTTTCGTTGTCACTTACTGAAACGATCCCTTCAGGCCGAGGACAAATCCAGCCCATCCGACGAACTGTGGGGTGCCTATTCACCACCATTCTATCCTTCACCATGGATGGACGGTTCAGGAGACTGGGGCGATGCCTACGCCAAAGCCCAAGCCTTCGTGAAGCAGCTCACCCTCCTCGAGAAGGTCAACCTCACAACCGGCGTCGGGTAAGCATCATTTGCTCAAACTCTCCCGACATAACTAATCGCTAACTCTCTTCCCCTTAGATGGAAAGGTGAGGGTTGCGTGGGCAACACGGGGTCCATTCCACGTCTAGGGTTCCAGGGAATCTGTTTCCAAGACGGACCGCTCGGCGTCCGGTTTGGTAAACGCACACGACTACACAAGCCCGTTGCACTTGCTGACGTCTTTGAACTGCAGGTGATTACGTTTCCACGTTTCCTGCCGGCGGCACCGTCGCCGCGTCTTTCGATCGCGAGCTGTGGTATGAAAGGGGGCGGCGGGTCGCATTGGAGCAGAGTGATAAAGGCGTTGATGTCCAGTAAGGCGGTCCATTCTTGGTGTATAATTCGGGAGAAGGTGGCTAATGGCTCCAAGGCTCGGTCCCGCGATAGGTCCTCTCGGACGCCACCCTGCCAGCGGTCGGGTCTGGGAAGGTGAGTTCCCGCTTGCCTTGTCTCCTGCTGTCGCACTTCGAGATCTAACGCATAGACAAAAGGGTTCAGTCCCGATCCATACTTGAGCGGCGTGGCTGTAGCGGAAACGATCAAGGGGATGCAAGATGCAGGCGTCATCGCGGTGACGAAACATTTCATCGGCAACGAGCAAGAGAATTTCCGGCAGGCGCCCGAGGCCCTGAGTTACGGCTTTAACGTCTCGGAGTCGCTCAGCTCGAACATCGACGACACAACTCTCCACGAGCTGTACCTCTGGTAAGCCGGCTTGCATGGTCGTATCAGACATGATTGACTGACAATAACAGGCCCTTTGCCGATGCAGTGCGCGCAGGGACCGGATCAGTCATGTGTTCGTACACGCAAGTCAACAATTCCTACGGCTGCCAGAACTCGTACGTCATGAACGGTATTCTCAAAACCGAGCTGGGGTTCCAAGGCTTCGTGGTAACCGACTGGTCTGGGCAACATTCAGGCGTGAGTAGCGCTCTTGCGGGCCTCGATGTCGCTATGCCGGGCGACACGGACTTCGGTTCAGGCTACGCCTTCTGGGGGCCGAACCTGACGCTCGCTGTTGTGAACGGATCGATTCCAGAATGGCGCGTCGACGACATGGCAACTCGCCTGATGGCCGCCTTCTACTACGTCGGCCGAGACAAGCTACAGCGCCCGGTCAACTTCAACTCCTGGTCGAAGGATACGTATGGGTGGAAGAACGCGATCTCGGACAAGAACTGGGGGCTCATCAACCAACACATCGATGTGCGGCGAGACAACACTGCTTTCATCCGCGACGCAGCGGCTCGTTCTGTAGTCCTGCTCAAGAACGAGGGAGCGCTGCCCCTCTCTGGACATGAGAGATTCACAGCCGTGTTCGGCAGCGACGCAGACGATTCTCCGCTTGGACCGAACGCGTGTGATGATCGCGGCTGCGACGAAGGCACCCTGGCATCAGGCTGGGGATCCGGAACTTCAGACTTCCCATTCCTCGTCTCCCCTCTCACAGCGATCCAGAACGAAGTGGTCAGCAAGAACGGCGGCCTCATCCAGTCCGTCACGGACGACTACGCGTACGAACAGGTGACCGCCCTAGCCGCTCGTGCCAGCCACTGCCTCACCTTCGTCAACGCCGACGCAGGCGAGGGCTACATCTCCGTTGACGGCAACCACGGCGACCGCAACAACCTCACGCTCTGGCACGACGGCAACACCCTCATCGACACAGTCGCCTCCTCCTGTAACAACACCATCGTCGTCATCCACGGCCCCAGCGCCGTGCAAGTCGACACCTTCGCCGACCATCCCAACGTCACCGCCATCCTCTGGGCCGGGTTTCCAGGCGAACAATCCGGCAACTCCATCGCCGACGTCCTCTACGGCCGCGTCAACCCGGCCGGCCGCACGCCGTTCACATGGGCGCGCGACGTCACCGTCGACTACGGCACCGACATCCTCTACTACCCCAACAACAACGCGACCGGCGTCCCGCAACAAGACTTCACCGAAGGCATCTTCATCGACTACCGTCACTTCGACGCCGCCAACATCACGCCCGTGTACGAGTTCGGCCACGGCCTCTCCTACACCACCTTCGCCTACGCCAACCTGAGCATCACCAAGCACACCGACGCCCCGCCGTACGCCCCCAACAACCGCAGCATCGCCGACGGCGCGCCGCCGCTCGTCCTCGGCAACCACAGCACCAACCTCGACGACTACCTCTTCCCGACCGACGGTTCCGTCGTCCGCGTCCCCGGCTACATCTACCCCTGGCTCAACGACACTGACGCCTCCGCCGCCACCGCTGCGGCCACGACGAACAGCTCGTCCCCCACGCCTCAGCCGCCCGCACCTGCCGGTGGCGCACCAGGCGGCAACCCGCGTCTCTGGGACGTGCTGTTCACCGTGCGGGCCACCGTGACGAACACTGGCGGCGTGGCCGGCGACGAGGTGGCGCAGCTGTATGTCTCGCTGGGCGGTGAGCGCAATGCGCCGAAGGTGCTGCGCGGGTTCGAGCGGCTGGCGGACATACAGCCGGGGGAGAGCGTCGAGTTCAAGGCGGAGTTGACGCGGAGAGATGTGAGTAATTGGGATGCTGGAGCGCAGGATTGGGTGGTTACGGCGGACGAGAAGAGGGTGTTTGTGGGGCCTAGTTCGAGGGTTGTGGGGGTGGAGGGGGTGTTGGATTTGTAGGAGGGATGAGGGATGGGGAATGAGGTGGGGTCGAGTCTCGACAACGTTGCTGTGTTGAAGTGTTTAACGAGGGTGTGGTTCTCTCGGAGGTTCGAACGCAAACGTCACGATTCATCTGCTTCACTTAAATAAAACGCCTTGGATGATAGTGTGAACTCGCACTTTTGTTCAGCTGGTATGTAGATACTCTAATGAGCGTCCTATTGTGCCATGAACGAGCATTGCCTCCATCCAAATTCAGTTGCATGCCGTCAAGGCCATTCGATCAAGAAGCTATGGTTGATACCCAATTGTGCAACAGTCACATTGTCAGAAATCCTTCAAAGATAATAGAGAATTGGTCCTACTAGGGCAATCGACAACGAAACCCAAAGCTTTTCTTGGTTAACCAGCATGTCAACTTCACATTCCTTGGGCTGCACTTACAGTTGCGACCCTAAGCTCCACCGGCCCGTTCCCCTCGCTAGCAAGGTTTTCGGCGCTATTCATCGCCGGTCCGGTATCTGGCGGGTCATCACCGAACCGGCCCGCGCAGGTGAGTATGGCTTGACAAAGAAGAATCATGATGAGGCGAGATGTATGCATGATTGGAGGAGTAGATTGGCTTTTCTTCTTGAGAGCGTGTGTTCGGTAGAAATATGAAGGAGGAGTAGAACGCAGGTCTACAGCAAATATTGACCGAGAATGCCTCAACAAATTGTCAGGCACCTCAGAGATCGCCATAGTACTCCAATCCCACGTTTTAAGAGCTGTCTCCTTGCTCGGCGTCATCCATAGGCACATCCACTGATACATCCATTGGTACGTGATGGTAATTTAAATCTTAGCTTCTAATTGGATCGGATATGGCAAGTAAGAGGTATTCCCCTAGTAATATATCGATTCAGAGGACGCTGATCCGAAAGCGTTACTGGTAGACGTGCCTGTGGATGACGCCAACCAAGGAGGTAGGTACGCTTCATATATATGTTAGCGAATGTCTACTACTTGAGACTTTCGCTTGGGAAAGATTAGGGAGGTTGGGATTGGGGGCTAAAGAGAAGCGACAACCAACCGCGAGCGGCACATATCCTACAGATGTCATGGTCGTACGCGTAACTATTTTGGGCTGCAGAAAACGACTATACCGCTATCACATGAACTCGACAGTTAAGCTTAAGACGAAGAAATTTAGCGCGCATGTCGTCATAAGCCCAAAATTTTTAGTCTCATGCGTCAGCGTCCCTTCAGCGCTAAATGCAGATGTTGAAATGGGGCGAACGGCTGGGTCACTCCATTTAATGATGGCCGAAACGATCGAGACGTTGAGACACGCGACATTCAAAGGAATCAGGATCAGTCAGAAGTGAGGCATATTTCAAACGTACCTGCTGATCATCGCAGTCCTGCTAAAGTATAAAGACTGGAGGATGAAACATTGTTGATTGCAGTGATGGCAGTTGCAGCATGTTTAAGGGGTTCACCAATGAAGATTCTTGCGGACCACACCCCCACTTGATTCTGTGATTTGGTACATTAAAAGGAGATAAGATCTCGATAGTAAGACGCAGCCCCTTGTATCTTTTACCCCGCAAAGTAAATGAACGGCAAGGGCGCCTGTCGATCCCAGATGTGTTCGCGGATTGCGAATACCTTTTCGAAAAACTCTTCAAAGAGGACGACCACGGCTTTTTTGCATGAGCGGCAGAGCGGCAAGCGCGCCGGTCTGCGACCACCGCTAACAAGGCCCGATTTCGTATACTATGTACGAAAACCGAGCGGACGCGGCGTTGAGGCGCATGGGTTCCGCCGCGGATCCGCAACCCATGTCCCGGAGCGGCAAAGCGGGCCCCCCACCTACTCGCCAGACGATACGCTAGCAACCTCTAGCCCATCAGCCACAGCTGAGCCCGGCAAAAGCACCACTAATCGACCAATAGGATGCGAGCCTTAATTACGGAGCATCCTCCCGAACAGACGTTTCTCGCACCATGTGGCTGGCGTGGTTTGTGCCTGGCGGGCCTGGATGGTCGCGTGGTGTGCGGTGGGGGCCGCGGGGGATGCCATGTCGCAAATCCGAACTTTATCTGTGGTGGGACATCATTGCTTTCCGGACGTACGCCCGCTCGCATGATCGATCTCCTGTTCGTCATTTAGCAGCGCGATTTCCGCCTGGGCTGGGCAAAGGCAGGCATAGCCGTGCTCACTTGCTGGTCCGCTTCTTTTCTTAATCCACTACCTTCTTAATTGACTACGACTCGTTGACCTACCTACCTCCTTGCGACACGACGAATAACGTTTGCGCCGAGACGTGGTATGGGCGGCGGGCTCAGTCCTCCGCCAGACCTCCTGGCAGAATGGGTGACTAATCGGGAGCGGTTCCCGTATGGCGAGCGGCGCGGGCCCTTCATGATCATTTTGATGTTCGTGTTATTGGCCGCGACGCTGGCCGTTGTGGGTGCGAGGCTCTGGGCGCGCTGCAGGATCAGACGCAATGCTGGGCTGGATGATTGGTTGATCGTGGCAGCTATTGTAAGTTGAAGCTGGACGGCTTGTGCAAGACACGTTTGCTAATGAAAGAGACAGCCTATCCTGCTCGGTTACGATGCTTGTCACTATTTGGGTATGCTACGGAACGGACCGCTCTCTAAATACCCAGAAAGTTAACTTTTAGATTCAGGCTTCTACTACTATGGCGTCGACCGCCACGCCTGGGAGGTGACAATCGCGCAAGCCGTCAACGTGCGCATCGTCACATGGGCCATCGCCTGCGGCTACATGCTCATCACCTCGCTGGTCAAGATCTCCATCCTAATGTTTTACCGCCGCCTGAGCGAAGGCAGCGTCACGATGTCGTGGATCTACATCGTGCGCGGCTTCATCGTCTTTGTCGTCCTTTACTGCATCATCTTCACGCTCATGCTCTTCGTCGATTGCCGCCCCCTCAACTCCTTCTGGAATAAGATGAATCCGGTATGGGCAGCGACACACGAACACGTCTGCTTCAATGAAGGTGCCGACTTCATCGCCTCGGCAGTCGTCAGCGTCGTCACCGACGCCGCCGTGTGCATCCTCCCGCTGCTCGTCGTCCGGCGCCTGCGCATGCCGAGGAAGCAGAAGTGGGCGCTGAGCGCGTTGTTTGGCGTTGGGTTCTTGTAAGTGAAACGCCGCTGCCTTGTTGTCCCACCATTCTTTCTTTTCATGTACACCCTCGGCTGACGGAGATACATTACAGTCTTTGCTTCTGCGGTATCATGCGCGTCGCATACATGTACGAAATCTACTACGCCACCTACGACACCACTTGGGAGGCCTCGTACGTCTGGTCGTGGACCCTCGCTGAGACGCACTTCGCCATAATTTGCGCATCTGCGCCTGCGCTGAAGCTCTTCTTCGGCCGCCTGCTTCAGGGCTCGTCTGCTCAGCCGGACAGCTACACCTCACGCCAACGCCACGAGTACAACAACTTTGGGAGCGACGAGCTCGGTGCGGCTGGCTCGGGGGTGCATGTCAAAAGTGGTGGTGGTAGCGAGGAAGGAATTTATATGGCAGATATGCTGGCGTTTAAGGAGGCCAGGTCGAAGGCAGAGAAGGAGGGAAAGGAGTTACCGTTGTTTGAGACGGTGGCGGAGAGGAGTGGAAGCGAGTCGCCCGTTTCGATTACCGTCGATGTTAGACATGGGGTGGGGTTGTCTGCTGTGAATGATACGAGTAGAACGTTGAGTGAAAACGATGCGCAGATTATGGAAGAGCAGTCCACCAAGAGCATTGGAAGAAGTAGGGGGAGTACCGACAGCATACTGGGTGGGAGATAACGTGTATAGCATATTGGGCGGAGTTTCTTTAGAAAAATCATTAATTAGTCCTATCTTCACATGAATTGGATACAGCTCTACTGTGGAGCACCCGTCTGTGTCATAGGAAAACGGGCCCTTAAGTTGGCCATGTAGTTCGATCGCTTGAACAGGCTAAATCCTACACTTTGCATCAAAATTGATATCAATTGTAGATGTAGAACCATAGTAATTTGCGCTAAGACGTGGCATTACTGTAGCTCCACTACTACTAGTAATCGAAACCACTCTCCATACGAACATCATTAGTGAAGAAGAAATGACGGAGATTTAGCTCAAAGATCTAGAATGAGGGGATCAAGAATTCCTCAACGTAGCACTTCCAATGAATACAACCTCGACTGCAGCAAATCTAATTTTGCATTATCTTAGCATTTAGTAAATATGAGTAAAGGAGGGCAGTGACTTACGCCGCTGTGGCCGAAAATATTTCGATTCGGTTAGCCGAGGTAAACACAGATAGAATGATCGAAAAGATGAAAGTGATGATTATCATGACGCCAATGCGCAAGGCCATAGTAGAGCAATAGTAGAGAGCTAGGATCGAGACTGCTGGGAGAATTGCGGCCAAACTTGTTGTGAAGACTTTCAGGAATGGCGTGAGTCCCGAGTACACAACTGTACCACTCTCATCGATAGGTTTCTAGCCGAAGTATTAGCTTCGCAAGGCTGATAGTGTTACGTCAAAGATACCTTCAACTTGTTGAAGCCCATCCATCGTGCTGCTTGGATTACTAGTGGCGAGACATCTCTTGAGAACAGATCTTTGTCATCGCTTCCGCTATCCAAGAGAAGAAAGTCGTCCGAAAATTCTTTTGACCATGTTCTGTATTCGAATTCGTTTCCGGCCATGAAATGGTCTCCTTCTCCCTTGTTTTCGCCACGTAGCCAAGCACGTAGGCGCTGCAGATCTGTCTTCTTTGCGGACCTGAGGTTGGACACCTGAGAGAAATATACCAAAAAGCGATCTACTGCTAGTTAGACCCATTTTTGCGGTTGTAACTGATAGATAATTTGCACTTACTATATTCCTCCAACTTCGCCTTGATTTCGGCAATCCTTCCGTTGATGCGTACTGCGGTATGTTGAAGTATCGAAGCCTTGCTCGAAGATAATTTTCTCTCGGATCCAGTCGGTACGGTTGGCTTGCTCGAAGATTCTTTTCCCTCTCGTACAGCCGTCGGTGCATCTTGTTGTCTTTCCGGTTCACTAGAGCCCTTCGCTGCCTTTACGCCATTGTTTCTCAAGAGATGGAAATTCCTCGTGAACTTCTGAAATTCACCGTCGACATCCTCCTTGAACTCTTGAGATTCTTTTTCAAGGCGATCGCGGTTTAGTAGTTCGAATTGGAGTCGTTGTTCGAGTTCAACAAGCTCTGACTGAAGAGAAAGCAAGATATAGTTGTTCATGGCCCCAAACTTGCGAAACACGGCCATATCACCGTAAGTCATCAGATTTGCTAACCTTGGGTAGCAGCCATCCTTGAAACTCGCAAATGGTGCAACTGAGTCAGAGACTTCCGGCGCTGCACTGCCTGAGCTCTCCCCCATCTCAACGTCTTTTTGGGGAAGCATCGAGATTTCCGACCAACGAATTGTGATAGGTGGTTTGCAGGAAGTTATGATATTGAGAAAAGAAGCTGACAGATTACCCTTCTTATCCTCTGGGGGTTGGGTGCAGGGTGAGCTTCGACTACCAACGGGTCAAGGAAGCGCCTTGATTACTCGATTTCCGATATGACGCAAAGCTTAAATACACTTCTAGCGTGCCCCGCACGCCCAGACAGCCATCGAGATTGAGCAATGTGACACGGAGCCTTGTCTGGCAGTCATTGGTTGTAGACGTGATCCTCACTGATGGGCAGAGCCAAGAATTATCGTTCTTGATTTATTTCCGTACTTCATGTAACACAAGCCTGCCATGCCGCGTAGACACTTCTCCCATGACTGGTGACTACTAAAACTACGAGCAGGTGAGATATAGCCTTGGCTTGCAGTATTTTCAACTCTTGGCCATATAGCGATTGTCAACATAGTCTTGGCAAGTAATGCAGCTTATTTGCATATCTGAGAGGCATTTCCAATGTATAGGATCCTCCAATCAGCGAATCAGAGAAACTCGCAAGCGACGGTGCATGTGAAACTATGAGCAAACCCCGCTTTACACGTCCTGTTGTGTGATGATTAGACAGCTACTTGCAGGATGTTTGCGTCAAATGGGCCTCGAGTAGTTCTCGGAGGATTCAAACTTACGATCGGTCAATCAAACTATGTTCGGACTGTGAGTTCTTCTGCAATTAGAAAGGCCCAACAAAAGTCTTATAATGTGCGTATTGCAGGCATACGTCATTTCGCATTACAAGTTGCGTCTGACTTCTCTAAAGCGCGGATCAAGCGGGAAAAAAACTGTTATTGATATCTTATATAAGGCTACAAGGCATAGTAAAATTGTGTTCGTCTCTCGGCCTCGCATTCGTCCCCTATTCGTCTCCCTCCACTCTTCATCGTCCATATTCTTGTCGCTGTCCGCTTTTCATCATCCTTGCCGGTATCATCACACAAATTCAAGATGTCAGGCATTGAGTTTGTCGGCATCATTCTCGGTATGACATCGGCACTAGGTAGATTAATATCTGCCTTACAGGAAGAGCGTGGCAGTTGGCAAAAACATCATTCATACTCTCAAAAGCTTTCAGTATTGGCTGCACTACTTGACGAGGTCAACACAATTGTGACGAATGCAGATGCACCCCCCACAAAAACTGCAGAAATTTTTCTACACAGCTGCCAAAATGAACTGAAAGTCATTGAAGCGTGCTACACTGGAAGTAATTCTCACGAATCCGGAATATTTCCATCGACTCAACCTGGCCTGACCAGACCGTTTCTCCTCGATCAGCATGCGATCGACCAGGAGGTGTTGAGGGACTCCTTGGTCGGGTTTGAGAGTTCTGTAGCATTGCTGCACAACATTGTTTCCCGGTAAGCCCTTCGCAAGACCTTTTTAAATAATAAAGTCATTGACATCCTCAGCACTGAGATGCATCGACAGCTTTCTGACTTGCAAGCACAACACCAGCAAAATTCCTGGAGAATGGAATACCTGATTCGTGCTAGAGAGCATGATGAGAGCGGTAAGGGAGCTCAACCCGAATTTTCATCCAAAGAGGACCTTCCGGCGCCCGAAAAGTACTCCAACGACAAAACGCCTCTGAAGGTGACTGGTGGCATGTTGGACGGGTTCTTGGTAAACGATGCCTCGGCTTCAAGAATTGAAACCACATTGGAAAAGCTCAAGAACCTGAAAAGCGGACGATCAGAACAAGCCGACCTCGGACAAGCGATCTCATCATTGGAAAGAACCACTGGAATCCCTTCTTTCGTTCCTGTTAGGTTCCTTGTTGACACTGGATCAGACGTGAACATCGTTAGCCGGGATTTCATCAATCGAAACAACCTCAATGGTATGGTGAAACGTTCATCCCCAAAAGTAATCACTGGAGCTAGCAGAGATATGGTCGCGCAGTCTACATTCACGATAAAGTTTACCTGGCGCCACAAAGCGGATGCCAATCCGCGCACTGATGTCTTTCAAGTTCTTGAGAACAGTACGCACGATGCCGTTCTGGGTCGACCCTTTTGGAATGATATTGAATTGCACATAATGCGGGACATGTCTTTCTGGAGCGCTTCTGTTGAGAACCATCAAGTTAACTCGATCTTTTCAATCCCTTGGAGACCAAGATGTATGATCTGCATACCACTGTTCATTGTTCAAAGCTGATAGAGATGAAAAGCGACCAAAGAAAAAGAAGAACGTTGTGACAAGAGGTTTTGTGACAATGCCAAGAAGATGACTCTGTGTAATTTGGAGACAGGTACGTTCACAGCTACTATTGTACACAGTTCACCCGCAATAAAACCTCTAATGCAAGGGTCAGGATTGGTAATAAACATGCCTTTGGAAGAGACTTACGAACCGGAGCCTCTTCCACGAAAACCATCAAGATCGACAATCAATGATGAACCTCAGGTAGGCTGAAATCCCTGACAAATACTCTATACCCTGAGCTAAATGAATGATAGCGCGTACGCACGCCACGATCGACACCCTTACCGCCTAGTAGGGCATCATCAGAAGAAATCAGAGCGCCAGTAATAGAGCCGAAACTCAAGCTGGCGTCTCCTGAGAAAAATAGCGTTTCGCACGTAGTAGTTAGGCCGCAGATCACTCCCCAAAGCAGCGGCAGGCACGCTGAGGTGAAGAAAGTCAAGCTCCGGAAACGTTGGAGATTCAAGAGATCAAAGAGGTGAATGGCGCTCCACGAGTCGTGGTGATAGTCATGAAACTATTAGGTTGCACGGATGGATCTTTTGAATATGGGAAGCTCAATAGTGCAATGCTTGTTGAAGTAAGGTCACGTGATTCATGCTTCACGACTGTTTATATATTCGACCCTACCCTGTATGTTAGCATAGTATCAAGCAATCTACTCTTTTCTCATCATACTCCACGCTTCAGATCGATCTTCAGCAATGCTAACGGAACTGGATTCACCCCGAATTTGCAATACCCCTTCAGCAGACAGAGCATTCGTTTGAATCAACTTCTTCTGACAAATCAATACAACCATGTCTTATTATGTGCCTCCGTTCGCCTATACTGCCCCTTCAACGCTTCAATTCGTTCCGCATATGTATTTCGGCAAGGGGATGCACATAATGCTGACACGCCGAGAGACTCAAATTTAATGGCATACATGGGCTGCAAAATCCGAACTTCTTTTTGAAACCTCGTGTTTTCCTATCATCATTGCCGTATTTGTTGCTTGCGCTTTTTGCGACCCCCAGTAGTCCCGCACCTTCCACTCTAGATGCCGGCGTGGAAAACTTCACTGTCTGGATGAGGTGTGGGGAGAAAGCTGGCGGGACGTCCTGTGGCTACATTCGTTTCTTTTGGAGAGCAAAGACTGGCGTTATCTATTCCTGGATCTCTCGACGGTCTCAATTCGATTCGTGCTTGGCATTGCGCCAACTGTTGTACGTCTACTTCTTCTCTGACTGACTCGTGCAGCGGCGCTGCCCAGCCGTCGCTTAATATTGATTGAATGCAAGACGTGCAGCGTGTACGAATAGCTGGCGCGGCAACACGTGGGGTCCGGGAGGCCACGCGGTGTGGAAGCGAGGGCGACGAAGCGGTCGGGACAGCCGGAATGACGAATTGCCGCGAAGTGCGGCGAGGCGGGTGGCCTGATGCCCAAGACTGAGGCTCAGCATAAGAGCGGCTGGGTTGAGGTTGACCTGGAAGGGCCTGTTCATGTACAAGGAGGTCCGAGGATACCCCATTGAGAAGGCGCTAACCTTATTATTTCCTCACCCTGTAGATCCACAACCACCTCCACTTCCACCTCCACTATAGGTCTAATTCCTTCCTAACTGAGAGATATGTTGCAATGCATTCCTCGCTGACAGCCAATCACTTACGACGTTGAGTCGCTCGACCCATGGATAAGCTTCAAAAAGAGCCTGAGGAGGTGAAAGTGGATCTCCAGACGGATGGACTGGTGAGTACATAAAATTTAAATGGAAAGATAATTCTCGGGAGGGCTAGGTATTGTTGATGTTACTGACAAATTCACCGCATGTTAAAGGCCTACAGGAGTTGAGTGCTGGTCGCTGGTGTTTGTCTGGACTCCTGGATGGATCTGTACCTACTCATCTAGATTACAATGGCAAGTATCGTCGCCCAGCGCAAGTCCAAACCACGAATTGGGAACGAAGCCGACGGCAGAAGTGGAGTCCCCGCGGGGCGAGCCTGCTACTAACGTGATTTTCTTGAGTCGCGCACACGGCAGACCGTGCGTAGCGAGCGCTGTGCCGCAGTGGAGCTGTAGATAGACGATTCATGTCAATGTTTCAATATCCCGTGCAAGAGGTTGCTGAAATCCCTTAAAAGGGTCGACAGTCGTCAAGGTGCAGCTTGTCTGGCTTGCGAGTGCATCCGTCACCATGGCTCTCAGTCCGGTTCTGACGGCGGTCATCGTCGCCTTCCTCTCGTGGGGCGTGTATAAGCTGCTCCAGATTGGGAAGAGAGACCCCAGGCTGCCCCCTGGGCCTCCCACCTTGCCCGTTCTTGGGAACATCCACCAGATACCCCTCACTGGCCTCTACAAGAAGTACGTCTGGCAACTACTGTCCACTCTACAGGCCAAGCTAATTGAAGCAGACTGAAAGAATGGGGTGACCAGTATGGTGATGTCTACTCGATCAAGATTGCCAACGACACGATGATTGTCCTGTACGACCGCAAGGCCATCCATGACCTGCTGGACAAGAAAAGTGCCATCTACTCGGACCGTCCGCCTAACTATGTCGCCGATCTCGTCACCAACGGCGACAGCATCGCCTTCATGAACTACGACAACCCCGCGTGGCGTGCCCAGCGGAAGATATCCTCGCACAACCTTTCGGTGTGGTCTCCTGAATAACTTCATGTTGCCTATATATTGACCTTTTCGCAGCCTCGTGCCCTCGATGAGAAGGTGGCTCCGATCCAGGAGGCGGAAACGGCCATCTTCATGAACGACCTGCTGCGCGACCCCTCCGGCTTTTACAACCACGTGAAGCGTACTACTGCTTCTACTGCTAACATCGTCGTGTGGGGTCACCGCGGCCCGACCTATGACGACTTTTGGGGCAGCGTAAGTCTCCAACCACCAAATAATCTCTTCAAGGCTAACCATGTTCCAGTGCGTGTACAAGGCCCTGGAAAAGTACTCTGAAGCGCTCGAGCCGGGCGCCAACCCGCCGTGCGACCAGATCCCGTTCCTCAAATACATTCCCGACCGGTTCGCGCCGTGGAAGCGTCGGGCCAAGCTGTCGTACACGGCCATGGACAACGTGTGGCGCGAAGCTCGCCGCCGTGCGGAAGAGCGGCGCGCCAAGGGCGTCAAGCGGCCGTCCATCTTCGACCGCATGGAAGACGAGGACATCAAGTCGGACGTGCCCCTCACGCAGCACCAGGTAAACCACTTCCTGGGCGTGCTGGTCGAGGGTGCCGCCGACACGACGGCCGGCTCGATGCTGACGTCCATCATGTTGCTCACGCTGCACCCGGAGGTGCAGAAGAAGGCGCAGGCGCAGCTGGACGAGGTCTGCGGCGTGGACCGTGTGCCGTCGTGGGCCGACTTCGACAAGCTGCAGTACATCAACGGCATCGTCAAGGAGGGGACGCGCTGGAAGAGTGTGTAAGTTGACCCATTTCCCTACCCGGCGATGTGAGAGAGATGACTGACGTATTCACAGGCTCCCCCTGGGCGTGCCGCACTCGGTCACGCAAGACGACTACTACGAGGGCATGCTGATCCCCAAGGGCGCCACGATCGTCATGCCCGTCTGGGGCGTGCACCACAACGAGAAGCAGGGCTTCAGCAATCCCGAGACGTACGATCCCGGCCGCTGGGCCGAGCACACGCGGCCCGCGTCGGAGCTGGCGGGTCTGGCCGACTTCACGCGCCGCGACCACTACAGCTACGGCTCCGGCCGCCGCATCTGCCCGGGTATGCACCTCGCCGAGCGCACCATGTTCCGCATGACGGCCAAGATGCTGTGGGCCTTCGACATCGTCCCCGCCACCGATCCGGCCACCGGCGAGCCCATCGCGCTCGACACGGAGGACTACGAGGACGGCATCATTACCTATCCCAAGCCGTACAAGGTCGAGTTCCGCCCCAGGAGCGAGGCGCACATGGAGACGATCAAGAGGGAGGCCAAGACTGCCCAGGAGTTCCTCTCGCAGTATGCGTGAAAGCGTGGTGGAGAGGCGTCTGCCGGTGGGGAGAGGTGGGGTGTTCGGTTTTTTTGCAGAAGAGCACAGCATACTGTAATGACATTGCGTTCATCACGCCGCCGTATCTGTGAAACTCAAAACCCCCGTTTTATCTCCGGGCCTATCGCACTACTTACGGCGTATTCGTGTACCCAGAGCCCCGCCCCTATTCCTTCGACGGGCCGCCGACGGTCAAAACGTTCCCGTTGAAGAAAACGCTCCCGTTGGAGAAAGCGTTCCCGCTAGAGCACAGATTCAATACCGGTAGGCAAACACCCTGACTACTAATAATACGTGCTTCGATTGGTGGGGGCAATCTGGCTGAGTCACACCGAATCTTGCCGCGGATGCCGGTAGCTTGCGCTAAGAGGTTCGTTCATGCGGCAGCGAGTCAGTCCGCTCTGAACAAGAACCACGGCCCGGATAGACTGCTCGCCTTACTAGGGATCGGACCGGAGAGTTTGCCTCACTTAAGTCCGCGTACTCGTGTTCGGCCGAGTGTCTCAGGCCTCGATGCTGTTGCCACGATCACGATAGGGATTCCAGAGTTGAGAAGCACCATTGTACTTGAATACGGACGGGAGATGGCCGTTGAAGCAAATCCCAACGCAGTCCGTGCGCCGCGATCGCACCAACACCCGCCACAGCCATCCACGTGCCATCCGAGGCTGATCGGGCGGCAACTGGAAACTGCCGGGATTTCGCACCGTTCGTGTTCTCGCACGCGTCAGAAGCCGATCGGGCTGCGTCTTGCTAGCTGCAAAGGGACCTGCAACGCGGATCCCCACGTTTTTTGCCCTACGGCCTGGGCCCACTCCCCTCCTTTAACTTTTCTCCTAGTGCCTGTCGTTACGAACATGCGCAGAAGAGACTGTCTCTTCACCTCACGATGCTCTACGATGCCAGCAAGTCGGTGGCAACGTGTGTGCTCATCCTGATACCGCCGGCATACATCACCCTCGTCCTGCGCTGCGGCGTGCGCATCCACAGGAAGGCATGGGGCGTCGATGACACCTGCATGATAATCTCCGCGGTACGTTCGGTCCCTTTCTCGCGTCTGACGCCGGCAGCTAATTCCCCGTAGCCATTCTTCGCGTGGCTGTCGGCATCCGTCCTCACTGGCGCGTTGAATGGCTTAGGAGCCAAGGACAACCACTTGTTCGGAGGCCAGGACCAGTACACGACAGTACTCAAGGTAGGCAGAGGCTCGAAGCCATGCCGGGCCCACTGACTGACGACATGGCAGAACTATTTCATGTTCATGCTGTCCTACTGCTGCGGCGTCTTCTTCCTCAAACTCAGCATCGCCCTGACTCTGATGCGTATCACCGCCGGTCGGCCCGCCTACATATGGACCATCCGGGTGACCATCCTCGTCTTCACGGCCACCATCTTCATGGTCTTCTTCTACGTCCTAGTCCAATGTAAACCCATCGAGTACGGCGCCATCTCCATCATCCCCCCGCCCACCACAACCTCAGAAAGCTAGCTGTGCTCACCACGTTTTAATCACAGATACTCGTGGGACAAGAGCATCCCCGGCGGCCACTGCAAAGACAAGCGCATCCTCACCGGCCTGAGCTTCGGCATCTCGGCCGGCAACATCGTGACCGACTGGACGTGCGCGCTGCTGCCCATCCCGCTGCTGTGGAACCTCGAGATGCACCGCAACTCCAAGATCGCGGCGGGCGTGCTGCTGTCGTTCGGCATCTTCGCCAGCATCTGCGCCCTCATCCGCCTCAAGTACACCATCGCCCTCAACGAGGACGTCGACTTCCTCTACCACGCGTCTTTCGTCGTCATGTGGGCCTACGCCGAGGCTGGCGTCGGCTTCTCGGCTGCGAACTGTAGTGTGAGTTGCGGCCCCCACCCTTACCTACCCCCAACTCCCCCCCTTCTCGTTCCGCATACAGCAGACGACTGACTCTCTGAGGTGGATACAGACCCTCCGCCCCATCTTCACCCGCATCTTCCGGCTCGGCAGCAGCCGCGGGAAATCCGACGACACGGACTCGCGCGAATACGGCTGCTGTCCGACGGCCCTCAAGAGCCGCCGCTCCGGCATCGAGCTGGGCGACGCCGACGCCTCCGAAGCCATCATCGTGCACCCCGCCACGCGCGCCGGATACGGAGTGAAGACGACCGTCACAGCAGGGGGAGACCCGGATGACTTGTTGGAGCGGGAACGGTTGGGACGAGGGGGGGCGGGGGGTGGTAGTGGTGGTACTGCGGAGGATGTTGGCAGCTTTGAGGATGACGCGAGTCAGCGCGAGATTTTGAGGGAGGATCGGATTAGTACGACGTATAGGAAAAAGTAGGGGTGGGGGTGGGGTGAGGGGGGAAGTGGGAGGGAGGGATATATGTTTCACGACGTTACGATTTCCTGCGCTGGGACGGAGGCTGTCGGCGTGCATGCACGGTGGTTTCGCGGCTGAAGGCTAACGTGAAATTTACTTTCGTTTGTATTTTAGGTGTTTAAAGCTATCATCCGGACGTGGATGTGTAATTACTAATTCTGCATTTGTATCTGGACAATAGCTTTAACGCTTATAGTACGGTCTATAAGGCTGACTACTCTATTCGGCATGGCGTTACTTAACTAACACAGTCCGTGATTTAGTATTTTCTACCACCCTTATCGCCGCTAACGCATTGGAGATCCTAGTCTGCCAACTTGGTCTACCCTGATCTCAGCTGTCGTCATTGCAGCAGCCGGAGCTCATGAAGCCGCCAACGAACTCCTGTACACCATTTACAACGCGTGGCCAAAATGCGTGTCGGCTTTGAAAAGTCCTCGGTATGGTTGGAAAAACGTTTACAGCAAATACTAGAAAACGCCATACTTTCCCAGGTGTGTGGTCCCAGCTGCTTCCGGGTGCGATTAAGCCGCGGCTAGTCGGTATTACGGCAGTGGGGCTCCTACAACAATCATGTGTAGACCTCAAAGCTGCAGAAGGGCCTGCTGCCTAAATTGTGGACCGTGACGAACAAACGTGGTTTAAGTTCGCGAGTATTTAGGCAACCGTGACATATATGGGGCAGCTGGGATGGGTCGGGCCGCAGCGCCAGCGAATCACTACGTATTCAAGAGATGAATAGCGGCCCAGTAAACGCAGATACTATCGGAAATACACGTGTCTTTGTTTCTTTGGTATTGATAATCTAACCCCACTACCTTTATTGTACTATCCAGCATTCTTGCTAGTCATCAAATCATCTATTTAGGAAATTCCCGGCGTAAATCAGCCTTTCGAGCTCTTTCTAGCAAACTGCGGAGCTTGTGAGACCATATTTACTGGGGAAAATGGGCTGATTCCCTGCTGATCAACGTTGGTTTCACTCACGAGTAATCATCAGTTTCGGCCCGGCAGATATTTAATCTCTTAATTGTAGTACTCGCAAGAGGCTTTTGATCATTTCAAATCTCTGAAGCACTCTTCTACTCATTTGAAGCCCTTTCAACGTATTCATGGATCGCGTTTCCAGGGAAAGTGGCAGAGATGAGTCACGATGGAATTTTCTTTGCAACGCGCTCTGCTGCCTAACTAGAAAATCCTCTGTTCCTCCCACCGATAACAAAAAATACCCACAAGAAAGTGCAGCAGATCCTCCAATCGATGACAAAAAAGATCCCCAACAAAGCTCAGCAGATCCTCCCATCGCTGACGACAAAGATCCCCAAGAAGGCTCTACAGATCTAAATACAAAGGACTGCCCATTCTGCTCTTGTCTGATCGAGGTCGGCCCCAAAAAGTTGAATACGACCGAAATTCAACGATTAGTCTTCCATGACAAATGTCAGTCTTGCTCTTCGCCAGATGGAGCACAAATTCCCCTTTGTGACTTCTGCAAGCATCTCCGTTTGGGACATCTGGTACAATGCATCCGGAAAACCTCAGGATTGTCATCTATTTCTATAGATCTAGATCCGATTGCTCGAGCTCTGAGCAGAACAGAGTGTGATCTGTGCGACTTCCTAACCAACGCCACGGGTCTTCCGCAAATTGGTCCATCCGAGGTCGAAATTATTCCGGCAACATCTGCTACCCTTGTGATTGACGGCTCGGCCCGGACGGAAATTAAGGGCCGTAGAGGCAGCCCAATGCGCGAGTTTTCTGTCCATCTCAGGGTCAACCATCGTCTAGGTACTCAAGCATTGCACGAATAATTTTCCTCCGGTATGCTAATTTGCTGATAGGCACACCCACAGATTTTGTTCAGTGGGACGCCATCCACGGCTACCTGTCAGAATGCAAGAGGTCTCACAATCCATTGTGTGAAATCCATTCAAGGCCAACTTTTCCACCAGGTTTTCACGTCATCGATGTCAACAAGAGATGTATTATAGAAAGAAAAGATTTCTGTGAGTATATGGCGCTCAGTTATGTCTGGGGAAGCCGTTCAGACTCGGCATGCTACGTGGAACAAGCTACGCGCGACAACATCGAAAGCTTGAAAGTCCCTGGGGGCCTCACCCAACTACCGGACACTATTGAAGACGCAATTGTAATATGTCAAAATCTTGGCATTAAGTACCTTTGGGCCGACAGATACTGCATTGTTCAGGATAATGCGATCCACAAACATGCCCAGATTGGTGCAATGGCCGACATTTACTCGTCATCCATTATCACAGCCATTGCTTGCTCAGGAACGGATGGTGTAGAGTCTGGGATTCCAGGAGTCCGCAGAAAACGACAGTGGAAGAGACGCAGTATCAACATTCAAGGAGTTCTTTTCAGCTCTCCAATGCCGCATCTGGATCAGATCGTCCCGGGATCGATATGGAACACTCGAGGCTGGACATACCAAGAAGCGATCCTTTCTAGACGAAAGTTGCTCATGACTCCAACAGAAGTATGGTTCCAGTGTAGGAAGGATCGTACTTATCGAGAACATGGTCCTGATCCCGACATCACCAGGTGGGAGGCTCAACTTCGAGACGCGCCAGCCTCTGCTGATCAGGATTACTCGGGTTTCGTGGACTATATTACAAAGGTTATAGAGTACACGAGGCGAAAGCTCGGTTACGCGTCAGACATCTACAACGCTTTTGATGGAATTGCACAAGCTCTCTATGCACGGGATGACGGTTTTCATTTTGGACTTCCGGAACCCCACTTTGACGCGGCGCTTCTCTGGTACTGCGGATGCCGATGGACTGGCTCTCATAGCAGGTGCCTACGAACCTGTGCGGAAACTACTCCTAGCTGGTCTTGGGGATCGGTCACTTGCCCCATAATGTATGATGACTCGTTCTGCATGAGTCTCGTCAAATGGGTCCTTTACAAAGGTCAAGCTGCCGATATGAGTCTTCAGAGTGCAAATCCAGAGGCCTACGGCACACGCAGCATCGAGCTCAAAGCAACGGGGGAAACGGTGAGCTGGAATAGATCAAGGCTTAGGTTAAGTGAATGCCCACAGCTTCTTGTCGCTCTTGCAATAAACGAAGGATGCATAAAAGCCGGCAAAGAGTTCTTATCAGAGCATGAAAGCTTTTCTTCTCTGAGGAAACATTTCACTCGCCAATGGCCAACGTATACGGACGTTTATAAAGAGGTGCGGCAAGTTGAGACCCTTCAATCATCTGGGCCCAACGGCGTTCTATTCACAAACGCTCAATCTGCGATTTTCAACATTCGGTCCGGATGGATTCAAAACGCCAATGGGATGGTAATTGGTGGTATGTACCAGGTGGAGCTTGACAACAAAATAGTACACGAGCAACGCGGCGACATCGGGGGAGACAGCGACTACAGGGAATGCAGCAACTACGAAGAGTGCCGCAACGATGAGGAGTGCTGTGTCGAGGGCATTGCTCTTTCAATATCAGGGGAATGCCGCAGTGTAGGCTTTGATGGGCTGGACAACTCGACACACCGCGATATGACATATTTCGACTGCAATGACAAGCCTCTCACTCCAATGCCGAGGGTGAATGTCATGTTTATCAGTTGGGAAGACGGTTACGCCAAGCGCATCGGTCTTGGCTGGATGGCTTTGAAGCAATGGAGCTCATTCAACTGGACACTCAAAGACATATGGCTGAAGTAGCCACAACCTGCAACGGTCTGGTACCTTACCGGGTTTGTTGAATTCCCTTTCAGTCACTGTGGCTGCATTCGCACTTGCTCTCTTACTGCTGTCCAAATATGTATTATTTTGCAGATACTCTGAAGTATTTCCATCTCCGCTCTTTCATTTTTGTGTCTTCTTTTCTTCTTTGCAGCAAATAAAAAGATTCATTTTATGGTGAACTTAGCTGTCTGTAAATGTGAGCCGTGAAATGATGCCGCACATGACCAGTGATAAGCAATTCATCGCTGCTAGAATGATGTGGGAACAGTAGGCTGACACGGAGTCGCTTTACTCTGGAAGCAAAATAGAGTTAGGCCTCGTGTCTGCATGCATTTATCTATATCTTAAGAGCCCATTCACATTTGGGATAAATGTTTCGGTTGCACCTCTACTGCAGCGCTTATAAAGCCGAGCCGATAGCTCTACTGTCATATACGAACAGTCTCTTGAATCTGCGTTTCGCTGATTATCCCCGCAACCTACCCCGCTGATCTCGCTATGTGAAATCAACGTCCAAGAACAACACATTATTATACGTGTCCCCAAACGCTCCAAACCCTCCCCCAGCCGCCCCTTCTCCCAGCACATCCCCAAAGAATGCGCCCAACGTATCTTCCACGTCCATCCTCTCAACCCCGCCATACTCACCCCCAACCCCTCCGCCCCCTCCACCATCCCGCTGCCCGACCATCGCCTCCCTCATCATCTCCTCCATCCCTAGCGGCGGCGCCATGAACTCCACCCCTCCTCTGTCATCACACCCATCCCCATCCACCAAGATCCCACACTCCCGCATCTGCACCTCCAGCTCCGGCAGCGCCCGCGCCGTCCAGCCCACCGGCTCCATCGCCCGCATGATGGCCAGCGCCTCGTGTATCCGCTGCTTCCAGTCGTTCTCTGCGGCCGCCGACGACGTCGACGCCGTCGTGTGCACGTCCGACTGCTGCTGCTGTTGCGGCGGCGGTGCTGCTCCTCCCGCCCCGCCACCGCTGCAGTAATCGCAGGGCGGCATCTCAGAAAACGGCGAGGACTGGTCGCTGCCGTCTGCCTCCCGTTCCTCCAACAACATCGCCAACCGGAACACCTGGACCAGCTCGAGCAGATTAGAGCAGTCGAAGTTGACCAGGCTGCTCAGTGAGCCCGAGGCCGTCTCGCCGCCCGCCCCTCCCACCATCATCGTCATCATGATCTCCAACCCGCTCCGCGCCGCCGCCGTGCACGTGTCTGCCATCTCGGCGAAGAGCCGTCGTTTACTCCCAGTCGCGCTACCGCAGCACTTCTTCTCCCCCTTCTCCCCCTTCTCCTCCACTCCGTCTCCACCAAGGCAGCCGAGTCCCGCGGTAGAAGACGTACGACCGTACGCCTCCGGCTGGTCGCCCGCAGCGCGCTGGCTCCCCCGCCTTCCCCGCCACTTCCTCAACAACGCGCGGTACAGCAAAAACGGCCGCGTGACGAGCACGACGTTGGCCCAGTACTGCAAATGCAGGATGCCTACCGCGCGGCGGTGGGCGGGGGCGGTGTGGGAGAGGGCGGAGAGGTGCGCGGGGAGGGAGGCGTGCCAGGAGTTCAGGGCGGCGAGGAGGGTGCGGATGGTGGAGGTGGAGATGGTGGGGTTGCTGCTCGACGAGGAGGAGGAGGAGGAGGAGGAGGATGAGGGGTTGTTCTGGCGGTGCTGATGTAGCGTCGAGCGGATGCGCCGCGAGATGGTGCAGAGGCTGGAGGCGGCGGCGAGGTAGTTGGGGGGCGTGTTGGGGCCGGGGCTGAGGATCTGTGATAGACGTAGTTAGTCAACCAGCGAATTGATCTCTGTGGTGTAGTAATGGGGAATGGGATGCAGTGATAATTGGGAAAAGGAGGGCAACACATACCTGCTCGGACGGCATCTGCACCTGAATGTCGTGCACCTCCTCAACCACGGCGCACGGGTTGCCGTACCGGTGCGCGATCTCGTAGTCCAGCAGGTACAGCGTCCACCAGATGCGCCGGTTCTGCTCGCGCTCGAGCCGGCCCCGCGACGGCGGCGCCGCCTTCTCGACGTGCATGCCGAGCGAGTACGCCGTGCGGACAGCCGTGCCGATATACAGATACGCGGCGTTGGTGTAGCACTCGATTTGGAGCGCGAGAGCCTGAAAGAAAACTGTTAGCCGCGGAACATCGAAGGACTGGTTCCCCAGTCGAAAAGGAGTGGGTCATACAAGCAGACTCAGCGCCCTGATGCTATCCACATCCGCCTCGTCGACGACCTGCGGCACCAGCGCCTTCGCCATGACGAGATACTCCGGCGACGTCTTCTGTCCATGGGACGGACCTTCAACGGCACCACCCGCGCTCCCGATGGCGAAGACGCAATACAGGCAACACAGCCACGACGCGCTGGCGAGCACGCCGCCGGTCAGGTACGTCTCGTGCACGCGCTCGTGGAACTGCTCGGTCGAGAAGAGCCAGTAGAGGCAGTGGACTTCGTCGAAGTAGCGCTGCACGCACGCCGACGCATGTTCGAGCGGTGGCAGATAGATGGGCTGGTGGTGGCACGCGGTGCCACTGCAGGCATCGCTGCCGGGGTTCACGCCGATGGAGCTCTCGGGGGTTGCTGGGGGGAGGCTGGTTGTTGAGAGGGGCTGGATGATGATGGGTTGGGTGGGTTTGTTGTTGTTGTCCTCGTCGTCGTCGTGGTGTTCGGTTTTGATCATGCGGATTGCGGCGTTGAAGCCGATGGAGGAGTCGGTGCCGACGTGTCCTGTTTTTGTCACAATGCGTGGACGCTTAGAATTGTTGCACTTCACATACAACGGGTGGATAGGGAGTGGGCTGGGCTGAGAGGGGGAAACTTGCTGTAGTTTCCGCGCGAGTCAATCATCAAACACCCCAGCTGCTCCTGCAGCGCCTGAATCTCTTGGATCCCGCTATTCGAGCCCTCATCCTCATCTCCACCGTCCTCCTTGCAGCAATCACCCCACTGAGGACTACATGCAGCGTCCTGACCGGCTGGCGTGCTGGGGGTGTCGCCCTGGTGGCTGTCTGAATTGCCGTCAGTGGCGGGAGTTGGCCCCCCGTTCAGACCATCGAGTCGTGCGCAGAGGGCCTTGAGCGCAGGAAGGTTGAACTCCAGATCCGGGAGGTAGTGCCGTAGGATCTCGGTCATGCACCGGTACTCTTCTTCCGACACGTGGTAGTACGGCCGCTTTTTGCGCCGGTTGAGGTCTGTCTTGCATGGCGCATTGATGCTCGCGCAGTAGTGGCATGGGCCGGGGACTGCAGAGGAGTGTGAGTGGGAATGTTTCTGAGTGGTTGACAGGGAGGGAAAAGATCATGTACCTGGATCGACGCACTGCACGTTGGTGTTGCTGTGTCAGTGGACTGTGACCTGTGAGGAGCTGCGGCGGAGCTCACCGTACCTTCGTTTTGCGGTTCTTGCAGCGGTCACAGCTCACGGCCGTGCGCTTCTTCCGCACGTTCTGCCTGTTGCTCTTGGAGGGCGGCAGGGCTGGTTCGGAGCCGTGTTGTGCAGTCGGCATGGCGGCAGATGCGATGCTTCCGAGGGGGAAGGAGGTGGGAAAAAGGGAGATTGCGAGGTATCGAGAGGTTGATAATGCGGGGAAACTTATGCAGGGGTCGTGTGTTGATCCGCGGCACTGACCAGCTCATCCGCCCTTCCGCCTCTTGCAATTGGAGTGTTTTGAAACCTGATTTTGCTTTTTCGTGTTTCAGAATAAATTATGAGAGTATCGTATGTCAGTGTCAACTCAATTAACGGCTGCGCATGGGCAACCTTCTTTTTCCAAGCTCAGCGGGATCGCCGTCAGTAGTAGTATCTCCGGTAAGCTTTCGTAGATGAGTATACAGTTGTGCACTGCGGCTGATCCCTGCTCGAACATGCCGGCGGTAGCCTCCAACCATCTAACCATCGGAAAAGGGACGACGATAGCATGGAAGTCTCTCCTGCTTGCAAATCAAAAAGCACCATTTCGTCAACGGCGTGCGCACGGCATGTTGATCAACACACGGCAGATCTGCAGGGTAAAATGCGGGGGTGGGGCAGCGGTTATCGCTACGGACCCCAGACGCCAGTCGTCGGCATCATCCTCCCGAGCACATTTCCCCAAGCTTCACTGCACAGCAACAACCCGCACCCTGAGCGGGGAATGACTCGACCCCATCGCCATTTGCCAGCCGACACCATGCCCGGCATAAAGCGGCTCGGACCCCCGGCCAACGGGCCCCCTCTCAGCAACGGGCCGTCCCTGACAAATTATTTCCAATCATGGCCGCCGAAGATCAAGTAGCGAAGCTGCAAGAGCAGGTCAACGACCTCACCAAGCGGCTGAACAAGGTTCAAGGTACATTCTATCCGCCCGCACACCTCACCCAGCCCAAATGCCACGAGACGCTAACACACGCCACAACCGCACAGACGAAGCCGAAGTCCGCAAGCTCCACCACAAATACGGCTACTACCTCGACAAGTGCCTCTACAAGCAAGTCGTCGACCTCTTCGCCGACCACCCAGACACCATCGTCGAGTTCCTCGGCGGCCGCTACCGCGGCAAAGCCGGCGTGCGGCGCCTGTACACGGGGCGCTTCCAGACCAACTTCGTCGCCGGGCGCAACGGGCCCGTGCACGGCTTCCTGCTCGACCACGCCATGATGCAGGACATCATCGACGTGTCGCCGTCGGGCGACCACGCGTGGGGCCGGTGGCGCGCGCTGATGAGCGCGGGCGTGCACAAGTCCGTGGCGGACGCGCATCCGCGGGGGTACAACGCGGCGGGGCAGCCGCGGCAGTGGTGGGAGGGCGGCGTGTACGAGAATGAGTATATTAAGGAGGATGGCGTGTGGAAGATTTGGAAGTATAGGTACTTTGCGTTTTGGCACGGCGAGCATCAGGATGGCTGGGCGCTGACGAAGCCGAATTACGTGCCGTTTGCGGAGAAGACGGTTGAGGAGGATCCGCTGGGCCCGGATGAGTTGGTTGAGCAGAAGTTGTTGTGGCCAGATACGAGGTGTATTCCGTTTCATTATCCGCATCCGGTGACGGGGGTGCAGGTTGAGGAGGATGATTTGAGGGCGCCTGAGTTTGGGAAGGATGTGAGTACGTCGGAGCCGGCGTTGACGTTGAAGGATCGTTAGAGTTTGATGGTAGATCAGAACTGGGGTGAGAGTTACTTTAGTTTCAAGTATACAGATTTGAATGATGGAAGAGAAAGGCTCAGTTGAGCCTCAAACCCCACGTATAGTGCAAACGAGAAGTGTTGCGCCGCATACTCCATCTCCATGTACTCCACAGTGCGGAGCTCGATGGTAAAGGCAAACCACTATACGCCAGTCCTCCACCCTTCAGCCTCGGGTTCATCCAACCGAGCAAGCCCGCCTTGAAACAAAGATATAACCGCCAACACCAACTGAACCTACCTGCCAACCCCCCACCCATAATCGACCCCCAACAACCCAACATGCGCGGCACCATCGCAATCGAAGAAGCCGTCATCCCACCCTCCCAACACCACACCCTCGCCCAATGGCAGCCCATCCTCGCCCCAGGCTCCGACGTGGCCGCCGGCGTGGCCGCCCACGGCGCGCGCCTGTCCGACATCCACGACAAGCGCTTGCAGACTATGGACGCCGAGGGCGTCGAGTACATGCTGCTCAGCCTGACCAGCCCGGGCGCGCAGGGCGAGCACGTGCAGGAGCAGGCGGAGAAGGTGGCGCGGGAGGCGAACGATTGGCTTGCGGCTGAGGTGGAGAAGAATCCGAAGCGCTTTGGAGCCCTGGCGGCTGTCTCGATGCACGATCCTGCGCAGGCGGCGGGGGAGCTGAGGAGGTGCGTGAAGGAGCTGGGGATGTTTGGGGGGTTGGTGAATGATTGGCAGTCGATTGGTGAGGATGGGGCGGGGAGGAAGTACTACGATACCGAGGAATATGACGTCTTTTGGGGGACGGTGCAGGAGTTGGATGTTCCGATTTACTTCCATCCGAGGTACCCGCCGCTGGAGGAGTTGAAGACCGGCCAAGGTGTCAGCGGAGCGTACAAGGGGAGAAGTCAGATGCTCGGTGCTGGGTGTAGCTTTCATCTGGACTTGAGTTGGCATATTTATGCTGTTTGTTCGAGCGGTGAGTTTAGAAATCCCCCCGAGATTGACAGATAGATGCTTATTCTGCCAAGGCATCTTCGACAGATTTCCCAAGATCCAGATCATCGCCGGCCACTTGGGCGAAAAGTGAGTCTTTACAAGTTCGATATGTTAGAATGTTGCCTGGCTAACACTGGGGTTTGAAGCATCCCGTTCAATCTGTGGCGTGCGGACCACTGGCTTAACAAACCGCAAAAGCGAAAGACACGACCATCAAAAGAGGACTACACGTACTACTTCAAGCACAATGTGCACATCACGACCTCTGGAAACTTCAACACCGCCGGTCTCAAGTTTTGCATCCGTGAAATTGGCCTGGAGAGGTGTCTTTACGCTATCGGTAAGAGTATTTGATTTCACTGATTCTGCGCCATCTGACCACTTGTAGATACACCCTACGATACCATTGAAGAAGGACAAGCCTGGTGGAAGACGATTGATCTGGAGGATAGTGAGAAGGAGGCAGTTGGAAGGAGAAATGCTATCAAGCTTTTCAAGCTGCCACTGGAAGAGTAATGTCCTGAATAGAAAATTCAACTCTCGAAAGCCTTGCATAGACCATGAATTTGCTGTGAAGATAGGCTTTTCGCGCCTCGTGTCCCTTGTGCAGAGCCGCAGATCAAGCTTTCGAGATTCAGCGGGAGGAAGCGAGAGCCTGCAACCTTAGCAAATGCCGAACCTGACTTGCCGAGAATTGCCTTTTAGATCCGAAGATGAGGTCAGATGAGCAAGGTAGACCCCTGTTCGTTGAGAATGGAGGGGCATCTTTTACTGTGGGGTAAACCTTCCTACGTCCCTATCCCCGCACTCGGGACAATCCACCCGAGCAATCGCGTTCTATTCCGATGATTCTTCTGGAGCTGCGCTTTTATGTGCATGATGATGCTGTGTAATTTGGAATGTCCTGTAAACCACTGGCTAGAGGACGACAACTATGGCGCATATCCACGAAATTGCCGGGGAGGTGGAGAAACGCACCTACGTCAACGGTGTGAAAGTCGGGGAAGAGGTCAAGTTCCCAGAAACAGTAGCTTTCAGCGGCTTCAACAAACCCTCGCGCTTTGAAGGCGACATCTTTGAGCTTGAATTCGAGGGAGAGATCCCCAAGGATATCGATGGCACCTTCTACCGCATCCAACCGGATCATCAGTTCCCACCACTATTTGAAGACGACATCCACTTCAACGGAGACGGCGCCGTGACAGCCATTCGGATCCAAAATGGCCATGCGCACTTCAAACACCGTTATGTGCGGACGGACCGCTTCAACCACGAAAGAGCAGCACAGAAGAGCCTATTCGGGCGCTACCGCAACAAATTCACCGACAACGAGAGCGTCAAAGGCGTCATCCGCACCGCCTCCAACACCAACATCGTCTTCTGGCGGGGCGTCCTGCTCGCCACCAAGGAAGACGGGCCCCCCTTCGCCATGGACCCGGTCACGCTGGAAACCATCGGCCGCTACGACTTCGACGGGCAGGTGCTCTCGCCGACCTTCACCGCGCACCCGAAGTTCGACCCGGACACGGGCGAGATGGTGTGCTTCGGCTACGAGGCCGGCGGCGACGGCAACGACGGCTCGTGCGACATCGTCGTCTACACCATCGACAAGGACGGCAAGAAGACGGAGGAGTGCTGGTACAAGGCCCCCTTCTGCGGCATGATCCACGACTGCGGCCTCAGCGAGAACTACGTCGTCCTCCCCATGACGCCGATGAAGTGCTCGCTCGACCGCCTCAAGCGCGGCGGCAACCACTGGGCCTGGGACCCCGACGAGGACCAGCTGTACGGCATCGTCCCGCGCCGCGGCGGGAAGCCTGAGGACATCATCTGGCTCAGAGCCGACAACGGTATTTCTCCCTCATCCCCCTCCCTCCCCCCTCCCCCCCGGCGCGCTTGCTGACAACCAGAAGCCTTCCACGGCCACGTCGCCGGCTGCTACGAAGACGCCTCGGGCCGCATCGTCTTCGACCTCACCGTCGCCGACGGCAACGTCTTCTTCTTCTTCCCCCCCGACAACGTCGACCCCTCCACGCACAACCTCGCCAAACGCAACAAGCTCTCCAGCCCCACCTACCGCTGGCTCTTCGACCCTAAAACCCAAAAGTCCGGCGACCGCGTCACCCCCGCGTCCATCTTCCCCATCAACGGCGAGTTCTCGCGCATCGACGACCGCCGCGTCACGAAGCCGTACAACCACTTCTGGCAGGCGCAAGTCGACGGGTCGCGCTTCTACGACGCGGCGAAATGTGGGCCGCCGGCGGGCGGGTTGTTTAATGTGTTGGGCCATTTTACGTGGGAGGGGCGGACGCAGGATACGGTGTGGGCGGGGCCGACGGCGACGTGGCAGGAGCCGGCGTTTATTCCGAGGAGAGGGAGTACTGTGGAGGGGGATGGGTACCTCGTTGCGTTGAAGAATCATCTCGATGTGTTGAGGAATGATGTGGTGATTTTGGATGCGAAGGATCTGGCGAAGGGGCCGGTGGCGGTGATAAAGCTGCCGTTTAAGTTGAAGTTGGGGTTGCATGGGAATTGGGTTGATGGGAGGGAGTTGGAGGAGTGGGGGGAGAGAAGGAAGGTGGGAGGCAGTGTGGGGCCCGCGAAGGCGGCGGAGAGGCCGTTGCCGTGGCAGGTGAGGTTGATGGAAGATCGTGGGGTCAATGGACAAGGAATGAGGGAATAGAGAACGCGGCGATGGATAGTTCAAATCTGAGGAATCATGGTGACGAAGATGTGTCGGTACGTACAGCTACCAAATCAGATGATATTAAAAATTGTCTCTTCGAATGTTCCGCTTTCCCACATTTCAACCGCCTCGCCTTGCATGATACCGGGAATCCTACACGGGCCACACAATTGGTAAAGACTCTCGCTAGCAGACGGTAGTTTCCGGGCAACGAAAGGAGTATGAGCCCCAAAGAAAATACAGACATCATCTCCTGGTAGAGTAGCTTCCGGCCCCAGACCTATCCAACCGCGTGATGTGACGAAAATGCGGCGTTCGTCGTATGTTACCCATTCCAGGAAGAATTGTTCGTGTTCAAAACCGACCAAGTCTTCCAACCCTGAGATATCTAGACCCATTTGGTAAGCATATGCCACCGCTCCGCGAATGAATCGTTTATCCTCGGGCATCTTTCTAGCCATTGAGATGCACATGGCTTCCAACATATCGCGCACATTTGCTCCCCCGGACCTCCGAATGTGATTCCACGCTTGACCAAATGGGTGTGCATTCAAGTCGAGAGATGCATTGAGTGGCTCAGCAGGAAAATACGCAGTTGAGATTACAAACGTGTCAGAGACCCAGACCGCGGAATCAAAAGCAAGGCCCGTAACACTCAAGCAATCTCCCTTTAAGGATACCTGTGCGGTGGTCTGGCCATGTGCCATCCATTCATCCTCACAAGGCAACGTCTCAATAAACGGTGTTGCTAACCAAAGGTCCCAACGCGGGACCCATGAGCTAATTCCATGGTCATGAATGGTTATTTGATCATGACTAACAAAGTTGATGATGTGGAGAGAGGAAAAAGCCTCATCTTGGAGTATTCGGACTGCAACCGATGTGTAAAGGTCCTTGTGGGAGATGGAGTAATCTACAGGCAGGAAAAGCTTAGATTGAGGATTAGAAATTGTATTCAGGAGGGCGCTGTGTCCAAGAAAAGCATATATCCGATCCCTAGGGTCTGAACAAGCGGCAGAGCGGCCTTGGTTCAGTACAGAAAGAATATTTGTGTTAGGGTTTTGGAAGTTCAAGCCCTCTAATAGGAATATATGGCTGGCAAGCCCAAGTCGATGGGCTTGTACAGCTTCGTCGTGTTGAACGGCCATATATATGCAAAATGATGCAAGAGGTTCCCAATCCATGGATGCCGGTCCAAAGTGTACAATGGCCCTGTCTGCAAGACAAATCTCCTGGATGATCCATAGACGGTTGAACCAGCCAGTATTGTTAAGGCTCCGGAAGGTTGACCAGTGCTTATTGCCACATTTCTCGATCTGGTAGTCAACATAGTCCGTGGACTGGTCATCCGGTGGAGGTAGAGGCCCCAGTGACCTGATGAATTCGAATAAATCACTGGGATTAGAATGAGGGCGGTAGCTCCTCGACGGATCAGAACGTGAGCCACGGCCTAACCATACAAGGACGTTCATGGCATTTTCATAGACCTTTGCCATATTTTGGACTTGTTGACATCGTTCCGGTATGTCATCTTGGTTGATGCAGACCGAGTCAGCCCAAAGAATGCGTTTTTTTCTCAGCCGGCGAAACTTCCTCAGGGCGTGTTCCAGGCTCCAGGGAACCTTCACTCTTTGGCCGTGGCATAGAATATCCCCCCTCTCCTCCGCAGGGCCCCACACATATGATAAGGCCTCATAGCACGCTATGTCGAGTGACTGAACGACCAGTTCGCAGCGGACGGGCCGCCACTTGTCTCCAGGGAGGAGAACTAGAAGGCGAATGCTGTTGGTGTCTTCGAACGGTTTGTAAGAGTAGCGAGGTGTTCCAGGAGGGATAGAGCATTCGGTGGGCAGTGTGCCTCTTTTCTTGTCATTCCTGTGGGCACACTGACGCAGTCGGGGTGTTTTGCGACGAGGTCTTGTTTTTCGGGGCGAGCAGTGCCTGTTGCGGCGACCGTAATGCCCGCAGTGAGCGCAGCGCTGCATGTTGAATGTGTTTGGAGGAAACCTTGAGCCGAACTGAGTGAGGGTACTGTAGGACTGAGGTGGTGTTGAGGAAGGAGTGCTTGAATGAAGAAGAATGAGATGTGCAGCTTTTAGGCAGCAGAAGTAAGCTCAAGAGACTTCATAACTTGTGTGGGGCTAAGCGCTGAAAGGGTTCGCGGCTGCAGTGCAAGGCGCGGTTCGGATAACGATCGTCCAATGAATTCGTTGACAGGCTAACAGCACTGGTTGCCTCACGCGTGCAAATCTGTGCAAGGCTGAAATGTCGACCCAAAAGCAAGAAGCTTACCAAATACATAGAATAGAGCGTTTGGGCTGTTGAGAGATAGACAACCAACTCTCATAGGACAGTTCAGACACTGTTGTTCGTAATACCTCCCACGTTAGCCAATCAGAACCCCCGCACGCCGAGCACACCCGGAGACAGGCACCGGTTCCCCGCATCGCTTCACCGCGCCCCCACCTAACTGTCAGCGTCGTCTGCGATAAGTTCGACAGCATCTTCAACAAGCAGCCATCGCGCGTTAGGGGGACTGACCCTGGTCGAGATACCCCCGGCCCATGTCATCTAACCGAGAGGTCACTTGCCCTCCCCACTCCTGCGTTTTCCTAACCCAAAGCGGAAATTTACGAGCACGTCCAATCTGTACAGTACGGAAATCTCTGTGATTAAAGAGCAGGCTCCATCTCACCACGGTCATTCGCATCGGCTCAGACCATCGCAAAGCTCCTACTTGCTTCCCCAAAGCTTTACCAGACGCGCAAACATGTCGAGAATCATCATCCGCAACTGCTCCATCCTGACTCTGGATGACAAAGACACGTTCCTGTATCCAGCCACCCTGGTCATCCAAGACGACCGCATCGTCGACATATTCGAGGGCGAAAAGGACCTCACCTCCTCCATCCCCACCACCATCATCGACGGCACCGACAAACTCGTCATGCCCGGCCTCGTCGACCTCCACTTCCACACCAGCGTCGCCAAGGTATGTATCCCTCCACCATCCCTCGCCCCTCCCCCTCCCCATCCCCAACCCTCCGCTCACCCACACCCTCTCGCAGGGCTACAACGACACCCTCCCCCTCTGGGAATACCTCGACACCGTCTGGTACCCCTCTATCCGCGCCCTCACCCCACACGGCGCCCTCACCGCGGCCCTGCACTCCTACACCACCGCCCTCAAATCCGGCACCACCACCGTCAACGACATGTACCGCTTCGTCCCGTCCCTCGCCTCCGCCGCGCGCCAAACCGGCATCCGCGCTTTCCTCGCCAACGACATCGCCCTGCCATCCCACCGCCTCGACACCCTCGCCGACAACGTCGCCGCCTACCACGCGCACGACGAAGCCGCGTCGGGCGGCCGCGTACGCGTGTGGATGGGCGTCGAGTGGCTGCCGCTGGCGGACGAGGCGTTGCTGCGGGAGATAGGAGACGCGGCGAGGGAGTTGCGGACGGGGGTGCATGTGCATCTGTGCGAGTCGGCGTCCGAGGTCGCGGACACGGCGACGCGGTACGGCAGCAGCGGGGACGGGGACGGGGACGGGAAGAAACGTACGCCGGTGGAGGTGGCAAGGGATGCGGGGTTGCTGGGGCCGAACACGGTGGCGGCGCACTGCGTGCATTTGTCCGACAGCGATATAGAGATTCTCGCGGCGACGGGGACGCATGTGAGTTGGAATCCTGGGTCGAATGCGAAGCTCGGGAATGGGGTGGCAAGGGTCGGGGAGATGGTTGCTGCGGGCGTGAATGTGGGGGTGGGGGTGGATGCGTGCGAGTGCCATAATTCGACGGATTTGTTTGAGACAATGAAGATTGGGAGTTATGTGAGGAAGGTGGAGGGGAGGGATGCGGGCGTTGGGCAGGCGGGGGAGATTCTGAGGATGGCGACGGGGAATGGGGCGAGGGCGCTTGGCGTCGATGCCGGGGTGCTGGAGAAGGGGCGGAAGGCGGATGTGATTGTGCTGGATTTGAGGAAGGATATGATGTTTACGCCGTTGTTGAAGGAGAAGGGGGAGAGGAGGAAGATGTTGGAGAGTCATCTTGTTTTTGGGTGCAATGGGACGGCCGTCGAGACGGTTATTGTGGATGGGAGGATTGTCGTCGAGGAGAGGAAGGTGCTGGGCGTGGATGAGGAGCAGTTGAGGAGGGATATGGATGAGTTGTTCGAGGGCTTGGTTGATGAGATGGAAAAGCAGAGGTATGATCGAGAGAAGGCTCAGTGAGCCAGTGGGTCAGAGGTAACCTCGTAGTTCCAATTGAGAAAGGTGCCGGTAGACCAAGAGCCAACGTCAGCGTACAGGAAATAGGAGAGAAAATCGCAATGATTGATTTGAGGATGCTATCTCTCCATGACCGTCCCGGACGCAATCACCTTCCCATTTCGCAAAAAGCGTCTAATACTAGGCTCGCCATTTAAAACTCTCGACATATAATTGAACCCGAAGTAATGCTCCTGGCTCCACTCAATCGCCCCCAACCTCCTTATACTCTTATCAAAATATTCTTATGGTGGTAGATGCTGCTTTCCCAACTCCTCGCCGTAGAAATACTTCGTGCCCGTTCGTTTCCATTCCTCCTCTCGCTCGAAGTTGACCCAAGAGTGGAACCAGAACAGAGTCTCGGTGCCACCTTCCGTGCTTTCTTCTCCCTGTCCCTCTTTCTTTGAAGCCCACGCAACATGGGCCTGGTACCAAGGCCACTCGTATTTTGTCCCCGGCGTGAACCCGACCCCAATATACAGGCCATTGGGCATCCGCACCTTTCCGCGTTCCTCCTCGCTCAGCTGTTGGAGAAACGTAACACAGAGCAAAGAGACACATTTGCGGAAGCCCAGCCAGTTCTTGGCTGCACCCTTGTCATTGATTACAATCTCCAGGGGTGGCACGAATGCGGAAATTCCTTCCATGACGCTGCATACTAGGGTGAGGCACGGAAAGCTTCAAGATCCTATGGCGACCTCCTGCCTGATGACTAGCTTTTTGGCATTATTTGTGAAGGAGAAAAGGCAGAACGAGCTGAGAAATATATACAGGCACATAGCACCACTATCTCAGGAAACTCTTTAACTCGCGACCAGCATCCCCCCTCAAAGCCTGGGGCTTCCGCGAGTGGACATATCACATTGACCCACTTTTGACGAGCTTCGCTGGGAGAATATTGGTTGCCAATCTCAAGTATGGGTTTAGATTCAGGTATGTGGAATTTTGTTTAAAGTGCATATCCTGGACATGATGGGTGTGTGGGGGTTCGGGGGCGGAGATAGGTATCAAGATTTGAGACAGAGGCGGGTCGGAATTGAAAATAGAATTAAAACATAGTCCACTCCCCGCTTAGGTTTTGCTTTTCTCTCATCTCGCCATACTTCGTGTTCAACACCTAAGCAACTCCGTTGATCACGGCTTGGAGGGCATGAAAGCTTCTGAGCAAGTGGGCAGCGGGCTCGTGACAGTTCAGGCATCTACATGTTGAGAAAAGTTTATCAGCTTTGCTTCGTTTACCTCGCTGAGAAGTATCGGGCCATTCTAAATAACTCACTGATTAGTCACCGCAGCCTTATTTTCTGAGGCAATAGGGTACCGCGATGCAAATAGCCACAGCATTGAAACATCTTCAGATTAAATGTTCATATGACACCAGCGCGGGAAAGCAGACGTCTACCTGTGAGAAGGCTGATGTGCAGATCATCTCAGCCTTGCATATACCTGCGACCTGTGCAAGCATTAGTTTCGAGGTGTGGTATGATTGGCGGCCGAGATGCATTGGCAAGGCAGCAAGCGATGCAGGATTACCACATCCATCTACTGATTGGGCGCCTTCACAACTTCCTCCGCTGCACCAGCCCGCGTGGTTGGAATATTCTCTGCACTGCCCCCGCAAACGCTGCGCCCCGCGGGATCAGCCTATTTAGTGCCCCGTCCCACCCCAAGCCCTCAGGAGCGGCAGAATTATTTCGGCTTCTTTTACCCCCACTATGGAGGCATTTGCAGCCGTGGGCCTTGCAAGCAATGTCGTTCAATTCATCGAGACTGTGTTCAAAATCATCAAGTCAACGCGAGAGATTCACCATTCTGCCTGCAGCGGCACGCAAAACCACATCGAGCTCGAAGCGGTATTCAAAGACCTACACCAGGTTTCCAAACGCCTCAAAACGCACAGAAAAGGATCGCCTGAATCTCCCGCGGATGTAGAACCCGACGTGGTATCATCAGCAAACAAACCTGGAATAGAGGGCCTTGCACTCCAGTGCGAAATACTCGCGGAAGAACTGACCAAGACAATACTAAGCTTGAAAGTTCAAAATGGGTCCCAGAGTATGATCCGGTGTTGTGGAAAGGCTCTCAAAGCCGTGTGGAAAAAGAACGAAATTGAGGAACTGTGTGCAAGGGCCACAACGATTCGGCAGGAGCTAGGCTTCCATCTACAAGTAGAGAATACGTAAGGTTCAATAACGGCAAGGCGTAGCATCCATGGCTGACGAATTTGCGTAGGAGCCAGCTTGATAACTTAAGGGAGGCTTGCGATGCTCTCCGCAGAGATGCACATACCCATACCGAAGCCATGCTTCGGTTTGAACATACCATCGCAACACATGAGAAACAATCATCCGACCGGGTAACAAAAGAAGATCTGTCCAGCCTCGTTAAAGACGTATCTCAACTGGTTAATGCAGAATCTGCTCGAAGAAATTGTGTCTTGAGAAGTCTTTACTTTCCGTCAATTCACGAACGACATTCGGAGGTCGCCGAAGCACACGCGCAGACTTTCCAATGGATTTTCAGGCCCGAAACATTCCAACAAGACGATCCGCGTTCTCAAATCACTTTTAGCCACTGGCTTCGCATACAGCATGGGATTTACTGGATTTCAGGAAAGCCAGGCTCGGGGAAATCGACTCTCATGAAGTATCTTTGTGACAATACTGCGACGACATCTTTTCTAGCCGAATGGGCGGGCTCAAGCACTTTGACTGTGGCAAAGTTCTTCTATTGGCATGGCGGAACGAATATGCAAAAGTCCTTGCAAGGACTTCTGCAATCTCTTCTTTTTGAGATTTTTCGCCAACGACCCGATTGGATTAGAACAAGCTGCCTATCAAAATGGGTATCAGAAACGGCAGATCTGGAATCTTGGACTATTCCCGAAATCGTCACCACCCTCCGACGTTTTGCCAAGCAGGAATTTGGATCACACAAATTTTGTTTCTTCATCGATGGTCTCGATGAGCATCAGGGAAACTTGCAAGATCTTACTGATTGCTTAAGAGAGCTGGACTGTTCGCCCAACATCAAACTTTGCATTTCCAGTCGGCCTTGGAACTGTTTTGAAGACGCCTATGGAGCTTCTGGGATGAAACTTCGCCTGGAAGATTTGACAAAGAGTGACATTCAAAGTTACACCAAGGACAGCCTTATCCCTGCATTCAGCAAATCAGCGATTTCTCACTACACCCAATTTGTACATGAAGCTACATCGGAGATATTGGCAAAGGCCCAGGGTGTTTTCCTCTGGGTTTTCCTAGCAGTCCAATCTCTACGAAGAGGAATTACCGAAGGAGACACTGTCGAGCTGCTTCGTACAAGGATCCATTCCTTCCCACCTGAGCTACATGACTTTTTCAACCTGATACTCGGCTCGATTGAGCCTATTTACCGAAAGGACTCAGCTACTCTTCTGTCGGCTGCTCTTACGACAACTGAGCCTCTAAGTGCGGTAACTTACTCTTTTTTGATGGATACGGACTTCGACATATCGATAAAGCTCAAATGGCAACCATTGGAGCCACTGGAGAGGGCCGGGCTGCGTGAACTTGTTGAAAGACGCATCAACGCTCGGTCTAAGGGCTTATTGCAGGTCTATGGCCGTGACCTAAGCAACAAACAGCCAAAAGTTGACTTCTTGCACCGGACTGTGAGGGAATTTCTTACGAACCGAGACATTGAGATTTTCCGTTACCTTCCGAAAGACGAACGTTTGGATAAGCTACTTTGTCGGGCAGTGCTGGGAGATCTGAAAACGTGCCCGAGACCGCTTAAGACCAGCCATTTCGAGCGTATATGGGAGTTCTTGGAATTCACCGAGGTTACTCATGGAGATCCCGAAATTGAACTAATCGACGCTTTGGATCAGCACTGCATCGACTACTACCTTCCATTACACGAGAAACAAGCGTATCGGAGTGGACCGTCTAGAATCCTTCTACAGACGGTAATAGCACATGGTATCCTCTCGTGGCTGAGGTCGAAGTTGGCCAGCAATGCCATTGACAAAAGCCTATTCAGCCCTTCAGTGCTGGCGAGCTGCGCAACTGGAGAGCGGATCGAATTTTTCCGTCTGATGCTCAGGAGTGGGATGGACCCTAGCGAAACATTTGGATCCGAGAAACTGTGGGCTCTTATAGCTCCAGAACAAAGAGACCAAGTGTTTGCTGCTATCCTTGCTCAAGGAGCTGATATCAACAGGAGGGATCAGTTTGGCAGACTTGTATGGATGGAGCGAATACTAGACGAGTTTTGCGCACAAGATGGAGACACCATACAAGTTGACTGTGCCAAATTGTTCCTTTCCTATGCTGCAGACCCAAACGCTTACTTCGACACCGAAGGCGACAAATGCACTGCATGGCAACAGCTACTTCAGGAGCTTTCTACTATCTCTGAGCCAGCAGATCACCACTTCCAAGTTGTAGACCTGTTTTTGCGCTATGGTGCGGATCCATTCGTATCTGTCGCCACTGACTCTGGCGTGGTAGAGGTTGGAGAAGTATTTCGAAAAGTGTTCTCCACTCAACTAGCTAGCATTCTCCAGGTGCGCCTCGAGGAGGAAGGCAAGTTCTGGAAATCACGGGACACGGACAAGAAGCGCCACCCATTATTCCAGCGGAAGCGCAAGATTGACGAGATCGAATGGAATCCTCACCGAAAAAGGGCAATTCTGAGGAATCTCAGCCAGACACGCTAAAAGGAGTTTCTACCCTAACAGCGGGTAGTATGAGGCTCGCTTTTCGGATAGGAGGGACTCTCAGCAGCGTACGACGAATTGCACCCATCTCTGTTTTGACAAGAACGTGGTGCCTAGGCAGCGTATGTTGATGCTACATTGTCTGAAATGTGACGACTGTGTTTTCCCTAAACACCGCCCGTAGTGTTTTATCCTCCAGTCTCATGCAGCCACAGGGCATTGATAACAATCACCGGCTTTAGGTTTATTAGACGCGCAATACTTGCCGTCCCCGCCGCCACTGCCAATGCACTGTACATGATGTTAAATCATGTCCACAAACTGTCACTTGAAATGTAGACACTTACCGACGTCCCTGGACAACAGTTCGCGTTCGCGTACCACATCCAGGAAGGATATCTGCAACTGTAGCCATTGCATTTCTAGCCGATTAGAGTGTCAGAGTCTTGCTTGCAGCAGGTATAGTACGGCAATGCCACGTACCCCACACCACCGTTCACCGCCCCTGCAGTGCGGGTGTCTGCGTCTGCCCGCAACAACATCGAAAGTTGCAAGGAGAACGAAAAGGGCGATGATGTAGAATCGCATCTTTTCTGTGGAAGTCTCGAGAAATATCTGAACTGTTGAGGGTGCTGCAGTGCTCTGCCCAAACCGCAGCAGCGACACATTTATATAACCACTTTTCATTTGCATCACTGCCATCGTGATCTCCTGGGACATCGAACGGAGACCTACGTCACGCTGCGTGACATAAACGCTAACACAGACTGATACCGTGGGGTATGGGGTAAGACAGTGATCATCACGGGAGGCGAGGCGCCCTGGCTTCCAGTCATGCCAGACACGGGTGACTCGTCGCGGTCAAATGCCGCCACCTGATCCATCCTCAATATCCCTCAAATCAAAGTCAGATCTGTTGGGATGGCGTATATTTTGTAGTTCTCTATAGCCGTGTTGGGATGCACTGTAAAGAAATTTGAAACAGAAACCGGTCATTCGGTTCCAGAAGCGTGTTTTGGAAACCTAGACGCTTTGGGATGCAAGGGGTACTCCCCGCGAACTCATAAGCATAACTAATAGGTCTAAGTACAAGATGAGGCAGGAAGTGCAATCGTATAATGATAATAAAGGCCTTAGCGACTGTTGCCCTAAGCGACCTTGAAAAGCCACATAAACAATCCACACTCAAATAATCATACATCTAATACATTGTGTTTGACTGTCAACATACATATTGCATCGATTTACGCTTACCCAGCCTTACAATAGCTTCGTCGTGTGATATGTGCCTTGTTGGGAAGCGATGATCCAAGATGCTCCTACTATCACACGGCTCCCATTGCCTTTCCATACAGTTTACCACTGAAAAAAAGGAATAACCAATGCTCCCTAATACCCGTACGAGTTCGTTGAGTAGTTATTCATCGGCCGTCGCTTTATGAACTTTTACGTACTTGACACAACTACTGTTGAATCCCTGGTTTAGACATTCGTCGATCGAAGGTCCATGCCAACATTCATGACAACGCACGCCATATGTCACCGACCACTACGTCACTTCTGAGTCTCAATGGTCATTTCTTGACATGACGCAAGCAGCCGACCCCACGTCTGCTTGCTCGGCATGTCAGACTCTGCCCCACCACACAACGTTTCCTTGTGTCCGATAATCACCACACCTGCCTTCGCCCGAGTCATCGTGACGTTCAAACGGCGCATGTCCGACAAAAAGCCCAGCTGGCCGTGGACGTTGCATCTCGTGGTAACAAACACCACGACATCTGCCTCACGCCCCTGGTACCCGTCGATGCTCGAGATCTCGAGCATGTCACTCTTCGGCAACATCTGCTTCAACAGTTCCCTCTGCCGCGAGTACGGCGTCAGCACAGCTACGGTCATCGACGCGGCAGGGGTCGAGCCAGGCGAGAAGCTCAGCAGCTGGCTGCAGACCTCGCGACACAACAGCGCCTGGCCGCGGTTGCTCTTCGACTTCTGCCCAATATCCTCAGGCGCAGCGCACGGGATCAGCACCATGCGCGCCGGCTGCCCCGTCGTCTGCAACGTCGTCGGCCACGCGAACGCCGACTTCGGCAGCGGGCGCGCGTCGTCCCGCACCGCCGTCTCCAGCCTTCCCTGGTAGAACTCCTTGGAGCTGAAAGCGCAGATCTGCTTGTGCATGCGGTACTGCACGTCGATCATGACCTTCGCCAATCCCGGCGCGTCTGGTGCTGCGTACAAGCTCTCGAACAGCGAGACGTCGAAGTCCGCGACGAGCGACTGCATCTGCACCGTCGCGCGCAGCTGCACGTGGTCGCCGACGAGCACGGCGTGCTTGCACCCTTTCGTGAGCGGGACCAATGAAGCTGGTTCGGTCTGCTGGGATGCCTCGTCGACGAGCACCGTGTCGAAGCTCTCGCCGCGGAGGAGCCCCAGGCCGGCGCCGATGCAGGTGGTGAAGATGAGCCGGGCTTCTTTGATGCGTTTGGCGGCTTTCTTACGCGCGTCGAAGTGCTCGTTGATGTCCTTGCCCATCATGGCGTCGCACGTGTACGGCCGCAGGTCCTCGGAGACTTTGGCGACGTCGGTGGAGACGCGGAGGGGGGCCGTTTGCGTGCGGTCGATGCCGTGCAGCTCGATGAACTTGCGGAGGACGTTGTCGACGGCGTTGTGGGTTGGTGCGGTCACGAGGACTCGGCCGGTGTGGTCGCTGAGGAGGAGCTGGATGAGGATCGCGACGATGGTGCGGGTTTTGCCGGTGCCTGGAGGACCCCAAAGTAGGCATAATGGGTGGCTTAGCGCTGCTGAAACGGCTGCGAGTTGGCTTTCGTTCAGAGAGGTGTCGTCGGGTGTGCGAGATCCTGCACTAAGCTTTAGAGTGGGGAGGCCAGTTGTAGGCCCCGTCTCCGTCATGGGCTGGTACAAAATGCTGCAGATCTCCCTTTCGCGGTAGAGCTCCACAACGGCGTCTAGCATTGTCTTGCTCGTAACGAACGATCCACATTTCTTGATCTTCCACGAGCATTCCTCGAGGAATGGCGGAGGGTGGTGGATGCAGCGCATCTTTGCTTTGCCCCTCTCGCTCCCCTCGACAAGGACATCCATCGAGTACCTTCTGTCTAAGGTTGCATTGCTCGGAGGGGATGCTGCCACAAGCTGCACATGATCTCCAACACGCAGCACGGCTGTTTGCTGATCAATGCGCAGCCTGCACTCGATGAAAGTTCCATCACCCTTTCCCGGGACCCGGGTCACATCCACAAGCGCATTCTGGACTTTTGCATCAGAGATTGCTTCTCCTATATGATCCAAGGCGATACCCAGGAGACTTTTCGTGAATCTCTCGACAGCTCTTGTTGTTCCCGAAAGCAGATGGTGAGCCCTTGCCTGAAGTTCAAACAATAACTCCATGGCGAGATCCGCGGAGTGAACACTCAATGAAATGGTTTCCACGAGCTCACCGAATAGTTGGAATGTCATTTCGGTCATGCAGTCGAGTGCGGTCATGAATGGTTCTTTGACGAAGCTTTCCATGAGTTCCGAGGACAGGATCAATTCTTTCAGTAGGCTGGGTAGCGTTGTCGAACATTCCTCAGACAGGGATTCTTTGTGGGAAAGCCAAATGTCCGATCGAAAGTACGGCCCGGTGAGGAAAGGGCACTCGCATAGAAAGCGAAGCATTACTTGAGCCACCTCAAGCACATCGATATTGACTTGGCCATAGTGGTCTGGGGTAGACAGCCAATTGTATATCTGTAGCAGTCGTACGCGCTGATCGAAGCGGGCAAGCCATCGGAATAGGACCCATAGCTCTTCTGCTTTGGTCAACTTCCCCATCGACGCGAGCTTTCCATCACGGGCGATGTCGACGATGAAGGTGGGTTCGGACGTCCAATCAACCCCATTCAGATGCGGAACGGTGTATTCTCGTGGTGTTTGCTGGAAGAGGGGAATGACGTCCTGAGTGTCCACTAGCTCTAGCCAGAGATCAAGCTGACGCAGCGAACTGGTATCTCTGTTGCTGATGACATAGATTTCCTGTGAAATAATTCAGTACGATAAATGGGGCCTTTGAAGCTACATGGTGCGCCTCTTATATCCACATAACACCTGGACTGGATGCTTCAGAGAGGTGTGGGGTACTTACTGCGCCTTCAATGCCCGCCCGATTTATCCTACCCATGTGCCGCTGGATGTCCCTGCCCATCCTTCCCAGATCGATACTAGCTCGGCATTCGTAGTTAGTTCCGGTATCAATGCTCGCTTGCTTGACTCTTCTTCTGTCTCCACGGTCTTTGACGTTTCGGTAGGTCGAATCGTCAAGTGCTCCTCGCGTCAGGAATATCCAAGTTTGTGCACGCCTATTCTCATACAACTGGAATATATTGTCATCGCAATACAGGCGGTAGTTGACCTTTGTAGGAATAACTCGTCTCGCAGCATTAGAGCTTTCCTTGGAATGCGGGAAGGAGAATACTCGCACGAGCCCGTCAACCTGGAATTCAGTGCTCTTCTCAATCTTCTGAGGAATGAATATGGCAACGCTTAGACGCTCGTCGATGCGAAGAATGATGAGCTTCTTGTGGAAAAGCTCGAGAGTCCGGCTAGCGCTGTTGAAAAAAGTACCAAGCCTGTCGATTGACGAATCATAGACGCACTTCCAGTGGAGACCGGGATTATCCAGCCCAAAGCGGCGAAGCTCCTGAGACTGCAACAAGTTTGACTGGTTCAAGGAGTTCATGACCAGGCCAGCAGACTCCAGTGTAGGCGGCACTCGACTCAGAACCCACGCTTTTTGTTCATCCGTAAGCTTGTTCAAGTCGAAGAATGGCAGAAATTGCATCATCTCCACCTTTTGTTGCAAACACCAGTTGTATGTGAGGGTTACAAGCTCGAATTCAGAAATGGCAAGCTCGTCTCGGCTTGATATGAGCTCAACGGCATCGGATGAATATCCGTGGTACATGGAGGGTGATGGAAGGCTCCGTTGTATGAAGGCTGATGCTTGTTCGTGTAGCCTATCGACAATCAATCCGGGACTGGGTACGGGTCCCTTGGGCGGGTCTTGCAGGTCTTGGGGTACTTTGATGCGGTCACCATCCACGCAGAGTGAAAACAACCGGTTCAACTGCTGACATTGCGGGCTTAGTGGACCGTGTAGTCTAGCCCAGGCAAGGAAGAGATTTTTGACGCGGCCGAGTGACATGTTGCTATACTGAGCAAAGTAGTCGATCCTATCGTCTTCGGTGATGGGCTTGAGGGCGACTGGTGCTTTCGGCCCAGGATACTCGGCCGGCCGAGAAACAACAGCAGGGATGAGATCCTTGTCCCAACAGACAAAGACTATGAGGCGTGGTTAATCAATACTTGGGAATTTTAAAGACCAGAAACTTACATTTGTCACCGTCAAGATCCCCTCCAGACATGAGGTCGGCGCTGGGCCGTTTACCCTGCGTCGGAAACACCACGCAATCGACGAGGTGCGATAGCTCAGGATAAAAGACAGCTTTGAATTTTTGGAGATCGCCTGGGTGTAGGCAAGGGTTCCGCGTAACCAACACTTGGGTTCCGACAATGGTCTGAGCTTGGCCATCTCCATCCATTGTGACTCGGACGGCACACTCTCCCTCTTTGAGCAACCCTTTCGGGTCGCAGACGCCGAAGAGCAGCCTCGACTGGGGAATGAGAATGCGACATCGTTGTTCGTTCCTCTTGGTGAGCATTCTCTCGTATTCTTGCCCGACGAGTTTTCGCACCTCTTTTTCAACCGTCTCGACACCGCTAATCAGGAGCCGCTCGGCAAGATCAAGACGGTTGCAGTAAGAGAGAAACCTAAAGCACATTCTCACGTCCAGGCGGGTGGCTGACTCAAGAAAACTAAGATGCTCAGCCTGCTTGCGAAGAAAAACCTCATCGGGCACCCCAAGTGCATGTAGCAGGAGAACCACCTCATCGTTCAGATAGCCAAAGGTGTACGGCTGTTGATATTAGCCACTATCCTATTCAGACCTTTTTCAGGCATACCTTTGAGTAGTCAACGACGGACAGTGTCAGATCGTCGCCACCGCGGAACTTCTTCATCGAAGATCTGAACTTCGCAAGGCACTGAGTGCCCATCGATGGATCGAGCGAGAGCACTCCCTTGTAGCCTCGATACCGAATCTGAAACACGGAAGGGATGTACTTGTGGTTGCGAAAGGCGATGTGGACGCTCTCCACGAGCAGACGGGCGAGATGCGTCGAGATGAGCCCGCATCCATCTGTGAAGACGTAATCATTGGCTTCCACGTCTGGAATATCCTCGCATCGCTCAGGAGCCAGCTCGACACCCATTTCGGCGCTCGAGAACAGCAGACCAATCCTCTTCGCCTTCTTGCCGACGGTCGTCATTTTCGAGAAGTCGCCAAGGGACTCGATCTTGCGGTGAATGGCGGCCCTCGTGTCGGCGAACAAGACGCAGGAACGCGTCTTCAACTGGCTATTGCTGTGCCCGTAGAAATTGTAGTGGACGCCATTGAAGCGGATCCCGGATTTGAGAATGCGTGAAATGTAGTCTGCAGTTTCTCTCGCCGGCACCTGTTCCATCTTCGACGGGTCCGTCTGCGAAGGCCGCACGAGGCGAAAGTCGGAGAAAGACAAGAACATGAAGCGGTCCAAGGGATCGCTCTTTGTGATTCTATTTTGCGGAACTGCTTCCAAGCGGAGAACTGCCTCCTGTCGCGACGGGTTGGAGATAAAGCTCACACACTTAGTCAGCCCGGCGGCGTTGGTGGCGGTGACAGGGGGAAATTTCGCGACCGTGTACTCCCATTTCTGCGATTGTGGATCAATGGCCGAGCTGAGTGTGTACCTGTTCCCCTTGAGCCCTTTTTCGCCGGCCATGAGGGACGATTGAATGAAGTTTTGATGGATTTCGATGGGCGTGCTATTCTGGAGGTCCACAATAGCTTGCGAAGATGGGAAGGAGTGGAGTCATATGAAGCAGAATCCCCGCAGTCTTATCGGACGGCCAAGAGGGCCTCGGGTGACACGAAGCGGGGCACGGTCAGGGGTCCACTATTTAACTGTGTGCTGACCCCGATATCCTTGCATGCGAAACACCAAATGTCATCCATACACCAAGCATGTTTCCCAACATTTATGTCGTTGGTGCCCAGTCTACCGGCAAGACAACTCTCGTTAATGCCCTTGAGGCACACTTCGCAAATCCAGACAATCGCATCCAGAACGGCGTGCACATCCCAGTACCTGGCGTTATCCGAGAGGTCGCTCGCGGCGTCCTGGTTCAACACGGCTTCACCAGAGACGACATTCGAATCTCGACTGAACGTTGTCTTGAGTTACAACAACACATCTTAGCGGCGCAGTGGCAACATGAAAGAGATACACTCGGACAATCCGGATGGCTTATCTCCGATAGATCGGGACTGGATCCCATCATCTACGCACAGCAATTTGGAGGGGAAAGTGGTGCATCTCAACTACTGCATGGCGAGAAATGGCAGGAACTGAGACAAAGAATGAGGAGCTCCGTTGTGGTTGTGTGCAGTCCTCAGGCGAAGTTTCTAAAGGACGACGGGGTGCGCTTGATGCCACAGAACTTTCAAGAGTGGCAAGATATGCACTTAGCCTTTTGCGACATGCTGAAAGAGAATGGAATTGACTACATTGTTCGAGGTGATTGGTCAAGTCAAGATGTATTCATCGCTACGATCAGAATGGAATGGAATTTCCGGCTGATTGCCAGCACTTCTACTCTAGATGTTGGTACGCGAAACTGTCGATTAAATTGAAGAACGGAAAGCAGAAATGCTCGCCGCGGAGAGGGAATTTCATGGTCAGTTGAGAAAATTCAAGAGCGGATGGCGTTTTAATAGGATTGATTCAAGAATATTGATGGCTTTCACTGGCATAAATAGATAGCTTCGTGATATTCATTGCACTCTGGTTGACCTCCATGCTTTCTCATCATTGTGAAATCATGCATTACGTCTTAAAGCTATACTCCTACCGTTGCATCTTGAGGTGCTTCCAGCATATATCGCGCGTGTGCACGTCTTTCGTCCCCTTATTGCAGTATTATTCTATGCTTCCAATAAACTGTCGTTACATAGTGCGGAACGACATGGCGGCCCCGATCAAGTTCCGAACCGACTGGAAGGCGTAAGGTTACTCCATCTAGTGATACGCTATTGCGGGCCATACCTGCTCTTTTCAACTTTCAGGATCACAAAGGCTTGATTGTGACTCTTACCATAGCAAGAAGGTTGCCCGTGCATTCATGCGAACTCGAACCAATCGGTGACGCCGAAGATGGCTAAAATAGCGGATTCGTATACGAAGCACAGCTAGTGATACCTTAAGCGGCTAGATCGTGGGCCTTCTGGATTACCCTATGCGGTATAGTAGGCTTCGGCCTCGTCCTCGGCTTCGGCCTCACAGACCACCGTTAGGTCACCGCAGATGTCCAACGTCACGGAACAAAGCGTCCGGACATCTTGCATTCCTCCGAATCGTTTAACCACCGACCAAGATAGGAAATCTAGACAGAGCATTTTTGAAATATAAATGATTGGCTTTGTGTTTTTCGCAAAGGAATCCACAGACAGCAAGAATCTCCATCTCCTCCCTTTTCTCCAATCATACCAACCACTCTCCCATCCATCCATCCATCCATCCATCCATCCTCCTCCCTTCCGAAAAAAAAAGGAAAAATGGCCACCGAAACCCCCAACCTCCGCATCGCCATCATCGGCTCCGGCCTCGCCGGGCTCGCCGCCGCACGCGTCCTCCGCTCGCACCACACGGTGACGGTCTACGAGCGCGGCACGGCGTCGACGGCGACGGGCGGGCAGGGCACGATCGCGACGCCCAACGCCGTCAAGATCCTCGAGCCGCTCGGCTTCGACCGCGCGCGCGTGCGCTCGGTGCGCTGCAGCGGCTACCGCACCTTCGACAAGGCCGGCAACGTCATCGGCGACCGCCCGCTCGACCTCAAGCAGCGTTACGGCGCGGATTGGTACATGCATCTGCGCGCTGACTACCGCGATGAGTTGTTGCGTCTGGCTACGGCACCGAAGGAGGTGGTGGGTAAGGAGGATGCGGGCGAGCCGGCGAGGGTGGTTTTTGAGACGGCTGTGATGGATATTGATCCCGATGCTGGCACGTTCGAGCTGAGTGATGGGTCGAGGGGCGAGGCTGATGTTATTATCGGTACGTTTTTTTTTTTTTTTGTGGCCTGTCTCCTCCCACCCTTCCCCTTTTTCAACCACAAGACGAAGTCTCGACAAAGAACCTTCCTTACCGTAAGCTCACATTCTCAACCACAAGTCGCCGACGGCATCCACAGCCATCTTCGTCACCGCATCGTCGGCGACCGCTCGCACCGCGCGCAGCTGACCGGCATGTCTGTCTTCCGCTTCGCCATGTCGCGTTCCGAGGCAGCGCAAGCTCTTGGCAAAGACGAACAGCTACCCGAATACTTCGACCCAGCGCGCGGCGAGGGCCGCTTCGGCCTGATCGACGCGTGCGACGGCAGCGGGCGCGTCGTCGCCGTCTACCCGTGCCGCGACTACGAATACATCAACGTCACCTGCGCCTTCCGCACGCGCCATTCAAAGGACGATACAGTAGCGTCGTGGTGGGCCGAGGGCGACCGCGACGAGATGGTTGACATCTTCCACGACTTTCCTGAGCACGTTGTGAAGCTTCTGCGGTGCGTTTACCTACCCCTCCCTCTTCTTTGTTTTTCTGTTTCTGTCCCCCTTCTGCTTCTCTGATCCTCAAAACTGACAAGAGACACCTTTCACAGCGCCGCCCCCTCCGTCAACCTCTGGGAACTGCAAGACCTCGAGCCACTCCCGACGTGGACGCGCGGCCGCGCGTGCCTGATGGGCGACGCGGCGCACGCCATGACGCCGCTGCAGGGCCAGGGCGCCAACATGGCCGTCGAGGACGCCGACGCCCTGCAGCTGCTGAACCACGTCTCGTCAGCGGCCGACGTGCCCGCCGTGCTGCGCCGTTGGCAGGCTGTGCGCAAGCCACGCTGCACCCGCGTACTGGAGGGTACAAGGCAGGTTGGCAGGGCGCAGACGCCGGAGGAGCGGTGGGAGAATATGGATTTTAATTATGGGTATGGGGGCGTGTGGGAGGCGGTTAGGGGTTTGGGGGCGGAGGAGTGAGGCGGGTAGTGTTGGGTTAAATAGGGTGATTGGAAGCCCAAAAGAGACAGTGGCAATATGTTTTCAGTAAGTACTGTGGGTATGTAATGCGAGCGATAAGACATCACGTGCACGGTCATCTACGGGAAACATTTGGGGAGATAACTAAACCTAGCCTTGTTAAGTCCGTTTAGCGAAAAAAAGAGTTGGGTTTAGTAATTACCCCTCAGTAATTTCCTCGCAGTTATTTTCCAGGAACCTTCATTCAGCAGATTGATTAAATAGCTCTTGACGTGTCCATTCCGCCTTGCAGCCCGATACCTCTTCATCATCGGCTTCGTTGTGTGTGATAGCGTATGCCTTCAACACTGAAAGCGATTACATCTGCGCTTATCGCGAGTAAGAAATTGGACATTATAGGACAATAGTGTGGCATGTGGGGCGTTCTCTCAGCTGTTGTGTTGCCTTCACTGTAAGTGGGGACGGCGTGGCTCAGCCTCGCCACGTCACACCCCGCTGTGGGTCCAAAGGCTTTTGCTCAAAATCTCCCACTTCCTTATCAACGGTCTCCAAAGTCCCATACCGTGCCCTTTCAAATGTCCCAATGATCCCGCGGTCAGCGCCTGCAAAAGTGTCCGCTGCAAGCAGTCGTAAGCGCCATGGCGGGATCCTCCTGAAAGGCCATGCTGACAAGGCTATTACTTCTGATCAGACAATGACAACCATTCGCACCGAATTACCCATCGCTACAGAGCCTTGGGAAAGAGCAAGATCTCTATTTCTAGAGCAGCTGAGTCCCCACGAGCGCACCCTATTCGAGAAAGCAGAACTCGACACCATATATCACGATGCCAGCGTATCCCACAGAAAGCATCAGCAGTCGAGCAAGCTTCAGGCAGCACGGCGACGACTTGCACCGCTGGTTGATGCTATTGATGGGTATGGTAAGGGCTTGGATGTGATGTCGAATACCCCAGTGGCAGCAGCGTTCCTGTGTCCGATATGGGGAGGAATTCGCGTAGCGCTTTACGTGAGTAGCCTCGAAGAGTGATATTATAGTGAAAACTGATGAGAATGCAGGTAGCGCAGGAGACCGAGAAGTATTTCGAGAAACTCGCAGAAATGCTAGAAAAGATTGGTCGGACGCTACCTCTTTTTCGGGACTACCAACATCTCTTTCCAAACCATGAGAGGTTGCTACAAGTCCTTTCAGAAGGTTATCTGAACGTCCTGCGGTTCTGCATGGATGTCACGGCTCTCTTCAAGGAGGCAAAAACGCGAGCAGGTAAGCCAAGTTCATGCCGCGTATTCTGCAAATCCTTACGAATCGTGTCAGTATCGGTGGTGAGCTTGACAGTCAGCTGCAAAACACTGTGGAAGCCATTCACGCTGCGATTTGCGGAATATTTGAAGAATTTCATGGACCTCAAACAGCAGGTACAGGATGAGGCCAATGTGGCTCACATGATTGAATCCAAACGGGAACGGGAGCGACAGGAACGAAACAGAGCATTGGTAGAAACACGGTTACGAGAAGAAAAGCTTCGACAGACACTACAAAGGTTTTCGCCAATCGACTACCATCTGGCCCACCGGCGTCTACGATCAGATTGCCACGAAGGAACTTCGCAATGGATATTTGACCATGATTTCTACAAGTCATGGAGAGAGACTACGGAGTCGAGCTCAATCCATTGCAATGGAATCCCAGGATCTGGGAAAACACTACTGGCATCAAGTATCATCGATGACTTAATCGCGGATCCCGTGGACCCGTCGCATCTGATATGCTTCTACTATTGCGACTACGCCGACCACCAAACTCTGGATCCCGCAATTATGCTTGGCACTTTTATCAGACAGATTCTCGAACGCTCTCATCATGCAGAGGGACTTCGTGAATGGGTGCTGAATCAATGGGCCAATCGAAATTCAAGTCCACTCGCACAAGAGCTTGTCCCGGCTATTTTAGATGTATTTGAACGCTTCGAACAGATCACGATCGTAATTGACGGGCTAGACGAGCTTTCATCAAATGATCAGCACGAATGTGGGAATATCATTTCAACGTTCCTGGATTTAAGCGCTTGCCAAGTTAAAGTCTTCATATCATGTCGATTTGAAGCAGTTGTCCTTCAAAGGCTACCCCAGCCACAATTCTCGATAGCTTTGTCGCCAGAGCTATTATCTAAAGACATCTGTCACTTTGTGGAGGACATGGTACAGGAGAAGATTGATAGCAAAGACTTGACTATCCAAGATCCGACTTTGCAACAAGAGATCAATCATAAGCTGCAGGAAGGAGCGAAAGACATGTAAGTACATTGCTACATATACTGCTTAATAATCCGTCTGATACCGTTCACATAGGTTCTTGTGGGTGAAATTCCAAATTGCGGAGCTCTGCGAATGTATGAGCGACATGGAACTTCGAAGTACCTTGGAAAATCTTCCAAGAGACCTTGCTGGTACCTACCGGAGAATCATCTACAAGATAATTATCTCCACGCGTGGACTTGAAAAGGCTAAGTTGGCAGAACGAGCCTTCCGATGGATAGCCTGCGCCAAAAGACCTCTCACCATTGATGAGCTGGTTGAAGCCGTTGCCCTGAAAAGGGATGACACATCCTTTCCCCAGAATCGGATCCACAATGACAAGGGCGATCGGTTGCGGCTTGCTTGCGGCAATCTTGTCGTATTTGATGAAGAGCACGGATCAGTCAGGTTTGCCCATCACACGGTTCAACAATTTCTTACCGACGGGCCCAATATTTTCGAGCTTGCAGACGGTCCGGTGGACGTGTCTTGCTTCCCTTTGGATGATGCTGAGCGTCGAATTTATGCGCTCTGTGTGGCGTACCTCAACTTCTCCGATTTTGAAACTCAGATTACATGTTGTGACAGCAGCACCCCTAAGATTTCTGAAACTGGCGGGTTCGTTACTTCCTTGATCAACTACATTCTTCCAGAATCTGGAACGGTCGGCCGACTTACTGCCCTTCTTAAAGGGCAACCCCACTCCACGAGCGATCTGAACAAATGGAGCCTCTCAGTCCAAGGACACGCTTCAAGCTTCCACCGCGAATACGAATTGAAGAGGAAATATTCTCTTTTGGATTACATCTCAACATGGTGGTGCTTTCATACTCCCAGTCTATTGGACGAAGCAATACAAATGCGACATTACAATGATGAGGAGTTCATGGAGCTTTACGAATTGCGGGTAAAAACAATACTAGTGTGTGAGAAACGCTTCCCATTCCCGCACCGTCCGTGGGACAATGCCAGTTACGGAGATATGTCTCCAAATAGCACTCTTCTGGACTTTTCCATGTTCCGTTGGGCTGCTCGGAGCGGGAAGTATGGCCTCTGGAGCCTTAGGAGTCCTGGACAGTGGCCCATCACGACCGACGATGATGTAGGAAGTCTCAAGGATAGGAAGTATTTCTACGATGCACTGTTGTACGACAATGAACAGATGGATCTATTGGCCGACATCCTGCACGGTGGCAGTCAAGCAATGCTGAAGTTGTATTTCTTGGTTGTGCGAGAACACACCATCGGATCTGCTATTCCCGCCTGGATAATATGTCGAGCGTTACGCCTGAGCCCTAAAGGTAGACACGCAACATTGTTCTCTGAGCTGAAAGACGCACGTTTCCGCCTCGCTCGGGGACCGCCGCCAGAGAAACAAAATTTTTGGCGGACAGAGTCGACATCGGCTTTTTGGCTCGACAATGGGTGGTTAAGCAAGAATACGTCTGGCTTTGATAACGCCGCTGGGACTTTTCTGCTCGAGGAGGCTGTTAAACAGGACGACATTGACCTTGTTCGTTGCATCTTGGAAAATGATGTTGGACAAGTGGTGTACTTCGGATCCATACACCTACGGCCGATCACAAGGGTGCACTTTGCGGATGAGTTAATGAGCACGCAGGAAAGCCCGCTGGGTCGGGCTGCCTATGGGAACAACACTACCATGGTTGGAGTTCTTTTTTCCTATATCAATGGCACCTCGCCTTCAGTAGGAGCGGAAATCAAGGACTTCGACATAGATGACCTCTATGAGGAACTGGAAAAGCGAAACTTATGGCTCATGAGAGATCATGTTCGGGATCTGTGTCGTACAGGTACGGGATACCCGCGGATAGATATGCCCAACACCTCCAGTGGAGGGAGCGCTATTGTCACTTAAGTTCAGCAAGGAGTGGACTCCTCTTGGATGGAGTAAAAGGAACGAAACGTCCGCCTTAGACCCTATGTGGCTGTAGTGGGATATACCCCACATCCTGAATCTCCGGGCTGTTGCTTGTGTCGGCTGGAAGCAGACGTATTGCAACTATTCCTCAATATGCGCCTGTTTTTCGTTTACCTCCTACCACTCCACTTGTAGTTTTCCTATAGTTAGTCATCTTGTAACGTATATACTTTATGCTACCTGCAGGTATTCAATGGATTACTCTCCCTACCTTCTATCGTGTCCAATGCTAATTCTGGCAGCAGAGCGGAAGAAGTGCGGAAAAGAAACAAAGAACATCACGTGATAGGGCTGCAAGTCGGCCTGTGCAGGGCGCGGGTCCGGCGTAACATGAAGTCCGCAGCCACGACATCTCAACCAACAACAGTGCAATCAGTGAGAGCAGCTTAGGATTAACGACAGTGGAACTTCTCCCTTACCCATGCATGAAGACCGTGACAGGGATGACGTTGGGTCCGGGACACTTTCACAACCAGGACGCACGGCCTCCGCAGACTCACGTCCAGTCCAGAGACCAGACCATGAACCGAGCAGCCGCTCGTCTTCCGTGAGTGAAGTGGCGTCTATCCAACCGAAGTTCACACAGCATGGCCAAAACAAATAACGAGAGGAAGAAGGACGAGAAGGAGAAATGCAGAATGCCAATCTTACAACCGCGAGGGAGGGATCTGAGGGAGGGGCAGCTTCCACTGGGAGAATGCTTAACTCTTGTGACACGATTGAGCCTAAAAGACGGCAGCTCCCGCGCAAAATCGTACTCGTCAACCGGGTGGCCGAGAAAGCGTGTATGATGGAGGAGCTTTTGGGGTATCTGGGCCATGAGACGTACAAGTCAGAAACAGCTATCCCAAAGGTACTTGCGTTCTAACCTCGACAACGAGCTCTGTTGACATGCATCGCAGATTACAGACAAGTTGATGAGAAGAATTATCGAATGGTGCGAGCATGGGCAAAACAACGGCTTTGACACCATGGATTGGTCCAAACCTGTTATGGAGTGGACCGACGATTTCTCCAGCGTAAACTGGGACACGGTCCTCAAAATTATCGGCGTAAATCAATGTCCAAATGCACGATCATGCCAGATCAGCTGCTAACCTACTCTCATCTCAAGGCCGCAAACTACCCCGACATTTCATCACGCCTCCGCGCCGGCCACGCTACAGTTGCCCAAAGAATCACGGGCAAAACTCCGAAGCAGATTTGTGCGACGTTCGAGTTCGCCAAGGACTTGCTCTCAAATCTCGATGCTTCTGTCCCCCAAAGCGAGGTAGATTGGTGGACCATCAATCTTTTGTCGCCGCCCGGAACCTACTGGCCCACGCCCTCGCCAACGGACGTCTACCGTATACGTCACCTCCTACAGTACGTGCCTCTCAGCAGCGGCCACACGGTCCCTGCAGAAATCGCGCACCAAATCGTCTCGCTCGCCTGCAAACCACGGCTCGTAGAGCGCAGACGTCAGGAAAAAGAGCACCTGGAATCCAGCGACCTGAACATTCTAGCCAGCAGCGGCGGCGCCGAGGGGGATATCCATGAAGTCTTGGCGATGCATCTCTGCACCCAAAGCATTCCATATCCGAGTTCAGAGGCGGAGATCCCGCGGATGGTCCCGGTGCGCGCCATCGTCACGGTCCTGGTTAGGAACGACACGTGGGATGACACTTCGGAGTGCCACCCGTGGGTGGAAGTTAGCATTCTGCGGCCCTTGGTACCGGGGCTGGAGGAGAAAAGCGAGGCGCTTGAAGATGTGGTGGGCGGTCGGTGGATGGATGAACGTGATGCGAAGACGGCGCTCATGGAGAGAGGGTGGGAGTTGGTCGAGAGTGGAGATGGATGGCTTTCGTGGGAGATTTGTGAAATCGGCGACGTATAGAGCAAAGACTACTCGGAATACAAAGTCGACATGGAGCAGGAACATGGTCGGGAGTTTTTGGAGTTGATGGAACCTGGATGCTGTGTTGTACTTTGGTCTTTTATCGCTGGGGTGAGTTCTTGAAAGCCGTTTTGAATCGTCTTTGATTTGCTGACTATGTCATAGAAACAAAACTGGGGAGAAGAGCCCCATGCTGATGGTATTTCGAGAGCAACCGTTGAGATCGAGTTTAAAGTGCGATAGAGTTGAAATTACTAAGAAATGCCGTTATGCAACATTCGTGGTTAGTCCCAGAAGTGATGCGGATCACCTTTTGTAGAGTAGATAGTAAAAGGCGCCAATAGGGATGGAAGTACGGTAGGGAAATTAGTGTTAGTGCCTACACTTCAAGCTTACGCTGTTTGTATCCACAGTGACACGATGGGGGCGAATTTTTTGAAGCCAATCATCCGACGGCGTTGGGCAGCTCGCTGGAAGGTCTCCCGAGCACCGAGGAGCCCCACCAAAGCCGATGCACCTCCGTCATCACACAACAAGCTTAAACCCACGTCCAACGCCACATTGCTGCATACCCACCAACAACATCAAGGCAGCTTTCACACTTCAGCATCATGGCAGTTCAACTGCTCGACCTTAGCTTCGAGCACCATCCCGATGGCTTCGGTATCGAATCGCGCGCACCACGGTTATCTTGGCGCTTCGGTCAGGACCAGTCAGCTCCTGCAAAAGGCTGGCACCAGACAGCGTACGAGGTGGAGATATTCCGAGGCTCGGACTCCCAGGCGACGGAGTCGTACCGCGTGGAATCCGAAGACTCAGTGCTCAACCCGTGGCCGAGCCGACCATTGGGATCCCGCGAGAGAGCAGCGGTCCGAGTAAGAGTCTTCGGGACCAACAACGTTGACGGGCATCCGTCGGAGCCTGCCGCTACACCCTGGACTGACTGGCACGTGGCGGAAACGGGGCTGCTGGATCGTTCCGACTGGACGGCCAACTTCATCACAACGCTGATCCCGCAGCCCAAGGACAAGCCACGCCGTCCAATGTTGTTCCGCAAGCCGTTCAATCTCGAGTCTGTACCTGCTGGGCAGCGCCGGGCCAGGCTCTACATCACCAGCCTCGGCGTCTACGAGGCGCACATCAACGGTCGTCGGGTAGGCGATTTGCAGATGACGCCGGGGTGGACGAGCTACAACCACCGCCTGCCGTACCAGGTCTACGACGTCTCCTCGCTGCTTCAAGAGGGCGAGAACGTTCTCGCCGCCGAAGTCGCCGAGGGATGGTACGCCGGCCGACTCGTCTGGGGCGAGGGCTTCCGCAACTGCTACGGCGACACGCTGGGCTTGCTCGCGCAGCTCGAGATCCAACAGGATGGCGAAGTAGTTCAAACAGTCATTTCCGACGGCTCCTGGCGCGCACGCGAATCCGCCCTCATCACGAGCGAGATCTACGACGGCGAAGTCTACGACGCCCGCGAAGAAGAGCCAGGCTGGAGCAGCCCCGGGTTCCACCTCAGCACGCCCTGGAACCTCGCCCAACTCCTCCCCTTCCCCTCCACCACGCTCTTCCTCCCCGACGCGCCCCCCGTCCGCGTCACCCAGGCCCTCACCCCCCGCTCCATCACAACCAGCGCGACGGGCACCACCCTCCTCGACTTCGGCCAAAACCTCGTCGGCAAAATCCACATCCAATCCCTCACCAAACCCGCCGGCCACGTCCTCACAATCCGCCACGCCGAGATCCTGCAGCACAACGCCCTCTACACCCGCCCCCTCCGCGCCGCCGCCGCCACCGACACCATCACCTTTTCCTCCGCCCCCCTCACCAACTACTCCCCGCGCTTCACCTTCCACGGCTTCCGCTACGTCGAATTGTCCGGCCTCGACCCCTCCACCACCACCTCCTCCAACATAACCGCGCAAGTCCTCCACACCGCCCTCCCCCGCACCGGCCACTTCCGCTGCTCCGACCCCCGCATCAACCAACTGCACACCAACGCCGTCTGGTCCTTCCGCGGCAACGCGCTGTCCATCCCGACCGACTGCCCGCAGCGCGACGAGCGGCTGGGCTGGACGGGCGACATCCAGGTCTTCGCTCCCTCGGCTTCCTTCCTTTTTCGGACGACGGCGTTCCTCGCGAACTGGCTGCGCGATCTGGCGTTCGACCAGCGCGACGCGGGCGGGGTGGTGCCGATGGTGGTGCCGGATGTGTTGAAGGATAGGACGAGCTGGAAGGTCGTGCCGCAGGCGGTGTGGGATGATGTGGCTGTGCTGCTGCCGTGGGAGGTGTGGCGGGGGAGTGGGGATAAGGGCGTCCTGGCGGCGCAGTGGGAGAGTATGGTGGGGCATGTGGAGGGGGCGGTGAGGAGGGGGGAGGACGGGTTGTGGGATGAGGGGTTGTGGCAGTTGGGGGATTGGCTGGATCCGAATGCGCCGCCGGGAGAGCCCGGGGCCGGGAGGACGGATGGCGGGTTGGTGGCGGATGCGTATTTGGTGCATGTGACCGGGGTGATGGCGCGGGTGGCGGGGGTGTTGGGGAAGGGGGAGGAGGAGGGAAGGTATAGGGAGGAGTGGGAGAGGTTGAGGGGGGTGTTCAGGGAGAAGTACGTCGCGCCGTCGGGGCTGGTGGTGGGCGATTCGCAGACGAGCTTGGCGCTGGCGATCGCGTTTGATCTGTATGAGGGGTCGGAGCGGAGCGAGGTGCAGAGGAAGAAGGCGGGGGAGCGGCTGGTGAGGCTGGTCAAGCAGGCGAAGTACCGTGTCAGCACGGGCTTTGCGGGGACGCCGCTCGTGCTGCATGCGCTGAGTAAGACAGGGCATGTGCAGGAGGCGTATCGCATGTTGCTGGAAGACGGGTGTCCGAGCTGGCTGTATCCGGTGTCGATGGGCGCGACGACCGTGTGGGAGCGGTGGGATAGCATGTTGCCCGATGGCACTGTCAATCCGGGTGAGATGACGAGCTTCAATCACTATGCGCTGGGCTCGGTGGTGGATTGGCTGCATGGCGTTGTTGCGGGGCTCACGCCGGTGGAGCCGGGATGGAAGAGGTTTAGGGTTAGGCCGTTGCCTGGCGGGACGATAACGTGGGCGGAGGCCAAGTTTGAGAGCCAGTATGGGCTGGTGATTGTGAAATGGTTGTTGGAGGAGGAGGGAACAAAGTTCAGGATGGGGCTACAGGTGCCGCCGAATACCGAGGCGTTAGTCGTAATGCCTGGTGAGGCAGAGGAGGAGGGCGTGTGGGTTGGCTCTGGTGTGCATCAGTTGGTATCGGCATATGAAGCACCGGGCGAGTGGCCTCCGAAGGATCTCTGGAGGTAATTTAAGAATGGCCCTGGTTGAGAGGTTTTTGGATCTTCCAGACAGCCTACAGCGTTCTCGAGCCCTTGACAGCTATACGCATATCTGAGACATTCACGGTCTCGTAACTGAAATGCTCTTTGAGAGATCGAAGAGTTCGAATTCTAATAGTTGAAGCACCGTCACTACTGTTCGACACCGATGACCATAGTGAAATGTACATGCTGTGAAAGGCAAGCACTAAGTAAGGCTAACGCCAATAATCTTAGCACGGGCCAACGGCTGGAGAAGATCAAGTGTCAGCTAGGGCAAGCACCTAGTTCAGAAATTACGAAGCTCCATCAGATTTAGGCCCTAGTGATCAAGCGAGTTTCGAGTGGATCTGTAGTTGGAGGATTAGCTCGTCTGAAGTTTCGATTGTGAGATCTCCGTCTTGATCTGTTCGCCTGAAAAGTATAATTGGTGGACTGCACAAAGTCGCTTGCAAAAATGGGTCCGAAACGGCGTCAATGCTCCAACTAGATCTCCACACATACCCCGGCAAGCAGAGTCTCTTAACTGCTACAAGTTTCAGCACCATTATAGACTTCTGTCTTCCCCTCCAGGCTGCACCAGGGTACGATATTAATGCATCCAAACGGCACGGTAAAAGTAGAGAGTGGGGCCCATTACTCAACGCCTGGTGGGTCAAAATAAGCGCCCGACTGCACGGACCGCACGAGCTGCGAAGCTGTGCATGAGATGCCGGGCCCGTCTTGGATAAAGTCACAGGGTGCTAGTACACCCGGCGGCTAGCTCGGAGGAATCCTAATACAAAAGAAGTGATTGATCGTCACATATCTGACAGTCTTGGCGGCTGCCTGCTCTCAACCTGACGGATGGGACCAATGAGAGAGTTGCTTGAAATACCTTTTTCTGACAACCGAGTAATCCCCACGAATGAATCCACAGCGGCACAGCCCCACTAGGCGGATTCTGCATCAGATACGTAAGCGCGATGCTACGTGGCTGCGGCAGAGCTTTCAACAAAAAGATCATGAGCCTCAAGCTGAGCTGGTTCCGCACTCCCACCATAAGCAGCGCTTTGCGTTGACTCCATGTACGCTCAACCGCTTTCCAATCAATACCATCGCCGGATCTTGAACAGAGTGTCTCTGCCTTTAAAAATCGATGGCCTTTGCTAGTCGATTTCGAGTGCTTTTTTGAACTGAAATGCACTTCAGCCTAACCGAAGTCATGGCAAGACCATCTTTTGCGCTGCCGTAACTTGCAAACGCAACTGACATTCCATGTATAGAGTGATTCGACACTTTCGACGTTTCTTGCACTACTTTGCATCCTCCTGGGTCTTCTTCTCCTTCGACAAGCTCAAGAACCAGTCCGCTTGCACTCCACTGATCTCGTGTCAAATAAGAACCCGAATGATGCCACTTTGGACAAAGATGCAGAACCAAACAACGAACGAACATTGGACCGGACCAACGCGTGGCAGAAACAGACTTCAGACGCTGCTAATTTAAGGAACTTACGGAGCGATGAATATACTGTGGGGATCGTCACTGCCTTGTCTAAAGAGCTGAAGGCTGTCATTGCAGTGTTGAACGAGAGACACGGTCAACCAACCAACTTCCGAAAACCGGCAACGGACGCAAACAACTATATCTGGGGCCGAATTGGGGGGCATAATATCGTCGTCGTGTCATGTCCAATGAAGATGACCGGCAAGGTCAACGCCGCATCCGTAGCCATTTCAATGGTCCGCACGTTTCCCTCGATTCGTTTTTGCCTCATGGTGGGCATCGGGGGTGGTGTTCCCTACCCAGAGAAGGCTCCTGACGAGCAAGTTCGCCTTGGAGATGTCGTTGTGAGCGTACCATCTGGGACGACCGGCGGAGTAGTCCAATATGACCTTGGGAAAGTGGAGGTCAAGAATGGTGAAAGTTACTTCCGCCGTACAGGACAGTTGGACAATCCCCCACGTTCATTGCTCGCCGTCCTGAACACTTTCGAAGCGGAAATGGATGAATCCAGGCTTCAACGAAATATCAAATCTACGACAGCAAACATGGGCTCCAGGACCAAAACGTCATTCGCATATCCTGGAGCTGCGGCTGATCGATTATTTCGTGCATCATATTCTCATGAAACGAACCCATCCTGGTACTCTACCTTTCGCTTCTGGCCTGCTCGAACAACGCCTCAGCTCGAAATGTCGCCCACAGATTGTCTCCACTGTGATCCGAGACATGCAGTCAACCGTCTCAATCGAGACTCACCAGATATACCACGTATTCACTACGGTCTCATCGCTTCGGGAGACAGAGTGATAAAGGATGCAAGAGAAAGAGATAGGATTGTGAACCAGTTACAGGATGAGAATGTCGGCGAATGCTTGTGCTTCGAAATGGAGGCTGCAGGCCTTATGAACAGCTTTCCTTGCTTGGTCATCCGCGGCATCAGCGACTACGCTGACTCTCATAAGAACGACAGATGGCATGATTATGCTGCTGTGGTTGCTGCCACTGTTGCGAAGGAGTTGCTTTCTTTGGTGCCTGTGCCGGAGGTTGAATCAGAGCGAAAGGCTTCGGAAATAATCGAAGAGATACGTCAGGGTCAGTCATTTTTCATGGGGTTCTGCGTGCCACACACCTAAACACGTTTGAATGTTGTATTAATTGCTGTTCAGACCTTGAAGAGATTAGACTCCATACTTCCCATCTTCCCCAAGAACGGATTCAAAAATGGCTTAACCCAGCGGACCCATCAAATAATTACAACACGGCTGCGAAGCTCCGCCACGGCAACACCAACGCGTGGTTCCTGGAACACGAAGCATTCTCGAGCTGACTATTAGGGAGAAAAAGCCACCTTTGGCTCCATGGCACATCGGGATGCGGCAAGACAGTCCTCTCATCTACGATCATCCAGCATCTCTATCCAGATTGTCTCTATTTCTACTTCGACTTTCGTGACAGTTCCAAGCAGAGCCTCGACCAAGCACTCCGATCCCTAGTGTTTCAGCTCTATAGCACGAATGGGGACATGAACAAGGGGGCGAGGTGCATCCTCGAGAAGCAATGGTCTAATCACGGGAACGGAACAAGCCAGCCATCCACCAATTGCCTAATTGAGACATTTGACCGCATGGCTAGACAGCATAATGATATCAGGGTAATCATCGATGCTTTGGATGAATGCACTGCCGGTACCGGGACTGATGTCAACCTCAGAGCAGAGCTGCTGGCATGGCTCCGAAAACGGATCAAGCACCAGGGGTCCGACCATTGCAGAATTCGGATCATCATGACGAGTCGGAGCAATTTACTTGACATTACGTCGCAACTCGTCCCTGTGCTACCTCATGATTCGATCATCAGTATTGAAAACGAGTCCACCAAAACGGACATCCGGACGCTTATCCGAGAGCGACTGCAAGGGAACAGCGGTTTCTTGAGGTGGCAAACCCCCGAGGAGAAGCCATATCTGCAACATATCGAGGAGACGCTTTTGGAAAGATCCAATATCATGTAAGAACCTAAATGCAAATTCGCACATAACAGAATTCTGACTTCACTGCAGGTTCCGCTGGACTGATCTTCAGCTCAACAAGTTGGAGAGACTGGATAGCAAACACAGCATAAACAAGGCGCTTGAAAGTCTTCCCGAGGGTCTAGATGAAGTATATGCCCGAAGTCTTAACGAGGTGCAGGCCGAGCACAGAGAGGATGCGATTTTACTACTGCAACTCTTGTTGTACTCACAGAAGCCTCTATTGGTCAGCGAGGCTATACTCGCCATGACTGTCGATCCCAATGGGCCAGCGGGAAGGTGCATTGACCTTGATAAGATGATGTCAGAGGATATGAAACCGTTATTACCTCTGATATCGAACCTGGTGAGGATCGTTCAAATCTATACGCCTGGTCCGAAGCACGTCGAGATCGCACATGCATCCGTCAAGGATTTTCTGATTTCACCCTGTAACAAACACTGGCAGCAAAGATTCCAGGAAACCTCTGCAAGGGCAGATATCCTGCGCAACTCTCTGGCATATCTTGGAACAATTGGAGTAACGCACGAGAAGCCTGAAAAAAGTCTCTTCGAATACATGAACCAGCACTTCTTCCCCCATGTGAAATTCACAGCAGTACAGAAAGAGGCCCATGAACAAATCATTAAGTTCTTCAGCTTGAATGGCTTCAAAATCCAAGGGAACATTGTTTCGATGTCCGCCGACAAACGCTTTGCAGGCCCTCCTCTATACGTCTCTTCTGCCTTAGGTCTCACGTGGACTGTCGGGCAGTTGTTGAAGAATGGAATTGATGCAAATGAGGAAGGGGGCAATTCCATACTTACCGAAGCCCCGGCCGCACCATACTACAAGGAGCTTATCACCAAATACGTGTCCGAGGATCTCGAAGTACTCGGCGTCTATCCGAAAATCGATGCAAAACTCGGGAATGCTCTGTGTGCAGCTTGTAATAGATGCCACGAGGACGTCGTCCGGCTATTACTTGACAATGGGGCTAAAGTCAAAATGGCGCTCGATCTCGATGATGATTTCCTTCGACACGCGTACTATCAAGATTCCCTCGGAATTGTCAAGATCGTTCTTGAGCGATGGCCTGACGGCAATGTCAAGGGTCGACACTTGGGTCACGTATTGATAACAGCATGTCGACATCGTCTAAGAAACCCAGAGTTGATCCGTGTACTCCTTGACAATCAGACTGATGTCAACATGTATGACTGCCATTATGGAGCCGCTCTTCACGCGGCAAGCTTTGAAGGTCAAGACGCTACCGTCCGGATGCTCATAGACGCCGGTGCTGATGTCAACGCTAAAGTACCGGAACGGGATCAGGAGACTGCTCTACAAGCAGCATGCATTGGCAACCACAAGGAAATAGCCGAAGTTTTGCTTCAGAATGGTGCGGATCCGAATATTCAGGATGGTTATCATGGAAATGCGCTTACATGGGCGGCATTCAAGAACAATAAGGGAGTAATTAGATTGTTGCTCGACTATGGAGCGAATCCGGATTTAGTTGGAGATAAACACCGAGAAGCTGTGGAAGAGGTTATGAGGGGAATGGAAAACGAGAAGAAGAACAACGCGGCGCTCAGGGATACCTCTGTAGGGTGACAGGAGAGTGGTTTACTCCAGAAATTCAATGGATCCTCCGAGTGATTGTAAGCTACATATAAGCGAGGCGATGTGGTGATCAATTGTCACTTACCCACTACTGAGCAGCCGCAACTCGGCTTTTGAAGTAACTATAAGTGCTTCAGCCACGTATAATCCCCAAATCGCCATGAATTCTGTCGACTAAAGTATAGACACAAGCTAGACTACGACTCCGGGCTTGTCAGCGGCTTCCTCCAATAATTCCTCAAGCCCCCTAAATTTCAGACCCTTAAAGTACTTCTCCCTGTGCCTTTCCACTTTTCCCGCTGGAAAAAACAACGCTTCGCTGTGGCCCATGATTTCGTACATCGCCGCCACAAGACTCGTCTCACCCTGCCCCGCCATGAGTTGCTTGATGCTCTGCGCGAGGGATTTTGATTTGAGCGTCCACTCGGGATCGCGGCTCTTGACAAATTCCCACAGCCCGTACCAAGTTGTTTGGGCGCCGGAGATGCATGTGAAGGGCTCCCAGTCGTTGGGGTCATGGTTGAGCAAGACGGAAACCGCTCTGGCCGTGTCCCTTCCGGAAGTGAAATCGACAGTCTGGGTGCCTCTTCCATAGAGGGTGAAGACCTTGTTGTCATAGTCCTGGACCCAGTATTCGCCAAGGTCGTGGAAGTACCGCTGATTCGAGGGAAGAAGATAGTCGGACATCCAGCCTTGGCAAAAGCACGTCCATTTGATGTCGTCTTGGCTTCGAAGGGCGTCCAGGATGGGCGCAAGTGAGTTTCCAGTAGCGATTGGCTGGTCTGGGACGTCCTCGACATTGCCACCCCAAACGGACGGGATGAAACGCTTGCATCTTGGAGAGAGCTTGCAGGCGTCGATCAGAGCCAGTTGACAAGGTGTAAAACCGGGAGTACCGTCTTTGATGGCACAAATGACTGCATCGCAGTCATGGAGGTGAATCTCGAGGTCTTCCACAGAATAGTCTGTAACGCGCTGAGAGACCCCAAGTTCATCGAGGAAGGCTTTGGAGGAGCGGGTTATAACAACGATTTCGTGACCTTGTTTTGGGAGTTCATCGATGAGGTAGCGAGCGATACCGCCGGGTCCAGAGATGGCAACTTTCATAGCGGATGAACCGAGGATATTACTCCAAAAGTGTTGAGGATTTTGGATGTAGGTATGTCTGCAACAGTGATTCAGAGTTCTTTTGCAATATATATAATTGTCTTTCCCCTGTTCTATCAAATGTCCGAGTTGCCAGAGGGATTGTGAACCTGAATTTGTAAGCTTAACGTGATCGGGAACAATCACATGAGCTTTTAATTGATAAGTTTAACATTATATTCGGAGCGGACCACGGGAGTGACAGTTCCGAGCTGGTACACGGAACGTAGAGATCCCGAAAGTTATACTCCTTCAGCATTACAACTTGGCAGTATAGACGAACCTCTCGTTAAACTGAAAATGACTTAAACCGTGTGATGTGCCAAGAGTCCCCGTGCTGTAACTATATTTAGCCGGATCTATGCAAACTACCGAAGTCCGTTCGCGCCAAGATCGTTAATTATTCACGACAACGAGCTTTCTTTTCTGGAACTAGAAGCGTTTAGGAAGGTGTACTGCGGAAAGGGTTTCCTTTTAAAATCGAACGATTTTTACAACATTTTCCTCGCACCACATACTGTCCTTTATCGAGCTAGACCCGGCAACACATGAGGGATTAAGGAAAGTGATGAGTCAATCATTCTCTAGAGACACTGTATTGAAAATGGAACCCTTGATACTCCAGCATGTCTATCAGCTCTCTCGTTTTCCATCCGTGCAGCCTTGCTTGTAGTGCTTCGTGAAATCGTACTCAATGTTTGACACCTTCTAAATGATAGTTAGCTCGATACGTCCTATACAAGTTTACTTCGCCCACATACCAATATGAAATCTTTAGTCGCCTGCTTGTCCTTCTCCAAATCTTTGAGCAGCCCCAAAAATTTGTCCGTCTCCAGGACAGTCCATGGATCCGACTTGGCAACTCTGTCAAGGTTGAGGATCGATCTTCTGTCGACGTACTTGAGGAAAATATCTCTCCTGACCTCTGCGTAAGTGTCTAGGATGCCCTCGTCAGCTTTTCCTTCATAGAATCCGATCAAACAGTCTGCAAGGCCATCAACGTCGAGAATAGCCGTCATGCACCCGTAGCCACCCATGGGGTTGCAGACGTGCGCGGCATCGGCGGCTAGAAGAATGCGGCCCACTCTGAAGTTTTCCACGCAGCGGTTGTGGATCTGATACAGGTTCGTCTGCTCGATACGATACTGCTCGGGGTCGGGATGCCCGGGAAGGATGGCTTTGAAGTGCATCGGACGCCGCTCGAGGTACTCTTCGTCCGTCAAGCCAACGACTGGATCACCGTATGTCACGCGCCATAATCCGCCATTACCGCGGCGGGCGATAAGGCCCCAATGCTCGGGATCAACCATGTAATTTCCCCCATCCCAACCGTGCTTTTCGAAGCCATCGTAGAAGACCTGCCGCTGGTTAGCAATCAAAAGCCATGTTTGGCAAAAATGATCACTCACATTCTGGACGATGAATCTGTAAGGAAATGTCTGTCCGGGCCACTCCCGCCCGAAGAGCGACCGTCGAACGGCGCTTGAAGCTCCGTCGCAGCCAATGACGTAATCTGCGTGGAACCGCTTTTCCTCCTTCTGCTGTCCTTCCTCGCCCACCTCGACGTCAACCCATGCACCGTTTTCACCTTGCCCTGCATGTGTGACCTTGTGATTGAACAAAACTTCAATCAGGCCTTTTCCCCTCTCCATGCAATGCCGATACATGATCTTGATAATTTCACCCAACTGCAGGATAGTCATGCGGTCTGGATGATCCTCAATGACCGACAAGTCAAGACCAACCAGCTTTTCCCCATCGGCGACACGCCGCCAGCAGATGCTCGGGAATTTGGGGATGCTGGCCGCTCGAAAATCATCCAGCAAACCGGCGCGTCGGAAGACACGAGTTGCTGGGACACCATACTGTGTCGCGCGTAGGCGGGTATCAAGTTGGGGCCATGCTTCGAGAACGAGCGATGGGATGTTTCGTTGCGATAGGAGAAGAGCGAGGAGCAAGCCCGACGGTCCAGCGCCCACAATAATAAGCTGACAAGGATTATCATTCGGTGTTCGTCATAAAGCGATTGATCCCATTGCCTACCTTCTCGAATGGTGGTTTCTGTGATGCCATGCTCATTGTTGCGACGACTGTAGTCTTGATGTTTGCTTCCTTTACTAGCACACACGGAGCCTTCTTATTTCATTGAAGGCGTACCCCCAATTTCACGTAGATAAAGTCTGTCATCAGTGCGGTCAATTTCCGCTGATGGATTACCAAAGTAAAAGCCGGTTGCAGCTACCGACATAAGAAAATAGCACTAATGGTCACCTCTCGGAGTCTACTTGAACGCGCTCGGCCGAGGTTCAAAGAGCGAGGGTCTTGACATACTTTACTATAGTCAGAGGCATAAGTAATATTCGCGCGTATGGTTTCGCGGAAACCATGCAAGGCCAATACCAAGTCGAATTGGCTGGACTGCCGTCGGAATTACCCTGCTGCGGAGCCGGGGCATGGTGGGGACGGTGGGGATGGCGGGGACGGGAAGGGGAGCAGGGTTTGCGCTTGATCTGCTTACCAAGCGTAAGCGGTTCAGGGATGTTGCTTCCAAGCAGAGGGAAGTCAGGGCAACCAAATACGCGAGCCTGCTTATGCTTAGCTTGCTCAACTACTTAGTAAGCGGGGATATTTACCCCTTTCATAAGCGCAAGTGCGCGAATTCTGCGCGGCCCGGGCTCATAAACATTTGAAATGAGCTACAGTGAGGCTGGGAAAACGACTCATTGGTTTATTCTTTTACTCTGCCGTAATTAAGATCTAATCCTATCAAAGAGCTTCTTTGCAAGCTCGCAACGCGCTGGTCAACTGGCGGCAAACTTATGTACAAACGGGCTGTTCCCAATACACGTACAAACATAGTGGCTTTCCCAATGTTTCGGCAGGTATTTTCAATTGATTTTGGGACTACTTCAGGGCTGTTTACCTACGTGTGCTATCCGAGCGACCTTCAGAGCTCAGGGTGCTCCTTCAAGAAGGCTGCCAACGATGTTGGCTGTACATTGAGCTTGTCGTTGTCAAGTTTATGGAAAATCCACGTCCCACCAATCGCGTGGTACTGGTAGGACCACCCAATATAGGTTTCGAAGTGCCTCTTATCTCCTTGCGCTCGTTCCTTCAACGACCTTTCTCGCAACTCTCCCACAGTTCCCATCACCTGGATCGTGACCTTTTTCTGCCTCTCTTGCTCGTACAAGCCAGCAATCTCTCTCAACGAATGTGCACCGGAGCAGACGTTCCAGAAGCCGCCCTGCTCTGCATCATCACGCTGAACGATCTCAGCAGTGAACTCTGCTGCGTCCCTCTCGGTGGTCCAATAGAACGGTTGATGACCAGTACCCCAGATCTTGATGCAGCCATGGTCCGAATCCCAGATATTGGAGTCGTTAAATCCAAAATGGCCATGGTCGGGAATTGAAAAGAGCGTCTCGGCAAACACCCCGTTGAAGATGTAGATCGGCTTGATGTCCGAGCTCAACTCGGCCTGACGCCGGAAAGAAAGATACGGGTCGTAGCTTTCATGATGGCCAAGTGGAGCATCGCGCCAATCGTGGTTCCAACTGTCAGCCACGAAGCGCTTGACACCGGCGCGCTCGGCTGCACGGAGGAGGAGCAGCTGGCCATCGAGCTGAAGAACTGGAATCATGCCGTAGGCGCAAATGACAGCATCAACACCATCACAGGCGCGGTCTAAAGCGGGTATGTCGTAGTAGGTGGAGTACTGGACGAAGCTTTCCAGCAAGTTGCGCGTCTCCAGGGCCAACTTTTCGGGGCTGCGACCCAGGCCTCGAACCTGATGCCCCCTCGAGGCCAGGCTGTGGACAAGTTTCTGGCCCAGGTTTCCAGTGACGCCGGCAATGAGGACAAGCATTTTGATCGTGAGAAGAATGGGCCAACGTTTTCCTATTCACTGATTTAGCATATTTGAATGATATCTGCTGTTCATGTAGGGAGTCTCTTACAACAGGTTTCAACTTCGTAGTTTCTGGTTTTCGAAAGAAGGGTTGCATTTGCAGTTTATTTATGCATACCTGGTTTCTGTCTCTGAATTTTGCACTCCTTCGGACAAAGAGAGCTCCGACCAGCAGCTCCGAACGGAGCAGATACCGTAATTGTGGATACCAACCAAGTCCCAGCTGAGGTCGAGACCAACAGATCTCCATACTCGAAGTCATCATTCTGGCATCGCTAAATTGTCTTCTTGGTTGCCTATCCAGTCGACACCAGCTAGTCGGTTTGTTTGATCCTCGTGCGATGATCTTTACTAAATTGGGTCGGCGCCGACCTACAACGGACCGAGGAGCACGCTTACTTTCAGTTTCCCTACTCTCTCGAAGAAGAGGCTGTCCCCCACGCCTAGTCCATCAATTATGTGTTCGATGAGGGTTTACTACATTGCAAAAGAGGGGTTGCTCTATTAAAGGGCAGCATCTCGTTTTAAGTGCCTAGGCTACTCTGGTAGGACGCTTCTTTGCCCACATTGCTTTCTCCGAGTTTTACCCGGTCAATCCATCAATGTTCCTCCCAAACATGCCTGCGTGGGTGTTCGCATCTATTATTGTGAGCTTAACATTATCACGCAGCTTTGCTTACCCTACCTGCGTAACCGACAAGGACCTTCCAACGGTTACTCTGGCAGACGGTGTAATAATCGGCACAACAACGGCTCTCGAATCAGTGCCATCCGTTACCGCGTACAAATACCTTGGAATACCATTTGCGCAGACTCCGCCTCAAAGGTTCTCACCTCCGGTAGATCCCTTGCCGAGGGGCTCGCCTTTCGAGGCTAAACAATTCAAGCCAGCTTGCATCCAGCAATTCCCTAGTATTTCCGTTGCGACCTACGATGATGAATTCAACTAATCAGTACCGACAGGCGAGCTATTCAAAGAGATTTTCAACGACCCACCTCCACCAGAGAGTGAAGACTGTCTCTATCTAAACATATTCACGCCACCTACGCCCGCACCGCAGGATGGCTGGCCAGTCATGTTTTGGATCCACGGCGGCAGCTTTTCACTCGGCTCAGGGCGCCTGAATGAATACGATGGCTCCGAAGTGGCAGCTACCCAAGATGTGGTTGTAGTGACTACGAACTACAGACTAAATGGTACCGGCTATAGAACCCAACAAACAAACTGATCGAATTGCTCACTGTCATCAGTATTCGGCTTCCCATCTTCTCCAGAGATACCTCTAGAGAGCCGAAACTTAGGTCTCTTGGATCAGCGAAAAGCACTTGCTTGGGTATCTCAAAATATCCATGCATTCGGTGGCGATTCGTCAAAGGTCACCATATTTGGCGAGTCCGCAGGCGGCTATTCGGTCAAGCAGCTTATTGCCAATCCTCCTCGCCCTCTACCATTCCGTGCCGCTATATTGCAAAGTCAGGCACGGGGGCCTGCGGCTGACACTAAAAAGTCTTGGGCTGTCCTGGCAGCCGAGCTGGGATGCGACTCTACAGCATCCTCGCAGCTTGAATGCATGCGGATGGCGGATGTCGATCGCATCAGGAAAGCCCTTGACAATCGGCCATTTGGGTTTACTCCTGTCTACGATGGTAGAACTGACATGCGCTCCGTAGAGGACGCCATCACTCAGGGCACAGCGGCGAAGGTGCCCATCCTGATCGGCACCAACGCCGACGAAGGATCCGTCCTGACATCAGCCATGCCTGCTCCGCAGTTGATGCTTGAGGGGATCTTCGGCAACGACACGGCCGCTCTGGCTGCTGCCCGTGCGGCGTACCCGGCCAATGCAACGGATGAGGAGCTCAAGTCTCGCATCCTGACCGATTATGGCTACACCTGCACCACTTCTGCCATCGCCAACACGGCCGCCCAGGCCGGTTACAGTGTCTGGCGCTACTATTTCGACGCCAGCTTTCCGAACACGCAGCCTTTTCCAGGCGCGGGCGCGTGGCACACGTCCGAGATTGGCCTCGTCTTCGGCACATACCCGCGAAATAACGAAACCACAGCCCAACAAGCCAGACTTAGCAGGTTTCTCCAACGATCATGGGCAGATTTCGCTAAAGATCCGTACGGTGGTCCTGGCTGGGCAAGTGTTGGGGGTGCAGGAGAGGATTTGGAAGTGATAGGGGTCAATGGAACGGCCTGGGGTGAGTCTGTCGAGGAGGAGACTGTGGATGAGATTTGTAGGGTCTATAAGGGGGCTGTGCATAACAACGGTCTATAGATGTTAGGTAATGCAGAGACATCAAGATCATGGCCAATTTATCATAAGCAAAATACAACGCGCTGATACAAGTGGGCCCCGAGTCGAGCAACAACTGCATTATCCCAGCGCGCACAGTCTGTCCCCGGTCAGCATGGCTGTGAACAGCGGACGGAGACTTCCATACCAACCGGACTTGCTGGAATTCTCAACCCCGCTACGGCCGTAATTATCAAGCTCGAAAGACCGGCGGCCAGTCTGTTAAGGTTGTGTGAGTTCGATCCAACAACGTAACCCGTCGCCGCCAGGCTTAAAGCTGCTATGCCATGGTTGAAGCGCCAGGAGTATGAGTATGGCAGCGCCATTTTGGTCCTGGGGCGAGGGGTGTGGTTCTGCCGGAAACTTAAGAATAGAGATAATGACCCGGAAGTGTGCGGGTTCAGTCACACAAATAATTCAATGGCCGATTGCACAGTATTCCATATCGTCAAACGCACCTCATTGGTATTTGTGAAGGCTCGCATTCCTGATATTAGTAGGTATCGAACTGGTCGCGTCGTGGGGGCGCTTTTACGCTTCGATGGGTGGTCAAGACTGGGGTATATGTGGCACAGCACGCGAGATCGGCAACAACAATTCCTTGAACCATAGCTTAAGCATTGCGGCAAAGCCCCTGCGCAATCCAAGAGTCCGTCCAGCACGTTAGTCTTGGGTTGATGTTTGTCCGAAGTGTAGTTGTGACAGATATCTTGTAATGTGCGGCTAAACCTCACTAGTCAGGCCTGCAGACTGAGAAGTTGAAATAAAATTGCAGTCTCGTAAACATAGAAGTGCAAAAGAAATAAAATCTAATTCAGCTACTACAGTTATACCAGAATTCAAGAGCGCCATGACTGAATGGGCAGCAGCTCGTAAGACGCAGGTACATCAGCAGTCGTACTCGTAACCTCTTCAGAAGCTTCAATATTTGCATTGGGCTCTCTAGGCCCCTCAACAACCTCTATTCCCCATCTCTGCTGCCCCCTTTCATCTTCGAACCAGCCCAGCTTTGTGAGGGTACCTTTCTCGCCGTCCAGTCCACTGGGTCCCCTTTCGTTGACCAGTCGGAGCAGTCTATCACTTCCTGCAACCAGGACAAGCACATCCCCAAGACAATCTATGTTGCGGTTTAGGTTGCGTAGATACCTGCGCTGAAGCGCCCCGACAATGATTGTAGTGACAATCAACCAGAGTATGATCGCGGTGCTCAACCAAACTGCTGCAGCATTAACCTCCAGCACTTCGATGGGTGTTGATACCTGTATGGTAGCCGTACGATTCGTTTGAGAGTGAGGTATAGAGTAATTCGCATTTTCGCGGTGATCCTTATTCACATATGTATCAACCGCTCCGAGTTCTGCAGGAAGAGTGGCGTTGATTGGCTGGTACGCCCAGCTGCCAGTCATTAGAGATACGTTGCTGCTGACGAAATGTTGAAAAAGGGTCGAAAATGTTTCTTGTGCGAAATCCTCGAGCGCTGAGACGTTGGTGAGGGTAGTGGGGTCTTGTTTAGCTTTCATGTACATCGAGTATGTCATGAAGTCAAGATTGAGGCCTTTCTCGATATCCCGAATGTTGAAGGCTTGGTCATCAAGGTCTTCCCATTTGCCCTGTACACCACCTGAAATGATACCTTTGACATTTGCGGAGGTGAGTAAGGATCTTTCAAAAAGAACCCCGAAGCTGGGATATCCTTGTAAGCAGATTTCTATTGAAAGTGCACATTATTTGAGACCTTACCTCGTTGTGCTGTTGACAAGTTCACTATACTGATCTATTCTCGGATCTTTGTCGCGTACGACAAATGCGTCGCTCCATGCGTGGTCATATTTTCCCGCTGCACTCAAAATGGTGAACGATTGCACTTCTCCCGTATCACCTCTGACAGTCACATTTGCCTCGGAAGTCTCCATGACTGGTGTGCAACGGATGGCGCTAATTGCAGGAACGTCGGTGAAGAGAAGCCGCTTAAAAGATTTGTCGTCGCCAGACTTTCGAGGTCCTGACATCCCATCTCCATAAACCCATTTTATCGAAATGTCCAGAGGTCCAACACCGTAGGCGTTCTCTTCCATGTCAAGAGACCAGTATCCGAGGGCGACCTGTCCTGCAGCATTGTCGGTTCCATTAGAGCAGCACTGAATCGTGCTTAGGTGCGTCAGGAAGGTGGTGTTGAAGAACTTTGACCCGACCATTGACCCGTATCTCCCATTATCTCGACCAAGCTGATATGCATCCGAAATGTTCTTCGGGATAGTACTTTGATCCCATATCGAGGAGTTTGTAGCATCCGTGTGAGTAAGCCATTTTGTATGATTTTCTAATTCACCATATGGAGTACAATCGAGGCGAGCCCGAATTGCTGGCGTTTGTACGGTTATATTGATCATAGGGTCGAAAAGCGATGCTCGCGATTGGTCAGAAATACGGCCGGTGGCCAGACCCTGCGTGTCGAGAGGAACAAAGCTCCATCCATCTCGGCTCCATTTTGGCTGACTTGCATTAAGTGCTAATTGGAGGGTGGCACTATAAAGCCAATTCGTAGATAGCTCGGTATAAAGGTGGCTGATGACTGCGAAAGGGGTCGTATCGACATATAGACTCGAAGGGCTGCGTGTCTCGTAGGTAAATGGTACATCCCGTATTTCGAGGCTTCGTTCTACCACAACAGTGACGATCTCATTTGTCTGGCTGCGTTGGAATAATGCCGACATTGAGATTGTAACTAAACATGAGGTTTATTAGCTGCCTAAACTCCTATTGCGTTGTGTTTGCGATTGAGAACAAAATAAAGGATAACTTACGTATTTGAGATAATGTAGTCCCAATGGTGATGAAACATAAGAACCAGTGCCGGTTTGAGGCTGCTTTAAATGTAGCTGCGATCCAATAGGATGACTGATATGATAAGGCGACTCCACGAGCAGCATTTGTAGGTGCGTTAGCCATTGATAGAAAGGGTTGTAGCTTCCGGAACGTTGCATCTATTGAGCCCCACCAGAGCCCTATCCCAACAGCTACAAGTGTTGGGATAATGGACATTGGTGCGACCGCAGGGCTTTTTCGGCCTAGTACTTTTATGCTGGCGTTGTATGTAAAGAAGGCTTGATGGAGATTTGAGCGTTGTGCAAGCTTGTAGAGTACCAGGATAGAGGCCAGAACCAGAATGAGGGATACCAGCAGGCTGCAAAGACTTCTCAGACGAAGGACTGTCGGTATCGAAGTGATGCTAGTGGAGCTTCCTCTATTCAGTTGTTCCGCTGTCGAATATCAGCAATGTCGTTGTCAGCAACAAGGGGTCTCACTTACTAGATAACGCTCTGCCATGTTCCCGCTCATGCAAACCTCGATACGAGGTGTCATAGTCTTTTTCGCGAATGGTCTGGTAGAGCTGTTTCTCGGAGCTTCGGTCAAATCCCAGTAGGGTTTGTCGGACATTTGGTTGATTTGTGATCAACGAGCACACCGTGGTTGTTTTAGCAGGATCTCCTCTCAGGTTGAGAGCTCGCCGCCACCGTCTTGAAAGGATCCAAACAAGAATCAGCAGGATTGATGATATTTGAAGGATGACTGCAACCGTAATTGCAACACCGGCGATCACAAGTATTCGCCTTTGATCTGTTGTCACCTCGCCGCTCATCAAGCGGTTATTTGAATCCTCCTGCTGAAGAAGCGAGTGCTGAATTACTTCGCCGAAGACTCTTTGCTTTATGCGTTTCGCCTGAGCCGCCAAACTTTTGTCCTTGACCATTCTTTCCATATCGAAATCATACAAGGCCCCCAATGGTAAAGTTAAACCATTAAGCCAAGGCCTCGTATCGTGCGGAATGGGCGCAATGAATGGCGTATACATTGACCAGTTTGAAGACAATGCTAGTTGTTGAAAGGCATCGATATTTAGCGTGTCGAATGGAATTGGAGTGCGTTCCTTGATATACCTGTTTCCATCAAAAGAGATAGACGACAGTGCTCCTGCTGATTGTATGGTGACTTTTATTTCAGCCATATAGTAATGAGGTGAGCATATATGCGCAGAGGTGTTCAAATGGAGCCTCATCTGTTTGGTGTCTTGATCCAGCAAGCTTGGCATGGAAATTATGAACTCTCTGTCTCCACACTCTGATGTAGTATTTGTCGAAATGCTGTCGCTTTCCGGAGGCTGTCCCCAAAATGCAAATCCAGTATCTGGAATCGTACGTGGAAAGGTGATGTTACAGATACACCCGTCGTTTGATGCAAAGGAAATAGAATGATTGGTATCCTTTAATTCCATCGGTGTGCAATCCAGATCTGTGTTCATTATGATTGTCTTCGCTTCCCAGGTTTCTGGTGTCGAAGATAATGAAGGCTCCAATGGAATCTTGTCAAGATGAGAAGGCCACACTGGGAATGCAACATATTCATCAGTTATCCATGCTGAGGTAGAGACATCCTGGAGTATGTTTCCAAGGATGCGTAAGTAGGTCTCCCGTCCTACAGTCACCGGAAGAGTGGCATTCACCGAAAGTGCCGTGAAGTTTGTGGGCTTTGCCATGGCGACGCTGGCTGGTTCGAGCAGAGATGGCGACAAGGGAGAGATCGTGAGAAAGCCGAGAATGTTGATAAGGGAAGAGGCAATGAGAACCCAGCTTCGACAACCACCGTTCTTCTTCTTTGACATTCCATCGAACAAGGCATTCCACCAAGCTCCTGGGGATTGAAGGATTGTTGACGCACCAGGCGCGCCACCTGGTCTTGCCATTCGTGCAAATGGCTCGGTTCTCTTGACATCGTCAAGTAGCATCGCTGTCATTTGCACGTAAATAACAGCAAAGATTGACGGCGCAAAGCGCCATCCAAAGAAAGTAACGGCGGAATCATTGACGTCCCAAAGGCCGTAGTGCGTAGCGGAGTACCAGTACAGAACGATGACCGTGATCATCAACGCCAGGGTGGTGAACATGAGAAGGCTCAAATATTGCCAGCTGAGTGTGTAGGGAAACCACCCATCGGTTGAGACGGGTGTAGGGTCTTGGGCGCCGATTGCCGTGGAAACATCCTGATTGTGCGACTCTATGATGGTGTTGAGCAATATCATTCGGTACTGAAACTCTGTCCATGTACTTACCCATAGCATCCAGGGGTCTGTCGGTTCGTATTCCCGTCTCAGCAGAGGATATGGCTAGAGCGGCGGAATTTCCCTCTACAAATGGCGCTTGAGATTGACCTGAATGTTGTGGCGAGACAACCGAGTATCGGGTGTCTGATGGTGCAGAAACACTGCTTTCTCCAGACAATCTGGCGTCTGGTACTACTGGGAGTTGATCTGCATGAGAAACTACCCCAGAAGTCTCGCTGACCTGGGAAAGCTGAGGTACAGAATCAATTTGGACACTTTCGATACTCTCCATCGTTGTGAACCGAGACTCTACTTGGTGAGAATCTGCCTGAGACACAATAGACTGGACGTCTATATCTCCATCAGAGCTTTGTTCGTTTGCGGAAATCATGGTAGTCATCTCTGAGGTAGTTGCGAAAGTAGAAAAATAATTGAGCACAGAGTGACGACGTTGACGGTTGAGATGTGACGACGTTTGGTGGATTGAGCAAGCTATAAGCGCATACATATCCCACAGATCATCTGAGACTCATGAGGTCAACGTGCGAGATGAATTTCCAAGGCTAGAGGATATTTTTAGGCAACCGAGAGGCTTGCGGAGCTTCACGCCCCAGTTGCACACGTGCTCAGCCACCTTGGAGTAACACATTCCTAATCCAATTGCATGGATTACAGTGTACAAGATGGACAACAAAGAGAAGTTACAAACATTTTCAGCTGATTTACGACAATAGGTCCTCCTTTGCATGGGAATTCCTCTACGGCCGTTGCCATGTCCTGAATTCTTTTGTTTGCTTTTGCCCTCATGTCCTTTTACGCATGAAAGAAACATTTAAGTTTTGTATTCGATATCGATCAACTGAACAAGATTAGTTTACCATCTCAGCCTTGTCATTGTTAACAAAGGAGTGTTAGTGCTTGGGATCGAGTGCAATCGTTGTACATACACGCAACCTCTGACTTGCATCGACGCTATTTTTAAAAGTGTCTCACCACAGCATTCCTCATCTCGACAAAGCTATTATTCTTTGGGACGGATCGTGTTTAATGTTTCATCATAGACACTTGCTGCGCAATGCTAATTTGCAGCACAGCTTTCTACAGGAGTTACAAGCATGATCATATTTGGGGGCCAAAACTTTTAATTGGATTCAGACATTTTACACAACCAGGTTCAGGTCGGGCAAGGGGTAACAAAGGTAACGTAGGTCTCCGCTGAGCCTTTTCTTCGGCTGAATCCGACTTGTGAGTATGCATGACAGAGGCGCATCTGCACCATCCAGAATTTCGAGAGCATTGTTTACACCTTGTCCGTGGCACGAGCCGCATGGCTTACTAAAGACCCGAGTCAATGGTTCTCCTACGTATGAACCATCAGCACGGACCTGAAGGAACTCTGATATTCCTCTGTCGAAGCCTTTGTGATGGCTGTCTTTGCCAACGGAAGTCCAGCGCAACATTCTCATGTGGCTTGAATCAATTCCTGCACACGTGTATGTACACACCACAGCATCAGTCATAGCTGCTGTGTCTTAAGCCATCACGAGGCGCGAAGAATGAAGAGTTTCGGTCTGCGAAGTGGGGCGATAACGACGGACCGTTGCCCCGCTGCGGAAGCGCTTTTCGGGTTCTTGCACAATATTGGGCATGATAGACGAAGATTTGCGAGGCTTGCATCATCACCCAAGGCAAGTGACCTCGTGTCCGTTGAAATTCTTTTCACAGTGGCCACGCGTGTGCTCATCAACTCTACCGCCATCGTGCATCGACGAGCCTTCTGGAAGCTATCTGCAACGCTCAGACCTCGCCGAACCGTTCACCTCCTCTTGGCTCGTACCGTCGTCTCGGTGTTTGGAGCCACGAGGCTGCGCTAGAGTGAAAACAAGGGCGAGGTTCGCGTGCCGCAGGCGGTCAGCCGCACGGCGAACTTCGGAAGGGCGGTGGGCGGTGGGCGGTGAGCTCGTGCTTCTCTGCATGCAACCATCTACCCACCGCGGTGTCGAAGCTGGTGTTGGGATGGAATATGACTCTATAAGTTTGGAAACCTGAGGACAGATTTACAGTGTTCAGCAAATCTTGTCTATCTTCTCCGAGCCTCCAAAATTTCTGTGCACGCCATGTCGACCATCTACGAGCGCGCTGAGGAAGGATCGCTGACAGCGAATGACCTGAAAGAGCCTCATGCGGTCGAGGAACTAGCGACCGTTAACCCCACTACTTTGTTGACTCCATTGGGAGTGGCAGTGTGGTTTGGCCACGAAAAACAGGTAAAGCTGCTTCTCGAAAAGGGCGCTAACCCAAACGGGGAAAATGGAGCGCGACCTCCGCTCTGGGTCGCTGCAGCCAAGACGAAGCACAACGCAGGCCGCATCATCCAGATCCTGCTCGCCCACAAGGCTGACCCGTCGAAGCCGTCGGAGCTTGATCAGAACTCCACGCCCCTATTGGCTGCGGTCAAGAACGACAGGGCGCCTGCAATCATCAGCACGCTCGTTGACGCGGGAGCGTCTCCGGAGAAACAGAATGAGAAGGGAGAGTCGGCATTGGCGGTAGCGGAGAAGAAGAAGGACCGTGACATACTGCAGGCCATGCATCCTCGGAACGACAGACATGGCGATCGATTCACAGCTCTTTTCGCACTTAGCGGGCTAGTACTCGGCGTTGTTGCATGGTCGAACAAGTTCAGCAAGTGGACAGCGGCCGCTAAAGCAGCAACGGCTGTTGCCACCGCCGGCTGCTTTATCGCTTCTGGTGCCCAAGCTATCAAGAAGAGGTTCAACATGAGTGGTTGGTTTGAGTCCAGGTGGTTCCCGGAGGCATGTACTTCCTTCCCGTTCATAGAGCTTGAGCTGACAGTTCTACAGCGTTACCAAGAGCCGAAACCGGTGGAAGAATTCGAGCAACACATGAGCGAATTCATAGAGAATTCTAAGCTCGACCGCTTTTTCCCTCCAGGAGACACCTTCCTGAAGAAGGTCGTCGAGCGAGCCGTGCGGTTGAACGAGGACCCGTCCAACGTTCTCAATACGAATGACCTGTGCCGCCTCGCACTTTACCAGCCCTATCTCTATCTCGGTATGCATTCCCTAAGTCACTTTTGTCCGTTTCTCCCGTTTGACAACTTGATTGCAGATGATAGCGGGTCTATGGAGGACTATGAACGCAATGAGCACCAGAGAGAGGTGGTCAAGAGAATCGCCAGTATTACAACCCGCCTGGTTCCTGACGAGACGGGTGTTGAACTGCGTTTTATCAACGAGCCAACCACCCCGGAGATGTCCAGACCCTCTTTGGATACGATCGACAGTATCATGAGGAATCTGCCGTTGAATGGCTGGTCAGAGATTGGTACGAACTTGAAAACGAAAGTACTCAATGAAGCAGTCTACGAGCCACTCAAGAACGGAACTTTTAAACGTCCACTCCTCGTGTCCATCATCACCGACGGGCATCCAGCAGGGCCGGAGGGAACTGTGGAGAAAGTTGACACCCTGGAGAAGGCTATTTTGGAATGCGGCGAGACACTCAAGAAGCATGGCTATGATCGGACCGGTAAGCTCCACCCCCTTCTCTTTTGCAATCTGTTCTGACTGTTCAAATAGTCGTACGGTTTCAAATCAGCCAGATTGGCTCCGATGATATGGCAGGAGAGTTTCTGAGGTCCCTTGACAGGGATCCAAATTTGAAGGACGTCTTGTACTGCACTGCTGGTAGGTGTATTCCGTTGATGAAATGATCTCGCTTGATTTGGCATTCAAGAACGGAATCATGACTTTGTGACTCGCTCCTGACTGCGATATTTACAGAGCGGTTGGACGACGAATTCAGGCATCACCAAGAGAACGAGGCCCGAATGGAGCAGTGGGTAAGTGCAGACATTTCTATTGAGATATTTCTATCATATCACTAACTGACCGTTGCGGTATAGCTGCTGCAACTTTTGATGAGTCCTATCCTTGATGCAGACTCCATCTGAGCTGGAGTGGTGTCTTCATACTGGCGGGAGGAAGCTAGAATGTAGGGTTAAGGGATTGGGGTGAAAGGGAGATTATGTTCATGACTTTGCAGATACCATTTTAGAAAATCTCATTTTTGCCATTTATCAACTGTCGCCTTATGATCACGCAGACCTCGAGCTCTCATCATTACTCCAACATCCTTTCTGCCCGTTTGACAAGCTTAGTGAGCTCCCTGACGGGTCCCCTACTGATGGTTCAGGCTGCACAACAACCATCTACGTTTGTCGTATCGGAAGGGGGAGCCCGAGTCTGTTCGCAGGACAACGGTCCGATATGAGCGTAGGGCCCCCAGGTTCATCCATTGCAAGATGCATGTATGCATTGGAAACGGTGTGAGGAAAACACTATATTGCAGCGGCCTCCCTAATTCAAAAACTTGAAAACGAAACTTGGTATCCCTAACTCAACCACCCGCAGCCCTATTTACCCTTGCTTTTGATGCCCGATGCTGCCTTAATTCCCTTCTTGACCATGGCAGCCGCCTCTATGACACACTCCTCACTGGAGGCAGCAGTGAATTGGCCATCCTTAACCTGCCCCAGCAAAGTCTTCGTCCCAATTTTGTCGACCACCACCAGCCTCCCCGAGGAGAGCAGCGCGAACATGTCGAAGGTCAAGTCTTCATAGGGAATGACCAAGAAGTTGACGATTTGGACATCGTCAAAATCTGTACCAGGGAGGATGACATCTAATAGGTTTAGTCAGTATATGGCATATATGAGTAGGAAAAGGATGGACAACGTGCCTTCAAACCCCTCGGCACCAAGCTGCGTGGTGAAATGATGAATGGAGTTGTCTTCCTGATGCATGTAGAAGAGATGGACCAAGCCATCTCCAGTCACCAGGGCGGAGTGCGGACATCCCTGCTGAGACTGGACAGGAGTTGGAGGGAGTTGTTGGCATTCTCCCTTGTGCGAAATCCTGACCGCTTGAAGCTGGCCGTCAAGGTTCTCGAAGAAGACAAAGTGAGTTCCGTCGACAATGCCGCCACTGAGTCTGCTCATCCCGTGGATGAGGATTGGCTGCTCTCCCTGAAGATTGTCCTTCACCCATTCATCAAGGTTCTTGTCGAATCTATGACGCTGAAGTTTCTTGTTGATATCAACGCTGAAAGCATAACGCTGCAATATAAATTAGCTCCGCCATACCCATGACGTAGATTCAGACGTTGAAGCTCGCTTACCTCCTTTTCATCCTGCAGGAACAGAGCCGGTGTGTTTTCCCTGACATCCTCGGCAACAACGAGCTCCTCGGCAGTCTCAGTTCCCGTCCAAAGCTTCTCGATCAGCTCAGTCTCATCTTGCTCAGCCAAGTAAATTCCAGGCCTGTCGGCCGGAATAGCGCCAGCACTGGCACAAAGGTAGTTCACAATATCCTGAGCGGCGAAGTCCATTGTGTCTCCAAGGTGGGTGTCTCGTTTCTTTCCGCACCTATTACACCGTTATAAATAAATGCCAGAATGTAACACTTCTATCAGGTTCTGATTGACTTTTTTTTTTTTGACCTGAGGGTACGTGGCACGCATGACTTGTTGAGTGACGTATGTGCCAATGTACGCTTTCGGAAGTCCTATCCACTCAGTGACCGTCTCCACAAAACGCACATCTGCAAGTGTCCGGATGTCGTGCGGCTCTGCTTCTGCAGCCGATCTTTTTTTTTTTTTTTTTTGATGCGGATGTATGGAACCGTCGCGTGCATCATCGGCGTCGCCGTGGGACGCTAGGTAGTGGAGAAGATCTGTGCGTGATCTACGAGAGTGGGGGCCGCAGGCAGCAAAGGCGCCGCCTTCTCAGCCTCGTCGAAATATTCAGCTGATGATCTAGCCGAGCCGCCACATTGTAGCAAGCTGCATGTTCACACCGCACTGTGCAATTGATCAACACTAAGGGTATGCATCGTAGCACAAGGCTGTGTAACAAAGGCTGTGTACCAAGGCAACCTCGACGTCGAATTCGCCAAATTTCCGTCCCAGGTGGCAATGCACGGCTGTTAGCCCTAGAATGTCTTCACCGTATTGCGTCACAGGGGATCTTGAATGAGCCTTTGCTCGAGCGTGGCTTGGGCATGATGGAATTGATTTTCTCATTTAAAGGTTCATCCACGAAGACCAATGCTATCTGACACAAAGCACAGCACTTGAATTGACTGAAAGGGCTTTCAGCAATCACAAATGGTAAGATAATCCACAAGTTTGGGCAAACCTGATCCGACTGCTCACAAAAGTACCCCAGACAATGTCTATTTCCGGCATCCCCACCCTCTTCACCCGAGAGCCCGAGATTGGAAACTCTGACGCTGGTCAAGACCTCTACGGCCTGGGTGTCCGCATCGGCTTCTACCTCCAATCACTCGGCATGCTTCTGTACATGTACAGCGGCGAGAAAGACTACGGCCAGGGCCTCAAAGTTGCTTCTGGCAGCATCACCATCTCGATGCTCGCATCATGGTTCGGCTATGCGGCCCGCGGGCTCCTCAGCCCCGCCGAGGCTGTCATCGTGCTCCTCATCATTATCAGCCTCAATTTCCCGGCCAAGGCCACACTAGCCAACTCACGCACCATCGTCGGCGAGATGCTCGGGCTGGCCACTATGCTAGTCGTCGAGCTGGCCACGTGTGCCGCGTTGCTGTGGACGTTTGCAAGGCTGGTCGACGGCGACCTCCCTACGCTGGGCACACCGAATGTCGTCTTCTTCTTTGCCGAGGTCGGACTCAATGGCTGGTTCCGCTATCTGGTGCTGGTTTACTGCGCGATTGATGCTCTCACATCTCTGTCGTTTGCGTACAAGGTCATCCGCGTCGCGAAGGTTGTCGGGGGTCTCTATTTCAAAGGCCGAATTGGAGAGGGGTACGATTGGAAGAAGACGGAACCGGAAACACTCAAAGAGATCGACGAGATCATGGGATGGAAACAGATCGAGACGATCGCACTGTTTCTAGCCTGGCCGCTTTGGATTCTAGTGGTTGTGGCGGTCGAGCTCACCATCCGATGGAATCATTTGACGCCCTCGAACGACCTTCGAACTCCAGGCCAGCTGATGGCACTGATCACTGGCATTATCATCATCACCGACGCTGCTCTTGTTGCCGGTCGCTATTGGATTCCTCGGTGCATGGAGCCCATAGTCCGACGCATTCCTGCGTTCAAATTCTGCAACATTCGCACTTTTATGCTTCTGGAAGCACTCTGCGGATGCGGATGGCTGAGATGGCTAGGGCAATCTGGGGTGAGTCCCATCTCATGCCTACGTGCCTTTATCTTTCCAAGGGGTTCGCGAAACCGTGGCGAAAGTGCAGAGCCAGCTTAAGACGCGCATCTAGTGGGACAGGTTTTTTTTTTTCATTTTATCTTTGGCCTTATTTTTCGCACGGGTGTATCAAGCTCAGAATGTAATAAAATTTCCTTTTTAAGTTGTTTTTCATCAATGGTTTCAGGCGTTGGGGCAATACACATAAAGTACGAAGGGGATGTGATCATAAATCCGGGTTTTGAAATACAAACACCACTTTGCTAAGAATCCTCAACTCATACCAATAGAAATCGGTTAGTCTAAAATAAAATTGTCAGTAAAAGCAAATGTTTCATGGATAAGGAGGTTCCGGCTGTACCTACATTGAGTCTTTTCTTGCGGCTTTTGCCGAATGACACTCCTGGAGTATCTAGGTCACCCATCGCGATATCCGCGGATGTCAAGTCAGCCGCATCCAAATTGGGTTCCACCAGATGACCATCCGGCGTCTCCAGCCTGATCCAAAACGGGTGTGGAGCCTGTGAATCTTCCACCAATCTCGGGAAGCAATAGTCCTGCAGCGTGCTGGTCAAAGTCACGCATTGCCTCGTGAAGTCCCACAGCACCCACCGCTTCTCCGCCGAGCCTGGCCAGCCTTTCGGAAGCAAGAAGCGGAACACGTGTTGAACCGTGTTCGAGTCCTCGTAGTGCGACGGGGGTGCGTAAGCGGGGAAAACGTCAAAGCTGGTGTCCAGGCCTTCGTAGCCCGCCCGCACCCAGCCACGCTCCTGCCCAGGATCGGGCAAGAACCGGAGGTAAAGGTCCCCATGCGGTGGCTTTGCAGAGTTGAAGACCTTCAGGGATTTGTTGCGGTGGCCGACCTTGGCCCAGCTGAAGATCTCCCCGAGGACCTTTTCGTTCAGGCGTGTCCCCTTGCTCCCTCGACCTCTTCCTTTTGGTCCGTTGTTGCTGCAGAATGTTAATTTCCTTCATCTATCAAACAAAGGAGGGAACTGAATGAACTCTCACTGGATTGCAACAACCGTTTCATGCCCTCTATACGGCATGTACACGGGTGATCCGCTCAATCCCGGCTCCGTGTTGATCTCGTACTCAAGCTGATTCTCCCAGCAACCCATGCAGCTTCCAGTGCTTATCACTGGTTGTCCTTGATGTGTCTTTACCCGATAGCCGCTGATGGCCAAGTGCTTCTTTTGAAGATTGTCATGGCCGAGCTTCAGAGCAAAGCCGAAACCTCGTGCATCAGACTTCTTGGGCTTGGGGACAAAGATAGCACCATAGTCAAACTCCGCACTTTCGTGAGTCGGGTTATCCCTGTAAGCAGCGGAGATGAAGAAATCCGTTCCTTCTTCCGCAACCTTATACCTCTCCGTAGGTGTCAACTCAACTTCCAAATTTTCCGACAAGCTTTTCTCCTTGTCGATTAGATTGTGGCCAGCCGTCAATATGATGTAGCATTCAGCATCGGGCACATTGATGTAGAACCCAGTCCCCGTGCTTGGCCCTTTCACTATTCACAGCGATGCACGTGTGAGCTCGATCCGATGTTATACTCATGTTCTGGCACAAAACGGACCTCCATGCTTGAAATGTAGCTTTACGACCCATTCGTGTAGCTTTGGGGCTCGGCAAAACTGAAGTCCTCCGATTTCTTCCTTTTTGGGAAGTGCATCCCAGGCAGCATCGTAAAACTTCGGCGGCAGCACGTAGTCCTCCTCCTCAGAAGACATGGTGGCTGAGTTGACCGGTGAGATTCCGGTTCGGCTTGGCCAAAGGGTAGGAAGAGCCGCACGGAAGAAAGGAAAGAAAAATAAAAATTTTAAGGCGTGGCTGAAGGTCATGCGCCTCGGTCGAGTGTGCGCCGATTGGTGTGCTGCGCAAACCGGATGCACTTGCAGCAGATGCATGCACGCACGGGCTGGCCCGAGCTGAGCCGGCGTAGCCGTAAGGCGATCATGCTGCAAGCATACGCACGAAGAACACCTGTTGGGATCCGAGATGCATGACCTCAGAAGGCCTGCAGAAGCGAGGCTGGTGGGGCTTCGTTTCAGTCTTCCATCGACGCGAGGAACGCATTTGCGGCGACCCCGATTTTTGGGGGCCATGATCGGAAAATCTTGAGGCTCTTGTCTCCTTTTTGAGAACGAATTCCGCGAAGCGATCGCGGGCTTAGCAATGTATGTGCTGGCATCGCTTCGTAAGCAAAAATTGTACCGCAGAGCCGCAAGGCTGCAAGGCTGCGGCCATGAACCTCGCCCACAGCCTCGTCACGCAGCTCAGCGCCGTCAACAATCTACGCATCGCCTAGAAGCCCGCGGGATGCGCAGAAATAGTGTTTATATCACCCTTCAATGTCGGTCTAGCTACCTTCAGCGAATCCTGCTCATAAAATGAGAAGAAAAAAAGGTCTTTAAATTATTGTTCTACGATGTTTTTGAGATCTGCGCTAGGAATGTGGGTCTTGTTGAACGGTGACAGCGGAACGAGGCGGTGCAGATTAGATGGCGGTGAGCGGTGACGACATTGGCAATCCCAACGTTCGAAAAAGCATCCGTCAGAGGGCGCGGGGTAATCTCAAATGACCTGCACGGCGGTAGCTGATCGTTTTCGTGGGGGTTTATCCCACCAGAAAGCTCGCTAAACTTTCTTCACTGAACACCTTTCGCCCCCACGCCGCATGCGCCATGTAAACAGCCGTGGATAGCTGAGCCACGAGAGAACAGCCTCAACCAAATTGAACTTTCTCTGCTCCGCGCGCATTTCATAGGAGACGTAATTTAAATTTAATGTTCTAATGTGCACAGGAGAATGGAATTTGAGGAGAAAAGTGGGTATTGTTGCAATCTTGTAGTCCAGATGCTGTATCTCCTCCGCCCCGCAGATCCACTACCACCTCCACTCCTCCCTCTACTCGGTCCAATTTTTTCCTAATATAGAAATATGCTGAAATCCATTCCTCGCTGATAGCTAACGACTCACGCCGTTGAATTTCTCGACCAATGGATAAGTTTCGATAAGAGCCTGTAGAGGTAGGGGTAGAAGTGCGAGTGGATCTGCAGGGCGAAGTAGATAGTGTCTCATTCATTTTGAAAACTTTAAAAAGACCACAGACGGAGTAAGATAATATACTCTCTCACCAGCAATTCTAAGGATTCTCACGCACGGAACTTTATTCCTCTTTATCTATTTATATTTTTAGAAGTTTTCTTTCTTATATAGAGCTTAGCTAAATAATTCATTTTACTTTGTAACATATTTATTAAAGTTTAAGTATGGCTATAGAATATAGAGTAAGTATACCTTACGCTTTTTTTTAAAGAAAAAGAAAGAAAAAGAATAGATATAAGTGGTTAAAGTTATCGTCCGGGTGCAAATGTGGAATTGTTTTATCTACATATTAATTCTGCATTACATCTAGACAATAGCTTTAACTACCCATGATACGAGAAACAAATGAATTCACGCCAGCCGTCGGCCGCAACGCCTCCGTGTACACAATAGCGTGTGACACGTAGCTACCGTTGATTGGTCAACTGGATCCACTTGTAAAAACCTTACACCTTAAATTATATTCCGAAGAAAACATAGCAGCACCGCCCTTTTTCACACACGGACATAGACTCTCGTGCCAACGACAACTCCGATATGAACATGGAAGGCTTAGTCGCAGCCTCTTTCATCGAGACGACTCCAAAACCTCCTTCTTCAAACCCCAACAGGGACTCATTATGTGAATTTTGCGCCGAATCCCTCAGGCTCGATGACTCTCGTGCCGGGGGAGAATTAGGCACGTCGTCAGACGGATCGAAGACATTTCTTTCATTCCCAAACATTGAATGGCGCGATGATGAGGATATCTGGGATTCTACAATTTGGGCAGGAGGAAACAACTACGAACGTGCGGTCACACCACCAGACCTCCCAGAATTGTCAAGCGGCCGGACGAGTTTGGATAATCAATGTCGATTCTGCACTGTATTGGCCAGAGCGCTCACCAAGCGTTTTGGAGACCAGGCGTGGTGGACGACTACGACTACACCACTCAGGATAAAGATAGAATACTATTGGCTCGGACTTCGTGGCATTTGGGTAAAGATACATGAAAGGCCATACTACTCGCTTGGTGCGTTGGGTGTCAGGCCGAGCCATCCCGACCTGGATCAGAAGCTTGCGGAATTCAGCTTCAAAGTCACAGCATTGCCAGGTAAGTACGAATACGGTATATTAAAATTTGCCTCCTAAGTTTTGTTTCCCAACAGGTAAATGTCGCGACTGGCTCCAGATCAGGAGAAGACCCGTGAATCCCAAGGCCCCATTGTCTCCAGGAAATGTCAAACGCATTCGCCGCTGGATAAGTGCTCCTATCCGAACCGTGGATGGTAAGGGTTCTCGAACCGATAAGGACTTCTTCCCACGAATGTTACTCGACATCGGAGAAACAGATACTGCTGAAGTTGTAAAGCTCATCGACACCCGGAAATCGCCACCACATAGTCCCGGCTACGCTTGTTTGAGCTATTGTTGGGGCTCTACATCGCTGCCACTTCGAACAACTTCCGAATCATTGGAGAAACACCTGCAGGGAATTCCATATGACGAGATCCCACAGTTGTTCAAGGATGCAATAGTGGTGACGCGAGCACTCGAACTCCGCTATCTATGGATTGATGCGCTTTGTATCATCCAAGATAGTGAGTCGGACTGGGAAGAGCAATCCGGAAAGATGTCTGAGATTTTTTGCCATTCGACCGTCACAATTGGTGCAGCCGCTGCCTTCTCTTCTAAAGATTCATTCCTGCGAAACCGGCCCGACGAAAATCTCCGCCTCGGATTTCAGTCCACCGTGGATCCCAACATCCAGGGGAGTTTTTCAATTCACCTTGTGGATATGTCGGGACTGCATTCTGTGATTTCCCCACAGGAATCAGGGACCGCGAGCTCCTGGACCCAAGATTTGGCGGCCTCCAAGTGGAATAGTCGAGGGTGGGTTTGGCAAGAGCAAAACATGTCTTTGCGGCTCCTAGTATTTGGGGAGAAAATGTTGCACATGAAGAGCCGTCAACATATACGGTCAGAGGACGGCTCCGTAAAAGTCCAAGACGGGGCAGTTCCTGGAGGGAGGTCGAGACTTCCGAACGAATGGATTCGATGGGTGTTAAGTGAGTACTGCCTCAGGAAACTCACATACCGCTCGGACAAATTAGCCGCAGCCGCCGGCCCTGCTAAGGATTTCAAACATTTGACGACGGAAGAAAGAAACGGCCCACAGTACATTGCAGGATTTTTCCTCTACGAAAATCTCTGCTTCGACTTGTTGTGGGGGATCTGCCATCCCACTATGTCGTTTCGGCAGATGCTGTGCGAACTAAATGATCCTGGTGACTACTGTGCGCCATCCTGGAGTTGGGCGTCCAGGGACGAAATACCACACGACTTGTTGATTCAAACCGGGAAGTCCGACAGCTTAAAAGTCCTTGGATATGACCTCATGCCGGCGAAGTCGGATGCAGCAGTCCGATTGCGGCCTGGTTCGTCTATAACTTTCCGCGGAAAGGTCCACAAGGTTACACACCGCCCATCCAGTGGAGTTATTACTCTTGATGATCGTTCCGATGAGATGCAGTCACCTCTTGAAAATCGTTCTGGTGAGTCTTTGCCCTGGGTAACTGGGTGGAGAACGGAATCCGAACATTGTCGTCTGGACTATTTCTTGGACTGGAACCCACTGGAAGATGAGAATCACAATCAAGAGGATCAATTATATCTGCTCGAAACCGCAGCCTTGTTAGATCGGTTTCCGAGATATGGTCTTGTGTTATTTCCAATCAGCCTGGAAAGGACGGAATTCTTGCGTGTCGGCGTGTTTGGCTTGCACATGAACCACCCTGACAAAGATGTTGCCGACGAATATCTGTCTGGATGGACTGTGCAGGACTTGAAAGTCATGTAGAACAAAAACATAGATCCTTCCCGCGATACTCTATGAGTACACGTTTTACTATTATGCACAGTCCTCTCCAAACTTAATTAGAAAGAAGAGAATGTGGTATCCTTGCGTTTGAGGAGATTGCTATGCTTGAGATGCGGTGTTGCTATTGGAAAACCTGCGTGCAGACAGAATGATCCCAGTCTGCTACTCTCCTCCCTGTTGGGTCATATTTCAGACAAGACAGCCCCGCTTACGGCGTGCTGCCAAGTCTGTCGAGTCGTGAGATCTGCGCCAAGGCCGAAGGACGACGAGGGATAGCTGATGGTAGGCATGATTGCCACTCTAAAGCGGCGATCTCGGGCAGAAAAGAGCGGTCACTGTAGGATGTCAGTCGACGGGTACCTGACGTGGGAAAGTGAGGCGAGCTAAAAACGGAGGAAGCGCTACAGGGGCGTCAGGATCGACAGGTTCGCCGCCGAGGCTAGAAGTGGGCTTAAGCGTGCATTAACGCGCGGCAAGCTGAATCGTACATAGCGAAACCTTATCCCACGACCGGCGCGCTCGGTAAATTCTTGGGCAAACACGTTGCTGCTAACGGCCTTTAGTGCTTGTACATCCCGGTCAAGCGAGCCTTTCTAGAACAGAAGGATGCATTTGACAGCACTAACAAACTCTCCGCAAGCCTAACGTGCAGAGTGCAGCGCGGGAAAGTAGGTGCTTTTGACGGTCATTCTTGTTTATGGCTGCCTTGATTTTGCGGGCAGTTGACGGCGCACGAGTGGTTCACGCCGTCATCGGCAAAAAGCTTTGACACCAGCTCCTCAAATAATGTAGAGGAGGTGCGCGATTTCGTACTGGCTTTTCCCTCTTTCTTCTCGGTTCCCCGATGCAGCTTGTCAAATTTTGAGAAGCATTTTGCATGTGAAAAAAAAGTTGCCCGTATCCAGAGAAAGGTTCCACAATTTCAAGTAGATCTACCTTGATGAGCGGAGCAGTTTCGGCACTTTCACCCCTATTCTATAGGCGTACGTACAGGAATGCGCGGCTCTTTGCTGTAGCTCGGCTAGAGCAGGACGGTCGCTTAAAGCCGATGGTGTTCGCGGCTTCGGCGAGCCCCACATACACAGACGCGTCGATCCGGGGGTACGGGTGTGGTCTTTGCTCTGGACCCTGACTCGGAGATCATGGCCATCACCCGCGATGCAACGAGCATTGCAACGCTGGGTAAGGTCTTGAATCGAGTAGAACGGGGTTTAGAGAATGCTGATTTGTGGTGTGCATATGTCCGAAAAATGAGCGAGTCTGCAGAGTTGGCCCCCACGGTCAAGCGCCGTTTTTGAAGGCTTGATCACCGTTGCGGCGCGAACAGTGGGGCCCAGGATTCCTCATGCCGCAGGAGTTATCGCAAAAAGAAACCACGCAACAATCCTCCATCTCCCACCCCTGAACGAGCAGAACTTCGAACTTGTGATGGGTGAACATAGTCTTGGGTCCAGTATCGATATTGATCAAACGCAAATGGCCTCATAAAGAACTGCACTTGGTGTCTCTTCATCCACGGTCAAAATCGGAGGAAAAAACGGGTAGTTTGAGCGCCCGGCACGGCCCCACAGCCATGACTCTCGATCCCTGCTCTGCAACGCAACCCAGGCTCCGCATTGTCCCGTATAGGCGATCGCAGAGGGGCTACTCAATATTGGACTCCTACAGTGAGGCTTCCATCAGGCCATGGTAGTTTGAAGGGAAAAGATTATAAAAAGCAGTCTTCTGCAAGGAGGCTTACTCTTTTCTTCACTCGCTTCATTGAAATCTTTTCACGAACGCAACCATGTCTACTGCTTATGATTATGTCATCGTCGGCGGAGGTACGGCCGGTCTCGTCCTCGCCGCCCGGCTGAGTGAGGACTCGTCGAAGCAGGTTGCTGTGATCGAGGCAGGAGCGAACCGCAAGGGCGACCCGAGGATTGACACGCCCGGATTGGTCATGTCTGTGTACGAAGACAAGGACTATGACTGGAGCTTCTTGACGGAGCCTCAGGTGCGTGTATCCAACAGAAACATAAAGCAATTGCAGCATTAACACAGCATAGGAGGCATTGTACGGACGGCAAATCGCCTGCCCCCGTGGGCGTGTTCTCGGCGGTTCATCTGCCATCAACTTCTCAGCCATCCTCTACCCCTGCCAGTCAGACTTCAACGACTGGGCGGCGCTGAACAAGGACTCGAGCTGGAACGCCGAGGCCATGGCGCCGTACCTGCGGAAGTTCCACACGTTCCGGCCGGCGTCGGAGGCGACGAAGCAGCAGATGCTGATCGACTACATGGACGAGTCCAGCTACGGCACTGATGGCCCCTTGAACGTGGCCATCCTCGACGCCTTCGGCCCGCTGAACGAGGCTTGGGTCAAGTCGTTTAAGGAGCTCGGCTACCACTCCAAGACTGACCAGATCCACGGCAAGACGGTGGGCTGCTTCACCAACCCGGTCTCCATCCACCCCGACACTCGCGCCCGCGAGTACTCGGCGTCGTCCTACTACACCCCCGAGGTCGAGGCCCGGCCGAATCTCCACGTGCTGACGGAAGCCCTGGTCGAGAAGATCGAATGGGCCGAGGGCGGCGAGCCTCTCAACGCCACCGGCGTCCACGTGCTCCAAAAGGACGGCAAGCGTACGTTCTTCGGCGTGCGGACCGGCGGCGAGGTCATCCTCTCGGCCGGCTCCATCAAGAGCCCGCAGATCCTCGAGCTGTCTGGCGTCGGCAACGAGCAGCTGCTGAAGAAGCACGGCATCGAGGCCAAGATCAACCTTCCGGGTGTTGGCGAGAACCTGCAGGACCACGTCGTGGCGACGGCCAGCTACGAGATAGCCGACGGGCACATGTCGGGCGACAACCTGCAGAAGAGCCCCGAGCTCATGAACGCCGTGATGCAGATGTACCAGGCGACGCGGACGGGGCCGATGACGGGCACGATGCTGGGCAGCGCTCACCTGCCGCCCGTCGACAAGAACGGCGCCCTCAGCAAGAGCGAACTCGAGCAGCTCATCGCAAAGGCCGACGACTACCCGGATTTCCCGGGCAAGGCGGCGCAGTACGCGCTGCTGCGCAAGCGGCTGGAGGCGGGCGAGCCGTCGGCGCAGTTCCTCTTCATCCCCAAGCAGCTCAACCACGACGTGCAGCAGAACACGATGCAGTACCTGTTCGGCGGCGCCGAGCCCGAGAACTACGTGTCGGCCGTCGCGCTGCTCAACCACCCCTTCTCGCGCGGCACCGTGCACATCACGTCGGCGGACCCGGCGGCCGACCCGGCCATCGATCCGCGCTACCTCTCGCACCCGCTCGACCTCGAGCTGCAGGCCCGCCACACGCAGTACTTCGACGCCATCACCGGCACGAAGGCGTTCCGCGAGGTCCTGAAGGACGGCGGCAGGCGCCTGCCTGGTGGTGATCTGGGTGATTTGGAGACGGCGCGGAAGGTGGCGAGGGAGCGCGCGTTCACTTGCTTCCATCCTGCTTGCACGTGCCCGATGATGCCGCGCGAGCTGGGCGGTGTTGTGGATAGCCATCTCGTCGTGCATGGCACCAAGAACGTCAGGGTTGTGGACGCGAGTATCTTCCCCATTGAGCCGCTCGGCAACATCCAGGCGTCCGTGTACGCGGTGGCTGAGAGGGCGGCGGATATCATCAAGAGCGATGCCAGCAGGAGGTAGGATGATGGGTCAAAGAAAGATGAAAATATTGTACGATTAGGAAAAAGGAAGGGATTCACTCCTCCGTAGGGTAGTTTGTTTGTGTGGAATACCAACACGCGGGCCGAACCGGCGTCGCCCAATCTTGATGTGGAAAAGGGCGGTCTGTGACATTGCTGCCTGGCACTTGTGACTAAGCCGGAACTGATACATAATGCGGCCCCCAACCTTTCCCCCCTCCCTCAACTTTCCGCTTCGTCAACGCGCTATGGAGCCCTGGGACTGTTACTGCGCCTTTTGTGGCTCCACGCTTGGCTCCGCCACCGTTTCCAATAAGCCGCGCACCGCCGCGTTCCGCAGGTGGCGTGCGAGAGAAATTCGCAGAGCCGAGCATGGCGTCAACGCGGGAGATGCGTCTCAGGATGATGATGAAGAAGAAGAAGAACTGATCGAGAGCCAAGACGAGGAAGCCAGCGATGGGGATGAGATTTATTCGGTTGAGAGCCAAGACGAGCAACACACCTACGACAGCGCCATCTTAAGCAGGGACGAACTTTGGTGGACGCAAGCCGTCCATGTTCTTGGCTTCGACACTGACACCAACAGGTGAGCTCCTCTCATATCCAGAGGCCTCAGGCTGACGCTCCCTAGGGCATTTCTTTCCGTGCCAGGACGTTATTGGGGTTATGTGTGCTCATCTTCTTCTTCCCTTCTCCCGTGACAGCCACTAACAGTAACAAGGGCAGAGTAGACGTAGAAGCTGAACAACATCCTGAAGTCGAGTATGATGACACTGACGGCTTAGTCGCATATAACTGGTCCAGTTCCCGTTTCCTTTCCATCCCATGCGCTGATTAGTTCATTAGCTACTTCCAGAGGGACACTCATGATGTACCGGTATTTCCCTTTCATTGGTGTTGTTTCAAAATACTCTTGAGGGCAGTCACAGGCAACCACAGTCTTCGCGTGCTAGACAAGGATCTTCTGTACGGCGTGCTGCGCCAGTTGACTCCCAATTGCCGCAATGCCTTGGAGTTTGTGAACTATGGTAACCCCGGTCCCGAACATGGCAGGTTCTGGGATTCCAAGCCCGGCGAAGAGGTAACGCTCACTCTGGTAATCCTGCATTGGCTCTTGACTGAAGCTTTTTAGTTTTTATGTGCGAAGCCTACAATAGAGCCCAAGCTACTAGACATGGTTCGCAATGTCATCTCCAGTGGAGAATTGAAACCACCAGGCCACACGAAGACTCCTCTGGACTTGGAGGCCCGCGTTCGCCACGATCCATTCGCCAATATACCGTACGACATCTTGTACAACATCACCGCCCTGCTCCCCTCAGACTCTGTTCTGAACCTGAACAAGGCATCCTGGTTCGTCCACACGTGTCTGCTCAACAACAACGCCTTCTGGAAGCAACGACTAAGGGAACACACACCATGGTTCCACAAACTGCGCTCGCTGATAGATGACGCCACCACGCCTGCAGAAGGCTGTGATTTCCGCACGCTGTTCTTTTGGCTGTACGCGCAGTCGCGGCCGCGGCTCTGGATGAGTGGCCCCTTCATGGCCCTCGCCAACCGCCGCCGCCTCTGGGGCGTCTGCGAGCAGATTGCAGACCACTATCATCAAGCAAAACAGAGGCAACGACCACCCCAGGCGGACGACGAGTCCACCGAGACAGCCCAGCTGATTGAGAACCACGCCGACACTCCGCGCATGCCGATAGTCGCATATCCGCCGCCCGGCCCGGACGCTGAGACCATGTCGACCGTGTTTATCCGGTCGTGGGCGGAGCTCGACGCGCCGTTTGCTCTCTTCGAGGCGTTCTGGGCCTACGATCGCAGCGTGGGGGTCAAAAACGGTACCAGGAACGGTTCGCTGGTCGGATTGGCCATGACTTTCGACGACGGGTGCCGCAGGCTCTTTGGGCGGGACGATTCTGCCGAGGGTGTGTCGCGGGAAACTTGCTTGATCGTGAATCCGGCGCAGATTGGAGGCTTGGTCCTGCATATCGATCCCATCGTGAACAAAGATCGTACCTGGACGACTTCTGTCAAGGGCATCTTGGTAGGCGTGCTGCGCGCTGTGCCAGTTTGGAAAGTCACGTAAGCTCATGTTATTTCGTCACAGATCCTGATGCGCGGAGCGAAAAACCGACACCTCGGATTTGTGCGCGAGTGTGAGCGCCCACTGCTGGTCAGTGAAGGGAAGACATTTGTAGGCGTAGTAGGGCAGATGGTGGTGAGTACCGTATCTTCCTCCCTTTGCCGTTGTAGTCACTAACCCATCTCGAATGCCCAGGACGGAATGGTCGGCAGTCTCGGCCTCCTCCAGTGTGCCAGGCCGCCGATGGACGACTTTTCCCTTGCCCCAGCCCCCCTCTCTCCAGAGCCTAATCCCATTTCAGATGAAGAGACTCGCAATCTGCACATTTGCCAAGACCTCTTGTGGAACTGCGAACTTTTCGTTGACCACGAATACGGCATCTGGAACCACCCCTCCATCCGCGCCTGGTTTCCCCCTGACCCATCGCGCCGCCGAAGTAACCACGCTGCTGTCCCGGCCGACATCATCCCCCACGAGGTCCTGCTTCTGGCGACGCGTCATGCAGCCGACCTACAGAAGCTGCAGCGCCTCTCCGGTACCGTCACCGCCGCCAACGATGTGCTTGACGCCGCCATCAACCGCGCGGCCACATCCACCACCACCACCACCACCACCACCACGCACCACCACCATGCCCGTGTCCTCCGCGGCGCGTATGCCAAGTTCGATTCCAATGATAACGGGCTACTATCGTGTAACATCCACGTCGGCACCAACGTCCGCCTAGGTAATAACGTCGATTGGAAGACGGAATTAGTTGAGATGGACATCGATGGTCCCGGGGGCGAGGTCATAGACAGGGTCGAGGTGTCCGGTGACGTGGATTGTGCTCTGTCGGTGAAGGTAAGCGGGCTGAGATGAGTTGCCGCTGGTCGTGGACGAGGTTTTTGCTGACTGCTGCTGGAAGATTGGAACGAACCGTGGACGAGAGGTTGTTTGGGGGTCTTACTGTGGCCGGGGCTGGTACACGCTAAGGGCACCGCTGGGAGAGGTTATCGTCGGATTGATTTTTCAATTTGGTAGGCTCGAGAGTGGACAGGGATGTGTGATGGTGAGTCCCCCTTGACGTTCCGGTTCTCGTCCATGTCACATCGTGGGTGTAACTGATGAAGTGTAGACACTGCCTGAATTGTCTTCCTGTGGCATCCTGACTATGCCGCTGTAAACGGGTTGATGCATCCAGTGTGCTATCATCACATGTACAGGTACAGGAATCAGTAGTAAATATAGACAGATCCGCGCTCGAGCTTTTTAAATGGCTTTGACGGTGGGACTCATGCAATATCAGTCATATATTACTAGGGAAAAGATCAGACAGGAGAAAATATCACCAAGAGTGTGATAAACATTCTCGCCAATGTCATGGAGAAGATCAAAGTTTAGGAAGCATGATTGGTGCACTGAATTAATAAGTATTATATTGCTCGTGGCCAAGATGTTTACTAGGTATTACCGCACTACTATTCTATTCTTACACCTGTCTAAGCCTTGTTCCAATTTTCGAGAATGTCTCGAAGCCGTGGCGAGTTTGTCACCCGATGCATCTCCTCAAAATGAGCGCGGGACACGCCAAACGGCACTCCAGTAACATTCGGAATCCACCTGCCCACCAACCTCTCGGGCGCGATGTCGGCACGCTTGATGTGCTTCTGCAGGAACCGGCGATACGAGTCGACGCCGCCAGCCAAGAAGCTCGAGTGAAACGGCACGTCGATCTGCTTCAACGGCACCGTCGCCGGCCCGCGCTCGTAGTCCACCGGCTGCGGCATCGCCCGCACCCGTTCCACGCACTGCCGCACCACGCACATCAGGCGCTCCCGATCCAGCCAGGGGCGCGCCTCCTCCCGGTCGTCGCGCACGAAGCGGTTGAGCACCTCGGTCAGGCAGGCCAGCGCGCGCACGTCGCCCGCGCAGATGTACTGCAGGTCCCTAATGTTGTAGTTGACGATCTCGAGCAGCCAGCCGGCGGCGTCGTCGTCGTCGTCATCAGGCCCACTCGCATCCACGATGGCGGCCACGACGTCGGCCAGGCCGCGCTCGCCGAACGACCGCCGCGCGCACACCTTGGACGGGTTGACGGCGCACATCGAGTACGCGGACCGCCCGCTCGCGCTGCGCGTCACGGCCATCTGCATCGTCAGCCCGCGCACGAACGTGATGGCCGCCAGGCTCTCGACGCGCATGAACGAGCCACTGCCGCCCAGCGCCGCCAGCGCGCCGTACTCGCCCAGCGAGTGGCCCGCGAACGACAGCTCGCCCTCACCCTCGGCGACCAGCCCGCGCGCGCGCAGGTCCGCGAACCGCGCCACCTCCATGAGCGTGAGGGCTGGCTGTGTGAACTGCGTGGCCGAGAGCAGGCCGAGGTGCGAGCGGAACGTGTAGGACGTGCAGCGCTGCTTGGCGTGCAGCGCTCGGTACATCTCGCTGGCTCGGACGAAGGCGCCGCGGTGCGGGCTCGAAGCGGCGTCGTCGAGGATCGAGAGGTAGTTGGCGCGGATGCGGCGACCCTTGGGCCCGCCGAAGTGGATGGTGAGTTCCTGCGGGTCGTCCTGGACGATGGTGGTTATACGGAATCCTGGATACCTTGTTGTCAGAAGAGCAGAAGCAAACAGAGGGTGACCGCGAGGAGGCTTACCGTAGTTTTCCTGAAAGTACTCGTCTGCCCTCGTCCATACAGATGCAGCGGCTGCGCTCTTCTCCCGAAGCTCCATGCCCATTCCCTTGCGCTGCGAGCCTTGGCCGGTGAAGATGTACGCGGTGCTTGGTTGATCGACTTCAGCGTCGGCAGACATCACCACTTCGTGCTTGCTGTTGCGTGCCTCCAACTTGATAATCTTGCGGCCCTGGAGCATGGCCGTGTGATGAATTGACACTGTGAGCTGGTCTCCAGGGAGCACCATGGCTTGGAAGGATGCCCTGTACTTTCGAACTCTGGACGGGCAGCCTTTGGCAACAGTGACATCCAAGAGGCTCCTGACTGCTGCGCTGGTGTGCATACCGTGCGTGATGGTTCCTGGGAGCCCAAGGTACGATGCAAAAGTACGTGACGTGTGAATCGGATTGAAGTCTCCTGATACTCGCGCATACCGGGCATTCGACTCCGGAATCTGGACGCAGAACAGATTCTCGGATCCCTCAATAGGAACTGGATTGTCTAGTGGGACAATTTTCTGCCTAGGCTCACCATGGCGCTGTAGATAACCAGAGACAGGATTGGCACTGCTGGTCGCAGAGTGATACTCGACGGAGCCGATGATTCGCCCTCCGCAAGATACGTTTCCGGTGACGCTGACGGAAGAGTTCCGAGTGCAGTGCTGGAGCTGGAAGCTCAAAGTTCTGTTTGAGAGATCTGCTTGCGGATCTACAAGCTTCAACCAAGGCTTTGCATTGAGGATTGCAACGTCTTTGGCGTTTCTCATCTGCACGTGGACATCGTCAACAACTGATTTCCTGAAAGTGTTTTCAGAGTCGTTATAAGCTCCTCGGAATAGGAATTGAGAAGTAATTTCCATGACGGCGGAACCACTCCGGTTGATGACGGCGCTAACTTCAACCATTTTCCCAGACTCCTGGTTGACGACGGCAGTAACGGAAGCTGTTGTTGTAACCACGTCACCTTCACGAAGGGGCTGTTCACCAGCTACCATCCTGAACTGGTTCGAGAGATGTACCAACGTCAGGAGATCTGCATTGATGGCAAACAACGGCTTCATGATGGCCTTCCAGGCGGCGACGATGCCAAAGTCGAGAGGCGCTTCCATTGGACCACCGATTGTCCCAGTAAAGGCTTCACCGCGATTTCCCACAGCAGCTGCGAAGCTGCGGATCATACCAGCATCGATAATGACATATCCACTGCGGAAAACATCTTCGACAGTGGCATCTGGACAGCGCGGCTCGTCTGCAAACCAGGCTTGCCAGTAGAAAGACTTGACGCGTTCCAGACGGTCGTGCATAATTTCCGCTATCGGTGCACCAGCAACCTCGGGTTGGTAACGAAACCGAAGCAAGAGCTCCGCCGGCTGAGTCGCCGCTGTTTGATGATGCGTCAGGGAAACTGAGATCTCCTTGGTGCCAGAGCTGAAGGATATCTCCACCGTCTTTGCCTGGTCTTTGGACGTTGCCAGTGGCTCTAAAATGACGACTCGAGTGTTGAGAATGTCATTGTGATTCTTGATTTCCACACACTGTCCAGCCGCTGGAAGGATTATGGCTCTCAAAGGATTCTCTCGCCAACGACTGCCCTCTTGGATAATCTTGGAGGAAAAAAGTGCAGACCGCCACGAAGGGAAATGACCAGCGAGGAAAGCTCTGAGGGACTCAGCCGAAGGCAGATTGTCGGATGAACGTGGTAACCGGAGGATGATGTCGGATTCAGTCTCAATGATGCTGGTGTTCTCGGGGTAACATCCAGTGAATTCTTGGGCGCCCATGTATTCAACGGACGGGATGGTTAGGTTGCTCGCGTAGAAATCAGCCTTCAGGGCTTCAATGTGGCCGTTGTGAATTCCGTCCAGAATATCTTTCACAGGCTCTTCCTTGTCCGAGAACGAGGCAGCCACAGGGCCGTGTAGAATGCAGACCCGTCCTGCATCTTTCCCAACGACCTTGTCGAGATTCTCCGATTGCCAGAGTGAGTCCTTCTTGAAGTACGTCTGAAAGTTCTCGTCCAAGACCGGTATGAAAGGAACTGGCTTCTGGCTTCTCCGCTGGCACAAGTGCAAGAAGAAAGCGACGTCCTGAGGGTGCAGGAACTGTTCTTGTGCGGAATTGTATGCAGCAAAAACTATCCGTGAAACGTCTCTCACTTCAGCGGGGTTCGTACATTTGCTGGTGATGGAATACTTCCCGGCGGCGGAGAACCGCTGTTCAACCCGACGGAGGAAGTCGACCACGAAACGCTGGTACGAAGCATCAATCCAGTGAACAGTACCGCATTCCTCGTAGCAAAGAAGCTCGAGTAGGCGAGAAACAACCTGGCTATACGTCATTCGCTGGAGATCCACTGGAATTCCCGCATCATCAAGGCCAAACCAGACTTTCTGAAAATCATTGTTCAGTCTTTGGATGATGTGCTCCCGGTTCTCCTGTAGAAATCGAAGCTGTTGTGCTGGAGGCTTGCTGAAAACACGATCGTCCATATCTGCCCAGAATCTGGCGGCTCTCGTGGCAATCATATGCATCGGCTCGCCCATCTCGGAGATGACGGTGATGATGTCGCTGTCGCAGGCGGAGCCTTTGTACGTCATTTCCCACTGCTCATTGGGGAGGCCTCTTGCTGCAATGATGGCCTGTTTGGTACCCTGGCTTGTATGGGCTTCCTTGGCCACCATCATCCGACTCCCGAAGAGGCATCCGTCAAATGGCATTCGTGGGTACCCATACTCGAGAGACCAATTCCCTGTGAGATACGGGTAGGTGTCTGCAGCACTGCCGAACCCACTTCCTGCGACTAGGATGATGTTTTCGCAGCGGCGAATCTTGGAGTACTTCTGGAGGATGGGCTGGTGAAAATCTTCGCATGAGTGATGGCCTCCGCCGCGCCCACCAGTCCACTGAAGGATGATGGGGGACGTTGGATTCGATCGTGCAATGTCTAGCACAGCATCGATTGCAGATGCAGAGCCGGGCTTGAACGACACGTGGCCTAGACCCATATGGAAGTACTGATCGGCAATTTCGGGAGACGGGACACCAGCACCAATTGTGAGGCCATCGATCGGGACGCCTTCAGCGCGAAGCTTTTTGATGAGAGAAACCTGCCAATTCATCGCGCGAGGGTTTGCGTAGATGAGATTGACGGTGATACCGCGTCCTGCAGGAATCTTCTCGGCCAGATCAAGAAGTGCTGTCTCCATTGTCTCCGGGCTGTGATAGCCGCCTCCAGCAAGCTCAATGTGGAACCCCGCCTGCATTGTCGCCGCCACAAAGTCTGGGTGCACAGTGGTCGGAGTCATTCCACCGACAATGATTGGTGGCACACCCAGTTGTCGGCTCAGCCTCGTTTCCACCATGGTACGGCCGGCTGCACAGACAAGGTGAGGTTGATACTCTTCAGCCCAATTCGTGCCGTATCGGATATCACTTTCCCGGGGACTGAACAGCTCGACCTTGCAACCGAGGTCGCCAGCCGCTTCCATGCGGTCCGCAAGTATAACACGCACGCCTGCACCATCCTTCATGCGTGCTGTCAAAGCACCAATCCCCGAAGGTCCTCCGGGGCCGAATTCAATGATGTGCGTTGCACCTTCGAAGAGAGTGGCTGACTCCCAGCGCACAGTCTCCTCGGTGACCATACGTACAAGGACAGGAACAAGGTCGAAGTTTCCCACCGTGCTGATGTCCTCACCAGTGGATGTATGATACACGGGAATTCGGAGACAGCTGCTGTTGATCTTCACTTCCCGGAGGTCTTCCATGACGGCTCTGGTCACCCGTGAGAGGGACGAGACGTGGAAAGGTGATGATATGGGAAGGAATGAGGTGCTGAATGCTGGCTTCCGCTTCGAGAATGGAACTCTTGTCTGGTCGAGCTGCGAAGGCGCCCGCATTCGACGCAGGCGAACATTCAGGGCAGCCAGCGATGTTGGAGGACCGGCAACTACGATGTTGTTCCGGGAGTCGTTGATGAGGGATATCGAAACATGGCTGTGCGGAGAGAGGTATTTGTTTGTCGCTACAATCTCCATTTCTACCAGTCGTTGCGGCAAGTCTCTGATACTCAGCATAGGCGTTGGTGTTCCCTCATTGTTTGCGAGCGCATCCGCAACAACTTCGGGTGAAATGCTGGTCTGTGGAAAGGCCTCCTGAGATCGAACACCAATCCAGAAGAGTATGGAAAGAGCCGAGATGGAAAGACGATAGAATGAATCCCAAGAGTCGGCAGCTGCAGCGACAGCGGCAACAACGATGCCTTGAGAGTGGCCTGTCGTGCCGCTGATGGAGTTTCCGAACTCTCCTGGCGAAAGACCAAGCACCGTACAGGTAACCATGTAATTCATCAGCTGGAACAGACCAATTAATGGGAAGCTGACAGGTGCGCTGATCAAAAAGGAGACATCTGGGGTAGATGAGGGTGACTGCAGCCAGGCCTCGACGTCGAGATTCTTTTCGTAGAAAGTATCCTGACATCTGGGATCACGAGACAATGCAAGCAGCAAGCTGGCAGACTGCCTCACAAATGTTTTGAGCAGTGGCTCGTAGGTGCGATAGAGGTCGCGAATGTCCTCGAAGAACGTCTCAGTATTTCCTTGACCACCGAAGATGGTGTATATCCGTGCGGATCCATCGTCGGCGGCTGAAAGAAGGGCGGAAGGAAGATATCGACCATCGTTGAAGGCTGCGGCGGTGTAGAAATTTCTGATGAGATCCTGCTTCATCTCGCAGGGAATATCGAGGCGCGCAGCCAGGGAATGTATGTCGTCATTCTCCAGAAACGTGGTTTGGAAGTGTTTGAGGGATATGTGAAGGATTTGGTCGTCGCCGACTTGTCTTTCTGGGATATCTCGGCTTAGATATGATAGGAAGGCGGCCGCCAGCTGGGCTGGGGTTGGGGTATCATTGGTGTTGTAAAGATTGAATTGAGAAACAAGTTGTCGTGCTCGACGGTGGTTGCGAGCTGCGAAGTGATAGGTAACGGACGAGGAGCCTCGAGAAATTGTGAGGGGTATCGTCGGGGAGGGAGGATGCGGAGGGCTCAGCTCCGGCGTTGAGCACAGCGAGGTTGCGGGGGTCGAGCTGGTAGAGAACATGATTTCCGCTGGCAAACGCGTACAGCGTGTCTGGAGACAACTCGGCCGGGTGTATCTGATAAGTTGTGGGCAGTACGTCAAGTTGCTGGGCGAGCACGTGAGGGCGTGTTGCTGGCCGGGGCTTATGGCGTCGTGGCTGGGGCCAAAAGAGCGAGGAGCATTGCATTGCGGCCACCAACGCGAAGGATGCTGCTGAGCGGATCAAGCCGTGGTGCATGATTCAGCCGCCGGGGGCCGATAGGGCTTAGCCCAAAGCTTGGCCATGGAGAAATAGCTGTCAGCACTGAAGTTGGGAGCCGAATCCGGGGTAGCCCCACTTCCAACGCAAACTCAGCCCCCCGTCAAGCGCCCGTGTCTCCCCTCAATCCTGCACAACACCAATTTTTCCTACTTATTGTTTTCTTACACGCATCACCCTGTCAGATGCAGCCCGATCCTTCGTCCACAAAAGGTACTGCTTCTCGGCCCGTCACACCATGCCCATACCACCATGGCGAGGAAACTGCCGACGCCGCGTCACTGAGCCGCCCGGCCCCACCAAGCCGGGCCGAGTGCGTGCACATTGGGATCTAGAAGGCGACAAGGTTGCTGCGGTCGACAGGTACCAAAATAGCAACACCACGAGACATTGCTGGCCTGCGCCCATGACATATCTCAATTCTGTACGGCTCGCCGTCTGGATAGTCCCGCTGCTCCTCGCCTGAATTACTGTATCCTACTTGCACTACTGTTTACCGCCTCATGGCTCCACTCTCTCAGTTCGTAGGCGCATTTGCGTCCTCCTGCGCTCTGGTCTTCGCATCTGCCATTGCATATGTATGATGAGCACCAGAACCACCATTTTACAAGACATGTACTGATTAATGTCCAGGTATTGGGACTATGCATCTACCGCGTTTTCTTCCATCCGCTGGCAAAACATCCTGGCCCATTGCTGGCCAAGGTGTCCAATTTCTACGCGGCATATCATGCGTGGGTGGGCGACATCCACGTTGACATGTGGAAATGCCACCAAAAATACGGCGAGACTGTTCGCTATGCGCCCGATCGCCTCCTCATCAACACGGCCGATGCGCTTCGTGACGTGCACGGCCACAAGAGCAATCTCCCAAAGGCGACGACGTACAACGCGCTCATTCACCGCGCGCCCAACATCCTCACTCTGCGCGACAAAAGGCAGCACGGCCGCAGGCGTCGCGTCATGTGCCAAGCATTGTCGGATGCCAACATCGCAACCTTTGAGCCCGCAATCGTCGAGCAGGTCAAAAAGTTTGTGGCCGTCTTCGCCGAGCTCCCTCGCGACGGCGGTGACGAGGCCTGGTCTGCGCCGGTCAATGTTTCCGAATGGTGCGACTACCTGACATTCGATATCATGGCCTCAGTGGTGTTTTCCGGCAAATACGACATGCTGGGAAGCGCGCAGTACCGCCCTGTGCTGAAGGCAATCCTGGACTCCAACGTCCGGATGGGCACGCTGTTCCAATACCCGGCGCTCGGGCACTGGAAGATGCACAAGCGCTTCTTCCCCGCCGCCATCGCCGCCCGGAGCGTCTTCGTGTCGTTTGTGACGCGCATGGTCGGCGACCGAATCAAGCTGGGGAAGTCGCAGACCCCGCACGACGTCTTCTCGTTCATGGCGAAGTCCAAGGACCCCGAGACCGACCAGGGCTTGACCCTGAACGAGCTTGGCGCCGAAAGCACCACGCTGATCGTTGCCGGTGCTGACACTACCTCGACTGTCATTGCTGCAACCATGTTCTACCTTGCCAAATTCCCGCAGTGCCTGGAACGGGCCCAACGAGAGGTGCGTACGGCATTCGACGAGGAGTCGGAGATCCGTCTGGGCCGGAAGCTCAACAGCTGCACCTTCCTCCTTGCCTGCATCAACGAGGCCATGCGCCTAGCACCCTCCGTTGGCGCTGCACTCTGGCGCCAGGTGCAGTCTGAAGACGGCATGGCAGTTGGTGGCCACTTCGTTCCCCGCGGCTACGACGTGGGCGTCGGCATTTGGAGCCTGCAGCATAGTCCGGAACACTACCCTGACCCCTTTGACTTCTGCCCTGAGAGATGGCTTGTTGAAAGCGCAGATGAAAGATCAAAGATTCTCGCTGCGTTTTCGCCCTTCTCGCGAGGCCCCAGGAGTTGCGTTGGAAAGGGCATTGCTATGGTTGAGCTGTTGCTCACTTTCTCGCACTTGCTCTGGTCCTTGGACTTCAAATTCCCAGAGGGACAGGAGCCGCTTGGAAACTTCGAGCTGAAGGAACATGTTACTGGCGCCAAGAACGGCCCAGTTCTCCAGTTCCGCAAACGGCAATTGCACGGGCTCTGACACGTTTCTCACCACCACAGTTTGCCTTCATGTTAGTTTTCGATAGTCTTCAAATTGCGTAATTCTTCTCAGCTCTGCATATGGAATATCAAAATTGTGTAACATACCCCTCTTCCGAAGGCCGTAGCACGGGTGCGGTGATGATCTGAGTCTCAACGACGGCAGCGCTCCAGCACGCCGAGCATTCTTTCCTGACTCGGTCCGGCGGGGGAAGCTAGCGAAAGATGCGATCGTGACTGCAGCTGCAAATAGATTGAATGCTGAGGTTCCCTGCACCGCCTGTTCCAATTGTCTGCGCCTCCGCCTGGGCGGGTCATGCAAGCCATCACGATGAGCGGTCTGGCCCGCAGCTCTCTGCAAGGCTCACTAAATTCTCAGACCCCGAAGGATTTTTCTGCGGCCGTCAGTGCTGACGATTTCCACTAGGCAGATACCGTGGTGTGCACAAACCACCCGTGCTCCACCAACGCGTGGCTGGGGCCGTCGGACCCACAGCGAGGCTCTATTCACGGCACTTGTCTGACACGTCGCAAGCGCCATCCGTGGGGAACCAACCGTTGAGGCGCGGGCCAAGATCTAGGGTAGTATCATCAGATTCAAAGGTCTTTGGCGCTTTATTCCATAAGATGTCAGCTACGTGGGCTGTCATCACTGCTTCTCCCAGCACGCACATCTGTCATTTCCCCTCCGTTCTACAGTCGCACATCCTCATTCTACCACAGCACTCATGGAGATGACTGGAGATTCTGCTCTTGTGGCTCCTCCGAGGCCGCCGCTTTTTGCTCACAGGTCTGGAGATTCTAGTAGCAGTAGCAGCATTCGCCTCGGGAAAAGAGCGCTCAGTCACCCACCGGCTGTTTCTGAGCTCTCGTTTGGACGTACCGCAAGTTCGTCAGTGGAAAACGAGAAAGAGGAGCCAACGGAGTACCCTACTGGATGGAAGTTGGTGTCCATCACGCTTGCTCTTTGCTGTGCCGTTTTCGTTACAACACTGGTCAGTCCTTGTCCCTCTTCCCATCCTGATGGGGTTCTTACACGTCTTCACAGGATCAAACAATTGTTGCAACCGCCGCTCCCGAAATTACCAACCAGTTCAAGTCACTGGCAGATGTTGGCTGGTATGGCAGCGCGTAAGTGATAATCCTCAACCATGCGGATGTATCCGCTGTGTCTGACCTTGCACAGATACCTCCTCACCACTGCTGCATTCCAGCTACCCTTTGGCAAGCTCTACAGCATTCTGTCAGTCAAATGGACCTTCCTCGTGACCATCTTCATTTTCGAAGTTGGTTCATTGATTTGTGGTGCCGCCAACTCCTCGGCTGTCTTGATTGCCGGCAGAGCCATTGCTGGTGTGGGCGGCGCTGGCATCTTCTCCGGCGCATTGATCATTGCGGCTCATACCAGTACGTATTGAAATGGTCCCGCATTGACTCTGTGCTGACGCTTTTCTTAGTTCCGTTGCAATATCGTCCAATCTACACCGGTGCAGTCGGTGCAATCTCGGGCATTGCAGCCATCTGTGGCCCGCTTCTGGGTGGGTTGTTTACTGACCATGCATCATGGCGCTGGGTATGCGTTTCCCCTCCCAATATTTCTCCGAGTGTAGCTGACCGTCTTCCAGTGCTTCTACATCAACCTGCCGCTCGGTGGCATCACAATTGCCGTTGTAGCGTTCCTGACGCCCTCGATGACTCCCAAGCGGACCTCGACTTTGACGACGAAGCAGCGCCTGGCGAAGTTTGACTTCCTCGGCATGGCAGCCTTCATGCCCTGCATCATCTCCTGCCTCCTCGCCCTGCAGTGGGGCGGCACCAAGTACGGCTGGGGCAGCACGCGCATCGTCGCGCTCTTCATGACTTCGTTCGTGCTGTTCTGCTGCTTCGTCGGGATCCAGTTCTGGAAGCAGGACAACGCAACGCTCCCGCCGCGCATCATGAAGAAGCGCAGCGTGGCCGGCGCCGTCTTCTTCTCCTTCGCCCTGGGCGCCGCCTTCTTCACCATCGTCTACTACCTCCCGCTGTGGTTCCAGGCCATCAAGCAGGCCTCGGCCGCGCGGTCCGGCGTCATGAACCTGCCCATGGTGCTCTCCGTCGTCGTCATCTCCGTCTTCGCCGGCGGCATGATCTCGGCGTGGGGCTACTACACGCCGTTCATGATCCTCTGCGCCGCCGTCAGCGCCGTCGGCGCCGGCCTCCTCACCACCCTCGAGCCCGACACGCCCAGCTCCAAGTGGATCGGCTACCAGATCGTGCTGGGCGTGGGGCTGGGGTTGGGCATGCAGCAGCCGCTCATGGCGGTCCAGACGGTGCTCGACATGGCCGACGTCGCCGCCGGCACCGCCGTCGTCATCTTTGGCCAGACCGTCGGCGGCTCGCTGATCCTGCTCATCGCCCAGAACCTGTTCCAGAACAAGTTCATCGGGAACCTGGGCAGCTACGTCCCGGACGTCAACCCGGCCCTCGTGCTTGCCGCGGGCGCGACGGGGCTGGAGAAGGCCGTGCCTGAGGCGGACAAGGCGGGCGTTCTGCAGGCCTACAATGATGCCGTGACCACCACTCTGCTGGTTCCTACGGCTTTGGCAGCGGTTTCAATTCTTGGTGCGGCAATTATGGAGTGGAAGAGCGTGAAGGGCAAGAAGTTTGACCTTGTCGGTTAAGCATAATTTTCTGCCAATATGGGCATTAATGTGGTCACTTGTACAAGGAGTTTTTGAGAAGTACATTCGCAGGGTCTCGGCGTTCATAGCTTTTTGATGTTTGTGTTTTAGCTCGTCATCTGTATGTATCTGGTGTTTATGGATAGAAAATCGTCTGCATAATTTTTGTCGCTAATCTTCATCGGTAATCTGAAGATCATTGTGCATCTCGTGCAGATCTCGGCATCTGTCAGGGGGCCTCCTGTGGCTTGAATCAGCTCAGCGCGTCACCTGCATATTGTTTATTGATTTTTTGCCTTGAATACCTCATTCGTTTTCAATGCTTGCAGACCGTAAGAAACTACTGCAGCTTTTACACTTCGTAGTTGCAGGCTTCGGAATCCGCTGTGAGTCAGTCACCATAAAAGATAAATTAACGTTGAGCACATCTAGTCAGCCTTTCCCCGCACATTTCCCGATCGGGCTGTCTTATTACCCATTCCAGGCAGCCGGACCAGGAGCACCCAAGTATAGCAACGATTGTTGGCGGCTGCTTACGTCGGGTGGCGCAGGGCCCCCACCAGGCGTCGGAAAATAGCCCGACATACCCACCGCCAGGGGCCGACACGGCACACACATTGACCAACCAGCGTTTCTTCGAAGCCACATGCAAGCCAGCGTTCGCGACCCACAACAGCCCCGTCTCACTGTTTTTCACCGTGCCATGCGCATGCAAAATCCATCGAAAGTTAAATTTGGCCGTTGGTGGCACTGCATGCGTGGCGGAGCCCTATTTATCCATCAAAATTACCCGGACCATGCAACTATCTCAGTGTTACTTAGTCCTTGCATGTTGCTAGCCTTTATCCCCTCTATCTGTAAAGCCCTCGTAGAATCTGTTCCCAGCTAAGCCGAAAATGGTTTTCCCTCCCCCTCCCGTGTCCAGCATTGACTGGAAGAAGATCGGATTTGAGTCCAAGCCATGTAATGAGTACCACAGGCAACAAGACGAATAGTAGCTGATCAAGCGTTAGTCAATGGGCATGTCGAGAGCCGGTACACAGTCTCAACCGGATCGTGGAGCGCGCCACAGCTCGTCGCCGACCCCTTCTTGCGCGTCCACGGCCTCGCTCCCGCCTTCAACTACGGCCAGCAAGCCTACGAAGGCATGAAGGGTAACCTCTCCTCACCCAATTCCTCTCATGTCCCCCCATTATTCCGCTGACCCCATCCATTCGCACAGCCTTTCGCGACCCCTCGGGCAACATCAACATCTTCCGGCCCTCGGACCACGCCCGGCGCATGAACCACTCCTCCTCCTTCGTCTCCATCCCAGCCATGCCCGAAGCCCACTTCAAGGCGTGCGTCCAGCTGGCCGTGGGCGCCAACGCGGCTTTCGTACCACCGCACGACGCCGACGCCGCGCTGTACATCCGGCCGGTCGTGTTCGGCGCCTCCGCGCACCTGCCGCTGACGCCGCCGCAGGAGTACCTGTTCGCCGTGTACGTGCAGCCGCTGAACGCGTACCACGGCAGCGCCGCGGCCGACGCGCTCGTGCTCGAGGACTTTGACCGCACCGCGCCAAAGGGCACCGGCGCCGCAAAGGTCGGCGGCAACTACGCGCCCGTCATCCGGTGGAGCGAGAAGGCGAAGAAGGAGGGCTTCGGCATCACGCTGCATCTGGACAGCCGGACGAATACCGAGATTGACGAGTTCAGTACGTCCGGGTTTATTGGCGTGCAGGCGAGGGACGACGCGCGGGGGGGCTACCGCCTGGTGGTGCCCGATAGCAAGAATGTCATCAGGAGCGTCACCAGTGTCAGCTGCATTGAGCTGGCGCGAAGCTTCGGCTGGGATGTTGAGACTCGTTCTGTAAGTGAGACTGCAATTCGCTTCTAGTTGGCGTGACTGACTGTTGGGCGCAGATCAAGTATGAAGAGCTTGCGTCGTTTGATGAGGTCATTGCAGTTGGAACCGCTGCGGCACTGGTGCCAATTCGCTCCATTACCCGTCAGTCGCTTGATCAAAAGTTCGTGTACCAGGATGGCAGCAGTACTGCTGGGCCTTGCTGCCAGAAACTGCTCCAAGCTCTACAGGATATCCAGCGTGGTGTGAGCCATGATGCGTTTGGATGGCGAGAGCAGGTATTGCCTCCTGATGCGTCCATCAATGATAAAGATGACCTTGGATATGCAAGCGGTATATACGGCGTTTTGGAAGGTATGTGGCAGGCACTTCCAAGGGTATTTTCTTTCGGAAGGTGAACGCTTGGTGGAAGATTTGCATCAATTTTTAGCGCATTAAAAAGAAGTTGTATTCACCTCAATGGAATTTTCTACTCGTAATTGAAACAAACAAGTCTTTGACCCATGAATTAAATGCTGAATATATGTTGAATGTAGACATTGTGTGTGTGAATGCTTTCAATAATTTTAACGTGAATTCGGTTGTGATTTTGCGGGTGGAATGTTTTCACCACAAAACAACTACATCGGCAACACAACAAGACTGCTCGGCATCAAAAAATAAAAACAGTCGTATGCTTGATTCAAGTATTCAAAATTAAGAAATGTAATAATAAAATTAATTTGACTTGTTAAGAGGTATCAACTGGCAGAAAAAATAGAAGAAAAAAAAAAATGATACAAAACGCTTAAGAAGTTACAGGCGACCAAAAGGATCCAACTACAGATACTACGACGAAGACAGGCGGGAGGTAGGATCTATCAAAGCCTCGGCTTCTCGTTTGCCCTGGAATGGAGCAACATCCTTGGCTATGAATAACGTCCCATTCAACATTCGTTGCTGGAACTCTGCAGTTGCAACCCTTCGCCTCTGCAACGTCTTCCTTTTGTAAACATCATACTCTGCTTCATCCAAAACTGCGAAGAGGTATTTAGGGTGAACGACAATTGCCTGTGTTCCCTTTTGCCCAAAGCCAAAAGAGAAGACAGATGCAGCTTTGATACCTGTTGTCTGGATGCTCTTGTTCATGAAGGCAATGTGGTCGAACTGCTCGAGATAAGGATCGATGTTGTCTGCATTCCGGTTTCCCGGAACGAGGCCGGTATGCATCATCTGTCTGGGTCAGCATGGGGTGATAAGATTGGAGGCAGGGACATACCTGCAAGCATCCGTTGAGCATCCAAGCACCAGCTGCTCCTTTCGGATGACCGGTGAGATACTTCTGAAAGACGCCCAATATCCTGTTTCCACGGGTCCGACCGAGGTGCGTGAGCTGACGCTGCATTATTTCACACTCGTTCTGCTCATTTTTGATGGTCGAGGTGCCGTGGAATGATGCCACCTGGAGATCATCAATCGAGAGACCCCAGGTTGCAAGAGCGCCACGAATGGGCGCAATCTCCGGGTGTTGTCTCCAAAAGTTGTTTCCAAAAGCCCGCAAGGCATCAGACTCCTGGCGTGAAGCCTCGGAATTGATGTGTTGCTCGCGATAGGTTTTGTACTCCTCAAGAGAGTCTTTGTCCATGTCCATGGCGGCTATTTCATCTTCCAACTGGGCAAGTTCCAGCTCTTTGAATTCATTGATTTGACTTCTTCTGCTTGTCATCTGGCGTCGTCGGTAATCAAGGCTGAGCAGTGGAGAAGCAAAGGCTGCGGGCCGTTCTCTGACATTGACCATGACTCCCTTGCCAGGCGCTGGAACAGAACGGCCAACCTTGTCACTTGCAGTTCCAGTGAAGGCGAGGATGCCATAAACGGGAAGCCCCATTTCCAGAGCAAGCTTTGCTGTGCAGACCACCTGGAGACCGCAGCCATGAGACTCGAGAAATCCTCTCCGATCCGAGGCGGTAGGGCGGGACATCTCGCTGGGAGCACGTCCGTGGGCGGCATCCAGCTCGTTGTTATTCGTAGCCTTCATATTGGCAAACTCGTAGGCCATGTGCTCTTCCAGATCATCAACACCTCCGACAAGGCAGAACTTTGCCTTCCCGGTCATGATCAAATCATGAGCCGTGTCGAGGGATTCAATGGCAGTGGCGCAGGCTCCCACCGGGGTTCTAATGGGACCGTTGGATGACAACAGGAGCATGTTAATCCACGCTCCAACCGTGTTCAAGAAAGTTTCCTGGAGAACGTCTTTTGGCACGTCCTTCTCCATCGACCGGCCTTTGTACATGCGCGCTGCTGATGCCACGCCGCCAACGCCGGTTCCAACGCAGTTACCAAGCTCCGAAGCGTGAATGTACTGGTATATCTCATATGGATCGGTGATACCGGCGGAGAAGAGAGCTTCGATGGTGCAGACGAGAGAGTAAAGAGTGATTGGATCCACCTGAGAGATGATGTCTTCGGAAATGCCGTACGTGCGCGGGTTGAAACCGGTGGGGATCTGACCGGCGACGTTGTGACTGAACTTGGCTGCCTTTGGAATCAAGAGTGTTGCGCCCTTTTTAATGTACACCTTGCCATCCAGGACGTCTGCGTGATGTCCGTGGCGGCGTTTAAAGGCCTGGGCGGTGTCGTTGGATGTTTCAAACGGCTCCAGGTCCTCTTGCACTACGACTTCCTGAAAGAACTGCTTCTTGTCGGGGTCATAGCCGTCCCAAAGCTCTGGCTCAACAATCCGAATGCCGGTGTGCGCTTTGATGTGTTCGCCGTAGCGTCCTTCAATCTCGTGATCTTGGATCGGCTCACTACTCTTGGCGTCAACCCAGCCGGCAGGCTGCTCGATTCCCTGCCACGTCGGGTGCTCTGCGTATTTGATGAGGCCCATGATCCAAGCCATCTCCACCCAGCCTTCCAACGAGAAGGTTCCCCTGGCTTCCATTTCCCATCTGGTACGTGCGGATCCCCAGGGTCCAAGCTCCGAGAAGCCCGCAACGACAACAACGCTGTCAAGGTCAACCATGCCGTGCAGCTTGTTCAGTGGTTTCAAGGAAGATTGAAAGTCTGGAAGGTCTGGAAAGCCCAGCCCGATGTTGGCGCGAGGAAGGAAGGGGTCTTCGTCGAACGCCATCTCTGGGTTATCCAAGGACTCTTCGGCAGCCAGAGCGCGTTTGATGTCATCCGCATCGGTGGCGTTCTTGCGTATCTGCCTTAACTGCTCGGAGAGGTCGTGAACTGTTTCGAGGCCGCCATTAAAGTCTGCGTAGAGAGGGCGCTCCTCCATTACTTCCATCATTTCCGGGTCCAGCAAGGCAAGGATATTTGCCGCCATCTCAGATTGCGAGAAGGTACTGATGCCGAGCTTCTCTACCTCTTCTGCAAGCACGTCGTTTCCTTTCATGAGCCCAGTTCCGCGAGTCCAGCCAATGGCAGCTCCGCCAATGGAAAGGTAGTTACTCCAGGACTCGGAATACCATTTGTTGAACAGCGTTTCCAAGGCGATCTTGGACTCGGCGTAGAGGCCGTCTCCGCCAAAGATGCCGTGGTTCGCGGACAGTGGCAGAATAACCTGCGCAGGGCGGGTGTCGTATCCAGCTCCCTGTTTGTGCCTCTTGATAGCCCCAACGAGGCGGATTACATTCGTAAGCATGACCCGATGAGCCAGTTCGGACTTGGAGTCGATGGTGTCAACCTCTCGGCCTCCTTCGGAAATAGCGGCAAATGGAACAACGGCATCAAGGTCCCATCCAAGCCCACTCTGGTCATAGATGTACGAGATCAAGGCCTCTACGTCAGAATGGCTTCCCTGGTTGAAGGGCACAACAACGAGACGGGAACCGGGGCCAGCGTGGTCGACGTACACGTCCCTGTAGGCATTGATGCTGGCGGACGAATAGCTGCTGGTGGTCACAATGACCTTGGCTCCTCCGGCAAGTAAACCGGCCAGAATCTCTGCGCCGATAGAGCCACGGCCAGCACCAGTTATCAAAACAGTGCGGTCGATGAATGATAGGCCGTCCGTCTGAACAGTGCGAAGTGCTTCGTAAAAGGCGTGGGTCGCTTCCTCGTCTCGTACCCATTCGCCAGATGACTTGCGCTTTATCTGGTGGGTGCATGGGCTTGCACCGCTGGCTGGGGCCGGGAAGATAAAAGATGGAGTCTGCTGGGCCTCACAGCGGCCGATGAGCGACGTGATGGCTTGCTCGGCTGCTTTGTGGCGGTCGGTCGAATCCTTCTGGCAGATGGCTTGCAGGTAGCGCAGAGCCTCGAGGAGCCTGGGAGTGGAGCGCTGAGAGATGGAGTTGCAGAGCTCGCGCACTTGGGCGTCGTCGGGTGCTGGCGCATCGTGGAGCAAACGGTGGAACAGGCTGAGTGCATCCTGGATCACCCACGCCCAACTCGAGTCAAACGAGCGCGCCTTTCGCGGATCAAAAATTGGACGGATTCCGGAAGCGTACGCCTGTCCATGTTCAGTGTTCCACAAATCAAGCTGGTCCTGGAGGCCTGTGGCTGCGGCAAGGGCGTTTTCAGAGGCTTTCAAACCCGCGTGGAGGTCGACACCAAGCTGTCGGGCGTAAAGCTCCAGCTGGCGGCGGTTGAAAGCCTCGTGGTCCTTGGTGATGGAGCGGAGCGCCTCTGAGTCGGCGGACGGAGCCGCATTCTGGTGAGTTGGCGGCGGGTCGTCGACGGGGAGTCCTGCGTCCAGCAGGTGGCGGCGGGCCTTGGCGTCGAGAAAGCCGTGGGCGGTGCCGACGTCGGGCAGTCGGGCGGCGGGCGGGTCGGTGGCGGCGCTTAGCAGCACCGCGTCCTGGCGGCCGCTCGCTAGGCCCCACCGCGCGTCGAGGTACGCGCGTGCCTCTCTCAACCCAAACCCGCCCGGCATCTTCGCCCCCATCAGCTTCTCCACCATCGCCGACGTCTGCGCGCCCAGGGCCCCCCGGAAGCCGCGCTGCAGCGCGTCGCCGAGTGCCGCGACGCCCATGTCTTCGGCGCGCTCGGGCACGCCGCCGAACTCGCTGACCAGGTCGCCGACAATCTCGTTCTCGAGCGTCGACCGCCCGCCCGCCAGCGACTTGATGCTGTCCTGGTCCTGGACGTCTTCCGGCCGCTTCTTCAGTTTCTGTGCGATCATGGCCCGCAGTATGGCCTTCGCGGCGATGGGCTCGTCCGCCTTCTTTGGCGCCGGCCCGCTCCTGGGCGCCGGCGCAGGGACGGCCGCCGGTTCCTCAACGCTCGGCTGGCTCTGCCGACGCTCCGCTGCTGCCTCATCCACCGCCGCGGCGCTCGCGCTGGGCGGCGGCAGGTCTCGCTGAAAATATATCTCGTCAGTGTCGTCCTCGCAGGCCAGCAGGTCCCTCCGGATCCATTGCGCGTCGTCGTGGTCTCTGAGCTGTGATGCCACGGTCCGCTTCGCCATGACAGTCAGCGTGTTCGACGGCCCGATCTCCACCACCCTCTCCTTCTTCTGCTGCCCGAGAAGGACGTCCTGTGTATCGATCCTGCCATGTGTCAGCCCGACGTCGCACGTCAAAATGTGCAAAAGCCTACCATTTTACCGGGTATGCGAATTGGTGCCTGTAGTCGCCGTTAACTTGGGCGCTCTTGGACGCTGGGGGAAAGACCTTACGCCAACAACTCCACCACCGCCTCGTGGGCCAAATCTTGATCCAGCGTCATCTCTGCACTGGTAGGTAGCTGCGAAAGACAGGTGCAAAGTCCAGCTGCGACAGCGAGCGTGCGGGTATTGTCAAGCACCGACAAGCACTGCGGGCAGCGCCGCAATATTGACTGCAGAGACACTGCTCTCATCACAACACCACCAATGCTGCAGCGCTTACAGGCTTGCGACCGATACAGGCGTTGTCTCCAGATCTGGCCGAGAACGCACTGCGCCCCGCGGTTGAATCCTTCGGTAAGCCGTGAGTCGGCTATTTTGGGGCCTCCACGGGCCGCGCAGCCAACGCACGCAGACCCGCCGCTTTACTTCTTGCGGTAATTTTGAGCCAGCCAAGCCTCGTGGGGGCGGAGCCGTGACCCGACCCGCATCTTGGCCCCCGGCAGCGCTTGCTGCCCCACTACTGAACGTTTCTCCAGGTACTATTTTCAGCGGGCAATAGTAGCGCACATCGCCGCAGCACGCGGCTCCTCCCTGCACGCCCTGTCAGCACCCCGCCTGGCCCTGGCCTCTGCAACGGCTCATGCCGTATTGGATTTGCGCCGGCATCTCTCGCAGCAAATATCTCTTCGCTCTCACCGTCTGGCATTTTGCATCATCAAGTCGCTGTGACCTCGCACCTTTCTGCCCTCAATTCCTGTCCTCAATCTCCGCGCTGCTCTGCCCCCTCTCTTGCAATTTCCTCTCTTGTGATCCACGCCCACAGCTAAAATATACCCAAGGTAACTATACCCCACTAATCTTAGAAATAATGGGCAGCCTTTCGCAGAGCAGCCAGCGCGCGTCTTTCTGGCAGGAGTACCTTACCGACGCGGAATCATGCATATTCCCAACCCTCATCGAGCAGTCCGCCAAGCCCACGCACTCTCAGCGGCGGACCAAAACCATTGACGCCTCTTCGTTCAATCACTTAGCGCACGATGTTGGCATTGCCGAATTGTGTGTCGCAGCCTGGGCCATCCTACTTGGCCGCTATCTGGCTGCAGATCACGTGTGCTTTGGCCTCACCTTTGACCGTGCAGGCACCCGGCAGTACTCGGCGTGTCGCATGCCGCTCCCAGAGGATAAGCCGCTCTCCTCAATATTGACCCAAACGAGAAAGTCGCTTGAATCACATCTTTCTTTCTCATTCCAGTCCATTTCTGAGTTCCAGTCCGTTGTCGGCCCGGAAAACCAACTATTCAACACCTCCGTCCGCCTTGACCATGGTGACTCGGGATATCCGTCTGAAAGTCGGACTGCAGAAGTAAGTCAATACGGTTGCACGCCAATGACATACTAACTCTGCATAGCCCGCCATCACATTGGCCATCCGGCAGTCAACGAGCGGCGCACAAACTACCCTGGAATATTCTTCCTCGGTGTTTTCAGACAAAGCCGCTGCTCTTGTAGCAGCAACCTACCGCAAAATCCTCCTGGAGCTGTCCGAATCCATCGAGACTCCGCTGCATCAGCTGTCGATTTTGAGTGGCGAAGACTTGGAGGCCATGTCGGCGTGGAACGAGAAATGTCCCGAGGCGGTAGACGCTTGCGTGCACGACATTTTCCGCCGCCACGTCATTCTGCACCCAGAAGCACCTGCAGTATGCGCATCCGACGCTTCGTTCACGTACAAGGAGCTTGATATTCTCAGCAACACGCTCGCCCATTTTCTGGTGGCCAACGGCGTGGGCCCCGAGGTGGTTGTCCCGCTGTGCTTTGAGAAGTCGGCGTGGGCAACTGTCGCAATGCTTGCCGTCGCCAAGGCTGGCGGCGCCTTCACTTTCCTGGATTCTTCGTACCCCATGAGCCGTCTCGAGGACATCGCACAACAGGTAAATGCTCAGTTCCTGCTCGCATCATCCTCGAATATTTCCATGTGGGTCGGCCGCCTTGCTGCCTTTGAGGTCAGCTGCGCGACGGTCGAAGCGCTCCCAAGGCAAGAGCTGCCTCCCGTGACTTCAGTCACGCCGCACAATCTCCTTTACCTCATCTTCACGTCCGGATCCACGGGCAAGCCGAAGGGAGTGCAGGTCGAGCACTCGGCCTATCTCAGCTGTGCCCTGCACCAGAGCCGTGTGTGCTGCATGGATTCGTCCAGCCGTGTCCTGCAGTTTGCGTCTTACAGCTTCGATGTCAGCATCCTGGAGAATTTCACCACCCTTGTCGTCGGCGGTTGCATTTGCGTTCCCGACGAACAGTCCCGGAGCAAAGGCATTGGCAGCATGATGAACGAGTTCAAGGTGACGTGGGCGTTCCTGACGCCTTCCCTAGTAAAGCTGATCGGACCTCGTGACGTGCCGCATCTCGAGACGCTGGTTCTCGGCGGCGAAGCTGTGACCAAGGCAGACGTCGAAACGTGGGCGGGCAAGATCAAAAACTTCCAGAACGGCTACGGGCCCACCGAATGCTCCATAGCCTCGGCAATCAACCCCAGCGTCGGACCGCACACCGACGCAGCCAACATTGGATGGCCAGTTGGTGGACTTCTCTGGGTGGTTGATGCCCAGGATCACCACCGCCTGGTGCCCGTCGGCGGAATGGGCGAGCTCGCCATCGAGGGCCCCCACCTCGCCAGAGGCTACCTCAACGACCCCGAAAAGACCGCTTCTGCCTTTATTGATAATCCCGAATGGATGGCCGGGTTCGCCGAGTCTCGCAAACGGAGGATATACCTGACGGGCGATCTTGTTCGCTGCAACCCGGATGGCTCTATCCACTTTATCGGCCGCAAGGACACGCAGGTTAAAGTCCGAGGCTTGAGGATAGAGCTCGGCGAAATCGAGCATCACATCTCGGTTGATCCTCTCGTCCGCCTGGGTGTGGTACTGGCGCCCACTGCCGGCGCCTGCAAGAAGCGCCTCGTCACTGTTCTCTCCACGGCCGAGTCCATTCAATCGAGCTCTTCTGGGGATGTCAAAGTTCTCGACCCCAGCTCGATTGAAGTCAAGAACAATGTTCAGCAAATTCAACAACGCCTAGAATCCAAAGTCCCAGGCTACATGGTGCCATCGTCGTGGATCGTTGTCGAATCTTTCCCCCTGACGCCGTCCGGCAAGATCGACCGCGTCAGAGTGAAGAGGTGGCTCGAGAGCATGGACACGGAGGCTCTAAAAGAATGCGAGTGCCTGCTCGAGGAAGAACCCGAGACTGCGCAGGAAGCTGTGGAGAATGCCGGAGACGTCGAGGAGAAGCTCCGAACAGTCATCGGATACGTTCTGAACCTGCCTCTGGACTCTGTTTCGCCTAACAGAAGCTTTGTCAATCTTGGAGGAGATTCAATCTCGGCAATGCAAGTCATGACGCAGTGCAAAGCTGAGAACATGGCCATCAAGATCAAGGATGTCCTCCGCTGCAAGTCCATCACCGAGCTCGCTACTACCGTTACTATCACGGAGCGTCGGGCTATTGCTGTGCAAGAAGAGTTCGACACTCCATTTGATCTCTCGCCAATCCAACAGCTCTACTTCCAGTTACAGCCGGAGGGCTCTCAAAAAGGTGGCGCCAATCGATTTAACCAGAGTTTCCTCCTCCGTCTCGCACGCTCTATATCTGCGGACACTATCTCTGCAGCACTGGATGTTATTGTGCAAAGGCATTCCATGCTTCGGGCCCGCTTCGTCAAGTCGGAGTCCGGAAAGTGGATGCAAACGATCCCACGAGACACAGAAGGCTCGTACCAGTTCGAAGAGAGCTCGGTGGCCGGCCCCGAAGACCTGGAACGTCTTCTGCTCAAAAGTCACGCCAACATCGACATGATTGACGGCCCCGTTTTCATTGTCGATCTCATTAACGGACCGGAAGGGCAGGCGCTGTCGCTGATTGCTCACCACGCAATCATCGACCTCGTCTCGTGGCGTGTCATCATGCAGGAGTTGGAGGAGCTTGTGGAAATGGGCGAGCTGTCAGCAACGCGGGAGAAACCGCTGCCTTGGCAAGCGTGGTGCCGGCTCCAGGCAGACTATGCCCGCAAAAACCTCCCTCCTCACATTGCCTTCCCGGATAGCATTGCTCCGTCTGACCTGGAATATTGGGGAATGACAGACAGCGACAACAGGATTAGCGACACCATGCGGGTGTGCTTCAAGCTGGATGCGGCTGCTACATCTTCCTTGACTGGGCCCGAGTGTCACCGCGCACTGAAGACGGAGCCCATTGATCTCTTCCTTTCTGCGCTGATCTATTCGTTCAGCCGTACATTCAAGGATCGAGGAACCCCCACCATTTTTAGGGAAAGCCACGGCCGTCAAGGCTGGGACGACGACATGGACATCTCCTCGGTCGTCGGGTGGTTCACAAGCATGTACCCTGTCCATGTCGACGCTCAAGCAGATTTCGTCGACGTTGTCAAGCGCGTCAAGGACAGCCAACGGCGTGTTCCCCGTAGCGGATGGCCGTACTTTGCCTCGCGCTACAACCACCCGGAAGGCATCAAGCAATTCGGCTCGCAGGTCACTGCCGAGATGCAATTCGACTACCTTGGTCTCTACCAGCAGCTGGAAAGGGAGGGTGCATTGTTCGAGCAGCAGCAGCTGATTGTCCCGGACGTTGGGCCCGACTTCAAGCGGTTTGCGCTCTTTGAGATCACTGCCGAGATAATCCGTGGCGAGTTCCAACTGACGTTTGAGTTTAATGCGCACATGAAGCATCAGGATGCAATCAGCGACTGGATCCAGGAATGCGAACGCTCCCTCCGCATGGCTGCCGACCAGCTCTCCCGCATCAGCGCAACCCAGTACACTCTGAGCGACTTCCCCCTTCTCCCCACAAACTACGACGGCCTCGAAGAGCTCGTCACCAAGACGCTCCCGGGACTTGATATTTCCGCTGACAACGTGGAAGATGTATACCCGGTTTCTCCCATGCAGACTGGCCTTCTTTTGAGTCAGGCCAAATCTCAGGGCCTGTACCAGTACTTCAGCGTTTTCCGAGTCGAAGCACTCTCTGCCTTCGAATCGGTAGACTCGTCCCGCCTGATCGACGCTTGGCAAAGCCTTGTTGAGCGCCACGCATCCCTGCGCACCATCTTCGCCCCGGCCGTGACGAAGGGAGATGCCTTCAACCAGATTGTGCTCAAGAAAGCCGACGTCCGTGTCTCTCGGATCTGCTGCTCGCAGAACGAGGTGCATTCTATTCTCAACGAGCACATGCACATTCCATTCCAAGACGCCCGCCCGCCGCACAAGCTGACCATCTGCGAGGTTGCTGATGGAGAGGTGTTTGCCAGGATCGACATCAACCACGCCCTCGTTGACGGCTCGTCGGTCCCAGCACTGGTCCGTGATTTCACGTTGCTGTACGACGGACGCGTGTCACTCCCGAAGGCACCTCTCTTTAGCGAATACATTGCGTACCTCGACACCTGCGACCTTCAGAATAGCCTTCGCTACTGGGTCGAATACTTGGATGGCGTTGAGCCGTGCTACTTCCCAGCCCTAGACGACGGGGTCTCGCAGGACAGCAGCATCAGGACGGTGCACGTGGAGCACCAGGTCACTACAAAGGCGTTGAACCAGCTCTGCCAGGCACGGAACATCACGCTGCCCACTCTCTTCAAAGCCGTGTGGGCACTTGTCCTCCAGGCGTACACGGGCTCACGCCAGGTGTGCTTCGGCTACCTCGTGTCCGGGCGGGACATCCCAATCGACAACATCGACAGCGCAATCGGCGCCTTCATCAACATGCTGGTGTGCCGCGTGGACCTAGCCGATGCTGTTGGGTCTGTCCTCGACAAGATCCAGGAGGACTCGGTGACCAGCCTTCAGCACCAGCACTGCTCGCTGGCCGACATGCAGCACGGCCTCAGCTCCGAGCTGTCGGCGCAGCCGCTGTTCAATTCCGCCGTCAACTTCCAAATGGTGCCGGCCCCCGAGGCGTTGGATTCGTCTGTCGCGTTCACATTCAGCCACCACTACGACCCCACCGAGTACAGCATTGCCGTTGACATTGCTGTATCGGGCGAGAGTGTGGACATTTCGCTCGTCCATACCGCAACTTCCCTCTGCAGCGCCCAGGCCAAGAATGTCGCAAGCACCTTTGCTACAGCTCTCGACCTCGTGCTGAAGACGCCCGCGGAAAGTCAAGCGGCCGAGATGCACCTGCTCAGCGACCGTGATCATGACCAGATCTGGAGTTGGAACCGCTCCGTGCCTCCGAAGGTGAATATGTGCATCCATGATATCATTTCACGCCGTGTAAGCGCCCGCCCAACGGCCCCAGCGGTCGAGTCGTGGGACTGCAGCTTCACCTATAAGCAACTGGACGATCTTTCATCGATGCTTGCTGCCCACCTTGCACACAGTGGAGTTGGGGTCGGTGTTTTCGTCCCGCTCTGCTTTGAGAAGTCGGCCTGGACCGCCGTGGCGCTGCTCGCCGTGTTGAAGGCTGGCGGTGCATTTGTTCTGCTGGACCCCGCCCACGGATCGAGTCGGATGGAGACGATCATCGAGGATGTGGACGCCCGCATCCTGCTCTGCTCCCGCACCCACGCCGACTTGCTGACCGACGAGGTGGATTCCGTTGTCATTGTTGACCAGGAGAGCCTCGACCAGATCAACACGGCCAGGTGCTGCAACCCGGCCAAGCGTGAGGGCAAACAGCCCACGCCCTCTGATCCGGCATACGTCATCTTCACGTCGGGCTCGACAGGCAAGCCCAAGGGCAGCTACACGCCTCACTACGGCTTTGCCACGAGTGCTGCGGGCCACGGCAAGAGGTCGCACATGTCGCCGAGCTCGCGTGTCCTTCAATACGCGTCCTACAGCTTTGACGCATGCCTGATGGAAATGCTGACGACGCTCATGTTCGGCGGGTGCGTCTGCATTCCCAGCGAGCAGCAACGCCTGGACGATATTGCGGGCGCCATCAACGACGCTCGCGTGAACTGGGCTGTCCTGACGCCGTCGGTGACGCGCCTCATCGAGCCCAGCCAAGTGCCAACGCTCGAAACTCTTGTCATGGGCGGCGAAGCCATGTCCAAGGCCGACATTCAGCGCTGGAACGGCCACGCCACGCTGCACAACGGGTACGGTCCGTCCGAGTGCGGTGTCGCTGCCGCTTGGAACGAGGCCGTCGGCGACGACCCTACAAACATTGGCAAGTCGGTCGGCGGCGTCTGCTGGATCGTCGACCCGCAGGACCACCGCCGTCTCCTGCCCATCGGCTCCATTGGTGAGTTGCTCGTCGAGGGCTTTGCCATGGCCGATGGCTACCTCAAAAACAAGACAAAGACGGATGAAGTCTTCGTCCCAATGCCCGAGTGGCTGGCCAGCCAGAGACCTGCACAGCACTCGACGCGCCGACTGTACAAGACGGGCGATCTTGTGCGGTATAACTCGGACGGCAGCATGGCTTTTGTCGGCCGCAAGGACACGCAAGCCAAATTCCACGGCCAGCGCATCGAGTTCGGCGAGATTGAGCACCACGTGCTCTCACGCGCCGACTTCACGGGCGCAGTTGCGGTCGAGATCGTCAAGCCCACTGCCCGCCAGGGAAAGCAGACGCTGGTTGCTTTCTTCGAGACAGAGAACGACGCCGCCACCGACAGCATATTCCTCGACATTTCTGACGACCTGGCTGTGCGGCTCTCGGCGCTGCAGGACGGCCTCACAGCCGTGCTCCCGCCGTACATGGTCCCGTCCACATTCATCCCGCTGGCCTCGTTCCCCCGCAATGCCTCCGGGAAGCTGGACCGCAAGGCCATGCGCGAGAGGGCCGAGCAGCTGCCCGCATCGCAGCTGAACCGCTATGCGCTCCTGGCCTCGACCAAGCGCGCCCCACGCACCGAGCAGGAGCGCAAACTGCAGGCCGCGTGGGTGGAGACGCTGGGCGCGCACCCCGACTCAATCGGCAGCGACACCAGCTTCTTCCGGGTCGGCGGCGACTCGATCGGCGCCATGCGGATGGTCTCAATTGCGCGAGAGAAGTACGGCCTCGTGCTGACGGTGGCCGACATCTTCAACCAGCCCCGCCTGTGCGACATGGCTGCGGCGGCCAAGGAGGTCGTCGAGTCGAGCACCGAAGAGCCGGGCGTCGCTCCATTTGCGCTCTTTGAGGACGACGAGGGCGTGGACGACCTCGTGGAAGAGGTGGCTGCTCAGTGCGGCGTGGGCAAGGAGCTGGTCGAGGACATGTATCCCTGCGCGCCGCTGCAGGAGGGGCTGATGGCGCTTTCGATGAAGCAGCAGGGCGCATACATGGGCCAGAGCGTTTTTGTGCTGCCGCCGTCGCTGGACACTGCGAGATTCAAGCGCGCGTGGGAGAGCGTGTTCCGGCAGAATCCCATCCTCCGCACCAGGATTGTCAATGTCGAGACGGCAGGAACGCTGCAAGTGGTCCTGGCCGAGCCTCTCACCTGGCTGTCCTCGCGCTCGCTGCAGCAGTACCTGAAAGACGACCTCCAGGTGCCCATTACCTGGGGAGGGTCGCTGGGCCGCTTCGCGCTGGTCGAGGCCAAGGCGGCGACACACTTCGTGTGGACGGCGCACCACTCGCTGTTCGACGGGTGGAGCCAGGGCCTCATCTTCGAGCAGCTGGAGCAGGCCTACCGCGGCAATCCGGTGCCCGAGCTGGCGCCATTCAGCAGCTTCATCCGCTACCTGACCTCCAGCGACAACGCCGCGTGCGAAGAGTTCTGGAGCGCACAGCTCGCCGGCGAGACGCCCGCAACGTTCCCGCAGCTGCCTTCCAGCACCTTCACCCCACGCGCCGACGGCCGCCACGAGCGCACCATCGACCTGGCCCGGGACTCGGGTTCGGACATCATGACGTCGACCATCATCCGCGCGGCGTGGGCGCTGCTTCTCGGGCGCTACACCGACTCGGAGGACGTCGTGTTCGGGGCCACCATGTCTGGCCGCAACGCCCCGGTGCGCGACATTGAGCGCATCAATGGGCCGACCATCACGACGGTGCCCGTCAAGGTGCATCTCAACCGCGAGCAGCCCATCTCTGAGATGCTCGAGGCGATGCAGAACCAGGCCACCGACATGATCCCGCACGAGCACTGGGGCCTCCAGAACATCGCCCAGGTCAGCAAGAACGCCCAGTTCCAGAACTTGCTCGTCGTCCAGCCCTCGCGCGACGGCCAGTCTCTGCTGGGCATGGAAGTCGTCCCGACGGACGAAGACGACTTCAACACGTACGCGCTGTGCACCGAGTGCATTCTGGCCGGGGACAAGGTGAAGCTGAAGATGACGTTCGATCCCCGCGTCGTCCCCCAGGCGGAGCAGCTCGCGGTGCACTTCGAGCACGTCATGAGGCAGCTTGCCGACCGCGTGCACGACGATGCCCCGATCAGCAGCCTGGACTACTGCAGCCCCGAGGACCGCGTCCGCATCTTCGACTGGAACAGGAACTACCCGCGCGTCGTGCCCCACTGCATCCACGACCTCGTCCAGCGGCAGGCGCGGAACACGCCCAATGCCTCGGCCGTCTGCTCGTGGGACACCAACTTCACCTACGCCGAGCTGGACATTATGTCGACGAGGCTGGCCAAGTACCTCGTCAACCTTGGCGTCAAGCCCGAAAAGGTGGTGCCCGCAATCTTCGAGAAGTCTGCATGGGCCATCGTAGCGCAGCTTGCCATCCTGAAGGCCGGCGGCGCCATGTGCATGCTCGACCCGTCGCACCCCGAGAAGCGCCTCGAAGACATCCTGGAAACGGTCGACGGAGACCTCATCCTCTCGTCTGCTCTCCACGCCAACCTCTTGCAGGCTCCGGACCGGACCATTCTCGTCGTCAATGCCGGGACCATGGACGCCATTTCCAAATCCCGCCCGATCGCGCTGCCTAGAGTCGACTCTAAGACAGCAGCCTACGTCGTCTTCACCAGCGGTACGACGGGCCGTCCGAAGGGCAGTGTGACGGAGCACCAGGCGTTTGCGTCGCAGTCGTCGTCGCTCGCTCCCGCCATGCACATTTCGGCGTCATCACGCGTGCTGCAGTACTCGGCGTACAGCTTCGACCCGTACATTCTGGAGACATTCACCACCCTGATGCAAGGCGGTTGCGTGTGCATTGTCAAGGACGAAGCACGCACCAACCCCGCCGCACTGGTTGACACCATCTGCTCCATGGGCGTCACCTGGGCCCTGCTGACGCCCTCTGTTGCCCGGCTCCTCCCGAAGAACGGCGTCCCCAGCCTCAAGACGCTCGTGCTCGGTGGCGAGGCCATGGCGAGCAGCGACAGGGCGTGGTCGAACGTTGTGCGGCTGCAGAACGCCTACGGCCCGTCCGAGTGCTCCGTGGCGTCCGTCCTCAACCCGCACGTCACCGCCACCTCTGAGCATGCCTGCATCGGCAAGGGCGTGGGCAGCATCTGCTGGATCGTCGACCCGCACAACCACAACGCGCTGGCGCCCGTTGGCTGCGTTGGCGAGCTGCTGCTGGAGTCGCCCGGCCTCTCGCGCGGATATCTCAAGGAACCGAAGAAGACGGCCGACGTCTTCATCGACAGCCCTGCCTGGCTGCGCAACATCCGGGGCGGCAGCCGCCTGTACAAGACCGGCGACCTCGTGCGCTACAACCCGGCCGATGGCACCGTTCACTTCGTCGGGCGCAAGGACCTGCAGGTCAAGCTCCACGGCCAGCGCCTGGAACTGGGCGAGATCGAGCACCACACGGCAGCCCACAGCCTCGTGGGCAACGCAGCCGTCACGCTCCCCAAGGCCGGCTTCTTCAAGGGCAAGCTGGTGGCCACCATCACGCTCAAGTCGCTCGCTGCGCCGGCGGCCAGCGACATGGAGCTGGAGCTGATCGACTCGCTCAGCAAAGCCACGGCCGGGCGGCAGCTGGCCGACGTGCGCAGCCACCTGGAGAACCAGGTGCCGGCGTACATGGTGCCGTCGGTCTGGACAGTCGTGTACGGCATCCCGCTGATGACGTCGCTCAAGATCAACAAGCGCAAGATCACGGCGTGGCTGGAGAACATGTCGCAGGAGACGTGCGACCAGGTCATGCGCCTCAGCGCTTCCGAGGAACAGCGCAGCACCCCGGCCACGCCCATGGAGCTGCGCCTGCAGGAGATCATCGGGCGTGTGCTGAACCTGGCCACCGACCAGGTCCTCCTCAACCGCTCGTTCCTCGGGCTCGGCGGCGACTCGATCACGGCCATGCAAGTCGTGGCCCGATGCCGCTCCGCGAACATCGCCGTCAAGATAAAGGACATCATGCAGACCAAGAGCCTCGCCCAGCTCGCCGAGTGCGCGTCCGACTCGGGCAGCGACACGAAGTCCTTTGCGAAGGAGTCGGCCGGCACGGCCTTCGACCTCACGCCCATCCAGAAGCTTTACTTCGCGGCCGGCCTGGGAGACTCGACGCCGAGAAAGTCCGCAACGGGATCTTACCACTTCAACCAGAGCAGCCTCCTGCAGCTCAAGAACAAGGTCGCAGATGTCGCCCTCGCCAAGGCGGTCGAGGCCATTGTTGGACATCACTCGATGCTGCGGGCCCGCTTCCGCAAGACCGACGGCGCGTGGACCCAACTCATCCGCTCCGAGGTCGCAGGCAGCTATCGCTTCCAGAACCACACTGTCGACTCCTTTGCGGATGTTCCCGCCATCATGGCGGCAGGCCAGCGCCGCCTCGACCCCTACAACGGCGCCGTATTCTCTGTTGACTCAATCAAGCTGGCGTCCGGCGAGCACCTGCTGTTCCTGGCAGCGCACCACCTGGTCATCGACCTGGTCTCGTGGCGCATCCTGCTGCAGGACCTGGAGGAGTTCATCGGCACCGGGAAGCTTTTCACCAAGGACCCCCTCTCGTTCCAGACGTGGAGCAAGCTGCAGGCCGACTATGTTCCCAAGAACGTGGTTCCGCAAAAGGCCCTTCCGTTTGACGTCCCGCAGGCTGACTACCGCTACTGGGGCCTGGAGACGCACCCCAACGCCTTCGCCGACACTGTCGACGTCGGCTTCACCCTCGACGCCAAATCCACGTCAGAACTGCTTGGCAAGTGCAACGACGCATTGGGAACGGAACCGATGGACCTGTTCATCTCGGCGCTGCTCGAGTCCTTCTCGAGGACGTTCCAAGACAGAGGACTCCCGCCCATCTACTCCGAAGGCCACGGCCGTGAGCCTTGGGACTCTGCAATCGACCTTAGCGGAACGGTGGGCTGGTTCACCACCATTTGCCCAGTCTACGTGCCGCTTCAAGCTGGCGCCACGGTTGCCGATGCCGTCCGCCGGACCAAGGACGCCCGCCGCGCAATCACGGACAACGGCTGGGCTTACTTTGCATCCCGTTTCCTGTCAGCCGAGGGCGAAGCTGCATTCAAGAAGCACTGGCCCATGGAAATCATGTTCAACTACCTGGGCCTTTACCAGCAGCTGGAGCGTGACGATGCGCTCTTGCAGCAAGTCTCGCTGCCATCGGCGGAAGAAGGGATCCTCGACGTTGGTGCCCAAGGCAGGCGCATGGCGCTGTTTGAGATCTCTGCCGAGGTCAGCGGCGGCAAGGCAACCTTCACCTTCACCTACAACAGACACACGACTCGGGATGCCGGCGTGCGCCAGTGGATCTCTGCATACGAGCAGTCGCTCATGGCCGCTGTGAACGAACTCTCGGTCATGGAGCCGGCGAGAACGCTCAGCGATTTCCCTCTCGTGCCCCTTGGGTACGATGGCCTCGACAAGATCCAATCCGATGTCCTGCCCCAGCTCGGCCTCTCCAGCATTGACGAGGTCTCTGACATCTACCCGTGCTCTCCGATGCAGCAGGGCATCCTCATCAGCCAATCGCTGTCTCCCGACAACTACAAGAACGTGTTCCTCTTCTCCGTCTCATCGCAGGGATCGGCGGACGTGGACCTCGTCAAACTCCAGACGGCGTGGCAGAAGCTTGTCGCGCGGCACTCGACGCTCCGGACCGTCTTCGTCGACAGCGTGTCCGGCCAAGGCGTGTACGACCAGATAGTGCTCAAGTCATGGTTCCCGCGCATCCTCCACTTCGAGTGCAGCGAGGACGACGCTCTCGCCACGCTGCTGAATCTCCCGGCGGTCAAGTACGGGCAGAACGAGCCGGCGCACCGGCTGGCCTTCTGCAAGACGGAGACGAGCATCTACATGAAGCTGGAGATCAGCCACGCCCTCATCGACGGCAGCTCCCTGCCGGTCCTGCTGCGCGATCTCACGCTGGCCTACGAGGGCAAGCTGTCGCTGAACGAAGCGAAGCCTCCGCTGTACCGAGACTACGTCGCCTACATCAACGGATTGGATGCGAATGCGTCCCTCGACTACTGGAAGCAGTACCTCGGCGAGGCCGAGCCGTGCCATTTCCCGGTCCTGCGGGACGGCCAGCCCAGCGAGCTGCACGACGTCGAGGCCATCCACATGACGCTGGACGCGGAAGAAGCCAAGCCCATCTCCAGCTTCTGCCGCGCGCACGGCCTGACGCCCGCGAACCTGTTCCAGGTGGCGTGGGCGCTCGTGCTGCGTGCCTACACGGGCATGGACCGCGTCTGCTTCGGCTACCTGACGTCGGGCCGCGACGCGCCAGTGGCCAATATCGAACACATGATCGGGGCCGTGTGCAACATGCTGGTGGTCGCCATGGACATGGACAAGTCCAAGACGATCAAGGCGCTGCTCGAGGGCGCGCAGGAGGGATGGACTGACAGCCTGCAGCACCAGTTCACGTCGCTCGCCGACATCCAGCACCACCAGGGCACCGCCGGCCAGGCGCTGTTCAACACGGGCATGTCTTTCCGCTCCGAGTCCAAGGAGCAGGCCGACAGCAGCAGCAGCAGCAGCAGCCTCAGCTTCGACGCCATCGATGGCCACGACCCGTCCGAGTACGACGTCACGCTCAACGTCTGGGGCACGCCGTCGCAGTTTCTGGTGTCGTTCAACTACCGTCTGTCCTGCATGGCGCCCGACCAGGCCCAGCACGTCGCCGCCGCCTTCACTCGCGCCCTCGGCGCCATCGTGGCCGGGGCTGACACTACTACGCTCGAAGACTGGCGGCTGGTCAGCGAGTCCGACATGGACACGCCGGCCCCCACCCTCCTTCTTCCTCCCACACCCGAGTCCCTCGTGCACGACATGATCGACCAGCACGTCCAGTCGCGGCCCGATGACGCCGCCGTGTGCGCCTGGGACGGCGAACTCTCGTACCGGCAGCTCGACGGTCTGGCCAACAGACTGGCCAACCACCTCGCAGCCCTTGGCGTCGGGCCGGAAGTCCTTGTGCCAGTGTGCATGGAGAAGAGCGCCTGGGTGCCCGTGGCGCTGCTCGCAGTGCTCAAGGCTGGCGGCGCGTTCGTACCCATGGACGCGACGCAGACGGGCCGGTTCCAGGCCATCATTGAGCAGGTGGGCGCCCAGGTGGTGCTCACATCCGCCGCCCAGGCTCCGCGCATGGCAGCGCTGGGAGAGCACAGGGTGGTTGTTGTGGATGAGGCGCTATTATCGCACGGCATGCCGACGCTGGGCCTGGCGCCGCCGCCCCGGCGGACCGGCCCTGCGAGCGCGGCGTACGTGCTCTTCACGTCCGGGTCGACCGGTGTGCCCAAGGGCGTGGTCATCGAGCACCGCGCGTGGTGCGCAAGCGCCGAGGGCCAGCGCGAGGCGTGGGGGCTGGCGCCGTCGACGCGCATGCTGCAGTTCGCATCCTACAGCTTCGATGCGGCCATGGGCGAGCTGCTGTCGACACTGATGTTTGGCGGCTGCGTGTGCATCCCGTCCGAGGACGAGCGGCTGGGCGGCATCGAGGCGGCGATCCGGCGCATGCGCGTCAACGTCACGATCTTCACGCCGTCGTTCATCCGCGTGCTGGACCCGGCGCGCATGCCCGGGGTGCACACCATGGTGCTCGGCGGCGAGTCGACGCCGAAGGAGGAGATCAGGAAGTGGAGCGGGAAGGTCAGGTTGATTCCGGCGTACGGGCCGACCGAGTGCTCGCTGGTCAGCAGCTCGGTGATGGACTTGACGGTGGACACGGAGAGCAGCAACATCGGGGTTACTAACGTAGCAGCGTACTGGATCGTCGATCCGAACGACCACAACACTCTTGCGCCCATGGGCGCCATCGGCGAGCTCCTCATCGAAGGCGTAAGTGCTCTCCTTCGCCCCCCCCTGATGGACACAACACATGCTAACCAGTCAGCCCATCCTCGCACGCGGCTATCTCAACAACCCCACGCAGACGGCCGCCGCCTTTATTGCGGACCCTGCATGGGCGCGCCGCGAGCCGGGCCAGCCGCCCCGTCGCATGTACAAGACGGGCGACCTGGCGCAGCGCAACGCCAACGGATCGTACCGCTACGTTGGCCGCAAGGACACGCAGGTCAAGCTACGTGGGCAGCGCATCGAGCTCGGCGAGGTCGAGCACCACGTCAAGAAGGCGCTCAGCAACCCATCTCTCGACGCGGCCGCCGAGGTGCTCAGGTTCGCCAACGACGCCCGGCTGACTGCCTTCATCGCTCTGGGCGACGGATACGACGGCGACGAGGCCGCTGGAACAGTGTCTCCGGCCACGAAGGCGAGTTTGCGAGCTGCCGTGGCGGGAGTCGGCGCCAGAATGACGGAGAGCGTGCCCCGGTACATGATTCCGACGCTCTTCATCCCGCTGCGTACCATTCCGCTGTCGCCCTCGTGCAAGACAGACCGCAAGCGGCTGCGCGCCATGGCCGAGGCGTACCTGACGCACAACAACAGCACGGGCAACGACAACGACGCGCCCGCAACGCCGAGCCAAGGTTCGGCCATGGAGCAGCGGATGCGCGAGCTCTGGGCTTCGGTGCTCAACGTCTCGGCCACGCAGATCGGCGCCGACGACGGCTTCTTCGCGCACGGCGGCGACTCGATCCTGGCCATCAAGCTGGTGGCCGCGTGCCGGGCCCAGGGTCTCACCCTCTCCGTCGCCGACGTGCTGCGCAGCACCAGCCTCGCGGGCCTGTGCCAGTGCCTCGTCGACGAGCAGCCCGTCCAAGAAGCGGCGGCGAAGTACGAGCCCTTCTCCTCGCTGCCGGCCGCGCTCGCCACCGACGACTTCCTCGAGCAGGTCGTGTGCCCAGCAGTGCGCACCCCGCGCGCCAATATCGCCGACGTGCTCGAGGCGACGGACATGCAGGCCGGCTTCGTCGCCACGGGGCTCCTCAAGACGCGCGGCAACACAAACTACTTCCTCTTCCAGCTCTCGGGCGGCCAGATGGACGCCGGACGCCTCGAGGCCGCGTGCAGGCGTCTCGTCGCTCACCACCCCATCCTGCGCACCGCCTTCGTCGCCCACGCGCGCCGCCTGTGGCAGGTCGTGCTGCACAGCACCGAGCCCGAATTCCGCAGGCACAGGTGCGCCAAGTGGCGGCAGATGCACCTGGCGGCCGAGCTGGTCAAGACGGACCGCGCGGAGCCGGCGAGCCTGGGCGACCAGCTCGTGCGGTTCTGGCACCTGGACAGCGGGAACAATAATCAGGGCTTGCTCGTGATGCGTGTGTCGCACGCGCAGTACGACGGCGTGTCCATGCCGGTCCTGGTCGACGACCTGGCCGCGCTGTACGAGCAGCTGGGCGAGGAGGGCGCGGGCGCTCCTCCGCAGCTGCTGCCCGCGCGCCCCGTCTTCGCCGAGTTCGCGAACTCGGTGCGGAAGATGAATGAGAAGGGAGAGGCCGAGGAGTACTGGTTCAACCTGCTGGACGGCGCGACCATGACCAACGTCGTGTCGCACAAGAGCCCGCCGTACGCGCACACCAAGCTGCGGTCCATGGCCCGCGAGATCGCCCTCCCGCGGCTCAACGGCGCCACGACGTTCGCGACGGTGCTCAAGGCCGCGTGGGCGCTGGTGCTGGCGCGTGCCGCTGCAACCACCGACGTCGTCTTCGGCCACCTCGTGTCGGGGCGCAACATGGCGCTGCCGGGCGGCGGCGCCGTCGACGAGGTGCTGGGCCCGTGTCTGAACCTGATCCCGGTGCGCGTGCGGCTGCAGCAGGAACAGGACGACAACAACACGGCAGCAGCAGACCTCCTCCGCCAGGTCTACGACCAGCACCTCGCCGCCATCCCTTACCACGAGACGCTCGGCTTCCCGACCATCGTCGAGCGCTGCACCGCCTGGCCGCTGTGGACGCGCTTCAGCACCGTCGTGCAGCACCAGAACCTCGACGGCGTCGAGGACGCGCTGAAGAAGTTCCGCTTCGGCGACTCGACGTGCAAGTTCGGCGCCTTTCCCGGCCAGGCCGACCAGGTCGACATCCTGGTGCTGTCGATGCCACGCCAAGGCACACGTAACGTCGAGGTCTCGCTGAACTTCTCCGACAAGGTCGTCGAGCCCCAGCTCGCGGCCGAGCTCCTCGACGAGCTGGTCGCTAACATCGCGCTGTTGACTGACAACGACGACGCTGCTACTGCTCTGCTGCCTCCTGCTTCTTCTTACGCCCGCCTGGCCCCGCAGATCCCCGTCCTCGCCCGCTGCGCCCGCGACGCCGACGGCAACCTCTTGCCGGGCGCCGGCGTCAAGGGCGGGGCCGCGGCTGCGGCCAGCGGCAGGCGTCTCGCCGACGTCGCCGGTGACCAAGTGCAGGCGCTGGTGCGGCGCGCGTGGGAGGACGTACTACTAGCTACTCCTTCCTCTGACTCAGCAGACTCAGAAGAAGAGCCCGTTGTTGACGAGACCACGACGTGCTGGTACAACGTGTGGGGCAGCATGGTCGCGGCGGCGCAGCTGGCCGAGTGGTATAATACCCGGGCGCTGCCGGAGGGCGTCGAGGTCGTCACCATGGAGGATGTTATTGAGTGCCCGACGATGGTGGGGCAGGCGGGGATGCTGGAGGAGAAGATGATGATGGCGGCGTCGAGGAGGAATAAGGGCGCGGCGGGTGCGGGGAAGGGGAAGAGGGGGTCGTCGGTTGGTGCGGTGGTGAAGAAGAAGGGGGGGATGAGCGAGGAGATTATTGGTGAGGAGGAGAAGAAGATTATTGGGGTGCCGCAGCAGCAGCAGCAGCAGGGAACGAAGTTGATGAGTTGGGCGAGGGCGAAGACGGCGAGGTTTTCGGTCATCGGATCAGTGACGAAGAAGTCGACTGTTGTGGCGTCGTCGTGAGACGTGTTTGATTGTTCTTTGTTTCTAGCCATTTTTGCATAGCGTAGTTAGTCTGGTTTTTGATGTGGTTTGTCGTCTGCTTGGTCGTTTAGCTTAGTCTCTTTCTAGCATTATGTAGTGGCATCTCTCGCAACTCCGTACTCGAACAGCATTGATGATTCAAAGTTGAGATTTCTGGACCTCCGTGGCCTCTACCTTTTTGTTTTAAGCCCAAAACCAGCTGCTCTTCTCGGCATACAGAGTTTCCGGGTTCCGAAACAAAAGCCACGTCTCTCCAAAACCAGTGGGAGTAGGCAGCAAGACGCGGGCGGTTGCGGTGGGGGCCAGCGGCAGCAACAACATGACAACTTCATGGCGCTTATGCCACGCCGCCGGCCGCGTCAATGTTACACAGCCCCTCCTTGGCCCTGATCCTGCCATGTCTCACAGTCCCAGAATAAATCTCCCGCCACGAATTGTTAAATATTTCAGCAGCGCCCTCCACGACTACTCCCCGCATCCTCCAACTCCTCCCCAACCCACACAAACCGCCCGCCAAAGGGCCCAAAAAAAAGAAACAAAGTCAAAATGTCTTCCCAACAACAAATCCTCCACCTCCCCTCCTCGGGCCGCACGCTCTCCTACGCCACCTACGGCTCCACGCTCCCCACGGCGCCCACCATCCTCTACTTCCACGGCTTCCCGGCCTCGCACGCCGAAGCCGCGCTGTACCACGGGGCCGCCCTGCGCCGCGGCGTCCGCATCATCGCGCCGGACCGGCCCGGCATGGGCGCCTCGTCGTTCGCGGCCGACCGCGCCATCGCCGACTGGCCGCGCGACGTGCTGGCGCTGGCGGACGCGCTGGGCGTGCGCCGCTTCGCCGTGCTGGGCGTCAGCGGCGGTGCGCCGTACGCGCTGGCATGCGGCGCTGCGCCGGAGGAGGAGCTGCGTGAGAGGCTCGTCGCCGTCGGCGTCGTGGCGGGCTTGTATCCCGCGAACCTGGGGCTGGCCGGCATGCTGCCGGATGCGCGCGCGCTGCTGTGGGTCGCGCCGTGGTGGACGGGCTTGGTGCGCTGGGCGCTGGAGTGGGGGCTGGGCGCGGCGGCGGCGCGGGCGGCCGAGGGCGACGGGGGCGCGGCGCTGGAGGAGGTGCTGGGGAGGGGGATGATCGGACGGCCCGAGGCGGACAGGAGGGTTTGGAACGAGGATGAGGCCGGGTTCCGGGGGTGCTTGGTTGAGAGCGTGAGGGGCGCGGTGCCGGGGGGCAGTGCCGAGGGAGCGGCGCGGGAGGCGAGGTTGTTTGGGAGCGATTGGGGGTTTGGGCTGGACGAGGTGGAGGTGAAGGGCGAGGGACGGAGAATCGTGCTGTGGCATGGTGCGTTGGATGTGAATAGCCCCGTTGCGATGGCGGAGAAGGCGGCGGCTTTGATTGGCGGCGGCGCCGAGTTGAGGGTTGAGCCGGACGAGGCGCATGCGTCGTTGACGGTGCACAAGGTGGACGAGGTGCTAGACACGTTGATGGCCTTCTTTTGGTGAGCATCAATTAATCTGATGGAAGTGTTTTATTTTTAGAACCTCTATCGTTGTTGGTACACCAAAACTTCCGAGTCACGTTAGGCCGAACATTGGTATAGGAAAGGTCAAAATCGGCCGAGGAAATACTTCGGTAACGGGTTTAGCAGCCCCATTACTTCTACACAAGGTTCGCACGTCCGACCTCTAGCGTGTATCTGTTTTTCTGTGTATCGGAGGCCTGTCGACTACCAAAAGCAGCGGATTCCAGCGAATTTGACCAATCACACCATCCGCATGAGTGCAGTCATCCCCTGTTATGAAGCCCTGTCATTCTTCGCGCTAGCGGTCGGACGTGCAAACCCTCTGTATCCCTCTCAGAATTAACCTTATTCTAGACGGCTATACGGAACCCGGACTAACTATTAGCAGCGTAGTCCTTTCACACAAGCGCCTAGTAGTGGGCAGCCAAGGACTGATGATGTATTGCTGGACTTAAGACACGGAGGAAAGGCGTAAAAACCGCGTCAGAAGGAAGTATAAGTAGCGGCGAGGAAGCACAGCTACGAAACACAGCAACGAGCACTGCACTCTCTCTTCCTCATTCCAGAATCCATCAGAAAACAGCCATGTCAGCTCGGTACGCAAAGGTCCACGCCAAGCCGTCCGGCCCAGGCGACGCCCGTCCCACTGCACTCCAAATCATCGCCGACGAAGGTGCTGCCGGGAAGCTCCAGGGAAAGAACGTCGTCATCACCGGCGCCTCTGCTGGCCTGGGTGTCGAGACAGCCAAAGCTCTTTACGAGACGGGTGCGACGCTCATCCTCACGGCGCGCAACCTCCCCAAAGCCCGCGCCGCCCTCGGACCGCTCGCCGAGGACACGAGCCGCGTGCACCTCGTGGAGCTCGACCTCAACACGCTCGCGAGCGTGCGCGCCGCCGCCCCGCGCATCCTCGGCCTCTGTGGCGGGAAGCTGCACCTCCTCATAGCCAACGCGGGCATCATGGCCGTGCCCGAGGGCCGCACCGCCGACGGCTTCGAGCTGCAGCTGGGCACCAACCACCTGGCCCACTTCCTGCTGATCACCCTGCTCACGGACGCGCTGCTCGCCGCTGCCCCCGCGCGCGTCGTCATCCTCTCCTCCATCGGCCACCGCGCCTCCGAAGTCCACTTCGACAACCTCAACCTCGACGGCGAGTACGACCCGTGGGTCTCGTACGGCCAGGCCAAGACGGCGAACCTCTGGACCGCCGTCGAGCTGGAGCGCCGCTACGGCTCGCGCGGCGTGCACGCGTTCGCGGTGCAGCCCGGCGGCGTGCCGTCGTCCGGCCTGATGGACCACCTGCCGGCCGACGCGAAGGCGGCCGTCGAGGCCAACGAGGATCTCGTGCACCAGTTCAAGTCGCTGGAGCAGGGTGCCGCGACAACGGTGCTGGCGGCGCTGGCCAAGGACCTCGAGGGGAAGGGTGGCCTGTATCTCGAGGACTGTCAGGTTGCAGCCCCTTGGGATCCCGCGAGCGGCCCCTGGGCGCCGGGCTATGCTTCTTGGGCATATGATGAAGAGAAGGCTCAGAAGCTTTGGGACATTTCTACCAAGCTCGTGCAACCATAATTAGTCAACAGCGTGGAAAGCAATCACAATTAGCTACTTTTCTACTTGTTCCTCTAACCACTTTTGAACTTTATCGTGGCCGTGTGCAGTATCGATTTTCATAGAATCTTCTACAAAATGCTCATTTCGGTGTGCAAGGTCCAATGCCGTCTGGTTGAGGGAGTCCCTCACATGAGTGTCGATATCATCTCGTGTCATGAGCGTCATAAAAGTGTGATCCGAACTACCGTCAGCGGCAGTTATCAAAGGATAGACCTGATCACTACCTTTCGCGTTTACGTTAGTGCTTTGATTTGTAGCAAGAAGTGCTAGGGCCGTCTCATTGCCCTCTTCTCTAGTCAGGTAATAGTAGTTCTTGTTTTGGTCGATGTTGTTCCAGAAATTGCCCATAAATCCTCTTCGTGTCATAGCCGAGTCTTCAGCAGCGTTGACTGGGTAGTAGGCACATCTGATCGCGTAATGTAGGGGGGTTATCGCCGCCGAAGTCCTCCACGTTCAGCTCAGCAGCGTTTGACTTGAGAAGGAATTCTGTTACATTCCTTTGGTGGAAAGTGACAGCCCAATGCAGCAGAGTTCCGCCTGCCGAGTCTCTTATTCCGTCTAAGTGAATCTCCTGGTGTATTGCAGCTTTCAATACGCTGAGGAGACCGCATGCGACACAGATCTGAGGTTTTCCTGGAGAAGACTTTCGGTATCGAGTGGGAATGTGGTAATATCTGCAAAGATATCCACCCCTAGTATCCCACCAGACGTTTTATTATGATTTCTACTATTAGTTATAACTATAGTATCTTTCTATCTTCTGTTTAATATATAGCCCTAAAAATAAAATAATAAGCTTATTATAAGATAGTAGTCACATTTACGTATATAAAAATTAGACTAGATAGAAGAAATTGCACGCCTATTATAGGGAATACTCGTACAAGTAGAGTTTAACAAGGTTGTAGTAAGTATAAAAAGGTTGGCGTTGCAGCACTAGTACTAGAGTCCGAGACAGTGTCGAAGAGCTTTAGCTGTAGATGCCTGCATCAATCCCGACTCTGAGAAACGGCAAACTAACTCTAATATAGAAGAGATAGTTTATTGAATGTTTTATATCACAGCATTACTGACTGTAGACGAGTGTTCTTAAGCCCTCGATATCACGCTGTTGAATTGTAATGCTGTCTTTTCGAGTTCCCACGGACAAGGCTTCGTGGACTGTGCAAACCTTTCCCGCTCCGACTACGGCGATGTGACTAAATGGTTCTTAAGCCCTCTGTGGAGCCCCCAAAGTAGTGCGTTCAAATGGTTTATTAAAGTGTTCAAATACTCCGTCGGAGTCAAATGCTCGGAGACACGCTGCCAATTTCTCCGAATATACTCCTTCTCCCCTGCCGATCGGGGTTCTACAGTTGATGACGTGATGCGTCGGGAAGCGAGCATTTAGCGCGTAGAACGATCTGAGTTCTTGCAAGGCGAACCGCCGTAAAGCAAAAGGGCTACCCCGATGGCCTTATGAAGGGTAGAGTTGACGGTATCGGCATGCAAGATTAGCATATCTTCTTCCGAGATCTCGAAGCTAAAGCGCGATCCGACAAGCCACAAGCGGCGGATGAGATCGATGATTTGCAAAACCGATGTGCGGCTCGAAAGACCAACGGCTCACAAGTGCCGCAGCCACCCGGCCGGCAACTGCTTAGTCCAGCCCCACATGGCACGACTGGCGTAGATGAAACCAGATATTGATGGGCACGCTAAGTCGATCCACCATCTAGGGAAGCCCTCCCAGCTTGGCTATGATGGTGCCCAGCGACACCGGCAGCCAGCCGTGCTGACTGACGATCCTTCCCCCTTCAAGGTCTAAAATGCTGGTGCTTTTCTCCCTACCGTCCCGCTCCATTTAGGCTATAAAGACCCAGGCAGTCGGATCCCCAATGAGTCGGTAGCATCCGCTTTAAGCTTCTAGAAGGACGACGACATGCGTGCTGCAGGAACGTTAAGCGTAGCAGCACTCCTGGCCTCGGCCACACATGCCCTCAGCATCCCGGACGACCAAGACATCCCACCGACGCTAGACCTGGGCACGCTGGCAAACAATTCCCTCTTCACTCGATGGAGGCCGACCTACCACGTCGCCGCCCCAGCCGGCCACATGAATGGTGAGCCTCTCTTTCATGACCAACAACAACCATCACTAACCCCTTCCCCCAGACCCCTGCGGCCCCATGTACGACCCACTACGGGACACCTACCACATCTTCTACCAGTCCTTCCCGCAACACATCAACTTCGGCAACACCACCTGGGGCCACGCCGTCTCCAAAGACCTAATCACCTGGACCGACGTCAACAACTGGACCGCCCGCTCCTTCGTCGCCATCGAGCCCGGCCCGGCCTTCAGCTACGACTGGCTCGGCGCCTTCTCCGGCGGCGCCGTCCCCCTCTCGCTCTCCGGCCAACCCGACGGCAACCTCACCCTCTTCTACACGGGCTCCCGCTCGGCGCCCGACTTCTGGCGCAAACCGTACAAGCCCAACTCCGAAACCCAAAACGCCGCGACGTCGTCCGACGGCGGCCGCACGTGGCACAAGTACGCCGGCAACCCGATCCTCAACGGCGCGCAAGACTTCGGCTGGAACGTGACGGGCATGCGCGACCCCATCCCGGCGCGCATGCCGGAGCTGGCGCGCGTGCTGGGGGATGCGGAGGACACGTTCTACATGACCATCGGCAGCGGCATCCGCGACGTCGGCCCGCGCGCGCCGCTGTGGAAGGCGCCGGGGGACAACCTGACGGACTGGGCGTTCCAGGGCTCGCTGTTCGAGGTGCCGGTGAACTACACGTGGGGCCCGGACCGCGGACGCACGGGGAACTTTGGCGGGAACTTTGAGATGGCGACGTTTTACCCGTTGGTCGAGCGGGAGGAGTTCGGTGGGGATAATGAGACCATCCACTGGGTCTACACGTTTGGCGCGGAGGGCTTCGAGAGCTTCGGGCACAACCTCAGCCACTGGTCGCTGTTCGCGCTCGGTGATGTGTCCCGCCGGGATAACGGCTCCGCGGCGTTCGAGATCAAGGCGGCGGGCCCGGGCGATTGGGGAAACAACTACGCCATTAATACTTTCTGGGACGAGAAGAAGCAGCGGCGCGTGGCGTGGGGCTGGTCCGACGAGGACTTCAACGGCTACGGCGTCAGCCAGAACGGGTACCAGGGCTCGCTGGTGCTGCCGCGTGAAGTGTACATCCGCAAGGTGCGCGGTGTTGTAGCGCCGGCATCGGGCGCGCCGGCGCAGAGCGCGGAGATCTGGGAGCGTGAGGACGGCAAGCAGACGTACGCGGTGACGACGCTGGCGCAGCGGCCGCTGCCCGAGGTCGTGGCCGGCATCCAGAAGGGCGAGAGGGCGGTTGGAGATGTGCGGGTGGATGGCGAGACGACGATTGATGGCTTGGCCAGCAAGGCGTATCACTTGCAGGCGACGCTCGAGGAGTGGCCGAAGGACGGCCAGGTCGGGTTCAAGCTGCGCGCGTCGCCGGATGGGCGGGAGTTCACGACCGTGTACTACACGCCGGCGAACAACACGCTCGTGCTCAACCGCATCAACTCCAGCCTGATCACTAACTTCACCCGCTCCAGCTTCAACGGCTACTTCGAGCCCTTCCTCCTCCCGTCCAACAGCTCTGCGTCCGGCGTGGCTCCGGAGCCCATCACCTTCAACATCTTCGTCGACGGCTCGCTGCTAGAAATCTTCATCAATGACCGCCTCTCGCTGACGTCGCGCATCTACCCGTCCAAGGCCGACGCGCTGGGCGTCGTGGCAGTGTCGACGGGCGGTGCTGCCGTGTTCAAGAATGTGACGTTCTGGGATAGCATGGCGGACGTGTGGCCGCAGCGGCCGGCGAATACGAGCGGCGAGCTGCACATGGATCCGTACTACGAGACGCATGTCACCATCGAGAATGACTGGGTGCCGGTGGGGTATCAGATTTATGATGGGTATTGATGACGAGTTGGTAATGGCTCATGCGGTTCTGGGGTAATTTCAGAGGTAATACAAAATAGAATGTTGGGAATAGATGGTTCAAATCATGCATTGGAACAGAACTTTTACTGTAGAAAACGAAGAATAATCCGATTCGTTCAACTCATATCCTCAAGCGGTACCGACTTGTAGTCATTCGCCTGTCCACGATAAATCAGGACGGTGTACTCCCTGGGCAAGAACCAGCCGGGGAAATTGCGACAGTAGGTCCAGAAACACACTGGAATCAAATGTGAGAAAACAGCCGGACACTGGAGAGTGGAGAGAAAGCTCACAAAGCAACCCCATCTGATTCGTGAGTAGGTTGAAGTAGATGTCCTTATTGAACTGGCCGGTGATTGTACAAAAAGCTCCGACGACGGCTCGAATCTGCAGCGGGTATTAGAGAGGGGATTCAAACTATGGTAGGGGGACGTACTGCTAGTATGACTGCTATGCGGCGAGTGGCATAGAACAGGTTCATCCAGGGGCGAGAAGCTGCTGCTTTTGGCAGCCTCATAGCGTTCTTCTGCTCGGCCCATTGGGCAACATGTTGCTTGTAGGCGTGTTGTAGGTAGATAACGGCCGCGTACAAGGGCAATTCAAGGAAGGGGGAAAACTTGACCAGCGCTGGCTTGAAAAGGGTGAGGGCGACGAGAATGTTCACGATCGAGACTAGGATGTGGGCGACGACGACTTTCCCCAGCAGGGCCGAGTCACTCGGCTGCAAGAAGGAGACCAAGCGGGAGAAGGCTATAAGGGTGGCTTGCATGACAAGGATGCCGCCAAGGCTGTGTCTGTTAGTGATTGGACGAACCGAGAGAGACTGGTGTTGAAGTACTCGATGAAACCCATCATCCTCATGGCCGACTTGTCATCTGCTAAACTTGGTGCCAGCCCCATCAGGTGATCAAAGGTATAGCCCATGTTGAGGTTGTAGGTGCCGAAGGCGAGGTATAGACCAGCAAGCACCAAGGCCCACGCACACCAGGTGCGGTGCTTTAGGGCCTGTGCGAGAACAACAAGACTGGCGAGGACAAATAGTACAGCAGGTATGCCGACACCAATCTTGATTGCCAAAGGGTGGTGGTGCCAAGGCGTGCCAGGCTCCAAGGCCGGATCATAGTCATTGTTGGAAGCCATTGTGAGTGGAATGGAGCTGCAGACGGAACGTGAACTGTGGCTGGCAAAGCTTCAGTACTTAAACGCGTCTTTGCCGCCTTGGCAGCGATCCTTTCGCGATATTCGTGGCATGCAACGCGGCACTGCGGCATGTTTGGTGGGGGCCGCGCGGCCAGAAAAGACGTGGCCACGCAGCGACGACGAGGCTCAGTCGCCGATGACTCAGCACGCGACCCAACGCGCCGCGACCGCGCGCCCCAACCTCCTCACCTTCATCTCCACACCATCCCCATCAACACCATCGCACCTTCATCACCCCGCCCATCGCCATCACTCCATCCGCTCGCTCGCTCGCTCGCCGGCCGTGCGAGCACCTCCACCATCGATCCCCGCGCCGTCGCCAGCACCGCAGCCTTTGCGTTCGCATCCGCCGATCCCTTGACGGGCTGTCCGCACTGGCCCCGGCTCTACCACCTTCGTGACCGGTGTCTATCGACATTGGGGTAGAGTTCAGTCGCCGGCCGACAGTTTTGCCGAGGGTTTCCGCAGGACCCACGCGCTCGCTTGGGCTGCGCGCTGCAGTGCCGCTGGTCGCTGCCTGTCGTACGTCCTTCGCGTTCGCATCCGCCGATCTCTCGTCAAGCCGTCCGCACTGGCTACGGCTCTACCATCTTCGTGACCGGTGTCTATCGACGCTGGGGCAGAGTTCAGTTGCTGGGCCGACGGTCTTGCTTGGATCCGCAGGACTCGCGCGCTCGCCTGGGATTAGTCGCCACGCCTCGCTTCCCGTACGTCCTACCTTGTTCACATCAGCTTATTGGTTGTGGAGACATGTTTTCGGTTGGGGTCAAGGGCTTGCTGGAGGTTGGCGTCGAGCCAGGGCTGCTTGTCATGCTCAAAGCCCGGGTGGGAGGGTTCCCGCTGCGTCGGGGGTTCCGCTATATAGATAGGCTAATTCTACGCCTTCCCAGTGATTCTCTGCAATGCCATCTCGTAACCGTGCCTCGGCCGCTTCCTGGCTGCTCCGCGACCATCTCATACTCGTGCACGATGCTGAATCCGAAGATGCTTGCGGTCCATTCCCTCTTTTCCTCAAGTTCGACCAGCGCCAGAACAAAGCCTTGTTCAGCATAAGGCTCCTCATTGAGCTCCAAGGTTTTGATGATGCGCAGTCCCTAAGCTTATCCATCGAGCCCGCCAACATCACACAGTGCAGTCTGGACACTGCAGACGCATTGCCCGTGAAAATAAAGAACCAGCTTGTCCTGCATGATGGCATTTCATCAGACGCGGACGTGTTACAACTCTCGTTTTCTCTCACGTCGCCTGGCTGCGTCATTGTCCCTGCGAGCAGCACCCCCATCTCCCCGAAGGATGCATCCAGCCCAAGATTCTTGAATTTTTATTCTTTCTGCCGTTCAAAGGCGCTCCATTTCTACTTCCCAAAGAATCGCCTGAAAGAAGCCCAGCGCCGAGGTCTGGAAGAGCTTGTCAGGCTTGCTCAGAAAGGCAACCTCACGTCATTACCAACGGACCTCCGAAGACTCGGAGGAGGTAAGGGTGTCAAAGAGACGGATTGGCATGTCTTCCACATCCCCGAGGCACCACCGCCCTACGTTCAGCCCAGCAGAGAAACAAAACGACCACGCACGAGCTCCACCCCTCCTGCAGACGTTCCTCCGTCGAAGAAGCAGGACAGCCGAAACGACTCGCATAAGGCAACAGGGCAGTACTACAACTCACAGACCACAGAAGCAGACGAGGAGCGAACCCATGCTTCCGACTGCGCTACAACACCCCAGCCGGAGAACAGCACTCCCTCGCCCTCTCCGTCTCCCTGCAGACCAACCACCACCCTCTCCGACGCCGAAGACGGGCGCTCCCCACCAGCCTACCAGCGCCATCCCGCAAGCACCACCACCACCACCACCACCCGCACCCCGCTAAGAAAGCACTCGCCGTCCCTAAGCACTCCTCCTGCCAGCACCAACCCCGCCGCACCCACCACCACCATCTCCATCTCCGCTGCTTCCCCAATAGATCTCCACGCCACCATTCAGCAAGCCGTCCGCGACGCCCTCCCGGACATCGTCCGCGAGACGCTGCCCGGCCTGGTACGCGATGCGCTGCCCGACGTCCTCCGCGCCGTCCTACCCTCCGCCCTCCGCTCCGCCCTCGCTGACCCCCCCGCTACGGCTGCCGCCGCTCTCGCCCACTCCCTGTTCTTCCCCGCCCACAACCTCCCGTCCCCGTCCTCCCCCTCCCCATCCCATCATCCTCTCTTATCCGCCCTCCTCGAACCCCATCTCTCCACGCTCATCGAATCCCACCTCCCCGCTCTCGTCCAGCCCGAGCTATCCAACCTCCTCGCCGCCGCCGCCGCCGACGCTGCTGCTGACGCTGAGGAAGCGGCCTCGCTGCGGCTGCGCGAGGAGGTCGAGGACGCGGTGTACGAGGTCAAGGACGTGCGGGACGAGTGCGTGAGGGAGATGGGCGAGGTGAGGCGCGAGACGCTGGAAGCGGTGGAGAGGAAGGCAGCGGAGATGGTGGAGGAGGCGGCGGAGGAGATGTGGGAGAAGGCGGAGGGGGTGGTGAGGAGGGTGGATGTGGGGTTGGGGAGGGGTTTGGGGAGTGAGAGTAGTGAGACGGGGAGTGAGGGTGGGGAGGGGGATGAGGAGAGGAGGGCGAGGTCGGTTTGATGGCGCTTTGGTGGGTGGGTTTTGCGTGATGGGAGGGGAGGGGAGGTGTGTGGTTGAGTGGGCGCGGGGCTCAGAGCGTGGTGGAGGTTGCATCGCGCGATCTTGGCTCGCGCTTTTTTATTGTTTATGAACCAGCGGTAAGTATACCCTCCGTGCTTAAGTAGGCCGGAAGAATCATTCGTCATTTTCTTGACGAAGCACGGAATTCGACGCATGTAGACGGCAGAAGCTATCGTAGACGCAAACGCGTAATTATTAATGCTACATTTACGCCCGGACGATTGCTTCAACTACCCATACTCTGTAACACGGAAAATAAATTCGCACTAACCTTTTGCTGCAAACCTCTGCATGCGTCTACTAATGTCCCTCGGACGGTTGTTTCTTAAACTGACCAACGCGGAAACCCTTGACGCTCGAATCTTCTCCAGAGGGAAAGTCTTCCCGACGTTGGGCGTACTACGTATTCGTTTATCTCGAGGGCTGAATGTTTCAAGCATCTCACTGGCCATGCCGTAGATCCATCTCGTCGTATCTGCTCTATGCTAAGCTTAACTACGATTACTTTCACCACTATCACGTTGACTGCAATGCCCTGGTAGAGGCCAGATGCGACTGACCACGATATGTTCTGGCAGAATGAGGGGCCGTGGAGTGTACCCCTTCACGTTTGAGAACTCGCTTGGCCATTCGGACATATACTACTTCTGCAGAAATAAGGCCGGGTGGATACTGCCGCTGTGAGTTGTTTGGCTTGTCCTCTACAAACCGGCCATCCGGCGAACCCGTCCTTTAAACTGTGAGGCACAGCCAAAATGGAAGATCGTCAGAAGGCCCAAGCTCCTGCTTCTGGAACTTCCGGCACTCTCCATCTCTTCTCCATCGGCATCAGGCCTACCGCTTCTTTAGATGAGGCAAAGAAGCGTATGAATCATTAGCACCTGCAATACGAGCATGCGCGGACAAGCTAAAGAGTAATGCATCCTTTCAGAATCAATAGCTGCGTAATCCAGCCCGCAGCTTTCGCGCAATTTGCCCCCCGCTTTGGTTGACCATAGCGTGTGGAATAAAGTGCAGTCGGTGTGGGATGCGGAGTCGGCGTGGTGACGTTATTCGCCGTGCCATCCGTATTCTTAGTAACCTGTGGAACCGGCATCCTTGCGCCAAAAGCACGATTCAGGCGTGATCTTACCCCTTTCCGTGCTGGGCCGCCTGAGCACCTATGATGACGGGCATGCACGCCAATAATTATAAAAGGCCTGTCAGCCTCTTTGTTTCGCAAGGCACCAGGCTTCTGAAGTTTCAATACTCCGACCGACAACAACAAAACAATCCAAAATGCTTTTCCAGAACACCATCCTCGCCGGCGTCGTGTCGCTCGCCTCGGTTGCCTCGGCCGGCATCGTCAGCTTCACCATCCCGAGCACCATCGTGCCCGGCGCCAAGTTCACGGCCAACCTCGCCGACAACAACGCCACCAAGTCCAAGGACATCTCCATCGCCTTCGGCATCGCCTCTCCCGACTACACCGACGCCTGGGCCCTCGGCACCGACCTGCTGGGCAAGTCCATCCTGACCAACACCGGTACGTTTTATTCCCGACCTAGCAAGTCATGAATTATTGTTTGTTTAATTTGGCCGCCCCCGACTGACGCGATCAAACAGACGTCACCCCCACGCCTGAGTCCGTCGACGTCGAGCTCACCGCCCCCTCGTACCTCCAGGAGGGCGAGGCCACCGTCGTCGCCATCGTCCACGCCCTGTCCGGCGCCAGGCTGTTCCCCATTTCCACCCTGTACAACGCCACCGTCACCGTCGGCAAGGCGGCCAGCGCCGAGACCGTCACCAGCGGCCAGGGCCTCATCATCCAGCACCAGTATTAATTTAGCATTTGTCGTTATGAGCATGATATGAATGGAAAATCGTTTTAATGTTTACGTTGTTGTGTTTCTGTTTGCTTTTTTGTGCATGTGTGAAATTAAAGGGCGGATGCAGCCCAGCGCCGGTCATCGGGCACTCGAGAACAACCCAACGCATCCGCGAGAGGGTCGGACGCCGCTCGGAGACCACCAGAGCCTTTGCCGTCGGTGGCGCTGTGGGGCAACGGCCGCGTGCCGGCGCCGCAGCGCCACCAAGATTGACGAGGCAAGCCACAGAGCGGTTGCGAAAATACGACTGCTATTTTGAAATGGTCGCCGAGAAACCCCGAGGATCCGTGTTAGTGGAGGAGAGTCATGGTCTGAAACCCAGCAAAAGCTTATGGCTGCGGCTCTTTGAAAAAAAATTTCACTATAAGGAGGCAAGAGAACGCGGTTGAAACATATGTTGTCGTTCGCTGAAGGTTATTGCAATTTGCCACGAAAATCCACAGCGGGGAAGCTGATCGAAATACGACAAAATCCGGGGTTCAGCGGCAAGGTCTTGCGCGCGGCTGGCCGCCATGACGCATGCCAAGTAGTCCGGGAATAACGGTATACAAGCAATATCCGTTAGGGGCCGGGTATTCCGGCTGAAATGGCGGGGCGAATGAGGAAACAAGCGTTGTTTCTATAATTGTTCTGCTCCATATTGTTCCCATCACACAACACACAAATGATGAAATGTGCGGCTGATCTTGACGTGACTGCTACTGCTTTCTATTCTGTTGGACTCTTTCTCCAATTCTCCCCGCACTACTTTCCCAATGTGATGTTACCACATCACCACACCTCGTATCGGATACGGGATGGGATACAACCTCGGCCAATGGTCCGTGCAGGCCACCACGTTGTCGCCGCACCAAAACCCCTTTCCCTCAAAATGAACTCGAAACATTGGCGATATTGCGTTACTCTTAGGCTTTACATTGAAATTTCCTATAACACATTCAAGTGACGTCAACGCCTATCATGGTCCGTCTCGTCGTTCCATCAATTGCTCTTGCAGCATTCGCGTCGTGTGCAGCTGCCACCGGCCGGCTGTGGACAGGGTATGTGGATAATCTACATGCGTTCTCAAGCTTCCACTCACCATTTCTTCAGGCCTTGCGGAACACGGCCCGAAGTTGCCAAGAGGAGTATTGGTACAAGCGGTATCAAAGTGCGGCAAGCCGCGAACAATGGGACAAATTCAACTGCCACAATGGATGTAAGACATCGTCAGCCACGATTGCGGATACAAAGTCCAGCTGACTCTTTCGAAAGCTTTACTACCATGTCATTCTCGCGGAGGGCAACAGCACTACCGATTTCATCACCGATGACCTCTTGAACCATCAGACAGAAATACTGAACGACGGCTTCGTGCCAATGGGCTACCAGTTCCGGCTTGCAGAGACGACTTGGACCACCAACGCCAGCTGGTGAGCACACCCTGTGCCACATCTGCAAGAACAAAGCCAGCCACTAACACACACACAGGTTCTACAACGCAACGCAGCTGTCTCAGCAAGAAACAGACATGAAGACCGCCCTCCGCAAGGGCGACAAGACGGCGCTAAACGTCTACATAGTCGGGTAAGCCGCCACCACAACCTTACCACCGCCGTCCGCTCACTCACACTCGCACAGTCTCTGGGACAGCAGCATCAGCGCGTGGTCAACCGTGCCGCTGGAGCTCGACTTCAACATCCCGAACGACGGCGTCGTGCTGCACAACTCCATCCTGCCCGGCGGCGCCAACAAGATCTGGACGCTCGGCAAGACACTCATCCACGAGGCCGGCCACGTAAGTAGCACCCTTGAGAAACCCAAGCTAGGCAGGTCTTTTGCTGACATGACGTGACGCTCTCGCAGTGGGTTGGCTTGTACCACACCTTCTCCGGCGGCTGCGAGAACAATTTCGACTACGTCGACGACACGCCGCTCGAGGCGGTGCCGGCATCGTCGTGGGATGCGCTAGGCGGGTGCCCTGAGGGCCGCGATACTTGCCCTGATGCCCCGGGGCTGGATCCTATTCGTGAGTCTTGTGACCGTGTGTCCGTGAAGTGTGTGCTGGGGCTGACTGACTGTTGGACAGATAATTATATGGACTACACGAGTGATGAGTGCAGGACGGAGTTTACGCCGGGGCAGATTGCGTATGCGCATAATGAAATGGAGACGCATAGAGGCATTTTTGTATGATGTTGAACGGTGCAAGTTGAATGAATTGTATACCACTCATTCTCAAAATGCAGCAGTGAAATCAAGCGTTTATGTACACCAATCGTTTGAAATGATTCCATGAAGTATAATGAATGAGTGGCATTATTGTAGTGAGATATACAAGGGATTCTGCCTTGGTGTTGAAGAAAAGACAATAAAACACGGCAAATACGCTCGGCAATAATGAGCAACGACGAGTTCCTACATATAAGATTTGGGGTAATTACCAAACCCAACTCTTTTTTAGGCTTAGCCGTTAGTAAGAAAGTAGTTAGATTTTAATTTCGTTGAGGTTCTGCGACCGTTGAAAAGTGGTAGATTTTAGTAAAGAAGTTGGGTTTGGCCGACGATTGTTGGGTTTGGCCGGTGATAGTTGGGGTTGAGATTTTTTACGAAAAAAGAGTTAGATTTAGTAACTATCCCATATAATTTATAGAGTAGATGCAGTGGCTAAGAGTTAAAAGAAAAAAAGGGAAGAGTTAAAAAGTTTGTCTATTAGCTGTGTGCATGAACCCCGTATAGAATTACTGACGCGGTAGGATATTTCGTTATTACTCTTATAATTTATTATGTACTATAGTAAATTCGTAGTTAGCTTCTTCGACTAAGTAGGATGTATAACTGCTTTCCGGGTAGCCAGCCTCTTAGCCCTTATGCCACTCATTTAGCGTATTTACAATTGTCCACATTTTGTAACATTTTATTATCTACTCTTATCTCTTTAAGTAAACCCTACGGTTTATCCAATGTACTAAGTAACTCCGAAGGTAAGTAGAAGTAACCACTATCTACTGGTGGGTTTATATACACCGGCTTTTTGTATTTCCAATATTCTCGTACGAAATATTCAGCCGTAAGCCTCAATACTTATTCCATCAAAATACATAAACAAGCTTCTGGCCGCTTACTTCCCCTTTCTTAATTTCCTGCAAACCGGCCAGCACGTCCTCCCACCCAGCACCCTCCTTCGCCCTCAACGGATGAGGGCGCATCTTCCCACTCTCCAGCAAGGCCTGCAACTCACCTGCCCACCTCGCTCCGAAGCTCCTCGCCTCCTCGGAGCCGGGGCGGCCGTACGGTTCCGGCCAGGCGATGTCCTTGCCCAGCATGGTGATGCCGAGGGTCCAGTTTGCCTTGACAGCCTTGCGGGTGGCGGCGGTGGCCTCCCAGAAGGGGTCGAGGGCGGTGTAGCGGCCGCCGGCGCGGCCGATGGCGGCGTAGCAGATGGCGATGCTGTCTTTCGTTGTGATGCAGTCGAGGGCGTACTTGAGGTTGCCTTTCGTCGCGGCCTTGATGTCGGCGGCGCACGTCGGCACGCGGTAGTCGTAGGCCTCGTCGGCGCCATACGACCGCACGAGGTCGAAGTTGCGCGGCGAGCACGTTGTGATGGGCCGCAGGCCGGCCAGCCGCAGCAGCTGGATCGCCGCCGTGCCGACCGAGCTGCTGCCGCCGTAAACGAGCACCGTGATGGGCTTCTCGCCGGTGTAGGGTTTTGCTGGCGTGACGTCCAGGTCGGGCAGCAGGTGGTGGAAGAGGGCCTGGCCGACGGTGAACCACACGGTCGACAGCGACGCGCCGACGGACCACGGCACGCTCTCGGGCAGCGTCAGCGTGATGTCGGCCGGGGCCGAGACGTAGGTCGCGAAGGAGCCTGAGGACGGGTCGTTCGGGTCGGAGCCCATGACGGCGCCGGTCACGCGGTCGCCGACCTTCACGGGCCGCCGCACTTCGGATCCGACGGCCACTACCGTCCCCGCAAAATCGCAGCCGCCGATGCTCCCCGGCTTTGCGAATCCCGACTCCATTTTCGTGTCGACGGGGTTGACTGACACTGCCGCTGTCTTCACAATGATCATGTCTGGCTTGAGTTCTGCGACCGGCGCTTCATGCGAGATCCCAAGTGTGCCGTCGTCTTGGAATGTGAGAGCCGTCTGTTTTGTGGGGAGTTCTGCCATGGTGTCGACAAGGGATGGTGCCGAAAATGGAAAGTTCAAGGATGACCAATTAGGTACGTTCTGATGGGTATTCTTGTCGAGCTATTTTACGTGCCAAAATCCCGAGCGCTTTTGTAGTGGTGGTGAGTTGGTGGTGTGAAGCAGGCCTCATTGAGTTCCGCCGCCGAAAAACACCGAAACCGCCATTGCCGAATCGGGAGGTACGAACACTTCCTTTTAAACATTCAACGACACATGGCCGTGAGTTTAGACTGCTCTTTCGAGGTTTCTATGGACATAGTCTAATGCGCTCTGTACCGCCGGTATGGATGCCACAAACGTTTCAACAACGGCTGAGCCTGCCGCTCAGGATGCTTCGATCCTGGCAACCATGTCCAAGACTCAGCTGTTCTTCTCCTTGATATTGGCATTGGTGATTGTTCCACGGCTTTTTAAGGTTAGAGAACCTGTTCATTCCCCGGATTGTTCCTCAATTGATCGGTGAATAGATTATCTCAAGACTGATTTCTCCCATCTCGCGCATCCCTGGCCCATTCATCAACAAGATCTCGTCCATACCGTTGATGAAGGCAAGCGCCGCGGGCAAAACGTAAGCTTCACCTCGAGAATCATACGTGGCAGACTCTGAACCTATTTCTACAAAAGCCACGAGCTCAGCGCTCGGCTGCATGCAAAGTACGGCCCCATCGTCGTTCTCTCTCCGCGCATGATCTCCGTCTCGGACAAGAATGAAGTCAAGCGCATCATCCACACCGAGGACTGGCCCAAGTCCGAACTCATCTACGGCAACTTCCGCCAGAATCCCGCGCGGCCGACCCTCATCGCCTTCACGGACAAGAAGGCGTACGCGGAGCGCAAGCGGCTCATCTCGGGGTGGTTCGGCATGCGCTACATCCGCAGCCTGCAGCCGCTCATGCAGCAGTGCATCGACGAGACCATCAAGGTCGTCGAGGCGGCGTGCGACGACCCGGGATCAGCCGGCGAGGTGGACATGCAGAACCTGTGCACGGCGACGGCCGTCGACATCATCGGCACGACCATCTTCGGGCAGAGCTTCGACGTGGTCAAGAACGGCTCGCACCCGCTGCCGACCTTCCTGCGCAAGATGCTCAAGGCCAGCGGCCTGCTGCTGTTCATGCCGTGGATCCGCAGCATCCCCTTCCGCCCCACGCGGCCCGCCTACATCGACCGCTTCACCCTCGACATCATGGAGAGCCGCCGCCGCACCGCCAAGACGGCGCCGCGGCAGGACCTGCTGCAGAAGCTCGTCGAAAGGCTGGACGACGAAGACGGGAAGCTCACGCCGTTCGACGTCCAGGGCGAAGTCACCATCATGCTGGTTGCTGGTACTGAGACGACGGCTAACTCGGAGCTGTTTACGCTGTTGATGCTAGCCCGGCACCCGGACAAGCTGCGCCGTGTCTACGAGGAGGTTGACGCGTGGTACACGCCGGGGGACTTCTCCCGCGCCGTCGACTGCGAGTACTCGCTGCACGGCATGACGTACCTGCAGGCCTGCGAGGACGAGGCCATGCGCATCGTGCCCGCCCAGGCCACCGGAAGCCCGCGCGAGAGCAGGCGTGACGAATCCGTCTTGGGTTATCGCGTGCCCGCTGGCACGACTGTATTCCCTACGACGCAGGGCGTGCATCATGATGAGAGCGTGTGGCCTGATGCGAAGGAGTACATACCTGAGCGCTGGCTGGAGATTTATGAGAAGGGCAAGGTGAATGAGCAGTACTTCTGGCCGTTCTCGGCGGGGAGCAGGGTGTGTATCGGGAAGCACTTTGCTCTGCAGGAAATGCATCTCATGCTGGTGAGTCTGCTGAGGAGGTTTGAGTTTGAGTATGTGCCGGGCCAGCAGGAGAGCACCGTGTTCAGGGTGGCTCAACATATGGAGGCGCCGAAGTATGTGTTGAAAGTCAGGAGAAGGAAGTTCTAAGCATCTCGTTCAAGCACATGACAAGAATAAATTTCCGATTTATAGCATGCTTTAGAGACTGCCTGCACGAGACTGTACAAAATATCCAAGCTTTTCTTGCTCTGTAATTAGAAGTGAAAGCCGAAAATTAAGTCGCCGAAAGCCAACACCGATGCTCATGTATGTGTAATAGAACAGAATTTGCTAGTGACTAATTGCTAATGATGCTCATTACGGCCGTGAAGACTATCTATACAATTCTGGTATCGTAAGAAGTGAGAAAATGTGGATGATTGGTAAGAAAAGTTGACAAAAGAAAAAGATATGTACAGATCGAATCAAGAAGAAACCGTCACTTCATCGTCTCACAACTGCATGCGCTGCCTGAGCGACGTCTTCACCCCCTCGATATTCTTCCTCAACAGCATCAACCCCCCTCCACCGAGTTCGGCACTCATCTGCGCCTCCTGCCTGAACACGGCCCGCGCCAGCTCCGACGCAATCATCTCCCGACCAACCCTTTCGGCCAGGTCCAAGCGCTGCTGCTCTGCTTCACTGCCCGATGATGCCTCGCTGCTCGACGACGCGGCTTCTTCTCGGTCATTAGGTGCGGCGGACGCATTAAGCACGCACCGCAGGTCGTCGGGCAGATCGAGCAGCTCCTCGCTGTGCTGCAGCGCGGCCAGTAATAGCCGCACGGCCGTATACGTCCGCAGCGACACGTCGTCGCCGGCGGCCGGCAGCTCGCCGAATTTCAAGCCGGGATCGGTGCGCGACGACAGGCCTACCCCTGCTGCCGACCGCCCCAGATGCGCGTATAGGTGGGCGAAGAGCGCGCTGTAGATGCGGATCATGGAGACGTAGCAGTTGAGGATCAGCAGGGCCATCGGCGTGTCCACGCCGTTGGAGGTGGTGGAGACGGAGACGGAGGATGAGGAGGGGCGAGAGGAGGAGGATGTGGTGGGGCTGGGAGTGGATGCTGATGACATCGACTCCGGCGTGTGTGGATGGTTGCGATGTGCTACATCCGATCCGATGGTGTCGTGTCTCTCTTTATGACCCACTTGCGTGCAGCTCGGCGGCCGGACGCCGTCGTTCTCGCATATTGAGACGGACGCTCCACGTCCGTGTTGGTAAAGCTCCGGTTTGAGGAGGCTGGCAAAATCTCCGGACAGGCACAGAATCTCCCCGATGGGGTAGGTGCTGAGCCAGTGTTGGGCATCGGCGCCGGCCCCCGTCGAGTAGCTGTTTATAAGCATGAGGTGCCGCTGGAACTCGACTGCCAGAGAGGTGAGCTTCCTCGTGCAGTCTTCCTTCGGACACGTCGAAGTCTCAGTTGCTGACATTTCAATGTCCTCGTTGCCCTTGGCGCCGCCCACCGATGGCTCTATCGAGCCCGCACAATCTGACAAATCGCCAAAGTGGTTCATATCGAACTGAAAATTGAAGGGGGTATGGTGCATGGTCGGTCCAGAGGTTTCGGCGAACGGAGAACAGTCCATGAAAGCGCCCCCCATAGAGAAATCTGACGCAGACACGGCGGCGTCGGCATGAAAAGTGTGCTGATGTGTAGCGCCCAACACGTCGAGTTGGCCCCACGATGGTTCCCATCGGCCGGGGCCCTGCTGGTCTGGCTGCTGTGGCGGCGGGTTCTCCGCTCCCGCAGGACTAGACGGCCCGGGAGCGCCGGGCGACTGGGAGCCGTCCCGCCTCCCGGGCTCCTGGATTGCTTTTTCCTGCGCTAAAGATGCGTTCTGCGTATTTCTAGCAGGGCGAGCGCGGGGGCTGAAGGTGCATTGGGCTTTGGCCCTTGTGCAGCGCTGGCAGGCGCCTATTGTGGAGGAAGGATTCTGCGGGCACTTGAGCTTGTGGGAGCGGCAGCGATCGCAGGCGAAGCGAAAGGATCGGAATTTATCGCTTTCTTCGGCCATGGTTGGGTATCGGAGTTTGAGAACACGTGGGACAAAGATTATTAAACTGGAGGTCGGGGAGAAGCCTTCCGCTGGCAGTTCACATGGCTCACATGCAGGTACATGGAGAGACAGCTTATGTAGATAGGGTTCCCCACTCCCATATCGTGTGATGATTCGTGTCAGGACACGATATTCAGTAGGCGGACGGAAGCGTGGCGGCTCCGGGATCAGACCCGGCCGAGAGGAGAGCAGTCGTAACGGTGCCAAGAAGCAATAGAAGCGCTCATGAGTTAAGCCTGCGTCGTATAGCTTATCGGACCCCTAAGCATTGAGCCGGGCGGTAAGTCTCTCGGCAAGATCGCGCTAGGCGCGCCGATCCGTGTAGATTCCGAAACGCTGGTTTGGCGGGCATGACTAAGGAGCATTTACCAATGGAAAAACGCAATCCGTGGCGGCGCTGGAGAATACGTTGAATTCCCCGGGCTCACGCTATCGGCTTCTGCCGCTCTCAAAGACTGCTGGACGCTGGCGATCTTTTGCTGATGATTCTGTTGTCATCCGCACCCCGGAACGCCAATTTCCGGCACCACGTCGAGCTGCGTGGGAGGCACCTCGACTCACGATGCAGCCAGCTTAAGCGAACAACCGGCTTTCCGGGCCCTGGCAGCGGCTGACTCCGGCCACTGGGAAAACGTGCAATGCAGGCATGATGACACTGGCCTGAAACATTACGGTTGACCGTGGCGGTGATTACGTGACATAAGGGAATGCAATAATCAGGCCGGTGAGTGGACGGGTGGTGGACGGGTGGCTCATCACCATCAGCCTCAGCCGGCGGGATAAATGCTTGAGTCGTGTTACGGTTGACTCCCAAACTCCAAAGGGGCAAGATTCAAGCACTTTTGCCGAGCCGCGCACCCAGTGCCTTGCCAAGCCCTTCGTTAGTGCGGTTTCGACGTAAGTCATCGTTTCCGGGGTACGACCCTTGACGAAGCGTGGTGATTTTCACCCTTGTTCTGGTGGAGTGAGATGCGCGTGGCCATCTATTCTGCTCACTACATGGTTCTGGGCCCTGCGGAGAAGTCCGCCTTTCCGTCTATCTGATGGCGGCCCGATGTGCGGGGTATACGCTCACGCCTGCCCCTTGGTGGCCGCCGCCTTCAACTGCATCAACGTGCTCAACTCGGGCATATGGATCTGACCAACGTCTCCGGCTCCATCGAACATCTCGCCACCCGCCTCACCGCCGCGCACCGTCGACACGAAGCCGCTGTTCCCTTCCCTCACTAGCGGCGGCGGGCCCAACGGCATGCTCCACCACACCTTGTCGTGCGCGATCTCGAACGCCCAGTGCTTGCCCTCGCGCGGCTTCACGAAATCGAGGCGGTAACCCGTCGTCGTGTCGAGGAAAGGACCCTTTACAGGGCCGCCGTGGCTGCTGCGGAGCACGAAATAGTCCTCGGTCAGGCTGACGGTATCGTTCATGCTGCCGAACAGCTCGACGCCGTCGCGCAGCAGCCGGAACTTCTGGCACACCTTGCCCTTGCGGTCGCCAATGCGGCTGACAATTCGGAGGCTGGCAAAGGTGAAGGGTCCGGCGTGTCCGCGCACGTACGTCGTGTCGCTGAGGATGGCCGGGAACGACGCCTCCATCCAGCAGCGATCATGGCCGCCCTTGCCCGCGAATTGCAGCCGCCTGCTGCCGGCCGGGAATTCCATGTCGGCTTCGGCGTGCGCCCCGGTCATGACTTGCCGGTGGCTGACGGCGGGCGCCAGGGGGCCGGCCGTCGGGTCGGGACTGCGCGTGTAGCTGGTAAGCGTAAGGCGGCCGCGCACTTCAGGCACGTCGAAGATGGCCGTGGCGGCGCTGTGGTCGTGCGCAATCTCGATGCGGGACGAGCCTCCGCCCTTGCCGGGCCACTCGATGATGATGTGCGTGGCGGTCTCGCGCGCCGTCACTGACTCGGCGATGAGGTGGTGCTTCTCGATCTCGCCGTCGGGCAGCAGCGCGTGGAAGGTGATGTGCAGCGGGTCCTTGCCGTGGAAGGTTTGCGAGCCGTCGACGAAGAAGGTCACCGTCACGCCCGCCGAGCCCGTCTGCTCCGTCCCCTCCAGCATCCACATCTCCCAGTGCGACTTGCTGAGGGCCGCGTACTTCGGGTACGCATCGTTGCCGTGGCCGGTCCACGCCGGACCCTCTGCCACGCCGTCCGCCGCCGTAACGTGAAACTGCTGTGTCATGCTGCTGAGATCGTGCGGGTGTGATTGGCCGGGGTTGCTTGAACTGAGTCGTCAATGTTCAGCTTCATCGATCTAGCTGTGGATCCGGCCTGAAAGATATATATCACCTTCCAGGAAGTCTGCGCCGAGGTTGGTCCGCCGTCACTTACCCGGATCCGAGTGCCCGCGACGCGCCGAATGCGATTCGCTGCTTGCTCGTTGTCGCCAAAGCATGGGCGGAATTGCCGAATGCGATTCGCGGCCTTCTCGTTGGTCGTCGAAGCATACGGGGTAATTGCCGAAACCGGGGGCCTGAGTGTATATTCGGAGTTCTTCGGTGAATCGAGAACAACAACAACAACAACAGAAAAAAGCAAACACGGGTGGCAATGCAGTGGGTCCATTCTATCCTTCGTTTAGCCTCAACTGTTTTGAAAAGGGTTATCAAACGTCGTCTACCAACGCCTATACGCAGTCCTGGTCCTACCCACCCGTCGCATGAGGTCCAACGGCTCCCGAACGCCACTTCCGGGCCTAGAACGTGATAGGAAACTTCAGCCGCAGCCTTCCGCCGTATTTGTAGAAAAGGATAGGCAGGCAGGTGAAGCCGACGGCGATGAAACCGAGTAGAGTGTTGCCCCAGCCTAGACCAAGCGCCTCGTAAAGCGAGGGACCAGCAAGGGGCAAAAAACATCCGGCTAGCGAGCGGAGAAGCGTGTTTGCGGCCAAAGCGGAGGCTGCGACTCGCGGCCCGAACGCATCGACAAGGTACACCTGAATGGGCATCTAGATCCAGGGACAATTAGCGACCATCCGGCGGGATGCGCCAACGGGGGAGACCATACCATGACCATCAGAGCCCCCATGCCAATGAACGACGTGCCAATGATCGGCAGTATCCAGTGCACCTTGTAGTAGGAGGTCCATCCGTACCTGCTCGTGCAATTTCCAACCGTCAGTCGACATTTCTTGGCTGTGAGTCTCGGAGAACTTACCAGAAGAAGCCGCCGGGGATGACGGGTGCAAACCAGACCATCAGCAGCAGGCGAGCCTCCGGCTTCCATTCCGAGCTCTTGGCTGAGTCCTTTTTGGCCACCTTGTCGGATAGGATCCCGAAGCAAACCAGGCCCACTGCGAGGCCCATGCCTAACCCCAGATATGAAAGTCCACCCATACTTACACTGAAGCCATACTGCTTTCTATACACCGACGAGAATGTGGTAAAGAGCAGAATCAGAAGGCCGAAGACGAAGGCACAGTAGAGTGAGAGGAGCAGCACGATTGGCGAGAAGATCAACATCTTGGACGGCCGCTGCAGAGCCATGCCGAGAGAAGCAAGCGGGCTGACACCGCTCGATTCGAATCTGGTGTGGAGATCGGGGTTTCCCGTCTCCTTGCGGAGGCGGGCGGCTTTGCGCTTCAGCAGAACAGGGCCGTACGTCTCGGTCATGATGCAGTACAGGACGATGGTGATCACTCCGGTCTGGTGACTGATATTTAGATCGACCATGCCGGACGAAAGGGACAAGACTTACAGCAATGCAGAGAATGCGGAATACCCACCGCCAGTTGAGGTATTGCGCGATGAATCCAGACATCAAGGGGCCCAGTACCGGACCCATGAGCGGCCCCATGGCGAAGGCGCCCATGGCCTTGCCTCTATTCTCAGGTGCCATTACGTCCGCGATTGTTCCTCCACCAATGGTTCCTGGGCCTGATCCAGCGATGCCTGTAATCAGTCGAAACACCAGGAACATGCCGAGATTCTTAGCTTGGGCGCACCCTATCAGGAACCCCACGGTTATCACCATGCAGACGCGGTAGATGGGAAGCCGGCCAAAGTGTTCGGAGAGGGGCGCAATCACCAGTGGGCCAAATGCGAACCCCATCAAGTAGATCGACACGGTGAAAGCCGCAACGGTGCTGTTTGTGACGCCAAACTCAGCCTCGAGGGAGCTGGCAGCCGGGGCGAAGGCAGTCGAGGTGATATTCCTGATTGTGGCCGAGAACGTCAGCGTAGCTACTTCTCTTTTCCAGCTCGGATGCTACTCACGCAAATAGAGTGGTCAAACTGGCCATGACAACATGTCCGATGCGCTTTGACTTTGGCCAGTTCATAGGATTCGCTGCGTCATCTGGTCCCTCCCAGTCGACCAGATTCGGGTCTTGGACATCTGGCGATGAATCCTGATTGGTAGGAGTCTTCTGCTCCTCTGAACGTTGGTAAGCCTCGTCTGCATCCTGCTTCTCCAGGTCCGCGGATCCGTCCTTGCTGTGCCTCGATTCTGTTGATGGAGACATGTCTTGCTGGTAGCAGTGTCGACCTTTAGCGTGGTCGCCTTTTCCGATGCTGTACAAATTGTCTGTAAAGGCAACTCAACGCATGTTCTACAGCAAGGCTTGGCTGGTGGGCATGCAATCCAAATATGAACCATGGGATACGAGGCCCATGCTGTCGGACCATCGCCGGCGGTGACTGAAGAAGCGGATGATCAGAGCGGAGGGTGATAATCTATACAGAAACGGCAGGAAATGGTGTTAATTGGGACATTTTGGGTGAAACCGGCATGGAACCAGCGGTCAGGACCGAAAAGCGCCGTGCCGACCGTCCGTGGGAAAAGCCGACCCTCCGCTGGCAATGCCGACCCTCCGCCCACACTCTGACGCGTCTGTGTCGATGATCCTTTTCTTCCTCGCTTTCATTTCGAAAAGCATCGCCCGTGGTTATCCCGTCATTCACGCAAGCGGATTACTATAGCAAGCAGCATTGGCGCGCCTTTAGATGAATAGGGAAAACAGTCAGGTGACGAGTGGATCTGCGGAGACGGCTACCTTCATGAGAAACGAGGTACGAGCATGTTAGCAGCCTGGTACTCATAGTTTACAGCAGTATAAACCGCTGGGTCTGTGCTCCCGAGCCCTTGGACCACCCGCTTACGGTGATTTGCTGCTAGGCCATGGCCAACCTCGCACAACCCTCAGTGCCCGCGAGCGAGCACCATAGACCTTTACCGCCGCCCAACCGTCGTAGAGACAAGCCGCAGCTGTCATGCACGCTGTGTCGCCGACGAAAGTGAGTGGCTCGCTTCTGAGCCGTATTCATTATGCTTATCCTCTAAAGGCTTAAATGTGACCGCAATCACCCCTGCGGCTCATGTTCAAACCGCGGCCTTTCGAATTCTTGCACTTACATTCCCTTGGTCACGAATGTTGCCCGAAAGACAGACCAGAAAAAACGGTCCCCCCAGACAGGTTCAAGCATCCAAGAAAGGATCAATCAGCTCGAGGGCCTTGTCCTTACTCTCATGCATTCTGCCCCTCAAAAGCCACCCCAAGCCACTTCTGGCGCCACAAAAAATGCCAATGAACTTGATGCCGAGCTTTCAGATAGCTTTGGTCGGATAAGCCTTGAAAATGATGAAACTCGATATGTGAGCGGCGACCATTGGATTTCCATTCTGGAAGGAGTGCGTGATGCCCCATTGTTCTCACCGTTCTTTGCTGACGACCTTGTCAGATTGCCGAGCTCAAAGACGATTTCGAAGATGGCAGTTCTGGACCCAGTCTCTTCCCTCCCACCAGAGCTGGTGAGAATGAAAATCGAGGCCCGAAGCTTCTTTTTGGATGCAACGATACGACCAGCAGGGACTCCATCCTTGATGCCTTGCCTCAGAGACCCGTGGCAGATAGACTCGTGTCCAAGTATTTCAATTTCATGGACATGACATCTTCTATCATACACGGCCCAAGCTTTCTGAAAGAGTACGAAAAGTTTTGGCTGGCGCCGTCTGGGGCTCCCATCATGTGGATCGGCCTCCTCTTTGCTGTCCTTGCCCTGGGAACTCACTTCCAGCAACGGGAGATGCATTCTCTCCAGTCTTCACCGAGAGACAATTCTATGCTTGAAGCATACAAGGACAAAGTTGTTGAATGCCTCGTGCTCGGAAAGTATACAAAGGTTGGCCCTTATACCATTGAAGCTCTCATACTTTACTTCTCCCTGGAACATCTCCCATCAGCCGACACAAGGGTTGACAATTGGATCCTTGTTGGAACCATCGTACGTCTTGCCATGCGTGCTGGCTATCACAGAGATCCTTCACATACGCCACAGATCAAGCCATTCCATGCCGAGATGCGCCGAAGACATTGGGCAACAATCATGCAGCTTGACCTAATGACCTCAACCCAAGTAGGTCTACCCCGTATGGTCAACGAGGCCGTATGCGATACCGCCGAGCCCCGCAATTTTCTAGATAACGACTTCGACGAAGATGTTCTAGAGTTACCGCCCTCCCGCCCTGATACCGACATGACCTCAATTCTATACCTGAACGTCCGGAACAGGGTTCTACGAGTATTTGGCATGATCACCGACTTCACCACATCAACAAATCCTACCTCCTATGCCGATGTGATGCGGCTTGAACAGATGCTCAACGAGACCGTGGTCGCGATCCCTGTCTGCTTCCAGCCGAAGCCCCTGTACCAATCGCTCACAGAATCCTCGGAAACAATTTTACGACGCATGTACTTGGACATGGTATTCCAGAAGGCCCGATGTATTCTGCATCGCAAGTACCTGACAGCGGCTCGAAGTGACGTTAAATACATACATTCTCGTACGTCATGCATCGAAGCTGCAGTACAGATCTTGCAATATCAGGATACACTCTTTCGAGAGTGCCAGCCGGGAGGCTTGCTATACCGAGGAAACTGGAAGCTCACCTCTGTCCTAAACCATGACTTTCTACTAGCTAGCACAATACTATCTCTCGACCTCAACTGCGACATGGAGACATCACAGATGGTCGAAACACCGACGGAACAACAGAGACGAGAACACATTATTCGCTCTCTCAAACGGTCGTACAATATCTGGGTCCAGTCTGCACGTACGTCTCAAGAAGCCCGGAAAGTTGCGGAAGTGCTCCGAATCGTTCTCGTAAAAGCGCAAAAGAGCCAGATCTCAGCCTCAAACAGTTACGATGACCTGCATGACGAAGAGGCGGTGGATTTCAATGGATCAGAGTACTCGAACAGTGCGTATCCGTGCAATTGATAATCTACACCTCCTAACGTTATGACCTGATGTAGCGCCACTATCACCGCAGCCACCCCTGAACTACGATCCTGATCCCTCCATCTATATCAACCCTGACTGGAACAGTACATTTGATAGTGCTTCATCATTGGGACTTTTCGGAGAATTCGCCGGTATGGTAGCGTCAGGTGCTACCTTTGATCAGGTGAGGATTCCCGGGGCTCCCAAAAAGCCAGTCCCTCAAACTAAACATCTGAGCAGGAAAATTGGGACTTGCACTTCCGTGCCTCGAATGCCGCGGATATCTCAAGTATAGAGCCACGCCCTGCAAACATTGCTGACCCAACAAATGTGTCGGGTTCCGATAGCTGCTATTGATTCACCATTCTTCAGTCTGCCTGTTCACCTGGACTATTGCATCTGCGAGGCGCTTGACGTCGTCGGTGGCCGTCGGCATATGGTGGCCGCCATCGTGAGTGATGACGGTCGCGTTCGCGGGATTGTACCACTTAAGCAGGAGTCGTCCGTTGATCAGGTATGGATCTTTCAGCCCATGAAGATGGACCGAGGGGACGTTGAGGAGTTTGGACACGGCCGATTCGGCGCCGCCTCCGCAGAGCAAGATGGAGTACGACAAGGCGGACCAACGCGGATCACCGTGGAACTTGGCCTGGTGCAGCAGGAGAGATGCGACCAAGGCGCCCTGCGAAAAGCCCATGACGCCTCTCACGTCGGATGGCGCACGGCCACACCTCTCCAGAGCGGCTTCCAGCGTGGACAGAATCGCGCTCCATTCGGCTTCTCGCGACCGCTCCTCGTTGGTGAACCAGCGGAAGTAGGGACCGGCGTCCTCGAAGAAAGGGAGGATGCCCGGCCCCGGCGGGCTTTCGAAGGGGGCGTCGATGAAGAGGAATTCGAATTGCGATGCGAGCGTGGAGCGGATGCGTCGAGCTTGGGCGTGGAAGATGGCGGCCGAGGATCCGGAGCCGTGGAGGCAAATGACAAGGGGACGCGATGGCATGACGACGAGTGCAGTTGGTGTGGAAAGTGTGCGCGATTGGAGGTTGTGTTGTTGTTCGAGATCAGCAATGGTGACCGGGGATTCGGGATTCATCGGTGCACTCTTGGAGGCGGCGGAAGATGGAGGCGAGTCTGCAGCATCCGACTCGGCGACTCATGTCCACTCGAAACTCCGAACAGATGCACCACCACCGCAATCTTACAGTCTTATCACCGATACCTACGCAGTAACATAAGATAAGTATGTACCGGATGTGCCCGGCTTCTTGGAGCCTATTGCCCCAGCTATACCCTCACTCCAGATAATTGGCTTTTTGCCGTCCTTCTTTCAACCAATACAGTCATGCCTCAACGCAACGAGCCCATTGCCGTCATCGGCAGCGCATGCCAGTTTCCTGGCCAGTCCACAACGCCGTCGAAGCTGTGGGAGCTCTTGAGGGAGCCGCGCGACCTGTTGCAAACTATCCCGTCCGACCGCTTCAATGCGGAATCCTGGTACCACGCAGACAGCGCCCACCATGGCACCAGTAATGTTACCAAATCCTACTTTCTTGCCGAAGATCCCACCGCCTTCGACTCACAGTTCTTCAACATCCCGCCCAAGGAATGTGAAGCTATTGATCCGCAACAGCGTCTCCTCATGGAGACTGTCTATGACTCCCTCTGTGCGGCAGGCCTTTCGATGAAGAGCCTCCGCGGCACGTCGACGGCGTGCTACGTTGGTCAGATGTGCGACGACTGGTCTGGCATCATGATGAGGGATTGGGACTCGCTCCCCCAGTACACGGCTACTGGTATTTCAAGGAGCATCATGTCCAACCGTGTGTCGTATTTCTTTGATTGGCACGGCCCTTCGATGACCATCGACACGGCCTGCTCGTCGTCTCTTGTGGCGGTGCATGAGGCGGTGCAGGTGTTGAGGAGCGGCGACTCCAAGGTCGCAGTTGCGTGCGGAGCCAACCTCATTCTTAGTCCAGGTTTGTCGGTGACAATTGACAGGGGTACGACCAATGCTGACAAGCTTCCCAGGAATGTACATCGCGGAGAGCAAGCTGAAAATGCTGTCGCCGGACGGACGTTCCCGCATGTGGGACGAGGGAGCCAACGGCTACGCGCGCGGTGAGGGCATCGCGGCCGTGGTGCTCAAGACGCTCTCGCAGGCGCTGGCCGACGGCGACCACATCGAGTGCATCGTGCGCGAGACGGGCTTCAACCAGGACGGGCGGACGACGGGCATCACCATGCCCAGCAACGTCGCCCAAGCAGCCCTCATCCGCGACACGTACCGGAAAGCGGGGCTGGATCCGTACAGCCCCAACGACCGGCCGCAGTTCTTCCACGCCCACGGCACCGGCACTCCCGCCGGCGACCCGCAGGAGTCCGAGGCCATCAGCCGCGCCTTCTTCAAGGACGGCGAACGGACAGACAACAAACTCTATGTGGGCTCGATCAAGACCGTCATCGGCCACACCGAGGGCACTGCCGGGTTGGCCTCTCTGATCGGCACCTCGCTCGCCCTGCAGCACAAGACCATCCCGCCCAACATGCATTTCAACAAGCTGGCCGAGAAGGTCGCTCCGTTCTACACCAACCTGGAGGTGCCCACCACGGCGAAAGAGTGGCCGGCAGCACCCTCCGGCCAGCCTCTCCGCGCCTCGGTCAACAGTTTCGGCTTCGGCGGCGCCAACGCCCACGCCATCCTGGAGCGCTACGAGCCCTCGACGCACGGCCAAGCTGCCACTGATAATGCCCTACCTCTCTTCACCCCCCTCACCTTCTCCGCCGGCTCGGAGAAGAGCCTCCAGGCGATGCTGGCGTCGTTCTCGGACTATCTCAAGACTAACGAATCCACCACCAACATCCGCGACATCGCCTGGACGCTGCAGAACCGCCGCTCGGAGCTGGCCTTCAAGACGGCCGTATCGGGGCAGACATCCAGCGAGCTCGTCCGCTCCATCGACGCGGCGCTTGATTCCAAGGAGAACCTGGGCGTGCGCTCCTCTTCCTCCAGCACAACAAAGCCCAGCATCCTGGGCGTCTTCACGGGCCAGGGCGCGCAGTGGCCGACCATGGGCGCCGCGCTCCTCCGCGCCTCGCCCTACGCCCGCGACGCCATCGCCGCGCTGGACGCCTCGCTGCAAGACCTCCCCGAAGCGGACCGGCCCGCCTGGTCCATCCGGGCTGAGCTCGAGGCGCCCAAGGAGTCGTCGCGGCTGGCCGAGGCCGCGCTGTCGCAGCCGCTGTGCACAGCCGTGCAGGTCGTGCTGGTGGACTTGATCAGGGCTGCGGGCGTCGAGTTCAAGGCCGTGGTCGGCCACTCGTCCGGCGAGATCGCGGCGGCGTACGCGGCGGGGTTGGTGTCGGCGAGGGACGCCATCCGCATCGCGTACTACCGCGGCGTGTACGCCAAGCTCGCTGGTTCGAGCTCGGGAGCCAAGGGCGCGATGATGGCCGTCGGCACTTCGCTGGAGGATGCGAGGGAGTTCTGCGAGCTGGAGGAGTTCGAGGGCAGGCTGACGGTCGCGGCCAGCAATGCGGCGTCCAGCGTGACGCTGTCGGGCGACGAGGACGCCATCGACCAGGCCGAGGAGATCTTCAAGGACGAGTCCAAGTTCGCCCGCAAGCTGCGCGTCGACACGGCGTACCACTCGTTCCACATGGTGCCGTGCTCCAAGCCGTACCTGGAGGCGCTGGATGCTTGCAAGGTTCAGGTTGGCGAGGCCACCGCCACCACTTGGTTCTCGTCGGTGGTGCCGGGCACCAAGATGTCCAAGGAGACGCTGGGAAGCCAGTACTGGGTCGACAACATGAAGAACACGGTGCTGTTCTCGCAGGCTGTTTCGGCCGCCGTCAACGAGGCTGGTCCCTTTGACCTGGCCATCGAAGTCGGCCCCCATCCTGCCCTCAAGGGCCCCTGCTTGAACAACATCGAGGATGCGTCCGGCAGCCCCGACACTCCCTACACCGGCCTGCTTTCGCGCGGCAGCGACGACGTCAACGCCTTTTCTGCCGCGCTCGGCTTCATCTGGGAGCGCTTCGGTGCCGAGGCGGTCGACTTTGACGCCTATGACAAGCTGGTGTCGGGCAGCTCTGAGCCCAAGAGTCTGGCAGTCGACCTGCCGAGGTACCCCTGGGACCACGACAGGACGTACTGGTTCGAGTCGCGCGTGTCGGCTGGTTACAAGTACAGAGACGCGCGTCCGCACCCCATCCTCGGCGTCAAGTCCATCGAGGGCACGACAGGGCCCCAGATTCAGTGGAGGAACATCATCACGCAGAGGGAGGTGTCGTGGACCCCCGGCCACAAGCTGCAGGGGCAGACTGTGTTCCCCGCGGCTGGCTACGTGTCGATGGCCATTGAGGCTATAATGACCCTGGCGGGCGAGAACTCGGTCCAGCTTGTCGAGCTGACTGATTTCGTCATCGGCCGTGCCATTTCTTTCTTCGACGAGTCGGCGGCCCAGGAGGTCATGTTCACGCTGAATATCACCGCGAACACCGACGAGGTTGTTTCCGCCACGTTCGAAGTCACCTCGTGCCCCCAGGGAGAGCGCCAGATGAGCCAAAACGCCAAAGGAGCTATCAGCATCACTCTGGGCGTTCCTTCACACGACACCCTTGCCGCGGTGCCCGTTCAGCAGTTCAACATGGTCGACGTCGAGGTCGATCGGTTCTACAAGGCGCTGTCCGACATGGGCTACCACTACTCGCCTCCCTTCAAGGCCATGAGCAGCATTCGCCGCAGGGTGGACACTGCCGTGGGTGAGATGACCGACATCCGTGGAGAGCACTGGGAGGACAATCTCCTGCTGCACCCTGGCCTTCTCGACACGTCGTTCCAGGCCATCTTCGCCGCCTTCAGCTCCCCCGGCGACGAGAGACTGTGGTCCATTCATGTTCCCACGATCATCAAGCGCATGACTTTCAACCCTGCCGTTGCCTCATTCCCGCCTGGTGAGGAGACAATTTGGCCGTGGCAGGCTGCCATCACCAGCGGACCGCATCAAACCCTGCGCGCTGACATCGAAGTGTTCGCTGAGAATGGCGAAGATGTTCTGTTTGAGGTCGAGGGCATCAGCATGGTTCCATTCTCCAACGCCACCGCCGAAAACGACTGCCACCTGTTCTCGAACTTCGTCTACGACATTGACGGCCCGAGCGGTGAGCTTGCAGGCCCCAACCACCCCACCGACTTCGATGTCAAGCTGGCTACGGACTCGGAACGCTTCTCGTTCTACTGGATGCGCACGCTGCTCGAAACAATCACCCCAGAGGAGGAAGAGCAGACCCTCATCCACTACAAGAGGATGCTCAAGTGGTGCCGTTTCGTGCTCGACCAGGTCAAGAGCGGCGAACACCCGCACGTCAAGCAAGAAGCTCTGAACGACACGCTCGATTTCGTAGAGGAGCTGGTCAAGCCGTACGGCCAGCGCGCCGACATCGACCTGATCAGGGCCGTGGGAGAAGACCTCCCCATGAAGATCCGCACCAACGGCAACATCGTCGAGACCATGGTCCGCGACGGCATGCTCGACGCCTTCTACGAAGAGGGTCTGGGTCTGCACATCGCCAACAACTGGGAGGCGAACATGGCCGTGCAACTCACGCACCGCTACCCGCGCATGAACGTGCTCGAAATCGGCGGCGGCACCGGCGGCTCGACGAGAATCATCCTGCCGCGCCTCGGCCAGAACTTCTCGACCTACACCTTCACCGACGTGTCAGCCGGCTTCTTCGAGGCAGCCGAGGAGCGCTTCAAGGACTACGCCGACCGCATGGTCTTCAAGACGCTCGACATGGAGAAGGACATCACTGAGCAGGGCTTCCAGGAGGGCCACTACGACATGATTCTCGCGTCGAACGTGCTGCACGTGGGCGCTGACCTGGACGCCACCATGAGCAACGTCCGCCGTCTGCTCAAGCCTGGCGGCTGGCTGATCAACATGGAAACCGTCACCTTCTTCCCCTGCCTGCGCAACGGTTTCGCCATGGCCGGTCTCTCCGGCTGGTGGATCGGCGCTGACACTGGCAGGCCGTGGGGTCCGACCATCGACATCGCCGAGTGGGACAAGGTGTACAAGCGCACTGGCTTCTCTGGCGTCGACACGTTTGCTCCCAACTTCGACTCGCTCCACCCCTTCTCTGTCATGGCTGCCCAGGCCGTGGACGAGCGTGTTTCGTTCCTCCGCAAGCCGCTGGAGGTCGAGCCTGCGGACGCCAAGAAGGAAGAGCTCGTCGTCATTGGCGGCAGGACGGAGGAGGTTTCGGAGATTGTCGACCGCGTCGTCGAACTGCTGGCGCCGCGCTTCAGCTCTGTTAGCCGCGTCGATTCGGTGGACGCATTTGTCGACGGCAGCGCCACGGTGCCCACATGCGTGCTCAACCTCTCGGAGCTCGACACGCCCGTCATGCAGGAGCTGATGGACGACCAGCCCGACAAGTTCGACGCACTCAAGGAAATCTTCTCGTCGGCCCGCGACATCCTGTGGGTCACCAAGGGCAGCAGGGCCGAGAGCCCGTACTCGCGCATGGTGGTCGGCATGGCGCGCGCCATCCGCAAGGAGATCCCCAGCGTCAACTTCCAGAACCTGGACGTCGACGTGCTGGATGAGGGCAGCGCCGAGCTGTTCGCCGCCACCATGCTGCGCCACCAGACGCTGCACAGGTGGGAGAAGGAGCTGCTGCCCGGCGCGCTGCGCTGGAGCCGCGAGCCCGAGATGCATCTCGAGAACGGCAAGATCTACCTGCCGCGCTTGAAGTCGGCCAAGGACTTGAACGACCGCTACAACTCGACCAAGCGCCAGATCGCGCACGGCGTCAGCGTCAAGGAGTCGAGGATCGAGCTCGTTGGCACCAAGGATTCCTACGAGCTGCGTGAGCCGTCCCCTCTCAAGCCGGCTCCGGCCACCGAGGGCAAGGTTGTCATCAAGGTTACCAAGTCTTTGCTGCAGTCTGTCAAGGTGCCAACTGCTGGCTACTACTTCCTGTGCTACGGTACCACCGAGTCTGGCGAGACTGTTGTTGCCTTCTCAGACAGCAGCGAGTCCGTAATTGCGGTGCCTAAGAACTGGACTGTTCCGCACTCGGCCAAGGTCGACCCGGCCAAGGCTCTCCTTTCCATTGCCGCCAACATTCTGGCGGATCTTGTGACCACTGTTGCTCCTGCTCAGGGCACTCTGCTGGCGCACGACCCTGACCCGATCGTTGCTGCGGCGCTGTCCAGGCAGGCTGCTGCCAAGCGTATCCGCGTGTTCTTCACCACCACTCAAGCCAACAAGAAGCGCCCCAACTGGATCTACATCCACCCGAACTCGCCCCGCCGTCTGCTGAAGAAGAGCCTGCCCAAGGGTGTCTCGCTATTCATCAACCTGTCTGGTAGAGATGATTCCAAGCTGATTGATGAGATCTCCGAATATCTCCCCGCCGGCTGCACGCTTTCGGACCGGTCGCCTTTCTTCGGCAACACGGTGGAAATGCGCCCTGCTGCCAACCCTGACCTCGTTGGCAGGTACCTGTCGACAGGCTGGGCCAACGCCAAGGCATCCAGCTTTGCCATTCCCGGAAGCACGACCGAGATTCCCCTCAAGGACGTGCCCGGCCACCGTGGCAAGGCAGAGCAGCTGTCCGTGGTCGACTGGGTCGCCGACGCCACGGTGCCAGCCAACGTGCAGCCCATCGACACGGGCGCCAACCTGTTCAAGCCCGACCGGACCTACTTCATGGTCGGCCTCTCGGGCGAGGTGGGCCAGTCCATCACGCAGTGGATGATCCGGCACGGCGCGCGGCACGTGGTGCTGACGAGCCGCAACCCGCAGGTCGACCCGGAGTGGATCGAGACGCTGGAAGACGAGTACGCGGCCGTGGTCAAGACCATGTCGCTTGACGTGACGGACCGCGAGTCGCTGCACGCCTGCTACGACAAGATCAACCGCACCATGCCGCCGATCGCGGGCGTGGCCCACGGCGCCATGGTGCTGATCGACTCGCTGTTCCAGAACATGGAGTACGAGGACCTGATGACGGTGCTGCGGCCCAAGATCCTCGGCGCCATTTACTTGGATGAGCTGTTCGCTGAGGACACGCTGGATTTCTTCATCCTGTTCTCGTCGATTACCGGCACGGTGGGTAACACGGGCCAGAGCAACTACATCGGCGCCAACTCGTTCATGGAGGCCCTGGGCCTGCAGCGCCGCGCCCGCGGCCTCGCCGCGTCTATCCTCGGTATCTCGTCGCTCGTCGGTATTGGCTACGTCGAGCGCGCTGAGAACTTCGACGCCGAGTACTTCGCCAAGAGCGGCTACAGGAATATCTCTGAGCAGGACTTGCACATGCTGTTCGCCGAGGCCGTCGTGCGCGGCCGCCCGGAGTGCAAGGAGAGCCACGAGATCATCACTGGTATCGTGCCGACGTACGCAGACCAGGACAGCAAGGCTGGCTACCTCCAGGACATCAAGTTCTCGCACCTGGCCCTGGAGAGGTCGCAGGCGAGGAACGATGGCGGTGCCGCCGCGGCAGTGCCCGTCAGGATCCAGCTGCAGACGGCAGTCACGAAGGACGAGGTTCTGGAGATCATGCAAAGTGAGTTCCGACATGATTCCATTCTAAAAACGACCAGTGTTCTGACTTCAAACAGACGGCTTCGTCGCCCGCGTCAAGAAGGTGCTCCGCATCCCCGCCGAGGACGACTTCTCCCTCACGGCCTCACTGGTCGAGCAGGGCGTCGATTCCCTCGTTGCCGTCGAGGTGCGCTCGTGGTTCCTCAAGGAGGTCGATCTCGACATGCCTGTACTCAAGGTCCTCGGTGGCGCTTCCATCTCTGATCTGCTTGCTGATGCTCTGGACCGCCTCTCGCCCGAGCTCGTCCCCAACCTCGGCGCTGACCCATCCACTGTAAGTCGGCCCTCGCCCGCCGCCGTTGCTCCCGCCCCGAAGGCTGTTGCTCCGGCTCCTCCTCCTGTTCCTTCTGTTTCCCGTCCGGCATCTAACGCTCCGCCAGGCCTGAACAAGCAGCTACCACCACCATCATCGACCACGGAGCTGAAGGCTGAGCGGGAGCGTAGAGCCGAGGCAGCAAGGAAACGGGAGGCAGAGGAGGAAAAGCGGACGAAGGACGCGGCGAGGAAGGCAGAGGAAGTCAGAAAGGCCAACAGGGCGAGAAGAGAGACCAGAGAAACGCAGAAGACAGACGCATCACGCGACGCATTAATCAAATCTGAAATAACCGAGCCAATGTCGTTTGGGCAGAGCCGCTTCTGGCTCCTCGACCAGATGCTCAAGGACCGCACCACGTTCAACATGGCCATCTCCGTGCGTCTCGAAGGCGCCATCCGCGTCGAAGACATGCGGACGGCCGTCCGAGCCGTCGTACTGAGACACGAAGCCCTCCGCACCCGCTACTTCTCCACAGGCGAACACGGCGACACGCCCATGCAAGGCATCGCCGCTTCCTCCCCCTCCGTCCCCTTCATCCACAAGCACATCAAATCCGAGGCCGAGGCCCAGGCTGACCTCGACGCCGTCCGCGCGCACGTCTGGGACATGAACACCTGGCTCGGCATAACCGTGCACCTCCTCTCCATGCCCTCCTCCCGCGTCCACTTCCTCATCATCGGCTGCCACCACATCACGCTCGACGGCGTCTCCCTCAACATCCTCTACGCCGACCTCGAAAAAGCGTACAAAGGGACCGCCAAAGCCCTCCCCCCTCTGCCCCCATCCGCCCAATACCGCGCCTTCGCCCGCCAACAACAAGCCGACTACGCCGCCGGCAAGATGGACGAGGACCTGGCCTTCTACCGCGCGCTGATCCCGGAGCCCGCGGCAGTCAAGCCCCTCCCGCTCTTCCCCTTCGCCCGCGTCCGCGAGCGCGTCCCGCTCGAGAGCTACGGCGAAGTGACGGCTACAGCACGCGTCGACGCCCGCCTGACGACCGCCATCCGCGCCGCCGCCCGCGCCGCCGGCGCGACGACGTTCCACTTCTACCTCGCGGCGCTGCACGTCCTCATCTACAAGCTCTTGCCGGAGGTCGAGGATGACGTCTTCATCGGCATCGCCGACGCGAACCGCACCGATGCCAAGTTCGCGGGCACGCTGGGCTTCTTCCTCAATTTGCTGCCGCTGCGGTTCTCCCGCGCAGCCGCCGAGGGAGGCCAGCAGGCGTCCTTCACCGAGTGCGTCAAGCAAGCCCGCACGAAAGCCTACGCCGCGCTCGCGCACTCGCGGCTGCCCTTCGACGTGCTGCTCGACCACCTCCCGGGGCTACCACGCTCGGCTGCGCACGCGCCGCTGTTCCAGGTCTTTGTCGATTACCGCACCGGCGTGCAGGAGCGGCAGCGGTACATGGGCGTCAAAGCCTCCGGCGAGAGCTGGTATACGGCGCGGACGGGGTACGATGTTGCGTTGGATATCATCGAGAATGCGGCGGGGGATGCGCGGGTCGAGTTTAAGTTGCAGGACGCGTTTTATGGGGTGGAGGGGGCGGAGGTGCTGGTTGATTTGTATGTGCATGTGCTGAGGCAGTTTGCGGAGGAGCCGGGGAGGGGGTGGGGGGACGTTGAGGTGTGGCCGAGGGGGAGGTTGGAGCAGGCGGTTACTGTTGGGAGAGGTATGTGTTGCGTTCGTGCTGGTGGTGGTGAGGTTTTGTTTGCTGACAGGAGTGCAGTCCCGTCGCCGGAGTACGAGTGGCCTGCCACGGTCGGCCACCGGATTGATGAGATGATCAAGAAGCATGCGTCGGAGTTGGCCATCAAGGATGGCCGAGGCAATGTGCTCACGTACGCCCAGATGGACGAGCGGGCCAACAGCATCGCCGCTGCTCTCGTGGAAAACGGAGCTGCGGACGGCGGGCGGGTTGGCGTGTTTCAGAACCCGACTGCGGACTGGATCTGTTCCGTTGTTGCCATCTTCCGGGCCGGGGCGGTTTACATCCCTCTCGATCTTCGGAATCCTCTCACGCGGCTGGCCAGCATCGTCAAAGCGGCAAAACCGGCTGCTATACTTGCTCATTCTGAAACGTGGGAGAAAGTAGAGGCGTTGGGCGGCGCTGATTCCAGGGCTATCAATGTTTCGACACTGCCTGCTTCTCATGAGCCAGTCGGCAACCGGGCCAAGGCTGATGGTCCTGCTGTTATCCTGTTTACCAGCGGCTCGACCGGTACCCCCAAGGGCATGCACATGAGCCATTCCAACCTTGTCAAGCATATGGAAGCGTGGACCATACAGCCAACCTTTCCCGAGAATGCAACGAAGCTCGTCCTCCAGCAAAGCGCCTACACGTTCGACAAGTCTCTCGAACAGATTCTTACGCCTATTACCATGGGTGGTGCGCTCTATGTCGTCCCGGCCGAGCAACGTGGAGATCCGGTCTCGATTACGCAGATTATCGTCTCGGAAGGCGTGACCTACACCGACGCCACCCCATCCGAGTACCTCATGTGGTTCACGTACGCTGGCCAAACCCTTAAAAATGCCACCACCTGGAAGTTCGCCGTTACGGCGGGCGAGGCGGTGACGGAGTCCCTTCTCGACGAATTCCGCAAGCTAGACCTTCCAGTCACGCTGGTGAACAACTACGGACCCGCCGAAGCGACGCTCGATGCTACGCTCGAGGAACTGCCCTACCGCGCAATGAAACCTGGCGACCAGATCTCGGCAGGTATTCCACTTCCTGGGTACACGGTGTACATCGTCGACGAAGAGTTGAAGCCCGTTCCGATCGGCTGGCCCGGCGAGGTCGTCCTCGCCGGCGTCGGCATCGTCGACGGCTACCTCAACGACCCCGAGCTCACAGCCAAGAAGTTCCTCCCCGACACCTTCGCCAACGACGGCGGCCGCATGTACCGCACCGGCGACCGCGGCCGGCTGACGGCGAAGGGCCAACTCCTCTACGAAGGCCGCATCGAGGGCGACACGCAGATCAAGCTGCGCGGCGTGCGCATGGAGCTCGAAGACATCGAGGCATCCATTATGAGCACCGCCAACGGCGCATTGAGCCGCGCCGTCGTGTCCCTCCGCGGGGAAGCAGGCGCCGAGTTCCTCGTCGCCCACGTCGTCTTCGCACCCGGTTTCGCTGGCGACCAGACTGCCTTCATCCACCGCCTCCCCTCCACGCTGCCGCTCCCGCAGTACATGGTGCCCGCCGTCTTCGCCGTCGTCGACGCCCTGCCGCTCACGCCGCACCTCAAAGTCGACCGCAAGGCCATCAAGAGCCTCCCGCTCCCCGAACAACAGCAGGCTCAGACCACCACCGCCGCCGCCGATGACAACAACACCCTCGCAACCACCCTCACGCCAACCGAGCAACGTCTCGCCGCCATCTGGCAAGAAATCATCCCCGGCGCACCTTCTGCCTTATCCCCCGACACCGAGTTCTTCCACATCGGCGGCAACTCGCTGCTGCTGGTCAAGCTGCAAGCGCTGGTGCGCCAGGCCTTCGCCGGCGCCAGCCTGCGCCTCATCGACCTCATGGACGCCGGCTCGCTGTCCGGCATGGCGCGTGCGATCGACGACGCAATTCCCACCACCAGCATACCACAAGCCGCCATCGACTGGGACGCCGAGATCGCGGTCCCCGCCGACCTCGCCACCAGGCTCACCCTCCCAACCACACCCCCCAGTGAGAAGGCCAGGAGCAAGCCGAAGCGCGCCGCCACAGACCTCACCGTCGTCCTAACCGGCGCGACCGGCGTCCTCGGCCGCAATCTGTTGCAGCGGCTGGTCGCGGACCCGCGCGTGAAGAAGGTGTACGCCGTCGCCGTGCGGCCTACTTCGTCGTCGTCCCGCATCCCCCCGCACCCCAAACTCACCACCCTCCCCGGCGACCTGACCGCGCCCCTCCTCGGCCTCTCGCCCGCCGCCGCCGCCCAAATCGCCGCGGAAGCAGACGTCTTCGTGCACGCCGCCGCCAACCGCTCGTTCTGGGACGGGTACGGCAGCCTGCGCGCTGCGAACGTCGGTGCGGTGAAAGAAGTCGTTTCGATGGCTGCGCCGAGGGGGGTGCGGGTGCATTTTGTTTCGTCTGGTGAAGTCACTAAGTACTCCGGTGGAGTGCCGCCGGTTGATGGGAGTGATGGGTATGTTGCGAGTAAGTGGGCGGCTGAGAGGTTCTTGGAGAAGGTGGTTGCGGAGGGGATGGTGCCGGGGCTGGAGGTCGTCGTGCATCGCCCGCAGGGAGCGGAGACGGAGGCCAGGCCGGCGCCGGCGGAGGTGGTTGGGGAGCTTGTGGGGTTGGCGAAGCAGGTGGGCAGGAGGCCGGTGTTGGAGGGGGTGGGGGGCAGTTTGGGCGTGTTGCCGGTTGAGGAGATTGTTGGGGGTGTGGCGAGGGCGGTGTTTGGTGAGGAGGAGGAGGAGGCGGGGAAGATCAAGGTGGTGGACCACGTCGCGACGATGAATGTTGATATTGGCGCTTTTGCGGAGAGCGTGGCGGGGGATGAGGAGTTGATGGGGCTGGAGGGGATGGATGCGCTGACTTGGACTGGAGAGATCAAGAAGGCGGGTTGGGGCATGTTTATGGTCAGTCAAGAGATCGTGATGATGAAGGAGGGTGATGCTATTGTGTCGAAGCGGTAGAGGAACTTGCTTTAGGTGTTCGGCGTAGCTTTCTTTACATTAGGGTTCTTTATAGTGACTACTAGTTTCGTATGGTTTATGTTTGATGTAAATAATAAATGCGGATTCTATCTTTGAAATTATTTCACTACCAAATTTTTAGTTGTCTTGCACGAAACTTACTATTAGTTCCTATATTGTGTCCATACTCAGAATTTCCCCGTTCTTTTTTCCTTTTTTAAAAAAAAGGCGGAAAGCGAAAGCCTTTAGATTTAGTAGCATACTCTCAATTGTATGCGCTAAAATGACAAAATCATGCCGGAAAAATCCTTACGTGCATTATATTTGCAACAGTATAGTGCTCTTTAAATATTCTTATATGCTCTGTTGTATTCACCAGCTATTGTCCATTTGAAGACTCTTGCGAGTCATACGATATGAAAATAACCCACGGATTAGTTCTCTTAGTAGCTGGTTTCCGGCAGAAATTCTAGTGTTGAGAAAGCTCGGTGCGACTGCATAGCCGTGAATCGGTCAGCCGGCAGTGCGATTGGAACATGGACTTTGGAATATAGAAGCCAATGTCCGTCGGCAATATCTGGCATTATATCACGTTGCTACTGTACGATTGCATGGTGTTGAAATCATAGTGGATTGACCCGCGAAGGGCCACGCGACCAGCAGAGACTATGTACATACATACAATCAAATGGACCTTGTATTCCGGGTAACGACTACGAGCAGCTCTTCGTACTCCAATACATGGGCCTGTTTCCATCTCATTCATTATATACGCTAGAATGATCTAAATCATTTGAAAAGAGCAATTTTTACACCGTTCTTGTTCGCAGGAGTCATACGCACCACCGGGACGTAAGGCTCGGGGTCTCGTGATTCTATCCTGCTGTACTGCTGCGCCAACCGTGCGACGACGTAACTTGCCTGAGTAAAGACGAGCATCTCAGCGGGGCAGCGGCGCGGTCCTCCTCCGAACGGAATGAAGGACCAAAAAGGCTTCTTCTGTTCCCACCTCTCGGGACGGAACTCCTCTGCATCCTCGCCCCACACGTCCTTGTCCTTGAAAAGGGCGTTCCTATGCACGTGGATAATGTCTCCTTTGCGGATGAGGACGGGCAACTTGCCATCTGGCCCGCCGCCGGTGGGCAGGGTGGTGTCAACGCCAGCGCTGCGCGAGTGCGCCAGGCTGGTGACCATCAGACGTTGCGCTGGGAATATCAGTCAGTGACTACCGTCCCGCTCTGACTTATGAACAGCTTACATTCGTTCAGCACCGCCACAAGATACTTCATGTTCCGCAGGGCGGTGAAGGTGAGCGGTGCGTCCCCGATAGCGAGGACCTCGGCGCGGACTTTCTCCCACACGTCTGGACGGCGTGCAACTTGCCACAGGGAGTTGGTGATGTAGGCGGTGATGGGATCCGAATTTGGCGCGAAGATCAGTGCCATGTTTGAACGCAATGCTACCGCATCATCGGGCAGGTTCTGTGCCATTGACCAGAGCAGATCGGTGCGCTCGGGGCCCGGGTCGAGACCGGCTTCCTCTGCCTTCTTGCGCTCGGCCATCTCGCGGTATGTCCGCTCGATGTGCCCGTCAATGTACTGGTGGATAATCTTGATTGCATCGAACCACCATTTGAAAATGCTGTCTGGCATTGCCCATAGTAGCTTGGAGAAAATCAACCGAATGCGCGCACCACGTTGGATTTCCGTCATGGCACTTATAAGTGGACTCTGTTCCTTAAGCTTTAGACAGCCCACGGACTCACCAAAGATGATGGCGGAATTGGCATCATAGACCTTCGCCGTGGATTTGGAGTCAGCGATCGGCATTCAAGGTGAATTCGAAAGTCATACCCAGCGGTGCATGAATGGGTACATGTCGAACGTGACGCCATCCTCGGGTAATACCTCCAGAAGAGAATCTGTAAAGGACTTGAGGCGGTCGGTATTCGCATAATTGTCTCGAAAGAAGAATGCTTTGCTCAAGGCTTGAGTATGCTCCCATTCTTCCCCATCGGAGAGGCTGATGCCCTGGTGGGCAAATGGGAGAATTGCTGCGTTACGGCGCAAAGGTGCGATAAGAAATTGGCCAAATTGGCCGGATAGCAGTGCCTTGATGTTCGTCGGATCGATTGTATATATTTGCCGGGATCCCAAGATGTTGACAGAAAATGTTTTGGCTTTGTTGGGTGCATTCCAATAGAGCTTCTCAAGCCACTCCAGAAAGCGATGAGCGCGTACCGATTTGATTTGGGCCAGAATTAAGTCCAAGCCCAGCAGCGGATCTTTCTGCGGATAACGCGGAAGAGAACCGCAGCCATTGGCTTTTTCCGCTGCTGACAATTGCGCACGGCCAAGGGTGAGCTTCGCGCCAATGAAAAGGGCCAGGAAAATGACGAGTAGCTGCACGGCTCCTAAGTCAGCCATTTCGGATTCAGGTTCGCCAAGGCCGAATAAAAGACATGCACAGAAGTGCTTCCGCATCGAAGCTCTTCTTTGGCAGTAAATATTTCGTTGTGTTGCCGCCGGTCCGGTGCATGACTAAGGCCGTGCTTCCGCCTCATCCCAACGCCGATATTCTCCGACTTTTTGTCGTTCTACCATCACCCGACCACTACACTCCGAATCATGCCTTCGGTGCTGCCTATACTGGGGAAAAATGGCTGGGAGCTCAGTTGCTTCTTGTCTTGGAATCGCAGGTCCTGCGTGTATCGAGATCGTCCAAATTTAAACTCCGGGTGAGAGGGTGTCGCGCTCCGAAAGCAGAGTGCTCCAAACCATTCCCCTCGACCCAAACAGGACTACACGATGGTGGCCACAGCTGATACTCAGAGGGCAATCAAGATCCAATCCCCTGGCAAGGTGGCCCTGCAGGAAAATTGCCCCATTCCGATTCCCCAAGCAGACGAGGTCTTGGTGAAAGTCGTCTGCGTGGCCCTCAATCCTGTCGACGCCAAATCTGCCGATCTTTCTCCAACTCCTGGGGCAACCTCAGGGTGTGACTTTTCCGGAGAAGTTGTCAGCATTGGCGACAAAGTCAAGCAGCCGTTGTCGGTAGCAGACCGCGTCTGTGGCTGTGTCTTTGGAAACAATCCGGACGAACTTCAAAACGGCGCGTTTGCTGAATATGTTGCCGTGCCTGGAGATTTGCTATTCAGAATTCCCGAAGGAATGTCCTTCCAGACAGCTGCTACCTTCGGTGTTGGACTTTCCACAGCGGGAATGGCGCTGTATCAGACCCTGAAGCTGCCTCTTCCAAACACACCAGCGAGCTCGCCCCAGTTTGTCCTTGTGGCAGGTGGAGGAACCGCAACGGGGAGTCTGGCAATCCAACTGGCTAAGCTGTAAGTGCAACCTCTACCTCTTCAAGTGACCTTTTGCTGAGTTTGAACGTCAGCTCCGGAATGATCCCCATCGCAACTTGCTCACCACGCAGCTTTGACCGTGTAAAGTCACTGGGTGCAGCAGAAGCATTTGACTACCATTCGCCAACCTGCGGTGCTGATATTCGAGAGTTCACCAAGAACACTCTCGAATACGCTCTTGACTGCATCACCGACACCGGATCGATGAACATCTGCTATTCCGCCATTAGCAAGAGTGGCGGCAAATATGTTGCTCTCGACCCGTTTCCTATCCGCTCGCACACGCGGCGGAGCGTTGTTCCGGCGTGGATTGTGGCCTTTACCATCTTCAACAAGCCAGTCAACTGGCAAAGACCGTTCAAGAGGGAAGCGCGGCCCAAGGACCGGGAGTTTGGAGAGGCTTGGTTTCAGACTGCGCAGAAGCTGCTGGATGAGAATGTGATCAAAGCGCACCCTCAAGAGGAGAGGCCTGGCGGTCTTGAAGGAGTCATAGACGGACTAGACGATGTGCGTAAGGGTCAGGTTTCGGGTGTGAAGCTGGTTTACAAGATTTGATGTATTTAAGAAGCCAATCTTGCAACTTTATGTCAGGAAACTAAGGAATTAAACTTTCCCGTCAAGTCTGACAGCATGCCAATGTGATAGGCAGGTGCCAAAAAACGTTATACTTTCGGCGCCATACTTAAAATCATTATTAATTCCACCACTAGACTTTGTTTCAGGACACTCAGCACTGGTAAGTAGCTAGAACAATTGTATCAGAGATTGTTTAGCGTAGCCTGTTCCTCATAAAACGGAGCTCATCGTGTAGGCCTTTAGAAGGAGCAATCGATTGAGTTCCAACAGACTTCAAGTGGGGAACGTCGGAAGTAAATCAAACCGGGGCTTTCTGATGGTGAGGAAGGCCTCAGATCCCAGAAAGTGCTAGTCAAGCGAGACACTGTCATAGCGGAATGGGTCGCAGATGTTGCAAACGATGTTGCCCAGACGCAGCTCCGAATACCAAGCGCCGAACCCCGACATCCCGGAACGCTTCGGCACTCGCCGCACCGTTCCCTAAGCGCGGCTCACCAAGTTTAATGAAGTAGTGCAGTACAAGCTGAGTACATAGATTTAAGCCGGTTGTGCGTCGCCCTATGCTTTGGTGACCAATCTCATTGACTTGACCCTCTCTTTTTCCGGGCGATCTCAACGACTCGTCGCACCTGATCTCAAACATGGCCACCACAAAAGAGCCAATCGCAATCATCGGTTCGGGGTGCCGTTTCCCTGGAGGATCCAGCTCGCCCTCGAAACTTTGGAATCTACTGCGGAACCCGCGTGACGTTCTGCGAGAATTTCCCGAAGACAGATTACGACTACCAAACTTCTACAACAAGAATGGAGAGCACCATGGCAGCACGGATGTCAAGAATAAGGGATATCTCTTGGCCGAAGACGACGCCCACCGCGTTTTCGATGCGCCATTTTTCAACATCAACCCTCTAGAGGCGGAGGGCATGGATCCAGCCCAGCGTATTCTCCTCGAAGTAGTTTACGAGGCCCTTGAGTCGGCTGGATACACGATCGAGGAGATGCAAGGGACTCTCACATCTGTCTACGTCGGCCTTATGACTGCCGATTGGTGGGATCTACAGATGAGGGATACCGAGACGATCGCGACGTATGCTGCAACAGGAACAGCGAGGAGCATTATCTCCAACCGTATCTCATACTATTTCGACCTCAAGGGTGCCTCTATGACCATCGACACGGCATGCTCCAGCTCACTCGTCGCTCTTCACCAGGCCGTCCAGAGCTTGCGGAACGGCGAGTCCACCACCGCCATTGTTGCTGGAGCCAACATGCTGCTTGACCCTGCCATGTACATCGCCGAGTCGAACCTCCACATGCTTTCTCCCGAGTCCCGCTCACGCATGTGGGACAAATCCGCGGACGGCTACGCGAGAGGTGAAGGGTGTGCGGCAGTTTTTCTAAAGCCCTTGAGCAAAGCTATAGCCGATGGCGATCATATCGAGTGCGTCGTCAGGGAGACCGGAGTCAACTCTGACGGACGCACCAAGGGTATCACGATGCCTAGTGCTACAGCTCAGGCGGCACTAATCAAGGCGACCTACCGCAATGCTGGCCTCGACCCCCTCGTCGATCGCTGCCAGTATTTCGAGTGCCATGGAACCGGAACCGCAGCGGGAGATCCTATCGAGGCGCAGGCCATCTCGGAGGCTTTCTTTCCGCATGGAGAATCGAATGACCGCATGTATGTCGGGTCCATCAAGACAGTCGTCGGTCACCTCGAGGGATGCGCTGGCTTGGCTGGTCTTCTGAAAGCATCATTGGCAGTCCAGAACGGGACTGTACCGCCGAATATGCTATTCAACGAGCTCAATCCAGCAATCGAACCTTACTACAAGAACCTCAGAATACTTCAATCTTCCATTCCATGGCCGGAGGTCGAGGGACCTCGCCGTGCCAGTGTCAACAGCTTCGGATTTGGAGGCACCAACGCCCACGCAATTATAGAGAATTACGAGCCGGAGAGAAACGCGGAGGCGCCAGCCAGAGATCACTTCCGCGGTCCACTCGTCTTCTCAGCTCGTTCCGAGTCGTCTATTCTCTCCAGCATTCGGGAGTACGCCCAATACATCAAGTCGAACCCCGCCGTGGATCTCGAAGACCTGGCTTGGGTACTGCAGGAGAAACGTGGAACATTCCCTGTCAAGCACTTCTTTTCGGGATCCAACCGCGATAGATTACTCTCGTTTATGGACAGCTTCCTCGAGACGGCCGACTCCGGGTCGGTGAGCAGCCTGGTAACGCGGGCACAGCTGCGCTACCCAGACGAGGTCCCCGGCATCCTCGGCGTCTTCACCGGCCAGGGGGCTCAGTGGGCAACCATGGGCACCGCGCTCATCCAGCGGTGCAAGCTCTTCCGCGAGTCGATTGAGCGCAGCGAGGCTGCGCTGGCCGCGCTGCCGGATCCCCCCGCCTGGTCGTTGAAGGCAGAGCTTCTGGCAGGCAAAGACACGTCTCGGATCGCCGAAGCGGCGCTGAGCCAGCCGCTCTGCACCGCATTGCAGATCGCCATGGTGGACCTCGTCACGGCGTCCGGAGTGAAGCTGGATGCGGCGGTTGGCCATTCCTCGGGCGAGATCGCAGCCGTCTACGCTGCCGGCATCATCTCTGCTGCAGATGCCATGGCCATCGCTTACTACAGAGGCTTCCATGCCAAGTTGGCGCAAGGGAGGGATGGAAAGAAAGGAGGCATGATGGCGGTTGGTCTTTCCTACGAGGCAGCGCTTACTTTCTGCGCACAGTACGACGGCCGTATCAGCTTAGCAGCCAGCAACTCACCATCAAGTGTGACTCTATCCGGAGACCTTGATGCCATCGAGGAGGCGAAAGCGTACTTCGACGAGCAGAAAACATTCGCCAGGCAGCTACAGGTCGACACTGCCTATCACTCGTACCACATGCTCCCGTGTGCAGAGCCCTACTTGAAGTCGCTTAAGGCCTGCAACATCAAGATCAACAGACCCAGGTCGGATCGCGCCTGCGTCTGGTCATCCAGTGTGCGCGCAGACACGGAGCTTCTCGAGGGGGATCTTGAGGCACTCACAGGGCAGTATTGGGTGGACAACATGGTACAGCCCGTGTTGTTTTCCCAGGCACTGGAGTGCTCGCTGTGGAACGGCGGCCCCTTCGAGATGGTTGTAGAGCTTGGTCCGCACCCGGCTTTGAAGGGCCCTGGCACCCAAGTGCTGAAGTCTGTTCTCGGTTCCGCTCCGCCATACATGGGTTTCATGAGACGCGGTGATGACGAGGTCGAGGCATTTTCTGGTGGTTTGGGCTTCCTGTGGTCCTCTCTTGGGCCCTCATTCGTCGACTTCGACGGTTACCGCAACGCCTTCAGCGACTCGAAGCCGAAGATGCTCAAGGACCTTCCTTCGTACGCCTGGGATCATGAAAAAACCTACTGGAAAGAAGGGCGCATTTCCCGCAACTATCGCCTGCGCAAGAGCACTCCTCACGAGCTGCTAGGACGTAGGGTTCCGGATGATTCTGACTATGAGATGCGCTGGCGTAACATCGTCCGTCTCAATGAGATGCCTTGGATCCGCGGCCACGAGTTCCAGGGTCAGGTCCTCTTTCCTGCCGCCGCATACGTCGCAATGGCCCTCGAAGCCTCGAAGACTCTGGCAGGCGACCGTCCTGTCCGGCTTTTCGAACTGCGAGACATCTCCATCCGGAAGGCGTTGGTCATGGACGAGGGCTCATCAGGCGTAGAGACCGTCTTCACGGTGAAGCTGCTGAACACGGAGTTTGGCACTGGAGCCAAAGACGTCCTGGAAGCAGAGTTCTCCGGCTACACCTGCGCCGACGAGGCAGCAGGCGTCCTGGAGAAGACAGCGTGCGGTCGCATCTTGGTGCATCTTGGCGAGCGTGATGGCAACGAACTCCCTCCTGTGACTCCAGCTCGGCCTCACCTTGCCCCAGTCGATCTGGAAAGGTTCTACTCGTCCATCGCGAAGTTGGGACTCAACTACCAGGGCTTGTTCCAAGGGCTGACGCATGCTGAGCGGACACTGGGCTATTCGAGAGCTGCTGCCACATGGAAGGAGCACGGAATGGGCGCCGACTACATCGTACATCCGGCCTTTTTGGATGTTGTGTTCCAGGCGATTTTCGTCGCTCTCACCTCGCCCGCGACGACCGGCGCTCTCTGGACCCCATACTTGCCCATCGCTCTCCACCGTATCGTTGTGGATCCTTCCCAGGTCCATGACTATTCCATCCCTGAGGTCAAGGCGGAAATGGACGCCTTTATTACGCAGGCGTCTTCCTCTTCAGTTACTGGTGATGTCCAGCTCCTCAATCCCGCCGGCACACACACCAGCATCCTTGTCGAAGGCCTGTTTTTGAAGTCCATTTCTGAGCCCACTCCCGCGACCGACCGGCTTCTCTTTTCCCAAACAGTCTGGGATGCAGATATCGCCAGCGGTCCGGTAGACGTGGATGAGGGAGAGGAGGACTCGGAGGAACGCGAGATGATCCATGCCATCGAGAGGCTAGCCTTGTTTCACTTCCGGAATCTCGTTGACACGATCCCGGCTGAAGAGGTCAAAACATTTACCTGGTACCATCAGAGACTCTTCGAGGCGATACATGCCAACCTGGACGCAATTCGCGGCGGCCAGAACTCTGTCATTGAGCAAGCCTGGCTCAGCGACACCCGCGAGACTATCGACGGCTTGCGTGCCAAGTTTCCGGGTCAAATTGATTTGGAGCTAATGCATGCTATCAGTGAGAACCTCGTATCGGTCGTTCGCGGAGAGACACAAATCTTGGAAGTCATGCTTGAGAACGACATGTTGAACCGCTTCTACATGGAGGGCCGAGGGTTCCGGAAGCTAAACGACTACATCGCTCGAGTTGTACAGCAGATTTCGCATAAACACCCTCGAGCTAAGATTCTTGAGATCGGCGCAGGTACTGGTGGTACGACTCGTAATATCTTCGACACTATCGGCTCGACCTACTCCTCCTATACTTATACCGATATCTCGTCCGGATTTTTCGAGAAGGCGGCTGAGAAGTTCCACGACCATGTCAACAAGATGACATTCAAGGTACTGGATATTGAAAAGGATGTTTCACAGCAGGGCTACGAGGAGGGCGGCTATGACGTTATCATTGCTGCTAATGTTCTGCATGCTACTCGCAACCTTGCTGAAACAATGCAGCACACAAGAGCTCTTCTTAAGCCTGGTGGATATTTCATCTTGATGGAAGTCACTGGCGACCTGCTCAGAAATCCGTTCGTTATGGGAGCCCTTCCTGGTTGGTGGCTTGGTGCTGAAGAAGGCCGTCGCCTTAGCCCTGGCATTTCGACAGTCGAGTGGGACGAGCTTATGCAGAGCACCGGCTTCTCAGGTGTCAATGCCGTACTTCACGACTTCCCAGACCCGACGAGACACTCTTGTTCGGTTATGATCAGTCAAGCAGTTGACGACAAGTTCAGTCTTCTCCGTGAACCGTTGTCGGCGGTGAATACGTTCTCCGAAGAGGATCAGAATCTCCTCATCATCGGTGGAAAGACGCTGGCTGTCTCGAAACTGGTACGCGACACTCAGAAGCTGCTCTCACCGTGGAAGAAGCGCACAACTGTGGTCGCCAGCATTGATGCACTAGACATCGAGAAGCTGGCTCCGAGGACGTCGGTCATCTGTCTCACGGAATTGGACAAGCCGCTTTTCTTAGAAACGATGAGCCAGGCGCGCCTGACCAAGCTGCAAGAGCTGTTCATCAGCGCTAAGAGTGTTTTGTGGATCACCAGCGGCTGCCACAGGGAGAGCCCAATTTCCAACATGGCTGTCGGCATTGGCCGTGCTCTCATCACCGAGCTGCCTCATCTTACGCTTCAGTTCGTGGATGCGAAGGTGTCCAGCCTCACGCCGACTCTGCTGGTCGAGTCGCTCCTTCGCCTCATCATGGCCGGATCGCCCGAGTTTTCGGAGCACAAGATGCTCTGGGCGACTGAGCCAGAAGTCAAGATTGACGGCGACACTGTTCTCATCCCTCGAATCGTGCCTGACAAAGCCATCAATGATCGGTTCAATGCATCTCGCCGTCAAGTCAACAAGCAGGTGAAGAAGGAACAGGCCCGTGTCGAGGTCGTAGCTTCGGGCCCGGAGGGGCCGCTCACTCTGGTTGAGGCCACAGCAACGGCAGATGATGAGAAGTCTGTTGTTGATGTGAAGTTCTCAACGGCCATCGGAAAAGACTGCACTCTCTCTCTCGGCAGTGTGTCGGGTAGCCCCGCCCTCGCCCTCGTCGCCTCCGATGCCAACACTTCGTCCGTCACCGTCACTGAGGCAAACATACTCTCAATTCCTGATGGCCCCCAGGCTGCTCCAGACACACTTTTGGATGTGGCGAGCCATGTGCTTGCAATCGAGCTTCTCAAGCCCATCTCGCCCCACAGCTCTGCTCTTGTCTACGAGCCTTCCGAGAGACTCGCTGCAGCCCTTACGTACCATGCAAAGGCCAAGGACATCAACTTGGTGTTTACGACGACCGAGATGGCTCGTGCGAAGAATGGATGGCTTTCTCTTCACCCCCAGGCTACCGAGCGTGCCCTCCGAAACCTCATTCCTCGGAACACTGCATGCCTGATTCATTTCGGCTCCAAGGCCATCACCACCTTGGCATCGATCCTCCCTCGAGATGCCCCTACCTATGTATTCGATCTCGTTAATGGCGCAATCCCTCTTCCGGACAAGGAAACGCTCTCAGCTGCCTTCGATGCCGCCGTAGCAGCTTCACTGGGCAACTCGGACGCATCGACCGTCAGCGTTCAAGCTCTGACAGGAGCACCACCGGCGCAGAAGGCCTACCCCAATGTCGTTGACTGGACCGAGCCCGAGCTGACCGTGACTGTGAGGCCCCTCAACCCAGCAGGCCTGTTCCGCTCCGATAAGACATATCTGATGGTTGGTATGACCGGGGAAATGGGACGCTCTCTCTGTCGCTGGATGGTAACCCACGGTGCCCGCTATATTGTCCTCACAAGTAGGAGCGCCCACGTGGATGCCGCCTGGCTGGAAGAGATGTCTACTCTTGGAGCAACTGTGAAAGTCTACAAGATGGATGTCTCCGATAGAGGCTCCGTTCGCTCCGTCCATGCTGCCATCTGCCAAGACCTGCCTCCGATTGCTGGTGTCTGCAACGCCGCCATGGTCCTGATCGACAAGCTGTTTGTGGACATGAGTGCCGAAAACGTCAACGATGTCCTTGGTCCTAAAGTTGAGGGTTCGAAGATTTTGGATGAGGTGTTCAACGAGAACGGGCCGGATCTAGACTTCTTCGTACTTTTCTCCTCGCTCGCCAGTATTTTCGGTAACGCCGGCCAGTCAAACTATCATGCCGCAAACTTGTTCATGACGTCTCTCGCCGCCCAGCGTAGGTCTAGAGGGCTTGCTGCCTCAGTCATGCACATCGGTATGGTTGCCGACGTTGGATATGTTGCCAGGACTGGCCGCCACATAGAGGACCATCTCCGCAAGCTCCTCTTCCACCCCATGTCTGAGACTGACGTTCAGCATCTCTTTGCGGAAGCGGTGAGGAGCAGTCGCCCGGAAGCCGACGGTAATTGGAGCATTGTTTCCGGCATTGAGCCATTCCTCGACACGCCCGACGCGCAATCGAAGCCGCCGTTCTACTCAAACCCACGCTTTGCGCACTGCATCCACGAAGAGAACACGGCCAAGGAACAGAAGCAGTCGGGTGCTGCGGCCAAGGACATCAAGCAGCAACTCGAGGCCGCAGGCTCGGAGGAGGATGCCGCCGCCGCCATTCAGGAAGCATTCGCTGCCAAGCTCGAGATGATGCTACAGATGGCGCCGAACACGGTCAATGTCAATGTTCCTCTGCTTGACCTGGGCACGGATTCGCTTTTGGCTGTGGAGATCAGGACCTGGTTCCTCAAGACGATCCACGTCGACATCCCTGTCCTCAAAGTCCTGAGCGGTGACACCGTAGGTGCCATTTGCACAGACGCTGCGAGAAAGTACTTGGCAACAAGGCCAGCAAAGGAGACCAAGTCGGCACCAGCGACCGGCGAGCCGCTGGCGAATGGTCTCGAAGAGAACGAGAGCAAAAAGACGGCAGAGGAGCAGGTACCGAGAAACAGAAGCCCCGCTGTCTCTGTAGCCGAATCTGATTCAAGCAGCGCTAAGGATGAAAGCCTTGCTCCCGAAGCTCCGTCATCAAAGACGTCCGACACCACCCGGAGCACCACACCATCGTCAGGAGATACTCTCACCCCGGCAGAGCTTTCCAGCTCTGTTAGCATCTCAAGAGTGTCCACTCCAGTTTCAGATCTCTCAGACGCTACTCCTCCACCCACGCGTGAGTTGACATTCAAGAGGAAGGGGAAGCTGTCCCATGCCCAGTCTCGTCTCTTCTTCCTAAAGACCTTCGTGGAAGATCCGACGACTTATAACTGCACGGCTCTGTACCAAGTCCAGGGCGACCTCAAGGTCATGCGACTCCGTCGTGCTCTTGCGGAAGTCATTGCCCAGCATGAATCGCTTCGAACTGCGTTTTATGCAGACCCCGCAACTGGCGAGCCAACCCAAGGAATATTTGCATCACAGCCTAATTGCCTCAAGGTCGTCGAAAATGCTGACGAGGACACGGTCAAGCATGAGTTCAATCTGCTGAAAAACACTGCCTGGGACCTTGAGCAAGGAATCACTTTCGGCGCCACTGTTGTCTCACAGTCATCCGGAGTACACTCCATCATCTTTGGCTACCACCACATTATCATGGACGGAGTCAGCTGGTTCTTGTTTCTTCGTGATCTTGCTCGGGCGTATGCGCTGCAACCTCTCTCGCCAGTCACCAAGCAATATGTCGACTTCACGCAGGAGCAAACAAAGTCTATCGAGGAAGGCAAGCTTGCCGATTCAATTTCGTTCTGGAAGACCGAGTTTGCTCAATTGCCCGAACCTACTCCTCTCTTGCCCATTTCACGACTCAAGGCACGGTGGGGCGCCGGAAGTTACAGAAGCCACAACATCAGCAGGGAGGTTGATGCAACGTCGAATGCGCGGATCAAAGATGCCAGCCGAGCTCTGGGAGTCTCTCCATTCCACCTACACATGGCCACCATCCAGGCGCTTTTCGCCAAGTTCCTCGGTGTGAATGACTTGTGTATCGGTGTCTCCGACGCAAATAGGACAGATGACAATCTCTCGGATACAGTGGGTTTCTTCCTCAACCTGTTGCCCGTTCGCTTTTCCATCGACCACAGCAAACCTTTCTCCGAGCTGGCCAAGCGCACTTCCAAGAAAATCTTCACTGCGCTCGCGCATTCGAGCGTTCCATTCGATCTCATCTTGGACGAGCTCAACGTAGCCCGATCTCAATCGTACAGTCCATTGTTCCAGATCGGCGTCAACTACCGCATGAACGACCTTCTCACGCTGCCATTCGGAGACTGCGAACTTCTTTTCAAGGCTGCCGAGGATGCCAGGAACCCGTATGACCTCAGCTTCAATATCACGCAATCTGCTAGCGGCTCATGCCTGCTGGACGTGTCTTGCAGGGAGGATCTGTATACTGCAGAGGCAGGAGAAGTCTTGATGGATACCTATGTCCATCTTCTCAAGTCATTCTCTGAGGATACGACTTTGACAGTCGATTCCTGTTCTTTGTTTGACAAAGACACAGTAACCCAAGACGCCTTAGTCGGAAAAGGCCCTCGAATCTCTCCCGAATGGCCAGAGACACTGACGGAACGATTCCAAACGATGGCTCAGAACCACGCGGACGCCATTGCCATCAACGATGAGAGTGGCAAAACGACTTACCAGCAGCTAGCAAACAAGGCTGACAAGATTGCTGCTCATCTCCTGGAGCAGGGCATCGAGAGTGGCTCAGCAATTGCAGTCTTGTGCCAGCCTTCGTCTGACCTCATTGCATGCATGCTGGCAATCATTCGCATTAACTGCGTGTATGTGCCATTAGATCTAAGCCTTCCGCAAGTCAGACACGTTGCTATGCTTGACAGCTGCATGCCGGCCTTGGTCCTGTCTGACACACACACGCTCAAGCGTGCCCAGTCGACAGCTGGTGATTTGCGCACTATCAACGTCTCAGAGCTACCTGAAATAGATGCGTCGTCGATTCGGGACCTTCCCCTCCCAAACCCTTCTTCGGCTGCATTCCTGCTTTTCACGAGTGGAACGACTGGAACACCCAAAGGTATTCGGATTCCACAAAGAGGTCATGTAAATCACTGCGAAGTGGTTTCCAGGGCCATTTCGGTTACCGCACAAGATTCAATAATGCTGCAGGCGTCTTTCGGCTTCGACGTATCTCTTGTGGAAATATTCGTCCCGCTCTGGAACGGCGGAACTGCCGTTATCGTTCCACAAGCCGCACGCGGCGACCCAGTTGCCATCGTGGAATTGATGCAAAAGGCAAAGGTAACTCTCACATTAGCCACGCCTTCAGAGTACGCCATGATACTCGAGTCTGGCAGCCAGTCACTCAAAGCTTGCTCGGAATGGCGTCATGCCATCACGGGAGGCGAACCAATCACGGAACGAATGAAGCAGGCATTCCGCGCGTTGGGTCGTCCCGGCCTTACCCTTAGCAACTGGTATGGTCCAACGGAGTGCTCTGTCGCCTGTACATTCGAGCACGTGGACCTTGCTTCCACTACCTCGGCCACTGTTGGCGAATACACGTCCATCGGCAAGCCACTGCCCAACTGCTCCGTGTACATTCTCGATCCAGCCGGAAGTCCTCTCCCCGTTGGCATTCCCGGCGAAATCTGCATCGGTGGTGCCGGCGTCGTCCTTGGATACGTGAACCTGCCCGAGCAGACGGCAGCCAAATTCTGTCCAGACCCATTCGCGGGGCCAGAGGACGTAACAAAGGGGTGGACAACCCTGTACAAGACGGGTGACAAAGGACGCCTTCAGAAGGACGGATCTGTTGTTTTCATGGGACGCATCGACGGCGACACTCAAGTGAAGCTTCGAGGTCTCCGCATCGAGCTGGACGACGTGGAGAATGCCCTTCTCAAAGCTGCTCCAGCCCATCTTTCCAGCGCCGTCGTGTCGGTGAGAGGAGATCCCGAAATGCTCGTCGCGCACGTGGTCTTCGTGCCCGGCAAGACGTTGGGCAGCAGTGAGCTCCAGCAGCTCGCCGCCAATCTTCCCGTGCCCCAGTACATGCGGCCCGCTTTGGTGATTCCACTGGAGCGTCTTCCGGTCACTGCCAACGCCAAGGTGGATAGGAACGCAGTCCAAGCCCTCCCTCTTCCCGAGCTCACGGCGGAAGTTTCAGGGAATGAGAGCCTGACGCTATCTCAGTCCCGGCTGGCACGGTTGTGGAAAGGCATATTGCCGAAGGGTGTTCTCCTCGATCCCACCTCCGATTTTTTCATAGCTGGTGGAAACTCGCTCCTGCTTGTCAAGCTCCAGAGGGCCATCAAAGAGGAGTACGGGCTCTCTTTGCGCATAACCAAACTCTACACGGCCAGCACACTGGAGAGCATGACCAACCTGGTTGCTTCCTGTGAGGAAGAGCAGCCACGCGATGAGCAAATCGACTGGGAGGCGGAAACAGAAGTGCCAGAATCAACAACCCTGATCCCCAAACCCCCATCCGAACGCCGGCGACTCAGAGACCAAGACAAACAAATCCTACTAACCGGCGCCCTCTCCTTCTTCGGCTCCACCCTCCTCACCTCGCTGCTCGCCGACCCCCGCATCGCAAAGATCCACCTCCTAGCCATCGATCCGGACGCGGCGGCGCAATCCGCACTCCCCACCTCCCCCAAACTCACCGTCTACCCGGGCGCCCTCGCGCACCCCACCCTCGGCCTCTCCCCCACCGACATCACCACCCTCCAATCCACCATCGACCTCATCATCCACGCCGGCTCCTTCGGCCACTGCATGCACAACTACTCGTCCGTCCGCCCGCACAACGTCGGCGCGACGCGCTTCATCGCCGAGCAGCTCGCCCTGCCGCACCTCGTCCCCATCCACTTCCTGTCGTCCAACCGCGTGCCCCTACTCGGCGGCGGCTCTGCCGACGGCACGACGGATGCCGCTGCCGTGCCTCCGCACCTGCACCCGCCCGCCGACGGCTCCGAGGGCCTGACGGCCAGCAAGTGGGCGTGCGAGCGCGTGCTGGCGGCGCTGGCGGCGCGCACGGGGTTGTCCGTCCGCGTGCACCGCGCGTGCGCGCTGGTCGGCGACGGCGCGCCGGCCGACGACGCGCTCAACGCGCTGCTGCGGTACTCGGCCCTGCTGCGGGCGGTGCCGCGGTTCGAGCGGTTTGTCGGCTACTTCGACTACCGGGATGTGGGTGAGGTGGCGGGCGAGTTCAAAGAGGTTGCGCTGGGCGGAGGAGGAGGAGGAGGGGATGACGGTGAGGTGCTGGCGTTCTATCACCATTCCAGCGGGAGGAAGGTTCCGGTGATGGAGTTGCGGAGGCATTTGGAGGAGCGGGAGGGGGTGGCGTTTGAGGAGGTTGAGGTTGCGGAGTGGATTGAGAGGGCGAAGGAAAGGGGGATTGAGGTGTTGGTTACGAATTATTTGGAAATGGTTCTGGGCAGGGGGGAGAGGATGGTGTTTCCTTACCTTGGAGAGACTGAGAGTCAGGGATGATGTCAGGACGTGTTGGAGGTTCAGGTCGGCGTTTGAGGCGTGTTACTTTGGATTCAATGTTGGCGTTACGGACCATGTAATTTCTTCTCTACTTGGGGCGTTTTCAATTTAAAGTACTAATTATCCTACATTCATACTGGTTTAGGAGCTGTTGTAATTAACTGTTAATCGTTCCAAGTATTGACCTGCCGCGGCTTTCATGGAAAAAGATGATACATGATAATTAATGTCGTGCTGCTTGTAGAGATACTTTTTGTTGAAGCTTACAAATGAATTGAACTGAATACACCTGATTTTCATGATACAGCAGTAAGACTGCCTTATGATATATGCCAAATTCTTGGAGTGATGTCGTAAAGTATAATTAACAAGCGACGTTGTTGTGGTGAGATAAACAAGGGATTTGCTTTGGTGTTTTTCGAAGAGAAAGCAATGAAACAGGCCAATAAAATTGGCAATACCAATGAATAGCAATGGAGTTTAACGCCTTCTTAACTTTGAATGTTTGAATCTTCTATCTACGTATCACTAGTTCACTTTTTCGCCGCAGGCATTTGTGGCATTTGCAAATGCCCAACGACAGCCATGCCACTGTACTCTTCTCCTCCCACCTCTCCACCGGTAACCTTGCTAGTGAAGCCATTATTACCAAACTTGGCCGGTGGCGGGCCAAGCGGAATACTCCACCAAACAGCGTCATGCTGGACATCAAAATGCCAATGCTTTCCCGTCCCCGGCGCCACAAAATCCAGCACAAACCCAGACGAGCGATCCGCAAACGTGCCCCTCACCTTCCCACCGTACGCCGCGCGCAAACACACATAATCCTCCGTCAACGACAGCCGCGTCGTGCTGCCCGAAAACACCACCTCCCCGTCCCTCGTCACCGTCGCCCTGATGACCTCGTTCCGCCGCGCGTCCGGCGCCAGCTTGTCGACGCTCCGCAGCAGCGCGAACGTCCACGGCCCCGCGTGCCCGCGCACGTACGTGTTCTCCTCCAGCAGCGCCGGCATCGGCGCCGCCATGACGCAGCGGTCGACGCCGCCGCAGCCCGCAAAGCGTAGCTCCCTGCCGTCCGTGAAGGCCAGCGCGACGTCGACGGCCGCCGACACGATGGGCTGCGCGTGGCCGATCTTCGCCGTCAGCGGCGCGAACAGCTCTTCTTTAGCGGAGACCGCACTGCCACCGGCAACGTTCTTGAAAGTCACCGTGCCACGCACCTCGGGCAGGTCGAACGTCAGCGTCGCCGCGCTGAGGTCGGCGCAGACCTCGAAGGAGGACGAGAACCCCTTGTCGCCTTCACTGCGCTGGCTCGTCCACACCGACTTGATCCGGTCGCCGAGGTCCTCGACGACGGTCTCGGCCGCGTGCTCGTCGAAGTGCACCGCGGCATCGTCGCCACCGCCAGGCAGCTGGGCGTGGAAGGCGACGCGGAGCGGCTCGCGGCCGCGGAAAAGGCCCGTGGCGTCGCGGAAGAAAGAGATCTCGATGGCGCCAGCGCCGCCGCCGGTTGCAGGGGGGTTCTGGTCTACGGCGTCGAAGACCCAGGCCTCCCAAGTCGTTGTGCTGAGGTCGGTGTACTTGGGGAAGATGGGGTGGGCGTGGTTGGTCGTTGTTGAAGGGCCTTGGGAGATGGTGGACGTCCGGGTGACGGTGGAGGTGGTGATTGGGGCCGCCATTGTTTGCTCTCCTTTTTCGGTGTGGATATGCACTGTCTCCTTGCTCTTTTTATTTTTTTCTTTCTATCTTCTTGAGGTAATGTTGCGTTATTCAGATAGTAGGGCGTCTGAAGTGCCAACGGCTGATAGTTGCTTAGCGCTTGCCCGTAGACCCGTCTGGCATCACATGATATGTATGCTCTAGAGATCGGAGGCTGGGCGTGGAAGGTGCACGGTTGTTTGTTGTGGCTTGAGACCGATGATTGGCGATGTCGTGTCGCTTTCGGTCGTTCGGAGAATTTCGGTGTTGGATCAACACCACGCTGCATCCGTACAACAACGGCTCAATGCGGATCATGGCCGATTTTATCCATGATGACTTTTGTTTCCTAAGACTTCTATGGGTTCATTTCGTCCGGTCGCATAATCGTGAAGCCCCAGTGCTATACACTTGTTCGGTCTGTGTGGAACCGAGAGACAACGTAGACAAGCAAATTGAGATTCCGGTGTCTTCTTTAGAAAGATAATAGAACAGCACGAGCGTTAGAAATGGACCAAAATGATGCACTAGTGAGAAAACAATGCTCTGAGAAGTCAGTGATTTGAAATGGTGAAAGGATGGCAGTAGCTCGCCAGAGGTCCCTGGCGAACGGGACAACGCCAACTGCACGAAGTTTCTGAAAGTACTCTGATGAATATTGAAAGATCGGAAGGGGCATATCCGTAACTTTAAAGGAGTGCTTAGATCGTTGATAATGTAGTGGGTGGGAGAAAAGCGGGCCGGCCCGCTCGAAGCTATGCCAGTCCTCAAGAATGCCAGCCATGAAAATATGCGATCACTTGAATACTTCACAATCAATTCGGAGATAGGTTATCAAAAGGGTTGAAGACAGATCCAACTGCCGCAGATGATCTCTTTCAGCTGATCAATTCAATTTTGCATCCGATTCGGCTAAAGACTCTAGAAGAGGAAGCAAGGCTGGAAGCAAAATCTTAAAGGCTTTGAGACCCTGATTGACCTTAGCTATCTGGTTCGAAAGCCTTATAATCGTCGAGAAGCATGCATTTATGGTTCTACATGTAGCGTGCAAGGTAATCCAGTGCGGACTTGCACCATACAACGGCATTATGGGGAAATAGTGAAAGCGAATCGACAAGCGGCTTTCGCAGGTAGGATTTAAACACCGAGTATATTTTCTGTAGTACTTGGAAGTTCTGACGATCAAGCACGCCAAACAAGGAAGTCATGGTTTTAGACTCTTCGGTGTGGGGCGCTGAGACTCCGAAAATTCGGTCTCACTGACTCATGGTAGGGATCTTCGAATGCATGTACCTAGCACGACCTACAACATGATAATAAATACTCGAGTATCTATGCAGGCTTGCGCCTAATTAGGGAGCCCTCACACCAGTGGCCTTTCGTGCATCCTGGAATCCTCGCTGAGTTCAGCCGCTGTGAACCAATGGCGCCTCCAACAGAAACAATGCTACAGGTGCGAACAGCGACGACCGTGCCTACCGGCAGAGCAATAGCGGACCGAAGCGAGAAAAAGCCGACAGCCAGGACCAAGACGGACCAAGCGGCCGAGGAGCGTGTCTCGTTTGGGCAATCGCGATTCTGGTTCCTGGACCAGGCCATCAAGGACCGCACAACATTCAACATCGCCATCCTCGTGCGGCTAGAAGGCCGGCTACGCGTCAAGGATGTGGGGCGTGCGGTCGAACAGGTTGCGCAACGGCACGAGGCGCTGCGCACGCGCTATTTCGCCCGGGGCGAGTACGGCGAGCAGGCCATGCAGGCCATTGATGCGTCGGCGACGGTGCCCTTCTCCTGGCGGCAGATCCAAGACGAAAGCGAGGCGCGGCAAGAGCTGGACGAGCTGCGCAACCACGTGTGGGATTTGAGCGCGAGCGAAAGCATGAGAGTGTCGCTGCTATCGCTGAAGGGGGACAAGGTACACTTCCTCATTCTCGGCTGCCACCACATCAACATGGACGGCATCAGTTTCCAGATTTTTTACTCGGACCTCGAAAAAGCGTACAAGGGCCAGAGGTTATCGACACTTCCGCCCCCGCTGCAGTATCGCGGCTTCGCGAAACGCCAGCGTGAGGCGTGGGAGACGGGCAAGATGGATGCAGATCTGGACTACTTCCGGGGAATCGTCCCTAAGGACCCGAAGCCGCTGCCTTTGCTGCCTTTCGCAAAGGTGAACTCGCGTGTTCCGCTTGAGAAATACAGCACACACAGGGTAGATGTCCGTATCGACGCCGACCTCACCGCCAAGTGTAAGGCCACCGCACGCCGTCTGAAGTCGACCACTTTTCACTTTTATCTGGCGGTTTTCCAGATTTTGATCCAGCGCCTCGTCGGAGATGACTGTAAGGAAGTCTTCGTTGGCGTGGCCGACGCCAACCGCACCGATGCCAAATTCATGGGCACGCTGGGTTTCTTTCTTAACCTCCTCCCACTACGCTTCGCCAGGGACGATGCGGCCAACTTCGCTGAGGCAGTGCAACAGGCCCGCGACAAGGTGTACGGCGCTCTTGCACACTCGCAGCTGCCTTTTGACATCCTACTGGAAAAACTCGAGATTCCACGGTCGTCTGCCCACACTCCGCTCTTCCAGATCTTCGTCGACTACCGTCAAGGAGTGCAGGAGCGCCAAAAGTATATGGGCTTAAAGGCTGTCGGTGAGGACTGGCATTTGGCCAAAACTGGTTACGACGTCTCATTGGACATCATCGAGAACGCTGCCGGAGATGCGAGAATAGAGATCAGACTTCAGGAAGCGCTCTATTCCGAGGCCAGTGCACGCCTGCTGCTGCAGGCCTACGTCCACCTGCTGGCACAGGTAGCAGAGAATCCCGAGGTTGACTGGAAGACTCCAGAGATTTGGCCCGCAGAGGTCATCGAGAGGTCCTTGTCCGAGGGAAAGGGTAAGTCAATATTCTCAATAATTACTGTCCGCAACGCTGACAAGAGAAGGCAAACCCATCGACTACACATGGGCGCCGACCGTCGCCCACCGCATCGACGAGTTCATCGCCAAGCAGCCATCAGCCCCGGCTCTGAAAGACGGCACCAACTCCCTCACCTACGCCCAAATGGACGACCGCATCAACGCCATCTGCGCCGCCTTAGTCTCGGCCGGCGTGAAGACAGGCGATCGAGTCGGCGTGTTCCAAAAGCCCACCACAGACTGGATCTGCTCGCTGCTCGCCATCTTCCGCGCCGGCGCCGTCTACATGCCACTGGACACACGCACCCCAGTCCAACGTCTAGCCGCCATGGTCTCCGACGCCCAACCCGCCGCCATCCTCGCCCACGATGAAACCTGGGCCGACGTGCCCGCCGTCGCTCCGCACAGCGCGAACATTAACATCTCCCACATCTCCCCCGCCCCCGCGCCCCTGCCCAACCTCGCCACCCCCTCCAGCCCCGCCGCGCTGCTCTTCACCAGCGGCTCGACCGGCACCCCCAAGGGCAGCCTCAACACACACGCCAACATCATCCACCAGCTCGAAGGCTACTCCACGCACAGCACCCTCGCGCCCGACGTCGGCCTCGTGCTGCAGCAGAGCGCGTACTCGTTCGACAAGTCCCTCGAGCAGATCTTCGCGGCGCTGGCGCACGGCGGCGCGCTGTTCGTCGTGCCCGCGCACCAGCGCGGCGACCCGCTGTCCATCACGCGCATCATGGCCGACGAGGGCGTCACGTTTACCGCCACCACGCCCAGCGAGTACCTGATGTGGCTGCGGTACGCGCGCGAGAACCTAAAGCGGTGCGTGGGGTGGCGGCGCGCGGTGCTGGGTGGGGAGGTCGTGCCGGCGAGCTTGATCAAGGGGTTCAGGGAGCTCGGGTTGCCGGTCAGGCTGACGAATAGCTACGGCCCGGCGGAGATCACGATGGCGTGCGCGAAGGGCGATTTGGCGTACGAGATCGGGCCGGGGGAGATGCCGGTCATGGCGGGCACGGTGTTGCCTGGGTATACGGCGTATGTTGTGGATCAGGAGCTGAAGCCTGTGCCGGTGGGGTGTCCCGGTGAGATCGTCGTCAGCGGTGTTGGCGTGTCGATGGGGTACCTCAACAACGAGGAGTTGACGAGCCAGAAGTATCTGCCGTGTCCGTGGCAGCCGGGGAAGATGTACAGGACGGGCGATAAGGGCAGGTTGGGAGGAGATGGAGTGCTGTACTGCGACGGCAGGCTGGAGGGTGACTCGCAGATCAAGCTCCGCGGCGTGCGCATGGAGCTTGAGGATATCGAGAGCTGCATTGCGCAAACGGCGGCCGGGGCGGTCACCAGTGTGGTTGTCTCGAAGAGGGGCGATGCGGAGCAGGACTCGGAGTTCCTCGCGGCGCACGTCGTTTTGGCCCCTGGTGTCGATGAGAGCATACTGGACCGCCTACGCACGACGCTGCCCCTGCCACAGTACATGATCCCGGCTGTCATGGTGCCAGTGAAGGATCTACCCATGACGGCCCATTTCAAGATCAGCCGCAAGGAGGCCATGGCACTGCCTGTGCCAGAGATCAAGAAGGCTGAGGTCGACGTTGGCGCCCTTACCCCCACCGAAGCACAGCTGGCAGGACTTTGGAGCGAACTGATACCCGGCTTGCGGAGTGTTGACGCCACCTCACCCTTCTTCCTTGTCGGCGGTAATTCACTCATGCTGGTCAAGCTTCAGGCCATGATTCGCATGAACCTGCATGCCAATCTCAGGCTGATAGACCTCATGGAAAATGATACCTTGGGCAAGATGGCGCGGGTGGTAGAGGAAGCCGCAGGCGGTGCTGCTGCAATCGACTGGGAGAAAGAGACGGCCCTACCAGAGCTACCTCCGAGTGTCGGAACCGTGCCACCAAAGGACAAGGACCTCGTTGTCATGCTCACAGGCGTAACCGGCGTCTTGGGACGAAACATGCTGGCCAAGCTGGCGGCGGACGAGCGCGTCGCGAAGATATATGCCGTTGCTGTGCGCGCGCCGATCGAAGGCCGCGTCACCACCACATCTGACAAAGTTACGATCCTCGCTGGAGACCTGGTAAAGCCACTGCTGGGCCTTGACGACGCGGACTTCAAGACACTGAGCGAGGTGGACGTCATTTTCCACGCCGGCGCCAACCGCTCTTTCTGGGATTCTTACTACGAGCTGCGGGCAACAAACGTCTACTCCGTCAAGGAGTTGGTCAGAATAGCCGCACCGCGCAAAATCCCCATCCATTTCATGTCCTCGGGCGAGGTCGTAGCGTACGGCTCTGAGACTCCGCCCGTGGACGGCTCCGACGGCTATGTCAGCTCGAAGTGGGCCGCTGAGAAGGTGCTACAGAAGGCGGCCGCCCAAGCAGGTATCGAGGTGGTGGTGCACCGACCAATGAAGTCGGACGAAGCTGGAGCGGCGCCGCTTGAGGCTTTGCAGGAGCTAATGGCGCTGGCACGGCAGATGGGAAAGCGGCCAGCGCTCCATGGATTGAGCGGCACGCTAGCTATTGTTCCTCTGTCCCAGATCGTGGATGCCTTGGCCGAAGATTTGTTTGAGAGGAGCTCGGGGGTCAAGCATTTGAGTCATGGTAGCAGCTTCAACGTGGATATTGCCGAGTTCGCGACGGCTGTCGCGAAAGACGAAGGGATTATGAAGCTAGAGGGTATGTCCGCATTGAAGTGGACAGGCGTTGCAAAGAAGATGGGGTGGAGCATGTTTATGTTGGCACAGGAGATCTTTATGGAAAAGGAAGGCGGAAGAGTTGTTTCGAAGAGGTAATGAGCGAATTTATAGCATACCAGCATTTACCAAACATTTCCGAGAACTATTCCTGCGGCTTCCGCTTTACCAATATTGAAAAAGGAAATTAGCGTGTTGATGTAGTGGGGGCCGAAACATCTTAGCCAGTGATTGTTTGTTGGTGCCCCGCACAGGATTGCTGACGCTGCAGATTTTCCCCCATAAGTCTTATCATCTGCTCGCCCGCTGTCGTGCACAAAACACTTCCGAAACTTTCACAGACGTCTGAGAAATAGCTTCATTACCGTTTACTCGCAATATTTCAGCTCTCGTTTTCTGCAATAAGGCCAGAAACAATGGCGACCTCTTCCTCGCCACTGAGACACAGGAAATCTATCCCACAGTTTATGAACCATTCCATTCCCGGGCAGAGAATCCTTCAAACGCCCGAGCTATACTGCATCTACCAAGCACGTAGGAAAAGCTTACCAGAATCTTTCAAGACAAAGCTGGATCCTACGTGGATCGCACAACCGGCAGAATCAGAGTGTTCAGACACTAAACCTCGAACCCAAGCGCTAAGTATCGTCGAATGGGGAACCATCGAAAGTGTGGTACCCAAACAGGACCGTTACAACGGGGTTGCTGCAGACGCACCACCCCTCGATGAAAACCAGCTGTCGAAGATCGACTGTGAATTCTGCCAAAAGCCTATGGCCCAGGGCCGGTGGCGGATAGAGAGAGAAGCGGAGGATTCCGGAAACACCTGGCAGTACTATACCAGACCGTTTTACGAATCGTGCAAAGAGCTCTTCCACGGAGCTTGTACATCATGCGAATCTTCTGACCAGTCGGAAGCGGCGACGGACCTGTGCGAATTCTGCAGTCACCTACGACTGAGGCATCTCTTCTCGTTCATGCCCGAGACCTTTGTGATGTGGCTTTCCGACACATACACAGGCGACGAGTTGGAAACGGACCAGCGAAATTGTTCATTCTGCCGCCTGGTCGCAAACGCTCGAGAGATGCATTGGCCATATATAGAGCGAGGGGTATTCCCTCTCATGCGCCTCCCTCACGGCATCGGGAACCTGGACTTCAATTCGGAATACATGCAGAACCATCCGATCACGCTCCAACACTACGACCCTCCCATATTTGTGGATAGCAGTGCCCCAGCCGAGTCCAAACAAGCTGCGCTTGGTGATTACCACACCTTCCATAAGGAACTGATAAATGATCAAAGCTGGGCCCTTGCGCGGGCCTGGATTGAAGATTGCTGCTCATCGCATTCTGAGTGCTCTATCGAGAAGTCAACCTCGGAAATTCCACATTTTAGGCTTATAGATGTTCAGGAGAGGCGTCTCGTGAAAGCCTCTATATTCTACAGTTTTGTGGCGCTGAGCTACGTCTGGGGCACCGACAGAAATCCTGCCTGGATACAAACCAGGCTATCCACCATCGATGAATTGGGGAAAGAAGGGGCGTTGGACTCTTCGAGACTACCACAGACAGTGGAGGATGCTATCCGAGCGTGTGACAAGCTCGGAGAGCGTTATCTCTGGGTCGACCAACTATGTATCGTTCAGGATGACCTGCACAACAAGGAATATCACATTGGCCGAATGGGTTCAGTCTACGCGTTAGCGAAGTTGGTGATTGTTGACTGCACCGGCAGCTCCATGAACGACGGCCTGGCAGGCATGAGCAGAGAGCGTTGCATGCCTTCAGACACGACGGTCGTCGAGGGTATGCGATTCCACTTCGCCGCCGGCGACCGCAGAAAGATTGTCCAGGGCTGGACATGGGACTCCAGGGGATGGACGTTCCAGGAGGCTGTTCTTGCCCGGCGGAAGCTTTACTTCACACAGACCCAGATGTGCTTTGAGTGCAAGCACCACAACAGGCACGAGAATCTTTTAACAGATACATACATCATGGCGAATCACACCAAACACGGGGCCCTTTCGTTCAGCTCTCTAAACGTGCACAAAGATCTTCAATATTTGCTCATGCAGTACCGAGACCGGCATCTGACCAACGAATCGGACGCCTGCTACGCCTTCTCTGGCATATTAGAAGCTTCTCAAGGTGCAGGAAACTTCATATACGGGCACCCTCTGGCAAACTTCGACGAGTGGCTGCTCTGGTTCCCGGCGAACGGAGGTTTCGGCAGTCGCGAGAGTATATTGAACCAGCCATCAGACGGAGCCGTATTTCCTTCTTGGTCCTGGTCTCACATGCTTGGCAGCGTCTACTTCTCAGACTACGAGGGTTTTTGTGTCCCTCTAGTGTCGTGGGCATACCGGACGACGAGAGGTTGGCGGCACATTCGGGCTTCTTCGGCCCATGGAATTCGTCGCGAGTGGAGACTTGCGGCCGCTATTGCCTGGAATAATGGCTGCATTTTGACAAGGTCACCACTCCCTGCCATCACATCTATGGACTACGGAAACTACTCCAGCTTGTTGGAGAAACGGTGGCCACGTTTTGAGGACTTTTGGGACGAGGCGTACGGCACATGGCCATCCGCTGCACTTGATGAAGCGGCCCGGCCAGATGGATCGCCTCATCCCGGGCAGCTTCTTACAGTTGCTCAATCTGCTAGATTTGGTCTGGATTTTGGCTGCCACACCGCGGGAGACCTCCGCCTGTCAATCACAAATGAACGACGGGAGATAGTTGGTACGCTCTACGGGAGTGACCCCCGAGTCAAGCGCGATATCTTTCCTGCAATGTCAACTACTGGCACAAATCATGAATTCATCGCCTTGTCCATCAGTTTGTTGAGTCAGGGTGAAAACGGTGGTCTTGGTTTTCCATGGCAAACAGGCCATGAAGGCGAGACCGGCATGTATTGTTTCCAGGATTCAGAGGGCGTAGAGCGCTCCGAGGCATTCCAAGTGGCTGTGATGTTGATAAAGAGAACCGGGCTAGTCACTCGGCAGGTCGGTACCGGATGTATTTCTTTGCAGAAATGGGTTGATGCCGAGCGGACATGGGAGCGAATCATGTTGGAATAGCACGGCTGCGATGCTTGTCAGGTCTACCGCCTCAAGCAATGTCGTCATCTTCCGTCCAACGGAACGGAACACCTCTGGTAGAGAGTAGCCACGTGTCAAGGACTAGGGATGCTGTACAATTTTCATAAATCTGCCGCATATTCGAAATGGGGTAATTTCGGCGTAAATACGGGTCGCTTTTGGTAATTACCCTATTTAGAAATTCTCATCCTTCTCAAGCTTCTCTGCTTCTCCGTCTGAGGGCCTTCTGTAAATGGTATCAAGCCAGAAGAGGCTGATGGGGGATTCTTTTCTGTTCATACAGGATAGGGGTTGAATGTGTGGACGGTGGTGTAGCTTAAGTCACGGGATATGACCTCAACAACGCTAGTGTAGTTTGAGTCTTTTTTGAGTCTATCCCCTATATCCTTGCTATATTAGAGTAACGGATACGGCGTAATCTTAACCGATCTATCGGTTCGGGATCCAAGTTACCCGTTAAGCCAAAGGCGAACTCGGATAAGCCACAACCGAATCCGATATACTTTGGCGATCTCAACACATATATACCGCAGACCGTTATTCTAACAGTCCATCTACCTTTCCTTCATTATATCATTTCGACGCACTGGAACATTGGGAATCATGTACATGCAGGAGAGCAATGGGCATTCAGAAGGCTACGGGCCACGTCTGACAGCCCTCTGCATTTCATTTTCTCTACTGACTACAGCTTTCCTTATCGCGTCTTACCTAAAGCGCTGCAGAAAGCCTCAAGCACCGCTGCTTTTTGCTGAACTCAGCAATAGGGCCCGAGCACAGAAACTGACGACCGATGCGGCCACCGTCATGGGCCAAGTCTACGCCATGCTCAAGAACGGAACCCCAATGGTGCGCATCACTACCGAGGACGGCGAGGAAGAGGTTATTGTGAATCACAAATTCTTCAACGAAATCAAGAATCTCCCCGACAACACTCTCAGCATCGTTGAAGGTATCAATTTTGCCACGGCTGGAGACTACTCTCACGTACAGATCCTAAGCCCTATTGGCCAAACCGCCATTCGTTCAGACCTCACGCCTGGCTTACCTCGTCTGGCACCCATACTCTCGGAGGAATCAGACTTGGCATTGGGACGCGTGCTACCCCAGTCCCAAAATCCCACGGCCGTCAGCGTGTATCCGAGCGTTCTCTCCATCATTGCTCAGATCACATCTCGAGTCTTCGTGGGCAAAGACTTGGGCCGCAATCCTCGGTGGCAAGAGCTTTCCCACCAATACTCCACTCAAGCTTTTGAAGCGTCTCACGCAATAAAGCAGTGGAAGCCATGGTTGCGGCCACTCGTTCACCGTTTCCTCCCGGAGATTCGAAAGCTGAACTTCCTATACAGCGAGGCCGTTGAGCTGCTTAAGAACGACGCCATCTCAAACACCAAACGCGAAGAGGACATTCTTACGAATTGGTTAGCAGCCAAATTTCCGGAATGGGCAACGAACTACGAGTTGCAAGCATCCATTCAAATGGAAATCGCAATGGCGGCCATCCACACGAGCTCCATGGCCCTGGCGCACCTAATCTTTGACCTCGCCGCATACCCGGAATACGTGCAGCCGTTAAGAGACGAGATCAACGAAGTCTTACACGAAGCAGGCGGTTTTACAAAGGAAGCTATGGCGAAGCTGAAGAAGATGGACAGCTTTATGAAGGAATCCCAGTGTCGGAACCCCCCCGCATTGACCACCTTCAAACGTAAGGCTCTCAAAGGCTTTACCCTCTCCGATGGTACATTCATCCCTAAGGACACAATTCTCGAAGTCGACGGCGCGAACCGGTATTGGGACTTGGAACTGTATGAGAACGCAGACCATTTCGACGGCTTCCGTTTCTATCGTCTACGAGAGCAGCTGAACGAGCCCAATAAGCACCAATTCGTGTCCTCTAGCAACGAATATCTCCACTGGGGTATGGGACGGCATGCGTGCCCTGGAAGATTCTTCGCTGGGAATGAAATCAAAACCGTGCTGGCAAAGATTCTGCTCTCTTACGACATATCTTTGCCTAAAGGAGCTACGAGGCGGCCGAAGAATATTGTATTCTCAACTCAGGTGAGCTTTTAAACCGTTCCCGCTATGGATTTAGAACTCCGCCGCTAATAGGATCTCTAGGTTATTCCGGATCCTTCGGTTCAAATCATGTTCACACGAAGAAAGACGTTGGAACCCAGCGTATAAACTGTCAGACGTTGATGCCTCAAGAAAAAAACAAACTTCTCTGGAATCTTCTATCATTTACGGATGTACGGAAGCTCCCCTCATTGACACCCAAGCCTACATCGACGAAGGCTGGGGACTCAAGGGACTTGGGACCAGGCAGAAGCGCTTCTGGTCAAATATCTCGTGTATTTCGGAGCGTAGGGAAATGGCGTCGCGTGGAAAAATTGGGTGTTTGGATGTTGGAGCGAACAGCGTTGGCGTATGTGAGCATTCCAGTCTAGCCAAATCAAGTCCTTTCACTCTTTGGAATCAGATGTGCATTCTCCGTGCCCTCGGCATTTTCTGTGATGCAGCAAGATCTACCATGTGCTGATATACCAAGGCCAAATCACCCTCCATCGTCCTACGGTTGGCTGGCGTGGGGTTGGATTGCAGCAGCCGCCTTATTCCAAGGAAGCGGAAGTTTTCGGTGCTGGAAACGCCAGTTCGCATAGGGTTTGTGTAAAGACTGACCCGCGGCATGATCCGACACGCGGGATTGGTACTCATTGGTGCACAACACGGACTCGAAGACGGACGTTCGTCCTTCTGTCTGTGCAATACTTCATCTTCGTCAGAGTTTCCATCTTCGCATTGATCCTCAGCCTTGCCAGGACCTTCTCTATTACCATACTTCATCCTCAATAAAACACTTTACTTCATTACCCACTGGAGGGGTAGGCGCAACATTGAGATAGGCCGCAATCGTTATGGTAGTATAATCTTCAGAGAACCGAATTATGTATTGCCGAGAGACACTGCAGATGATTCGTTGGAGTTCTGAAAAATGTTGTCAACAAGCCGGAAAGGTTGAGCCCTATGTCCGCAGAGTATCAGTTGTTCGCTTCTACACCTGTCCGCGTCTCGGCAGTCTGGAACTCAGGATGGCAGCTCTGGCAATGCCGAACCTGAGAATATTAGAACATCAAGCGATCTGCTTTCCTGAATGATGTGGATAGCGATGTTGATGAAGGTCTCGGGCACTCCCAACGTGTAGACGATACTCAGAGTGCAAGCAGAATGCGCTAACCTAAGAAGGCTATAAGCTTTATCGCGAGGCTTACTAGACCGATAAGAGACGAGTCTGATCGAAAGTGAAAGAAGGTCGTCGGATCGTCTGAGTTGTTGTGTTGGCATAGCTGATTGGAGAATTCGAGTTACAGCAAACTAGCATCGAAAAAGCCGTTCCCTTCAGGCTTGCTAATTGTCGGAAATATAAACGTGCCTACTGTTTCGCTTCATATAGTCATATACATATTTGCAACCAAGAAGTAATCGAGATTTAGAAGAGTGGTCTCTCCTTCTCTTTCAGCAATGAGGCGCTTTTCCTTCGCTACCGTTATTCCCTGAACAATCCAACACTTACGCCAGTAGCTTACGTTTAAAAAACTCGAAATGCGCTGACGAATGGCGCCGTATCTGAATTGATATAACAGATTTACAAATACAATAGCGCGAAAAGACTTGGCCGTGTTTATTACCATATAGAACGAGAGGTATTTATCTCGACTACAGCACATGCTTAACCAAAGGCTGTGCACGTAGCTATTAAGGGAGGACAATTTCGCGTGTACATTAAAAATATGACGGATGCGTCGTCGATAAAGGTTCGCGCCGTTTCCGCATCCGTGCTTGGTGTATTCGCGCAGTTACCGCATTCGGTAGTTTCAGCTCGTCTCCAAGAACAAGATCACGATCTTATTGACTTCTAGAACTACATTATTTGGGACTAAAGATGAACCAACACCGCTCTCCCACCTGGCTTCATTGCCCTCTAGGTATGCTAGGTCGCTGTTTTTGTGTCCCTCGAGCAGAAAAGACTCACCCAGGGAGTAAGACGTTCCTCACATGCGAAGGAATTTGAACCTTGTCAGATCATATTCACATGTAAGAAGCTCATGATACCTTGAATCATTTCGCACCTTTCCAGCGTCAAGCGTATATATCAAGGTGCGTATTCTGAAGCATGTAGAGTTTGCTATGCTAGTACTATCTCCGAACAACACCTGCCTGAGCACCTCACGGAAATGTCTACTGAAGGCAAGATCCTTCCCAGAAAGCGCCTGATTGTGTGCTGCGATGGTACCTGGCAGACCGGGGACAAAACCTACGGAACCAGTCCATCCAATATCGTCAAGCTGAGTCGCATGATTGGTCGACAGTCAGTGCCGGAAGGAATCCCCCAAGTCGTCTACTACCAATCCGGTGTCGGAACCGGTGACTTCGTGTCTGGTATCTTTCAAGGTTTGATGCCCTAACCCTCTTTCACACTTGCTGTTAACGATTGGAAGGCTCTTTCGGCTGGGGACTTGCGGACAACGTTGCCTCCGCGTACCACTATTTATCGGCCAATTTCGAACAAGGAAATGGGAAGGGCTCGCCTGATGAGGAGGACTCAAATCACAAAACGTATTCGAATGATGAGATCTTTCTGTTCGGTTTCTCCCGTGGAGCTTACACTGCTCGCGCGCTCGGGGGGCTGATAACAGAAATGGGCCTGCTTAAGCCGAAATACTTGAATGATTTTCCAAGAGCGTATGAGATCTACAAGAAACTTGGCAAAATGGCGGCCCCGAAAGATCCTTCGGAATCGCCTATCAGCAGTCCGATATCACGCTATGTAAGCGAGCTGACTACAGATGAGCGAGAGTTCTGGAATCATCTGGCCTGTGACAAAGAGGACGGAAAAACATTCCGTCACGTCAAAATCAAAGCGATTGGGGTTTGGGATACCGTAAGATCAAGCTCCGAAGTTACATACAAACCTCTGACTTGCATACAGGTCGGTGCACTAGGGATCCCGGATAGCCCTTTGACTACCATATTTCCTCAGGTAAACGGGCGCTACCAGTTCCACAACACTTCTCTAAATGGGGGTAAGCTTTGAGCAGTTCGCTTAAAAGACCATTGACTAATAGTTACTTGTAGACATTGAGAATGCATTCCAAGCACTTGCTCTGGATGAGCGCCGGGGAGCGTTTCCTCCAACACTTTGGTATCTTCCCAATGAACACTCGAAGGATGAATTCTCGACAGATGGGTCTTCGAAGAACAGTCCTTGCACCAATCTGAAGCAATGCTGGTTTCCCGGATTTCACGAGTCTATCGGAGGCGGCGGTGTGGGAATTCAGTACTGGTTTCAGCATTGGTTCCCGAAATTGTCAACGATATTCATGCCGGACACATCGGAAATGCACGAAGTGACGCTTGCCTGGATGTGCGACCAAGTCGATGGTCTACTTTCCTTCGACGAGGCCACTGTGGAGTACATCCTTCTGAGGCATGGCAAAAACCGACACAACTGGGCTTCCTGCAAAGAATTCGACATGATGCATATCCTGTTCTTCTTCAGACTCATCCTGTTTGGAGGATCCCGCACAAGAAAACCGGGCCGATACTATCGATCCGACGTCCAAACGAATGAGTCAATCCATCCGTCGGTCTGTTATCGCACCGAGCTCCCCTATCGATACTACATGCCAGCGCCACTTAACGAACGCTTCTTCAGCTTCTACCAATTCGCAGTACCAGTTTGGCGATTCCATGTCCCGCGCGGCGCATTGAGTCTGATAGGCCAGAAATTGAAAGGGCGAATTTCGCATCTGGAAAATTGGTCCAGGAAACAGCAAGCGCCGATCTGGTTTTGGCTCGCCTCTTTCCTCACTATGGTCAGAATCCAGATGAGCGTACTTGACGACATCTGGAACGTATCGTGTACACTGTTGTGTAACTCAGGTTTACCGATTGGATGTTGGGAAGAAAGGAAATGGGAATGGAAGAAACAGGAAACTGCGTATACTCAAGAAAAGCAGAAATTTCCAATGAGGATGAAGGCACTCTCCTTCTTATTTTTCCCTGTCGCAATTCCTGTTTTTTGCCTGAAACTGATGGTCCATTTGTTGGAGCTGCTGTTCGCCTTTGTTTATGATTACCTATCGAGGCCAGTGAGCGTGTTCACCCTTCCTCTTTTGCTGTTCGCCTTGACAGTGGGCCTTTTCGCTTTACCGACTCTTTTACCTGTTTCTCTTTTCTCAATACCGTTTATCCCTGTACTATTGGGGTCATCCCTGATCATTGGTCTTGTTGCACTACCCATCTACTTCTTTGTATCCTTCTTAGCTTTTACGATTCTACGAATCTGTCCCAACGCACTGGGTTTTACTCCCCCGCAACGAAACCATTTCCAGCAGGGGAAAGCAAAGTGGGTCCGAAAGGAAGTCCAGCCGGTGCTTCTGAAAGCGAGCCAAGACAGAGTCGAGCTTCCAGAATGGATCATCCGTCAATCCAGCGAGAAGATCAATTTCGAAGCCAAGATACTTCCAAGTGATCTTGAAGAGGAACCCCCCAGCGGAACACCGGGTGACAATCCAGAGAACCAGCAGTACTGGACCCGGACCATTTGGCCTCTGCCAAACCCCGTCATCCGCCGCAACATCAACATGAGGCCCTACTGGAACGACCTTGAAGGAATGTAAATTGAACAATGCTCTGACTATCCTGTAACGGAGCTCAATCTTGCATGCATCTCTGGTTTAGCTATTATTACAGTCTTTTAAAATCCTGTAGTATTACGGTATCAGTCTTTAGCACAATAGTAATTATTCTATATCTCACGTCTATTTACATATCCGTTAACCAATTAGTTCAAATATTATACTTAAGCCTTCTAATAGAGTTAACGTAATTCAATTGTATACGATACTCTACGATATATATTTTTTTTCTTCTTTACGCTTCGATATATTTGAGCATAAAAAACGCGTGGTGTCTCCAGCCTAATTGTCAACTATTTTGTTACTCTTTTTAAGTTTTATCTCGTTCTTAATAGGCTTTATTAATTTTGTAAATTTTTATTATGCGAAAATATTATAACTGGCAGATAGGACGAAGAATAACAGCTTTTGCGATCTAACGATAGTGACCAATTGCCTCCTCTCTTCGGCCCGATCTGGCCTTTTCTCCCCTTTCGCGCCGTGTTTCCTTCAATCTGTACGATGGCTGACAAAGAGCAAGTAAAAGATTAATAGACGCCAGAGTCCGGCTTTGTAGCTTACTTTCGTAAGAGCCTCCTGTCCCTTAATCTACTTTCTAAACATGGCCTCCATCTCACGTCGTACCTTCACCGCCTGTGTCTCGTCATACTTGACGTCCTTCCAGCTCAGGGCTTGACCTTTCTTCACATCACTTTGAAGCACAAAGCCATGCGCCAATCCAATCGGCAGACCCTGCATTTGGATAGAATCTGCTGCATTCATGAGCTTTCCGTAAACGGTAAAGCCGCCCTCCCCATCAAGCGTCTCTCCGGTCTTGAGGTCCCGCTTCGCCGTGGCAACAACGTCAGCGGCCCACGTCCTGGTCTGCCCAGTAGGCTCACCTCGGCACATTATGTTGGCTATCGAAACGCCGAGCTCCAGGCCGATAAGATGATAGGGTTTGTACTGCGCCGCGTACCTTCCACTGCTGTCGGTTTCCAGCCCGTATTGCTTGAAGCACTCTTTCTGGTAGTCTCCAGGAGCTGATGGATGTCAGCAAAATTCCAGGTCATGGATGCGTTCCCACTCACCTTCAATGACAACGTAGACGCCCCAGCGAAGGTCGTTGAATACGGGCCGTCCGTCAAGCTCCAAGCAAGACACCACCTCAACCATGCCTTTCTTGTCCAGCTGACCGCCATCTGACTTGGGCTTCAACACCTCGGGCAGGTGGTGCTTGCCACAAGGCGGAAAGGCCAGGCCATTGCTTGGAGGGGATAGCCCGCAGCCGTTTGCCACAGCAGCCATCTCCAATGCCGACTTGGTGCCGTCGAGGAAGGAGTTGAACATCTGTGGGTTGAAATCGCCAGATGCCAGCTGCTCTTTTGTGAAGCCGTAGTGGTCCCAGACAGTGTCGGGAGTTGAGTAGTGATACTGTGGCAAGTGCTTCGTCCCCTTTCCGGCACAGACTACATCGCTGCATCATGTTGGCATAAGGAAAAATTGGAAGAATCATCAACTTACAATCCAGCAGCTCTGGCCCAGTCAACCAGCTCGGAGATCAATGCCGGTTGATCTCCGTAAGCCATGGAGTAGATTATGCCTGCCTCCCTGGCCTTCTGGGCCAAGAGCGGCCCGGCGAGCACGTCGGCCTCCACGTTAACCATGACGATGTGCTTCTTATGCTCGCAGCACTTTGATCCGGTCAGCTGTTGTCTCATGGCAGACGAGAGTGACAGACCAACAATGCATGTTTGATGCCGGCAGCTGGATTACCCGTCACCTCCAAGATGACATCAATGCCCGGCGTTGCGATCAGCTTTGCCGAGTCCGTGGTAATGACAGTTTTTTCAGATTTGAGACCATCCTCAAGGGACATGGTTCCACTTGCATCATACTTGTCGGCTGGAAACCCAGTCCGTTTCAAAGCTGCCATCGCACGCTCTGCTGACAAGTCCGCAATCCCCGCAAGGCGCATGCCAGCAGTGCGGTGCGATTGCGATATGCTGAAGCCCACGATCAGTCCTGATTAAAGGGATGACACTGATAGCACCTACAACATGGAGCCGAACTTGCCGGCGCCAATGATACCGATTTGAATCGGCTTGCCGGCTATCTCCAATTGAGCAAGTTTGGTGGAGAGACTCGTCATGATTTTCTGATTTTCCGATTTTCCGAAAGACTTTTCCGAAAGAAACAGAAGGTTTGATTTTGGGCAAAGCGCTGGGAAACTGCTTGGGTCACTTTAATATTGCGCTTCGGCTCGTAGCAAGGCAAACGGCTTCCCCGCATCGGTAATGCCGGATTATCCTATTTGGTGCTCAACATCGTCACCTGCGTGCGGGGAAACGCATCATGCCCACTTTTTTCCCTGAAATTCCATGCTCCTGCGCATACCTATTAGAAACTTTCGTTTTTGCGTATCTCCTCCGTTGAAGTTAGCTTAGCTACACACGGCTGCAATATGCATGAGATGTGGCAGCAAATGGCGTTTTGTTAAAACGATATAGCGAGTCGCCCATTCAATAAGCCCCCACGAAAACATTCGGCCACCTTCTTGCAAGCACCATGAGCTTACCCCACGCCTTCTGACCAGTAGCCGATACTTGTTTGAACTGATATATCATAGAGAGAGGAGATGGTTGCCCCGAGTCTAATTAAAATAAGGCACTGGACGGGATTTCACTCACCTGCTTCTTTTCCTCTTAACTCCATCATCAACCGGAAGCCCGCCGTAATAATAAGATACCAGCTGTAGCCCGTAGCCGTTTATCGCTGGAACTATTATACGGAGCGTCGATCGAGGCTGTTTCTTTAATTTCCAAACAAGGACAGTCTTTGCCATGAATTCTCTTCCCGAGCATCTTGCATGCACTGCTGTTATCCTGACCGTCGAACTTGATTCTAGATCTTTACGCCAGTTGGAAAGGAAGTGGCGGAATAGAAAATTGGGATACATGTATGGGCCCTGATTGTGGAGGGAAGCGGGAAAGCCAGCACAATAGCCGGTACCGAACGTCGTCTTGGCGGAAGCACCTGTATTGAAACCTGGATGCCAAGTGGGAGCAACACCGCATGAGGCAATGACCATCAGCTGCGGGGGGCCGTAAGCCAATCCAAAACCTTAGAAAGCTGAATAAACGAGACGTGGAACGAAGTACGGACGACACAATCAGGCCGACCAACGCGGCCCCCAAAGGCATTCCATCGGAACCCCCTAAGGAATCCATCGGAACCCCCTAAGGAATCCATCGGAACCCCCTTCGCCGAGCAGGCCAACCGGTCCGATGCTACGACAAACCTTTAGCATTGGATGACGTGCTACACAAAGTACATTCTGTCGTGACAGCAGGAAGAAGGCGGCGTCAGCCACCTCAGCCTCAATATTGAGACAATTATAGCTACTTTCCACTTTCAACTAGCCCAGAGGCTAAAGCTCTACTGCCAAAGACGAGAGAGCATGATGGTTAACAAGGTCTACTGCGAAGGATAGAAGAATATGCTTACCTTACAACAGTATATTACCAAAAATGGCAAAATATACTTACGTTACAAAGCTCTCCTGCATATCTGAATCTGAGGCAGCTGAAAACACCAACACAGTCAGCTATCCACGACAAGGCCCGCTATTGGATCCTCCCACTTGGTATCAACTAACTCCAACAAGCCCCCAAGGCAGCTATCTGAACGTCCTCACGCCACCCATAGATATGGCGCAAGTTAAAAACCCCAGCTTAACCACTGCAAGAGAACCATCCCAAAGCATTCCTCTTCCACAATCAAGCTCTCAAGATGATGTCTAGCATCGCAATTCTTCTTTCACTTGGGCACCTGGCCGTTGGGGCTGCCGTACCATATTCCGACCTGCGAGCCCTGCTCCAAAACTCGAGTGTCCAATGGTCGCCCCAGACCGAACTCTTTTTCCCGAACACGTCCGGCTTTCAGGACGCAACTCAGCGCTGGTCCAGCTTTGAGGAGCCGACATACAAAGCTGCGGTCCGGCCTGGAACTGAGCTCGACGTGCAGACGGCGGTAAGGCTCCCTCACGCTCCCCAAAAGATGACAGGGCTAACGCGCTAAAGGTCTCGATTGCAACCCTGAATAACATCCCATTCCTCGCCACTGGAGGTAAGCATGGCTACTCAACCTCATTCGGCCAGCTGGACGATGGCCTTGCCATAGACCTGAGCAACTTCAACACCATTAATGTCAACAAGAACGCAAGCACCGTGACCATCGGTGGGGGCGTTCGCTTCTCCGACATCTTCGACCCGCTGTATGCTGCTGGCAAGGAACTCCGTAAGTTATTTGCTCCGCCGCATTGATAAAATGCTGACACTTCTCCGCTGCAGAAACTGGCTCTTGCCCCTGCGTTGGTACAGTTGGAGCCACTCTCGGAGGGGGCGTTGGCCGGTACCAGGGCGTGCACGGGCTGATAATCGACGCCCTGCTCTCGGTCCGGCTGGTCACGGCCACCGGCAAGCTCATCACTGTGTCCGTCGACTCGAACCCGGAGCTGTTCTGGGCCCTGCGCGGCGCCGGCATGAACTTTGGCGTCGTCACCTCGGCGACGTACAAAGTGGCTGACCTGACCAACGGCGGACAGGTATTGAGCGCCGACCTGATCTATCCGGGTTCCGTAAACGGTTCATTCTTCGAGGCGCTGGAGAAGCTGGCGGCGGATCAGCCGAAGGAGCTGTCCGTCACGGCCGCGTCCAGCTATGACGTCCACACCGATAGCGTGAGCCTTGCTCTATCAGCCTCTTCCTCCCCACTCGCCTGTCCCGCATCATAACGCTAACGTTAATTTCTGGCAGACCATGCTGGTGGCCAACATCGTGTACGCCGGCCCGGAGGACGAAGGCCGCGCAGCCATGGCGCCGTTCCTCGACCTGGAGCCAACCACGCAGGACGTGTACACAGTAGCGTGGAACGAACTGGCCGGCAAAGCGTTCTTCGGCATGGCGTCGCAGATGTGCACCAAGGGTGCGCCGCACAGTACCTACGGCATCAACGTGCGCGACGTGTCAGCTGCCGCCTACACGCGGGCCTTCGACGCCATGGACGCCTTGTACGCCACCACGCCCGCCGCGCGCAGTAGCGCCTTCTCGATCGAGGTCTTCTCCAACGCGGGGCCGATGGCCGTGCCTGACGACGAGACAGCGTATCCGTGGCGCGATTCCTCCGCTCTCATGTAAGTTCCTGTTCCATTTACTATCAAGTTCCCTACTACGTACGAGTGCTGACGGAACCCGCTTTGAAACAGACTGCTGCAATCTTCGTGGACGGACGAGTCCGCTGCCGACGCCGCCAATAAGAACTGCGAAGAGATTCGCGCCGACCTCGTCGCCAGCTCTGGCTACGACGACCATGCCGTCTACGTCAGCTACGCGCACGGCGATGAGACGCCCGAGCAGATGTTTGGCGCTGAGAAGCTGCCACGGCTGGCTGCGCTCAAGCAAGAATGGGATCCTAATAACGTCTTTGGCTTCGGAAATGCCGTGCCTACCAGCTACCCGTAGACACCCCTGTGATCTTGCGGTGCAGATGCTGTATGGTGTCCTATCTCTTCTGAAACCTTTGAAAAAAACTATAGATGGAGTAACACAATACCTTTTCTCACCGACCATTCTATGGATTAGTATACAAGGGACTTCATTTCCTTTTATTTCTTTCTATTTTTGGAAGCTTCTTTTCCTACATAGAACTTAGACACATGTAAATCCATCTCGCTTCGTAATAGATTTTTTTTTTAAGTTTAAGCATTTTGAACATGTGCAATAACAGTTTTGCAGCTTCTAAGAATGTGACGTGACTTGACTAATTCTTTGTCGTGGTAAGCACAGATCACGAGTCTGAGTAAACCAATTCTTATGAAGTAAGTGATCTTCGTATATATGTAATAAGAGGGCAATGAAGGTCTATATGGGTCGAAGTATCATAGGCGAAATATTCAAAGGCCTCGGATTGGTCACCCCTGATGGTAGAAGTTAGTCAAAGTAGTAAAAAATTAGTGTAGGGAAAATAATTGTATTACGATCTCTTCACAGTGCCAGCAGAAATCCGTTACGGCCCTATTCAAACCATTCAGTATAGAAAGCGTAGCTCAACATTTTCTTGTATGTAAATACTGTAGATAGCTTCCCCTGTTGGCGAGACTGATGCTGGCATCGGCCCACTTGGTCTATCTGAGAGTCGAGCAGTAAATACAAGAATATCCCACAGGCTTCCCACAGCAGCCGCCATCTTAAACTGCGCCTCCAAATTCCGCCAGAAGCTCTTTCGAGAAGGGGTAATCAATGTAGCCCTTCTCAAGACCGTTCCGCTCCACGGCGGGGCCCCTATAGAAAGTGCTCCGATCATACGCCTCCCACTCGATACCCTTCTTGATACGGTACACCAGATCCGGCGTGCTGATAAACCTGCGACCAAACGCAATGATGACATCATAGTCTTTGAACCGCTCAACCGCCTGTACAGCAAGGTCCGGCGTGTACCCACCAGCGAGAATTACCGGCCGCTCTTTTCCCCATGCCTTCAACGCAAACTCCAGGTTCTCCTCGGGTGACGGATTTTCCTCGAAGGCACGCGGCTCAACGAGGTGAAGGTATGCTAGCTTCAGCTGAGACAGGCCTGCAATAAGGTGGGTGAACTGCGGTACGGGGTCATCCATCCGCATGCCCTGGACCGAAGCCCACGGGCTCAGGCGGATACCCACACGCTCCGGCCCGATCGCAGCGGTGATGGCTTTGCAAACTTCGAGTGCGAAGCGTGAGCGATTTTCAACACTACCGCCCCAGGCATCGGTACGCTTGTTGCAGGTGTCTTGAGTGAACTGGTCGACGAGGTAGCTGCAATCGGGGTTAGCGAATTGGTTCTAAGTGTGTGGCAATCGCCAGTTCTCTTGAAGAGTAAATACTACAATGGAATGGAAGTCACAAAGGGAGAAAGGAAGAAGGAGTGGATGAGAAGGCGACAGGAGAAAAGAGATGTGACTTACCCATGCGCACCATGCACCTCGACTCCATCAAACCCAGCCACTTCTACAGCATCCTTAGCAGCCTTTGCAAAATCATCCACCATCCTCCAAATCTCCTCCTCACTCATTTCTCTCGGTGTATCGAATCCCTCGCCTGCCGGCACTGGGCTGCTCGACGCCAAATGCTCCGCATACGGATACCCTTCATCGACAATCGTGATTTCGACACCGGGAACCGGCTTGGCGACCCGCCCGAGTGCCCAGAGCTGACACCAGATCTTGCTCTTCTTCGCATGGACGGCGTCGGTGATTTCCTTCCAGGCAGCGAGCTGCTCCGCGCTCCACAGGCCGGGCACGTAGCCGTATCCACCGGCGCGGTAAGAGATGTAGGTCCCTTCGGAAATGAGCAGGGTACCAGGTATGGCAGCACGCTGGGCATAGTAGTCAGCGACCAGCGGGGATGGCACATGGTCCTTGGAAGCTCGGTAGCGGGTGAGCGGCGCCATAGCGATGCGATGGGCAAGTTGTGAGGACCCGACGCGCACGGGATCGAAGAGTCTCGTGTTTTCGGTGGCCATTGGGAGTACGCTTGGAGATTTTCTGGTCTTGGAATCGAGTTTCTTGTCTTCGTTTGTTTGGTTGATTTTCAAGAGCTCTTCTTCAGCGGTTTTGACGGAGCGGCGGAAATGAGGATCACAAAGCTTACTGAAGTAGAGAAGCGAATGCTCAGGGTTTAAAGCGCAATGAATTGTGTTCGAAAGATGAGATGCACCACCTTTTGAACGCGTCTTTGCAGTAGCACTGCCATAGTCAGTTTTCCCTTACACAGATTCATGTAGAATTTCGTCCGAGGATAGGGTGATTGTTCGTAAGCACGGCGGCCCAAAAACGGACCAACATGACTTTGAAGATAGACCGCTAGCCTTGTAACGGCATGTGAGCTCTATGAGGATACACTGCGAGTAATTGCAAGCTTTCCACGTACGTAACTATGGAATAATCCATCTTAGCCTTGGTGGACATCTATTGGCATTGGGAAATGCCCCCGATACATTGCGTGATTCCTCCTGCGGAGTACAAAGTTTAGATTAATAATGCATGCTCTGAGGTGGGTCGCGGAAGCTAGGAAGTCCGGCTTGGCGTCTATGTTCCGTGCGGCTCCTAAGACGATCTAAGGCTACAGTTATCTATTTAAGGCCCTCGAAATAATGGGAAATACTGCTTCTCTGTTTTGCAAACGTCCTCCAAGTCTTTTTCGGCCAAAACAGCCACATCGAAAAGGCATTCTCATTTACATAACCAACTGGCGGTGGATTAGACAAGGCGAAAAAGAAGTAGAGTAGTCTTTACTTGAGGCAATGAACCTGAATATCTGCATTGAAAATTTATTCAAGTCGGAATCACGAGGGAGTGCACTGCGATGACAATGTAGGAGGAACAGCAGCCGAAGAAAATGCGGAGGTCAAAGCTTCCAAGGCCGGCAGTGCTGCCTAGTGCTTACCATCTACACTGCCAAAACGTGCAGCTACCAGGCACCTATGGAAGTTTCAGCCAGTCAAATGGCAGCCCTGACAAGACCATCGTTGGACGCAGGTCGAGAGCCACCTTGGCATCCAGTCCGCGCCAGGCATCCATGGTCCAAGCTAGGTATTAAATAACTTAAATATGTCGAGGAGGCGCTTCTGGATCCAGAGTACAGATTAGCGAGCGTCTCGGTCCGCTCAATCGGTCAGAAGGCTGCATTCCACTAACATCAACAACGTAGGCCATCTCTTTTACTCAACTTCCCATCGCATCATCCCTCCTGACGACCGAACATGTAGATTCCACAATGGTTTGTTCAGTCTGCGGCTCCGGCTCCGACAGGTCGCAGACGCCCGTCGAAGACCCGACCGTCGAAGCCATCGAGGAGTGGTTGCAGCCGCTGCCCCTTGACTTCCAGCGCGCGCACGACGCAGCCATAAATGCGCGGCACCCGGGAACCGGCACCCGCTTCCTCACAGAAACGTCCGCATTCACCGACTGGCTCGACGGACCGTCCTCCTCCTCCGCCAAGACGCTGCTTTGCACCGGCGCTGCGGGGTCCGGCAAAACCACCACGGCTGCCGCCGCCGTCGAGTTTCTGAAAGAGCGTTTCGCTGACAACGAAACCGTGGCCGTCGTGGGCGTGTACTTCGACTACCAGGACCGCCAGGTGCAGACGCTGGACCGCGTGTATGCGACCATCGCGCTGGAGCTCGCCAAGGAGGTGCAGGAGTTCCCGGATGACTTCGTCTACGATGGCTGGCCCAAGCTTGTCCGCGATGACCAGCGCTCGGCTGCGGAGATCTCGACCTTGGTGGGCGCTTTGGTGCCGGCGTTCGGCCGCGTATTCCTTGTCGTCGATGGACTGGACGAGCTGGAGGATGAGCCGGAGCTGGCGAAGAGGCGCGAGCAGTTTCTAGCGGATCTTGCGGGGTGGCAGAAGGATGAGGAGCTGTGGGTGATGGTTTCGTGCGAGTCTGAGGCTTCTGTCAAAGATGTGTTTGAGAGCTACTCTACGATGGAAGTCGCGCCTGATAGAGTGGACTTGGAGCTCTATTGTTGCCATCGGTTTGCTGAGTTTTCCCTCGCCTTCTCGGACGGCCCGGGGTTGCAACAAGAGATTCAACAGAGCCTGGAAATTCTTTTTGGCGGAAAGTAAGTGTCCACCCTGTTTCATGTACCGATTGCTCACTGACAATTGGCAGCTTTCTTGCCACGAAGCTGTGCCTGGACTATCTTGCCGCGACCGAAGATGGAAGAATAATGAAAGAGATGGTTGACGGGCTGCACGATTCCATGCAGGGAGATACTCTGGATGCAGTATATGGTATGGCCATCGATCATATCAACAACCAACCTGCCATCCCGAAAACGCTCGCGCAAAGAACCATAGCGTGGATAGTTCGGGCGAAGCGTCCCTTATTTGCCGCTGAAGTGCTGCATGCTGCAGGGTTTAATGAAGATGGCACTGCATGGTCTGAAGGAGAGGTGCCGCACATTGATGACGTGATATCGTCTTGTGCTGGGCTTGTGTCGGTGGAAGCTGAGACCGAGAAGCTTCGTTTGCTACACAAGAGCGCATTCAATTACTTCAGGGCCAATGCGGATGAGTGGATGGAGCCCGGAGAGAAGGCCATGGCCATGGGGTGCATGAAGTATCTTCAGATGGAAGAACCGGAAGATGTATTTTGCCATGACGTTTGGGACGACATGGACGAGCGAGAGTAAGCTGTTTCTCATTGTACAGGGAACATGTACTGACGAGGCTACTTTCTTGTAGGCGCTATTTCCGTGAGTGGCCACTTGCGGACTATGCACTACACTTCTGGGGGAACCATGCGCATGAGGTGCAAAACGACCCCGATGTCCAGGAAATGGCATTGAAGCTTCTCGACCACAGGCCAGCTCTCAAACGGATACATAATGCCGCGTTTGAAGGCCTAAAGGACCCTAGCGGATACTCCTACTCTTTCGCATGGCATCTACCAATCGGGATTCTGACTCTCTTCGGACTGGATCAAGCCCTAGACCTCTTTCTAGCGATGCAAGTGAACCGAGTTAGTCAATGGATGGACAGGACGCTGAAGACAGCAATGCAACTTGCCATCGACCGCAACGAGATTGAAACATTCAAGATCCTCGTCAAGTTCATCCAGCGAACCGGAAGACTTGGATACTCAGAGTTGACCTCCGTCACTGGACCAATATGGCACGCAGCAAATGCTGCCAACTACAAAGCCGTAGAGGCTGCATTCGATATTATTGATATGACTGGGGAATACCGGCAAGATATTCTTGATCGGGTGATGAACGAAGCCATCGAGAAAAAGTCCATGGAAGCAGCAAGCTTTGTGGTCAGACGGAGCGACTTCTCGCCTTCGCCTCACCATCTGTTCGAAGCAATCAAACAAGACATGCCAGAGCTCATCGAGCTACTTCTCACACGCCCTGAAGTAGACCCTGAGGTGCTCAATGACGATAGAAGGACAACCCTTGCATTTGCTGCATTTTTGGGACGGGCTCGTATTTTTGACATTCTTCTGGACTCTGGCAAAGTGGACCCAGCCATTCGGGATAGATCTGGTTGTACAGCTCTGGCTTTGGCAGTTGAGAGAGCCTGTGGACACCACGGCGACGAGGATTCCCCATTCAAACACATAATTGGTCGCCTGCTCCAGCTTGACACGGACGTCGGGCTCAACGATAAGGACAAAAAGGGCTGGACATTGCTGACGCATGCCGCGCGCTCAGGAGATGTTGGAGTCTTTTCTCTACTGCTGGACCGCCTTGGCGAAGAACTGGATAAGAGAGACCCCAGCGGCCGGTGTTTGGTGTCACATGCTGTTGAGGGTCCCTGGTACAGGATGGAAGTCCTGAGCATGCTCATCAACCAGCTGGGCCTTCCGGTCAATCTTCAAGACAACAAGGGGAAGACGCCGCTCATCTGGGCGGCAGAAAAAAGTGGGATGCGAAGCGAAGCCATCGAATGCTTACTTAAAAGTGGTAAAGACGTAGCCTTGAACCACAGAGACCACTCTGGCCGCACTCCTCTTTCGTACGCCGCTCAAGACAGGGGGCGCGGTTTCGATGCACTTGTAGATGCCGAGGACATTGACCCAAATGTCCAGGATGAACAAGGACGCACTGCACTGTGGTATGCCTGGGACATCGACTCTGCAGAAACATCGCCTTTCACCAAGCTCATACGACACCCAAAAACAAACCCAAACATACAGGATAAGAGAGGACAGACAATCCTGATCCACAAGGCCGAGGCCTCAAGGTCGTGGGGAATGAAAACAGTTTTGAGCCACGAAATGACGGACCCCAACATGGTGGATGAAACAGGCAGAACGGCCCTCTTCTACGCCGTGTTCGACCATTACCAAACCGTCGAAACCATGATCAGCCACCCTGCAACAAATCCAAACGTTGTTGATGCGGATGGGCGCACTCCTCTTTCTCATGCAGCCGAACATGACCATCAGGGTAGCTTTGTGGAGGAACTACTGAAGCACCCAGACACTCTCGTTGACATCCCCGATAATGCCGGACTGACGCCACTTGACTACGCCGGGATGACCACGTTAGCCTTTCTTGAAACTGTCGCTCCGCTCGTAATACGCTTCCTTCAGGAGACAAAGTCTAGCGAGAAACAGCATCGGCGTGCCAGATTCATCCGTGGGGCTAACAAGGCCCCGAGAGGTGGCACGACGCTGTTGGTTTTGGCGATGCGCTACTCCGAAAAGCATCCAGAACTTGTGCAGGCATTGATAGAGGAGCCGGGTATCAACATTAATTGCAGGGATACCAGGAACAAAACACTGTTTTACATGGCGCTTTGGAATCTCGACGTCGCGGCCATGCGTGCTCTTCTTCGCCGGCCGGATCTTGGCACCGGGAACGACACTGACAGGGATGACCTCGAAAGCGCTATGGAATTTCGTCGCGGACCGTCTCTCACGGAGGAGAAGGCCGACATGGTATCTGAAGCAGAAGAGCTTCTGAAACAGTACCTCTCGCGTGGAGCGTGTGTTGGTGGTCGTGTTCTTTAGTTGGCATTCATGTACTGGTGGGTACTTCACTGAAATCAGCCGTGCCATGCATCAATACAAGCTTGTCGGACAACATCAAGGCGATTAGTCGGCACTGGAATCAATGCAGCGTCGTAAATTATCTTGTCTGAGAAAAATAAAACCCTCTTCATTTCGTGTGTCTGCTCTCGGGTTCGCCAAGTCGAGTGGAAAGACGCATGGTTATCTCGGATTAAGCATCGGACCTACTCTCGGCTACGCTTGTCCTTACCGACCCGGAAGGTCGGACCGTCGCATGATCCGGAGCAGTCCCCGGCTGTTACTCTCCTGTTCGATTGGCCACTCTTGTCAATGCAATGCCTGTCGATCGTTGTCAGTTGAGAAAAGTGGATTCACTGTTCGTATGACTTCCCCCACAGTGAATGGGAGTAAGAGGCAAGTGGTAAAACTTAGTTGCTTTACTCCTTGGCAATAGCTTTCAGGTACCTTCCAAGAACGTGGTGCACCTCGTATTTTTTTCAACATGAAACACATCACGGCTAGATGATCCTCCACCGCCTCCCGTCGATTCTGAAGTAGATCTCTCGGTGACTTGCCTTGCCCTTAATGGTTTTATTCCTGCACTGAAAAAGAAAAGGGAAAAGGGCGGTAGCTAATGCTGTGCCAGTAGTATTCTACTAGCATCAATGTGGGAATACCAAATCAGTGGTGCGGCATTTCTCCCAATGATCTCCTACGAAATTCTATCTAGTGTACGCGATCCTGGCCTCTGTTCGTTCATAATTTCCCTTCCAGGAAATGTCTCGCCGCATGCAGCCCGTATCGAAGATCTCATGGCGTGAGGAGAAAAAACGTTGCCAAGTAAATCGAGAGTTTGGTCAAAGCTTCCCAGTGAGTATTTAATGTGCAGGTTGCGTGCTTTGGAGCTACAATATCGCCAGATTGCTCATCACTGCCTTCACTTCTACAAACAACATGAGACTTCAATTCCTCTCTCTTTTCGCCGTGATTGGCCTTGCCTCGGCCACTTGCTACACCGATGTCTACCCCAATACCAATATCGCCATCTCGTGCACAAACGAGAAGGTACATACCTCGTAACAAGAGAGAACTGCAGAAGCTGAACGTCATAGGGCCAATCGGGATTCTTGAAGAACTGCGATGTGCCTGATGAAGGCTGTGATCATGCCAACGGCGCCACTTCTGGAATTGTGAGTACACCGCGTGATCCGTTACCGATATGGGCCAGAATACTGACTGAAATTTGTTGTGCAGACGTACTGCGTAAGTCATCGGCACAAGTTTCATGTGGAAAATACTGACTATGAATTAGTGCCCATCCTAAGGCCGGGATATAACCAGAGGAGAGGAGTTTCTGAGGATGTGGCGGAGCGGATGGCACGCATGTCAAGTAGCGATAAATGCGACGATGAATTAAAACCACCGAAAGTGACGTGTAGCTTTCTACGCTGTTCTCTTCGTTGCTCCTATGTTGTGTATGGTAGTAGGAACGATTACTCAACTGCTCCAAATCCTGCAACCCCGCATCATTTCTCCAATAAAGATGACTTGGAGTGTTATCCTGTATTAGTGATCGGTGCTGTGGCTGACGTGAGGCAACCACTTTCAAAGTGGCGAAGACAGTCAGTGTTCGTTGCTGCCCAGATTGCACCCGATAATGCGGGGTAATGGCCGGGATGTCGCCCTCATCTGTTATCAGACCAATCAGCACCGCCACGATTCCCAAATGCCCTGATATGTAATAGCGCTCATGATGACGATGGTGATGACTTTAACGCCGCTTACTCACGAAGAATGAGATTACTTAGCATTGTAGGTGAACATGTAGCTCTTGTCAATTCGGCCAATATAAATGTGTGCGCCTGATGATTGCTACAAATCGTACTCCAGCATCAACCTCATCACGTCTTCGCTCCATTGACAATTTTAAAGCTCCTACCACACTCAACAACAACGAGATAATCAACAATGGCCTTCTCCACCGCCGACAAATCCAAGCCGTTCCTCCCTCTCGCCGGCAGCGCTAATGATGGATGGTCTACTGAGGATGAGGCAACAGCTACCTGCTTCTGCGGCGCCGTGCAGCTGAAATTTGTGCGTTCTGCGCTCACGCCTTTCCCAAATCAGTTCTCACTCAGATCGCTGACCCTTTCCACAGCCAACCCACGGCCCAGGTCTTGTCAACTCTTTCGTCTGCAACTGCTACGACTGCCACAAGGTTTCTGCCTCCATGTTCGCCTCGAACTTCACCATCGATGACGCCTACCTCACGCATGTGCGTGGCCAGAAGAACCTGTCCAGCTGGGGCCAATCTAAGACGGTCGACTCTGGCAACAAAATGACCAACTACTTCTGTTCCACATGCGGCACCCTCATGTATCGCAAGAGTTCCGGCTTCCCTACCATGAGCATTCTTCGCATTGGGACTGTCGACGACTTTTCATTGCATGAGACCAAGTTGAAGCCTCAGGTTGAGCAGTTTGTCAAGGATCGTGTGGGATGGCTCACTGGAGCGCAGGGTGTGAGGCAAGAACAAGGAAATGTTATTGGGAGGGAGTAATACGGGCGACTTCTTCGAAACCTTCACTCGATCTCACTGTGGCCTGGCAGTGTCTTTCGACTTCTCTGGAGCTGAGCCGGAAGTGTGGGATAGAATATTTCTCACAGTGGCGAATATTTATCCGTTGTTTGTAATGCACACATTACACTGGACCGGCTGTCAAACACATCTGACTTGATATCTTAGTGCAAATCAACACAACTGTGGCGACTAATACAACTATCAAGGAATGCTTTTCATCTCCCTGAGTCCAACACAGTTCTACATGCCTTATGAACTAAATTTGTCTGCCGCTGATGAGATTATATAAAGATTGTAAATGGCCGAAAATCGTTGAATTCGGTACTGATTCAAGATTATCTTTTAAAAGTCAATTGAATGCGACAAATAAAGCTCACTACTCCTTGAAACAGCCGTGTCCCATACTTCACTTTTACAGAATGAGCGCCCACCGTCCCGTGCATGTGGCGACCTGCTCGAGCGCACAGGCATCGCAGGTCCTTCGACCCCTTAGCATGACGCTTCTACCGTATTCTCCATAGGCTGCTTGAGAAGATACGGCCTCTTTGACTGCATACCAGCGGAGTAGGGGTTCTCCTTTGGTCAAATAGAGAAGAATCCTCTCCGCTACCCCTTCGTCTTCGTCATAAGGAGCAGGTTCGCAGCATCCCATCAAGGCAACAACATCGGGTCCTAATCTTTCCCTCTTAGGCTCGATTTGGAGAACATGGTCGCACCGCTCCGTTGTAAAGGTTCGCCACAACATGTCTTGCATCTCCCGGTACCCCAAAATTTCTTCGAAATCGCCCACTTTGGGGTATTGCTTCCATTCCTGAGAAGGCTCGATACTGATGTAATGAGAGAGCTCAAAGTGTCCAGGGCGAGAAGTCCAATACTGTTTGATCTTTCCGATGGTCGCTATCGAGCGTGGTATGTATGTAGCTCCCCGGTGGGGCTCAGCCTTACTAAAATTGTTGCTCGTAAGGAAGCCAACCCCATCCCGGATATTCTGCTTCCATTCTTGCGTCTTCTCGCTGAAAGGAGTACCTTGAAAGATCGACAAAAGTTCTGGAACCACATCTGCTGGGTCCGCATTTCTTCCTATCGATGCCGTGTTCAACAAGACACTCCAGCCGAAGTCGCTGCACAAATAGAACTTCTTCCTTCCTGAAATCGTCTCTGAAGCTTCAGAGTCTGTGTCCATTTCAGGTGCAGAGGACAATAGCTCCATGATGGAGTGGAAGGCGCTTGCTGCGGCCACCCCTCCGTGATTGTTCAGGTTTTCACAAATTGGGTTGATGGTTTGCCAGAATCCCCCGTGGTCTTCATGCAGAATGAGGGGCATTTCTCCACAGGTTTTGACATTCACAACGTGAGCAATAGTAGAACGAGCTTTGCCAGATACTTGATCTGTCTTTGGAGGTGAGTAGAATCGTCCCCCTTCGCTTTCTTAATGCGAGATGCAATGCCGGGAGGAAGAGCACCCTCATCATTAAAAGCCATTTCTTCCAAATTTCTGCCGTAGGACGTGATGCCTCTTTCGTCTACACTCATCCTATCAAACAGCATCGCTGCGGAGTCTATTATTCTCTATAGCGGCAGAGAAATTGGACGATAATGATGAGCCAGACCTTTGACATCTTTCTCATCAGAGGCTGTCTCCGAGAAGCTGATAACTCGGCACATGCGCCGTGACGCGTGGATAGCTAAAGCGACTGCCATTTTGACACATTCCGAGTACAGAGGATTGGTTTCGTCCGTGATCATGCTGACATTCAAAATGCGCCGTAGGTACGTCGTTCCGTAGCCTGCAAGTGGATGCCGCTCTTTCACCTCGATTTGAAGCTTTTCGTCTTTCTCTGGTTTGCACTCCAGCAGAATGGACGTTGCTGGATCTCCGTCATGGAGCCGAACTATCGTATCTTCTTTCAAGCTTCCTGTGCTCCACCAAAACTCATCTGCGTCATTCAACGCACTGGCTGGCTCCTGCGTCCAGTTGATATAGACCTGGACGTCATCAGGAGCACCAAAGACGATTGATTGAATCTTCTCGCCGGTGATCTTGACGGAGAGACCCATAATGAAATGAGCCCAGATGATGAGGATGATGCACCCCATTTGATTGGAGAAGGATACTTTCCGATCAGGAAGGTCCTGAGTGATATGGAAGAATTCGACTGCACCGAGAAGGATGGTAGGGGTGAGTCGACAATAGTCCTGCGAGCGGCGATAATTGGGTATAGAATGCTCAAAGGTTTGCTCAACTCTCTGCACATATCTCCCCCAATCGAATGCCCTAGCCTGAGTATTGCAGGAGCGAACTGTACGCATAATTCCCTCGTAACCAGGATCCAGAAACTCTTTCTCGCGCCTGGCTTCCATTTGTTTTCTGATTGTAACTGAATGAGCTTGGGCCAAGCTCTCTCGGCCTGTGTAAAACGATAGCAAGGACACAAGAATGAAGGTCGCAAAGTACTTGTGTTCATCCTTTTTAAACGCTCGCAACATCGTGGGACCAGTACCCAATCGCAGCTCCACTTCAGACCCATCTGTGATGGGTACAGACAAACTGAGGGCGACTTCTTTCCTGAAATCATCTTCCATGCTCTTTTGAACCTTGGTGTAACCAAACAAGTTGGCTAGATCTTCTTCGACAACTATGTCGGACCCCGCTCTGCTAAGGTCTCTAGCAAAGTTCATCAACCTGCTTGTCGCAATCATAGTGGTTTCCGCAATAGTACGAAGAGGAAGAAGCTTGGTAATTTCGACCGAGAACTGGACATAGTGAGGCATCCTTTCGAAGCGAATAAGCCCGAGTAACAGCGACGTGGGTGTATAAGAGGATGATAACGTGAAGGGGATGTTGAAAATTTATACGAAAGATTCGAGACGACGACAGGAGCGACAATGAGTCAAACGTAGAGGAAAGGCAAGAAGGCTACTTTTAGGTCCACACAGTTATATGAAAGGATATAGATGGGGCAGATAAAAATAGCAAAGATTGATACCGAGGCAAGTATAGCTGGAGATTCTCTGAAAATTGGTAAATTCTAATCAACTCTACTATGCTGAGTCGCCTTTTATATGCGTAGCAAGGTAAAGTTTCTATGACCGTCTAATTAGACGTTGAGGATGAATCACGTACATAATGTTTATTATCGCCACACTCCGCCCCCGCTGATAGCGTAAGCCTGCTTGGTTGTGGTCGAATCACTGGCTGATGTGTAATAGCCGGTGAGGCCCTACTAATATTTTGCCGCCAATGGCTACTCATCATAGATTCTTCGTCATCAGTCATCATGCCAACCCCGCCTTTAATGCACACCCTCTGAGTCGCGGCCCAATCATTCGTACTATTGCTATCAATCACATTGCTACTTAAATACGTAATTCCATGCGAGAGGATGACGATCAGTAAATTTATTTAGATTCCCATCTCTGCTGCCTTCGGTCTCGCGTCCAGCTCTACCGGCTGAAATACTCTACCTGAGTGCTCTAGCTCCACAGGTGTACTACTGCTGTGGGTGTAATAAACGGTACTGCTATGGCCGCTTACCTCCGCAGGGGGTAAATACTGAGGATTTATCGGCTCATGCATCTCGTGAGCACTCGAGGGCTCTTGCTGCCCGCCTTGCTGTTGCTGCTTTCTTCGCCTCATGAGACAGCAGAACATGATCGCCGCCGCCAGCAGCCCAACGAAGCCCACCACTCCCCCAACGACGCCGCCGATAATGGCGCCCGTCGAGACGCCACTACCTCCAGTTCCTGCAGTACTTGTCGAGGTAGTCGCGCTATCCGACGTCGAACTCGCCTCGGTGCCAGATGTTGAGCTGGATGATGACTCGGTAGTAGAATTCACATCTGCACGCGGCGCTGAGAGGGCGCTTGCCGGTGCCCATGTGACATTGACGCTCCACGACGTCGGCTCACTAAAGAAGGTATCCACGGCCGTCACGGCGATAGTCGTCCAGTTGTTCGGGCCCGCCGTCGGCGTGGCATCGCCATCGTCATCGGCGTAGGTGCATGCAAAGTCAGCAACGCCCAAGGCCGGCCAGGTCCAACGCGCGCACCGCGGCGATGCAGTCTCGGTGCAACGCAGCGCCATGGCATCGCTGCGGCAGGCGCTGTCCGTGCAGGCCGTCGACAGCTGTGTGCTGTCGTAGCAAGTCGAGTACCAGTTGCAGGTCGCGTATGACTCGGCGCAGCAGCCGGCCATGCCCGGCGTTCCGGCCGTGGAGCTGAAGAAGACGCAGCTGTAGGCGCCGCCGCAGTACAACGCCGAGTCTGACATCACCTGTTAGTCCCTTGCTTCTGGCCTGGCTCCCGTGGGGCCTTACCAGCGTCCGTGTTGATGAAGCCACAGGTGTCAAAGCTAGCGGTCGAAGAATCCCGTTTCTGCAGTGCAGCCTGGTTGATGGATGGGCCTGGCGTTATCCTTGGTTGAGCCACCGCATGCTTTCCGAGTAGATCTTGGCCATGTTTCCCAGCTTGCGTGATTTCGGGCTTGAAAGAGGTGGCAGCGATGGCGACGGCGAAGTGCGACCACGCGTATAGCGAGGAGAAGGCAACCATTGCTGCAACAGGCCCGAGGGCTGGTGGTTTCGGCGAACACTGCGAAACATGGGGCAGAGCAGGCACCCGCGAATATATAATGAACGGGTGTGGAGATGAGCGGAGCTTTCCATCCTGTTTTAGGCAGGGTCGTTACAGCACATCTTTTTCCGGTTAGCAATGCTCCCGACCGAGCTAGGGAAAATCCTTTGGCGTTACCGAGGGCGCCTACCAATCCGAATTCGAGTAAAAGAGCCGCGATCGTCCCCTATACCGCACAATTTCCTGTAGATCTTCTAAACTGTGTACGTGAAAGCTTGATATTTAGCCCCTATCGATCGTTGCCCGGGGTCATGAATGGGTGGTTCGGAGTCGGCACGGACGCGGACACGCCGTTGCAGCTCGGCAGGGAACACGGAAAGAGATGGAACGAGCCGGAACCATGCATTCCAAGGTCCTGTGGCATAGGAAGGAATAGCAAGATATTATAAGTTCAAGCGCATCGTTGCAGTGCCTGGTAAAGAATTCCAATGTGCCTATCTTTTTGTGGTTGGGTGGGTCGTCAGTTGAAGGTTTTGGGGATGCGGAGAACCCCACTTTTTGACCATGGTGAATCCTTGTCGAGAGATTCGATGGCACCGACGATAACATCAGACGTTGATCTCTGGAGCATATTGCACGTAGGGGGTGTCGGTGCTGGACCGGGTGTACGACAGCGTTCCCAGAATGCATGTGGTGTGAGCCAATGAGTCACAATCTTCTGTCCCAGCAGCTGAGACTCAGCTGGGCCGGGTTTCTTTCTAAAAAGCTTGCAAGGCAATGTTTTCCCACGACGAGATTCCCATGGTGCATACATTCGGAGTCACATCTCGCGCATTAGCGTCCCACCAAAATTTCCATCCAATCTCGAGCTGATTTGAAGGCACAACAAAGTTTTTGGACCGAGGCGCGGCGGAACGGAACGGGCGCAGCGAAAGGTGAGGCACAAATCCACGAGGCTTACAGGCTCCTTAAGCGACCGAATCTCGCCGCACTGCATCTGAATCAGCCTCAAATCCTTACTTAGGCTATTGCTGACTCGCCTGCTCCACAGCCACGGCGCACATACCCCAATAATCAGCCCACTCTCAACCCCGCGATATATTTCGCTGACCCCCAAGGCGACCTCTTTCACTCTCCTTTCTCCTCTATTCCCCTCGCAACCCACCAAAATGTCCGGCGCATACTTCAAGAACGACGGCGTCGACCTCTTTTACGTCGTCGAGGGCACTGGAGCTCCCATCCTCCTCCTCCACGGCTGGACCTGTGACCATCTTGATTGGAGCTGGCAACAACCGTTTCTCCAGTCTCTCGGATTCCAAACCATTGCAATCGACCACCGTGGCCACGGCCGCTCCGGCGTTTTGCCCGGCGATAATTATGGCCCCGAGATTCTCGCCGATGACGCCGCCGCGCTTCTCTCCCACCTTGGCGTCGAGAAGGCCATCGTCATGGGCCACAGCCTCGGAACCGTCGTGGCATCAGCGCTGGCGGTGCGTCACCCAGAGAAGGTGAAGGCGCTCGTCCTTGTCGATCCCGTCTACCATCTCTTCTGGGAGGAGCTGGAGCCCTTCGTCGCCTTTATGTGTCAGCCAAACTCGCCACAAAATGCAGCCACCTTCTTCGACCAGGCCTTCTACACTGACTCCAGTCCGGCGTGGCTGAAAGCCTGGCACCGACACCGTACCCTGGGAAATCCGCCGCACGTTGTCTCCGCCGTGATGACGCAGCTCTATGCGCAGGAGAACAGCATCGGCCGCAAGGAAAATTCTGTTATGTACAATAGGCGGCGGGCTTGCCCGCGCCTTGTCACCTGCATGGAGCAAATGAAGGCAGATTTGGAGCATGAGATTGGTTTGAATCCAGCGACAGATAAAGTTGAACTTCTTCCGTCCGGGCACTGGCATCACCAACAGGATGCCGACGTTTTCAATGCTGTGGTGAAAGGGTGGTTTCAGGCACAGGATCTCCTTCCAAAGATCAACAACTGAGAGGTGACGCTTTGGTTTCGGACGCATTCTTGATCACGGGTCTGAAGAAGTCTCAATTACATCTGAGCAGGCCAGCCAATGTGAACCTCGCCGTCTACGAACAGGCGTGATCCCGCGAGGGCCAGAAATACACTGGTTTGAAAACTGCGGCTGAGTGACCACAGTCTACAAGCTCCGCTGGACTATCAGTTGGCTCAGTACATTAAATACGGACGAAGGCCAGCAACCTCGTAACCTTTTCTTGCCGTTTGAGATCCGTATAAACACAATTTAGTGAAAATCTGGTGTGGTATGCACGCCACGCCGAGTTTGCTCTCGCCCAGCTTGCCATTTTACAACCTCAAGTTCTAATATCGATTGTTGAGAATACTGCATGCTGTTATTCATGGCTCATGAGCCAGCACTCCGCAGCAATGGGGATTGCGTTGACGATGAAATGATTGGTTGGTAGGAACAATGGAGGCGTTAACCTGTTGGCCAATCCCGCCATCTCAATGGTCGATGGCTACATCCATCGGCAAATATGCCCCGCAAAGCTTACGCGCCATTCCTACAAACAGGACGTAGGTGGAGCATGCTCGATAGCGATACGTTGATCTGGTGCATACCCCACCGTGAGGTTACAACATCTTTCCGAGATGTGTAACATCACATTACCAGCCTTATCACTTGACAAATGCGCATGCAACATTCGCAGGCGACAAGCTGACGTGAGAAAAAGGAATCCCACGGAAAATAATTTTCTGCCATACGTTAGTTGATTGGCGACTGCGTCGGCATGGATGCACACGAAACCACGGCCTCCTGATGCCCAGGATATGTCGCTGGTCGTAGCCCCCGGAGGGTGGAGGACTCGAATCGTCTTAATAATGCTCTCAGACTTCTTCGCTAAAAATAACCTTACTCCCCATTCTACCATCTTTACTATTTGACTTGAGGCCATTTTTATAGACTACAGCTTGAACCAGCTGGTCGGGAAATTTGAGCAGAAACCGATGCTAATGGCAAGAGCAAGATAGAGCATCAGCGGCAGAGATTCGAAGGGAGAGGGCCAAAGCCGGTACACACCCAAGGTAATGCTCAGCCGCAGGTTGGGCCTTGACAGATAGACTAGAAGTAAGCTTTCCGAGTTATTGTGTTTGCCCCTCACGTCCATGTTGTTTATTTCATTGATGATGTCTGAGTCGTATCCTACAATATAGGTAGGGTTGCGGTTATACAATGACCATGCAATTGAATAAGATGGCAGCGATGTATTCGTCAGCTGATAATAGTTGTCCCGCGTTTCCGTGGAAGCAGATCTGACCTGAAAACATATTTCACCAGATCCTGCGTTCGTCCATCGACGTCGCTAAACACGGCATCCAATACCAAGACCTCCACGCTATGATGGAGAGCTCGTGCCGGTGTAATTTATCGACCCTGTCCACTGCTAAGCACTTGGTTTCAACCTCCAGAAAGGCTGTCTGTATTCTCGGCCAACATTGTCGACTGTATGAAATTTATTCAGCGAGTAGCTGCAATGTGTAGAAAGCCAATACTGATGTCCTCGATGGAAGCATTGAACCAGAATAGGACCTGGTAGCAGTAGCCCATAGGGTTCTTGAGTGTAAATGAAATCTAGCACGCTCATGTGTATAGAAACCGCATTCTGCAGAAGATGTACTACATACAGGTAGGAGAATGAAAATCAAAGTGGATAGCGCTTTACGTTCGTGTTGTCGGTCCTGTCAAGTCATTGCTAAAAGGGGTGTGGCTGGCGCTTCTTCTGCACGAATAGCCAGTGGACGCTGTAAGCGACTTCCTTCATGATATCCCAGAAATTCATTGCGTCAGCGAAGATCCTCAAAGCTGATCCCAACGAAGTAGGCTTGGCCACGAAGCTCTTTGGTGAGCTATCGATCTCGTCTGCCGAGCCACCCTCACGATCCGTCAGCTCAGTCGCGGATTCTGACAACACCTGCATCGGGTTCTCAATGCCGGCATCTCTGTACCCACGCCATGGGTATGCCCAGAGATGTATGATGGCCGCGATGGCCATCTCGATGCACAGGACCATGTTCGGTATGCCGATATCCAGAGATTGATAGGAAATTTTGCTCGAGGGTTTCATTGTAGGGGAGTCACCCGTAGTGAGCTGGTTGAGTATGAACTGGGAAGAAGAGATGGAGTGTCAGTGAGATGATGTCCATTCTAGGTGAGGTTCCGCTTACTGTCTGCACGTAGCTTAGGAAGACGACGAATTTGATTGCCAGGAACTTCAAGAATGGATTGTGGTGTCGGAGCGACTCCTTGAATTGGAGGTAGAATTGCATCAGGAAGACCATGGCGATAATCAAAGAAATTATTTGTATGGCTTTGACCTGGTACGGATCACGGCGTGTCAGCAGGTGAGTGGGCCACAAAGTGCGCAAGCCTCTTTTTTATTCCGGTCGTGACAGAGTTTACTCACCCAGATGGCCGCGTGGCTGGTGCTCTTTGATTCGGCGCAGTATGTGTCGGTGGCCTCGGTTATAAACGTGATGAGTGTAGTGCAGAGCTTCACTACTGAATACTGGAATACGCCGATCGTGATGACCTAGAATTTCATCTTAGCAATATTCATGTGCCATCGGAAGGACAGTCGTGTCTTACATGAATATAGGTAACGCCACTCCTGGGAGTCCGGAAAGGGCCTCTTCCCTTGCCACCGGTGCACATGTTCAACCATTTGATTGGTAGAATCCAGCTGCGTGGCTCAATCTCCTTGAAACGTTCCTCCAACTCCTGTGTTGTTGGGGCCATGTAACGGCACAAAAGGACGAAGAAGGATGCAAGCACGAGTGCCTCATACAGCTGGTGTACCGCCTCCAGGTAGACGTGATGTTCGTAGTATTTAATGGCAAGGCAGGAGGTCAAGCCGTAGACTGGGACCATGAAGATGATGCGGACATTTCTGCGATCGGATATGATGAGCTCTGTTGACTGTCGGAGTCTCTGGTGGAAAGGTGAACCTACTGCTTCTGTTCCAGTGGCCTGTTGTAATTGGTGATGTGCCGAAATATGAGGTAAAAGGACAATAGGCCAGCGGCAATGGTGAAAGCAGCGGCCAGAGCGATGCTGAATTGATGGAACGTGAAGCCACCGATAGAGTCCTCTTCCACCACTGTGCGGCTTGTCAGATGACCGGCAGCACAAGACGACGACAGAAAAACTTACAAGGCAAGTCCAATTTAGAAGGTCCGCACTTTCCCATATTGTCTTGCTGATGAAGCGATGTTGTGGCTGCAGAAATGACGGCTATGGCTTGAATTAAAGTCGATGGGCCACGGGAGCTCGGGAGAGAAGCAGCCCGGATAATCAATCAACCTTACTGTAAAGGTTAAATCAAACTAGTTGTCGTGTCCCACACAGCCTCCCTTGTCACAGCCTCGATTGCGTCTGTGCGCTGGTGGCCTAGTTTCCGGGGATACGGGGTATCCAATCCGCGTTCGTGCTATACGCGCATTTCGGATACAGCCGTGCACAGTCGCATAAAACGCGGGTATGGATACGACAGCGTCTGATTGGCGTGCACAATCGGGTATCGGGTTACTATTAAGCTGTGAACCGCTCCCTCTCGTACGAAGTGCTTCCCGACCTCTTTTCCTAAGCTTTCCAGCTGTACACCACGGATATCATACAAACCGAGTGTCGGATACACAGCCTCACGCGCCCGAACCGATGAAGCTGTCAAGATGCATCATAGACTATATATGCCCCGGTGTCGATGGCTAAGTAAGTCGGCTTCATCAAGACATCAACATCCTTCCTTTTATCTTACTCCACCACGTTTCTTGTTTTCCTACTTTTTGTAGGCCAACAATTTTCCAATCTTCATCTGTGCTACCATGCCTCTACCTTATGCTGCGCTTTTACTCGTCCCGTGCCTGCTCTTTGCCGGGCAGGCTTTCTACAACCTTTTCCTCCACCCGCTGCGCAAGTTCCCCGGGCCTGCGCGCACAGCCGCATTCAAATGGCCGTGGTTCTGGCACAAGGCGCGCGGGACCCAGGTTGCCTGGATCACCGAGCTTCACCGGCAGTACGGCCATGTGGTTCGCGTTGCGCCAGACCATCTCTCCTACACCGATGCCGAGGCCTGGAAGGACATTTACGGCCACAAGACACCCGCTGGACGCGGTAACTTGCCCAAGGACCTGCGATTCTACCCTCAACCCGTAATTGGCAAGACAGGAATCATCACGTTAGTGATACACTTCGCAGAGGTTTACCACACTGGCTGACGGAAAATGCAGGGCAAATGACGCCGACCACTCCCGCGTGCGCCGCAGTATCGCCCACGCCTTCTCGGAAAAGGCGCTCATCGAGCAGGAGCCGATGATCCGCCACTATGTCGGACTGCTCGTCGAGAAACTGCGGGATGCAGCATCGGTACCGGTCGGCGACAATTCCATCGACATGGTCCGCATGTTCAATTACACCACGTTCGATATCATGGCGGACCTGGCGTTTGGCGAGTCGCTGGGTCTGCTCGAGCGGGCCGATTATGTCCCCTGGGTTGCGTCTATCATACAAACCATCAAGGCCGCCGGCATCATCGGAACTCTCCAGAGCGCCTTCCCGCTGCTCATGCCGGTGCTGATGAAGACGGTTCTCAGCGGCATGCAGAAAAGCCGCTACAAGCATAGCCGCTTCGCGCAGGAGCACGTCGACAAGCGACTGGCCCGTGAGACGACGCGGCCGGACATCTGGACGTTTGTGCTGCGCAACACTGCGAACGATGCGGCCAAGGGCGGCCTTTCCCGCGACGAGATGCACGCCAACGCCGCCGCTTTGATGGGAGCCGGCACCGAAACGACGGCCACGGTGCTCAGCGGCGCGTGCTGGCTGCTCTGCAACAATCGTGACAAGCTGGACCAGCTGAATGACGAAGTGCGCCAGGCCTTCGGCTCTGCTGACGATCTTAGCATGCAGACTCTGGCGCGGCTGCCGTACCTGAACGCCTGCTTGCAAGAAAGCCTGCGCATGTTTCCGCCGGCGCCGCTGGGTTTGCCGCGGGTTGCTCCACGGGGAGGAACCGTCATTTGCGGAAAGCCGGTGGCTGAGAGGGTAAGATGAACCAGTGACGCTGCCTACATTTACACTCGTCTTGGCACATCGGTGTGTGATCAAAGCTGACTCTTTTTTAGACAACCGTGTACGTGTCCCACTTCGCCGCCTACCACAGCGCGTCCAACTTTTACGACGCCTACAACTTCCACCCGGAGAGATGGCTCCCAGATGCCGATCCGTGTTTTGCCGACGACAAGAAAAACGTCATGGAGCCTTTCAGCTTTGGACCAAGGAACTGTGTTGGAAAGAAGTAAGTCAGCTGGATGTGACGCCTCTTCGAATGACTTGACTGACATACTTCTGCTCGGGATGTAGTCTTGCGTGGCACGAGATGCGCGCCATTCTTGCCAACATTGTCTTAAACTTTGACATGCAGCTTTCCGAAAAAACGGGCAAGAACTGGATGGACCAGAAGGCATATTTGGTTTGGGACAAGACGCCACTTTATATTAACTTGAAGCCGGTTGTCCAGGATGTAAAGGCCTAAGTTGGAGACTGGCTGTAAGCTGGGTATTAGAATGGTTGATGTACGCTATTATCGCTGGTAGGGACCTGGAAAACTATACTAAGATTGACTCTGCAACGTTTTTAGTATAATGTAACCGTAACCGCTTCATCCTACGGATGCGATATGATAGAAATAGTGCACAGCTGTGATTTCTCATAGGTGGAGAGCTACTTTGCAGGTACGATGTTCGGGCCTTCGAAGACGCCACGTAGGATGCACCGGCTAGAACGCTTAGCGGCTCGAAATGCTTTCATGGCTCAGCATGACACGCACATCCGCAAGTGATGGTCAAGGTGAGAAAGGGATGGTGGCGCACTGGTCAGGGCAGAGCTTTTTAAGAGCTTCTTTAGTTCCCAGAGCGCACACTGAAGCTCTTCATGCAGGGGCATATCGGGCACTCAGCAAAGAAAGATTCGATTAGAAGACGTTCCAACGCCGCTGCTGAACTGGCATACCTGCATTGACAGGCGCAAACAGTTGTCACCTGGAAGTAAATATATTAAGAGAAGAACACTCGAATATTAAATCAGTCAGTAAGAAAAGAAAAAGTCCGGGTGCCTATTCCCCACCTCATCCACAGTATACCTCCTCAAGCTCTCTCCCTTTTCCCCATACTGGTCCTTCACCTTCCTCGCATTTGACGCTCTCAAATGAACCATTAACACAGCCGCCGCAACCCCTGCCAAACAAACCCCGCCTAACGAGAGGCTCAACCCCTTCCGATAATATGGCGGATCGTTGAACGCCTGGTTCCCCCCAATGGCCACCGTCTGCGCTACAACATTGACCAGCGCCGCGGCACTGGCGCGAAACGTATACCCAACCTGATTGCTCGCCATCCACACCATGCTCAGCACGACGATGGGATACGCGCAGCATGCAACCAGGCACGTCGCGACCAGCCTTCCCGTGTTGCCTGTCAGGCCAAGTAGCAGGGCATACCCGACAGCCGCCAGGGCGGCATTGACACAGATGACGACGCCGCGTTTTCGGAGCCTGTCGGAGATGATGCATGACGACAGGATGCCGACGAAGGCGGCGGCGTAAACGACGATAGCCATAAGCTGCGCCTGCACTCCGGCGTAGCCCAGGCCTTGTAGTATGGCAGGCGTAAAGTTAGACAGGGCGCTGACGCAGAAGTGTGCGCCGGCGTCAATGAGGGTGATGAGCCAGAACTTGGGGTCTACGAGGACCCTGAGGATGAGCTTCGGCCGGATGCGGCTGTCGCCGGTGTTGTGCATGGCCCGGCTGCGTGCGAGGACGACATCTTTCTCAGCGGCGGTGAAGAAGAATCGGATGCGCTCGGGGGTGCTGGGGAGGAGTGTGAGCACGACGAACGCCCAGGCTATGGGGACGACGCCTTCGACCAGGAAGATCCACTGCCAGGCCGACCAGCCGTTGGCGCCATCGAGGGTGAGCGTGATTGCGTAGGCCAGGAGACCGTTGCAGGAGCCGGCGAGGGCGGTGGTCGAGGCGAGGATGGCACCACGCGTGGCGAGCTCGTTGTAAGGGTACCAGAAGGAGAGGTACAAGACGGCGCCTTGGATGAAGCCTTCGGCGCAGCCAATCAGCGCCCGAATAACCATGAGGGCGGCGTAGCTCTTTGCTTCAACGGTGCAGGCGGTAATGATTCCCCAGATGATCATAGCGCCGGCGAACTGTGGCTAAATCAGCTGTGAAATCCAAACTAGCAACCGGAAAATATTACCTGACGTGGCGGCCCGATCTTTCTTAGCAACAGCGTCCCAGGGAGTTGGAACAGGATGTATCCAACCAGGAAAATGCTCGAGACGTTCGAGTACATTTGCGCTGTAAGCCCGAGATCTTCATCCATGCCAGCAACCTTCGCATTGGCCAAGTCGGAGCGTCCCTTTATCGTCTGTTAACAATTGCCATTGTGGCTGGAAGGCTTTCATACCATTTGAGCTAGGAAAAAGACAGAGCACAGCAGCGGAAGGATTGCAAAGTCAGTTTTCCTCCTGACCCGCACCTCCAGCTTCCGCGTCTCTCTGTCCAATTGGCTGTCACCTTCCTCCACGGCCGGGTCGCTAGAAAGGGGTATCGCCTTGGTGTTATTCATTTTGGTGGGCTGAAGCTAAAGTAAATCTCAACAAAAAATTGCGAAATGAACAATTGGTACGCTGAAGAATTAGACGTGCAAGAGCGCTTCTCCTTATAATAGCCATATCCTCAACAATCACTTCGCACACAGCCTCGATGATTTCATTGCACCGCGGCATTTAGGACGCGTAAATATTTTAGCTACAGGTAAGCAGGTCTCAACTTGAGCCAAAGACAACGGCGGAGGCAGTAGTGTGCTCGGAGGCTGAGCATCAGCAAAACTTGGCGCCAAGGTGCGGGTTGCCAATCAAGGAACCGACTTGCGACGCAAGCACGGAGTCCGTGTCGGAAGTCCGTGTCTGAGTCCGTGTCCGACGTAACATTCCACCACATAACCTTACGCGGACTGCAGCGTTGAGAACTGATTGCACATGAGAGCTGTACAGCCGCGGGGTATGCAGAACATTGTGCAGCATAAAAGACTAGACTATCTTCGAGTCTATGTTGAAGCTTCAGCGGCTTCAATCTTCAATCATGTCCGACGGGAATTCGCACCACAATGGCCCATCACCCCTCTGCCACATCGTCACGCCGGTTGGTATGCTGGGCTTCGGATTTGACGAGTTGCAGACCGCAGACATGCTGGCGAAGCTTGTAGCAACAAACATCCCGACCGCCATCATCCTCGACTCGGGATCCACGGACAGCGGTCCTTCGAAACTGGCCTTAGGATCCATGTCGTGCCCGCGGGAGGCGTACACCAGAGACCTTACAAAGCTTCTGGGCATGGTTGACACCTTCCATGTTCCCTTGATTTTCTCCTCAGCTGGCGGCGATGGAAGCGATAATCATGTGAATGAAATTCTACAAGTCATTGAGGAAATTGCAGAGCAGGAGAAGAACGAGTTTGCTCTCTGGCCTGATTCTTTACAAAATACCTTGGCTAATTATACTTCAGGCACTGCCGCTTCAAAACCGTTGCCATCTTCTCAGGCATCGAAAAGACCTTAGTCCGCGATCGCCTCCGAGCCGGTGCCATAACCGGCTGTGGACCATGCGTGCCTCCCTTGACAGAAGAAGACATTGATTCAGCCCGCACCATTGTCGGCCAGATGGGACCCGAGCCTTTCATTGACGCCATGACCGCGCACCCTGACTTCGATGTCATCGTCGGGGGCCGCGCGTACGACCCTGCGCCCTACATCGCCTACGCATCCTTCCTTTCCATCGGGCTCAAAGACAGCGTGAACTCAACTCCAGTCGAGGCGCTCTTGGGAGGCTTCTCACACATGGGGAAGATCATGGAGTGCGGCGGCATCTGCGCAGAACCGAAATCACACGGCGCCGTTGCGAGCGTGTACCAAGACGGCACGTTTGATATCACCCCTCTAAGTTTGGAGGCGCGATGCACACCGGTGTCCGTTGCGGCGCATACGCTATATGAGAAGAGCCGACCGGATCTGCTGCACGGTCCCGGCGGCTACTTGGATGTCACCAGCGCCACGTATGAGCAGCTGGGCGATGGCAGGACTGTCAGAGTGCGCGGAAGCTCATTTCATTCTTCAAAGAGCGATGGGATGCCGTATCAAATAAAGCTGGAAGGAGCAACGACAATTGGATATCGGTCCATGTTTATGGGCAGCGTCAGGGACCGTAAGACGAACCTTCCGCTTTCGACTTGTACTCTCCAACTACACTTCATTCTTTTACTTTTCTATTCCATGTTGCGGCTTTAACACAACCTTCTCTACTATATTGCTTGATGAGAAGTGATGCTAATCTGAGACAGCAATCCTCATCGACCAGCTGGACACTTTACTCGAGCGAGTCAAGGCCTACGTGGCTGCACAGCACCGCGATCATTCTGGCTGGGAGCTCGACTTCCATGTATATGGAAAACAGGTTCCGCCAAGCTCGGAAATATTCCTGATCGGAGAAGCTCTAGCCTCTTCGCAGCAACTCGCGACAAGTTTGGCATGCACTGCCCGCATCGCCACTACTGTGAGTTTGTATTCCTACTCCACGCCCTGAGAACGAAACGGCTGATCTGTGGAAGCATGCGGCGTACCCGGGACAGAAAGCAACCTCAGGGAACTTTGCGTTTGGCATCGGCGGGAAGACGGAGATCCCATTGGGACCATGCCCGAAGTTTTCAATTTACCATCTCATGGATCTGAGAGATGGGGAAGAACGACTTCAGCCAAGCGAGGAGGCCCAAGATGGTAGCTGTGGTGAATCCTGCAGCACCAGAGCTGCAACCTCCATATTTTCACATACTGTGTCAACTTTTGGTAAAGGAAGAGCCCGGCAGTCTTCACCCCTGGACAGGCCATTTCCTCCCCCTCAAGCCTTGAAGAATGGGATAACCAGCCAGCAGAATAAGCCCATCGCCTCCCCAAGTCCCAGACCATCACACCCCAACAACCATGTTTCCCCCACAAAGCTGGGCCATCTTGCGAGTGTCCTACGGTCCAAGAATGCCGGCCCGTACGAGATCACCTTTGACATCATGTTCGACTCCGAGTCAGTGTACAATCTGGTCCGGCAATTAGGCTTACTGAGCCCGAAGACGGCGGCGGATGCACTAAAGGTTCCGCAGAACGACATCATCTGGTGCGGATTTTTCGACCCAGCCCGAGCGTTCAAGGTGACCATACCGCGCGTGAGAGCTGGGAAGAAGGTGGCCGCAGGGAGCTTTATGGAGGATGATGCGCACGGATCGCAGCAGCATTTGGGGCTAGTGAATTTAGAGCTTTCGACAACGATTTTAGAGGGGCTGGGGAAGTTGGAGGTGGTGTAGGGTGTGTTTTTAGTCCTCTTGCAAAGTTTCCTTTTATATATATGATGAACTCGATTGCCAGAGCTGACAGCTTCGATGATTACTCCTTTTCTCCCTCGCCGTACAGCCGATAAATCGAGTAGATTGACTAGTCGCACGTGTATGTAAAGAGTACTGATGTAGTGATGACTGGTGTAACGTGGAATCAGATAGGTCTATACCAATGGGAGGGTGGATTTCCTTTTGGGGCGGTGATGTTGAGTACGTGTGCGACGAACACAAGCCAAATAGTCTTTTATTTATAGTCATTCAGGATCCAACACGATTGCCTCGATCAAATCAGGCAGCGCTTCTAGTATGGTGTCGTTTCCCCTCAGATACACAACGTCCTCATCCGCGTCCTCATCATTGCCTGGATGATGTTCTTCCAGCCAGGCGGCATCCTCGAAACGCTCTTTTCGATTCCAACCCCACTTCTCTTCTTGTTCAACAAAACGTACCAAAGCCGGCTCAGGCCCACCGTCATAGTGGGTATCCTGGTACAAATCTCGAAGGAACATTTCTTTCAAAGGCATCTTCTCTCGAATCAGCAAATCCAGAAAGCCCTGGAAAAATACAACCCAGTCAGCGCTCTGCCAATCTTCACCACGGTGCAAAGTGGCGCCACAGAAGGATAGTAGTTGAAGGGTGTTTGCACAAGGCTCGATGAAGTGCAGTAACTCCCAGGCGGATGGAATGTTGAAGCAGTACAGCTCTAGGCGCTCAAGGGATGTGAATCGTGTGGTGGAAAAGGCCGGGTTGATGTCGTATTTCCAACCATCACTCCAGCCATACTGAGCCTGGAGATCCAGGCGAAGCGAACGGAGATGGGGAAACAGCGCGAAGAAACGGCGCAGTGGCGGCATTATTGCGGGATCACCCGACTTCAGCACCAGAGAAAGAGTATTGAGGTTCGCAAACGAGGCGGCAAGGCCGCGCCAGAAATCATTTTCGTTCTGCATCGGATCTTTCTTCTCTTCCTCATGACCCACTTCCTCCATTTTAACGGTCCCCACTGGTCCCCCTGCATTGTCGCTGCCGCGTCTTCCACCGCTTGAGGAGGCACTGAAAATCTCTGCTCCAGGAACCAATCCCGCGCCCGGCCTCATGCGCATCTCGAAGCGGTCCAGCGACATTCTCCCTTCCACAGCCGCAAGCGCTCGCATCACGGTGTTGACAGTGCGCTGTGGGCAGTCATCTCCATACACTGGATTTGTGCCTGATCGATCCGACGCCTGCAGGCTGCCTGGCAGGATCCGTAACGGCGCAACTGGGCTCAGCTCGGCCGGCACGATCGCCACTGTGTTCATGTTCTGCAGCAGCACCAACACTGCTCTGAGCAGCGCGACGTCATCGTCCGTTGCTGTGAGGCGTCGTTGTGCCTCGGAGCTGGAGTTCGCGGCGATGTCAGCGCCAAGAGGAGTAGGCCACTCAGAGATGATCCCAAGCTTTTCAACCTTGTGTGCGTAGCCTGGATGCTGACATGCAGCGAGGAAAGCACCCAGGCATGGCCTGGTAAGGTTGGTGACTGTAGTTGCAGCTGTGACAGGACAGAGGTTGATGAACGTGTCGTGCAGTTGAGTGTTGAGATTCCGGCATGCAAGGCGGAGGGACAAGACATCGTTGGTGCCCAAGAAGGTTGCAATTGCGCATGTAAGCTCAGTAGGAAGCTCAGCACCGAGATATTGCCGGGTTGTATGCGTGTCGGGATTGCTTTCGGCGAGTTCCTGCGGCTGGAAAGAAGACTTTACGCTGTTTCGCCCGTGGGAAAAAGTCATGGCCTGTCGCTATTGTTGGTCGTTGCTGCTACGTGTTGCTGGACCGTCGTTGCTGAGTCGTTGCTGTTGCTGCTGCGCGTTGCTAGTAGGAGTCGCCACTGGGAACTCCTCGCTGCAGGGAATTGCTGCTGAAGTCGATGCTGGTCTAGAATTCATGGCAAATCTTGGCATTCTCTCATGGCACGCGCCCCACCCACATCTTGATTGCCAAGGAAACGATGAGCTTTGGTGCCTGACAATTCTCGCATCTCATCCGGTTCGATTAAAGGACAAGTGCGATTCTTAGATTCAAGGTTTCCCTCTTAGAAACCCGAGTCTATTCTACCAGAATTGCGATCACTGCGGCCACTTCTATAACTGTACTTTCTCACGTCTCTACTGCACAAAGCACAGGTCTGTAGAAGACGCCCCTGGATTTCTGACGCTCCCGAGGGCCTGCAGCACGGCGTTGAGGCAATTATTTCCAGGTAGTGGCGCGTATTACATTATTTTTGTGCTAAGAAACATTCATTAAATTTACAAATGAAATTTATACTATTTCGTCCATGTCGCCCGTGTGAGAAACGATGTAGTAAGCGTCTGTAGTTGATGTGAGTAGCGTTACCTTCTTCTCACAGTGGTAGAACTTACGAACGATTCCCGGGATCCACCCGAGGCAGCAGAGGCCTATGTTGATAAGAGCATCGGTGCCGAAGTCTCGCTGTAGAACGACCGCCGCAGGTGGACAGAAGAATGCCCAGCAATAGTCGCCAGTTGAAGCCTGCGTAGATACGTCAGAATGGACAGCAGCTTCTTTCATAAACGGACTCACCATAACGCTCGTAAGGCTTCACGGTAATTGCAGCTGTGTTCCTCGGGGAAACTGAGCGCAATCACTAAACCACATTCACCGTCAGCGACGAAAAGGGGTTGCCAAGGCTGTCTGGAATATGCGTACCTTGAGACAAGATTCCAATGGCAGAAATGCCGTGTGGAATATTTGGCAACTGTGGCACGTCGGCTGCGGCTTGCTGAACCCTATGAAGAAACATGGGCGTCCTGAGGTTATTTATTTTGATGAAGGGGTCCACGCAACTCACTCACTCGTGGCGCAAGGTGGCAAAGGCTTACCGGAGCGATAGAGAATTCCCTTTTCTCGAGTCAACATCACGGCTTACAGTAGGTCCGTGCCATGCATGCAGTCTAGGATTCTCATGGACCCACATGGATATCACGTCCGGATCCGCACATGCTTAGGTCGACGTCAACTACCCAAACACACTATTAAGAAAACAGCCATCACGCGGATTTTTGAAGAATTTTACGTCTTATCATGGGTTATCTCTAGACTTGCTGCAACGGCAACAAACACATACGAAAAACGGCCCGAAACGAAATGGCGCGCCGGTAAGCCACACACGCTAGCTGACTTCTAGTACACAGTAGTGCGTCCTGGCGGAGCCGCATGCCTGGCTACACGCATTTTATACTCGAGGCGTTCCCTCGGCTTCCCTTGATCCGGTAAGATCCCGTATTCTTCCGCCACGTGGGTTGTCCGTCCGCCACGTGGTTCCCCAACCGTGATCGACACCGGTTACCGGCCGCCCCAAGCGCTTAGCAATCATAGGAAATTTCATGCTGCATGTGGAAATTGCAGGAAGCATAGAATCGACGTAGAAGGTCCGGAGAAGACCGGCTAGAGCGGTACCCAAGAATAAAATTGTAACAGTGCGACGAAACAAAACCCGTGGGCAGCAACTGCAATGCTCTCGGTGTGAGCGACACAAACCCCTTTCAGGCGCCTCCCTACAGCATGCGTTTATGATCGACAGCTATAAGCGTGGATGCAGCAGCAGTGTAAAGTTCGTCATCGACCAAGCACACTGAACCAACACAGACGAGTGCATGCAATGCTATCAGCCGCATGGCTCGCCCACCGCCCCCCAACTCACTTGTACGCTACCCCTTCCAACGCCGCCGCCGCAGCGTCATCTCTGCCATCAGAGGATGCAGGCATGGACGCTGCCGTTACATTCCCGCCTCACGCGCCGGCGTGCATGAAACCATCGCCTTTCTTTCTCCGTTCGCCTCCTATCTTAATCTCCCACTTGCCAAGGCTCCAGCTCTCTTGGCCCCTTTCCATGGCATCCCTTGGGAACTACTCGAGGTTAACTACCCCAGCTCACACTTTTCAGCTCTTCACTGCTCAAGCCTTTTCGTCTCATCGCCCACTAAGTTGATGCAGGTTTGCGATAGGAAATGGAGTTGACATAACAATTCAGGGGCTTAGTATCTCAAATGGTTTCTCAAGCTTTGCAAAGTGATCGATGCAGAAGTCGACGCATACTGACAGAGACGGGTTCTTGCCAAATGCGAAGTCCGTGCAGCTATTGCTTTAGCATCGCCACGTAGCATTTGAATTTCTCGCATCCAGAGAAATAACAGCTTTGCAAAACAGTGACATTGCGGTTGCGACCAACGCCAGTCATCAAACAGAACCAGGGGAAAGGATGTTGTTAAAGAAGAACTGGCGATGTAATACTTCGTCGGCAATGCCGCCGACCACAGTTGGAAAGCCGCCACTGTAAGAAGACGTATTGTTGGCTGAATAAAACACTTGTTCCATCGTGAGCGGCACTTACCAGAGATGTCTTACTAATGTCTTCATCACGATGGCTAGATGCGGAAGATGGTAATCGGCGTTGACGGCAAAGTGGTGGAAGACAATGGATGGAAACGTGGAGAAGGACGGTTGGCGTATATGTAGCAAACCACATGATAATGGTTGCTACGGCCATGCCCCTCATCTTGCCGCTTTGTGGGTTGTCGAGAAGTTAGCAGCTTCTTCAAAACTCACAACCAGCGGCTTGAAAGTACAAGCTGTTGAATGTTTTGAAATGTGCTTAGTTCGAGGAAACGAGGAGTAATGATGCATCATGTATGCACTGTCGACACGGGCCCTCGGAGGTTCAACGTAAAGTACCGCTGCGCCCGCCGTAGTTTTACGGTAAGCTTTAGACACTTGCAGCTGCTGTGAGACACGATTTTGCGATTGCACGGCAACTACCGCAGAACTAAATGCTTGCCGAGATCCTTCGCCGCGAGCTCCGGCATGGCAGTACGATACCGGTTTTAGGCCACCGGCACTGTTGCCTAAAAGCAAAACCCACATTTCTCTCAACGTATGTACATAAATCAAGAGTGGCGCTCACATCTGCCCTCATACATCTTCAAACTTCTCCAACACCAGGCCAGCCATGGCACGATTCAGCGATCTGAATGAAGACGTACTTACCCTGGTCCTTTCGCACCTTGATGACCACCGCCCGACGCTTCGCGCACTCGCGCTAACTTGTAGCTTGCTCTCCAGAATTGCAACCCCGTTGCTCTACCGCACTGTCAGAATAACTCTCGATGAATTTCGACCCAACCACCACTTCAATCGCTTGCTTCGAACCCTGAACCAGCCAGACAAGAGAAAGGGCGTCGAGCTGACCTCTTACATCCGCAATGTGTGCATGTCCTGGAGAAGCGGCCAGCGTCAGATACATCGTCCGGAGACGGTTGAGTTTCTACATTCCATTGAGACAACACGCAAACTTTCCCTCTGCGTTTACAGGAACCGACGACCGGGACAATGGTTTTCAGTCTTTACAGAAGCCGACCGGCACCGTGTCGATTTCTCCAGACGAGCCGACCTCGGTTTCTGGGACCTGTCCAGACTAAGGCACCTCCGGGAGTTGACTCTCTTTTTCGACAATCCCTTGGACGATCTGGCCCGATTTATGTGTCTTACACCAGTCGATGTCATCTGGGTTTACCATGTTGACCAGGTGCTCCCTGATACCTTCTCCGCTCAGACTCTCCCACGACGACGCAAGCCCCTGACCAAACTTTCATTACAAACCCACTTCTCCTACGAGACTCTAGAGAGGATCCTGGCTGCCTCAGCCGGTGTAAAGCACCTCGAGATTTTTGAACCCGGGATTCTCTCTGGCAACAGCACAACCATTGGCATAGACGGCCTCATGCCCATCATGAGCACCGCTTACTCACCGCAACGCCTTTCCCTCGCCATGGCCCCCCTCTACCAGACGCTCGAAACCCTGGAACTCATCTCCGGCGCCACAATCCAATGGCCGCACCACGACAGCACCCGCCTCGACCTACGCCCTTTCATCCACCTGACCCGCGCCAATGTTGACTCCAAGTTTTTCTTCCCGCCCTCCACTGACCCCGTGGGCCGTAAAGACCTAACACCGCTGCTTCCCCACAACCTGGCCTCTCTCACTCTGGCCTTCGACACCGCCACCACTGCCCTTGGCCCCTCTGGCTCCTCCTACCAGTGGCTCCTGACCCTTGTCCAACGTGCCCCCCAGCAGCTCCCCGGCCTTCACACACTCCACATTCGCGAACAGGACTACCGGGGACAATCATTCTGCCAGGTGTGCGTCCCTGTTTTCGGAATCTACGAATGGGATCCCCCAGCCGATGCTCAATACGTTTTGTCTAAGGTAACAGATATATTGGAAGTAAAAGTAGGGCTGAGAGTGTGGCGCAGAGAAGATCCGGATGATGAGGAAGAAGGCGTCCCTGGCCTCTGTGGGTCGAAAGCGGGAGGTCCACCAGTAAGAGTGCCACCGCCAAGGCCGTTACCCGAGTGGATGATATAACAAAGGGAGTATGCAGCATGATAAATCTCGTAGTCAGTTGAAAGTATAACCGGGTTGATGGTAATCGGCTCACTGTGCATCGCAAAATTACGTGATTCTTCCCTGGGCTATCATTGTCATCCCACTCTTGTCCCTTAAAGGTAACCCTACTGCTCATCCACCCCGCTAAATGACTTCGAAGGCTAGAGAAAGGAACCCACTGTTACACCTTCGTCTACAAACCGCCCAGAACCCCACCCAGCAACGTCTGCAGCAACGCCACCAGTTCCAACCCAATCAGAGCCACCGTATCTATCTGCGTCACCGCCGAGATGAACACGTTCTGGACCTTACATGTGCCCTCTCCCGTCACCGCTACCCCATCCAACCGGTTCTTAATCCAGCCCAGCGCATTTGCCGACCCCAAAATCAACTCAGTCGCGTGCTCTCCAAACGTATTCCGATAATACTCAATCGTCACCTCCCCTGAATTCTCGCTGCAAAACTGCTGGATCACGAGGTCCGAGTCCACGGCGGGCGAGACCTCATCCCCAACAGCCTTGTACACGTACAGCGGCATGGTCGGCACACCGTGCCGCCCCATCTGGCCCGCGACCGCGAGCACCGAAGCCACAGCAGGCTCCTGGAGGATGCCCTCCTGCTCTTCGGTGCCGTTGATGAAGTACGAAAACAGATTCTGCCCCGCGCCGGCAACCGTGTTGCCAACGAGACAACCCCCACCCCGTGAGAAGAACTCGGCCTTCTTCTCGGGAATCAGGCGCTCGTCAAGGAAGTCGGCGAGAGCGGGGTACGCTTTGCTCAAGCCAATAATCCCGGAGAACCCAAGACCGGCGAAGGGCGTCTTGTTGATCGTCACGGCGACGGAAGTGACGTTGGCGATCAGGCCGCCGAGCGCGGTACCCGCAAAATCGAGCTCAGGAGCGTAGGATGGTTGCAGCTCGGCCGCCCACTCGCTGGCGAGCGACCCCCCAGAGTAGCCCCACATGGCGTAACGCGGGGAGGTGCTGAGGCCGGCGTCGGTTGGGCCCGCAGAGAGGGCTGCGCGGATCGAGTCTAGAGTCGCATAGCCGGAGATGAGGCCCGCGACGAAGTGCGCCTGCAGGCCCTCGTAGTCTGGGATGGAGACGTACCAGCCTTGGTTGAGGGAGGCAGCAATCTGCATTGCCGGTGGTCAGCAAGTGGACAAGAGAGTTGTGGGGAGGGATTACTTACGAACGGCGTGTCAATCGACAGCGTGCTATTCTGGTCAACAATCCCACCAAGTCCTCCCGGTGCCGATCCGGACTGCAGCGTGTATGAGGGGCTACAATCTGGATTGGACGAGTCGTACGCCGTCTGGTACGACAACAGCTTCTCCGGGTCGGCGTTGTAGGGCTTGATGAGCGTGCTGGCGGCTGCCACGGCGTTGCCCAGGCTATCAGTTGTCCGGAAAAGGTACTGGTGCACAGACTCAACGGACACGCTGACTGGAAGGGGTAGAAAGGGCTCCAGCTGGTTCGCGACCTGGCGCGAGCGGATAATAGCGCCGGGGGTGTAGTCGCTGATGTTGGCCGGCTGCTCATACCATGGGTCCTGGCTTGGTGGTTGCGGTGCTGCAGCTCGGACGGATTGTAACGGCGCGCTGGCGGCTAAGGTGCCGAGGAGGAAGCACAATAGAACGGAGACGAACATTTTTAGTATGCGTTGGCCGGCTGAAAAACGACCGAGGCTGTGAAGACAAGAAGGTGCTAGTTGGAGGGGTCCATCTGGGCAGCTAGCGTCGCCATCTTTATAGACGGTTCTTTTTTCTTAGTCCTGCTTCTGAAGTGCTTTTTTACACATGATGCCGAATAGCACGTGGGGGCGACAGCCGTACAAGGGACATCGGCTCGCTGCAGTGATGGCGATCTCTATTGAGGTAACACCGCATGTACTTGCCGCCGTTCTTAACACGCGCTAATTGGGCAGCCAGTACGAGTAGTTCCTGAATTGCATGCATTGATAGATTGTGTGCATGGAACTACCCCGCATTGTGATGTGTGGGAGGTGGGGTAACCATGGTTTGCATGCTCAATCAAGAAGCAGCATCGCAAATACCGAGGTATGTTGCGCGCACATCACGAGCGCAAACCTGTTTCAGCATCTTTTCTTTTATAGAAACCGCGGTATTGGCTGTCTAGTGTGTTCAGTAATTTAGAAAAGAAGTTAAACAGTCCGTACTGCCAACGCAGAATCCAAGGTAACCAAGAATGCCTGCAATATTTTCTCTGTTTCCCAATGAAATTCACACCAATTCTCGCTCAGGCCAGATCCAAATTTTGCCTGAATCCTCAGCCTAGAAGAGCACCGTCCAACCACAAGTAGTAACGACTCATACATGCCATCGATGTCTATCACGTTGGGATCAGATTCAGTCTCTAGAAGGATCTCTACACAGCCTCGACGTTTTTCTTCGCCCTTCCTTTTCATCGCACAATGTAGTGGCGTGTCTTCAAGCTTTTTCCCGGGAGAACAAAGGTTAACTTTGACTTTATACTCCAAAAGCAAGGCTACATACTTAAGATTGCCTTCAACAATGCCGAGATGCGATGGTGTATTTCTACAGTTATCCGGTGTTATTAGAGCTTGAAATACAAGGGCTCTCGACAGAGTTTTGCCCAAGTCGACTCCTGCGGTTCCGGTATCTGGTGAGTTGACTTGTCTCGTATTGTGCTCTTCAAACACCTGATTTTTTTTTTCCCGAATTCGCTGGCCAATTATCAACTCTATTTCCTCGCTGGGTTTGGATTGGCTTGCCTTCCAGGTGTTCGACAATTTCCCCCAGGCATTTTATTCTCAACATAGTCGAAATGCTTGTGGTCTTTAAGGGGACCAAGGAACTCTTTCGCAACAATGACGTTTCCTGTACAAGCGGCTTCCCATAGAGATTGTTGGCCACTAGGATTCTAGGCGCATACATTAGCTCCCATTCTGGTGATTATCCCAGCCATTGCCTTCGACCCTTCATCCTACTTCAGAAGCCTGTGAAGGGACGTCTCGCCATCACCACCTTTCGAGTTCGGACTGAGCGCTTTGCTGGTGAGGATATACTTACATATCACGATGCTTCGACTTCTGACAGCGTAATATATCGAAACCACTCATCATTGCTACTTGGTTGGGATATTGAGCTCTGCGTCGTGTTTACCAACAGTATGCTTGATTTCGTGGAGAGGAACACATTCGCTGATGAGTTTGATCACAGGAGTTTGTCCCTTGCTACCTAGAGAATTGGCCACGTCCGCTGATCTTTGTAAAATCTTTCTCAGCCCGATCCGGTCTCCGTAGCCTTGACATGCCATATGGAGAGGTGTGTCCCCTTGCTCATCTGCTGTGGACACGTTGTCGCCCTTCTGAATGAATCGCTCTACCAAGACGACCAGCCCATATTTGGCAGCGCAGTGCAAACCTTTAGCATAGATTTTGGGCTGTCCATCAACAAAAAATCACTTGAGCCACACTCGAAAAGTTGGAGAGCGACCGCCCATAAAGGTCTCCGCCTGAGAGTAGAGTTCGTCCTACAATTCTGCGTAGATCGTGTCGTAACATTCGCAAGATATATCGATACCCTAAAGACCGTGCTTCTCAAGCTGTTTGCCCTCTTCAAGATTATGTAACTGAACCATCCTCAAGCGAACATCGCAATTGGGAACTCTGCTATATGCAACTTCGCCGATCCATATGGCACCAACTCCAACCTTACCTTCTTATCCCGATCCACAAATACATCTGTTGGAGTCTCTGCCGCTGTCCCCTGCTCAACCGGCCAGTCGATCTCGTATCCATCAACCCAGATAACTGTGGGCTGAGAGTCCGTAAAAAACGCTGGTTTTCGTGAATCGACCTCCCCGGACTGCAGCGTTTCCACTTCTATTGTCTCCGGGTCGATGGCGAAATTCCACGAGGAAATGGGGTCGAGGACGTAGTCAGAGGCACGTGGGTCGGTTTCAGATGCAGGCAGCGGCATGCGGTCTGTGAAGTTCAATGGCTGGTGAGATGAAGAGTTGAATGGGATGGACAAAGCGTAGAGTAGTGGGCCGAAGTAGATTGAAATCGTCCCGTCGCGCTTTGACACACGGGGCTCAAGCGGAAGGTTGAGATTGAAGGACGTGACGCCTTTGGGTACAGCAATTTCTTGGAGCCCGGACTCGCCCGGTGTGGCGTTGAGCAGGCCGCTGCTATTGGGCTGGCTGTAAGTGGAGTTGAGCTGCTGCGCCCATCCCGGAATTCGAACCGCGAAGTTGAAAGCGGTCTCGGCTTCGATCTCATAACGCAAGAGACCAGCAAAGGGGTACTCGGTGTTGCATGTTACTAGAAACACATATCAGAGTGAAGCTTCCTTGGCGGTGAAACTGACAAGACCTTTGATGTGAGAGCCGTTTACATCTGTCTCGAGTGTAGTTGGCCCAAGCAGGACATGGGCAATTCGCCCTTCCCCGTATTTCACATACGACGAGGCTACATATTTGGGGTAGCCCTGAGGATGGTTTACGGTGCAGCACGGCTTCAAAGCATCCTGTCAGTCTTACGAGGTGCCTGCTACGGTTGAAATGTATATCAGAGTTAACAGAGCGCGTGACTTACGAAATTGGGCTCTAAGCCGAAAGAATTGCTGTACGAAACAACGTTGAAGAAAGGATTGTCTGTAAGGTTTCTTGCCCAAGGTTGATTCGTTTGCGTCACGTATTGGTGCGACCACCCTTTGTGAGGTCAGCTAGCTAGTCAAGGATTGGGCACAAGGTACGATCCTTACAGTCATGGCTGACAGCTGCTGGGAGGGCGTTGAAAGCTGCCAGCTCGGCTCGGTCCGCGAAGTCATTTGTACCGTGGAAGCGGTACAGGTAAGCGAATGAAAACATGGACTCAACTACCGTGCAGAGCTCTGATCTGCCAGACGAGTAAGCCACGTCTCGATTGAAACTTGGGCATACCAAGTAAATCCGGCAGAACTCGCCAGAAAGCCAGCAACATACCCTCGCTGGGAATTGTGACCACCAAGATGCTCGTCGGCAATTATAACTCCTGACCGGGATCCATGGTACTCTGTGGTCATTTGAACGGCGTCATGTGTTTGCTGGACGAGGCTTTGGTTGTTTGTCAATCTGTAAAGTACGGTGGGATAGCGTAGACCTTTACATCTGTTAGTCAAACGGCTCATGCATGTCATTGCGGGACCTTCCTTGCGCGAGGTTTACACCGTGTGTGAAGCTGCTTGTTTTGATGTTCGGGGTGCCAACTTTTGGGAAGGTTTCGTTGGTGAAGAACGTCGTCCAGTCCCTTCCGCCCTTCCTCCCCCCTTCGAACATCAGCTGCATGGTTTCCCAGATGGTGGCAGAGTTGTTTTGAGGGTGGTTTTCATAGAGCCACATGAGAGACATGGGAAGCTCGTGCGTGCGCGAAAGACCAAATTTGAAGGGATCGAAGTTGTCGCCTTCTTGCTGGATGAGGCCAGTAAAATTCGATTTCAGCATTTGGTTCGCAAGAGTGACGAACCTATGCATGGCGTCAACGATGCGCTCTGTCTCGGTAGGATCGGCTTCCGCGTATTGCTGTACGTGCAGTCAGCTTGCTGGAATTGGTGGTCCGCGGATCTCTCGCGTCATACCACGAGACCAAAGAACAATAAACTCCTCGCCCAAATGCCTCGGGCTGACTTTTCTGTCTCTGGGCCGAGCCATCCATCGTCGGCCTGGTGACTCAGTGTGTAGTCAAGGAAGATTCTTGCTTGATCCTTCAGCCTGGAGTTGCCTGTGATCCATGCCAATGGCACAATGTAGTTGAACCAGTACGGCGCTGATTCATGAAGCTCGGAATATTCGTGATCCCCTCCAAGCCATGTCGAACGGGCAACGAATCTGTAAAAATCAAACAGGTTTCCCGCGAGTCCATCCGCGGAGAGTGAAAGCTGGTCCTCTAGCCAGCCCTGAGCTCGCACTGATCCGAGAGGAAGAGTCTCGAACTTGGAAGGGGCGAGTGCTGCAACGAGTCAGTTCGCAATTCTGTAAAGTGATGGCAGTACTGCCACTAACTTTGAACGCTATCCATTCCATTTCCAGGATGCACCATGAGCAAGAGCAGGTATAGGATGTTTAGTACCGTACAGATATGGAAGGCCATTGTTTGTCTCCAATGTAGATCACGACAGGATATTTCCGTTCGACTCGAGAATTTAGAAACGGCGTAACTTTAAATTGGTGAGAAATGATATGTGAACCAGAATACTATAGGCTACGTATCGGCGTTCGGGATAAGTCACGGAAGAGAAATGCGCAACGCAGCGGACATAGGTCCGAGACTTCCTCCGAGGTACCAACAGGCGCTCGCGTCGACTTTCCGCTAACCGACGCGCGGTAGTCACTGAGCATTATCTACCTAGATAATTCGTTAATTTTCCATCGCTACCGCCCGCTATTCGCTTCACGCGCCCGTTTTTTTTTTTTTTGCTCGTCTTTCTTTCTATCCTTTACATTTCTAAAGTAATTATAGATTCGGCTTCCTATAGGTTGTTTAGATTAGAACTATTTTCCACTGTTTCTTACTAGCTGCGCTGTAATATATCTCTAATTCATTCCAATATAATATATAAATGTTGCTATTCCCATAATAGCCCCAGTCAAGGCCATGACTTTTCTGCATTTAATCCAATACAGCCTACGTATAAATCTATGGACGACGTTGGCACTGCGATTGTGATGTGGGAACGGGACTTTGGGAATCGGAAGACCTAGGATCTCACACAGGGGGCCCCATCCTTGCTTCACATCGAAGAAGAACAGCTTCTCCTTCGGGACGACTCGGCGAAGATAGTCCTGGTGGGCATCGTACAAAAGCTCGTGGTTGTCCAGCGGCCACATGACGGCATCGATGTCGCAAACCTCGGGCACACGGTTCCACACGGCATGAATGTAGTCCATGAAGCGCACCTGGCGGCGCGACTCCCACAGCCAGCCGCCTTTAGTGCTCAGCTGGTTGAAGCCCGTGCACAATGTGCGGTAGCTGGCCCACCACGCGGCGTGGTCGCGCACCGTGCAGATGACGACGGCGCGCGGGTACAGCGCTAGCAGCTCCTCGACAAAGTAACAGCCCGGCGCGTCCGTTGTCGCGACATGGCCCGCCGTCAGTTGCGCCAGCCGATGCTGTATGAGCGTGCGGTCGACTACACTACGGGCCGGGCAGAGGGCGACAACGTCGCGGGACCACTCTTGCTGCTCCCTCGACCCCGTAGCTGCGACTGTTCCGCCGTCGTACACGGAGCCATTCAGAAGGATTGAGAGAGCAACACCCATAGTTGTTGTCCCAGTACGCGGGAGTCCGGCGCCGATGACCTGCATTGCGTCGTTGCTTTCCTTTCTGGGAGTTGGCTTGAGGCTGTCATTGCTCTGGCCGTTTGGGGTGTGGTTTTCGGGAGACTTGTCCGTTGGTGTAGATTCCAGGAGAGGAGTTTGAGGGGTTGCGACGCTGGTGGCCATGGCTGAAATCTCCTGTCCTTGTCTCCTCTGTTTGGCACTTGCTCTCTGCTGTGTCTGCTGCAACCACGAGCTTGGAGATAAACCTTTATATTTGCGCCTGTTCGGTCATCGGACCCGGACATAGGCATAGTCGCACGCATGTGGCTGCCGCATAACTAACTTTAACTTTATGAACAGACGCAAACTGTAATTAGAGTTCCATTCGGTTGGTTAAAGTTAAGATACGACACCGCTTAGACAACCTCTTCTATCATGATTACTGTGTAACCTATAATAGATTGTCTCTCTAAGTGTCTGACGGCTAGTAGAGTCTATGGAACCTTGCATAGTTACTCATGTTCCTCCCTTCTAAGGACATTAGCGAGTTATTCTAGGCTCCATGTTTCAGCAATAAAGGAAAAGAAGCCGGACTTACGTCAAGTGATTGAATTAGGCAAATTGTCAGCTTTGAAGCTCCTGGCCTCGCCCGGGTTTCCGCCCAAGCTACTCTATAGCCCACCGGAGTGAACAATGTATTGGTCAGTAGGATGACTTGCTTGTTGGCAAAAGCACGGCTCATTAACCAGCCCACCTCAGCAGGGTCTAGGAGTGAGACAGCGTTGTCGAGTAAGACCATGTCCGCACCGCTCAGTATCGCCCGCGCCAGTCCAAGCCTCTGCTTTTCAACAGGGCTGAGCTGCGGTTGGCTAGCTCCCGCTAGCTCGTCTTCCAGATTTGAGCCTAACTGTAGACCGACAAGCTGCAGGGCATGTCGGATCCGACCGTCAGGGCACACCCCCGCTGGATCTGGTAAAGCACCGTCAGTATGGAACATATCAGGACCGCTGCTTTTGGTTGGCTTACCCAAGTTGAACTTCAGGGTTCCAGGGAATATGACGGTCTTTCGTGGTACCACGGCGATGCTGTCTCGAAGCTGGTGTTGACCCATCTGGGAAACCGAGATGCCACCGATGGAAATGCGGCCAGCTGTTAAGTTTCTAGCACCTAAAACAGCGCTTACAACCGCTGCCTTCCACGACCTACCAGCACCGAAGATGGCGAGGGCCTCGCCTTGGTCGATTCTACAACTAAAGCCACGCATGATCGGGGGTTCGCCGAGGGATACCTGTGGTCGAAGCATCAGCCAGTGTTGAGTAGCCAGCTTTTCCCTCTGGTGCTCCTCCACTCCATAGCCAGGGGTAAAGGATGCTGGTGCAAAAGAGTACGCACTTCTTCGAAAGCAACTACGCCGCGACCGGGCTGCGGCCGATCCGCCAGGTCTCGATGAATCTCGCGGCCAACTTGTCCCCTGCAACAGGTCAGACCGGATCTGGCTAGGTAAAATGAGCGAATGTCGAGCAATACACATACAGCCTTGCTGCCACACCGAATCCCCGGCCAAATACCGCCCTCCATAGCCGCGGCACCTCCGCCGCCGTCTGGCTCGCCGCCCATCCTTGCACCAGCACCACCCCCAGCTCTCTCGCACTCTTATCACCGCCACCGCCACCGGACGCAGCAGCGACAAGAGCAATAGCCACGCTCGCCACTAGCGCCGCCACGCCGACTGCCCCGGCCTTGAGCGTAGCAACCGTGTCGTTCCGCACCCACGCTGCCCGCGCATCGACCCAAGTGTCTAGCCGGCCGCGCAGCTCGGCCACGACGAGGGACTCAGCGCCATGGGCATGGATGGTTGCGGAGCCAGCGACAGAAGAGGTAAGGGAGGAGACTGCGGCAGTGTAGTGCCTTTGAGGACCACCGGCAGAATGGGGCTGATTGGGAGCGCCGGAAGGGGGGCCGCGTCTGGGGCGGGCGGCATGGGACAGATGGCTGAACGCCGAGCTTGCGTAGTATATGGCTGCTGCGAATGCAAAGAGCAGAATCTGTTTTCGTGACGCGCCTCCCAGCTCTTAGATTAGCGTGCGTGCTCTCCTCGAGATGAGTAGTATCTAACGGATGGCATATAGGTAAGAGCACTGACCACCCGCGGTGCCGCGACCATTATCGTTGCGAAGCTGGCTGCGAGCCGGCCGATCATCAGAAGAAGGCGGGCCAGCTGGTTCGGAAACGGCTCGTCGAGCACAGTGGCTTCGGTAACCAGAAGCTCTGTGCGACGACGGCGGCCGAGGGCTTTCCTAGAGGTTTCCAGGATGGTGGCTGTGGCAGCGTTGGTGTACAGGCCTCGGGAAGCGCGCTCGGTGATGACCTGGCTGGCGGCGTGAGCGTGCGGACACCATGGGCGAAAAAGATTGACGGAGGCGACGCTGCTCACGCACTTACCGACATGCCAACGAAGAAGGCAAACTGCGATGCCGCATGGAAAACAAGCCGTCCAGAGGAAGGTATGTGCTGATTGGCAATGCATCGGTCGTCATTCCGAATAGAACCCCCATTAGATGATTGCGCCCCGCCGAAGGACCAGAAAATCCACAAATGACCCATGGCCGTGCCCAAATACGGCATCCCGAGCACAATAATTAACATACGGCTGTCGGCGGCTTTGAGGTACGATCGCCATCCTGACTCCTTGTTCATCTTTTTGTCTTCGAGCTTAAAACCGGTGCGGGATGGAACTACGTATTGCTCATCGTCTGCATCCGCATCGCTTTCTGCAGCAACACCTTGAATGACGTCTCTCAAGGATTGGCTGTCAAGCTTGGGGTTGTACTCTTCCTCGAACCGGCCGTCTCGTAGCGTGACGACGCGACCGCATTGCCGCAAGACAGCTGGGATGCGTGTTGCTACAATTCGGCACTTACCTGATGCAAGCCCGACCACCGCCCGGTCGAAGATGTCGGCGCTTGCGGGGACACCATCCAGTAAGATGACGGGGGCGTCGGCGTACAAGGCCCGCGCGAGGCCGATCCTTTTCTGATGGTCGCGGGATAGCGCGCAGTCCTCTTCCAGAATCGTCTCGTCTCCATACGGCAGCTGGTCCAGGATTGACGCAATGCCGCAGGCGTGGATGATCTCTGTATAACTGGAAGATGTGATTCTTTAGCACTCGTTGTGAACGGAGGGGCTTGCTGGAGTCATCTACCGCTTCGGCTCGAAGCTCTTCCCGAAGACAATGTTGTCTCTGATGGTTCCCCGTGTTATGTACGGCTTTCTAGGACAGTATGCTGCGGGCCTCGAGCCGTTGACTCTGCCTTCATAGTGACATCGGTTAGACTAACCCTCTCAACAGCCTGCCGAGCGATGCATTACCTCGAGCCATGTGTATCTTTCCCAATACGGCCTGCAGGAATGAGCTTTCGCCAGAACCGGTCACGGCGACTAGTTCTTCGTGACCGATGCCTAGAGATTTGCCATTGAAATCCGACAAGCTGAACCATGTCGCACAGGGCTGTTCCAATGCGGTCAAACCTGGGAGATAGTGGCATTCGGCCGGTTGACCGCTCCGCTCCCGCAGGAGAGTCTTGATTCGGCGACACAAATCCCGCGAATCTAGGATGCTGCGTACGCTCTTTTGCCAATATTGAGCGCACAGTCCCAGCACACGAAACTGCAGCAAGGCGAACACCAAGGTTGGCATGTCTAGATCCCGGCTTGCAGGGAGAGAAAACAGAGTGGTCACGGCGGCTACGACGGGCCTGGCCGGCGTTATGATGTGACTTGAAAAGAGACATTAGACTCACCAATGTGCGTGTAGTGTCTGCACTGCGCAGTCAATGATAGCGATCCTCCACACCAGCTGCGTTCGCTCGGCCCGGCACTGCTGCAGGTTCCTGGCCAGCGCCTTCTCCCACGCGAGCCTTTGGATGGGCCCGGCATTTGCGCCTACGGCGCGGACCAGGGCGTTGCGGGCGGCATCTGCTCTTTTAACGCGCTCCCGATCTGCGGTGAAGAGCAGGCGGAAGCCAGCCAGCAACGGCCGACGGGCGAGAAGTACAAAGAGCTGCGTATTCATGTCAGCGTAGGCCTTGGTAGTTTCCGGTTTGGGCAACCGCTTACTCCGATCCAAGCACTCGACCCCAGGTCTGCCAACAACAGTGTAGCCCCGACGGCAAAGATCCATGGCAGAGTGTAGGCGCGAACCTTTTCTGTCGCGCCGGCCGCGATGTATTTGGTCTTGTTGCATTCCGCTCGCCAGTCGACCGATGTCTTGCATCTCGTCATTCAGCATGTCTTCGCAGCCCTCTGATTCTCTTTCTTGCTTCTTAGACCGTGGGAGCTCACTCACATCTGCTCCCTGGAGGCCAGCCCGCAACAGCAAAACCATGGCCTCCGCTCTCATAGGACCCGCAATCAACGTCGCCTGATGCGCCGCCACCACACCAAACGCCACATGCGCGGTCTGCGCGGCACAGGCGAAGGCCGCAAGCCAGGCAGCTGCTGCCAGCGATGTCGGGCTCGCCAGAAATGGCACGACGAGCCGGTGCTGCTGCCCTGTTGCATGGCGAAGCAGATGCGACAGCACGAGCGGAACCCAAACGCCAGCGAAGTCCGAGCACAGCTGGATGAAGCCGACTCTGCAGAGTTCCGGCTCCGGAGGTGAATCCATTGGCCGAGGCGCTAGTCAGAGGACCTAAGGGAGCAAGGCGTGGAATCAGGGCAACGTAGGGTAGTAGAGTTCGTCGGATACGTTCTAGGCAAACGCACAGCGCGGTCGGCTTACACTATGAAGGAGATGCGTCTTTGCTTGACGTCGAGGATGAAAGAAAGAATACGGGCTTTTTTTCGAGAGCCAAGAACTTTTAACCGAGAGTAAGGTTGTATTGCCGCCTCACTAGCCGTAGTTCTAACTTTAATATGTATATACTTTATACTCGTCATCAGTCGTTTAGAGAGTTTGTTAATTATAGTTTAATCATTCAGCCTACAACTTAAATTTTCTATTCAGCCTTAGTATACCTACTTCTTACACTAAGGTAAAAGTATATACGCGGCTAGTCTACTATTTTTATAGTATACTACTTTTGCTGACTCGGCTTATACGAGATGCATCTTTTTTTTAGGTGGAGACGCTCGTGACCAGACTCTTATAGTTATAGTCTAGGCAGACTTGCGTGTGGAAAAGATTCTAACTGAAGAAGCTTATATACTGCACCGACGAAGGGGTTCGTCATTATCTAAGATGGGTGACGAAATCACGGTACCCGCAAACATGAACGGCAAACCCAAGCCCATGCCACTCGCCATCGTCGGGCTCTCCTGCCGGCTCCCACGTGGCATCCACACGCCGGAGGCCTTCTGGGATTTCCTGACGGCGGCTGGTAGCGGGCGGCGCGGGATGCCGAAGGAGCGATTCGATGCCGATGCCTTCTACCACCCGAACCCAGAGCGGGCCGGCACGATGAACGTCAAACACGGCTATTTCCTGGATGACGACCTTCGTTCCTTCGACGCTGCATTTTTCAACGTCGCGGAAGAAGAAGCAAAGGCAATGGTGGGTGCTGCAATGACGCAACATGTTGATACTTCGCTGACGGGCTGCAGGACCCACAACAATTGATGCTGCTCGAGTGCACGTACGAAGCACTCGAGGATGCTGGCATGCCCAAGGAAAAAGTGGCGGGCGCCAACGTTGGTACGTTTATGGCGAGTAGCTTGAGTGACTACAACATAGAACAGATGCGGGATACAGCGTCAGAGCCGGTATACGCGGCCATCGGCGGGCATATGTGTATGCTGAGCAATCGGATCTCGCATCATTTCGACCTGTGGGGGGTGAGTCTTTCTTTTTTTTTCTACAGCCTTGGGCGTTTCATTTTTTTCTTTTCTTATTTTAACCATGTGGGCAGCCCAGCTACACGGTCGACACGGCCTGCTCGTCCAGCCTGCACGCGCTACACCTGGCAGCGCAAAGCCTGCAGCACGGCGAGTGCGAGGTTGCCATCATCGGGGCATGTTGCTTGAATCTTAGTCCCACGCGCTGGATCCAGCTGTCAAAACTGGGGTGCGTATAACCCCACCAGATAAAAGCTGCACTAACATGGGCAGGCTGATTAATCCGGACGGGCGTACCTTGGCTTTCGACCATCGCGTCAGCTCGGGCTACGCACGCGGAGAGGGTGCGGCATGCGCGATCCTGAAGCCGCTCGACCGGGCGCTGGCCGACGACGACCGCATCTACGCGACGGTGCTCGGGACGGGCATCGGACACGGCGGGCGCGGGCCGAGCATCACCTACCCCGGTTCGGCGGCGCAGATGCGGCTGATCCGCGAGGTGTACGCCCGCGCCGGCCTCGACCCGCGAGACGTGGCTTTCGTCGAAGCGCACGCTGCGGGCACGGCCGTCGGGGATCCAATCGAGGCCAGTGCCATCGGCGGCGTCTTTGGGGCGAGGGACGGACCGCCGCTGTACATAGGGTCGGTCAAGTCGAATGTCGGGCACTTGGAGGCCGCCAGCGGGATGGTGTCGCTGCTCAAGGCGGTCCTGATGCTGGACAGACGCTTGATTGTGCCCAATGCCGACTTTGAGAAGCCAGCCGACAATATCGACACGTGCCGGTGGAACATGGAGGTGCGCACCCCGACCGCAGTGGGGAGACGACGCTGACAGTTCAAAGGTGCCCGTGGTGACGACGCCGTGGCCCGAAGGGCGGCACTACGTCAGTGTCAACAACTTCGGCTACGGTGGGTCCAACAGCCATTGCGTGCTGGGCCGGCCGCCGCAGGAAGCAAACGGGGCTGCAGACGAGAGCGGCAGCCAGAGGAGGCTTTTCGTCCTGTCGGCAGGCGACGCAGCCGCCGCGAGCGCCGCCCGCGACCGCTTCTGCGCGTACCTGGAAGCGCGGCCGGGCGTGCGCATGCAGGACCTGGCATACACGCTCGGCGAGCGCCGCTCGCGCCTGCGATATAGGCTCGCCGCCACAGCATCAACGGCCGACGAACTGAGGCGTGCGCTTGGCGGAGCCCTCTGCCGCCGCGCGCCCGCGCGAGCGCCCAGGCTGGCCTTCGTCTTCACGGGCCAGGGCGCGCAATGGGCGGGCATGGGGCGGGCGCTCATGGACGTCTATCCCGTCTTCGCGTCGGCAATGCACGCCGCCAGCGCCTGTCTGGACGCATTGGGCGCGCCCTTCGCGCTGCTCGACGAGCTGCGTAAGCCCGAATCTTGCTCGCGCATCCACAACGCCGCCGTTGCGCAGCCGGCCGTCACGGCGCTGCAGATGGCGCTGGTGGAGCTGCTGCGCTCGTGGGGAGTGCGGCCGGTCGCCGTCGTGGGCCACTCGAGCGGCGAGATGGCGGCCGCCTTCGCCGCCGGCATGCTCTCGCTGGACGCGGCCATGCGGGCTGCCTACCAGCGCGGGCAGGCCGTGGCCGGGCTGAAGCGCCGCGGCGCCATGGTGGCCGTCGCGGCGGGCGCCGCGCAGGTGCAGCCGCTGCTGGACGACGTCTCTGGCTGCGCCGTCGTCGCGTGCGAGAACTCGCCCAAGTCGGCCACCGTGTCGGGCGACGAGCGGGCAGTGGACGACTTCGTCGCCGCGGCCGAGGCGAGGGGCATGCAGGTCCGCCGGCTGCGTGTCGGCGTCGCGTACCACTCTCCCCACATGCATGCCGTCGCGGAGCAGTACGCGGCGGCCATTGACGGCATCGAAGCGGCGGCGCCCGGGGTCGACTTCTTCTCGTCGGTGCTCGGCGGTGCGGGCGGACCCGACTGCGGGCGGGCGCCGTACTGGGTGCAGAACTTCACGCAGCGGGTGAGATTCACCGAGGCGCTGGAGGCGCTGTACGCCGCCGGGAAGCCGGACGTGGTCGTCGAGATCGGCCCGCACTCGGCACTGCGCCGCCCGATCGCCGAGACGCTGCCAAGGGACGTTGCGTACCTCGCGCCGCTCGTGCGGGGCGTCGACGGCGAAGCGTCGTGCCTGCAGCTGGCCGGCCGCCTGTTTGAGCTCGGCGTGCCTGTCGACCTGGCGCGCGTGAACACGGCAACGAACGGCAAGCTGGTGACGGACCTGCCCCGCTACCCGTGGACGCGCCGGCCCTGCGCCGTCGAGTCGCGCGTCGTGAGCCACCATCTGCGGCCGCCGCTGCCGCGGCACGACCTGCTGGGCGTGCTGACGCCCTGCTCCGACCGCCGCACCCTCACGTGGCGCAACGTCTTCTCCCTGTCCGACTTCTCCTGGCTGCACGACCACCGCCTGCACGGCGCACCGACGTTTCCGCTCGCCGGTTTCGCCACCATGGCCGTCGAGGCCGCGGCTCAGCATGCCGCGCTGCGCAGCATCGACGACTTCGCCGGCGTTGGCGTGCGCAGCCTCCGCGTGCTTGCGCCGCTGACGGTGCAAGAAAGCGCCGTGCACGAAATGGTGACGCGCCTACGCCCGCGGTCCACGCTGTGGAGCGAGTTTGAGGTGTCGTCCTGGTGCGCCGCCGCCCGCGAGTGGCAGTACCACTGCGTCGGCCTGGTGGCCACGACCCGGCGTTCCTCGGTCGGCCCGCACTCCGGCGCCGCCGACCCGGACACCCGGCCCGTGGAACTGGGCGCCTTCTACGACGCCCTGCGGCCCGCCCGCGGCCCTGCCTTCAGGAACATCCGTGAGCTCCACGCGAGCCCGGCGACCGCCGACGCCGTCGTCGAGATGCCCATGCAGTACGACGCCCGCCTCATCGTCCACCCAACGCTTCTCGACACGCTCATCCAGGTCGCCGAGCCCCTGCGCGCCGGAGCGGCCGCCGTCGCCGTGGATTCGTTGCACGTGTCTCGCAGCCTTCTGGACGTCGCCCCGCACGCTCTTCTCCGCGCACGCGCCTGGGTCGATGACGACGGCGCAACCTGCTCGGCGCAGGCCAGTTCTGGCAGCACTGTTCTCCTCCAGCTTCGCCGCCTGGCGCTTGCTGCGATCCCGCCCGCCGCCAGCTCTGCCCGCTGCTACCGCATGACCTGGCAACCGGTTCCAGAAACCGCTGCCGATTCCTCGCCGCCGCCGCCGCCCGTCACAATCGTCCACGGCGACGCCTCCAGCCTCGCCTTCGCTCACGCGGTCCAGGCTGCTCTCCTGCAGTTGCCCAACCCGCCTCCGTCGGTGACGTGCACCTCCTTCGCGGCGTTGGGCGACCCGTCCCGCCAGTTCTGCGTCGTCGTCTGCGACGCAGCCTCAGCCCCGCCCCTGCTGGCCAGCATCCCCGACGATGACGCGCTGGCGCAGGTGCGCTGCCTCTTGCTCGACGCTGCCGCCGTGCTGTGGGTGTCGAGCGCTGCGGCGCCCGAGAGCGGGCTGGTGACGGGGCTGGCGCGCACGCTGCGCTTCGAGGCGGCGGCGTGCGTCGCCACGCTGCACCTCGCCGCCGCCCAGGACATGGCGCCGGCGGCCGTGCGCGTGGCCGACGTCGTTGGCATCATGGTGGCGGGGACGGCCGAGCGCGAGTTCGCCGACGCGGGCGGCCGCTTGTCTGTGCCGCGCGTGCTGGCCGACAAGCGCGTCAGCGCCATCGTGGCGGGCAGGCGGCCGGCACTGAGAGACGTGTGCATCACCGAATCCAGCCGCCTGAAAGCAGCCGGCCGAGACGACGACGAGGAGCCGGCGTGGTGGTTCGAGGAAGACGGCGCCGTGGGCGCCCTCGCCGATGGCGACATGGAGATCCGCGTGGCCGCCGCAACCCTGGAAGCCGGCCTCGAGATGACGGCGTGCAGCGGAGTCGTGGTACGCCTGGGCGCTGCCGCCGCCGCCGGGCCCTTCGCCGTTGGAGACCGCGTGTGTGCCATTGCGCGCGGGCCGCTCCGCACACGCGCCAGGTGCTGCTGCTCCGTTGCCGCAAAGCTGTCGCCAGACGTGCCCTTTTCCCTCGCCGCTACCATCCCGTCGGCGTACTTGGCCGCCTACTTCGCGCTCAAAGACGTGGCGAGCCTGCGGCCGGCCGAGCGCGTCCTCGTGTTGGCGGCCACGGATGCCGACGGCGAAACAGCCGTGGGCATTGCAAAGATGCTTGGAGCCGACGTCATCCGCGCATCGGGCAGCAGCGTCGAGGTCGAGGACGGCGTGCTGGAAGCCAGCCTGGCGCTGCATGGTGGCAGCGTGGACGTGGTGCTCAACATGTGCCCTGGCGCCGAGGTGCTGCGGCTGGCCGTCGAGGTGCTCGCCCCAGGTGGTCGGCTGGTGGATCTGGGCCGGCACGGCGCATCACCTCAGACGGCGCTGCTGGACTTCGCCGAGCTCGGCCGCCGCGCTGTGACTATTGCTACTGTGGACCGCGTGCGTCTGCCTGCGCGCATCCGGCCCGTCCTTGGTGCCGTCGTTGAACTGTTCAACACCGGCCGCATCCGACGACCGGTGCAGCCAGCCGTTGTGCCGTTTTCGCAGCTAGCAAGCATCCTTTCTTCAGGCCAACTGACAGTGGTAGAGCTTGAGGATGGAGCCAAGGTGAAGGTAAGTCGCCCCCTTTTTGTCGCTTTACCCGGCAGGCCGTCCTTCAAACCAAGACACTTCGACTGATGGTACATTGAAGTTTGAGCCGGGACCCGCCGCCCGTCGGCTTCGCCCAGACGGGTCCTACATCATCGTTGGTGGGACCGGCGGGCTCGGCCGCACAATCGCGGCGTGGATGGTCCGCCAGGGGGCGCGCCGCATCGTGCTGCTGTCACGCAGCGGGCGCGTCGATTCCAAGGTGCGGGACCTATTGGAGTCCGCGAAGCCGGCGAGCATATCTGTCGAAGCCTGCGATGTGTGTGATGAAGACCAGTTGGTCCGCGTCCTGCGAGCAGCGGCGCCGGTTTACGGAGTCGTTCATTCTGCCATGGCACTGCGGGTAAGTAAAATGGAGAGCACATGGAGCCGTCCATGGCACACGAGACGTGATTGCTCCAAGTGTCATCTTTCAATATGCCCTGTCTGTCCCGTTCCTTTTGGCTGATCAAAGGTTCCATAGGACACTCTCTTCGAAAATATGACCTTGTCTGACTACACCTCTGTCCTCCATCCCAAAGTCGCCGGCGCCTGGGCCCTCCACCGCGCGCTTTCAACCGCCTCTCCCAACCCGCTGGATTTCTTCATCCTGCTCTCCTCGGCCTCGGGCATCGTTGGCGTGCGCGGCCAAGCTGCCTATGCCGCCGCAAGCACTTTCCTCGACGCATTTGCCCGCCATCTGCGGGCAGTGCACGGCGTGCCCGCCACCTCGCTCGACCTCGCTGCCGTCCGCGGCGTCGGCTACATTGCCGAGAATGCAGACACCATTCGCACCCAAGACATCCTGCGCAACATCGGCCATGCCGGCGAAAGCTTGGACGAGGCCGACGTGCTGGCCCTGGTTGCCGCCGCCGTTGCCGGCGCCATGGACGTCGATCTGCAGTGCATCACCGGCCTGGGCAGCGGCGACGTCATGGACCCTAAGTTCGCCATGCTGCCACGCCGCCCTGTCCAGCCCGAGCCGTCATCGGGTTTGCCTTCGCTCGCCGTAGTGCTGCGCCGGGCGCGCTCCGTGGAAGAGGTACGGAGCGCCGTTGCAGACGCCATTAGAGCCAAGGTCGCTGACATCTGCCGCGCCGATGTAATACTTAGAGCTGATGACGACATTACAGATGTGGTTCTCGACAGCCTAACTATTATAGAGCTACGTAGTTGGCTAAAGCGAGAGCTACAAATAAGTGTAAAAATATTATCGATTAAAAATATTTTAAAGCTAGTAATATAGTAGTGTTACGGAATCAGGATGCGGATTAAGCGGCGCAGCAGAACTCATGGGCGGACCGGATTATCTCATACCAAAGCCCCGGACGCACCTAACCCACTTCAATAGCCAACAAGTGTTACGGAATCAGGATGCGGGTCAAGCGGCGCAGCAGAACTCATAGGCGGACCGGATCATTCCATGCCGAAACACCGGACGCACCTAACCTACTTGGATAGCCAACAGCCTGACCCCACGAAGCTGATCTTCCTTAGCCACTAGCCACCCCACTGTCCACACCAACACCACAGTCTGGCCAACCAGCGGCCAATCATAATATATAGAGCACACTCATTCACAGTAGATAGGATCTTTGTAGTTAATTCCAATCATTGCCTTACACCCCTCTTGTTACCTTTCCTATCTAACTACGGCTGCTATCCTCTATACCCAGTATTTAGTAACATTCTAGATAGCGGTAGTGAACCCTTAACGTTGCGTACCTCCCCAACGCTCCTACCTTAAAACCCCCTTCCCGAGTCCCAGCGTAACACTTTAACTACCACCCTATAGACACCGAAGGTAAGTAAAAAACCCATCGAACTAACTATAACGACCTAGACCGAAATCCGCGCCGCGCTCCCTAATACGGAAGAGCAACTACACAATATTTACCCAGTAATTTCTAGAGAACCCGATACAGAAACCCGTATGCTTATATTAGAAGCCTACGCCGCTAAAATCGCTTTCTTAACCCGTAACGTCAGCAGGCCCCGTCTACCCCCCAACGCTTCCGAAGATTACTTCTTAGTCCTACTAGACTACTTTATTAGAGGATAGGCCTTCTCGGTCAATCGCACCATAAGACTACGGGGGTAACCTTCCGCCGCGGAAGCTACTCCTATATTACCCGCTCTAATACAGGTGCAGAACCTAAAGTTTAAGGTTAAAGAACTAGACACATTTAACGAAACCAGGGGGAAGTTAGACGAATTTCTACGATAACTATAAACCTACTTCCACCTATTCGGAACGGCCTTCTAAGATAAATCTTAAAAAATCTTCTTTACTAGGTTATACCTCCGTAGCAACGCTGCCCGTTGGTTTAAACCCTATTAAGAAGACTTTAGTAAACTAAACCAACACGAGAAAACTACAGAGCTATTCTACAACTTCGATAACTTTACTAAGGCACTCCGAGAAACCTTCGAAGATAAGAACTAATATTAAGATATAGCCTACAGAATCTAGACTCTTAAATAAACTGGCTCCGCCGCAACCTATACTACCCAGTTTAGACTCCATACCTCCCGACTCCAATAGCCCGACAACGTCCTTAAAATGTTATATTACGAGGGACTAAAGAACCACATTAAGGATAAGTTCGCTAGAACCAAGCTACCTAATTTATACTAGGAGGTAGTCCGCATCGCCATCTAACTCGATACTCGGCTATACGACCGTCGTAGAGAAGCGATCCGGTCGAACCGCCCTATAGCCAACTCTAGTCAATCTAGAAACACAACGAGCCCTAGCGAACCTATAAACCTCAATAGCGTCAGACGCAACGGGCCTCTATTCTAAGAAGAAAAAGACTGACGCCGTAAGAAAGACCTATACCTCCGCTACGGTAAGAAGGGATACTATACCCGCTAATATAAGGGCGGTAATAAGATAATACGCCAAACCTTAGCTACACAAGTAATAGAAGTAGAGGACTCCTACGATAAGTAGTATTGGGCCGATTATACTAACGACGAATGCGAAAGCCACCGTAAACTAAAGAAGACCTATAGATACTAGCCGGAGGTAAAAAACTAAAAAAGTCTCTAACCCAGGGGCGGGTGGAGGCGTAGCCCCCAGCGCCCCTTTAGGTAACCGTAACAACGACCGGCAATACTAAAGAAAAACTCTCTTATATATATATCACAGACAACGACGAACCCCTAGTAGAGTATACCGAGCACCTTATTATTAACATGCTCGCTAATAGACGCCGAGCCCGCGTTCTAATCGACTTAGCTGACGGAGGTAATTACATTAACCCCTACTTCGTAAAAAAACACAACATTAAGTTCCGAGAAAAGAAGCATCCCTACAAACTTATTACCGTAGATAGTTTACCTAGTATATATAGAGGAGGATTAATACTTATAGAAATCTAAGAACTCGTACTAGCTAGAGAAAAATACCGAGAAAGAATATACTTAGATATTATAAAAACCCCCGGGTATAATATTATTCTAGGACGTCTCTAGCTCCGAAAATAGAAACTATACATCGACTAGAAGTTCGAAGAAGTAAAGTTTAGGTCTAGAGAAAAGAACGAGGCGCGGTAGCTGTTTAGTATTACAGCGGCGTTAATATAACTCTAAGTAACCTAGAGCGAGCTAATACGAATTAGTAAGATCTCTAAGAAAGCCCTTAGAAAAGAAGTTAAAAACGGTACCCCTACTAGAATCTTCTAGGTGCGCGCTACCCCCTAGAGAATTAAGATCGAGACCTAATAACCTTTAGAGGTCCAGCAAGCCTGTAGAATCGCTTGCCTCCCTAGAAAACGAACTATTAGTCTCTAGAAACCCCGAGACTCCCGAGAGCGTATAAAATACGACCTTTAGTAAATCAGCGCTATTAACATTAAGAACCCCCTAGACTAAGTACTCCTACGATACCGCGAGTTCGACCTCTTTAGAGAAAAAATAAGCGAAGCCGCCCTACCCGAATACTAACTATAGAATTACGAGATACCTCTAATACTAGAAATCACGCCTAAGTTCGGGCCCTTATACTCTATATCTAAGAAAGAACTTTAGATACTTAAGAAATACATCAAAACCTATCTAAGAAAAGGCTATATACGACTATCTTAGTCCTCGGCGGCCTCCCCTATCCTATTCGTACTAAAACCAGACGGAAAATTACGGCTATACGTAGACTACCGAGCTCTAAACGATATAACTATTAAAGACCGGTACCCCCTACCCCATATCGACGAACTACGCGACCAACTATAAAAGACTAAATACTTCATCAAGCTAGACCTTAGAGACGGCTATCACCTAATTCGAATTAAAAAGAGGGAAGAATGAAAAACGGCGTAGCGAAGCCGATTCGGACTGTTTAAGTACTTAGTTATACCCTTTAGACTTACTAACGCCCCTACTACCTTCTAAGCCATAATCAACGACATCCTCCGAGAATATCTAGACGTCTTCTATACGGCCTATCTCGACGACATCCTTATCTACTCCGAAACCCTAAAAGAATACTAGAAACACGTAAAAAAAGTACTTAGAAAGCTATAGGAGAGGAAGCTATAAGTTAAACCCGAAAAATGCGCGTTCTACGTCTAAGAAGTAGAGTTTCTAGAATTTATCATCCGACCCGGCGAGGTCATAATAGACCCTAAGAAAGTAGAATCTATTCTTAGCTAGCCCGTACCTAAGAACCTTCGAGAAGTCTAATTCTTCTTAGACTTCGCTAACTTCTACCGCCGATTTATTAAGGACTACGCCAAGCTAGCTGAACCCCTGACCCGCCTTACCCGAAAGAATACCCGCTTTAATTGGTAAAAAACATAATAGAAAGCCTTTAAACTACTTAAAAGAGCGTTTACGGAAGTACCAGTCCTCGCCCTTTTCGATCTAGACAAGCCTATCTATCTAGAAACCGATATATTCGACTACGCCATCGGGGCCTATCTTAGCCAGCTAGACGACTAAGAACGGCTCTACCCCGTAGCTTTTTACTCTAGAAAAATGTTCCCGGTCGAACTTAATTACGATATCCACGATAAAAAGCTTCTCGCCATCGTTATCGCCTTTAAGAAATAAAGATACTACCTCGAAGGAACAAATTTCGAAATAACGGTATACTCGGACCACTAAAACCTAGGCGCCTTTATAACTACAAAAATTCTTAATCGAAGACAGGTTAGATGGGCGGAATAACTCGCCTTCTTTAACTTTAAAATTGTCTACCGAAAAGGAACCGAGAATAGAAAAGCCGACGCCCTTAGTCGGCGATGCGACTATATTCTTAACCGACTAGAACTGTTCCCGGCGCTTTTAAAATAAAATAAGAAAGAAAATATTAAACTTAACCGACTCTAATTAAAACTTGCGATAATTCGCCTTCTAGCCCCGGTTACCCGAAGCTAAGCGAGAAACCTCTAATTCTAGAAAGAACCTTCTAGGCTTTAAAGACCCCTAGAAACTACGGACCCCTAGAAACTAGTTTCTAGAAGTATAACACTTCTAGAACCTAGTTTCTTAGAGGCGCCGAGCGCCTAAAAGTCGGCCTTTTCTAGAAGTATAAACCTAGAAAGACAACCCTTCTAGAAAGAGCCTTTAAAGACAAATACTCTAGGAGTACAATTAACCCGGGAAGAAAACTCTAGAAACCAAGTCCCGGGAAACTATAGCTCCTAGAAGGCCCCCTCCGAAAACCTAGGCGCATAAGAAAATAAGGGCCCTTAAGAAAACGACCCCTTACTTTTAATATAGGAAGAGTATATTCGGGTAGCCTACGAAAACGATACCATAGTACAGCAACTATAGAAATAAATTTACGACTATCTAGAAGAAGACTCCAACCTTATACTAAGCCCGGAAGGGATAATCCTCTTTAAAGGACTAGTCTACGTCCCTTAACGACTTCGACGATAACTTATTAAGAAAATCTACGCTACTCCAGCACACGGCTATAGAGGTACTAACCCTATAATAGAAAGAATCGAAAGAGTATTCTATATGCCGCATCTTAGAAAGCGAGTGCGATAGTACCTCGTAGACTACGAAGATTGCGCCCGAAATAAAGTAGTATAACACGCCCCCTACGGGAAGCTATAGCTAATTATACCTCCCGACCGACCGTAGAAATCTATCTCTTTGGACTTTATTACCAAGCTACTAAAATTTAAAGAACTACTTACCGGAGTACGCTACAACGCAATCCTAGTTATCACCAATAGACTATCTAAATAGAGGTATTTTATTTCCTATAAGAAAGCCTTAGGAGTTCCCGAGCTAGTCTATATCTTTCTAAGATACATCTTCGTAAACTACGAAATACTAGAAATAATTATCTCCGACCGCGATACCCGCTTCCGCGCTCGATTCTAGTAAACCTTAATAAATAAATTAGAAACGACGCATAAGCTGTCTACTACCTTTTATTCCTAGATAGACGGTTAGACGGAACGACTTAACTAAACCTTAAAGAAATACCTGCGAAGCTACGTAAACTACTAATAAAATAACTAGGTAGAACTCCTGCTTCTAGCATAATTCGCCTGCAACAGCACACTAGCGAAGACTATCTAGAAAACGCCGTTCTACGTTAACTTTGGATTCGAGTCCCGAGCCTACGGAGAACCGATTCTATAAGAAAACATCGTATAAAAAGAGATACTCTAGGTAGAACAGCTAAAAGAACTATACTAAAGCCTAGCCCGAGATATTAAATTTATTAACTACCGCATGGCTATATATTATAACCGCAGACGCTAGGAGCCGCCGCCTCTAGAAGAGGAAGATAAAGTCTAGCTCCTTACCAGAAACCTTAAAACTAAACGACTAAGCCCTAAATTAGATTATAAAAAAATCGGTCCCTTCGAAATTAAATAAAAACTTTCTTCTATTATCTATAAACTTAAATTGCTAAAAAATATACGCCGAAGCCCCGTCTTCTATGTAGTACTCCTTAAACCAGTACTATAAAACGCCTAAACACTAGAATATCTCGAGGGAAAAATCTAGCCCGAAGATGTATAAGAATGAAACGTCGAAAAAATCCTAGATAGTAAATGGGACCCTAACGGTTAGCTTAAGTACCTCGTTAAGTAGAAAAATTACGACGACTTAGAAAACACCTAGAAACCCTTACTAAACCTTAACTGCCTAGAACTTCTCGAGGACTTTCACCGATAAAACCCGGACTATCTAAACCTAGAGCATTCTTTTATAACGTAAAACCCGGAGAAGGAGTTAGTAACACCTAAAATTAATTAATAAAAGCCTGTTAAGGAACCACGCTATTATCGGCTGCTACGTTACCGCTAGACCCGCCAAGTAAGTGCGGTATAGCCCCCTTATCCGAAGCCTCGGAAACATTCTAAGGAAAACGACCCTCCCGAATAGTAGTCTCCCGTTCTGCCTGCTCCTCCTACTTTAGCTACCGCATCTTACGAAAGAATAGGTCTATATTACGCTGCTCTACGAACCGGAGTAATAAACGTAACCGACGCTTCTTCTATTAACGAACCCGTAACCGCTTCGCCACGCGACTGGCGTGCTAGACTGCTACTAACGCCGCCTAAGCCGCCGCGTTAGCAGCAGCTACAGTAGTATTAGCGGCCTTCTTATCGTAATTAATCTCTATAGCTATCTCTTTAAGCTGACGCTCTAACTTCTTACAAGCCCGATCTAAGCGCCGAACTAGTAATAACGATTAGCCATTATAAAAAGAAAGAAGAAAGCCCCTACTTATACTTAGTATTAACCGAAGAAGCTATCGCCTCGCACGATACTAGACCTCCCCTAGTATATCTAGAATAAGCTGGATAGAAGGAAGTAGCGTGATAAACTAAATCTAGACGAACGCAGCGGGCATAGAAGGAAGCCGCGGGGACTCTACGATAACGGACTACGATACGCTGGAATAAAGTAATACGACGCTAGGTACGAGCCGAAACTATAATAAGAAAATTAGCACTTTTGATAATAAAACCTAGGAGAATATACATACTTATAAGAAAGCTTTCGGGTCGAAAGCTATCTAAAGAGGAGATAGTATTACAGAATTAGAATGCGGGTTAAGCGGCGCAGTAGAACTTATGGGCGGACCGAATCATCCCATACCGAAACACCGGACGCACCTAACCTACTTGGGTAGCTAATAGTCTGACCCCACGAAGCTAATCTTTCTTGGCTACTAGCCACCCCACTATCCACACTAACACTATAGTCTGGCCAACCAGCAGCCAATTATAGTATATAGAGCACACTTATTTACAGTAGATAGAACCTTCGTGGTTAATTCTAATTATTACCTTGTACCCCTCTTATTATCTTTCCTACCTAACTACGGCTGCTATTCTCTGCATCTAGTATTTAGTAACATTCTAGATAGCGGTAGTAAATCCTTAACGTTGCGTACCTCTCCGACGCTTCTACCTTAAAACCCTCTTTCCGAGTCCTAGCGTAATAATAAGCCTAATCTTATAAAGCAGATCTCCCTTAGCTACTAGCCATCCTACTGTCCACACTAACACCACAGACTAGCCAACCAGCGGCTAATTATAGTATATAGACTATACTCGTTTATAGTAGATAGAGCCTTCGTAATTAATTTTAATTATTACTCTATACCTCTCTTATTATCTTTTCTATCTAACTACTACTACTATTCTCTATATACCGTATCTAGTAACATTTTAGATAGCGGTAGTAAACTATTAACGCTACACGCCTTTCTAATACTTCTACCTTATTTCTCTTTTAGAGTTCCAGCGTAATAATTTTAAAGTAGTCTAGTAATATTAGATAGATAATTAATAGATAGTAGAAAGTACTAGACGTAATACCGGGTTTATAAGTATTATAATAGATAATAAAAATAAATAATATTATCTAAACTAGATAAGTAGTATAAGGACTAAGTAGATAGTTAACCGCTTGCTATGCGCGCTACTGCTGCTAACCCGTACGCAAACTAGTACCTATTAAATCTACGACGCCTCCAACTTTAATCGTCGATACTATCACTACGATTACGTGGTTCCGGTCCATTTAAATCTGCTGTAGAGTACCCGGACGCGCGCTTAAAGTCACGTGCGGTCGAGCCCCAGATTTCTACCCGGAAACCCCGATAATTTCGATCCTTCTCTACTAATAATTTCGACCCCAAAATCGTTGCTCATTTATAGTTGGGGGACTGTGAGGTTGATGAAAGAAGAAAGCGAACGTAGTTATAAATAACTAGTAAGTTTGCAGGCTAAACTACATCGATAAAGTATATAGAGTTAAGTATGTAGAGTTAGAGGCGAGACAACACCTTAGCTAAATATATCTAGCGCTTTAAAACCTTCCGCCAAGTACTTTACCCTTGATAAGCACTAATAATTGTATCAAGAGCTCTAATACTCAACGGTTTTACGAAGAACTCATCTACTCCTGCTTCCATACATTTTAATCTATCCTTCCAAGAATCCTGCCCGGTTACTTTATGGAATCTTGTTAGTTCAATTAGAATTAAAGAACGGATGCATGCAAAACTCACCAATGAAAATAACCGCTCGGGAGAGAGATAGATTCTTTTCGGTTTCTCGGATTTGCTTTGTAAGCTCTACACCGTCGCATTTTGGCATCTGAAGGTCGGTGAGGATGAGGTCGAATGGCTGCTTATGTAGCCGCTCGCGATACAGTGCTCCCGCTTCATGCCCATCCACGGCCGTCGAATAAGGAATGGATCTTTTCTCACAATAGAGCTTAAGTATCCGCAGATTGATGGCATTATCATCGACCAGGAGAGCGTTGACGGAGCGTAGATCGCACGAGGACATTTGGTTGGATCTCCTCCTCAAACGCTGGTTACAAGGCCCTGGTGAACCTTGGAGAAGTCTTTCTGACCATGGCTTCAGGTTCTCGTAAACTCCATTCAACTCTTCCAGAATGCCCCTTAGCCGAGCAGAGAAAAAAGGACCTTCGAAGAACAAGACATTGCAGTTGGGTGATCGCTCGCTCACTAATAGCCTCGTCGTGAGAGAGGGAACAAGGCAGACTGATACAGTAGACGGGTCAAGCTTCTCGAGGCTCTGATGGAAATGCTTCTCGTCGCTGGTAAAGCTGACGATGTTGAGCGATCCGCGTGAGGTATGCGATCTACTGAAGCCTTGATTCTCGATGCATTTCGTGAAATGCTGAACCAGATCGGAAGGCCCTCCTTTGTTAGGCACCTCATAGTATTTGCGGGGTATGTCCTTGAACATGGTTTGGGCAGAGGGGCGTGGGCCAAACTGACAACCAAATCCTGGGTCATCGAACTCAACGCGAAAGTGCGTGCCATGGCCAACCTCCGATGAGATCAGGCGGACGGTACCGTTCATCAATCTTGCGATCTTGGAAGCTACGGTGAGACCAAGGCCAGCACCACGGGTGTGTGGATCGCCCTTCTCGAATGCTTCGAATATGCGTCGTTGGGTAGCAGTGCTCATGCCACAGCCATTATCGATAATGTCGAATCTGAGCTTCGAGAATCCCTTAGCTGCGGAGATGCTCACTACCACGCTGCCGTTTTGGACTGACTGGACGGCATTCAAGACCAGCGACTGCAGGCATTCCTTCAGCAAGTCGGCATCGATCGTAAAGAAACTTACGTCGACAGGAAGTCTGTTATCGAAGAATACGGATTTCGAAACCAATTCGTACTCAGGAAGCACCTGGGAGATGCCTCGTACGATCTCCTCCTCGAGTTGGTCCAGCTCATGAAGTGATACCAGTCTCAATGGCCTTCTTTGCTCTGTCCAGCGATTGAGCATGATGATATTGTTCACGGTAGACATCAATTCGCTGCCAGAGTTGGTAATTGCTTCCAGATACGCTCTAATACTTCGAGCGGTGGCAGGATCCCAGAGTTTATGCCGTCCATCGTCGTTGGAAGAGAGGGCGCGTGCACGGCCTAGAAACAGCTCCTCAGTAAGAAGCTCAGTTGAGGTCAGGATTCCATGGATTGGAGTTCGAAGCTGGTGCGTGATCCCTTGGAGAAAGATGTTTCTCGCCTCTAGCGCTTTCGCAACGCGACGTTCTTGATCTGCGTTGAGCAGAATAGTAGCGCATGACTCCACAAACCAAGAGTCGACATCGTCAAAAACTGAATGAACATCCTTGGATGCAACCAGCAAGAATTGAGGTACCAGCTGCTTGCGACAAGGCGCGATGATTGCCCGGATTGTCTGCGATGAGGTGAGATAGGAGTGATTTTTCGTGAGAATCAGGGATTCCAGCAACTCCAAATCTTCCCAAAGTCCATTTTGAGCACTAGATGCCAGGATGGGCGGTCTGTTCTCTAACTGAACCATGCCAGTCTTGGACTCCTGCAAGGCGATATAGGCACGTGGGTAGATCTTCCGGAGCACCGTTTCGATGAGACGCTCTGCATTCTCTGGAGTCGATTGCTTCCTGGTTTTAGCAAGTATATCGGCCATGATCTGGCGCTGGCGTTGGCGGCGGTTTCTTGATCTGTTGACAATCTCGGCGCTTATGAGCTCGGCGAACTTGATGAGGACTTCTTGCTGTCCTCGGTCCAACCTGGCTGCCTCGGAATGTGTGGCCGCGAATAGCGAACCCAACGCAAAGCATTGTCCATCATCCGTTTCGCAGCGGATCTGTGCGCCAACATAGCTGCGCATTCTATTATCGCAAGCGAAAGGTAACCGACGAAAGCGTCGGTCTGCAGATATATTAGGCACCTCAAAGACCTGGTTTGGGTTAGTGACACTACGTGGAAGGAGACAGTCATCTTACCGGATACGCTTGACTGATTGTGTGTGCACAAATTGTTTCACGCCGGGGTATGACAGCCAGAGACATCCCATGCGTGGCTACTATTGTGCAGGCATTCTCGGCAACGAGGGTCAAAGACACCATTTCTCGGCCAAGAAATGTGTGTACCAATCCGATGATGTCCTGTAGTCTCTGAAGCAGCTCGGCGTCATCCATTACCTCCTTTGTCAGATACCATAGCATGGTAAGGCGCTGGCGCTCATTACGCGCCAAAGTAGGCGGAAGGTAGGAGGAAATTTTCAGTTCCGATTCTGAATGGTTGGTTGCGGGGTTCGTGTAATGGTTCTTGTGAGCAACCTCATCAAATTGCTTGAGTGGCTCGCCTGCATGATCAGTATCAGAGACTGGTGATACTATGGCCGGCCGATACGGAAGTCGTGTTGTTTCGGGGTGAGTTCGTTTGACATGTAGTCGCGCGTTTGGGAATAAGGACCCACGTCGTCCATCTTGAGCGCTTGACATGGCAGCGAACTTGAACAAATATACTGGAATGTGAAGCAGTGAGGAGAAAGGTCTGTGTCCATCGAGCTCACAGGAGGGAGGCATGCAGAATCTCACAGGAAGCTTTTTATAGACTCCATCGTAACGACGTCACCCAGTACATAGACCCAAGTATGGAAAAGAGCTCAGGGATGACTGGAATTAGTTTTGCGGGAACGGAAGGGCGCACAAGCTTAGTGCCTTAGTTGTGGCCGCAGCCCTGAGCCACGCCCTCGGTGCGCTTTCATCATGGTCCAATATCTAGTCGAGTAGTTTACGCAAGCAGCATGTTTAGATGGTAGGGATTTTATCCGTTTTCACGGCGGTAGCATTATTAGACTGATTGAACTGAATACCCTGTGGGACTTTGGGTGCCGGACATGGTGATGATTGGCGTTGTAGTCCTTTGGTACGTTTAGATGAAAGAAGCACAACATTCCCCAACGGAAACTGTAGCTTTGTGCTGATAGGAGGCAGGTCTAACAACATCTCATCTCATACAACGCAGCTCCACCATAACGTAACATCTACTCTCTGCTAAAACATCTCTTAGTTTTTCTAAGGCCGCTATCCGTGAGCGGCGTTAGGCGTGTAAGAGATTTAATATTTTAATAAAAGGCCCATAAGACACATATTACGAGAACGATTACTGCCTACAGTTCCGTTTCCGGGCAGCCTACATCATTCTGCTTTCGAAATGAAAGCACTCGTGCCGGTAACGAAAGCAGCAACATCCATAAAGCTAGACTCGGAAAGTACATTTGTCTCTTTTCTTTTTTATTGCGTGAAGATAACTTCAGATTTATACGAAAAGCAGATAATAAATTATATTTGGTTGAAGGCCTAATATTAAAAGCTATAATCGTTCTTTAGTAAATAAAGATAATTACTTCTAATGTATTTAGAGTTGTAGGGGGTTTCTTCTCAGACGTAGAGTAGATAAAGCTAAGTCTATCGATTTTGTACAAAACACGTAGAATAGTAATTGATTGGTAGCCGCGCCGTTCATCGGCCGAGGACTGCGTTTACTAGTCTTTTGGTCATATTATAAGCGATGAATGAAACTATTTTCAAAAGAATACAAAGATAGATAACAGCCGATGAGTATGTGTTTAAGGCAACGGCTTCTTGTATAGAACATACTCACTAATGTCTGCTCTTTCGAAAAATCTCCAACAAATTAGAAAAGACTTCGTGCAATTAGTATATCCCTCTTGACTTGGCGTAGAGAGTATGACACATCAAGCACGAGCTAGTCTCAGGGTCTTCAAGGGGCGTTACCGTGAACAACATGGTTTTTGATGCTAACAGCTTTCGAATGTAGATTATTGCCTGTTTCGGCCTTCCTCCGCCATTGAATGGGCGTGCGTATTGCCTCTTCCATGATCACTTCCGCGGTATTTCCATGTCGTTCTATGTCATTCTGAATGTATCTGTCTCAATCCGATCAGCGTGACATCGAAATCGACCTTGAGATCGACGATTTAATCCGTGTCGGCCAAGCTCATAGTGATCGTAGCTTTGCCCGACCCTTACCTACCAACCGTCGATATGGAAACTTTGCAGAGTTTTGTACAAATCTTCCGCTCTGACAGTCGCCCTACCTTTCTCATAGACGCCTCTGAGGTCGACACCAAGGATCTCGTACGCTACTGCAATCCGGCATGCAGAAAGATTTTGGAAGCGGGTATCGGTACTGCACGCGTATGCGATGACCTGTTAGAGACCATTCGGCGGTTCATTAATCCTTGCATTCCTATTGAGGCTACATACTGCAGTATACTGGGGCTACGATGGAAAGGGATCACGTTGCACGAGGGATTGCTGTTGATCCAATTAGCAGAGGGCCAAGATATCTTCCAACCGACAAAAGAATCGTCAATCATTACGACAAAGCTACCGCGTAATCGACACGGGAAGGAAATTCTTGAACCTCCATCATCCTTGAAGGCGACTCTATCGCAACTGATGCATTTTCCAGCGGATAATACACCAAATATGGATGCACTTACTCTCGACGACCTGATGGATCCGTTTCCAATGGGTTACGCAGAGTTCAGATTCGATGGATCCTTTGTAGTTGCCAACGAAGCCTATCTCAGGCTTGTCGGATCGACAAACATCGATTTCCAACACGGTGTCCTAGGGGAAACAGCCGTGACAGGTGGAAAAGACCTGCTTAAGAAACAGTTGGCAGCATTTGCTGCTCGGAAGCGCACCGAACCGTTCGATATCCAGGTGAAACAGCCATGGCTGGACCATGCGCCACACACATCGCTATCGGTTAGCTGCGGTTTCAGAGTGGGAGCAGGCAACAAAGCGACTGGACTCGTTGTTTGTGTAACAGACATAACCGATCGAAAGTCCTGGAAAGATAAGGATGACCAGCCGTCGACAGAAGCGTACACCAGCGATAGCCAGACCGACATGTCAAAGGACCTGGTGTTACATGAATTGAAAAATCCACTTTCGGCAATCCTACAATCTGCAGACTCGATTTTGAGTTCAGTCAGGCATGAGCCTGATCCAAACAAGGTCAGTCGATTAGGTCAGATGCTCACGATCCTATTCTCACTGATTGTCAGATGCATGAGGAAATCGATGACGCAGCGAGCACTATCAAGCTGTGCGCGGAGCACCAAGCTCGGATAATGGCCGATGCGCTCACGCTCGCCCGGCTCGAGTCCCAGAAGCTTGAGCTTCATTTCGACAAAGAAAAGCCAACCGACCTTTTGAAAAAGGCAACCAAGTTTTTCAAAGCCGAGGCAGAGGCAGCCGATGTCAAGCTATGCACTCGCGTGCAGCGCTTGCCTGGGTGTCTTGACATTGCAAACGCATCAGTGCTGGTTGATTCTGGACGCATGCTCCAGATACTCATCAATCTGGTTGCCAACGCTATCAAATTCACCCGTAACTGTACAGAACGCTCTATTACCATCTCATTGGACGTATCAGACTCTCGCCCACAGGGAACCCACAAATATCTACCGCGCATCCATCAAAGCCAGTATCGCAAACCTGCAGCAAAAATGGGGAAGCCAGTCTATCTCCAGTTTTGCGTCAGCGATACTGGACCGGGCCTGAAGTCCGAAGAGACAGCCAAGCTCTTCAATCGCTTCGCTCAAGCGTCATCTCACGTCTTTAGTAAGCACGGTGGGTACGGGCTTGGCCTTTACACTTCTCGTTGCCTTGCCGAGCTCTTGAACGGACAAATTTGCGTTTCATCGGAGCCCGGCCAAGGAAGTACCTTCGCGTTTTACGTCGAAGGGTACTTGCAGAAACAAGATCTGCATCAACACCTGCAGGCATCTACTGACCCGGAGTCAGACATCCGGTCACCCGCCCCGAACAGCGAGTTGACCTTGTTCTCACCAGGTTGTACTATACACTGCTTGGTTGTGGATGATAACCGCACTGTCAGAAACGTCTTAACAAAAAGGCTACTAAAGCTTGGCATCTTGGTGTCGGTCGCCGACAATGGTGCAGATGCTTTGGTGCTGATCGAAAGCACAATCCACCAGCGTGACACCACGCCCATTTCTGTCGTTTTCATGGATCTCCACATGCCAGTCATGGATGGCTTTGTATGCGCCGAGCGGATCCGCAGCATGGAACAGGCAGGGCAGCTTGAGGGGCGCATGAGCGTGATCGGTATTTCCGGCAGCGCCCTCAAGGATCAACTAGCGTATGCTGTCAAGCAGGGAATGGTATTAACTGAACCAAAATGTTCCGTCGTTGCAGCTAATGAAATTTTCTGTAGGATGCCGTTATCCAGAAACCTTTTCCCATATCCAGTGTCTTGAAATATCTCGCAAAATGAGCTCTCTATGGAGTTTGTCTGTTTGTAGCTAGTGTTAGTTTGGTGCGCTTCTGAGATTAATCTGGGTTTTCATTGCTTTGCGATTGATCTAAATTAGCAGCAGTCCTTTGGGTTTTTGGGCGTTTATGTGTCACCGTTCGCGACCTTGGCGCTGTACCCCTCACTTTCTTCCTTTCCTTGATGCCGCGACCAGCTGCCAGCAGTAAGACATGCAGTACGAAAAGAAATTCTGAGAAAATGTGCAATACGAGCCGCGTGCTAGCGCCCAGCCGCCGTCGGGATTGGCCCTTGAATTCCGTTTGCATGAGCCACGAGGAATCGCATGCATCGCTGCAAGCCTCCACCCGCAGAATCAGGCCATGACATGCGCCTGTATTGCAGAGGCTTAATCATTCACTCAGCGATCGAACCATAATGCAGTGGCTAAATTTGCCACTCAGACATGGGGAAAAGAGCATACCAGTCTAGAACATCTTCTACTCAGCTCGATCCGGCTGATGTTTCGCTCAGCATCAAGCAGACCCCACTGGCTACAGGTTGCGTGGCGCGCACTATTGAGTAAATGGCGCCCAGCCATCCCATCTTTATCTTGATGCTTTAGCGGAAGCAAGGGAGGTATGATCTCTTTGGGCCTCTTTTCTCTGCAGTCTTGACGAGCCCGGCGCTTGCCGCTTCGCCGCAAGTCTTTCAAGAAATCGCACAGGATGGGTCATTCTCTGAATCTGTGTTACGCACCGGCAAAACCCTTGGCTCTTCACGCACGGCGCTAAGTTATGCATACAACAGGCTAGTGTTGCTGGGTTTCGGGCTGCAACAGTGATTGATTTGAAGCGTCCACCCTGAAACAAGCTGCCTATGGGGACTCCGGCGAATTCATAGCGGCAAGGCTGGCGGGTGGACTCATCTGACGTGGTGCATATTGTTGCGCGCCGACTTTGTAAAGCTTGCAGGAGCTTAAATGACACTGCCATGCACACCCGAGGCAGTGCTCCCGATTAGAAGATGTTTTAGGTGAGAAATCGGCTGGAAATTATGAAGGACATGTAGTTCAATTATGGTTTCTGAGCCGAAAGCCATTAGCGCATAAGCGCGCATGCGGTGTCTCGGTATATGCGCGCATGCCAAGACAACGCGTGCGCGCATATCTCCGATTCCAGATCCGGTCTAGCCAAAAAGCCCAAAGCCAACGGCGCATATGCGCGCATGCACCTCGAGATGGCATCCTTTCTACTTATCAGCGAAGATAGTCATCTATGAGTATGTGCATCAGCTCCGCTTAACCCAGGCAGCAAAGTTTGGTCGACATTTTCACTCAGATGCTCGACATATCGTTAGAGAAGAGTATAGATTGAATATTTAAAGATGTTTAAAGGAGTGAATGTTCGTCAGAAAGAAAATAGATAGCAAAAAAATTTCCCCGGGGATGAACATGCGGTAGAGACAGATGTTGTAGAGTATTCAGAGCTTGAGTTCCTCCCCAGCCACAGCAACTGCAAACACGCCTCGAGGAGATAGCGTAGACGGCAAATTCCACGTTGTCGCTTCGAAAGAATGCTTCCACTTGGGACAGGGATTGTGAGCAGGTCGTTCAGAGAACGTCGGTGCAAGACAGATCGACATTGACCAGGCCCTTCAGACGTCAGTCAGCATAGTCCAGTCTATGATGGTGGCTTGGGTATGTTCCTCACAGTCTGTTTGTTGCCATTGCAACACTTGACCGTGTTGGTGTTGCCACAGACGGCGGTAGCTCCGTTGCCGCTAAGAATAGCCACTTTTCGTTTATCACAATAGCTTTTAGTAACAAGAATACATAGTGTGCGCAACAGATGATAGTTCAATAAATGAAACCACTTACAAACTGTAGCACTAACGCCAGTGCATCCATTGCCAAGGATGGGTCCAACGATCGCAGAAAGCAATCCAGCACTGCTCTGGGTGCTGGAAGGGTTGCAGCAGGCGACGACCTGATTGGCATTGCATGACTTTGCAGCATCGTCGATCGACTTGTCGGTACGAGTAGAGAGCGCTGGAGAGGCGGAGCCGGCAACAGCCAGCGACAAAAGAGAGGCAGCGATGAAAGAAACCTTCATTGTGTGGTTGGGAGAGTTTTCTCTGCTTAGAAGCTGAAGTGAGTGATTGGGATGTAGAGATAGAAGCTGCTGATGGTGCTCGAAATTGATGCGAGGAGACGCCGGCTTTTATATCCTGGTCCCGGCCTCATGAACCATCTCTGAGTAAAAGATGCCCATCACCAATTCGTATAGGCGTATCCAATGTCTTACTTTTCTCTCTGTCCTTTTCTTTCTTTTGTTGGGCTTGCAGGTCGAGTGTGCAGCGCCAGCGTGTTCGCGGCAGCTGAGATGACGCCAAGGTCGGTCGGGGCGCTTAATGTGGCGTGCGCCTAGACATAATCGACCGCCGCAGGATTCACCCTCGCCTGCGCTAGAGTTCGCAAAGCGACCAGCTCCGGTGCTGCCGCGTTCAGCCTGTTTGTTTCACTGTCCTATGCAACGGCCAAACCCTTGAGCGAGGCGAGCATGTTTTCTCCACCACGCATCGCGGTACTCAGCCGCTCGGAGAACACAGCAGCCACATTATCCACGCCATACCTGTGAGCGGGGTCTTTATATCAGAAATACAATCGATCTGGAGAAACTTCCCTGCTTTGTCCAGCACCTGCGTCAGGCCAGATCCGCAAAGGGAGTTAGCCCCGCCCATGACAGCGGCCCTTGGCTTTTCAACGAGAATCGATGACCAAATTCATTGGATGGCAAATAGCAAGCTAGCGTGTGTGGTATCTATGGAGTAGCCGATACGTCTCGGCAGACCACAGTAGATTACAGTAATGCCCATATAACCGTTCGCGTTTAGAAAGTTTGGAAGTGACAATAGTTATCCGAATTAACTCTTGTAGATAAAATTTCACCAGACCTAGACAGTATCTTAGTATCAATATACGCACGTTTAAGCGCCTTCCATATATTCTCGAGTTTATGCGCTTCCGTAAATCCAACCTCTCAGCCTTCTTAGGCATGACATCCACACTTCAACCTACCCCATAGGAAAAAAAACAAGACAATTGAGGATCGACTTTCTCTAGCGCGTCAAGGCGTAGCCGCATGACGTTCCGTTTTTAGAACAGCCACGGTAGCTGATTATAGCCAAGCATGAGGCATCGTTACAGATTTCCGACGTACAGCGAGAATCGTATCAGTGGCGTTATATGCGTTACGGTGCAAATCCCGCGCTGCAATGCCCGCGGGCCACGCGGCAGGCCATTCTCACCACCGCAACATCAGAGTTAATCTTCACCCTATATTGGCCGCAAAGACCCAGAGTTGCTGGGTGGCATTCGCTCGCGCATTATTTTCTTGAGATGCTTTCCAAAGCTATCTAATTGAGTGGGCATACAGAGCTTTATAAAAGCTAATTTACCGCTGGAGATACCTCAGATATTTCTATTTTCGTACGTGTGGTGAATTCTTTTTCCACTATCATAAGAACAACAATCTATATAATTATATTACAGAAAAGCAAAACAAAAAGCAATGATTGGCACTTGTAATACCTTGGCGGCAGTTGTACAACATTTCTTGCACATCAGCAGGACCTAAGCTTTTCCTACATCACTCTAGCTCGAGAATGGGAGGTTGTAGACTGACTAGTCCTACTGCTAGCCATCAATCCGCCACACTTTACTAGCAATTCTACACGGCCAGTTTTAGTCGAATAGAAGCACCCATTGGAATCCCTTCCCTCCTTTACCATCATGGGCGAATAGAACATTGAAGGCCATCAATAGCAACAACTAATGCACACATCTTGCGAGTCGATTGGCGCACGTACGCTGGCTCCGCCAAGCGTCGTGATTACATGTGTCTCACTTGTGCTTTTCAACGTGTCAGCTGGACGGACAAAGATCGTGGCGGATCCCAAGAGCTTCTTGGAGTAGAAGTGAGGGAACCCCTTGCCAACGCATTCCACACGGATTTAGCGGCCTTCCGACAAGATTATTCCTGCAGCCAGCTGTAGGGGGGTGTTCCCCTTCAGACAGAAATGCAAGCACAGCTTCAGCAGGTAGGTCTCTAGCAACTCGCGGCGGCTGATCAAATCGCCAGTGCAACTCGGGGACCCCCATCAGTTCTAGGCTGAAATAACTTTCCCGTCGAATTGTATGTTATTGTCATCGAGGTCGGCAGCGAACAGCCAGAATCACCCAGGGCGTACGCCCCATGACATGGCGCCGGGGTCTGGGAAGATAGGGACTACTATGGCCATGGTAGTGGAAGCCGTGTCTACCCCGGATGTTATCTAGCCAAAAGAAACGTGATTCCTTCCATCGCAAAGCTGATCTTGGCGGTTGGGTTCGAGCTCTGGGCGACTTCAGATGGTAGACTTGTCACGGTAAACCTAGACCAAGTGACGGAATACCCCGATGGGGTCCCATACTGTGCTAAAGATAATAACCGCAATACTATAGTCCGATCCGAAAACATTAGACATGTAATCTTTCGTGAGTAGAACAAAGTTATCTAGACTTTTGTGAGGCGTAGGTGCGCTGAGGCTGAACAGGGAGTTCACTGCCGATGGAAACAAAGGGACTGGATTGCTATCGAGACGAATCCTTAGGGGATTCGTTAGGCTACTGGCGAGGAGCAAGAAGAGACTCGTGTGCCGAAGGAACGTGACCCGCGTGGGCTTGGCAGGAGGGTCGCATGCTCCTCGCAGGGGCCGGGCCGCTGAAAACCCACGGAAAAAAACCTCTTCGTGGAGGAAAAAGGTGTAGTGGGAAAGTCTTTGCCCGTATGAGCGCATGGTATGCGTCTCGCGCGCTTTGGGCGTGCGAGTGCCCTGCGAGGCGCGCGCTTTGGGCGTGCGAGTGCCCTGCGAGGCGCGCGCTTTTCGCGTGCGCCTTTGCTTGCGCAGGGCTTGTTATGTTTTTCTGGTTGCCCCAGCGGGTTTCTCAGCTGGGCTCGCTGCGCGAAGCCCCGGCCAGGCCGCTAGGCCCTTGTAGTGGGTTTTGGGGGGGAGTGTTGTTCCGGCCCACGGCCGCCTTGCTATTGCGTGGCGGCGTTGGGGCGGCCTGGCGCCCTTTTCTTTCTGGGTGCTTTGTTCTACTCCTCTTAAGCATGCTATTTGCATGCGAGTGGGGTGCGGGGGCCCTGCGGTGTGCTGGCCCGCGCCGCTAAGGTATCCCATCAGCGCCGTGGGTTGGCTCCGCCGGTGCCGCGTTCTCAACCACCAAGTGATTGCTCGTGTTGAGTCTTTGTCTTGCCCATAAGAAGGGCGGCCGCGCGCGCTAAGCGTGCTGCGTTCTAATCGTTGGTGACTTTAAAGTGATGGCTTGCTTGGCGGCGTTTGCCTGCCCTGCGGGCGATTCAACACCACACTACCCGCGCTGCGCTGCTGGCTGCGGAGGCCGCCTTTGCAATGTGGTCGCTCCTCAGCGGCTACTACAGCGTTCCTTGGCGATTAGTGATTTCGCCGCTTGTAGCATCCGCTAGCGCGTCAGTACTAATCACAGCCCGGAGCGCCTTTTCGCGACTTGTTGCGCGTGTAGCATGCCTGCCGTACCTGCCTCGCACGTGCTTCGCACGTTGTGCGTAAGGCCGTACGCTAGACCCTGAAGTCGTGAGCTCAAAAGCGCGTCGTAGGGTGCTCTGCGACTATTCTTCTTCACCCTCCAACCTCCTACGAATTTGGTGCTTTTCCACTGCTTTTCGCCAGCTTTAAGCCTGCTTCCTCAAGCCTTCACTACTTCTACCCTTTCATCACCTCACCGCCGTGTTCAAGATGCTGCCTGGCGACATTTCTGGCGAGCCCATCATCGACGCGCGCAAGCTCGCTCCGCACCTTGAGGGCCAGCCTAAGCTCACCAAGCCCTAGTGCCTGCGGTGCGTCAACCACTGGGGCGCGTACAAGCTTACTGCCGCCGGCGAGCTTCCTTTAAATGACGAGCTTTTGGAGCGCCTTAAGGAGGATTGCTCGCGCACGAGCCTGTACCAAAAGTGCTCGAGCTGCAACGACCCCAAGAACGGCCATCTATGCGAGGTGGTGAGTTTTTCAAACCCGCTGTTCGTATTGATGGCTTTGCTGACATTCGCGTTGTAGGTTCCTGCGAACTTCCGCCGCGCCATGAACGTCCTCGTCGAGCTCCGCACCATCGCTCTGCTGCCCAATCAAGCCGACGCCGAGTCGCTTCGCAAGAAGCTTGTACGCGCCTGCTCGTACGCCAAGTCGCTGCGCGCCACCCTCACCGGCTACGCTTCTCGCAAGAAAAATGAGATCAAGAAGGCTGGTGGTGATGACGTCTACGCGCACGCAAGGCGTGAGTCTCTGGCCAACAACCTCAAGCGTCAGGAGCTGGGCATGCAGGGCGTAGGGCTGATGGAGCCGATGAACATTGTTGTGGATGCTGAGCTGGAGGAGTGGCTGGTCGAGTACATTGAGCAGAACTACAAGAGGGCTGAGAAGGCGAACCAGGAATTGAGGAGGGTTTGGTTTGGCGTGACGGCCACTTAGGTATGGGGTGGGTATTGGGCTTTGACATGGTTTGGGTGCTTTTTACGGCGTTCATAGTGTGCGGGCGGCATGCTTGAGGCATGCGAGGCGGGTGCGGATACCCACGATTCCCTTTTCTCATCACTTCATAATATTAATGCCATAACAGTCTTCACGCCGACTTTTGAAGCATGTTTGTGACTGTTTTATTGTGGCTTTTTCCATGCCGGCTGCGCGCTTGTGGTTGTCAACCACTAGCGTTTTCTCGCGCTCTGGTCATGTTGCCTAGCTGCCCATCAGGAAGATTGGTTCCCTCATGTATCTCCTTGCCCCCCGAGGCCGTGTTGGTGCAATTTCCGCATGATTTCTTCACAATTTCGGCTTGTTTTTTGATCCTTTTGGGCGCCCTGGACCGCGCTTCCGTTGCGGTGGTGGAGGGCTCGACTCCTCCTGGGCTGCTCCCTTTGTTCCCCGTGTGCGTGGGCCTGCGAGGCGCATGCGTTTCGCCGGCTTTTCGGCCACGTTATACATGCGTCTGTATTCGCGGAGGAGTTCTTGACAGTTCTCCAGCTCAGCTTCGAAGAGCCAGCTGTCGAAGCTGCTGGGCCAGTTGAGCCATTGGACGCGGTACTACACCTTGCCGTGTCTCAGACGGTGCGCCACGATGCGCTCGACTTCCCACTCGTCTGCCAGCTCGACCGCTGGGGGTTTAAAGCCCGGCCTCGCCGTGTAGTCCTCCAGGACCACGACGTTGAACACGGGGTGGAGCCGCTGCATTGATGGCGGCAGCTCCAGTCGATATGCGTGGTTGCCCACGCGCTCGAGGATCTTAAACGGCCCCAGGAACTTGCTGTCCAGCTTCTGATAGGGCCTTGTCGTTTTGATGTTCCTGGCCGACAACAGGACTTCCTCGCCTACCGCAAAGTGTTTGTTTATGCGGTGGCGATTGTAGTATTTGGCCTAAAGCTCCTGCGCGTAGGCGATTGCTTCCGTGGCTCGCGTGTATGCGAGCCGCATGCGGGCCGCATGCTTGGCCGCTGCTTCCCGGAGGGCCGATGGTTCGCGCCCTTCCGTCAGCAGTTTCTCGTGTGCCTCGTCCCCTCCTGCGATCGCCTGTCGGGGGTCCGCGATGCCATCCGGAATCGCCGGTTCAGCGCCGTAGGCCAGCTGTATCGGCGTGACCCCTGTGACGGAGTGGATCTTGCTGTTATACGCGAAGGCCGCTTGATCCAACCATTCCGCCCAGTCGTTCTGTTCGAAGTTTACGTAGATACGCAGGTACGTCTCCAGCTCTTGGTTTTGGCGCTCCGTTTGCCCGTCTGTTTGCGGGTGGAACGCCGTGCTGAAGCGTAGTCGAACACGCAGGATAAAACACACTTCGCTCCAGTATTCACTAGTGAACACTGATCCCCTGTCGGAGACGAGCGAGTATGGTGGTCCCGTTCTGGCAAAGGTCTTGAAGAGCAGGTGGGCTAGGCCCTCCGCATCTATAGACTTGCGCACTGGGAAGTACTGGACCAGCTTGGTGAAGCGGTCCACGAGGACGAGCACCGGATCAAACACAACACCATCGCGAGTCGTGGACTCGGGCAGGTCAGTCACGAAGTCCATGGAAAAGTGTTTCCACGGCTCGACCTCAGGCTCCAGAGGCTGGAGGGTGCCGTATGGTTTGTGCCGGCGGGACTTGTGCCTCTGGCACGCGTCACACGCCTTCAGGTAGGTCTTAAGGTCTTGGGTTAGGTTTTCCCAAACGTATTTGCGCTCGAGGGCCTCTAGCGTACGTCGGTACCCGTAATGACCTCCCACCAGGTCATCATGATTGCGTTTCATGATCTCGTCCTTCAGTGGTGCACAGTTTGGCACCCACACCTTGTGGTGTTGGCGCAGAAGACCGTCCCTGTCGAATGCGTATCCGGCCGAGGCCTGTTCCTCCAGAGATTGGCGGGCGAGGGAGCGTACAAGAGGGTCCTGCTCCTGGACCGCCCTTATGAAGTCCGCCAGACTCTGGGGGGGTGAGTCCTCAAAGGCCGTTTCGCCGGTGGCAGCTACTACTGCCTCGCGGCGTGGCACGCAGCTTTGCGCATAGCTTGTGCCAGCGATCCGCTGGGCCCACGCATGCTTCTCGCATGCGGGGTCCGGCGTCGCGTTGTTGCGTTTGGTAGCCTGGATGGCGCCGACATCCGCTTCTGGGAGTAGAGGGTGGCGGCGCGCGGTGGCGGCGCGCGGGTCGCTCGCATGCGTCTCGCATGCTTCGCGCGTAGGGGGCGTAGTAGCGCCCGAGAGAGCTCCTGTCAGATCCCTCACTCGCAACTTCTGCGGCAACGTAGGCAGCATACTCTCAAGGTAGGTTCGTTTTGCGTCCAGCTTGAATCCGCGTTCGAAGTCCGGTCGTCTTAAGAGGGGGTCAGCCGGGTTGCCGGAGCCCGGCTTATACTCAATCTCGAAGTCGTACTGTGCAAGGTCCTCGGCATATCGAGCCTGCCTGGGGGACAGTGACTTGGCAGTCATGAAATACTCGAGATTCTTGTGGTCCGAGAGGACTCTGGTGGCCACTGGAGCGTAGGCGAGGTAGTGGCGCCAGGTGCGGAAGCTTTCTACAATGGCCAGCAGCTCTTTGTCGTGCGTTGGGTAGTTGACCTCTGGGCCGACGAGCTTGCGGCTGTGGTACGCCACAGGCAGCCAGTGTTGTTGAGTACCTTCGGTGCTCCAGGGCTGAAGGAGGATTCCTCCAATTGCGAAATCCAACGCGTCGGTAACAAGCATCAGCGGGCGGGTCGGATCGAAGTGGCGCAGGACGGGGGCCTGCGAGAAGGCTACGCGGAGCTTGCGAAACGCATGCTCGACGTCAGCGGACCATTGAAAGGCCATATACCATTTGGTGGGACCTTTCCTCGTCTGTTTCCTTTTGTCTTTGCTTTTACTAACCGCCGGATCTCTCGCCGCGCTGCGGAGTAGGTCGTTCAGGGGTCGGGCAATCTCTGAGTAGTTCCAGATGAAGCGCCTGTAGAAGTTGGCGAAGCCCAGGAAGACCTGAACGTCGCGGTACGACTCAGGCGTCGGCCACTCCTGGATTGCCTTCACCCGTTCGGGGTCCATGACGATGCCCTCAGGTGTCACTACAAACCCTAGAAACTCGACCGTCTTAGTGTGGAAAACACACTTGGAAAGCTTGGCGTAAAGGCCCCATTCGCCGAGGCGCTGGAGGACGCTGTTGACATGCTGGACGTGATCCTTCTCATTTTCAGAGTAGATCAGAATGTCGTCCAGGTACACAACGCAGATGTGGTCCAGCAGCCCGCCCATGGCGCGGTGAATGTAGCTCTGAAAGGTAGCCGGCGCGTTGGCCAGGCCAAACGGCATGACGAGGTATTCGAAATGGCCGTAGCGCGTCTTAAACGCAGTTTTCCACTCGTCTTCTGACCGTATCCTGAGCCGGTGGTACGCATCGCGGAGGTCCAGTTTGGTGAACACTCTCGCGCGGCCCAGGCGATCGAACATCTCGCTTACGAGGGGGATAGGGTAGCGGTTTTTATGGTGACCTTGTTCAGGCCCCGGTAATCGACACACAATCGCATTGTCCCGTCAGGCTTCGGCACGAAGAGGATGGGCGCTCCAGCAGGCGACTTGCTGGGCCTGATCCAGCCTTTTTACAGGGCACTATCGAGGTATTCTCGTAGTATTTGTAGCTCCTGCTGGGACAGATTGTATATTGGCAGCTGGGGAGGTTGCTTGCCCTCGACCAGATCGATTGCGTGGTCGTATTCTGAGTTGGGAGTAATGATGCCCGCGAGACGGTCTAAAAAGACGCGCTCGTGGCGTGCATAGCACGCGGGCAGCTCCGGCTCGCCGAGCTGTGCGGCGGCTATGGTGGCGTAGGCGCCCGGGAGCTAGCTGAGCTCCGGGTGCGCCTCGCATGCCTCTCGCATGCTTGCGGAGGCCGTTAGCATGGCGACCTGAGCCGGGGCGGCCCAGTAGTTGTCTGGGTTACGGTCGCCGCCACCTTGGGAGGAGGGCTTCTACTACTACTTATAGCGGCCGGTAGTAGGCGATTGCGCCCTGCTGCGGCCTAGAGGGGCCTTAAGCGGGCTGTTATCCTGGTGGTATAGTTCGTATATAATATCGTCGTCTAAGAGTGTTACGCTGGGACTCGGGAGGGGGTGAGGTAAGAACGTCGGGGAGGTTCTCAGCGTCAAGGGTTTACTACCGCTATCTGGGATGTTACTGGTCGCCTATACGCAGAGGATAGCAGCCGTAGTCAGGTAGGAAAGGCAACAAGAGGGGTGTAAGGCAACGATTGGAATTAACCACGAAGGTCCTATCTACTGTAACGAGTGTGATCTATATACATGGAGTGATTAGTGTAATTAGTGTTGGTCACTGGTGGTGATTAAGGTGACCAGAGTGATCAGGTTGCCGAAAAGGGTTAGGGTTAGGGTTAGGGTTAGGGTTAGGGTTAGGGTTAGGGTTAGGGTTA